CGACCCTCGAAATCCTCGTGTTCGAGTCCGGTACTGTTCGTACCGAAGAAAGGGGGTGAATTGAGGCTGTGTATCGACTACCGTCGCCTCAACGAAATTACCGAGAAGGACAGGACCCCCCTGCCGCTTATCTCGGAGACCCTAGATCGCCTACGGGGGTCGAAGGTATATACGAAGATGGACCTGAGAGGAGCGTACAACCTCCTGAGGGTCAAGGAAGAGGATGTTTGGAAGACCGCGTTCACGACACGCTATGGTCTGTTCGAATGTCTCGTCATGCCATTCGGTTTGACAAACGCGCCGGCGACGTTCCAGCGCTGGATGAATCAGGTCTTCCAGGACATGTTGGACGTGTGTGTGGTCGTCTACTTAGACGACATATTGATTTACTCCGCCGACCAGGAGACACACGACGAGCACGTACGGGAAGTGCTGAAGAGGCTACAGGCAAACGGCCTGTATGCAAAGGCGGAGAAGTGTGAGTTCGACACGACGGCGACGGAGTTCTTGGGGTATGATATTGCCCCTACGGGGGTCAGCATGAACCCGTTGAAGGTGAAGTCGGTGTTGGAGTGGGCGGCGCCTCGAAATATTCGAGGCCTGCAGTCGTTCTTGGGGTTCGCGAATTACTATCGCCGGTTCATACAGAACTACTCCAAGAAGATCCAAGGCATGACGGCCTTGACGAAGAAAGGGGTGAAGTACCACTGGCCGGAGTCAGCGGACGCTGCCTTCAAGGAGTTGAAGAAGGCGTTCACCGAGGCGCCCATCCTCGCCCACTACGACGAGGAGCGCCAGGTGGTACTGGAGACGGACGCATCGTCAGGTGCAATGGGGGCGGTGATGTCGCAGGCAGGGGACGACGGGAAACTACATCCCGTGGCGTTCATGTCGAAGAGCCTTACATCGGCTCAACGAAACTACGACGTACACGATCGCGAGCTGCTCGCCATTGTGTACTGCTGCCAGATATGGCGGCATTACCTGGACGGGAAGTTCCCGGTGAGGATCCTTACGGATCACAAGAACCTGGAGTACTTCAAGAAGGACAAGATGTTGTCCCATCGACAAGCGAGGTGGTCTCAGTTACTGAACCAGATCTCGTACACATTGGAGTACAAGCCGGGGACGGAAAACGGGAAGGCTGACGCGCTCAGCAGAAGAGAGGAGTTGATGGAGGAGACGGAGCCTAAGCAGGCAGAGACCCTGTTGCGCCCCGTCAATGCAGACGCGCTGGTGGTCAGCGCAGCGACGGTACAACCCCCGTTGCGGTTGTGCGGAACGATCCCCGTCATAGGAGATTGGTTCCTGAAGGCGTTGATCCCTGCGGGACAAGAAGATCCGGTCGCGAGAGACCTAATCAAAGGCGTCAAGGAGGGAACCTTGACGAACAGTCGGTACAGCTTGAGCCCGGGAGGCGCGCTCATGTACGACGGGCTGGTGTATGTTCCCGATGCGGGAAGCTTGAAGACGGAGCTCTTGAAGAGGCTCCACGATGGGAAGACCGCCGGACACTACGGGCGGGACAAGACGGAGGACCTGGTAAGTAGAGATTTCTACTGGCCGGGCATGAAGATGTGGATTAGCCAGTACGTGGCCAGTTGCGACAAGTGCCAGAGGAATCGGAGGCCGAGGGCCAAACCAGTTGGTGAACTGGCTCCCCTGAAGGCGGAGACGGAGCCCTACCAGTCGATTACGTGGGACCATATCACGGACCTACCGGAGTCGAGGGGTTCGAACGCGATCCTGGTGATCGTCGACCGCTTCAGCAAGCGGGCACATTTTGTGCCTTGTCGGAAGGACAACGACGCCAAGGTCTTGGCGCAGATGTTCCTGCAAGAGTGGGTACGGTTGCACGGGTTCCCCCGGCAGATCATCTCGGACAGGGGAACGCTGTTCACGTCGAGGTTCTGGAGGGAGTTCTGTGAGTTGTCCGGTGTCGAACCTAGTTACTCGACCGCCTTTCATCCTCAGACGGATGGTCAGACGGAACGTAGTAATTCGACGCTCGAACAGTACCTGCGGACGTACGTCAACTACCAGCAGGACTATTGGACCGATTTGTTACCCATGGCGGAGTTCGCCTACAACAACTCGAAGCACTCGGCAATCGGCATGTCGCCGTTCATGGCATCGGAAGGGCGAGAGCACGCCGTCGAACTCCCCATGCCCATCGCCAAGGATTCGGCCGTGGAGTCGATACAGGAGTACAGGGAACGGATGAACAACATCTGGGAGTCTGTTAATGTCGCGCTGAGACAGGCCAGGGAGGATATGGCGAAGTACGCGAATCGGAAGCGTACGGCGGTACCGGATGAAGGGTACAATGTTGGCGACATGGTGATGTTGTCGTCGGCTCACGTCAATACCGTGAGGCCGAACAAGAAGTTGGAATGGAAGACCTACGGCCCGTTCAAGATCACGGAGGTCGTAGGGGAAGGTCGCATGGCGCGACGTTTGGAGTTGACACCGGGGATGCGTAGAATCCACCCGGTGTTTCATGTTTCGCTGCTCATCCCGTACAAGCCGAACGAGCTTCCTGGGAGAGCAGTAGACCCACCCCCTGAGCCAGAGGTGCTGGACACCGGAGATCTGGGGTGGGTGGTATCGGAAATCGTACACTCCAAGGAGTTGCGTTCAACGCGCGCCGGGCGTAGGACCCAGTACTACGTGCGCTTCGAGGGGTACGGGGACGAGCACAACGAGTGGGTTAGCCCATCGGATTTCCACCACGACGATGTGCTTGTGCTGGAATTCCATAAGCGACACCCTGAGCTGCCGGTGCCGGGTCGACAAGAGTACGGCAATGCTTGATGCGTTCGGAGCTCGCATCTAGGAGGGGGATCCTATTATAGGCGTCACGTGACGCGCGACCTACGGTGCGCGTCGCCTCGGGGTCTCGTTCGGAGACCCTCTCGGAGACTCTCTCGGAGACCTTTTAGGAGATGTTCTCGTAGACGTCTAACTAGTACCTTGTAGTAGTTAGACATCCGTTATTACGTTGCTATGCCTACCGTTACCTTTCCCCAGTCCCGCGACCTTATTACCTCAAGACCAGGCAGGTCGTCTGCCAGGCCTTATACAAGCTGGTTCAAGAGACGAAGGCTTTGTTGAACACCCGGTTCGAGATGAAATGGACGGATGATCCCAAAGTGCTACTTGGGATCAAGATCGAACAGGACCGGGAGAACGGTACCATCACCTTATCTCAAAAGAAGTTTGCTCGAGAGATCCTGGAACAGTTCAAGATGCTTGACTGTCACCCGGTCAAGACCCCAATAGAAGAGGTGATCAGTGCATATCCACCAGAGCAACGACCAACTCCCGACACAAGGTTCCCATTCCGGGAGTTCATTGGAAAGGCAAATTATCTGGCCCGGGGGACACGACCGGATCTCTCCTTTGCCATATCACACCTTGCATCATTCTGTTCAACCTACCAGGAGATACACTGGAAAGCTTGTGAGCCGGTGATGAAGTATCTCCAGGGAACAGTTGATGCAAGTCTGGTGTACCACCGAGATGGCAACCAGAAGATCACTGGATACTCTGATGCCGAGTATGCTGGAGACAAAGGGGATCGGAAATCCGTGGGAGCATATGTCTTCACCTTGGCCAACGGACCGGTGTCCTGGCAGAGCAAGAAACAGACCACTGTAGCCTGGTCCAGTACGGAAGCTGAGTACATTGCTCTCGGATCAGCCGGGAAGGAAGCGGTCTGGCTCTCGATCATGGATCAAGAATTGGGATTTCACAACGGTGACCCAGTAACAATTTACGAGGATAACCAGCCAGCTATCGCATTGGCTAAGAACCCAACCAACCATGCACGGACCAAGCACATTGACGTTCTGCACCATGCGCTGCGAGGTCTGATCGAAGACAAGAAGATCGAGGTCGAGTACCTGAATACCAAGAAGATGATTGCAGATCTCCTTACCAAGCCAATCACAGGGAAGCAGCTCCAGGTGTTATGCGAGGACATGAACCTGAGGATCAAGAGAGCGCCTGCTTCGGTATCGTCCATCTCTGAATAGAGAAGTCCGAGGGGAAGTGTAGAAAGTAGGCGCGCGTGTCTCTATCAACCGGCCCTGGGCAAATCATTGAGCCAGGGCCTTCGTGATGAAAACATCGGGACAACTAGATCATCATCATATATCATCTCGACTGTTAGATCTCAAGCAATATCTTGAGTTCTAACAGGTCAGTACCTTTGTATTGATCAATAGTACATGCCGTTGATAAAGCAATATCTTGAGTTCTAACAACTTCGAGGTGGTCAAAGGCTCGAACGGTCTCCCCTGAAACAGGGACGTCGCGTACCGGGTCTACCCGGCATCCGAAGCTTTCGGGTCAGTGACAATCCAGGACAGATTTCAAATGCCAGGACTCGTCAGTACCAGGCCATCTTGCGAGCAACACGATGAGACTCGCCGCTGAATGAGACTCTGAGCGTTCCCGAGAGTCAGGGTTCGAGCTAGAGGCCATACAGCTGGGGTCGGGGATTGGGCGTGTCTTGCCTCGCCTTGCTGTAGCAAGCAGGGTAGACGTCTCGAGCAAGCTGGAGCATGGGCGACGAGGATAGGATCGACGTGGATCACTCGTCCATATCTCAATGACTCGCTTCGCAAGATCGAAGACTTTCACAAAGGATGATATCAAACTCCTACAATCGTAGGAGTAAACTCGCCATTGTACCTATTCACTGTATATCCTATGTTGGCCGAACAGCGATCTCGCCTTCAGTAGTCGGGGTCCGTAACGTGAATAAACGGCCCAAAGAGAATTTGCGGCTGTTTTGTTTCGAGTGGGTCGTTTCATTTGCACATCGAGTGGGTGAACCAAATATCATTTGGTTCAGGGTCACATCTTCTTTGAGGCGATATCAGAATGTCTTTACATCTCGCCATCCACTTGACAGCGTAAACGTAAATATGTATATCCCGCAGGCACGCTGTACATCTCGCCTAACAACAACAGCACCCAGACGTAACACCTCACTAAATCCTCTTGATCGATTGCAGCTCACGAGCCAACTTGACGACGAGTCCCGCGGCCTCTACAGCCTTTTTCGCCTGTTCCGGATCATCAAGCGCGGGCAGATTGTCCAGACCACGTTCAACGAGACCTGTCATGGTGATGATAGCCATCTTTAGACGGTTTGCTCGAGTAGGCAAGTGTTCAACATTCTTACCGCAATGACACGTACTTTGAGCGGCCAAGACCAGTCGCTTGCTCAATTCTGCGCCACCCGTCAGCTGTTCCCCAGGCCGATGATGAGGAACAAAGTTGCCGACCTTGTCCGCCCGTAGAGCCTGACCCATGACCCGGAGAACCTTGATCTTGATCTCGAGATTGTTTCCCGAGCTATTCTTGTAGGCCCGATACGCGACATAAAAGTCACTGACCAAGAGCAATGGAGCCGATTTTGTAGAAAAGACGTCGAGCTGTCCATTAGGACCGGCCATCCTGCCCGACTTTGATGCGATCCCCAGGGCGGGTCCTGATGAGGCGTCCTCGTGCTCTGTTGCAAGAACGACCCTGCTCAATTCGTCCATGGAGCGCTTCACCAACTGCAACTCGGTCTGCGCAGTCGTGCGCTCTTCGCGGATACGTCTGATATTTCTTTTCGCATCCTCGATGCGTATATTTGCGGCTTCGTTCTCCGACTTGGCCGTCTCTAGTTTCGCTCGTAGGGCTTTCATTTCTTCCGTACTGGATTTGGCGGCCGCTTGTAAACTCTGGAGCTCCTTGCTCTTCGATTTGGCGGCTTCTTCGTGGTTTCTGAGCGCGTTTTGCGACGTCTCGAGCTCGTTCTCCAGGGAGGTCACCTTTGTCTGCGACGTTTTGAGCTCGTTCTCCAGGGAGTCTACCTTATTCTGTGACGTCTCGAGCTTGTTCTGTAGGGATACGACTTTCGTTTGCGAATTCTTGAGGTCTCGGATTCGCCCGGTCTGCGACCCCGCAACTTTTCCACTGAGCGTCTTGATCCTCTTTTTGAGCGCCCCCATACTCTGGTCCTTCCGACGCAAACTGGTGGTGGCATCATCAGAAGCGGCCTTGAGCGCCTTGGTGGCAGCCTCCTTTGCTTCCTCTGCCTTGTTGGCGACTTTCTTGGCCTCGTTCGCCGCCTCCACAGCAGCGTTGAGCTGGACGACAGCGTTTGATCTTGCGGCCTCTAAAGCAGCCTCGCGCTCGGCGGCCTCCAAGAGTTTCTTGTTGGCAGAATCCAGCGCCGTTTTAAGCTCCGTCTTCTTCTCGTTGGCAAGATCCAGCGCAGTTTCGAGCTGAGTCTTTTCCTGTTCGAGCGACGTGATGCCCTCGTCATCGGCCAGTCCGATTTGTTCGAGCTCGGCTACTTTTGCCTTCAGCTCATTCACCGAAATGACCCCGTCTCTCACCATTTGCAAGCTGGCTTGCCATTGACGCTGCTTCTCATCGAGCTGTCGGAAGGATCTACGAGCCGAGTCGCGCTCATTCTCGATCTCCTTGACCCGGGCGGCATGCGCCACCTCGGCAGCCTTCTTTGCGCTCCTCTCATTCTCTAGTAGCTTTTCCGCAATCTTCTGCTTCTCCTCAGCCGCCTGCTTCCCATCTCGTACCGTCTGCAACTCTTTTTTGAGATCAGAGATCTCGTCTTGCAGCCCGTGCAGGCCCGGCATGTATTGCCTGCTACCGCTGCTACCGCTCCTGCTTGGTGTATCCGATGGACGAGAGATCGAGCACGACTGCGGGGTACGTGCTTGAAGGGACGACGACGGAGAGGGAGACATCCAGTAGTTGGAGCTCTCGAACCCCCCCATGGAGGCCCGGTAGAGCTCATGGTATCCCAGAAAGGGATCTTCACAGGTCTTGTTCTGTACGTAAAAGTGGCTCTGATAATACTTTTTCCTGGTCCGGGCCTCGTCTGCTTGTATAAGTACTCCAGGTACAGCCACGACATTCCCGAGAGTCAAGAGCTCCTTCTGTACAGGTGGACGTGAGCAAACACACCTTGTAAGCTACTGGTCAGGCTTGCTCGAGTAGCCGTGCCCACCTGTACGTCTTTGATCTGAATCTGTTTATCGAGAGAGTCGTCCTCTGAATGCCATCGCTTCCGTACGGCGATCTCGATGGGCGGTGGCATCCAGTCTGCGTTATGACGTAGTACACTGCAGCAGTCGGATCGATTATGGGGATCCGGCCAGACGAGGTAAAGGCAAGACTAACCGCTCTCCTTCTGGATGCCTCTGCCCGCATTCAGTGCAATCTGGAACATCATTTCCACTCAACCTTTCCATCTCTGGGGCCATGCTACCTGGACGAAATGGCGGCCTCTTTTTCCTCAACCCATAGTCTACCAACTTGTCAAAAAGGGTCTGGTCCTGCTGGGGATCATCAACCACCGCCTGGACTCGAGCTACATCAACAGCGAGGTGTGTCGCCGCCCTTGCGACCCAGTCGGCGAAATCCTGGCGGTATCGAAGCTGACCAGGTTCGGTAGCGATCCAGATTGGTCGAGTAGGTGCTAGTGACGGCATGATAGGCGGCTCGAGATGATCGTTGATGAGTTGACCCAAAGGGAGACGATGGTGAAGTAGACAGAAGTCGATAGAGTGAGTATATGTGATGGAGACTGATGCTTCTCGATGATCGACGCGGCGACGATCATCTCAAAGGGACGATGGCGCGATAGAGCGCTTTTGTTTGGGCGTCTTGAAAAACAGACTGCGTCAATTATCGAATGAGCCCGATCAATCGTCATGTTTACAAAAGCCGAAGCGGCAGCGACATGGACATGGACATGGACGTAGATAGGTATCGATTAGAACGTAGGGTACACGCCACAAAGCGCGTAAGCACAAAAAGCCCAAACAGTTGGCGGAAGCTTAATGCCGTCTGTTTCAAAGCGGGTCAAACTCGACGATCACCATCTCCCTCCTCAATCGACATCTTCGCTCTCTCCCTGACCCTCAATCATCTTCACCACCAAATCCGCCAACCCCTTCAGGTCCGCTTCCTCCTTATACGCCTCGTACCTCTGAAGGAAACCCTGGAAGACGGCATCCCTTCGGTCACTCTTCGGCTCGTTCTTGAGCGAGAGGACCATGGCACAGTAGAGAGCCTTGACGACCGATGAGTCGGGGGTATCGCCGATGACGATACCGAGCTTCTGATCGATCCAGTCGGAATGCAAGATGTGCCTTACGTGCATGACGGTCGGTTCGATCGAATATGCAGTCCATCGACAATGAGGGCGAAAGAGGCTGAGAGCGCGAATGCCGGTTGATGAGCGATTGTTTCTGGACGCAAGACTCGGTCGTTGTCTCTGCGCACAACCTTTCGACTCACATCTTGTCACCCGGTCCCGTAAACACGACCTCGTCCATTGCCCCTTCCGCATGGACCACCCACAGCTTGCTCCCCGTCTCGATCTCGACCTCCATTACCGCTCCTTGGCCGATGGTGGTACCGGGACCGGACCACGTGCCAGCTATCGTGTAAGCGGCAGTGTCATCAGTAGGAGGCTTGGTCGAAGGTGCAAGCTTGAGAATCAACCCACCCGTAGAAACCACTCGCTGCGCAAAGAATACATCAAACAGGTCGTCCATTTGTCCAAGCAAGGAGCTATCGGCAAGATCTTCCACCGCTCCGTGAGCCTTGAGCAGCATGCTGTTCCATGCGTCGGTCCTATCATCAGCCTCGCTCTGGTGTCCCCAGGTTTCCAGGGCTGCGTGTTGATCAGGTCCAGATGTCGCTTGCTTCTCAAAGATTTTACCAGTGACATTGTCCCCTTCCTGCACGGAAATACCGGATAACCTGAAGAATTTGGGAAGCTTTTTCCTGACCATCTGGAGGAATCTGTCGTTGGCTGAGATGGAGTCGGGAAAGGAAGGAGGCTTTCGTTCAAGGATAGCATAGGTAGTACGGTCTTGGTATATTGATCTGCGAGATCGAGATTACGTACTCATTATCTGTTAGCGATCGATCCAGGACCCCACAAGTGAGGGATGGGGGCAACATACTTGTAGATGTACTCCCACGACTCGTCATCTTTCTTGAGCCTCATCCGACCGTCACCCATTCGACCATCCGCCCCGACGCACCCCGCGTTCCTGATGATTTCCTGGAGATCTCGACTAGTCGCGTTCATTCCGGGAATATCTTCCGGCGGAATAAAGTAGCCACCTTTGTGATGGTCTCCTTCGCAATTGCTACCAAAGAAGGGTATGATACGTCCTCGCATCAACGGAGGAGGTCGAGCCGTAGGGGCCTTGGCGAAGAGGTGATGACTAGGCTGGAATTCTGCGGGTGACGAGGGATCATCTTGAACCCGTTTCATGGCCGCCCGCTGACGTCTCGCCGCGGCGTGCTCGTTGGCCTGTTTGATGTGGAAGCGGCAAAGCTATGGATAAAGAGAGTAAGCTGATGAACGGTAGGATCACAGCCACCGAAAACAGATGCCAGCTTACCTGGTCTGTATCCGGGTTGTCCCGCTTCCTAAGCGCTGCATTCTCCACAGGTCCTTCTTGATTGACGACGTCTCTGCACCGCTTGCTCGACTCGGTAATCTTTGAGCAACAATGTTCCTGGCAGAGGTAGTAACTTGGGACGCGGGAAGGGGTCAATACCGGGGACGGTGCCGCTTGAAATGATCACGAGCTTGAAATGATCACGACTCACCTTGCCATTCCTCGCACCGGTTCACCCAATACTCTTCCTCCAGGTGCTGGTCCAAGCTTCTCCAAACCGTCTTCTGGGCAGACTGCACATTTCTTACTATCACCGGGTGTCGGCTGTGCGCCTGGTGCGGGGGGTCTATCGTCCGGTGTTGGCTGTCCGGTCGGAGCAGTCGGTTCCTCTTCTGCCGTCATAACGATACCAGTCCGAGTGTGTTTATTCGAGTGGCAGTATCGAGTCGAATGTGGTCACCGTTGAAAAGAGCAAGTCGGATGATTCGGATTGATGTCTGTTCGTCTTTGCTGTGCAAATCCCCCCGCGCGCTCCAGATGCGCTTCTTCTTGGTACCACCCTCGTCGCAGATAGCTAAACTCCGATCCTAAATGGTCACATCTATCTACCGTACAACACGACTCGGCTGTTTGTACGACGAAAACGGTCACAATCGATAACAAGGCCTACATTTGTGACACGCGAAACTCTAAACCCCTGCGTTCAATCCGCCGCGTCAAGACTAGTGCGCATCGCCCTCAGCGATAACACGCCCCGTGACGGTCGTCCTCTCGTCCTAGTCATCCTCTGCGTCCGAATCGTGTACCAACTTGCCCCGCTTGTGCTTTCGCTTGGATTGCTGCTGCGCAAGGGAAGGTGAATCGATCGACATTTCTGTACCGATTCGGGCCTGCTCGTCGAGGCGCGTCCCAAACGCCGGGTTCTGATCCCGTGCGCCCGTGGTGGCCTCGTTGTTGTTGTCGTCGTCGTCATCGATGGTGGCAAAGTCGTCCAGTATATCGAACAAATCATGCTCGGAAGGTGCCACCGGAATGGACTTGCCGAATCGGACGTCGGGCAACCACGTCTTGAGGTCTCGGTGACACTCGGCGATGTGGGGCGTGTCCAGGCGAAACATGCCGACCTCGGTCATCTTGCCAGTTGTCGGCTCGGCGCGATAGATGATGAGGGCAAGGCATGGCGGCACGTCGGCGAGGAGGGATTGTACCGAAACATGGTGGATGTCGCCAAGATCGATGTACCAGTCGATATTGTCGTCGTCATCGTCGTCATCGTCGTCATCGTCGCCTCTCTCGTGTCTGTCGTACTGGAGGCGACCGAGGTCCTTCTCTACGACCAGCATCCCGCCGCCGTTCTCTGGTAGGACCCTCCAACTCTGCCAGAAACGGCCTCGCATGTTGAAACCGCCCGAGGCTGGATTGAGCCATCTGGCAATTTTGCGAGCGATGTGCCACTGCAACCCTTGCATCGCTCGAACGGCCATTGTGGGTACGTCGCTGTTGGCCAACTCTGGGGGAGGAGGCGGAGGCGACATGAAGTCCACGAGCTGCATCGCGATGTCCTGAACAATCGAGACCCACGGCAGGGTCCCCAGCGCGACGAGGATTGGCAGGATGCACTCGGCCGAGACGACCTCTTCGACGGCTCGTTCGCTGTGGGCCTGCCGTATACGGGCGATTCCTGCGGTAATGGCCGCGAGTGTTCGATCCTCGGGGTGGATCCAACTCCTGTGCCAGCCGCGATACGAGGTCCACAACGTTCAATCTGGGGTCTGCCATGGCCTGAGAGATGTCTTCTCGGGGCCAGGTGTAGCCACTGGACCCCGGGGCCAGGATCGGTGGCGGCATCGGGGGCGAAGGCAGTGCACGGAGAGACAATACCGGAGCGCCGAGCAGGCTTCCCCGGGCTTGCCTCACAAGAGCCAGCTTTTCTGGATATCGGCCTGATTCAAAGACAGCTTCTGTACATCGAGGTTCGCGCGTAGACGGAACACCTTGTCAGCGATTTGCCAAGCCGCGCGTTCCGTTCGAGCGCAGACGTACCTGTACCAGGGTAAGGATGGGCCAAAACATCCAGACGAGTCACCACGGGTGCCTGGGACGATTGTGCCTGGGGAGAATCTCCCGTGAACGAGGATGTCTCCTCGATTTCGTCCAGATGCGCTTCGATCATCCGGAAGTGGTTGAACATCCGGATGATTTGGTGATCCATGAAAACGGTCCAAAAGACCCCCTTCGACAATATGCGATGGACGCACAATCCGCAGGGTAATTGAGCCCCCAGATCATGGAATTTTCCGACGGCATCCCTGCCATATGTCCTCGCCATCACGGGTACGACGTGGCTCGTCTGGGTCATCTCGATATCCTCATCCTCGCGTACGTCGACGAGCTGTTGGATGGGGTGGACGACTTGCGCCTGCGAATACGCGTAGATTCGATCGAGGGGTTGTCCCGACGGTACTCTGGCCATCGTGACATATCCGTATTGCCCACGCAAACCGACCAGTCGGCCTGGACTCTCGAGCGAATCCCAGTCCATGTGAGCCGTTTGGGGGAGCCGATCGACGATAGGCCAGGGCTGCCATTCGTAATTTTCTCGACTATTGTCCACGTCGAGCACGCTGTCCAGGCATTCTTGAGCTATCTTGCACCCAAGATCGATCGTCGCTTGATCGAGTGTAAAGGTCTGGGGCCCGGGGTCGAGCGTAAACGTCCGGGGTGGTGGGGGAGCGTGAAAAAACTTGTTCAACTTGAGCTGCGATAGGTAATTTTGTTCTTCTTTTATTAGCACGTGCCACCTAGCTGCAAGACTTTTCTCTTTGCTTGCCTGGGGATTGATCGAGGCTGCCTTCTCGTTGTTTTTGTTCCCCAGCGACTTGTTGACCGACATCGCTATGCGAATCACTGCGGCAATTTTTGCCACCATGTCCCATCCCGGCCCTGACCTGGTATGTCGTGCATCGACAACAAATTAGCCTCCCGATATCGTACTCTGTCCACCACGACGCACCTATCCTCGCCATGTTTCCGTACCCACGTGTCGGTTCGCTTGGCACCCGCTGACATGTCTTCCCAAAAATGAATGGCAACGTCGGTACCATATGCCAGAGGTAATCCATGATCGTCGAGAGAGACGATTTCGACAGACCAGGCGTTTGGGCGACCTCGAGTGGAACCGACGAACCCGATATCGGCCGAGGTCCGGTCATGATCTTGCTCGTTGTATCGGGCCGCATCGCCATGATTGCCTCGCCTGCAGAGTACGCGCTGGATGGCATTGGCCCACCAGGATGAGGTACCCATGTCCAATATGGCGCTACCCTTTCTGAGCATGGGGAGACGTTTGACTCTGACCGCGGTATAGTCGCCGTTTCTGTCGAGCCCGAAATGTTGGAGAACGCGGAGGGCTACGCTGGGGACAAAATGCGGGAGGTTGTCCAGGTCGTCGGGAAGACCATACCGAGCGAGGGTTTCCGGTAGCTTGGGAATGTCCTTGAACCGGCCGATCATGTCGAGAAAGTTTTGGATAGCCTGGACGTCCAATGGCAAGCCCTCGGTGGCGTTCTTGATCTTTTCCGCCTGATCCGGATCAGCGTTGGGTTGCCACTATGCCGCAGAATCAAAGACTTTAGCCTTCAAATCCCCCCACGAATTCTCTCGGATACACATCGAAACTAACCTTTTCATATAGTGCGAGACGCCGATTGCATTCGACGAATTGAACGTTGGACCCCGTAGGAGGTTCGAGCCAGATACCGTTGGTATTGGCGTCCTTGAGGCCTACCCAGTACGGGAACGATCCTGGTGGAGTGAATAGCAAAGAGCCAAGCGGGTTCAGCCCAACCGTCCGAAGCTACCAAACAAAGGGGGACGCCCACTCACGACCATTCGCCGACGTCGGGGCGGCGCCATTAAAGAGGATGTAGAACGTCTCGACCAAGTGAAACCAATTCGTGCTGACATCCTCGAGGTGAGTGAGTTTCCCTCCTGGGTTCTGGTACCAGAGTTTCTGGAGCTGTTCGCCTGCCTCGGAGACGCCGCCGCAGAGAGAGGTAAAGTGTTCCTCCCGGGTCTCGCTGTAGACCACCCACCAGGCCGAAGATTCTAGCGTCCACCCGTCAAAGTCGTTGAGACCGTCACTGTCGGCCAACGAGACGGGCCAAGCCATACCGTGCCTATAGCAACCGGCTCTAAGCTTGAAGAATCTGTCCTTGTCCTCTTGCTTTGCGGTGCCGTTGATGACCTTGGTCCAGGCCTGATCCACCTTGTCGTAATCCGACACTCGTTTGGAGACTCCGAAGGGTATCTTTTGGTTAGGGTCCAGCAGTGTCTCTTGAGCCGATCCGACATAGGTCGCTGTCTTTCGCTTCTTGCCTTTATTAGTTGGCGTCAAGACACGTCCCACAACGCATTCATCAGCGCCGCTGCCTCTCACATCAGCACCGAGACGGATCACGGCTTACCTTTCGTTAGCGTAAAGGCATGGCAGTAGATACCAGCTCGGTCCCCGAGAGTAAACGGATCTATTATATCGAGACGTCAACACGGATAGACCCGCCGTTCTCCTTTCGAGCGTGAACATACCTGTAGCCCCAAGGTCATTCGCCTGATCTTGAGTGACCTTTCCGGTTGCAATGAGAAGAGCCATGATCTTTTTGCTGACCTGCCACTCTGGGTTCTTCTCCAGATGTGGAACTAAAGAGAGACTGCTCCACAACTTGAGAATGGCGATGATGATGGGGGAGCCAAAGGTCTAGTAGACGTTAAACAAAATGGGTCGAGATCAGCATGACGTGCCGAGTGAGAGAGGGAGAGGGAGAGAGAGAGGGAAAGAATTGTCGAGTCAAAACGACTTGCTTTTTGACAGCCATCTCTCATCGCTCTGATGATGGCCACCTGTCGATCCTTGCCACAGATTCGATCGAAGACATCTAAAACAGACCAGGAGCGGACAAGATGACGTCAAAATCGACCCAAAGGACCCTCTACTCTCGCTCGCACCGTCGAACCGAACGGGAGGAGGATGGGAGGTAGAGAATGGAGATACTTACGCTGGTACTTTTGGGGGAGCGGTTGACCATCCTTGGGCTGCCTCCTTCTCGTATTTCGGCCTGCATTCACAATCGAACCGACAGTCCGAGAGGGTCCAGCGATAGCAGCTGAAAAGCAGAGCACACGAGGCCAAAACAAGGTGTAAGTGGACGGGTCAGGGCGGACGGGGATCTAACCAACCTGCTGCATTGGCTGTGGCTCCCCTTGCCGAACCTCCGAATCCTGGTAATGCGAACGAGGTGACGAGGCCTAATGGACGAGACGTATTGACTCGTTGGAAAGGGAGAGCTACGAAGAAGCAGAAAGGACGTCGAAAAAAATGTAACAGGAAGAAGCAGAAAGGACGTCGGTTGATGCCCTCGTGCGTGGACAGGGCTCCGAGCTGAACTGACAAGGTTGGATAGAGCGAGACATGCTGATTCTTTTCCGGTGTGTCGATGTTACAAAGTGAAGATGTGTCGATGGTACAAAGTGAAGATGTGTCGATGATACAAATGATCGAAATGAAAGAGGAGGAGAATATACGAGAACAGACGCGACACGCGATCACTTTTCCTTCCCCTCCTGTCGCTTTTTTCGCTGCTCCTTCTCTCGGTTGCGTGCCAACTGGGTCATCGGTACAGTCCACTTGTACTCCTCTTTACAGGGCTCAGTGGAGATCTGGAGGGGTTTGATTTTCTATTATGTATAGGACAAGAATCAATATCACACGCCATAATTGTTTTGTTTTTCCACTGACCTTGAACCCCGGGCTGTCATCCACATCAAGCGTTTCGTTGCTGCTTGTCGCTTCGACTGAGATCTTTCGCTTTTTCCCTTTATCGTTAATCTTGGGATTTGGGGTAACGGGGGTGGTGGTGGCAGATGCGGAAGAAGAGGTTGGGGAGGACCCTGACAGGCCGATCTTGTCGGACGACGATGACGGTGACGATGACGATCCCGAGGGTTTGGACGACCCCGCGGATTTGGCCGACGCCGAGGTTTTGTCGGACGACATTGTGGGTGGAGAGTTTTCTAAGGTTGCAGGTGAAGGTGGTGTTTGATGGTAGAGTTGGCACGGAATCGTTGGCAAAGTCTGACGACATGGACATGTTGCATGTGGACATTTGATCGAGGCCTCGAGGTCACCCCTCGAGGTTGTCTGTTTACACCTCGCGCGATCGCGCGCGATCAAGGGGTAACTTGAAACGCGGAATTCGTACCCAGGATGGATGGATGGATGGATGGGATCAGCTGCATCAGCTGGGAACGGGACGACCCGACAGTCAGGGAGCCCACGACAAGCAGATTTTTATCAGAAAGATGATCCGATCAATCTCAAACTCACTGAAACGGGGGTAATGACGAGTTTGATGAATCGTTTCGGGGTCGCAGGATCGTTCCCGCGTCCCCCTCGCGCCGTACGATGACCGAAGTGATATGATGTCGGATGCTTTTCCGCGCGAGAGAGAGAGAACAAAAGACGAACGCCGGCGCCATCATTCTGATCAGTGTGACCACTGGTGACCTCTGGCCTCTCGCCTCTCGCCTGTCGACTCGTATTCAACTGATCACAGTAGACTCATTCAAGTATACAAGTATGACTGGCGACCAAACCTCGACGGCTACCTACCTCAACCTCTAGCCTCCGGCTCCCATTTCACGCCTCCCGATAATTGACGATCCCCAACATCATCAGCACACACGCCATGTCCATTCTCACCTTACTTGGCATCGGGAAACTCCCCACCGCGAGGCTTCAGGATCCCTTTGGGTCCAAGGGGGCTGAATGGCTGAAGGAGTACATGCTGGAGATGGTGATCAAACCGCAGGCCGGCTATCAGTCAAGATGGTCGGAGAAGCAAGATAACGAGGACGGAGACTGGGACACCCGTTATGGAAAGGCTTGCGAGATCCTTCGCAGCCGGGAAAGTGTCGTATGGTTTGGGGACGCTCGGTGTACCGAATGTGTTGGGGACGAGGACCGGGGGGAACTCCCTTGTGTTCAAATACCGGGTGACAAGAAGTGTGCCGTTTCACTTTTTGGGTACGCTTGGATCAGACATGGCTACGGCGTGGGTCACTCTGAAAAGGATAGCTATTCGTTTCGTGAAGAGTGCAACGACCCTCTGCCTGAAAAAACCCGAAGTGAAGCGCCTCGAATCTCGCTGCCCGAATTGGATTTCCAACTCAGAGAAGAAATCCGCCAGTCAGTCGACAAGGCATGGGCCTACATCTCGTCGGCTTTAGTGGAGGAGGGGATGTACAAGGACGGCCTTCAGGGGCCTTGGGGCATGTACTACCCACAGAGAGCGCTGGACTACTTCGGACCGCGACTGGACGCTATATGCACCTGGATCCCTCGGTATGCGAAAGACACCCGGGGGTTCCAGACAGGCGGAGCCTTCAGCCAGGATTATACTGACTTCATTCAGGGAATCCGCCGCATCTCATATGCAGGCAGATGTCTCACCGAGATAATGGAAAATCATTGGAAGTTTAGGGCTATCAAAGCGAAGGAAGCCGAGGCGTCGAGCAGACCTCCTAGTAAGAGACCGCTTGCTCAGCGTTTGGCCGACAAGGTTGAGGAGCTCGACGCGCTTCAAAAGACGAACGAAGCATTGCATGAGACGGTCGCCAGCCAGGCCAAAAAGATCCAGGAGCATCAGAAGGCCAATGACGAGCTCACGGCGGCGCGGGACAGCCAGGCCGAGGAGCTTCGGACCATTCGTCAAGAGATGGCCTCTCAGACTGAGCAGCTTCGCCAAGCTCGGGAGGAGATGGATAGCCAGGCCGAGGCACTTCGCCTAGCTAGAGATGCTTCAAGTCTTTACGAAGCGCGCAAGAGGTTAGCGAAACAGGACGAGAGGTTAGCCAAGCAGAGCAGGATCCTCGAGCATTTCCACAAGACGTTGGTGGAGCACGCAGAGGACGAAGGGGCCGATTCTGATCCGGATGAGATGGACGATGCTACGATCGAGCAACAGGGGATGATGACTAGGGCTAGCAAGCGGCAGAGAGTCCAGTGAAAGGACGGCGATGCAGCTCTGCGTGGAGCGGGGAAGCGTAGACTGAAGGCGGCTCTCAGCCCGGGTCTAGTCGGGCCCAGGCAGCTACGAGGCGACGAGAAGGAGGTGGGGAGCGGACCGGACGAGAGGCTGGACGACCCGAACGAGGATATGCAAGTCGAGCCGGACGAGGAAGGGGATAATGCTAGAGCGGGAAAACGGCAGAGGACGGACTGATGATCGCTGTTTATGAATCTCGACTCTTGCTACTACAACCTTGTACCCCCTAATACCAGCGCGCGCAATTGACCCGGTTTTCTCTGCTGACCACCGGCTGATGCGGGATATTGCCTCGGAGCGTCACCGCGACTCGGCGTCGTCTCCTCCTCGAGATCAAACATGTTTCTCCCACGTTGCGCAGAACCAGACGACGACATCGAAGGCCGCGCTCGATGACGAGAGGCTGCTCCGCCAACATACCGCCAGGCTTCGACTTGCGGAGAGAGGGTATGGTCTTGGTCTTCTGAATCGGAAGACGCCGACGGCGATATACCGAGATTCCACTCGGTCGATGACATCGATGTACCTCTCGAGCCAGCACCGCCAGGTCGCGCCGTCCTCATCCTGCCATGTCTGACTGGCGTGATCATTTCGTTGTTCACGCCGATATCGCCGTCCTCGTCATGGTCAGCCTCCGTAAAGAACTGATTCAGCTCATGCAGCGTTCCAACCAAGTCGCCCAGCGTGTCGTCTTTGGGGAGGGACCCGTTTGCAAATGTGCGCTCTGGCTCTGGCACTTTATTGATCGTCCGTACCCTCATTGTTGCGTCCTGCGTGTCTGGTGTCGTACGGCTTGCGTTGAGCTCGATGTCGATTGATGCCACCCGCCGTTGAGCATATCCGTCCAAGACTCCCGAGGCTGCTTCCGAGAGCGATAGCAGCCCGGCCAGAGCTTCGCCTTCGGTTCCACATGCGACACGTTTGATGACCGAGAACAGGTCATCCACCGGCGTATTCGACCTCGCTTGGCGTCGGGCGCATCCCTGGACTATACGTAACATTCCAGCAAGTGCAGCAGCGTGGCAGGCTCGGTGCTGGATAGGTCATGCTCATCAGCGATCAGTGTTTCATGGTTGGAAAGCCTGGACTACTGCCTCACCTGTGGACTTTTCAGCATACCTGCCGCTTGATCCAGCCGGAACTGCCATGCTCGCTCGTGTTCATCACTTGGTGCTAGATTCAGGCATGTCACTGAGAGCGGGAATGCTAGTGACCAAAGTCCTGGCTCGGTCGAGAGTCTGTCCGCCTGGCTCGATATGGTGGAGATGGCCTGTTCAAAGGGTTCTATAGTAACGACAGGTAACTGCCGCCCAAGCCGTCTCAGTTAGTAAGGAAGGAGCGGAAAGCTCGCAATCGAAATGACTGACCTTTTCTAGCCGTTTCAGGAAAGGAAGCAACTCCAACGCAAAGGCTTCTCGGATGCCAGACGAGCCAGACTGTGAGAATAGCATACCCAGCGTCCCTAGCGTACTTGGAGAATTCAGCACGACCTATCTCCATAGTGAGGGATCAGTTCTGCTGCGAGTGAAAAACGATGCTATATACTCACCGAATCTGGCAATGACAGCAAGCCTCTGAGCAGGTGCCGTACCGTCGATCGTCCGTCCGTTTCCTCTGGAGCTGCCTGGGAGTCCAGAAGGGCAGCCAGCCGTGTGAGGAAACGTTCGACGATCGGATTCGGTCTGCAGTGGCATGGAAACCATCAGTACAAGTGGAACGTGCATGTCGTGGGACCACTCACGAACGAGCTGACATGGCGCTGAGCAGCTCCAGCGTCATGTCGGTAGCCATTCTATGATCGAGCGGGGTAGCACTCTGGAGTCTATAGTCCAACATCATCAGCTATCGATCGATTTTCAGAAGCTGCGTGTGAGCACTCACGACGATTCCTGTGCCGTATACGCCTCAAAGACGCCCTGCTCCATCTCTACAAACAAGGTTGGTTCCAGCTGATTGTTCTGGCGGATGCTCTCTAAGAATGTCCGATGCACGATGTATTGAGCCGTCGACTACACGATTAAACTCTCACAGTCAGCCTCGAAATGTTCAACTCGACCGGGTTTTCCGCACCATCACTCACCCTTCGCCTTTCATCGAGTATCGCCTCGATCTCCCGCATCCGAGGGTCTTTCACCATGTCTTCTTGCTCTTCCAGCTGCACCGACCCACCCTGACTCTTTCCCCACCCCGAAACGAATTCAATGACCTCCCGCGGATAATCCTTCGACACACCCGCAACCGACCTGAGCAGGTCGTCGTACCCAGTGTCTTTACCTGGAGCTACGAACCCCAAACCCGGCTCTGCGTTGAACAGCGGTTGCCCCACGACGTGGTCCAGCTTGTCCGCAGAACGGGACACGAACCGCCGGAAGAGCTCGTGCATGACGATCTCACCTGGACTTCGAGGCTCGGGAATCACGAAACTCTCTGCACCGGGTTGTTGATGTACGAGATTATGAAGATCGGCCTGCCGCGGGTGATGATGCGGCTGCAGGCTATGATCGCTGGACGAGTACCCGTGAGAAGCTCTTTTCGAAGGATAGAGCGGGGCTGAACCGGGAGGTCTCGTCATGGTTGATTCCTCCTCGACGTCTTCCCGAACCCGGGACACTCCGCTGGAGTTGTACCGCGACCCCACAGACCCGGAACCGATCGAACTCGCAGTCGTGATCGATGCCTGTGCACGATGGTGATTGCGCTGTTGCTGATGTTGTTGGACTGGTTGCCGATTTGACGCGTTAGACATTCCGAGCTTTCTAGACGACGTTGCCGGCTGATATTGGGTCTGCGCCGACGGCCTATCCTTGACCCTATACATCTTCCCGCCCATCGAAGTCTTTCCGCTCTGAGGTCCGAGCGAGCCTCCCGCTCCCGCAGCCGACGTAGACGCTGAGCCCGTCCGCTCGACAGACCGCAGCGATATCCCACTCGGGTGGACCCCCGCCGACGCAGGTGCAGTACCTGGCAAGGCGTTCGAGCTGAAACTCCGACTGAACGGGTTCCTCAATGCAGGATACGTGTTCCCAACAGGTGTCTGCGCGGACGTCGGGGTAGACGGACCGGATCCGTTGCCATTCATATGGCCATTCCCGTGGTAGTTATTACTGTTATGAGCGCCTGGACTTGAGATCCCCGATCCGGTTCCAACTCCCGCTCCACTCGATGACGACGGAGCTGCCGCCGAACTCTTGCCTGAAGTAGCCGCCTTGAAAGCGTTCTTCAGGTTGGCGAAACTCCCCTTTTTCGTAGGCATGCTCGGGCGTTCCGAGTGATGAAATGCCGGGTTGGGCGGGGAGGTGATCGACGTCGAGCTCTCCCCCGCGGCGGGCAGATTCGCGAACCCCGCATAACCCGTGGATGGGTTGATCGAAGCGGACAGAGATGTTGGCATAGAGAAGAAGCTCGTGCTAGAGGATGATCCTGGAACAGCTGAGATTGGGGAAGGATCGGCGTGATTACGGGTAATGTGCGAGTTGAGGTTGGGCTGAGTGGATGATGCCGATCGTTGTTTAAACGTCGGTCTCGATGGTGTTTGCTGCTGGTTCGTCGAGTAGTTATCCGAAACCTTTGTATAATGTGCTCCCGAGGCAGACGAACCGGCGATCATGCCTGCCTGGTGCGGGTGGGAATGAGGAAAAGCGAAAGGCGACCTGGAAGACGATTCTGACGAATCGGCTCGAGGTTTCTTTTTTCTCGTAAACGGACTCGCGCTACGCTTGCTGTAGCTTCCCGAAGCCCCTCCTGGCGAGCCAGAGCTCGAATCGAACGAGTTGGAGGACGAATGAGTCGATGGAAAGACGGGAAGGGGGAGGTCTTCATCGTCGTCAAAGTCTATCACGGTCAGAAGAGGACGTCGTGGAAGAGGTCGGTCTCGGTGCGTATAACTCGGTGCTCAGCGTGCTCACTTGGGATATGTATCTCTGTCATCGTTCTCTTTTCATTCTATATGCGTCCGTCCTGGACTGGATGACTTGCGATGGCACTCTGATATACCTCATCAAGATGATTGATCTAGAGTAGTACAACTCGCTCGATATCGCTCTCATCCGAAGTGGAGGTCGAGAGCCATTGACGCGCAGGGTCCGGTTAGAAGCGCGTCGACCTCTAAGCGCATTAACCCACGACCCAAGTTAGTGTATCATCATCAATCAACCTTTGCTAACTAGCAGTTCGTCAATAGCAATCACAGAGCTCAATCAACAACAGACACCACGATAGACAAACAGCCAGGACACACTCACGATGGCCGGACAAATGTATCAACGGGATCCTCGAGCAGTCAGTCTCGCCGTCGACCTCGCGCGCACGAGAGAGTTGTCGAGTTCGGCAAGCTGATCGTCGTGGAATGTATCGTCTGTTTGGCTTGCTCTTATCTTTCACAGGGCTTGTTTTTGGGTGGAAGCAGGATCAGTGGAGCTGAGATTCGGGATCAGAATGGTAAGCCCATCGAAGCTGGATGATCAGGGTCGTCTGCGCTCGAGCTGATTTCGCGTTCGTCATCAGTTATCGCTTGTCAGACGGTATCAAACATTTTGAAGTCGTCGCTCGGACCCGTCGGGTGAATACCTGCAACGGCTCGTCAACTTGGGTATCGCGTAAGATGGCTGATGATATTGTCGGTACTTGCAGTCTGGACAAGATGCTGGTGGACAACATCGGAGACGTGACGATTACGAACGATGGAGCTACGATTCTTTCCCTCTTGGATGTTCAGCATCCTGCTGTGAGCCTCGTCATCATCGTGCATTGCAACTGTCGATTATCTTACTAACAAGGAACTCCCACTCTTCCGCGATGGCAGGCCCGAATCCTCGTCTCCCTAGCCGCTCAGCAAGACAAAGAGATCGGCGACGGGACCACCTCGGTCGTCCTCATCGCCTCTGCCCTGCTGCAGCGTGCCAACGAACTCATCCGGAACAAAATTCACCCCACGACGGTCATCACCGGATATCGACTTGCCTGTAAAGAAGCTTGTCGGTTCATGGTAGAGCAGTTGAGCACAAAGGTGGATACGCTAGGAAAGGAGAGTTTGATCAATGTGGCCAAGACGTCGATGAGCTCCAAGATCCTTGCTGCGTGAGTATGCACAAACGTTGATCGGGATCCGGTCGTGCATTACTGACATGGATTCTGGTCTTCTTCAAACCGACAGGGACGACGACTTTTTCGCTCCCATCGCTGTCGATGCCATGTTGGCCGTCGGCACGATCAACCCTCGCGGCGAGAAAAAGTACCCCGTCAAGGCTGTCAACGTGTTGAAGGCACACGGAAAGAGCGCAAGGGAGAGTTTCATGGTCAAGGGTTACGCTTTGAACTGTACCGTTGCTAGTCAAGGTGAGTACAGGTCGAGGAACAGAAGATGCCCCGGGGTCCGTGACTGATGAACCGATGTCGACCACGCGCCACAGCCATGAAGAAGCGAGTAACGGGAGCCAAAATCGCTTGTCTCGACATCAACTTGTCCAAGCAACGAATGCACCTCGGCGTTCACATCCAGATCGACGACCCGGACCAGATCGAGGCCATCCGAAGACAAGAATCCGAGATTGCCATCCAGCGTGTCAAGAAGATCTTGGCTTCCGGTGCCAATGTCATCCTCACGACCAAGGGGATCGACGACCTCGTTCTCAAGGAGTTTATCGAGGCCGGTGCCATGGGAGTCAGGAGGTGTAGAAAGGAGGACCTGAAGAGGATCGCCAAGGCTACCGGCGCGACGCTTATCAGCTCGCTCGCCAACCTCGAGGGGGAAGAGACGTTCGAAGCCTCGAGCTTGGGTCACGCTGAAGAGGTCGTGCAAGAGAGGATCAGCGACGACGAGCTCATCCTCGTCAAGGGGACCAAGGTCGTCAGTTCGTCGTCGATCGTGCTCCGTGGTGCCAACGATTACATGTTGGACGAGATGGAGAGGGCGTTGCACGACGCGTTGAGCATCATCAAGCGAACGTTGGAGAGTGGAAGCGTGGTACCTGGAGGTGGAGCCGTAGAGACGGCGCTTTCGATCTACCTTGAAAACTTTGCGACGACGTTGGTGAGTTGGTGTCGGAAGGACCTGAGTCTTTGATACATTTGACTGATCACGTTTCCTCGATCAACATTAGGGTTCTCGGGAACAACTAGCCATTGCAGAGTTCGCCTCGGCGCTCCTGACCATCCCAAAGACCCTCGCCATCAACGCTGCCAAGGACAGTACCGACCTGGTAGCCAAGCTTCGAGCGTACCACAATGCCGCACAGAACGCCCCGGTAGGGGACTCGAAGCGAGGATTGATGATGTACGGTCTGGATCTCATCAACGGCGAGGTCCGGGATAACCGACAGGCCGGGGTTTTGGAGCCGACCATCTCCAAGATCAAGAGTTTGAAGAGCGCGCTCGAGGCTGCGACGAGTTTGTTGAGGATCGATGACAGCATTACCGTTGGTGAGTCCTGGGTTTGTCGTCGTCGTGCGCTTCGTTCCCTATCTGATCGCTATAACTTGCTTTCGCAGCACCCGAACAAAAGGAAGACCCGCACGGGCATTAGACGCAGTGACACCCGATCCTCTAAACCCCCCCAAAAGACGATAGAACCCTTCGGAAATTGACGACCTCCTCACACCTTCTACATTGCCTTGTTCTTTCTTTCCTCATGTCTTGTAACCTATGATGAAGATGAGAGGCCAACAGGTGGTTTCCACATGTTGACGATACGACAAAAGCATGTCCATGTTCCATCCGAGGCGCGTGTCGCGCGAAGTCCGTGCTTTGCGTGCTTGCGATCGTCATCATACCAGTTGGCTCATCGAACTAGTGAGCTGATTGATCAGATCAATTCCATCAATATCCCCATCAATTTGGAAAGATCGATCAACACATTCTCTGTTTGTTTTGCTGTCGCTCTCTCATCAGATCGGAATACGCAAAACGCGTCCTCTCTCATGGATCATGGACCTCCAAGTCTCCGTCGACTTGTTCATCATGTCTGCAATCTACAAGTCCCTCTCTTCACCTCGTCCGTCTTACTACGCCGGCCCCTCTCAATCCGTCATCCTTCACCTATATCCACGTCAATACCAATAACAACAATCTCCCCGCAAAGCCGCTAGTCGCTAGCCATGTCGTCGACTCACGAGGACGGAGCGTTAGGACACCTGGACGAAGCAGACCGACACAGGGTCCAGAAGGTGATTGCCCATTACGCTGAGCACAAAAAGGTGAGGAGCACATTACGTTCAGGCGGAATGGACGAGCGACTGACGACGGCTGTGTGTCTCTGTCTTTAGGGTCGCATCTACATGGAGAGCGCGTACGACCTACTGTTATCGCCGCCTGCCCCGCTGGTTGTCTTGATCAACGAAGCCCGCTGCGATCGCTGCAAAGATACCTCGGAAGAAGCTTGTATTCTGTACAAGACTTCCCAAGTCCCCTTGGTATATGCCAAGTGTGTTCGTTGCGTGACCGCCAAAGGCCCCTGCTCGCTCGTCCCGGCCAAACAATCCTGCTCTGCTCGCAAACGAGCTTTCCCTGATGTCAAACCTTCTTCAGACGTCAAACCGTCCTCTGCTGGAGCCTCAGCAGGCACAGACATCGCCGCACTGCTTGCTCAAGCTCGCGAGCATCATTCGATCTCGCTTGAGGAGGAGGAGACGCTTGGCAATGTTGTCAAAGACGTCAAGGATAAGGAGGAACAGCTCAACCAGAAGTTGTGTGATTCGAGGACAGCCGTCGAAAATGGTCAGCGGGATGTGGAGCAGGGGGCCGAGGATCTAAACCTGGCGGAAGCCGCTATTGCAGCGGCTAATGCTCGTTGGCGGCAAGTCATCCTCGATAACAACGCCAAAGATCTAGCCCTAAAGGTGGAACAGGAGAAATTGGAATCCCTGGAAAATCAACTTGTCCGGGAAAGAGAGGTTGCCATCGAGGCAGCAAGGAGCCTAGAAGATGTAGTCAAGGACAGGGTGGCGTACGAGACCACTATTGACAAGCTGGAGAAGATGCAGGACAAGATCGAGAAGGCGCAGCAGGAGATCGAGAAGGAGCACGGGGGTCTGAAGGAGGTGCAGGAGGAGGTTGAGAGGTTGAGCAAGCGGGCCCGTTTGAACGTTCCCAAGTCTGATGATGTATAAGTAGCTAGCTTTTGTAACGTCTGATCCCTACGATATTCAGAACCAGCGATATACCCGCCGTTCGACCGTCCGTATGACTTTACGAATCCGACCGGCCGACCTGTTCGCGCGAGGCCGACAAAGGCAGGTGCGATATGAGCTGAGCATCGACTTCACGAACTGATCATCAGTCCACCCACGTCGTCGGGGACTTCAACAACTATATCACAGAGCATCAGGAACATAGCTTTTTCCTCCATGGACCTCTCAGCAGACGCTGCTTTTGTCAACAACACTCGACCCGGTACGCCCGCAGCGGTCGCCGAAGCCTCGACGTCGGCCGGACCGTCCAAGCAGGAACGAAGGGATTCTAGCAGTACCATCCGACCAGAGGGTGTGGTGGTGGAGGAGAAAGAGGGAAACAAGGAAAAGGAGGAGGATGCGGCAGTGAAGAATGAATCCGCTGCGACAACGGCGACAGCCACGGCGGCTGGACTCGAGCAAGAAGTCGGGCAGGTCGTTCAGCAGCTTTCGTCCTGGGGAGGATCCTTTTGGGGCGGGTTCAGAAAGCAGGCGAGTCGACTTGATTGCAGGACGATCACGCAGATGCTAAAACATGACCTCTCGTCCTCTAGGCCGACTCTGCCCTGGATGCCGTCAAGAAGGACTTTGCTCGGACCGTAGCCGAGGCTCAGGACGAGCTCAAGATGCTGCAGACGCACTCGGCGTCCTTCGAGGTCCGCAAGCCCGATATCAACCTCGGTGCAATCGGTGCGGCCATAGCTGATGGAGTCAAGGCCGAACCCAAGGTGGACAAGGGCAAGGGCAAAGAGGTCATCGCCGGGGACGAAAAGACGGAACCGGCTTCGAGCTCGACTTCGCTGCCTACTGCCAAGCAAACGCAGGCCTTCTTCAAGAACCTCCAGAGTACGCTGGCTACCGAGGCCAACCAGATCAATGCCAACCTCGGTTCGCTGCAAAAGACCTTGTCCGAGAGCATCGCCAACAACCCTTCCCTCGCCCAGATCAACCGAGCCAACATCTCCACCCTCTCCTCGACGATTCAACAGAACCTCGAAAAGGCTGGGACAAAGATCAACTTGCGTCAAGCCGAAAAGCTCGCCGAGGACTTGTTGGGCGAGGCGGGGTCGTTCTTGAAGGACGCCGTCAAGGTCGTCCCTCCCGAAGAAGGTTCTGGTTCCTACACCTATTCGTGGGACGGGACCGACGTCGGGGTGTATGGCTCGGCAGAGGAGGGCAACAACAACAACAAGTCGACCGTGCTTTTCGATCGAGCTAGCATGGCAGGCAACGACCTTTCTCGCTCTCAACTCCGTCTCAACGCCCTCTTGCGACGACTCCGTACCGACGTCGAGCTGCTTTCGCAGGATCCTTCGGCGACGAGCGAGACCAAGGCCAGGCAGGACGCTTTCGCTGCGTTCAAGAGGGACAAGATCGAGAGTGCGGGAGGGTACGAGGGACAAGACGTACAGAAGCTCGTTTGGGCAGAGATGGGTCCGGAAGCCAATGACGCCGATGTCGAGGCGCTCAAGAAGACCAAGGATGCTCTGGGTAAGCGATGAAGAGCGGTATGCTTGCGCGTTCGAAACCGAACTGATTTGTATGTGCATGGGGTGAGTAGTCGCCAAGCAGGTCTCGGAGGAGGAATTCTGGACGAGGTACTTGTTCCACAAGCACAACATCGAGGACGAGGAGAAGAAGCGTCAAGAGCTCTTGCGAGGTGAGAACATCAACATTAAGCTAGTCGAGATTGTTTGAGGCTGACGGCGTGACTGCCCTGATTGCAGCTGCTCAACCCAAGGAGGAAGAAGACTTTAGCTGGGACGACGCCGAGGTCGACGAAAAAGAGACGCCCAAGATGCCTTCGGCTCCTACGCCTGAACCCGTCAAGCTCCCCACCGACGAACAGACCGTCAAGGTCGAGCCTGCCGTGGCCAGTCCCGCTGCGGCTACCGTCGAGAGCGCCAGTACGAGCAGGCGTCAGAGTGAAGAGAGCTACGACATTGTCAGCGAGCAGAGTGGTGGGAACGGGGCGAAGAAGCCGGTTGCCGAGAGCAAGCGGGAGGATACGGATGGGGACGATAGCGATTGGGAATAGTCTGTTCTGTTCGTCTGCTATATACCCTCGATGGGAACTTGCACAGTAAAGTTTCTACGGATCTCGTTCTGGTGTGTACGATCTAGTGGCGAGAGATTGCGAAAAGGCATCGTTTGACGGTTTTGAGCGGAATCAAAAGTCAAGTCGGTCATGCTTCATCGGGATTTGGCAATCATCCGCGACAACGAAGCAGCTCAGCAGCTCAGCAGCAAGTATCAGTAGCTCATTAGTACTTGTGGTATCGCAATCGAGTAGCGAGTATCGAGTAGTCCATCACGTCGACACCAAGTACCCTTGACGATATCTCTCTCTCTTACCACTTGGCTCGACCGACTTGGGATTGCCCCGGTGGACAGACTTTCGAACTTCTCGCCGTTGTTTCACCTCCTCGCCATGGTGTGATTGATGGGACCGATGTCCATCGAGTTCGACGTTTCGACCCGATCAGATCAGATCATTGATCGATCATCATCATTGATTATCATCATCGATCATCAAACCTCTACCCGTCAATCTGATCAACTCGCACGGCGTGAGAAAGCATTAACAGTTTGCCAGCGCATGCATGGTCGTGTCATCAAGGATGGACTATGGACTTCGTGCAACGACAAGTCGAGAAAAGGCAGAAAGGCTGAACAGTCGACCTGGCTGGATCACACTTCTTACTGCACCATCGTCCTTCAACGCCTAAATACTTCACTCTACCATGTCATCTGTCCCCACCGATGTCGACAATCTCGTCAACCAAATCACGGACCAAGGTCTTGCCAACAAGGTTCTTGAGAGGTTAAGCAACAGGAGCCGTGGCACCGCTACCAAACGCCCTGCACAAAACGGCGGCCGCCCTCACAAGAAGATGGAGCGTACCAGAGATAGGAAAAAAAGCAGCAGGACCAGGCGTGACGAGAGGGAAAAGAGCAATGAGAGGGTGGGCTATAGGAGCGGTTGCACGCGGACGGAGAAAGTTCTCCTCTGGAGCGAAAACAAGGCTCCTCCGATTAGGATCGATCCAAGGGATCATACTCCGGCTAGCAGGACTTCCTATGGCAGACCCCAACATGGAGCCTCTGTAATGAATCGACTCAGGACATGTTTAGGACTATCTACAAGTGCTATACAACATTAGGACATAGACGGCAAGTCACCACTCCAATCACGCTTGCCCACTGGACTGGTGTTTCAGTACACAAGATCAGCAAGCCGCTGGACCATCACCTGAAACACCTTCCACAGAGGGATGCTAGGACACTGTGGGAACTTGCCAAAGGACTCTGTCGGAACTCGTACATTGTACATCGGAGACCGGAACTCGTACCTCGTACATCGGAGACCGGAACCCGTACTTTGTACATCGGAGACCGGAACTCGTACTTCGTACATCGGAGACCGGAACTCGTACTTCGTACATCGGAGACCGGAACTCATACCTCATACATTGGAGAACGGAGATCGGAAGTCGGAACTCGTACATTGGCGCTCGTAGTGTTAGACTTGGATATTGTAGTATCTCATGAACATATATATATGAGGCCAAAAGAGAATGTTGAAGGGAAGACAGAACATCTCTGAATTCCTCTCAACCTCTACAACCTCGAATAAACTCTCAATACCTTTCGACTAGGACTAGCTACCCTTGTCTGATTCTACCTCAAGAGAGCTGGTGATAACGGTAAGATAAAATATTGCGTCGGACTGTCTTAGAAGCAAAAAGGCCGTACGTAACAGATAGAGGAAACTCTTGGGTTCACGACAGCCTCGGGTTTGCTGTCTACTCCCATATCAGCAGGTTCTGTTCCGTCTCGGCCTCCTCCCATTCGCCTTGATTACAGCTTGTTGCGGCCTGTAAACACTACTGTCAACGCCTCAGTCACACCTCCGGCCACTTTGCCCTCCAAGCCCGCAGATGTTGCTCCATCGGGCAACAAGAGCTCAGTCCCTACGGTCGAGACAGTCCAGCAGCCTCCTGCCACAAACGCAGCAGCTCTTCCCCCATGCAACAAAAACATCAGCTCGGTCCTGCTCGCAGCCACCGTCCCAGAGCGACAGGCCAAGACTTTGGCTGTCGGTCGCATCGCTAATGTTGCCAAGGCACTGGCCATGGATGAGGATGACGACACCGGAAAAGCGTCGAGTGTGATGAACCGGCCCAAGAAGACCACAATCAGGACGTTTGTCGAGAAACTGCCAGGCGAAGACCTGATGACGGCAATGAGGCGTATGGTAGCAGCCAGCCAAGGCCAAGGCCTGGCAAACAGCTCTCGAGGCAGGGTATGTGCACGATCACCCTCGCAATGAGATTTGCATCGCTCATCTAGCTTTCGGAAATACAGCAACTCGCTCGCGCCCTGGCTATACCGGAGAGACTGGTGACCTTTCACGCAGATGATCGCTGTCATAACTGCCGAGCCGGCGCGCCACCCTCGCATATGCCAGAGAACTGGGAACGCTGGCCGTGTATGGCCCTTCTCGAGGTCGATGGAGAACTCAAGTCGCGCTGTTTTGCCTGCGTCGTGCGATGCGAGGGCAGCTGCAATCCTAAGATTCGACCCCTCGAGGACAATGTGCGCCACTCTCCGCAGCCTCCAGCGATTCCAAGGGGTTCCGAAGGTCTTCGTCATACTTTGCCTATCGGCGAAGTTAACGGAGAGGCTGCCACTCCTGCCCCGGCATCGGTCGACAGTGGGTCTGTCGCGACTGCCACTCCGTCTGAGATCCGCGCCGATGCTCCTGATGCCACCACGCCGGCGAATATGGATGCTATCAGCTCTCAGGCAGAAGCGGATCTCGAGCAAGCGAAGGTCGAGCAAGCGAAAGTCGAGCAGGCCAAGGTCGAGCAAGCTAATGCCGGGCAAGCCAAGGCCGAGCAGGCCAAGGCCGAGCGATGGGCTATCGAGTCGCAGTCCGGCAAGGCAGAGTGCGATGATCTCATTCAAAGATTAGAGATGATGAAGAAGTGGTACGACCAAAGGGAGTTGGATGGCATTACAGACACTTGGAGTGTGATCGGAACCAAGGCCAAGGCTCAGCAGCGGTACTGCAGCAATCTGAAGAGGAAATTTTGATGCGCTGTTTTTTATTACCAATGTCATGTGCTATCAAGACTTGTACTGGTTTACATCGTTATGCTCTCTATTCTAATCGTTCTATCTGTGCTCGGTTTCTGGGCGCACGTAGGTCGTCAAAGTTTCGTTACTATTTTGTCGCAGAAGATGGCGTTCGCCCGCGTATCGAGAATCCGCCCGTGGCAGGAGCCGAAGGAGCGAGATCGATCCCGGCGTTGGCCCAGCCTCGTCCTCGACGCTGAACCCCATCGGACGGGATTGCCGGCGAAATAGGCCGTTCTGCCGGCGTCGGTACAGGTCGATTTGGTGTCGGTCCGCTCGAGTTCATCCTCGCCAAGAGGTTGGGTATCGCACCGGTGCGAGATGGCGGGGTAGGAGCTCGATCGCTGCGGCCGCTACGATCGCGATCGGACTTTTGCTTCTTCCTGTTGTGATCCTGCTCATGCGTTGGTGTAACGCTCCCGGGCAGGTGGATGCCCAAGCGGCTCGCGAGTGAAGGTGTCTTCACGGGGGATGCGATTGGCTCTTGCTCGCGTTTCCTCTTTGGCGTAGACTCGGCCAATCGTCCGAGCAAGGATGGTCCAGGTCGTTTGTCTCCAGCGTTATTGGAAGTCGATCGATTCGCCGAATCTCGTATTGAAAAGCCGGACGGACGGCCGCTGACCGGATTAGCAGTCGAAGCAGGTCGCCTGATGCTAATCGAGGCCGGGCCCGTGGGAGGAAGCTTCGGCTTGGATGTCGATGCTGGCGGTTGGACAGGGTTTGGACCTGTGGGAATAGGCTTCGATGTTGATGTGGGCGTTGCGATGGTTGTTGACGCAGCTGCGATTGGTGCCACAGCGGGAGGTGTGGTGACGACCGGCGATTTGCGTCCGATCGTCCAGGAAGGATGTACCGTGTCGAGCTTGATGGGCGGGGTCATGTTCTATAAAGTCGCTGGTCAAAATACGAAACCCCTCGACATCGTCTATGCTTCCCCAACTCACCCGACACATCTTCCCTACATTCTCCCACTTTGCTCGAGTCGTCTCGCCCGATCCGTAAGCGTTTTCCAAGCCTCGCTCACAAACGTCTGCGATCTGATTGAGGGTGCGTTCGAGATCGTTGTCGACCAGATCCGCGATTTGTCCTTTCTGCGAACGAGATTGCCTATCAGCGTCGCGTAGCTGTCAGATGGGCCTTGCGGAGGGACTTACAAATTTCAGAAACAAAAAGTATGACAACAAGAGACACGCCTCGAGTTCGGATATTCGTGGCATGATGGTCACGAGGGTGACCGGACCTGGAAACCATTTCTACGCGACCCTCCCTCAATCAGCCTCTATACCAACTATACCAAAAAAGTCAAGAAATACTAACCACAACCTGTGCGACCGCCGTCCTCGTCATCCTCACCCCAAGCTCCCTGATCGCCAACCGCTCGTCTGTGCCCTCCCCTCCCTTCAAACTTTCCTCTTTCCAAGCATTCCAACTCGCAACGACCCACTCGACGAGCCTGGACGGACTAGCTATCGCCGTAGGGATCTGTCCGGCGGGCAGTTTCGCCCATTCGAACACGGTCGATGGAGCGTGACAATAGAGATAGAGTAGCCAGCGGTAGTCCGGTTTAGCTGAAGGTGTTGAGCATGCGAGGAGAGTGTCGAGCTGAGCGAGGTATGGTCGAATTTGAGGTGGTTCGGTTTCTTCTACTGCGCAGAGGACGATTTGCGAGAGCAGTTCCGTCAATAATGTTTTGGTCGTTTGTTTCCCTTTGATATCGTCGAAAAGCAGTAATAGCCTGATCGTCCGGGTTCGAGAGGTATGATCCCCAGTCTCTAGCACCTGAACCGTATCGTCACCAGGGTCGCTTATTAGTTCTCTACCTCGTGGGCCTAAACACATGCTATGCGCGAGAACGACTCACCCTGAACAAATTCTCTTTCACTGCCCTCTTTTCATCCGCCTCTCCCTCGCCCCCGGCAGCTCGACCCAACCAAGCCTCCACATCTCCGTTCGCAGGGCCCTCGATGAGATCCCAGATAAGTTTCGTCGGGACATTAGTCTCCTTGGACAAGAGAGAGGTGATCAGGCCGATAGCTGCGCCGGGGTTGAGATGGATGAGGGATCGTATGCATTGTTCGAGGGTGTTTATTTCTTCCAAAGAATTGTCTTGGTGGGCTGTCAGAAAGAACGACATGTCTGTCAGTCGATACTTTCTTAGCCGACAGTCCGACCAAGAATGGCAGACTCACATGTATACATGGACTGTAACAAGACGTCCGTCATAGTCCCCACCTCCTCCGCCCCGACCCCGATCCTAGCCAGATCCACGACAAGCCTATACCCCTGCATCCTGACGTTCTTGTCTTCATGTTCGCTGACGTCGTAAGCGGCATCCAGACCGGCTGGCCATAGGTCAGGGAAATCTGGGACTAGGGAGGGAAGGTGCTGGGGAATCAGGGAGACGGAGGAGATGCTGGGGGAGGAGGAGGTTTGGATGAGTTGTTCCAGAGCCGTTCGACGCTGTGAGCAACATCATCGTACCATCAGTATGAGAAGGCGTCTTTGGATGCCATTGTGAATCAGATAGACATAGTGACATACCACATCGGATCCCTTGGAAGCATTCCCAGCCTTACGAATCAAGTCCCCGAGTGAATCCGTAGAGCTGCCGGACATCGTTCTCGACCCCGTGCAAGATTCCCGGTGAGGGGCAACTGCCTAAGCTTTGTCGAACTGGTTCGATCGAAGCAGGACTGTAAGTCTATATCATATGGCGAGAATTCAAGGTAAAGTCTGAGTCGTTATAGGTTATACATTGAGGTGATGCTCCTTTGACGATCTTCTCTTCAACACAACTTCTTGGTAACGAGTCGCGCGGAATCAAGATCATGCAGCCAGAGTCAAAGTCGAAGGAAGACGATCTCATTCAACATGTGACACGGAAAATACAACAAAATGTACAGACACGGGGATGATGATACCCGACAAGAACTTGCCCCGCTTGATCACCGCTCCTCTTATTTGAGGTAATCAAGACCAGCACGGCACCCAAGACTCGTCGACTCCTTAGAGCTTTTCTACACCAAAGATACGGTTCGCGACTCGATGAGAAGGTTTGCACTCGACCGCCCTCGTGAAAGGGCAGGAGCGCAAGGTGTTTGCTGATATCGCGAATGCTTTTGAAGATGGTGATGGAGACCTCGTTGGATCTCCTGCGTTAAGAAGAGAAAGGGGAAAAGACCGGGCGGGAAGTATCGAAGTAGAGGGAAATGGTTGTTGAATCAAGATGTCGAGCTACTTGTACTCTGCCGCCCAGGTCTCGCGGGAAACGACGAAGATTTGGCGATGCGACCCCATCACGTGAAAGTCTGGATCAACCTCGAACGTACGCCCACGCCAAAACCGAGCACATCTTCGCAGCACAATAAATCATTTCTTTCATTTTGCGATGGGCAGACAAGATCTAATCCACCGTCACAGCTACTGTCTATATATATTGTAGGCGTCCCCAAGGCAGACGACCCGAAACCTCACAAACACAAACGAACTCGCTCGAAGTTACTGCTTGAGCCCGACGATGGACGAAGTCCTCCTGGCTCGACCACCGGCAGACGACATGATGCTTCCCGCAACGCTCGTTCGCCTGTTACGGCCACCAGGTACAGGAGCGGAAGGAGGAGCGCCTTGAATGCGTTTGACTGTGGGTCTCAAAGGCAGGTTGAGCTGGAGCCGCGTTGTAAGCAGATAACATATATAGACTTACGCTCGGATACAAAGTCGGTTCCCCACTTTTCGGACGTGTGGGTCGAGACGTACTGTAAAGCGACGTCAGGTTTAGCTCTTGATGGCATGCCATATTGTACCCCACGACGACGAGGCCTACCTTCCACAGCTTGTCGTGGTTGCTCTTCTTGGTCTCGGCGTCCATGGTTACGGCATCGTAAATGGCATCAGCCGTAGATTGCACGTCCCCTGTGGTTTCAAGCGTCATTAAGTATCAGCTAAAACAGCCTCCTCTACGTGTCGTTCACGGACCATCACTCACAAGGGTTGATGATCAAGCTTCCGTTCAAACTCTGAGCGGCACCGGCGAATTCGGACAAGATCATGACACCGTGCTTCTTGACCTGACTCGAGATGTACTCGTAGGCGACCAAGTTCATCCCGTCCCTCGTCGAGGTGACGAAACAAGCGTCCGAAAGGGCGTACATGGCGGTAAGCTCGTCCATGGCCACGCTGGTGTGCATGAAATGGATCGGCATGAACTCAACGGTCCCAAACTGTCCGTTGATGCGTCCGACGAGCTGTTCGGTCATGCTCCTCAGGTTTTGGTACTCTTCGACGTCTTGCCTCGAGGGAATGGCGAGCTGGACGAGGACGACCTTGCCGATCCACTCGGGGTGTTGGTGCAAAAAGGTCTCGAGCGCGTGCAACTTTTGAGGGACACCCTTGATGTAATCCAATCGATCGACTCCGATGATGACCTTGACGCCCTCGAAACGCTTCTCCAGCTGAGCCAGACGCTTCTGCACGGTCGGCTTCTCGAGACCCTCGACGAATTGCATGGGTTCGATACCGATGGGGAAGGTACCGACGTGGGCGTATCGACCCTCGAACCAGAGACCATTGGGCATGGTGGGTAGTCCGAGGATACGGGTGCAGGACGACAAGAAGTGACGAGCATAGTCGTAGGTGTGGAAACTGCGGTGATGTTCGGGCGTTAGCGTGAGCGAATTGGTCGAGATCTTTCCCTTAAACGCAATTGCTCACCCGATGAGATCACACTGCAAGACTCCCAACAAGATCTCCCTCCTGACGGGCAAGATCCTATAAATCTCGCTACTCGGGAAAGGCGTGTGCAAGAAGAACCCGATCTTGACGCCACCCTTGCCGTTGGCCTCGGCAGCCTTTTCCACGGCGGCATCGTCCCGTTCCTGTTGTTGCCTCTGCAACCTCTCTTCGTCAAACTCGTCCTCGTCGGCACCTTCGACGTCGGCAACCCCTTCGTCCAGGGTCTTGCTAGCACGTTCGTGCGGGAGGGCCGAGTTGGGCAAGGCTTCCGGGGTGAGCGGGACGCCGGCCTTGCTAGTCTTGGCAGGTTGGATACCCATGACCTTGGAAATGTCGGTAGAGACGCCGACGGCCACTCGAGAGAGTTCTTTTCGGGTTGTCTCGCCCTGAGCGGAAGTTCCCGACATCATCGTTCGCAAGAGCATCGGTAGGAGCATGACTATGGCGAGAAGTGGAGAAAGTCAGTTTCTCAAATGATCACGCTTTTTGGGACTGATGTGACGCACGATGGTAGTCCTGGACCCAGACCATGTCTCCCTTGCCCACGAACCCGTTGACGACCTCGGCAAACCTCATGTTGGCCTCCCTGAACACGCATCACGAAGTATAACGCTCCTATCAGCCTACATTCCCTGACTTCTACTCTCAAAATCGGTACCGAGACTCACCGATAAGCCAACCAGTTGTCCTCGTCAAAGTTCATCTCACCCGGGTGGTAGTGGAACAGCGGCCACAGGATCGAGTTGGAAAACCCGTTATAGTGCCTGTCGGCGAGTTCGTCCGAGAGGTAGACGGGGTAACAGTTGAATTCGTTGAGGAGGTGGTCTTCGACCTGTTGGCGGTCTTTCATGGGGATCTGTATGGGTCGGGCAGGATTGTCACGATTCGGAGAATGGGGGTCAGATATGCTTGTTACGACGAGACTATGGGAGGGGAATACTGACGTCTTGGCCGGGCCAACCGATCCAGGTGAATTGCATCGTCTTCTTGCATCCCGAGAGCGCCGAGACGAGACCTCCGGAGGACATCTACGAGCGGGGTTTTCATGTTTCGGTCGACAGTTGAGAGTCGAGATTCGAGGAATCGAGTTCAAGAACGTGTTTCCAGGTGATGAAAGGGGGAACGAGTTTCGGGTGTATATAACAACGTCGGACCGAAGACAAGAGAGAAACAACAATATCAGCGACCTAGCCTCATTCAGAACCTCACACAGACACAATGATGACGACAACGACTAGAGACCGACCTTGTAAGTGTATTCCCCGGTCTTTGCATCCTTTTTGATGGTCACGGGCAGACGGTTCGAGACGACGATCAACCTGGGGGGTTCGCCCTCTTTTCGTTCGGGGGCGGTGAATGTCATCGTGCGAGTTTCTATGCGTTTATTCGTGTATGTGTTCTGTATGGTAAACAGGTAGGTAGCTAGGTAGAACGTAGAGGGTAGGTAGTTGAAGGTTGATGATATTGCGATTGAAGAGGTTGCGAGGTTGAAATAATCAACCCAGAGCTCGTTAGCGTGCTCGAGGCTAGACGTTGAGTTTCCTGGAATCTCAGCGCGCGAGGCAGAGCAGGGGCAGGGAGGGCAGGGCAGGGAAGAGAGGGAGCGCCACCACCGTCAGCAGCAACACACAGGCGGTAGCGAGACTGTGGAATGTTGTGTATTTCTTTTACATCAGCGACACCTCAGCAACTTCCTTGTTGAAAACGACCCGTGGTCAGACGACCAGGAGCCAGGAGTAACAGAGGATCTGCAGTCCCACTTCGGCTATGACCTGGTCTTGTGATCGCGTGTGACCTCCTCGAAACCGCAAGTGGATGTCGATATCGAGATCTGGACTTGCAATCCAATCCACCTTGGTCCCCCGCTTCAAAAGTCGCGCGCGGACAAGGCGGAGTAAACAAAAGCCACGCGACTTTATCCGAGCGAGAAGAGAGCGAGAGAGAAGGTGGACACACGGACGTTCCATTCGATGACGATCGCTGTCGGTTGATCAGAGACGGCCAAAGGATTGCCAAAGGAAGCGGGCATGTTGATGTTTCATCGTGGATCGTGGATGGTGGATCATGTCGCCAAGAGCGAAAGAAGAGCGGAAGAGAAGTCAAGGCTTTGTGAGAGACGGCCGAACGGGCAACGTTTACTTCCAGCTTTCAGTAGGCAGTAGGTTCGTGCTAATCACGACCATGCGATACGATTCAATGCGATGCAATACGATTGTGTCTGTCTATCTTACGACCTTCCCGTTATGACGCTGTCGCGCCTCGATTATACCTTCTTCCCCCTTCGCTCTCCTCCGCCTTCCCTCTACCTATGTACTATCTTCAGCATCTCCCTCGCCATCCATTTGTCCTGCCAAGACCTCACTATCGGCGCCTCCGCTCAGATCTTCCCCCTCAACAAGTTTTGTATCATCGCCCTCCCCGTCAGATACGCCGTCTTGTAAAATGACCCGATGTCCAAGGTGGAGAATACCGTATCGGCCATCCCGAAGGGCAACATCAGGGGGATCCAACCTGTGGCAAGTCGCAGAAGCCGATATGGAGCCGGGAGGTCAAATGGATTTTAGCGAACAAGATCAGATGAGAAAAAGGCTTCAAGGGGGAACGTTAGACCGACCTTGAGCGTATTCGAGAGCCCAAGTCTCGGCCTCGATCTTGTACTGCTTGACATCTCCCCTTCGCATGTGATGGACAGCGCCGGCCGGGTAGACCTATCAGCACGAATTAAGATTAATCCGGTTAGCTCCTTCCTAAGATAGATGATGTTCGAGCCACACCGTCAAGTGCCGACTCACCTCGGGTTCCAACTCGCCAGGCAAAAAGGCCGTCTGCAAGCCCTTCAAGATGTGGAAATAGTCGTCGGCGGTATGTCTCCCCGAATGTCCCTCGGTCCCAACGGCAGAACCGAAGATGATCAGGTACCTGGACGCCAGGGGTTGTACCATGCTCCCGTCAGCATCTCACGCTCAACACGACCTCGGCAGCAGCGCCGAAAACTCACTCGGTGATGGAAGCGTGTATGATATACATGCTCCCCATAGCCCCTCCAGCGTTGTTCCAGACCCACTCGTTCCGGTCGAGGAAATCCGTCTGGACCTGCGTGTCCGGGTAAGCGACCTTGATCCGTTCTAGCAGGTCAGTGAGGAGGATGGTCGTGTTCAGGCTGTCGATGGGCAGGTTTTGCAGGGCGGATTGCGAGGAGAGGGTTTCTTGCACGATGGTGTTCAGGCCTTGCGGGGTAAAGTGATAGAATCGGGGCTGCCATCGAGGAACGATCACGACCATCAACATCGCCTTTGTTTGGAACTTGTACTCAGGGTGAGGTCTGGACCTGGTACTCACCCCGACCTTGTCCAACCACAAAGCCAAAGCGGTGAATACCGCGATAAAGATCCCGATCCCGGGTAGGGACAACCACCGGGACTTAGTATGATGGACGGGTTGTCGGCTATACCGGACAGGTTGTTGTCGCTTTCCGCCGGGCATCTTCTAGTAGTTCTTGATCGAGAGGATAAAATGAGAGAGAAATCAAAGGTTTGTGGTCTGGGTGGTGGGGTTGGTGTTTATGAAGGCGAGCTGAGGGGAAGCAGGAGAGACGTGGTTTGTTGGTTGTCAGTAAGCCGTGCATAACTGTCTTGTGTACTGTATTATCGAAGCAGCATCTCTCGCCAAGCGGAACTCCCATAGTTCTCCTCCTTCTCCATGGCCATATGCTGATAAACATCGTACGATGCACCGACAACTCATGCGGTTGGTCGTATAACCCTTCAGGTTCCCGTCGACCGCTTGTCGTTTCACATATTGACGAGCGACCAGTCGGCCTCAGCCTCGTTTCGTTCCTGAGATTCTAGTCGTTCTAGGGCTCTTTGCAGGGTAGCCTAGGTTGTTTGCTCGACGAATGTAGCTGCAAGGAAGCTATGCTTGATCGCTTTCCCGCACAAGATGTATTGCGTCCCGGACGTCTCTATCCCTCTCGCCCATTCTTTCCCGATGAGTTGACGCTAGTCTGATGTACTCACAAGCAAGAAGTCCAAAAGATCTCCGAGCGATAGATGCAAAGAGGTGAAAGAGCTAAACACAAAACGCCTGATGTTCAGCTTTTGTCGAGGTCCACCCTGATCGCCGTGACAGCCCTACCGTATATGAGTCCCCCGGTAGCAAACCAACGAGGCCGGATGAGAGACAAGAAGTTGGAAGCGGAAGATGTGAAGAAGCCCTTGCTGTGATGGTTGATGAACCGCGTTTCGAGAATATCGTGTTGTGATTGAACTTCCCTTTGCATCTTACGATCGTTCGATGGCTTGAGAGAGCCGACCGGGGAAATATCGCCGGCGTTGGGGAGAATATTAGAAACGAATATTTGATATGATTAATCTTGGATAGACCGAGGTTGCCTGATGATGATTAGCACGATCCCGTAGAGGTTGCTTTCAACTTGCTATTAAAGTGAGATACGCAAGCACTCTTCGACACCTTTATTCCCAAACATCAGATTCGGCAGTGAGAACAGAAGGATCCAAACACATAATCTGATCTGCTATCAACGCATCCAAACACCCCTGCGGCCCTTTGCCAAGACCAGCCTGAATTGCAAGACCAACCAAGAAGCACGCCCTTCAGAGGTACAAGCTGAAGACGAATCTATCCATTCAACACCGACAACATGGTAGTCTGCAACTTCTACCTCCGTGGGCAAGTCCAGATCTGAGACCGATTCTGAAGAAAATTTGACAAAGCTGACCTTTGATGATCCTTGCAGACAATGTCGATACGGCTCGTCTTGTCACAACGACCATCCGCCCGGTCTGGAAGGTTCACAACGTCCAGGAGGGAACGCATCGAATGTAGCTAGGCCGTTCGGTAGTAAGTCCCTGATATTCGACGTACCGCTTACAGTGGTAACTTATGACTGACGAACGTACGTGCGGTGATCATCGATAGCTTCGGCGTTCGGAGCTCGACCAGGTGGATTCGGGGGAACGAGCCCGTTTGGTAATCCAGCCGGGGTAGGGACGAATGGCAATAACACCAATAACACTGCTCAAGTTCAAGTGGCACCCGGAAGCGTCGTAACGTGAGGCAATGCTCTCCCTTCCTACTTCATCTCGATTATTGTTGCTCACAAGCTGGACATCGATTTGATAGCCGGGAAGTCTTCCAAGCGGACCTCCAACGTGAGAAACCCGCCTGGCCATTGAGCTCGTACGGTCAAAAGGAAGATCCGTGTCTCTTGGCCGGACTGGACGTCTCGCCAGAGGAGATGAGGTGGAAAGCCATGCAAGCGCAGATGAGGGGGGATATGAACGCTTACGTGAGTATTTACTGCCAATTCGAGACGGGGAAACTTTGGCAAATGCCCCGCTGAGGACTGATCGGTATTCGGATTTGATCTTGCTTGGTCTGATAGATTTCGGAGGAGCAGCAACTTATCGCCAATGCCAACAACCAATACACTCAGGTGTTGAACAACATGGACGCGGCGATCCAGCAGAGTGAACAGATCCGATTCAATCGTCTGAACCAGGCTGCTTCCTCATCATCAGCGGCGGCTCCGACGTCCGCTTTTGGACAGCCGGCAGCTTCCACTTCGACCTCGGCTTTCGGTGCTCCTGCTGCTACATCTGCGTTCGGACAGCCAGCTTCCACTGGCACGTCTGCGTTTGGACAGACCACCCCCGCTGCCTCGTCTGCATTCGGACAACCAGCTCAGACGGCGTCTGCGTTCGGCTCATCTGCATTCGGAGCGAAGAGTCCGTTTGGAGCTGCGGCACCTGCGGGAGGAAGCGCATTCGGGACGAGCGCTTTCGGACAATCACCTGTAGCTGCCGTTTCGCCTGCAGCGACAACAGGCGGAGCCTTTGGGTCGAGCGCGTTTGGGGCGAAACCGGCTGGGTCAGCGTTTGGTTCGTCTAGCTTTGGACAACCTGCAGCGGTGACGGGAACGACAGCAGGAGGAGGAGGAGCTTTCGGGCAGTCCGGAGCGTTTGGGCAATCGGCCTTCGGAGCATCGTCCACAGCGGCACCTGCGGCTGGAAGTGCCTTTGGACAAAGCGCTTTCGGATCGACTAGTCAGACGGGAGGGAGTGCGTTCGGGTCGAGCGGGGCTTTCGGTGCCAAACCCGCTACGACGTCGGCTTTCGGAGCGTTCGGAGGTGGTTCACCAGCAGCTACGACGGCTCCTGCACCAGGGACCGGGTTCGGGCAAAGCGCATTCGGGGCCAAGCCTGCGGGTGGATTTGGAGCGAGCGCGTTTGGACAGCCTGCCACGGGTAGCGCTTCTACGGGCAGTGCGTTTGGAGGTGCATCACCTTTTGGACAGCCAGCGACGTCTGCAGCTGCCGCACCTTCTACTTTTGGGGCCGCTTCGCCGTTTGGAGCTGCTACAACGAATACGACAGCACCTGCTCCGGCCGCAGGAGGGTTCGGACAAAGTGCGTTTGGATCGACGTCAACGACCCAGCCTACATCGGCTTTCGGGACGTCGGCTTTCACGAATTCTAGCAACAGCCAGAACAACACATCGAGCGCGTTTGGGAGTTCTGCAAACGCACCGACTTCAGGAGGATTCGGAGCTTTCGGACAACCTGTAGCGGCAGCGGCGACCACCTCGGCGTTCGGGTCGACAACGCCTTTCGGAGCAGCAGCGCCTAGTCCCGCTGCACCTGCTGCTGCTGCTAGTCCGGCAGCATTTGGGGGAACGACACCAGCAACGTCAGCCTTCGGCTCGACGAGCGCTTTCGGTCAGCCCGCTGCTGGCACATCTGGAGGTTCGGCGTTTGGTTCGACGAGTGCGTTTGGGCAACCTGCCGCAAGCACGAGCGCAACAACCCAGCCACAAGCCTCGGCCTTTGGTTCTACCTCTACTGCTGTTCCGGTAGCTCCGACCGGTGGTATTTTCTCTTCCATCGCAACGGCACCAGCAACTTCTAGTACAGGGACGAACGCAGCCTACTCCGGACCTGGTCAAAGAGGGCAGACGGTCTGGGATCACCTTCTGAAATCGCTGGACACTTTACCGGAACTCGTAAAGAAAGCGTTCGAAGCGGACAAGTTTGAGATGGGAGCTATACCGTTGCAGCCGCCGCCTTTGGATTGCAGATAGGCGGTTCGCTTTATACACTGTCAGTGATCAGGGCGCTTGAGTAAGATGGAGAATGAATCACGGAGATGTCCTGGCAATGCATGGCATTATAACATAGCATGACAAGGTGGATTGACTACACTCGGTGTATCGGCAAAAAGTGAACAGGCAGTATATAGTAATGTGGCGTCCTTGTTGAAAGAAGAGGTCGATCCTGGTCTAAAGTGGTTGATGGGAGTTCCCGTCTGGCGTACTGATGAAGAACGTCCGAGGTGAGCGGATTAGTTCGAGATGACTGTATCGACAAGACCCTGTCATTCCGTACTCACGTGGACATTCCCGGTCTAAGCCTTCCTGCTCTTCGACCCCCAGACCCTACGCTTCTGGACCAACTCGTCCCCGACCTCGACCATCTTCTTGGCAGGCCTGTTCTCGCTGACGAGCCTCTCCAACCTAGACTTGTGGTCGTGGTTCCAACGATGGTGTCCGGGACGGGGAGAAGGCGAGGGAGAAGTTCGGGGGTGAGAGTAGGCGCGGTGAGGGGTGGGAGGGGCGTCGTTGTACCCGTTGATGGAGGGCGAGGCCAGGGCGATCTGAAAGAGAGCGACGAGGGTGATGAAGAAGAGGCTGTTCCTGTCCAAGATCAGCTTGGTGTCTGGTTATCTTTTTTGGTGCAAGTCTGTGCGACGTACGCGAACTTCATTGTGATATTACGGATTCAATAAGGTGTTGTTGAACGTAGAGTTTGAAAAAGGTGACCCGGTGGGAAGTATAAGGTTCGAAATTGATGCCGAGTTAGGCGAGTGGGAGGTAGCGAGCGACGGGCTGTATGTAACGAGCGTAGGTGTTAAGGTTATGATGTGCTGAGCAAGCTTTGACGGCTATGTCGGAGCGAATGAAGAATGAATGAGCTGAAGTCAAGAGCAGAAAGAGAAAAGAGGAAGAGGCGAAGAGGACCAATTTGTTGTTTTGTATATCAGGTGAGATCAGACTTGCCCACTCATCAAAATTCCTTCCAGCTGATGGTCGTCGCGTCGTCAAAAAAGGTGGTCGGGTGGATCGATCACACGCGCACGGGCCGAGCCCATTGCTGGCCGACGTTTCACATGTTGATCGGCGCCATCCTTCTTGTCGCCGAGGAGCGTGAGAGGAGCAGAAGAATTGTGTCTCCTCGTGGTATGCCGTCCATCACCCTCGTCTTTTCTCTGCCAGAATAAGCGATCAGCCTGCCTGAAACCAGAAAGGGGCCTGCAGGCCTGCGCACAGGACGGAGTAACACGGGAAGAAAGGGTGCTCGCGTGGAAACGATCCGCGCGTGGCGTGATAGAAGGTTCGGTCTCGCGTTTCATGCGACCATGATAACGCTGTCAGCGACTGGCGATGATCGACTAAGCTCAACACGCGCGCATGAACACATGAGCTCTTCCGTCGATACACCAGGTCAGGCATTACGCCAGCTATCTCTCATTGCTGGGTCAGCTGTTACCAAATTGCCGACGAGATCGCTGATCACTCGCTCGCTGATACAAGCATTTAGGCATATTTCTGACAATCACAACAACTAGTAAAATGCATCGATCCATCAATCCGAGGTCGCAGCGTCGGACATCGATCACATTTCTATCTTTTCGAAGGATATCAGTTGATCCTGTAGGGCAGGGCATGCCTGATGTCTAGGACATCAGCTTGCGAATTCCATTGCATGTGATCGCTTCCGTAATCCAGATTTAGCACCTCGCAAGGCCGCCGTTCACGATACCAATGCCTCCAAGGCGTCGCAGGGACTTTGCGTCTCCCGACGATTGCTGTCAGCATGCGTGTAAAGAAACAAGAAATGACAGATATTAGAAGAATCCGTTAGACGTCGTCACCATATTTTCTTCGTATGACTGATCTGATCCACCGTTGACAACATGAGACTTCTGCTAGGCGAGTTAGTGGATCCAGTCTTGAGGATTTCGCATCATCGGTCATTGATAGTGAGGGAGGGAGGAGGCATGGTGATTTGTCGCGATACTGTCAGCTAGCTAAACCTTCGCTAAACTATCGATATTTGGCAAAGGAATTACCTTGCTTATTCTGCTATGCAAATGGTCCAGCACGTCAGGAATGTCCCCCTTTGAATGCGGGCTTCAAAACGCTGCACGTGATCATTCACCATTGCAGTAGTACCCGCAGGACTCGCAGCCGCGATCCTCTATGCTGTTCGGTCAGCCTTAGTCAACATCGGTCGACCATAACACGGGGATCATGGTCTAACCTATCTGGAAAAGAAGAACAGTTACCCTCAATGCAACGAATTCCTGGCGGCTGTCAAAGGGCGACGCGCATGTGGCTTCGCGTTTCAGCCGATCGCCATCGCGGATCGTTTCGTGGCGCGTGACGTGAACGTTGTTTGGCCTGACAAATTCTGCGGATCGCCCACATCTGGTCGTTCCTCTTGGAAGCACAAACTACTATGTGTAATATAGGGTTGAGAAATCGGCTCACGAGATAGACTGTTCTGCCAAGCATGCGTGATCCAAGGCCTCTACTCTCTATTGCGATAGACATGAGATTCCAATCACTCTGTCTGAACGCTGCTGAGTATCTTCGCCCGTACTAGTTTGACTATTTCATGATTTCCAGAAACAGATCGGCAACATCTCACAGGTTCTGGAGGGGGCTTGTTGCACTCGGCGAGTACTCGCTCTATAAGTACTACAAGGCTGACGTTTCAGATACATCATCCTTGAAGACCTCGCTACTTTCACAATGTACCCTGGAACGAATGGCCTGTTCGTCATGCCAATGTCGTGATAAATCCCCTCGATTTAGTGCCTTGAGCGTGAATATCAGCTCTCGATCGTGGCTTGTGGAAGTTCGATCTTGAGGGTCCAGGTGGATATCGTATATAAGATAATCATTGCCGTGGTAGAGGATTCCGAGCGCCTTGCCCGGCTCGATCTCGTTCAGTATCTGCATCCATCCGTCCCATTCGGTCTCGTCCCTTGTGAAGTCGTCTTGGTGTTGACCATCAATGTATACCGATACGTAAGGACCGGTCGACGATCGGTCGGACCACCGAAGGGAAAGCTTCAGCGGCTATAACTGGTCGGTCAGCTGGAGATACAGGCAAGGTGCATGAGACGGCCTGAAACTTACGCAAAGTTGCCGTTGGTGGATATGTTCAAGAGTGTAGCCAGGAAACATGTTGAACAAACCCCAAATCGCTTTGGCTTGATTAGAGCATCCAGGAGGGTCTACGTGGGCGTAGTATGGTGGGCTCGACCGCTCAAGAGTGTAGTCAGGGTCGAGACTTGAATGCCGAGATCCAGCGGTGTCTTCGGATTGCCATCCATCATCGCACTGTTCTATCGACAGATCGCTGGCTGAGTACTCTGCCTCTTGGCTGCTGACGCTGGATCTTCCCCGCCTTCTGGAGACCAATGACATCGCTTTTCTCCACAAACCGCTGGGGGCACTTCTATTCGAGTATTGACTGCTGGAGTAGCTATTAGCGATGGACATCTTGCACGGTTCTTGTCAGTTCTCTGCTGAGACAGTTTGTCAAAGAAGCGTAATCTTTCCAGTAATCAACGTTTGGCAGTACCTATATAGTGAATTTGGTCGGGAGCTTCTCGCTCGCTTGATTTACGACACAGTGCCTCCTTTCATCTACTGAGACACGAATCGATAGTCTGTTGGTGGCAAGAACATGGCGGAGTGCCAACCAGGATAGCTCAAGGCGGTGTTCAAGGGGTAATTGATTTCATGATTACGTGTTTTGAAAGGAGCCGACCTCGAACAGCGCAGGATTAAGGGAATGCTGACAAAGGATTATCTCGAATGATCGTGAGGTAGGTCAGTCCCGTTTGAATGATATCATTCGACACAAAGGATCAAATCGGTTCTCGCGTCGCCGTCACGTTAAGAGGTAAGCAGCGAGTTTCGGGTACGGTATCGCATAGAGGAGAGTCGCGCGCTGACGAAAGTAGGGAAGGAGAAGCAAAGATCTACTCTACACGTCCCAGCAGAAAACTTTATCCTATGTCTCATCTTGATCGTCGTCTAATAATCTATATTTTCATGTTTCCGATATGCTTGAGGAGATCGTCCGTATCCCCGAGACGCTCAACAAGCTCGTCGCGCACCTCTTGCAGGGTGTCAAGCAGGTCGGCAGCGGCTGGTCCAGTGTCCGGATGGATCTCACGGAGGTTCTCGCCGAGAAATTCGATCGATGACTTTAATTTGCGGGTGAACTTCCTCCTTGAACGATTGACCTCATCTGTCGACCCGCTCTGCAGGCCAGCTTGGGCCGACGGGATATGCGACAATGCCCGCGGGACTGTAACGCGTGCGGCGACGGGGAATTCATTGCGAGACGCTGAAGTCGAGGTGGAAGCAGGAAGAACCAGACCTCCGTGCGCGTGCGGCTTTGGAGTAAGGATATCCTGAGCTCCGGAACCTCCTGCGGGCTTCAAAGCTACCTTATTAGTAGACCTTCCGCCGGTTTTGAAACTACAGCGTTGCTTGCGCAGAGAACATGGGATACACGGCGATCCGTCTCCTGTAGATAGACAGGGAACTCTTTCCATTCCAGATCTCTGTTGATCGGCGTACTGCCTTTTTTTGATGCACCAGCCACATTGATGGGCCCCTGTGAACACCTTGAGTTTGGGGTTGAGTACCATATTGTAAACCCGCTGCGATCGGGATCAATAATAGTGCAGATCAGCTTGGCACAGGAATGCGCTGCTTGTATCGAGATTCTGTACGAACCTGTTCTGGCGACGCCATGCGATCCCATGATTCATCGGCGACCTTCTCAAAGGCGCGTCTCACTACAGACACCGGATCTTGTCCAGGAGCCAATCGCTCAATCCACCTCGGGAGCTTCGCCACTGCCATCTCGTGGATCTCTCCAGTGGTGTGTTCTTCCTGGCTGGAGTCCGATTGCTCGTCAACGCAAACCTCATCGGGAGTCTGTATGCCGTTCGCAGTGCCTTCCGGGACCTCGGCGTTGCGCCAGGTCGAAGCACTTGTGACTTTGATCAACGTTCGGATAGAGCTCTCCGCTTTGTCCTTAGCCTTTCGAGATCTCCTGGCCGGGGCGAGATCTGCGGTATCAGACTCGGAGCTGTCGGCCTGGTACTTCGGCCTCCCGGATGGAACGAAGGTCCCCTCGTCAGACTCGGATCGGTCGTCGTCGGGATGCCCGTCCGATGCAAAGTCGCCGTCCGGATCGACCAATCTCTGGCGCGGTTTCATGAGAGGTTGAGGATAGGTAGGGGGTGGAGAGGTCGAGATGTCTTCCGGACTTTGACTAGAGGTGTGCTGTGCATCATAAAGAGGCAGAGATTAGCTTCTCGATTTGACAGGAATGTCCCAGTCAGTCAAGATATACCTCGCGTAATTGAGGCGGTGGCCTCTTTTTTCGGGGAGTGTCGGGATCGCGTTTTCTTTTGCGATCGGTCGCGACATTGTTATCGTCCTCGCGATTGCCGCTTGTATCATCATCGCTGTCGGTGTCGAGCACAATCACTGTGCTACCGCACGATTCGCTACGAGAAGCCTTTCTCGGAGAATCCTTCTCCAGCTTGACAGGTGTGGCGTCCGTTTCGGCCTGTTCTGTTTTCACTTTGACCCGCTGCGAAGACAGCATGGCCACAAGCTCTTCTCTAGAACAGTTTCTGAAGTCCATCGTATCTAGCTGGGAATGACGTTGCGTGTATAAGTGGATCATGTAATGCGCAAGATAGTAACAGCGTGACAAGCTACTCACCACAATTCAACTGATACTGAGGGTTCGCGTTTAGTAAGACGAGAACCAAGACGGCAAGTTCGCGTAGTCGTTCAGGAAAGGTTCTTGGATCTTTGTTCCCTATATACCTCAATCGATATATTGGGCGAGTACGAAATAAGGAAGACGCGATGACGATGACAACAACAACTACATAGCAACAACGATGAAACCCTAATTTCACCTGACGCGATCGCGTATCATTTGGCTCGTCACCCCCAAAAGCTCAAAGGAGGGTCATCGTCGGTAAGATCTGAGACAAAGGATCAACGTCCCCCCGATTGTCCGAAGATCGGATGTTCTATAGCCTTCGATCTTCCTGAATACTTTTCCCTACAGGCAGGACCAAGTATCATTATTGGCCAGGAAGTGGTCAATAGTTGCACGCAGAACGTAAAGCCAGCGCGAGTCCTGTTCTGTCTAGTGCTGCCAACAATTACGAGTATCACGAGTATATAATCGTACTCGTAATCATTTGCGAATATGAGTACGAATACGAATACCTTGATTTTCTTGATCACGATTATGAGTACGAATACGATTACATGTGCGAGTATAATCGAGTATATAATCATCAAAAAGTGTGATGTAGAGTGTTGCAGGGCGGTGTTGCAGGGCGGTGTGGGAGATAGGCAGACACTCATTCAATCAAAAAGAATAACAAAAAGAATCAGCGCTCAACCACCCAGAAGTAGCTGTTAAGCCGGCATCTGTTCACGGTGGTTGCTAGGACCTTAGGTGCGGAAACCTAGAAGCCCGTTGCGGATCCTGTAAAATAGAATTGAAAAGGGCAAAACTCTGGAAAAGCAGGCTGCGCCGTGAGTCGAACTCATGACCTGACCTGACTGACCTAACCGTCAACATTATGCACCGTAATCCACTATACTAAAAGGAAAGTCTTGTTGAGACCTGTTTGCACAAGCTTATAGCACTAGGCTTGCCCTACTTCCCTCCGATGCAGGACTTGAGACGTGGGTCACATAGGCTTGGTAGGCCTGTGAATTCAAACTCACGACAACATGTAAATACTAACATATGGCTTGCAGATCAGACACAACTTCACACCTTTTTTATAACACAACTGAGAATATAAATCATAGTCATGTCTACTGCTGGGACAATCAGATTACACCTTTCTGCAAGTCAGGTCAACGAAGACCACTCCCCAGATCATGACCGGATAGTGTCCTGGGCAGCTAGCATACCTTCAGACCGGTTAGTTCCCTTTGAGAAGTGGATCCAAGCTAAGCAGCCTACAGGAGACTATACTGGACCTGTACCCACCTACTCCCTTCGATTCGATTGGACAAAGGAGGAGGCTCTCGGGCCAGCTGGGGTCATCAACGAAGCCATGGATGATTGCTTCGGATTGAGAACCTTTCCTGGTTGGGGTATCTGGATTCGAGGGGACCAGTTGAATCTGGTCATCAAGGACTTCCGTACTGAACTGGCCAAACTCCTAAATGCTGGAGCCGAGACAGGTCTTTTGGACGGGTGGGCTACATCGTTGATGCAGGAGTTGGAACGAATGTGAGTTTCTCCACGTCCCACCTGTAGGCGATCATGCTACTAATGGGCTTTACAGTCATGCCCTCAATCCAGCTGCTAGTACAAACCTGCCCTTGGCAGTCCCTGGCCTATCCACCCCATCTGCTATCAGAAGATCAACCCGGTCACCCAGCCCAAGGATTGACCGGAATGCTGTACCGTTTGCACGGACAGTCCCCACAGAACATGTCCGATCGAGCAAGGGCATGGAGCAAGGCTACCAGGTCATCAGTAGTGACGAGCAGGGAGATGACTTGGCTAGTCAAGGTGTTGAAAGTATATTCTCAACCCAAGGTTCTACCAGGAGTGTGTTGCCGTTTAGCAGTCAAGCGGCCAACACAAAGAAGGGAAAGACCGCACGCTATAGGAAAAGGCAAAGAGTGAGTTCTGCCATTCATCCCTCTTCCTGTACGATCAGATATGCTGACCAAAGGATCAGAGTCAAGCTGATCTGAGCAGTGAAGAGGAGCATGCCATCCGCCATGGAGATGAGGACGTATTCCAGGACTATCCTGTAGCCTTGTCGAAGCGAAGCCAAAAGGCAAGCGAAAAGGAATCGATACCTGCAACTCAAAGCAGAACTCCTACGCCTAGCACTGGAAGCACATCCGCTGTTGTATACCTCTATTACGACAAGGTTTATGACTTGGAGGGAAACTGCCGATACCTCTGCAAAGGATGTCCTCCATCTCGGCGGAAGGAAGGATTAGTGGCTAAAACCACAACGAACTTGATCAAGCATCAGGCAGTCTGCCCCGGTCTAGCCACTGCTGTTGCGAACAAGCATCCAGGGCTGGTTCCATCAAATCGTGACAAATATCTCAAGTCGCAGAGCAATCAGCTCACGATCAGCCCAAGCTCAGGGTTCTTGCAAACACCATGGTCGGACAAGACCCTGAAGGCCAAAATATTGAGGATGATATCGGTGGAGTCTCTACCCTTCTCGCTGGTTGACTCACAGTCATTCAAAGATCTCATTCAATACTGCCATGAAGGCGCGTCTATTCCCGGCCGGACAACTATCAGCAACATGATCAAAAGTTCATACGAACTTGTCAAGACAAAGGTGGATCACACGGTGCTTGCTGCCAGCAAAGACACCTTCATCCATTATGCACACGACAGCTGGACAGATAGTTCCTGCCGCAACTGCTATATTGGGATCTACGCATCGTGGATGAATGCAAACTTTGAGCTGCAAGAGATCTTACTCAGGTTCATGCATCTCAAAGGCAAGCACTCTGCGGTGAGACTAGCCAACGGTCTACTGTCTGTGTTCAGCACTATTGGTGTTGCCAACCGACTTGGCCCAGGCACTGGGGACAACGCGTCCACCAATAAAGCTGCAGCCATTCACCTTGCTGGCCGCCTTGAAGCAGAGGAGCTGTACTCACTGGATGGATCACACATAATCGGGTGCATGTGTCACATTCTGAACCTAGCCGCACAGGACTTCTTGAAAAATGAGGGTGAGCAATCGTGCATGAAAACAGATGCCACATCGTTGGGACTGAAACCCCATCTCACAGGTACCCTTTCAACCGATGATTACCCTGAGAGTGTGGATGCATCTGTGCCAAGCATACGAGTCGTTGGGGTGTCCTCGACCAGAGCATTGGTTGATCGTTCAGCTCAGATGGAAACGGATGAAGGAGATGTTATTGAGCTGGCCTCTGATGAGGGGGAACACAGCGAGGAGGAAGAACCAGTTACTAGGACACCATCAAACATGGTACGCAGTAATTTCTGGTCCGACGTCTAATCCACAGCAAAAGGATATTGACCCAGTATCAATTTAATAGATTTCACAAGAGGACAAAGTCAGACGAGAGGCCTACAACAAATCTCCAGTCGGAAAGGTGCACAACTTTGCCAAGTTTGTGTTGGCAAGCCCAAGCCGTCGTGAAGAATTTCACAAGATCCTGCAGGCAAAGCAACCCGATCTGCGAAGAGGTTTGCTCCCTCTTGCCGATGTCCGGACTCGTTGGAACTCTACATATGAGGCTATTTGCCGGATCCTACTATTGAAGGAAACTGTTATAGCATACAGTCGTATGTTTGGCGAGGATGGATGTCCCATGCTTGGACGGGACGTCTTTCAGGCCCTTGAAACCCTCAAGTTACCGCTCGCCTCTTTTCAAGGCTTGACCAAGCGATACTCAAAAGTCGAGGTCAATATTCATCGGGTCCTGGTGGATCTGAGCGTGCTCATCCAGACTCTGCAAGCTGGCATGTTGACATCAGCACCAGACCGCAGGAGCTCATTCCGTATGGCCATTACGAAATTGCAGAAGTATCTGCGCATCATGCTGCAGAACGACTGGATATGCGCAGCTACTATCCTCAATCCATACATGCGGGAGAGGGGCTTTAGCAAATTGGCGGAAGCCAATGACCTTTCAAATCCTCGTACCAGAACGGAGGAGGTGGTTGCTTGGATCTTGAGACGAGCTGGCAGCTACGAGGCATCTGGCGGCACGCCTGAGGGGTCACAAGATTACCAAATGGATACGCAAGATGACATGCTTGACCTGCTCGAAAGCAACCCATTCGAATTGGCACACTCTAGTCAGGATGTTGGGACTTCTAGCGGAGATGAAATCAAGGATGCTTGGAACGAATTCAATGCTCAACAGCCTGTCAACCACGACACCAAGCCAAAACCAACCAGAGTTCCTGGTCAATCCATGCTAAGGAATGAGCCTATCGAAGCTTATTGGAGGCGTCAATCTCTCTCCAATTCTCGCTTACAACCATTGACAAGGGTAGCTCGAGACCTCCTAGCTATACGTGCATCTTCCACCAGTGTCGAGCGATTGTTTTCACAATCGGGTAACACATTGGGGCACAGGCGGAAGGCAATGCAGCCAGAGATGGTCCTCAAGCAGACGTCACTCAAGATCTGGGATGCTCAAGGGTTATGTTTGATGAAGGATATTGAAGCAGTTTGTTGAGCTCCGTTTATGTCATTGTGAAACACGGTTCATCATGCGCGCCAAATCAATGCTTTTTGGAACCCAACCTGGTATGAATATACTCGAGTATATATTCACTGAATACGAATACAATACTCGTAATCGTGGGTAGATTACGAGTACGAATACGAATATCAGATGTCATCATCAAACGAATATGAATACGATTACGAATATACTCGTTTGGCAACACTAGTTCTGTCGCGCATCGGCCGATAGGCAAAACGGGCAAGGCAATGTTTGTTTGCATTCCTACATGTTTCAGGTACAGACATTCCCGAAACAACGGCATAGATTCCAGAGGGAATGACGTGTGTGCCGGGGCCGCATTCCAGATCTTCGCTCGCACCCTGTGCTTCGTGATACTTCGCGCCCAAGGCGTCCCGTCGACCTTCGAACTTGAACAACGCCAAGTGCCTTGCGATATGTGGTTTGGGGAGTCGGCTCATATGGTATCTTATTACATAGGATTCGAAGCTGACATGTCGCGATATATGTTCACAAGCTATACTGACGTCAAGGGTTCTCAAACTGGAATTGTCCCGTACTGTGCTTCGGTGCCCTCGACGATCTTACGATCTACCCTTTTTGACTTCCTTCAAAAGTTCTTCCGTGTCTCGAAGGCGCTCCTGAAGCTCCCGGGCCATCTCCTTCAAGGTGTCTTCAACAGCATCACCCAATCTTCCACCCGGATGAATCGCTTCGAGGCTTCTATTGAAGAACTCGCACGATTCCCCCATCTTCCGAACAAGGCGCTTCTTGAGCCAAGTGACTTCCTCTGCGCAGACAGAGTTCTGAGGAGCTGTTGCGCGAGCGATTGCGGAGCTTGGCCCAGCCTGAGCGGGTTCATTGATAATGACGCCGGTTTTCACGGCAGTAGTAGTGGCGGTAGGGGCAGCGTCGGTAAGAGTAGTGGGGGTAGGAGCAGTATGGGTAGGAGTAGTATGGGTAGGATTGGCGTCGGTAGGAGTAGTGTCGGTAGGAGTAGTGTCGGTAGGAGTAGTGTCGGTAGGAGTAGTGTCGGTAGGAGTAGTGTCGGTAGGAGTAGTGTCGGTAGGAGTAGTGTTACTAGAGGCAGCATCGGTTAGAGTAGCGTCCGTGAGGGTAGCGTTGGTGGGGATGGTACCGGTCTGACTTGTGCGAGAGCCAGATGTCGAAGCAGTTGGAGTGAGGGAGGCACGAGGCGCATCGTTGCGCGGTTCGAGCTGAAGCCTCGACTGCGCGGAAGGAACCGCCGGTGGCTTCGGATCCGCCTTCCTTCGTTCCTCAGTGAAACTACAACCTTGCTTCAGAACAGCGCAGGGAATGCAAGGTCGACCTTCTCCCAAAGATAAACAAGGGATACGTTGCATTTCGGGAGGGGGTTTTGGTCCCTTTGCGTTGTTTTGCTGATTGCTTTTTTGAAAGCAGTACTTGCATTGGTGATCCCCTGCGAGAAGTTTAATTTCGGAGACGGCGACGGACGCGGCAAGGTTCTGCAATTAGAGTATCCTCGGATCAGCATACATATGTTGTGTACTAGCTCGTGAAGCGTGTCCATTCTCACCCTCTCGCTCTTGGTGATGTGATCGGGAAAGTCATCGACGACCTTCTGAAACGCACTCCTCACCGCAGTCACAAGGTTTTCAGGACAGGTCGAATTTTGGATGAACCTTGGAAGCTTGGTAAGTTTGGCGTGCAGCGAGGCCGTAGGAGTGGGCTCAAGGTCTGAGGGCTCAAGATGCTCTTCCGTGGCCGAGGTCGGAGAAGAAACGGCCGCATTGTTCCAGTCAGGACCGTTGATGACTTGTGTGAGCGTCATGATACAGTCTCGAGCTTTATCTTTGGCAGCTCTGGGCGGACGATTATCGCTCGGAGTCTCTGACTGGGATTTGTTTGTGTCACTATCGGTGGAGAAGTCATCCGGATCGAAATACTTTTTGCGAGACTGCCTGGGAAGTCGAGATCGAGGGACGACGGGGGCGGGAGAGGACGAGTCTTCCCCAGTGTACTGACTAGGCGAGTAGCTCTGGAGTCGAGAGATGAGCAACGGTCAGATGACGACCAGAGCCACACTCGATGGACACTCACTTGTCGTAGTTGAGGAGGAGGCCGTTTCTTCTTCTTAGGTGTATCTGGATCGCGCTTACGTTTGCGCTCGGTAACGTCGTCGTGATACTCGTCTTCAACAGGACTCTCTTCTAGATCAGCGTCAAGGACGATCACGTCGGCTTCCGTCTTGACCGAAGCATGAGTCGTCTCGACGGTCTCTTGCTTGATCCTGATAGGTGGACCCGCTTTTCGGAGCTCGGCCAGAAGCTCTTCTCGAGAAAGATGTTCGTAATCCATGCTTTCTTGATGGCGTGAAGCAGCAAACGACCGTCAATCCTCGCCCTCGCCTTTGACCCAGTGTTTGGGTCTGGTTGGAACCAAAATGATGACTAGACTCACATCGATGCAACGAATGACTTAGATTGAGCAGAGGGGTCTAAAAGGTCGAGGTAGCAACTACCTTGGTCGGATTGTCATGAGGCCTTCTTTTCTCTTTTTCCGCTGATCTCTGATAGTGTTCACCCTTCCCACCGAGACCATGGAGATGGTGATTTTCGCAACAAGCAGTCGAAAGCGGGAACCCGTCGTCGATCATATCATTTGGCTCGTCACCCCAAAAAACCCGGAGATAACTGATCGCCGAGAGCTGAGACAAGTGACATCATTTTCGGTTACTTCGTTACGTATGACCCTCAAAAGAAGGGAAGAGAATGCAACACGGTTGATATCGTATTTCGTATGGCGGTTATACTGGGCCGTTTGTTCCAACCGATTGACGCGCGGACCACGACTCTAGCGTCGCGCGGACCACACCAGCGCCATCAAAATACCCCACCGAGCAAAAAAACTAACATAAGCTCCCCAAAACTTCTCTAATGAACTCAAAAAGGGATCCTATTTGGCGACCGACACAGCCTTATGAGACTGAAAAGTGATCAGCCTGTCGTCAGCCTACATCAGCCTGAGTCGGCCTGACTCTACCCACCTCAGACATAGTTCTTGTATCTCCGTAGTCATGGCCGACACAACCTATGAACTTCAATTGCTGGTCGCTGAGCATGTCGAAACCGTTCAACTTCCCGCCAGACGATTTTTAGCCCAATCGCCCGATGAGAGAGATCCAGGCCAGATACCAGCATATCTACATGCTCTCGACGACCTTGGCCACTGGCTTAATAGCAACGTCAAAGGCAAACTCCCCTTGGACGTCAGCCGTAATCATATTCAAGGATCGATAGCTCTACGAGATGAGATACACGCATGCTATCAAGCACTTCTCCGTCAACCGACTTCGTTTATCAATCGGGCTCCCATGCAACCTTTAGAACGGGGTGGTTACGTCCTTGACGTAGACACAGATGCCTTGGAGCAGTTAACTAAGGCTGGGTTTACCGACACTGAGATCGGTCAACATCTAGGCTGCTCACGATCGACTGTTATACGGCGAAGACGGATGATCCAGCCCATAACAAAACGGCAGGCTAAACACCTTGTCAGTGAAGACAACCTCCGCGAGCTGATAATCAATCATCAGTCTTCGCAGGATGGTGAAATGCTGGGTTACCGTACTATACAGGGTCATCTGAACGGACAAGGGGTACATGTTACCCGCGAACAAGTTAGGGAGCTTGTACGGGAACTCAATCCTACTTCAACAAACCTACGCAGAGCTGTGCTGCAGGCTCGCAGAGTGTACAAAGTCCCCTTTCCTAACTCCCTTTGGCACATCGACGGACAACACAAACTCATCAGATGGAAGTTTGTTATACACGGAGGCGTTGATGGCTACAGTCGTGTGTGTGTCTTCATGCGAGCTAGCGATAACAATCGGGCTGAGACAGTAGGGCAACTGTTCTCGGAGGCTGCAGAAGCTTGGGGATGGCCTCAACGAGTACGAGTTGATTATGGAGGGGAGAATTATGCCATTTGGCGGCAGATGATAGCTATTCGGGGTATGTCAGCCTGTGATTATACGCTTCACGTATACTAATCAGGCTCGGCATACAGACACCGTCAAAGCTCCATTCATTCGGGGCAAATCGACAAGTAACACGCCCATTGAACGTCATTGGAAAAGTGTCGGCGAGAAGTTTACCCAGAAGTATTCCCGCACATTTGCCAGGCTCGAATATCAGCACGACTTGGATCCCGACAGTCCCATCGACATATTCTGCCTTCATCACTGTTTCCTCCCTCTTCTCAATATCACTATTGACGAACACATACAGGCACACAATTACCATCCCAGTGCGACAAGAGGTACACGCGGTTGGGCACCCTATCGTACATGGATGGACGGTATCCTACAGGCTGCACGTAGAGGTATGGATCTCGATCTATACCCTACAGACGTAGACGAAAACGGATTTACGGATGAGGTTTTAGAGGGAGACGAGAATGAAGATGATGATGACGTAGATGCAGACGCTCGCCGACAGGTTCTGAATTGGCCATCAGAGCAACAGAGGGCGGACCAAAACACAATAGCTCAACACACGGACCCGTATGTTCAGGTAGAACGATATCATGAGCTCCTACCCCCTCTACTCAAGGATCCCGACTTCCGTATTACCATGTTTCATCATTTCCCTCCGCCAACGCAACATCTTCGCCAGTCTGGCAACAGACTGTTCGACACAACACAGTACTTGGCTCTCCGTACTTGGGTATACGACTCGCTATTAGCCTTAGAAGAAACTGGTAATCAGCCAACGTGATCAGATCACCGCAGGCAAAACAGGCTGTAACCAATCAAATCCATGAACGAACAAAAGAATTGATGGCATCAATCTTCTATCGAAGAAAAATTGCAAGCGATCAAAAACAACAAATCGTGTTTGTTCGACACGTCGACGTGTCGGAGAGAAGAAGCAAGAAGGTAACAAGTAATCCGACATATACCACATACTTACACAATCCTTCGTATCTCGACCTTTTACTTTCGTACTCTCTAGATCTCCAGCAAATAACAGGCCAACCGTCAACCTTCTAGACATCATCACACGCAACGATGCCTACATCCCCTCCCCAACCTCCAGCTCTGCCGTCATGCCCGGCCGACCGTCGTGAGTTATCTTTTGACGAGAACTACCTTCACTTTCGTACACCAAACGTACACAGCCTGTACGCAGGCTGACAGGCTGACATCCTTGTTATTTAATCGACAGTCTTCCCGGACTGGCTGGAAGAGCAGACGCAAGAAGTACGGGACGCGTACTACCTTGCGTCGCAGGGTAAGTTTGAGCTCGTTTATCTTCTATCGTTCGATGTTATCATGTACTGACAAACGATGTATATGGGGTTGGGTTTTATCTAGCCGTTCGTAACAAGGCAGTTATGAAGGCAGCTAAGGAGCGGCTGGAGGCCGCGAATCTGGAGAAGAAGAAGAGGGACAACGATATGTTGGCGGTCGTAAGTCTCTCCGGTCTTTTAGGCTTCGTACGTGTAAGCATACCTTTAACTTTTGCTCCGTCTTTTGCCTTTGCGTTCAGGGCGAACAACTATCGGAGTGGGTGAATGATGCAGGCTTCCGGGGCCTGATGAAGACCACGTTGGCGGCATGGGAGAGAAGTAAGTTCATATATGTTTTCGATCTCTATCTTCTTCTTCTGTTGTACACTTTCAGCATCGAGCGATAGCTGACATCTACCAAATATGTTTGTACTTCGTTTCAATAAAGAGCATCCCAACCTCGCCAACCTCCCCAAGACCCCCGACAACAAGAACGCGGAGCTGCCGGACACTTCGGCAGGCAAAGGGAAGGAGAGGGCGAGCGATGACCCTCTCGCCGAGCTCAACGAGAGGCTGAAGGCTCTCGAGACGGAGAAGGCGAACCTCTCCAAACGAGTCGGCAAGAAGGTCGAGAAGCGGGCTCGGGACGAGTCGGATGAAGAGGAGGACGACATCGAGGTCGTCTCACATACCAGGAAGTCGCCGAGGAAGGGGAAGGCGACGTCGGCGAGGGGAAGGGGCGGGGCATTCGTGTTGCCCGCAACAATACAGCCTGGGTTTGCACCGACGGCTTGGAAGAAGGCGGAAGTGAGTAACTTTTTGTTCGATTCAGCCTGAACAGCCTGTACAGCCTAATCAAAAGAGAATATGTATGCTGATCAGCCCGTATTTGACTGTTACAGAAAGCGTGGGCGCTTTTGAACGACCCCAAGGCTGTCAAGGTCTTGGGAGACCATCGGTGCCAGCTCACGTCTGCGTGTTCAAGGAGGGCGAACCTGGGTGTTGTGTTCGGTGCATCTGGCGTAATCGGGACGACGAGTGCAACTTTGCGGTCGAAGTTCCCAAGGTCAAAGAGCGTAAGCCTGATATCGCTACGCTCGAGACCACCGCCGAGGCTTCGACCTCGACCACCGCCCCGCCTGCCCCTCCCGCCAACCCCGCCCCTCCTGCTCCCCCCGCCCCCAACCCATACCTCCCTGCGACCTGGCAGCAGTATGCCTGGCCGACATACTTCGGTGGCCAACCACCTGCCGGCGCTCCCTTCCCGTTCGGTAATCCTTGGCCTCCTCGTTAAGTCTTGAACGGCCTTTTTATAATTTGTATTCTCAAATATGTCTTTCTTTATATCATACGAGTGGATTGGCGTCTATGTGTACAACTTCAGCCTGAACTTCGTGCAACATCTTTACTTGAAGCCTTGGGAGGTCTCCCAGATCGTCGAAGGGCGGGTGCGACTGTTTGTAGAACACTTTCCGATGTCACTGCTTTGCGTTTGCGGCCTTTCGTGCTTGCTACAGGTATAGACGTTGGTGCCGGCTCAGGCAATACCATTTCCGATATAGGCTGTTGTACGGTTGGTGTACCAAGTTCCGCCTGAGCTTGTATAGCAGGCGTCAAATCCCTCTCATCCGTTTCCTCAATCGTATTCAGCGTACGAGCAGGTACCTGCTCAGGCTTATCAGCCTGAACAGGTGTGGCTGATTCGTCTGGTGCTGTACCTGGCAAGGCGGGAGGTGTAATGCTTTTCTCCCTGTCATAATTGTTGATAGGGAGGTCTGGCTCCCACGCTGGAAAGTCATCGAAACCACCTGCAGGATCCAATACGTCCGCAAACTCTGCATGCTCATCCAAAACCTTAGCCACGATCTCCTTGAATCGGCTGGCACCCAGGATGTCGAGCTATTTGTATAGCACATCCTCAAAGTCTTGCTCGCTGAGTGCAGGTGTTGTTCTGCAAACGGGAGAGGATGGGCGGACGGGAGAAGTCAAATCGACTATAGTAATAGAATTACAAAACAGCGTTAGCATAATGAAGGTTGATCATGTATAAGCTTCGAAGTCTGTGCTTACCTGGCTCGATAGCTGTCTGAGGCTGAGATTTCGCCTTCACCTTTTTAGGCTTAGGCTTAGACGGATTGATGTCTGGGAGTTCGTCTGCATCTGATGTAAATCCAGACGTTTGGTATGCTTCGCATTGTTTCCGATGTACCGTCATACGGTCAGGTGGAAACGATGCGAAGCAGTAAATGCAGCGAGACAACCGATTGTCTTCTTCAGGCTTGATATAAACCTTGACGTCTTCCTCTTCATCTGAATCCAGCACAGATATCGCTCTTCTTTTGCCCTTCTTGGGGAGCTCGTCCCATGTCACAGGATCACGATCTATGGCTGCAGCCATAGATCGTCGGAAGATGATGTTGTATTATAGGCGTCACGTGACGCGCGACCTACGGTGCGCGTCGCCTCGGGGTCTCGTTCGGAGACCCTCTCGGAGACTCTCTCGGAGACCTTTTAGGAGATGTTCTCGTAGACGTCTAACTAGTACCTTGTAGTAGTTAGACATCCGTTATTACGTTGCTATGCCTACCGTTACCTTTCCCCAGTCCCGCGACCTTATTACCTCAAGACCAGGCAGGTCGTCTGCCAGGCCTTTTAGAATAACGGATCACCAAAGGACCCCGGCTGGGAACGCGAAAGGGGGTAGTGATGGGATCCCGCTGCACATCGGTGCTAGCGGTAACCCTAGTGGTCCGGAGAGCCACCTCACTCTGGTAGGAGTGTTCTACCCGCAGGGAATACCTGTGCAGGCAGTGATGATGGTAGATTCGGGAGCCACGGGTATGTTTATGGATCGGACGTTCGCGCGGATCCATAACTTTGATGTGATAGACCTAGAGAGTCCTAGGACCGTCACGGTCATCGATGGAAGAGAGATTGTGGGTGGTCAAATCACCCAAAAGGCACATGCTATTGTGCGAACGGGATTGCACCAGGAGAAGGCGGAGTTCTTCTTGACGGATTTGTGTGGGTACGCGGCGGTCCTCGGGATCACATGGTTACGACACCATAGCCCACACATCCAGTGGGACACGAATACAGTAACCTTTGCGGACGACTGTCTGAAGAAAGGATGTGTCAAGAAGGTAGAGGTAGTATGCTCCCCCGACAAGGTGGAGATAGAGACGCGGAATATCGATCCGCTGTCGAGAATGAAGGAGCCGATCACGGAGAATCTCGTGGTGGCTCAAATGCAGATGACGAGGGAGGACGAGGAGCGGGCCCGCAGGCCAGACCTGTGGGATTGGGACGTCAAGCCCACCGACTCGATTCAAAACGAGCTCGATCCTCCCGAGTACATGGAGAAGTTACGGGACGTAGTGCCGAAGAAGTACCACGAGTATCTCGGAGCGTTCTCCAAGACGAAGGCAGACTCGCTGCCTCCGAAGCGTTCGATCGACCATGCGATCGAACTGAAGCCTGGCACAACTCCCACGTATGGGAAGTTGTACAACCATTCGCAGAAGGAGACGGACGCTCTCAAGGCGTGGTTGGCGGAGAACCAGGCGAAAGGGTTTATCCGACCCTCAAAATCCTCGTGTTCGAGTCCGGTACTGTTCGTACCGAAGAAAGGGGGTGAATTGAGGCTGTGTATCGACTACCGTCGCCTCAACGAAATTACCGAGAAGGACAGGACCCCCCTGCCGCTTATCTCGGAGACCCTAGATCGCCTACGGGGGTCGAAGGTATATACGAAGATGGACCTGAGAGGAGCGTACAACCTCCTGAGGGTCAAGGAAGAGGATGTTTGGAAAACCGCGTTCACGACACGCTATGGTCTGTTCAAATGTCTCGTCATGCCATTCGGTTTGACAAACGCGCCGGCGACGTTCCAGCGCTGGATGAATCAGGTCTTCCAGGACATGTTGGACGTGTGTGTGGTCGTCTACTTAGACGACATATTGATTTACTCCGCCGACCAGGAGACACACGACGAGCACGTACGGGAAGTGCTGAAGAGGCTACAGGCAAACGGCCTGTATGCAAAGGCGGAGAAGTGTGAGTTCGACACGACGGCGACGGAGTTCTTGGGGTATGATATTGCCCCTACAGGGGTCAGCATGAACCCGTCGAAGGTGAAGTCGGTGTTGGAGTGGGCGGCGCCTCGAAATATTCGAGGCCTGCAGTCGTTCTTGGGGTTCGCGAATTACTATCGCCGGTTCATACAGAACTACTCCAAGAAGATCCAAGGCATGACGGCCTTGACGAAGAAAGGGGTGAAGTACCACTGGCCGGAGTCAGCGGACGCTGCCTTCAAGGAGTTGAAGAAGGCGTTCACCGAGGCGCCCATCCTCGCCCACTACGACGAGGAGCGCCAGGTGGTACTGGAGACGGACGCATCGTCAGGTGCAATGGGGGCGGTGATGTCGCAGGCAGGGGACGACGGGAAACTACATCCCGTGGCGTTCATGTCGAAGAGCCTTACATCGGCTCAACGAAACTACGACGTACACGATCGCGAGCTGCTCGCCATTGTGTACTGCTGCCAGATATGGCGGCATTACCTGGACGGGAAGTTCCCGGTGAGGATCCTTACGGATCACAAGAACCTGGAGTACTTCAAGAAGGACAAGATGTTGTCCCATCGACAAGCGAGGTGGTCTCAGTTACTGAACCAGATCTCGTACACATTGGAGTACAAGCCGGGGACGGAAAACGGGAAGGCTGACGCGCTCAGCAGAAGAGAGGAGTTGATGGAGGAGACGGAGCCTAAGCAGGCAGAGACCCTGTTGCGCCCCGTCAATGCAGACGCGCTGGTGGTCAGCGCAGCGACGGTACAACCCCCGTTGCGGTTGTGCGGAACGATCCCCGTCATAGGAGATTGGTTCCTGAAGGCGTTGATCCCTGCGGGACAAGAAGATCCGGTCGCGAGAGACCTAATCAAAGGCGTCAAGGAGGGAACCTTGACGAACAGTCGGTACAGCTTGAGCCCGGGAGGCGCGCTCATGTACGACGGGCTGGTGTATGTTCCCGATGCGGGAAGCTTGAAGACGGAGCTCTTGAAGAGGCTCCACGATGGGAAGACCGCCGGACACTACGGGCGGGACAAGACGGAGGACCTGGTAAGTAGAGATTTCTACTGGCCGGGCATGAAGATGTGGATTAGCCAGTACGTGGCCAGTTGCGACAAGTGCCAGAGGAATCGGAGGCCGAGGGCCAAACCAGTTGGTGAACTGGCTCCCCTGAAGGCGGAGACGGAGCCCTACCAGTCGATTACGTGGGACCATATCACGGACCTACCGGAGTCGAGGGGTTCGAACGCGATCCTGGTGATCGTCGACCGCTTCAGCAAGCGGGCACATTTTGTGCCTTGTCGGAAGGACAACGACGCCAAGGTCTTGGCGCAGATGTTCCTGCAAGAGTGGGTACGGTTGCACGGGTTCCCCCGGCAGATCATCTCGGACAGGGGAACGCTGTTCACGTCGAGGTTCTGGAGGGAGTTCTGTGAGTTGTCCGGTGTCGAGCCTAGTTACTCGACCGCCTTTCATCCTCAGACGGATGGTCAGACGGAACGTAGTAATTCGACGCTCGAACAGTACCTGCGGACGTACGTCAACTACCAGCAGGACTATTGGACCGATTTGTTACCCATGGCGGAGTTCGCCTACAACAACTCGAAGCACTCGGCAATCGGCATGTCGCCGTTCATGGCATCGGAAGGGCGAGAGCACGCCGTCGAACTCCCCATGCCCATCGCCAAGGATTCGGCCGTGGAGTCGATACAGGAGTACAGGGAACGGATGAACAACATCTGGGAGTCTGTTAATGTCGCGCTGAGACAGGCCAGGGAGGATATGGCGAAGTACGCGAATCGGAAGCGTACGGCGGTACCGGATGAAGGGTACAATGTTGGCGACATGGTGATGTTGTCGTCGGCTCACGTCAATACCGTGAGGCCGAACAAGAAGTTGGAATGGAAGACCTACGGCCCGTTCAAGATCACGGAGGTCGTAGGGGAAGGTCGCATGGCGCGACGTTTGGAGTTGACACCGGGGATGCGTAGAATCCACCCGGTGTTTCATGTTTCGCTGCTCATCCCGTACAAGCCGAACGAGCTTCCCGGGAGAGCAGTAGACCCACCCCCTGAGCCAGAGGTGCTGGACACCGGAGATCTGGGGTGGGTGGTATCGGAAATCGTACACTCCAAGGAGTTGCGTTCAACGCGCGCCGGGCGTAGGACCCAGTACTACGTGCGCTTCGAGGGGTACGGGGACGAGCACAACGAGTGGGTTAGCCCATCGGATTTCCACCACGACGATGTGCTTGTGCTGGAATTCCATAAGCGACACCCTGAGCTGCCGGTGCCGGGTCGACAAGAGTACGGCAATGCTTGATGCGTTCGGAGCTCGCATCTAGGAGGGGGATCCTATTATAGGCGTCACGTGACGCGCGACCTACGGTGCGCGTCGCCTCGGGGTCTCGTTCGGAGACCCTCTCGGAGACTCTCTCGGAGACCTTTTAGGAGATGTTCTCGTAGACGTCTAACTAGTACCTTGTAGTAGTTAGACATCCGTTATTACGTTGCTATGCCTACCGTTACCTTTCCCCAGTCCCGCGACCTTATTACCTCAAGACCAGGCAGGTCGTCTGCCAGGCCTTATATGTTGTCGTACGCTGGATCGGACCAAGTGTCAGGGACAATAAAAGCCAGAGACTCGTTGGTGTAAAGCTGTTTGAGCGTCGCAAGCTCGGTCGACCAGGGTGAATGTAGACGATCAGGCTGGAAATTACGAGACGCAACCGTCAAGACTGCCCATTGCCAGAGCTGTGGTAATGGTGTTCCTGCGGTGCGAAAGACCGATTCAACATGCCGAGCAGCGTCTGTGGCTGTCATGCTCGTGTTGAAGTGCACATATTGTATGTGCTGCATAGCTTCCAGTGCTTCGACCGTACTGGATTGATGTCCTCGTACAGAAAATCCTGTTTTCAGGCGTTCACGTACAAACGAACCGCACGCAATGAAAACGACCTGCAAGTCAAGTTCAGTATGTACTTGCCCTTGCAGAGAAACACTATACGTACTCTGCTTTGCCTGGATATCTTCATATCCTTCGTCTTGGCTGGCCCAGGCTGATAGACCTGTTGCCCCACCCCACCTCTAACCGAGTAGCCTCCATTTGCCAATCGTCTATGACTACCGACTCCAGAATGTGCACCGGCCGTTTGCTTGGCAAATGTAGGCGGAGCTCTTGCCAGAAGGTTGTCGAGCTTTCTGCCAGGGGCAATGTACGGTGCAACCTTTTGCGGAGCTGTGACATCTCGTTGAGCCGACTGTACAACCTCTGGGGGAGCAGATGCCGGGGTTGTATTCGTGCGGAGACCTTGAGGAGGTGGAAGAGGGGGGGCGACGCCAGCAGCAGGAGGTGGGTAGCCTGTATCAGCCTGAGCAGGCTGACTTCCTGGTGCGATAGTAGGAGCAGCAGGCTGAGCCATTCCCATGGTCAGGAGAAGAGTTTGAAACGCCTGGAGGGCTTCGGGAGTGATGGCAGGGAGAGCTGGAGCGGACATGATTCGATAGCGGTCGTTTGAAGCAGGAGGTATGCGATAGTAAGAGCGAAATGAATGATATGTTTAGGCAGTGCAGGCAGATACGTTGGCTGAGATAGGCTAAACAGGTGTACGGCAAAACAGGCTGTGACGAAGCTCAAAGAGGATCCCTTTTTGGGTTCATTAGTCAAGTTTTGAAGAGCTTATCTTTGTTTTTGGGCCGGGTGGATTCATTTGAGCCCTCTGGTCCGCGCGCGAGCGACGAAGGCTTGGTATTTTTATTTTCCAGAGTGACTATGCATTTTTCAGTCGCTTGACACAACCGGCGCACTATAGGCGGTAGGCGATCGGCGAGAGATCGGGAGAGAAACGGTACAAGCGTTCTATTTTGAAACATCTAGCTATCTACTACTAGCATAATCTAGTCCATCTGAACAGCTTGAACAGGTCCGAGGTTCATCATTTCATCCGGTCCTTCTATTCGGGAACGATACTGCGTTCATCTTCGTGCTTGGCAGGTTGCTACCAATTATATATCAGCGTCGAGATTTGTGAAACAGCAGCACCACGACGTGGCGATCTCACCAGTTCTGACGCCGGGGACAGTTTCAGAGAGTTTCACCCCTCGCGCTCAAGCTCGTCGATCGCGTCCTTCAGCTCTTCGACCTCCTTGAGCACAGCGCCAAGGTCGTCTTTCTTCAGCTGATTGCCAGCGTGCCTGCAAAGACTCTCGACTACAGCCAGAGCTTTACGAACTCGGCGTTCTTTCGCAGCCCGGGTGGGCTGCAGGTCGACAGCGCTGGCAGAGGGTTCTTCGGCGGGGGTGACAGTCTGACTCGTAGCGGAGCACTAGGTGATGGACGAGACGTCCTGCAAACATCTCTGCGAGCGATCAGTGCTTGTTGCTATGGGACTTGCTTCGATAGACTGACTTTGTCTGCAGGCCCGGTGCCACCCGCTCCAGCGCCATCATGGCTTCGTGCATGCTGTGGGTGATTCTGCAGCGGAGACGAGCAGTTCTGGGGTCAGATGAACGACAATTTGGTAATACAGATCACGTCGGGCTCACCGCAGCCAGGCGTCGAACGCTGCTCATGACTTTCTCAACGGTAAGCGGCACCAACTGCTGGTCCCCGATCCTGATGATGAGCCACTGGACCAGTCGTCGTTTCTGCGCGTCCGTATTGGGGGGGAAGAAACCGTGGGGAGCCGACATCACAAGTCCCAAAATTTGGGCATCCGCCTGTTCTGCAGAGAGGACCGGAATCTCGGGAAGCTTATATAGCCTGGCGACAAGATTATCCGGGTATTCCATCTTGTCCAAGACTACTCCAATCCCAGGAAACTTGTGCTGTGTATGATGAAGCCGGCGGCGTAAGTCAACAAAGCTTGCAATACAAGAAGTTACACGAACTCCTGATTCCCTCACCTTGACTTACTTAAGCTGACTTTGGGGAGGTGAGCGAGTCGGATCAAGGGAGAGCGCGTCCTCAAGCTACTGGAATTCTCTCGTGCACTCCTTCGGAACGGACTGGAAAATCGATAGTGATAGCCGATTCTGGCTAGAAGAGATCGATTGATATCGATTAAGAGGGACTGAGTGGAAAAACGCACCCTTTTAGAATCTCGAACATACCCCACGCTCGATAAACTCACGATTGGATTATACTGAAGTGGCGGACGGAATCGGTAGCTTGATAGTTTCTGAATGACTCACATAAGGAACGTCTCGCGCTCTGTTCTGTCTTCGGGTGCCCTATATATCTTATACTTTGCCCCCGCGCCATGGAGAAAGAAAGGAGCTAAGAAGAAGTCCGTTGTGTTTCTCAGATTTCCAAAGGACGACTTCCTGTTGCCTGTTGCCTGTTGCCTGTTGCCTGTTGCCATCATTCCGTTGATCATATCATTTGGCTCGTCACCCCAAAACACCGGTCGCGCGTCGGGGATACCGTTCGCCGAAACCTGCTGTTTGTGATACCGTACCATCATACCAGCCGAGTAAATCAGGTTCGATCTTGGGAGAGACCCGCAGCAAAATCGCTCGAGAGCAATACTTGATACAAAAGGTCTCCTAGTCAAGTTATGTCCTGGTTTTCAGCTTAAAGATGAAAGCGATCGTAAAGCTGCCACTGATGGCAGTATCGATAGGATATCAGCTATGGCGAACGCTGTTACAGTGGGATTTCGCTTTCCTGCTCGATTCCGATATCTACGAAATCCACATATACATATGATCCGGAATGTTTCAACTCGTCCCTTCAGCACCTCTTTAGCAAGTCAAGGCAAATGTCGTGCATGCGCTTGAGCTCGGCAGATCCCGCTGATCCCCTTAGGAGCGATCCTTCCACCAACCCAGAGCAGCGAATCTAAGCCGTGGATCAATTCAAATCAGCGTTGTGCGGGGAACCGGATATTCGAGAGACTTACGAGGTCGTCCCGAAATCTTGGAGATCCAAGCGACTCATTCAGAGACGGTCCTGGCGATTGAGACTCGCTAGCAGTAGGAATTCCAGGTTCGGCACTGGCAGACGCCTCGTTCGATTGGACACCGGCGCTAGTAGAACTTTCCGCTACCTCAGGAGTCGCTTTGGCTTCGACGTCCTTAGCTTCCTCAGAGTCTGTTTTAGGTTCGCCTTCGATATGAGAGGTGAAACTACAACCTGCCCTGCCGAGTGTACAAACGATGCATGGTCGCCCGTCACCCCAACTTAAGCAAGGAAGACGTTGCATGCCGGTCGGCGGAGGTTTGGTATGGCCCGCATCTTTCTTACGGCAGCCATCGCATCGGTCTGCACCCGAAAACAGGCGAAGTCTGTGATCGCTCGTGTATTGATAGAGACGCTGTGAGTGAACCATAGTCAGTCAGTCTCATCAGATGTATCTCATATCCATTCGGCTTACCTTTTCATGCTCCGACAGTTCATCGGTGTTCACCTTCCGAAACGCTTCCCTGACCGCCGAGATGACGTCTTGTCCCATAGTGAGGCGGGAGATGAATCGAGGAAGCTTTGTATCCTGAGGAACGGCGGGCGTGATGTCTCGAGTAACGGTCGGACTGATTGCATCGACAGTGACCTGTTGGTGACTGGGCCTTGGTTGAGCAGATGTAGCGGTGCTCGCACTGCTCTTCGCATTCGCGGCGCTCGAGGTAGTCGGGACGGTCCAATTTGCAGTCCTCGTCATCTCGTATAGGCCTCGAATGTCGGATCCAGCCTTGTCTTTGGCGACTCGAGACCTGCGAGGTGCTACCGGTCGGTCGGATTCGGTTCCGCTTTGTGTGTATGATTTGCCAACAGTGGAAAGCAGCTGCGAGGCAGAATAGGTCGTTGAACCCGAGTCATTTCGGGAATGTAGACTGGGAGAGTAGTCCTATTCACAGGGGGTATCTGCTCAGCGTTGACCGATCATGGCTATCGATGTTAACTACTTACATCTCTCAAACCTGGCGGAGGTCGCTTAGGCTTTCTCGGCGTGTCCGGATCACGCTTCCGTTTTCGTTCAGTCTTCTCGGTATCTTCTCCGCTGTCTTCAGCTTGACTATCATTACGACCGTTGCCTTCACTACCGTCGTCCGATCCCAGGCTAATCACTTCAAGGTCTTCCTCCTTGACTGAGGCCTGCGTTCCTGGTAACCTTCCTTGAGCCTGTTGGCTTGCTTGTCGAGCGAACTCCTGAAGCTGCTCGGCTGAAAATTGCGACCAGTCCATTTTGGCTATAGTACTGGTATGTTAACGATCGACAGCCGCGATACCAGGTGGTTTCCGAGATGCTTACGTTCAGACGGAGAATCGTTGATGCAGGTGAATCTAGCGACTCCTCTGCTCTAGGCATCGGGGTAACGGTTCTATATCTGTAATCGAGTAGCATGCGGGAAGTGGTATCAAAGACGATTTTATGTATAGTCGCTAGTCATGATACGTCGGCATACCGAACGCGTCTAGAAACTGGAGAAGCATCGATGTGATCAACAAAGAAAATTTCCGATGATCAGTTCATCTGGCTCGTCACCCCAAATACACATTGTATTTCGGGGGTTCCTTTGACCAGATGTGGATCACGCAACTGAGACAAAACGACCATCGGCACCGAAGATCCGATGCAAAATGAGTGGTGTTGACGATAACGGCGATCGGGCAAGAAACGGATACAACAACGAGCAACAACAGCACAACCGGGTTCTTGTCAACATTTTCAGGACATACTGTAACATCGTACGATGTATACTATAGGAACAGCAGACTATCTTCAACCCGTGGAACCATCTTTTCGAGACGTCACTGGTCGTCTGGCTTCTGCCTTTTGTACCGGTCAATCGGACCAGCTTGGACGCATATCCGTTGTTTTCAGATTTCGGAAGCCTTCGAAAGCGCGTTTCAACCTCGCAAGCCACTGTTCGATGACGCGCCCCGTCAGCCAAAATCAGAACAGAACCGATCTCGCGAGCGCTCCCAACGAACCTTTGATATTCGTTCACTTCGTCAATGATCCCTTTTGCCATACCTTTTAACGCATCCACCTCTTCGATCATCTCCTTCATGAGATCAGGTACCTCATCAATGGTTATGCCACCGGTCGAATGTATATCCGGTTGTACCTTCATCAGGAAGGTCGCAGTAGAGACTGTCTTGCGCCAGAGAGCCCTTCTATGACGCTGGATGTCTTCAAGCGTAGTAGACAGTGTGTCTGGGTTGATCGAGGGAGTTATCCTGACGCTCATATCCGTCTTTGCCTGTTTGTTCGCCTCTGCCGGTTGTTCCGTCTCTGTCGGTTGGTTCATCTTTGCCGCTTTATACGTCTTTACCGGTTCAGCTGCGATGAGCAAGGGAGATGGCGATTGGGAGGGGACCTCGATGACCTCCACCATGTCCTCAAGTTCTCGCTTGTCGACGGCCTCCCTGAATCTCGGCGCCGAGACAGCGGTCTCTTCTCTCTCTCGCACGATGTCTGTGCACTCCTCATCTCTATGGGATCGAGGTGTAGCGTTCGCGTAGACAGGGGCGACCTTACCGCCGCCTGCTCGACCGGTGAAACTGCAGCCGCTCCTCAGCAATGTGCAAAGCACGCACGGCCGTCCCATCATGCCCAGACATGGCAGGCGCTGCATGTCCTCAGGAATATGCTTGAACATCTTCTTCCCAGACTGACAGTGATCGCATTGGTCGTTGCCCTCGAAATGTTGAAGATCGTGACTCGCCATGAGCTTCAGAGCGCGCTGTGAAGTGGATGCCCTCCATACAATATCAGACACTACACCGATGTATCTCCAGCACGAGAGTCGACACTTACCTCCTCGTTTCCCGAAAACTCGCATTGAGCTTCATCTTCCGCCTCCTGAAATAATCGTCTCACAGCAGTGATCGCATCCTCGTAGGGTACTAGTTTAGCAATGTATCTTGGAAGATCGACCTTCCATCTGGGTAAGGCGCTAGAAGGCGCGTAGTCTCGATCGTTTCCCGCCTTGCCCTCGGATGTCAGGACAGGCAATTCTCCTTCCAACCAGCCGGAAGCGGTGGTGGTATCGATCAGAGTTTTGATCGAAGCTCCTGCCCTCTCCTTTGCATCCCGAGTCGATCTTCTGTCCCATTTGCCGTGCTGGTATTCGCTGGCCGCGATTTAGGTATACGGTACGAGCCGGTTTTCCGAACTTGGCAGCAAGCTGGCTCGCGGGTTTTCGAAATCGTAACGGGACTTCTTTCGAGGTGGCTCACAATCGAGGCCCGCACCAATAGTCTTCTGTGATGAACCAAGACGGTATCGTAAATGTCTGCTTCTACGACGTTAAATGAATCGATAATTACGTTGAAAGGCTCGACCCTCGAAGCAGTAATCCGGCCTTCCCTTGGTCCACCGCTCCCGCCAGGTAAAGTCAGCCTTCGTCGATTCGCCTGGAACCCCCCCGCTGGCGGAGTTTCTACCCGAGATTTCGATGAATCGCGTCTTTCTTTTCCACTCTGCGGCGGCTCATCGAGAACGATGATAGACGGAGAGGATCGATCGGAATCATACGCCACCTCTTTTCGCGCAACCGCCGTAGCCTTGGAGTAGGTTATCGGATGGAAACTTGTGGCTAGATATTCCAATCGACTTCTGGTCAGGTCACTCGGATTGCTCGGCGTCATATTCGGTCGAAGCGCTCCCTTGACTACAATAGAGAACGTGAGCAATCCGGTCCGTTCGTCTCGTAGAAAGCAGAGGCGAGAACGCAACGACTCACAGTAAGCGCGAAGACGGCGAACCCGCTTGAAGTTTCCCGCGTGGACTCTGTGGTCCTGAATCGTTTGGCCTTGCTTTCCTGAGAAAGGATATCGGTGCGATTCCCCAAATTCATACACGTTGTATCTATATACTCGAGCTTCTCGACACTTTGCTTGGGTGGATCATGCAAGCTATTTGGAGGACAATCGAACGGGCGATTCTCGGCTGGAGGATCGTCGCGCAGATCCGTCCGCTTGGTTCCCAACTCTGGCTCGAGAACGATGGTCATCACGATATTAGTATCGGTATCCCCACGTCCGCTCGTCTGGAAATCCCAGCCATTGTTGCCCATATGTTACAAGTCTGATGCTATACCCATCCTCTATATCTACCGCCTTTTACAAATACGAAATATCGATGACTTATAAGTATGATGGATTGATAGAATGTCATGTCCCTCATCCCGCTCAAACGATCTCATCATGTTGCCGTCCGAGCATCTCCGCAAAGGACCTCTTAAGGCTCCGGCTTTCCTGCTCGACCTGCTTTAGCGCATCCTCAACAACGCTCATGACCTCTGCCTCATCCGCCTCCTCGATCTCTCGGCAAAAGTCCTCCATCATCCCCAAAGAGAATCTCATCTGTCTGACAAGTCGTCTTTTCTGACGAACTAGTGGCACACGAGTGCCGCGGGACTTTGACCGAGCGTGTTGAGTTTCGAACACGTTGTTCTTCGATGGTGGCTTTTGGAAGGTCCTCTTTGTTGGCGGGACATACAAGACCAAGGCCTGCTGCAGTGAGTTACCGGCTGAGACTGGCGGGTCGATGGCGCGTTGCTGTGTAGCAGCGGCAGTCCAGCCACAACGGCTACGCCCAGAATCGAAACTTGGTCTTTGAGAGTTGCGAACAGCGACACTCTCAGCTTCAGAGTCCTCCGAATAGACCTCCCATGGGAACGGTATGTCTTTCCTGATACGACATCTCGAGTTCATGACGATGCAACAGGTGCATCTGGTCTCGCCTTCGGCCACAATACAGGGCCAGACTACGAGATCGTCAGGGACCTTCCTTTTGTATTTCTGGCACGAATCACATCGTTTTTCGCCTTTGAGATGGATGTGGTCGCGATCAAGAAGCATCGCCTTAAGTCTCTGAAGCAGATTGCATGGTAAGCAGCCTAAACTAGCCAATCGATTGCGCAAAGAGGCTTGCCATGAACACGCGGTTATGCGCTCCGGCCAAGATATCTGCGCATTCCCTCAGCCCTGCAGCGACCACGTTGTCTTTGTCATCACAGATCCTCTGTAGGAGTCGTCTGCCGACAGACCTCGGCTCCCTCCGAGCGGTTTTATCATCACTGGGTTCCAATTTGACTTTTGTAGGCATGGACGGCGAAAGAAGGCTGTATCAAGATGGATAGACTTGATATAATGATATCGATACGTTCAGGCGTCGCAGTGTCTTCGGCTTCCTGTATATGTACAGTCGGGGAGATGTCCTGGCATAATGATTCAAAACGATCGGCAGAACCGAGACAGGCGTATCCACCCTCAACCGGCCCGAACCAAAGGACGCCCTGAGATCTGACCGAGGTGGGCCGCCTTTGATAAGCCTGGAGCGATGATCTCCGACATGATCGTCGCCACCCTTCCACCACCGGCGATCCACCCGAGTAAGGCATTGCAGTTTTTCCATACAGGTGTAAATCGATTTAATTCAATCGTTGGACAAACGGTCCCCCACTTTGTTCTGCAACCCCCTGAGGATCACATAAAGCTCGTCCATATCCTCTTCCATCTCGTCCAAAAGCTCGCGCAGCGATGTGTCGTCGTCTTGCTCTTGGACTTGATCGCAGGACTCCGATATGATGGCTAGCGAGCACTTCATCTTGTGCACGAATTGCCGTCTCTCCCGCAATAGCTTGCCCCTGCTTGGTCCGGCCGGTGAAGCTGAGTCTACTGCGGGTGCGGGTGTCTGTTCCCTGGATCTGGACGGTACCGCAGTGGACGGCATGGATGGTGCTTCGTGATCGACTTCAGGACTGGCCTCTGATTCTTCATATCGCGCAAGACGCCCTTGACCACGAATGCGGCGATTAGATCTAGAGGGTCCGGCGACGGGCGGAGAGGCGATGGTTGGGACAGGAATATCTGCAGGTACGGGCAGAGCCGCGACGTCGGCTTCTTGATTGTTGCCAGGTGCGAGGTACCACAGCGTGCATGGCCGCGTTACCAGGCGGCAAAAGGTGCACTTTGATTTGCCCTCCGTGATGCAGGGCCAGACCTCCATCCCCTCGGGAACTTTGCCATCGAATTCTCGGCACCGTTGGCACCGGTCTTCTCCCCTATGAACTCGGGCCTGTGGGTCGTTAACAATCTTCTTGACACGCTGTATCAAGATCCATCCATGAGATCACAAAACGAGATGAATTTGCAAAGACACGCAAACTCACAATCCATGTTTCCGAGAAGCCGTACTTCTTTTCTACCTCTAAACATCGCTGCTTAGCAGCCCAGATAGGAGACACCCCAGGATTGATCTTGTCTATGAACTTGAAGTCATAGATCTTGGGCACTCCCGGTAACCTCACACCTGGGCCGGGACTGGCATAGGGCTCGCTGTCACTCCCATCATCTTGGCTTTCACCGTCGTTAGAAACGGCAGCGGCCTGAGCGATCGAAGCGGAGGCAGCGGACTTGGCTCGACGGGTCGAATTCGGCCCTGGTCCTGCCGCTGACGAGGTACTGAGTTCGGGAGTGAATAACTCATCGAGGAGGACAATGTCGGGAGATGACACTACTGGTTTGATATCGGTAGGAGGGGTAGTTGTGCTGCGGTCGCCAGGAGGAGCTCGGCGACTCTTGCGGGGCTCGTCCCGGCCCTCGGCCGCTCTGCGTTTCCCGGCCGTTGAGTTATGCGGCATTTCGATGAGGATTGTCGGAGCTATGTCTATTGTCCAAACGATACGCAGGTGCGAGCCACGAGCTTGCAGGACGTTTGATAAGGATGACCTGCTCATCCCAGATCTCTTGATCCCCGACCTCGGTCAACGCTCACCTAGGCTTCACGTGACTTGCGACCTTGAACCCGCAATTGTCATCGCTACAGACTCGTCAAGTTGTCAAGACTCAACCTCGAAGCAGGCATAAGAACGTATCGTATTACAAACAAGCATAAGGTAGTCGTAGATTCTGGAAATCGGCGGGAAAGAAGTCATCTCGCACTAGACACTCGGTCTTCGTCCACCTTCTGATCATTCGGCTACCGCCCCGGCAATTTCCTCCAACGACCTCATCTGACGGCGTATCTCCTTGAGCGTATCGGCCATCAATTCGGGCACTTCCTCCTGCTCCTCTGTGTCCTCTATCTCTTTACACCAATCCGAGCTGACAGCGATCAAGCTCCTCATCTGACTGATGAACGACTTCTTCTGCCGACCGACCCGGCCGCGTCCGCTGACTTCCCTCTTGATCGGAGTGTCACCGGAAGCCGCCTCCTGTTTCGCGTCGAGAGGAGCATCGGACCTGATGGCGGCCGGCTTGAGAAGGCTGCATCCAGCGGCATGTCCGATGACGCAAAAGGTACACCTGCCTCCATTTTCCACGGACAAGCAAGGCCACTGTTCCATTCCGGGAGGTGGCAAGTATCTGTCGGCATAACTCTTGCAGTTGTTGCATCGCTCGTCCCCTTGCAATTCTCGGACGTTTGGATCGTCGATGATGGTCAGGGGGCGCTGCAGTGAAGAGGATCAGACCGTCAGTCACCCAGAAATAAGTGTGGCAATCGAGATCAAGAGGGAACGTGCTTACGTGATAGACTGGAGTCTCGTTATTGTTTTTGTAAAACAGCAGACAGCTTCGTCTAGCCGCGAGAAGGATGTTCTCATCTGGCATCAACCGTTGAAGGAACCTTGTCAAGATGGTCTTTGGGTTCAAGATCTTGACCTTGTTCGAGGTGTTTCGTTTGGCGGTGGGCTTATTGCTGCCGGGCTTGTGCAAAACGACCGGGACCGTCATTTGAGTGTGAATCGATGACATGGCCTTCGCTTTTGCATCTCGGCCAAAGGTATTGTCGACACCCAGATCTTGTCGAGGAGCCAGCGGCTCACGTAGAGCTGGCGCCATTCGGGACCGTTCGGTCTCGTCATCCTTGTCGACAGCGTCGGCTTTACGTTTTGAGCTGCTTTGCTCAGCGTCCGCCTCCGAGACGAGCTCTGTCCGATCCGACCGCTGCTCATCATCGAGCTCTAATTCTTTCTGGTGGGTATCGAGTACAGCTTTGAGTTGGCGAAGTTGGTCTGGGGTGAAGGACTCGATCTGTGAACGGTGAGTGTCAAGTCCAAACGGATCAGTATGGAAACCCAATCGCTGCTTTCCCGCGAGGTTGAGCGTGACTGACGACTCGTTCCATGTTTGCTCTCGCGCTCTCGAACGTCTGCTGTCTGCCGCGTCCTGTCTATTTCTTCACGGGATATCTAGGAGAAAGTGACAAGTAGCTACCTAAAGTTCTAGAGGTATAGCTCGCTTGCGAAGTCTATCATATGCGTGAGTTGCCTGTGTGAGGACGTCGCTATCTCGTTCGTTGAGCGGCCGGTGCGTCCAACGTGTCGCTGGCTCGCTGCCTCGCTGGCCAAATCGACGCGACGTGCGACGTGATTGAAGGTCCATTCGAACTTCCCCATTGGGACAGTCGGAACTCTCGAGGAGGGAGGGGAAAAATTCGCTTGATCGGATTGATGCGATCAGTCTTTCCTACTCATCACCCTCGAATCTGCTCGGGCATCCGGCCCGGGGTGAAAGGTGAAACCGATATGACATCACCCTCTCTGCCCGCGCGCGACAGGAAAAGCCACAACAATCATCGACCCTCCTTTGTTGAAGGTTGATCTGCTGGCTTCGACGACGCTTCTCGATTATCGTCGTCACCTGGCGTTGCGGGCGATTGCTGAGGCCGTATATCCTCGCTCTCAGGTTCCAACAGGTGTGTTGCAAGCTGAGATCACGATATGGCTACTTGCGCCTCGATGGTTGTGACATGGCATAAGCGCAAACCGAGATTTGACGCCGCGATCTGACCTTCGACCTGCCCGTCAATTTCAGTCGCTGTTCCATTCTGCTGAGCTGCTGAACGTACCACGTACGGGTCCTGGCTCGTGACATCGCAATTCGAAATCCTGGAAAGCCCCATAAAACTCGCCAAGCGATGAAAGCCCCGTTCAACGCAACACGTCAACAATACGTAACCATGACGTCTTTGCCCTTTTGTCCCTTTTTTTCCCTTGTCGCCCACCGTCCCTGATCGCCATACTCAGTTGCAGCGCCCAAAAGAATTTCACACGATCCATCGATCTCAAAGGAAGTTGATCCGGCCATCAGATTCCCAAAGAGGGAAGAAAACTCGGACATGTGATCCGGTTCGTATGCCCGAAAGGACCCCCCTTCGGTGCCGCGCTCGCTTAGGCGAATTGAGGTGGATCTTGATCGTTTTACATGGCGGGAGTTTGTTTTTGTCGCTTGTTGCTCGTTTCGCGTTCTCGGCAAGAGTTTGAGATCGGTTTTGTTGTTCGTTTGATCGTTTGGGAGCTGATGAGCCGATTGGCGGTTTCGTGATGGAAAGATCGAGAGGATTAAATGGGGAAGAAGGAGAACAACAAGGATGAGGTGGAGCTGGGAGCCGGTTAGAAGTGCTGTGCTATGCTGTGTATTTCTGAAACTGGGCGGAGCCGAGGACTTTGTATCGTTTTGCTGTGCTGTAACCTGGTCGATCTGGTGAAGGCCTGGATGAAGCTGGATGCACTGGATGCGAGATGCTGAAAAAAAGGAATGACGAGCTTGGCCTAGCAGCATGACGAAGCACTCCACCCTCGCACGTCGTCCAACATCAACGATAATCCGGGCATGAAGATCCCTCTCAACGCCGTCCAACCCACGGCTCCGAGAATTCAAGAGGGAACAAAGACGACTCCCACGTCTACGCGCGCTCGGAACCGTCCGCGTCATCCGAGACTTCACCTGACCTACTGTAGAAACCTAGACGATCAAACTCGACGCCCCCTCCTTCAGCCACCGCGTCTGAAAAGAAACAAAGGAAGCGCGTTGCTAAGCGGTGGGTCTGGGGGAGTCAGGAACGCCAATAGGGGCTATGTGGGGGGATCCTTTCTCGCTCGTTTGAGAATGCAGATCAGGCAACAAGGACGACAAGGGTGCGAAAATGTAAGGCGCGACCTACACCTCCCATTTTTTGGGGGAGTCGTTCGCAAGTTGCAGGTTGTAGCAAGACGGATCGTCGTATGAGAATGGGGGTGGTTTCCACGATCCATCGAACGTGGGTTACGTCCCTGAGGGAAGGAGGTGTATTCCCGGAGATTAGCCCTCGACGAGTTGTACGTGGTTCCTCGCCTCGCTTCGGAAATTAATGCGATTATCTTTACTCGTACGTATCGGCGCAAGGGGGAGGGTCAGGCAGAGGAGGGAGGGAGAGGAGGTCGATGGTGGATGTTCTAGGATGTCTTCGATTCAGAATCATACGGAGGCTGTTATCATTTGGGGAAGAAGGAGAAGAGGTGGATCGCCCTGCGTTCACTTGGCTCATCACGGGTGTGTCAGGGTGTTCGGGAAGATATAAGCTACCAATTGATATAACACGAACCGGCCGTCTCACCCCCCCGCATGTGACGAATGGTTCCGATACTTTACAACCTCGATACTCTCTGTTTTGATTTCGCACAGACCACAACTTTGATCGACAACATCCTCGCCACCTATCTATCGTATCAATAGCGTAGTAGCAAGCAGTTGCCAGAGCACTGACTCGACCAAGTCTCACTCTCGGTAAGTTTCTTTCGGCAACAGCGCACGCAACAAGCTAGTCTTGTCGATGACAACCGACCACCGTGCTAATCGATTTGTCGCCATCATTCCGCAACAGTCACACATCCTCAGAATCACGACGACAACACCTTGACGACGCAATCGACGGTTCAAAGTCGGCTGGATACACTTTCTCGCTATGGAGAGCATGTCACTCGCCCATGGCACAAACTTTTCGACCTACTCGTACCCGCCCGAGTATGGTCTCGATGCCCATACCGCGTACTCGCAACCACGACCTCGGACACACCTCGACAACGTCTACGTCCCGAGTGCTTACAAGCAGAACGTCAGATCATCGTACACCTCGTCCGCACCCATATCTGCCAGGCCTTCTGGGTCGGGAATCCAAACGCTCGATCAAGCCACATCATCAAACTCGACGGTGCCTCTCCTCTTCCAAGCTCCGCCTTGGTTCTTAGAGGCTACTCAACATGTACAACACTCTCTGCCTACCTCCAACTTGCCTCGACGTAGACAGCCTTCCCGATCTTCCATCAATGAAAAGGCGCAACACGACTATGGCACTTTTCCCCATCCCATCAGCTTTCTACCCCGAGCTGATCCGCCACCATCGACCCAAGTCCCAATCCAAACCCAACATCAGAATCAAGCGTACTCGTATGGCAATCCAGCTCCCGACATTCATGGCGGGATCGTGCCTATCTCCTCGGTCATACCAGCGGACCCGCTGAAGTTCACCATGCCTGCTGGCCTGGACCCGGGTGGCATGATGCCAAACGAAGTCGGCGGGGTTCAAGTTGGTGGCAACCACGTAGGCGGGTTCACGGGAATGATGAACATGACGAGCGGGATGAGAGGAGGCGGGTGTCTGGAGATGGCGAGAGGATTAGAGCAAGCCTGGGTGGGAGAACGGGGAGGGAGGAAGGCTTCGGGTTCGATGGCCAGTCAGCGTGGCGTCGGAACTACGGGACGAGGTACCTTTCGTCGTCATTCGACCAGGGGGCCACCTCGAGCTTCGGTACATTGTGAGGAATCAGTACAAGCAACAGTTCGACCGGAGGACGAACATCGATACACCCATACTGCCCCTCTCCCGACCTTACAACAACCTGAGAAGAGGTACCAGCCTTACCCCATACGAAACGCCTACGTCGATCGCTCCACCATGACCGAGCCGATCCCACGGCAACCCGCACTCAGCTCTCTAGCGCAGGTCGAGCCGAATGTCCCTATCGAGCCTATCGCTGCGCCCGCTTCGAGTCCGGCTCCTGTCGCCCCCGCTCAAGCTCTTCACGAGATCAACTTTGATATGGATACCGACCTGAACCTCGACTTTGATCTTGGCGATCTGACCGGGATCGACGATCTGTTCAGCCGGACCATCGTGCCCATGAACGCCGCTATGCATGGGAATCCGAACCCTCTTCCCGAACCGATCGGAGCTGAGATCAAAGATAATCGGAAGAGTGCTGGTGCCAGGCTCGCAAAGACGTTGGTGAGTTTCATGTCTCGTGTCGAGCTGTAGCGTTTGGGTCCGACACGCGAGGGCGGCGGAAAAGCTGACTGGATACGGTCCGCGTTTCATCCTTACCTTCGTTTCGATCCAGACCCGACCGAGATCGCCGTGTGGCCCGATCATCATCGGGACCTTATCGCCCAAATCCAAATACAGGGAACATCGGACGGAAAACAAGTCGAAGGAGATGACGGTTGAGGTTCAGTCCCCCGGCTCGCTGTCGAGCGAACCTGCCAGTGAGACACCGGCCCAATCCACGGAAACCAAGTATCTGAGGACAAAATACAATACCCTGCCTACCCCGAGGAAGAATGTCGCAATGCGTCCTCAAATTGGATCGTTTCAAGGGACGTCGCAGGGATGGACTGGCATGTGGGCAAAGTCGGGTCGCTCTCTCTTCGGCGATCCGCCAGCTGTCGCGCTTCCCGAGATGGATGATATCACAGGCTCTATTTCGACAGCAGTCCGAAAGGAGTGGCGGATGGATCAACATGTTCCCGAACCCACTACCTTTTCTCGTCCTCAGTCGTCGACGACAAGCTCGGTCTGGATTCCGGGTGTAGGCGAGATGCCTGCTACAGGCGACACATACGATCTGACTTCGCCCTCTGATCTACCGCAAAGTCCTACCAACTTAACTTCCCGGATGAAGAATACTAGCATCGAAACACCCATGGTTCCGCCTTTCCAATCCGAAATCATGCTACGAGCCATGTTACATCACCTCGAGGGATGGAACGGAGAGCCGCCGATGAAGCCTGAAGAGACACGAGCGATCAAGGTGATGTGGCGGGAGAATCTGGACAAGCGCAAGTGGCACCTCATGTATCGGGTGAGCCGCCTTTCGCATGGATGATTCAGTATCAGCCAGCTCATCCTTGCCATCGATGTATAGACGGCGCGTATGATGATCGGTAGTGGGCAGACCGCTTTCGTTCCTCCCTCCAAGCAGTGTACGTGCTGTGTCACGGGCATGAACCGACAGAACGATCCCGACTGGGCTCCTCTCCTACCTGCACCATCGCACAGCCAAGGACCCACTTACAAAAGCAAATGGCCTTGCCTGGTCTTGATGGAGGAGATTGCCGCGGCCGAGGGCGAGACCACAAAGACCATGTCGCGCGGAACCTGCCTCGCTTGCGTGATGCGCAAGTCAAAGTGTTCGTTCGTCGACAACCCGGTCGTAGGACTTCCCATCAGCTGCGAGTCGGCACCTCCTTCGATAGAAACGCCGGAACAACCCAAAGCTTTGTCTCCGCCCAAGGAGATCGCGGTCGAAGAACCGGAAAAGACCAAAAAGCCCAAGGGTCCTGCAAAGCGAACTCGAGGACGACCTAGTGTACCCTCGGCGAAAGACACTCTTCGTAACCGACGATCCACGAGACGGTCGCCTCCACGCAGCCTGCGATCGAGTCGTCGTGAAAGTCAACAATCGTCCACGGATTCGATCTGTCCATCCCGACCCGGCACCCACTAGACAGACGATCAAAGGGCGACGCGATCACAACAGTTTCTGCTTCCGCTTCTGGCGAATTCAACACCTTCCTTACGAATGTCGACCCCCTCGACGACTATATCGATACGACTGTCGTGATTATCAATTATGTATTTAGTCTTCCGATTGTATCGACCGAGCGACCGGCCTGTACACTAGACCTGCGGCCGGTCAGCCTACCTATGAAGATCGAATTCACGTCATAATCTCAGCTTATAATTCGGCAAATGGGAGCCTCCTCGTTCGCAGGGGTTTACCCGCCGCGGGTTCACCGATCGATCCTCGCAGAGTTTGCGTACAATCCACTTCCTACCGCACCCCGTCTTCGCACCCGTACTCGTACACGCCAACCGCTCGTCTATGAAGGGTTGATTCAAGGAGATGAAGCGATCAGGCAGCTCAGCCAGTATGTTCGTCCTGAGGAAGAGACGGAGGACGATGAGGAGGGCGAAGTCGAGGAAGAGGACGAGGAGGATGATGTTACCGGACAAGAGGCAGCTGAATGGCGACGGATATTGAATGAGTGGTCATCACAGAACCCTGGGAAGTTCGTGAGTCAAGAACAGGATCCACCTTCTCGCCATTACTGACTACGCCAATAGCCGGCACTCGCCACGCTGTCTTCGCCGAGAGTCCGAATCCGCACGGGGGACGAGCGATGTTTTCCTTGTCGACTAGGGGAACACCGCTGCAACGTCAACAACAAAAGCTGGCCATGTGCTACTGCAAGGTTGGCCGGAAAGCAGAGGACATGTGTTTCATGTTACATGATACAGGGAGGCACCCAAGTAGAATGTACCTTTATGGATCCCGAATCGGAAGACGAACCCGTGTTGGACGACGGAGACGACAGCGACATCAACGACACGCCCGTTTATACATCGAGGCGCGTCGCAAAGAGCCGCAAGAGATATAAGGGATCGGATATCGCCTCGGATTCCGACGAATCCACACACACATCCGACGATAGCAGTATCTCCTATCACTCAGACCGACCAGACGACGAGAGGACTGAGGATTCCGGAACCAGTATACATACAGACGAGACTGCAGAGTCCATCTTCTCTACCGATTCGGTACCACACCCTCATGATCTTCCGATACAAGATTACAACCACGGATTGCGCAAAGGACTACGAGAAGAATATCGAAAATTGCGACTCTGCGCCGACGAATTGCGATCCCCGTTCTCGTCTTCGCTTGCGGGGATAGCAGCTAATGTGAAAAAGCTCGAACGTGGGCTTGACCAAGTATAGGATACATGCCTCCATTGTTATATTTTGGCCGACTAGACGGTAACGGCGTCCAATATCTGTACAACGTCCGCTCTCGAGCCGGACACGCGGCTGAACTCGTTTGGCCCGTTCAGAATGAGAGATGACAATTCTGATTCGGCGGGGTGATCCAGGAATCGCTTGACGCTGAAGGAAAGGGAAATATCGTTAGCAGACGATCGGGGAAGCAGCGTACGCCGATCTTCGACTCACAAATCCCCGTCGATGAATCCTAATGGGGGTCGGGGCTTTGCGTTGCCCTCGGCGTGAATCTCCCTGTACCTCGACCAGGGGATCTCGGGACCGGTTACGAGGCTTTCCATGTTGAGCTGCAGTTCCCGCAAGATCTTGGCTTCTCCCTCATTCAGATCGCCAATTATGCCGAGACGACCCGAAGATGTCGCGAATACTAGCTCTGGCTGCAGGCATGAGCTCTCTTGTACCGAGACAAGGGATCCTGATACAGTGAGGAGGTTTAGCTGAGTTGCGCACTACCGACAGTCACCGAACGCACCTCGTTGCAACTTAGTGATGGTCTCGTGCAGTGCCAGACCAGCCGAGTTTTCAAACTTGTTGTCTTCGTGACGGATAGTCAAGAGATTGTAATTTGTCTGACGAGGGAACACGTCAGCCGATCAGCCAAGATCGAATCAAGCCAAAACGCACGACTCACGTCCGAGAACGCTACGGCTCCACCGTCGGCATCGAGTTCCTCCATCGTCAGGACCCAGTGAGGTCGCATGTCTCGAGCGACATCTACCAAATGTCCTTTGCTGTCCTGCTCGAGCGCGAAGACGCTTCTCATACCATCGCCCACATGCAACCGTTGTTTCGAGCCGTCTTTTAACGTCTGAACAGTCAAACAAGACGCGAAAAAGGCATTGCCCCAGGATGCTGTCGTTTCTAATGAGTTGGACTCGGAATCTCTGTCAAATCGCACGAGGTCGACCTATCGGAAGGCAGCAAACTTTGAGCGACGAGCTTCTTCGAAGTTTAGCAATCGTTATAGCTCACCCGATGATCCACAGCAACAGCCAGAGCTCCCCAGATTACCTTGATGTCGTAAACGGTTCCGTTCATCTGTCTGCTAGCGACGATTTCCGCAGATGGCGGTCGACCCGAGACTTCGTCAAGCTTAACGTTGATTATACGCAGATAGCCCGAGGATGAGGCTCCAGCGTCGTCGGGACGATCTTCGAAGGTCGTTCCCAGCGCAAAGTATTGAACGCCGCTCTCGTCGAACTGTACCATCTCCAATGAGGTGGGCTTTTCACCTTTGTCCAACGCGATTTCCGACGAGGCTGCGAACGAGGTTCGGAATGAGACTGGCCCGGAATCGTTACAAGCGGAAGGCTACTGGAACTTACGACTGAACGTCTCGGCGTCATAAAGTCGGAAGTAGCTGGAGGTCTCTTCGTCACCGTACTCTTGGTCGATCTTGGTACGCATGATTGTAACCCCAAAGACCCGTGCGGTGGGCGAATGCACCACGTGTTGGGGGTTGTCAAAGCCGAGGTCGATCTGCTTTGGCTGACTGTCAGCAACAGAATATGTACAGCAGACAGGGTCTCGAACGCACTTTACGAATCTGCAACTCCCTGAGACCTGATATTGCTCTGAGTTGAAGCCCCTCCCGGTCGGCCAGGGCTATACACGAGCCCAACTCTGACAGATGCAGGATTGAAGCAGATGTGATTCCCTACGAGTCGGGTTTGCTCAGCTCATATAGCAAATCAAAGGTATACTGCAAGGCTCCCAGGCACTCACAGAGAGGTTGAAGGCCGAACGTGAAAGCCGCTCTTGCTCCTCGTATAGCACCGAAACTCTGTCGCTTATGCACAAAATTTGTGATGACTCTGCTTCGAAGGTTGAAGCTGCGAGATGTACGGGAGTCCTGCCCATAGCCAACGAGTTTCTTGAACCGATCGTGACTGTCGGAGAGGAGGATACATCCCCAAGGCAGAGTTTCCGGGTTGTAACGGATCCATCGCCATTTCCCACGAGCATCAGGAGTTTGTTCACCGACTCGGTTGATGTATCCTCTGGGTCCTTGCGGATGAGGATGGAGCGAGGCAACGAAGCTTCGACAACGGTTTCTAATACCTGGAGATCGCTCAGAGAGACGATTTTGACCTCGTTGCTGCCCCAAAACCCGACGGCAGCCAGTGGAATCCCATCGGGCGCAAGTGCTACGCTTGCAATCTCGCTGGAGGTGAATGCGGTACGCCTGTAAAAGCAGAATGGAGGGCTCAATCAATTCGATTACCAAGACCTGGACTCGGCATCTTTTACTCACTCGACGACGGTGACAGCTGCGCCAGTGCCAGGAAATTCAATCTTCAAGACCAGCAGCGTGCCATCAGACGTCCCGACCAGGATATCGTTCCCCGTACAAGCAGCCACGAGAACGGTCTGCGACGGTTCCAGCCCGCTCCAAGTAGCAGCGATGACGCCCTGCTGAGGATCGAGGACCAAAACTCCGTGTGGTGTCACTTGGACGAGATGATCAGAGACTTGCGCAGCAACGATCGTTGGCTCATTCGCCTTGTATGGCACACTTTCCGGTGAAACCGCCTCGACTTCAATATCCGGTTCCCCTGAAGAGGTCGAGATTGACACTCGGAGGAGCAGACTGCTATCAAGAGTTGAAACGACTAGCCCCGCCCTGCATTACCCCTTTCAGTGACAATCTCCTCCTTTCCAAGAGAGACGCCCAGACTTACGCAGCTCCTAGATCGAATGACGATACCGAGACGATGTTCTCCAGGCCTTCCAGCTTGGCAATGACTTCCGATCCGACTCCGCTTCGAACCGCTCGCAATGAACCTGACGATGCCAGACCAGAGGCCGTCACGATTTGAGCCTGTAGTGTGCGGAAACCCAATTCTCAGCTTCATGACCGGGTGATGCGCATCCAAGAGTAGAGCTTACGCTCCCGCCTCCCTCGCCTTCGACCACGCAGAAGTCCAAGACCGGTGCAATATTCGCCCACATGCCCACCATCGTAAACCCCCGCGTATTCTCGGCCTCCCCAGCGTCTTCCTCTTCGATCTGTTTCAAATCAGTCGCTTTCCGCTTTCCTTTGTCGTGAGAGATTTTGTCCGCCTGCAATCTGATGATCTGACAATCACCGCATTGTGAACCAACAAAGACGTGGCCATTGTCCAAATACGACAATGTGCTAGCAGGTGAGGTCTGGATGACCAAGGGAAACATATCAGCTCCAGCGCAGTCACCGGTCCATTCCGGCCGAAACGCACTACACCCAAATTTCGGACTATCGGCTTGCTGGGTCCTTCACGAGATCCGTAAGATGCAAAGGAGAGCCTTCCTGCGGCATCTCCGAGCAAGACCACATTCCGGCCTTCTGCTTGAATGCTGGTGGCGCTACCATGATGAACCGAACACCAGTCAGTCAGGAAAACTACACGACCTCTTGCCGACGGCACTCACGCTGTAATATCACCAAATCCTTGACGAATCCTCCAACCCTTGGCCCACGTCGTAGAGTCCTCCGCTCCTTTTTCACCTGCCGCTCCCTGGTGGTACGTGCCCCCGATACTACCCTTGCGGCGTTTACTATTGTCCGGACTCGTACTCAAGGCGCTCTCACCAACCTCGATCTTCGGGGATTCCATCGCCCTCGCAGAAAGGCTGCTCTTCCTGCGATTCGCTTTGACGAGTTGATATGTTGCCGAGAACTCGTCCCCAATGACCAGCACCCCATCCGGTACAGCCAGCAACTTCTTGGCTGCGGGGATAGAAAAGTCCTTGATACCCCCCGATCCATCTGAGAGGGATGGAGGTGAGAGAATATCGATCGTCTCACATACGTCGACGAAGGATCTCCCGGAGCGATCCAGGGTCCGCGCGACGAGGTTGATGGTGTAATCTGGAGTAAGGTATAAGAAGACAAGAGCCGTAGTTGGGTGTGGTGTGGCTGGGGCGGTGATGAAAGCCAGTGACAAGAGGTTGTGTTCTCGGATACTATTGGTAACAACGGTATGAGAATCGATCTCAACCCTGAGTCACAACTGTAATGGCGGAAACAACTCACTTGATCTCGTAAACGTCCTTGATATCGAGCACGTCCGCTTGCTCGTCGATCTCCATATTGAACTCTCCCGTATCTTTTCTTTCCCGTTTCTTTCCCTTTCCCACCGTACTCGCCCTCCTAGACCCCTTGACCGGCGAATCTTTATCCTTGACTCCGATCTCGATGACGCTGAGCATCCCAACGTAGAGGCTGGCGATGACCACCCCGGCGGATCGATCGACGACCAGGCCGGTCAAGAACTCAGCTGTACGGCTTTTACGGTCTACCCAGTGAGTTGCAGTTAGAGAGAGCGTTGGTTGATCGGCGCTGACGAAGCGATAGAGGAGGATACGGGAGAGCGGATGGTCGGTCTGGACGACGATATGTGGGCTTTGACCCTGCGATCACGGATAAACGCAATGAGCAAGCGCTAGGAGGTAGTTGGACAGACATGCTGGCTTACAGCTTTGCCGACCCATTCAAGACCGACGACCATGCCCCAAACATCTGTCTTGCAGACCTCTACCAGTCCTTCAGGGTTGAGATTCCAGACTTCGATCGTGTTGCCCTTGGCGACCACCAAAGCGCTCGATCCCGGCTCCGAAGAGGTCAGGTTGGGTACATTGATGGAATGAGTTACAGCCGTTGAAGGCAGGGCCTAAGAGGATTGCGATGATCATGAGATCGGGGATCGAGACTGCAGCTGGACATCGGGCGGATGAAGCTTACCGTGGCAACGTAAAGCATCTTGAAAGACTCGTGTGATGTTACATGCAACTATCGGCTGGTTGATCGGACTATCCTCGAGGCCGAGATGCGGTATCTGTAGTGGTATATGTGCTGTTAGGATGTAGTTTGAAGGACCTGATCACTCCTGTATCATGCTTCAAGGTTGACCCTATCCTGACGTATCCGGGATCATTCAACCGGGGCAGAAGCAGGTGGAGGTCCAGGTCCAGGGGAGTGAGGGGGGCGACGCGCAAGTCCGATGATCGGGGGCGACGAGTGATGGGTGACGAATGCTCAGATCTATTCTAGCTATTCTGTATAGCTGAAACTTTCGTCTCAGTCGACCTCTTCGTCCCCACACCACGCATCAGCATACCAACCAATCCAAGCTCTATAATACCTTGCCAACCATAATAATGTCGTCGACTTACAACCACCCTCAGCCGGTCGACCTCGGCGGCAACGTCCAGACCGACGCTTCGGCAACAACGATCAAGCCCGTCGAAGGCGCTCCTCAGGACGCTACTCATGCGCCGATGACCGTCATCGTCGATCCTAATGCCAAACCCGAGAAGATGAGCTTCAAGGAACAGGTCAGTTCAGGTCGTTCTTTTTTAAATCTGGTCTTTTAATCAAGTCTGAGAGATGTTGTCCGCGGTCGTGGTAGATGAGGGGATACGCCAAGATCTACGCCGGCAAAGCCTTCGGGAACATGGACGAGGTCGCCCTCGGAAAGGCTCAGTTGGCCGATCAGCTGCCCGACAGGAAGCTCTAGAAGTTTGTTATTCGATGGCTAGAGAGACTCGACCGAGCGAAGGTGAGCAAGGTTTCGAGATGCCATTGATCTGAGATCAGATCGAGTCGAGGCTGACCGGTGACGTTGATTCGCAGGCCGAGTTCGAGTCGAACCATGTATCCATATCACAAATAATTCACCTCGAGATGACGAAACAAACGAAACACACAAGCTCGTAATATGTATAAAGTGACAGCGCTACAAACAATGTGAAATGACATAGGAGCGATACATGATTCCCGGAAGATTGGAATGACAGTGATTTGAAAGGAGAGGTCGTGTCGAGTCGTGTCGTAGTCTCAAAGGCGGAATAAGAATTGCATGTCCTGGATGGTTTTGGAAAGCGTCAGTTCTCAGCCTTTCCATGATGATGGCCAAACGAGTCGAGATCTACCTCTTCGGTGAGCTTTCCCAAGGCGGAGTCCGGATCGGTAGCGAGAGCAGCCTGAGTCATGGCGAGCTTCTTGTCTTGCAATTGCAAGATCTTGGCTTCGATGCTGTCCTCGACGACCAACTTGGTGACCTGGACGGGGCGGTGTTGACCGAGACCTGCAAGAAATGCGGGTCAGCGATGGACGTATGTAGAGACTCGTTTCAATGGACCACATACGATGGATACGGTCCATACTATAGATTATCAGTGTTTATCAGCGCGAGACTCTCGAGAATTCACAGTTCGCAACAGAAACTCACGATTGGTACTCGACCGAGGGGTTCCACCAAGAATCGAGCAGGAAGACCTGAAAGAGAGACCCTATCGTCAGCTTAGTTTGTAGTATTGAAAATCCGGACCAAGCGTACTTGAGATGCCTCAGTCAAGTTCTGCGAGGCGATTGATATTAGCCGATTGTCGATCGCTTCTGAAACCGGTTTGACTCACCAAAGCCACACCACCAGCCTTCAAGCTGATCAGGAAGACGGTGACTTGAGGGTTCTTCATGAAATGCTGGATCGTTGCGTCACGGGCTTGCGGAGTCATTCCACCTTCCAGCCTGCAAATGTTGAACCCTGCCCTTTGAAGCCGGAAAGCGGCGAGATCCAGCATGGAGACGAATTGCGAAAAGACGAGCGATTTAATGTTGCAGTCCTTGTCACGCAGTTCGCAGAGCTCGTCGACCAGCATTTCGAGCTTGGTCGACGATCGCCAGTTCTACAGTAACAAGGCGGCGTCAGTATCGACACTCGACTATAGCGCCAGGTCTGACTTACCGACAAGTCAAGCCTTCCCAAGATACCTTGCTTCTTCAACTTCTTTTCCTCCCCAGACTCGACCGCTTCGGCTTGCAAGTCGATGGTCAGCTCGATATGACACACGGGACACACGGGAACCTGTGATTAGGCGGTTTTGATCAGCAATGTGATCCGGCACTAATGTATTTATCCCTCCTACTTACGGCAGTCTCTTCATGCCCAAGCATGTACTGGGTGATACACTCCCGATCGAACAGATGATTGCATTTCGACACGATCGCGTCTTCGGCCTGGTAAAGACAAGCACATTTAGAGTGGTTCCAGCGGATGTACTCCAACTTGATGGAACTTACAGTATCGTGACAGAGTCTGCAGACAGCTTCCTCCTCGGTTTGTACGTACTTTGAGGTTTTCGACCTGAGGACCAAATCAGGGTGACAGGCCATTTGTCGCACTGCCAAGTTATCGTAAGTGCATATCCACGGTGAAAGAGGAGAATAGACAACCTACTTCGAGTGATGAGCGAAAAGACATTCGAATAGTCTGAGGAAGGCAAAATCATCAGCATCAATGCTATTGGCCATACTTCCGGACAACTGACTATTCAGAATCGTTCCCTCGGCAATATACGTTGAAAATTGCCGACGAGTCTCAGAGAACAACGACATGTAAAGCTCTCTCTCCTCGGGCGAAAAGTATCCTCGCCTGACAGTGATGGTCCTGGGCGGCAATCCCAGATCATCCGCACGCTCGATCTTGGTTCGCCTGTAGCCAGAACGTTGTAAGTGCCAATTTTACCAGCGCTTGTGTTGGAAATTGTCATACCTCAGCATGCACCGATCGAGCAAGATCTTGAGCTTCTTGAAAGCATCCGATCCAGGCCCTTGCATACCGTACTTCTGGATTGGAGTCAAGATCTCATTGTTCCAGTAACAGGTGTGCTGCATCGGCGAGTGACCGCAATCATCACAGTTTCGCTTGTTGCCGAACTGCCAGTGGAGCGATTTGCACGGACACCTCTTGCAGTAGTAAAAGGCAAAGGCTGAAGAATGCTGTCTTCAGATGCTGTATCTCGAAACCCAGCGGCGCATCACTCACGATCTCCTCCCAAGAATCGCACAAGCGAATAGAGCTCTCCTACACGGTTTTGTAGGGGCGTACCAGACAAACACCACCTGTAGCTCGAATCGAGGGCAAAAGCAGCCTTAGCAGCGTTTGTCGACCTCTCTTTGATGTTGTGGGCCTCGTCCAGGACGACACTACGACAGGACAATGGGATAAGCAGGCTGAGTTGAACAGATGTTTGCTTTATCTGTACTCACCGGTGCCATTTGACAGCATGCATCGGGCTCTTTTCCTTAATCATTGCATCACCTCGCTTAAATCCCTTTTGTTGTTTTCGGAACGCTGCCTCGAGAGTACCGTACGAGACCATAACCTGAAGGAAGGAACGTCAGAGCCAGCGTAGAAAGCAGCGGATGTCAATACGGGATTCGCTTACCACATCGAATTTCTTCAAATCGTCGGCCTTCAATCTACCCTGCCCATGCCACAGGCAAACCTGATAATACAAATCAAGGTCATAAGCATCATCTCCTCAAGCTGCCGAAAATGATTGCTTACAGTGAATCCCTCTGCGTTCTTCTCGATCTCATGCTTCCACTGCATCAACGCGACAACGGGAGCCACAACCAAGCTTGGCTTTCTTCGGGGTTCCGATAAGAGCAACGCGATCGTCTGAATACTGTGGAACGTGGATCGAGATCATGTTAAGCGAAAAAGGACATCGGGTCTAGGCGGGATGAGGTGGAAAACTCACGTCTTGCCCCTAGGAAAGGAAAGATGAAAGGAAGTCATATCAGTAGGAAAATCAAATCGCCTATTCGCAGTCAAAATCTCACATTCCCACTACAAACGCGAACAGTATTGTCAGCCCGGTACCGAGAACACAACTCATACCAAGGACACTCACTCTCGTCGGCCAACATTCCGCCCTTCCAAGGTCCCGCTTCCTGCTGTTTCATCCAGAACAAACTCTCCTTCTGGAACGGCAGCAGTGTCAACTTGAGACTGGGATGTGCCTCCATGGTCGTCGGCGCCGCTCTTGAGATGCCGGCTTTCAAATCTCCCCATACGTTCTGCAGCTCAGGATGGTGCTGGCAAGGAGGACTCGATTCATACTCAGCTCTTGTTATTCATTCCGGTGTTAATCTCTGCGCAACCCACGTAATTTAACGCGACCGAGTTGATCTCCGCCCATGTCAACTTCCTCTTGAGCTTCTTCATCATCTCCCTCTTGATCTTCATCAACGGCTCAGCTGCCTCCTTTCTCCGCTTGTTGTCCTCGGCCCGTTTCTTCCTCAACCCAGCGAGATCCATGGTCTTGCTGTTCGATGTGTTCGCGATCGAGACCTTCTTCTTTGAACCGGGGGGCTTAACATCCTCGTCATCTTCGTCGTCGAAATCGGCGTCGGCATCTGGATCGTCGTCTTGACCATCACTTTCGAATTTGAAGGACGAGTCGTCGGAATCGGAATCGACTTGCATGCCCATGCGGCCTGAAAGTTGATGATGACATGATCAATCAGCCCAATGAACCGATAATTAGGATCTTGAATGCGAAACGATGTGACGCACGTTCGGCTGCTCGAGCTCGCTTCTCAGCTTCCTTATTCCTAGCGGCCGGCTTGCTTGGTCCCGCTCGGGGTTGCTCCATCGCTTGGAGCGATTCCTATGAACGCTCACGAGGGTCAGAAGAAGTTCTAGCCGTACCGCAAGACTGGCCGACGACTCACAGCGATCGCAGCTTTCATCATTTCCTCCTCGATCTCATCCTCGTTGTTTCCTTCAGCGACCGCCTTGCCCTTGATCTTGTTCATAGCCTTCTTGGAAGCAGCTCGAGCAGGAGCCTTCTTCCCCGCCGTCTTGGTCGTCCGGGGCACAAAGTCCAACTCGTCATCATCCCCTTCAAATTCAGCATAAGCCTCTTCTTCTTCGCTCGCAGTGAAGGTGTCTTCCTCTTGCGAATCGGGAACGATGTCAGGGTTCTCTTCGGCCTTGACTTTTCGGCGAGAAGATCGAGCGGGAGTAGCTCTTGTCTTGCCCTTGGCAGTAGCTGTCTGGCGGTTTGAGGAAGAAGTCCCCTTTTTGGTGATCGGTGCGTCGGGGTCACTGAGGTCCGTTTCGCTCATCGCTTTAGAGCGGGGACAGTTCCGGTGCTTCAGTAGAGTCCAACTGGGTTCTTCGCTTAAGAAAGCTCTCACCTTTTCGTTTCCTCGACGTAGCGAAGTCTTTGATGATAGGTTTTTTATCCTCCAACTCGTCCACCTCCTCATCCTCTGTATATTTAGGCTTCTTCGCTACCGACGTTCTCGAACTCCTCTTGACCGGGATCTCGACGACCATCTCCGACTTGACCCTGACCTCGAGCTTCTGATCCTCTTCCATATCGCTGCCAGCGACGGTGCTCGCAGGGGTCAAACCCGAATCGTTCTTCTTGAGCGCCCGATCTCGAGTTCGAGTAGATCCAGGGGTGAGGAGACCGTTGTTCTCGATGACATCGGGAATGGGCGTTTTGGCTGCCGCGGCACGACGACGGGGAGGCATACTGTGGTGCGTTCTCGCTTTTGGTTGCTGGCAGGTTTGCCTTGTTCGTCTAAGGTCGAGTCTATTCAACTAGCTCTATGTCACCTCTGGCACCTTTTGCTGAGACGATGATGTTCGTGGTGACTGTTCCACCCCCTCTGAGCATCTCAAACTCTGGTTGATCCATCGTCGTTATCAGTGGCAAACTGGGGAAAATGAATTGTTCGCAAGGTGAAAGTGCCCTCGGTGACCGAACCCCACAATCTTCGCGGAAGCAGATCCGAATCAGCTTTCGGGCCCAACCGATGGGTCATGTCACATTCATCGTCCTCGCAGATCGACGATCTCGGTTGTCGGCGACGATCCGGCCTTCGCGAGGGCTTCCGACAATCGCGACGGTCTGAAAGGGAAAAGACCTGCAAGTACAACAACGATAGACTTCTACTACTAATTTTCAATTCCTAACTGATATCAGGAGGCTGTAGAGGGATGAGTGGCTATTCACACTGCCAGCTGAGGTGGCGATGTTGGGCTATGGGCGCCCGCATCTCGGGTCTCGGGAATAGCTATTAAGCTCGATTCTTTGTTGTTTTTCGCGTGTTGAGCGCATTGTATAAAGGCGGTGTCATGCGAAAAAGAAACCCGTGTCAATACAAAAACTACAGATGCAGTCGGTGTCCCAAGTCGTTCCTCCTGCTCCTAGTCTAGTTCCGGAAATCTCTATATACAAGGCAAAGGGGAATGTAGGGGAAGTTGTGTTGTACAGAAGAACACCGCCGAGGATGACGGGTCTTCATCGAAGCTGATACGAAATCCCGGGCATGATGGTGGATGATGATGTGTGATGATGTTTGATCGATGTTGAGGAGTTGGGGGGATCAGACGAGGAGGAGCTCGTCACCGGACGTCGATTTCCGTCCTATTTTTGGCGTTGCGGGGGTCGTACAGCAGAGAAAAGAGAAAGAGAGCCGGAATTCCACATCGTACTGGTCGCCATACGCCGCTTAGAGCTTGAGCGACTTGGGCTTCTCCCAGGTGTAGTCGGGGTTACCGAAGTGACCGTACGAGGCGGTCTTCAAGTACTGGGGCTTCTGGAGGTCGAGCTCCTTGACAATGACACCGGGCCTCAAGTCCCAGTTGTTTCGGATGACCTTGACGAGGTCGAGGTCGGAGATCTTCTTGCCGGTACCGTAGGTGTCGACGTAGACGGACAGGGGCTCGGCAACTCCGATGGCGTACGAGAGCTGGACGAGAGCTCGTCGGGCGAGACCGGCGGCGACGAGGGACTTGGCGATCCATCGGGCGGTGTAAGCGGCCGATCGGTCGACCTTGGAGAAGTCCTTTCCGGAGAAAGCACCACCTCCGTGAGCACCCCATCCACCGTAGGTGTCGACAATGATCTTTCGTCCGCTATAAAAGATCAAAACCGACAGGCGAGTCAGTTCGAGTCAACATCGATTCAGAGGGCTGAAATTTACTCACGTCAAACCGGCGTCTCCCTGGGGACCTCCGATAACGAATCGGCCCGAAGGTTGGATCTGCGGCACCAAAAAGAAACAGATCAGCTCGCGGATCTCGTTCCACCGAACTGGCGCCTCGAACGCACGTGGTAGACGGTCCTGTCGTCGAGCAAGTCGGCGCTGATGACCTTCTTGATGATCTTCTCCTTGATCTGCTTCCTCAAGTCCTCGGTGGTGATCTCCTCGGCGTGTTGGGTCGAGATGACGATGGTGTCGACCCTCAAGGGGATGACGGCACCGTCAGTGTCCTTCTTGTACTCGATGGTGACCTGGGTCTTGGAGTCGGGTCGCAACCAACCCATGGATCCGTCTCGACGAGCGGTGGCCATGGCCGCGTTGAGCTGATGGGCGAGCATGATGGTCTTGGGCATCAACTCGGGGGTCTCGTCGGTAGCGTATCCGAACCTGCAGATTAAGAAGAAGAAAAAAGGTCAGTGAAAAGCGCTCATGAAACATTAAGCTGGTCGCGCGTCGACTCACATGATACCCTGGTCACCGGCACCGTGGTTCTCCAAGTCACCGTGGTCCAATCCCTGGGCGATATCGGGAGACTGCTGCTCGATGGCAACCAAGACGTTGCAGGTCTTGTAGTCGAAACTATAGAGCCGATTCCAACAGTACCGTCATCAATACCTTGCGATATGCGACTGTTTTGAGCGAGAAGAAAAGTCGAGACTTACCCCTGCTCGGACGAGGTGTATCCGATCTGCTTGATGGTGTCACGAACGACCTTCTGGTAGTCGATTCGGGCGGTGGTGGTGATCTCACCGAAGACTACACACAAGGAAATCCGCGCAAGGCCGAGCAAGAAAGAGCAAGGTCAGCAGCTGGTCAACATCTAGAATATATGCAATGGATCGCAGGGGAAACGACAAGACTCACCCATGATCATACCGGTCTTGGCAGCGGTCTCACAGGCGACCTTGGAGTTGGGGTCCTCTCGCAAACAAGCATCGAGGATGGCGTCCGAGACCTGGTCACAGATCTTGTCGGGGTGACCCTCACCGCTACGAAGGAGAAGAGATAGGTAAGCGAACAAGAACGCGTTGGGGAGATTGCTTTTTCCAAAACGGTTGCGCAAGAACGTGCTTCTGACGTTCTTGCCGGGAGGATTGTAGAGGAAGGTCGACTTACACCGACTCGGAGGTGAACAAGAAGTGGCCTGCCAGGCGAAACGGAACAATTGTACAAACAATCGAGATCAGCCTTCATCGCTCTGATCCGGCTTCTAGACTTTTTCTTGATCTGATCGAGACTCTGGATGACCTACCCTCGGGGAGGACGTGAGCGGCAGAGCCGTTGGACTCGGGGTGGGTGATGGCAGCGGTCATTTTATTGAGTGTTTTGTGTTTTGGGGAGAAGAGTTAGGAGGATTTGGTTCTGGCGTGTCCTTGCCGGTGAGTTATGATGTCGAGGAGGTGTTTGAGTATATGAACCGTGTGTGTGTGTGTGTGGGGATGGCTGGGCAGGTTGCTACGTGGTGGTGGTCGTGGTCGTGGGGGGTGAATGGTACGATCGTTGGGAGATCGAAAACGCTGTCAGATGCGCGTCGCCGCCCCCTTCCCCCCGCCCGTGCCCCCTCTCCTTTCGGATCGGATGCTACGAAAAAAATAGGTTCACGGTCGCGTAAGCAAGGGGAAGGGAGCCAGGTGGATCGGTATCGATGGCGCGATCGCGTCGGATGCAATTCTCAAACAAGGGAATGAACGGACGATCCGCGGTACAGAAGTACGTAGGAAAGAGAGGAATGATATCAAGTAACCGGTCGTTTCAGGACAAAAGACGTCTAATCAATACAACAGAGAAGCACGCTCGAGCTTTTACTACAGTATCCTCCTTTATCTCAACGCCCGCTCAGATCGGAACGGGAGGGACCAAACTGAAGACCCCGCTCATCTCTACGACCGTCTCCCTCGAGCCTCTGTCGACGACGATGTTCTGACCGTTGACACCGACCGAAGCGGGACTGCAGAGAAAGACTGCGACGTCGGCGATCTCGGTGGGAGGGGCGACGTTGGCGTAGAATTCGGGAGTGACGGATTGGCTCTTTTCGACGAGGACTTGCATGGTCGCCCCTGCGAATTCAAGTAATGCTTGAATGAAGGCGACGTTCGAGATCGTGTATGTAAGTGGAAGACTTACCGGAGATGGCTCCGGCTTTCATGGCGTTCTCCGTAATACTAGTGGTCACTGCACCCGGACTATATTCAACATCCATCGGATAGACCCTTCATCAGCCTGGCGATCCTTTTCTATTGTACCACCGCTTGCTTTCCGCAACTCACGCGATCCCGTTGACCCGGATAGGCACTTTGCTCGCTTTGAACTGCGCACAGGCGCTCTTCAAGATCCCGACCGCAGCGTACTTGGAGGCGGTATAAGCTGGGGAACCCATCCCTCCGAAGGTGGAGGCTAGGGAAGTCTATCGTGCATGGGTATGAGCATTAATCACTCTCATGGTTGTACTTGCGGTTCGAGAGACTGGCCCCGACCGACCGCAAGGGAAAATGTCTAAACGCGGGCGAGACTCACGGTAACAACGATCGACCCGCCAGCTTCAGGTTTGAACAGGCAAGTATTCATCATCCCCCTAGCGGCCCATTGAATCGAGTTGAATACCCCGATAGTGTTGATGTTGAAGGCTCTTTGCTGGTTGACGTGAAGATAAAGATTCGCGGTCCGATCAGCTGGAGGTATTGAAGCAACGAGACGAAGGGAATGGCATAGGGTGCTAGGCAGGATACGCACGAGGTTCTGTTCGGTAGTGCTACCGAAAGGTTCGAAATCGACCACTCCGGCGTTGGCGAACTGGACACAACGATCACCTGTAAATCAGCTTTTTCCCCGTATTCTCGAGACATCCAAGCTAGACCTAGACTTACCAACCAGTCCAACCTCCCTTGTTCCCCGATAATCTGCCTGACGAGCCTCTCCAAATCCTCAGACTTGGTCACGTCAACTTTGACTCCAACAACAGCGGTCTCATGTCCGGCTTGTTTGACGAGATCAACAAGGCTAGGAAAGTGCTCCTCGAGGAGATCACATGCGTAAATGGTCTTGGCGCCTGCCGCGGCGTATTGGAGAACGGCGGTTCGGCCGATTCCAGAGGGGGTGCCAGCGCCTGTAAGGAGAGTGATGAGGGAATCAGACTCAAGTGCTGCTTAGAAATCAATCGCGAAAGCTAATAAGGCAGCTTACCCGTGATGATCCCGACGGTACCGTTAAGAGGAACAGTGGTCATGCTTGAGTGAGACTGTCGTGATCTGAAGATCGAGTTGCGTGCGACTCGGTTACTTCGAGGAAAGTTCGCGCCGACGATTGATGGAGAGAGGTATGCTGGGTTTCTGATATACCGTTATATATAACAGAGCTTGGACGTCACAGATCTACAACCAAAGGATGTATGTTGGTAATCTGGATCACCTGACGACTCGCAGTCGAGCGACGATCATGACGACACACATGACACGTCACGGCAGAAAAGGGTGGTACGATGGCTGCAGTGCCACGCGGGACATTCCCGAAATTCTTCCGTTCGGGCCGGTTGTCGTTTCAGATGAGACAGGGTTGTTCAGGTCACGATTCGCCGAATCGCAGCGTGGGGAACCCAATGAATCTGCTAAGAATGCCTGCGTGTAGCACGCTATGTCTCCACAGGCCCTGATGTAGCGTTCTTTTTCGTCCCGGCGCAAGTAATGTATCAACAGGAAATCGAGTATGATGTCGAACGAGAGAGATCGAACCGAACAACTGACGTTTACGTTACCCGGAGGCAAAAATCAAGCGCTTGATTTTTGCTTCCCAGGGGTCCGAATTCTTCTTAAGGTTAACCCCTTAGCAGCTCGAGACCGCTTCAGTGAGATCTACTGCAAAGCGAGTAAGTTTCGTTTGCGCCGTTTACAGTGTGATGGTGACAATAACAATGACTGCTCATACATGCGCTCTTCACAGAGCCAGGACTCTTGCATAGTCAATCAAGTCCCTCACACAGTCTGGAAAAGCCATTTGTAGACCGCTTCTTGCACCTCCAGCCGCTCGTTTTCCAATATCGCCTGCAATCCTCTGATTAGCTGTGCAAACAGATCCCTAGTGATATCGGCTCGCATATGATGACGTCCCGACCCAAGCGGAATTCCTAGCCATCTCTCCGTCAATTCTCGGATCTCGTCGCTGTCCGAGACCTGATGCGCGTCCATCAACGTGTGGAGGGCTAGGTCGGTGTCTCCGCCTAGTTTCCGAACTTTGCGGCTGGGTTTGATCGCCTAGCCGCCCGACTTGTCCGTCCATACGGCTTTGCTGGCCTGTCTGATCTGCTTCTTCGACTTGCCGTTATGGAGGTGATATATCTGCTTGATCATTTGTTTGATCACGTTGACGGCTGCCAGCATCGTTAGTCCTTTCACGCTGCCGGTCATGTCTGAAGCCTGGTGATTCCCCAGAAAGTTGCCGTAGAACTCCAACTTCAACCATGATGTTCTCGAGTCAACGGGCGGAATTGGGCTTTCGTTATAGCGTAACAGGCTGAAGTAGACTCATTCATAGTCATCCCTCCAGTCGCTTGATTTAAGCACGTCGGGCGCATGGGCGTATCGTTTGACAGGCGTCCACCCATACATCGGGGCGAAGCACGTTGGCTCGTCTTACCCCGAGAACCAGAGTCTGTGAATATCCAGACTCCAGATACTAATGGGAGACCGTTGGGGCCACCCATCTCTACGAGACCATCGGGCTCTGCGCTTCATCCTTCCACCAAGATTGTTCTGCCACAAACCCGCACAAGCGGTGAAATGCTTCCCCTCATTTTCCAACTTGCTCGCCGGGCAAGCGCTGGTTCAGACTTCCCGTGGATGCACCTCCTTTCGCCTTCTGGTTCTTGGTTCGGACGTATCGAACGAACCTCGGTCCTTCTAGGACGGAAGTCTGATCGTCAGGCCTGGTCGGCGAGCTAATCCGCATTCATCGTTCGTCATCAAGATAGTGGTAACAGGGAAACGTCGTGAAAGATAACAAAGCCCTCTAAGAAATTTTGTTGGCAGAACTCTCATTCTCCTATGCTTCGTCGTGTCACACCCCTCAGCCTTCTCGTCGTCTCGGTGTCGATCGCAGAATGTTGTCCACACTGTTGTTGTCGTTTGCGTCGATCGTCAGCCATGGTATCGTAATATTCATGACCGGCATGCGAAAACTCACCGAAGGATCATCTCGGCAGCCTCGCTAGCACTGACGACGACCTGCTTCTTCAACTTGTAACTCTCCGTCACTCCGAGTTTTCTCATCGAGGCGATCTCTCCCTTGTCCATGTCTGCACACGGAACTAGTCAGTACGTTGCTTCTTGAAGTATCGAAAACGTCTCTTATCTCACCCAGACCGGCATCGCTCTGACCCTCGTAGTGAGCGGCCCTCAACCTGGAAACCAGATCGGACGAGTCGTGTCCACCGTTGTCAGCCAAGATGGTGGGCATCTTAAGGCATAACAAGCCGGTCGTTAGCAACCGCCACCGCGCATAAGGCCACGTTATCCCTTCCGCTCTCACCTGTCGCAATGCCTTTCCGAAGCTTTCGACTGCCAGAGCTTTCTTCCCCTTGATCCGTCGGCACTCTTCCTCGACCGCACAGCTCATCAACATCTCGGCACATCCACCTCCCAAGACCACTCGAGTCTCCTTGACCGTCTGAGACAAGACCGACAGAGCATCGTGCAGCGATCGTTCGGCCTCATCTACCATTTGGGTGGTAGCTCCTCGAAGTACTACTGTGCAAGCTTCACCGGCAGCGACTCCAGAGAATTTGATGAGCTATTGCAACGGTACCTCTTAGCGTCCTCTTCGCAAGACAGCATAATCAAAAGCTTGCCCACCTTGTCCTCTCCAATCATGATCTCCTCGATCAGATCACATCGTCCGATCTTGACCAGATCCGGCTGATCAAAGGTGCTCGCAATCTCCCCTCCGGTGACCAGTGCCAACCTCTCGACACCCTCGAAATCGGCATGCTCGATGCTCATGATTCCCTGTTCTGACAACAGACTCTCAGGGTAGTTGTAGATAAGTTGACGGTTGACAAAACAGGTGATGCCGTGCGAGGCGATCTTGTTGACCTTATCCTTCATCTTTTCCTTTTCAGCCCGTTCGAGCTCGGCAAGCTTGCCGGTTCCGTCGACCTTGACTCGAGCGCCAAAGATCTTGACCTTGTCAGTGTCCATGGCTGCAAGACAGGACAAGTGTGTCAGGCAATGGTCTATCGTCTTGCGAGACGTCCAAACTCACAAGTGTTGGCGATCAAGATCTTGGCGTTCTCGATCCTCTTGGGGCAGTTGACACCAATTTGCTTGTCCAAGATGAAGCCTGCGAGATGTTATGGATCAGTTCATCAGTATCGCAACGGCTTCTCTATCAGAACACAGCGAGCCGATCACTACGCACCCTCATCCAAGTAACTATCCGTCAACTTTCCTCCGACCTTTTTGATGATCTGGATATGATCCAGATCGGTGCTTCCCTTCAACCTTAACACGGCGTCTACGGCGAGGTTGGCAAAGTATTCCTTGTCTTGTGCGAGAACCTTTGACGACAAGGTCGTTCGGGCAATGTTGAAAAGATCGTTTCGGAATGCGGCCGAATCCGAGCTGTGATAAAGAAGAACTCACAAAGTCAGGTTGACGTTCAGACCAGCACAATACAGCCTGTCTGTCAGAGCCACACAATCACTCACGAGTTGTCCCGGGCGGCACCTGCCAGAGCAGCCAGACTGGCCTTGCTCGCAATCCTGTAACCTTCTACGACCGTTTGCGGGTGCACCTTGTACGTCGTTACAAGCTTCTCGGCCTCCCTCAACAGCTCACTCGCGAGCACGCAGACCGAGGTGGTCCCATCACCGACCTCGTCGTCCTGGACTTTTGAGATGTTGACGAGGATCTTGGCGGCGGGGTTGTCCAGCTGGATAGACTTGAGAATAGTAGCTCCGTCGTTGGTTACCATGATCTCTCCAGTAGAGGCGGATTCTGTCAACGGAAGCAAGAGGTCTGATCAGCATCTGCGATGTTGTTGAATCTTAATCAAGCAGAGCTTACGAAGGATCTTGTTCATTCCCTGTAAGTCAAATCGTTACAAGCCGTTCAGGGGGTCAACTTTCCCAGTCGACAGCCTTCCTAGCCGCTTCTTCGACCAGAATTACAGGCTCACCTTGGGTCCCAAAGTACTCTTCACCAAATCTCCCAGAGCCATAGCTCCTACGAAAGAAGACAACCTCGCATTCTCTCCTCGTTCCTCGGTAGCCTCGTCAGCAAAAACGTTCATGGCGTGTCGGTCGTGTCTTTTTGTGGATTGGCGGTTGCAGACGATCTGCTATTCGTCAATAGAGCTTGTGTATAAGGTCAATGAGCTAGAAAGAGCTATTCAACGACTAATGTCGATCATGATCTTGACCACAAGGTACGTTGTGAATGTTCGAGTGAGCGAGAGTGGAGGGGGCGACGCGTGAGAATTTCGAGTCGATCTCTCGACGCGAGAGGGAACCAAGCCAGTCGATGGAGGGTCATCATCAGATCGTCATGACATTCATAGCACATGTACACAAACAGAAGATCATCATCACACCCCAAGGACGGGATTCGCTCCTTCGACTAGTCCTCGTCCATGTCCTCTTCCAAAGCCCGCCTCGCCGCGGCCTCGGCCTCGACCAACAAGTCTTCCGGAACGTGTACGTGGAACCCGTTCGTCTCGGGTCCGATCCAAGTCATCTCGAGCTCAAAGTTGCCGTCCTTGTTATCGTCATGAACGAGGTGGACGCTGGAAATGTGATGAAGCACGTTTTAGTCAACACAGATCTTGAAGGTGACTTCATCTGACGACCACCCGCCGACTCACATCCTGGCAACCTCCTTGACACCCTCCCGGACGGTCATCGTCGACCCGTCGAGCTTTTCCAACTCGGTCTTAGCCACCTGTCTTCCCTTGCCCACCGCACATGCTCGGTACCCATAGTAAGCGCCGCTAGGCTCGACGACGTAGAGCTGAGGTCCCGTCTTGTCGATCGCACCGACAATGGTACTGATCCCAAAGGGTCGAACGGAACCATAAGACGTGTAAGCATGGACGTAGGCGCCGATACGTTCCATCAGTGCCTGAGGATTAGAAGGTGTAACAGCAAATAGTTCAGTCACGGTGCCCACCGCACGAAAGTAGCTTCACGTTCCGCCAAGACTCACCTTGAGGCCGACTGGGCTACCATACGTCTCCTTGAAGTTCTGAGCCTCCTCGGCCGCTCGTTTCCCCAGATGACGTGTGTCGGCTACGAGACCAGATGCGGCCTATCGATGTGACAGAGAAGCATCATGATTCGATCAAGGGGTCGTATGTTCGTCGGGTTTCAGATTGATCAGATATGGAGGAGGCCAAGTGAGTAGGGCAGAAGTCGTACGTTCAAGTGGACCGGAGACAGTCGAAGGCGGTCAAAGATGTACCGGCGATAAAGGGATAGGTCGGCGATGTTCGCGGGAGAAACGGAGCAAGAAAGGCGAAGAAAAGCTCGATCAGCCTTCTAATCTCCCAAATTCCACTTCCAGATTTCATCTTCCTAGCGAAAAAGGCTCACCAAACCGACATGGTTGTCCACGCTGACGATCCGCTTGTTGGCTCCCTTGACGAGCAATTTCGAGGTCTGCACCTTTTCTACGGCGAGGACGACGCCGTCTTTGCACCGGAGACCGATGGCCACGCTGTTGATTCGTGGATTCGGGGTCGCAGTGATCAAGGTGGTACTGGTCAATTTTTAATTCGACAAGACGAAGTGGGAGATACGGGAAAGGCTAATGAGAGGGAAAGGAAGGTGGAAGAATTGCGGTATGAGCTTACCCAGACGCTTCGGCCGCCTTGGAAGCGTATTCGACCTGGTATCACAACCCGGAGCAACATCAGCCATTCAATTATTCTTCGATTTGAGATACCTCAGCCGAATATCCGTACCGAGACTGACCTGGAAGATCCTGCCATCAGGACTGTATGTTGAGACGGAAAGATCGTAACCGGTTCCGATAGAGCTCATTGTGGAATCGTTTCAGCGAGTATCGGCTTCGATGACGGACGGAGAGAGGGTATAGATTGATTCGTTGAGAGCTCTATATCTGTAGGGATGGTCGAGGTGGAACAAAGTCTGAATGTCTCAACAGCCAGTGTCCCTTGCGAAAGTGATGATCGACTCGTCATCCTCTAAGAGCAAGATCATGAGACGATGTTAATAACGCATGGAGCATTCTTGTTTATGCGTTATGATGACGAATCACTCAACGGTACCGGTGATCTGATCAGTTCATTTGGCTGATCGGGGACAACGATCTGATCTGTTGATGAGATTCGTCACGACATCACTACGGATGGCATAGCATCACGAGCTAGAGTCGCACAAGTGCCATATACATCATGGCTCATGTACAAAGCGGATGGACATGCACAATCATTACTTACCAAATTACCAAGCGGTGGATGATATGTCGGTGCGTGGACGCGCTGGCGGATCGCAGAGTTTTCAGGCTTTAGGTCGACGACGGCACGATAATTGGATTGATTGATGGGCCGACCGATCATACGACTTTCATCAACGACCATCACCATCAAAATCAAAATATGAACGCGTGCGAAAGCTTTGACCATGCCCGTGCTGCCAGCGTCCACGTCGTGTGGTGTATCAAGGATATGAGCATTATTGAGATCACCTCCAGCCCGAACGACTGGACAACGTCGACGCCAATAATACCTCACGACACCTCCGTTCACCTCTGATCGACACTATCTTCCGAAGGATGTATCCAGAGAGCGACCAGGATACGGATGAACTCGCCCGAGTGGAATGCGAAGGGGATGCTGCTGCGTCGCGCTCTTCCGTAGCCGTTAGCGAGCTTGCAGCGCCCATGAACATCGAACCGAACGACGGGAAGATGTCTAGGCCTCCTTTCGCGACCGACACGGCGATGTCGCCCTCTGCTTTCGTGACCGGCACGATGATGTCGCTCTTGGAACAGCCTCCCACCGCCTCATCGAGCTCGACACTGCTGTCTGGCAATCCTGGAGTCAGCCCCTCAGCAGCAGCCGCCCTGTCCCCTTCGCAAACCGATTATCCCCCTCTCAAAGCCGACCACCTCGTTCGGGACCTTCGTTCTGCGTACGATCAGGCCCTATCGTTCTCGACTGCTACGTACGCACCGGAGCTCGCCAAGAAATATGTTGACATCCTGGTCGACTGGCGAAGCACCAATATGGCCTGGGCCAACGCGAAGGGCGGTGCTGGAGCGAGCGTGTTCGGAAACACCACCTCCGGCGCAAAAAAGACGTTCAGTCGTAACGTACTCCTCTTCCTTCCTCGAGATGACTGGTGCGAGAATTGTCTCAAGGTATATGACGAGGTCAGGGCCAACCCTGCCAATCAATGCGGGAAACTACTTTGGCCTTGCGTGGTTTCGGAAGATCCTGGGTGCATCGCCTGCGCATTGTACCGCTTGGACTCGCTGCGTCAAGACCCTCCAATTCTACCTGCCCGTGCCAAGGGCTCCTATGCCTGTTCCCACAGGCACGGCAAAGCGTGGACATTGGAAAAGTGGGATGCTGCGAGGGCAGCTACAGCGCAACCTGCACCTACAGCCTCCGTTGCCCCGGTCGTCGCGCCCTTACCTGCCGTCGAGCCGGCCACTCACCCAACCAACCCTCATCCCCCGGGGACCTCGACCACACCCGGTGTCGAACCCGATGCGACGAACTCGCTCAGCCTGCCCATGCCACCTTTGCCACGCATGCCGTCCATGCCGGGATCGTCCAGTGCGAACCCAATCGTCTTTGATGACAATGACGACGACGACGATGTTGAGCCAGCTCCGCGTGTTCAAGGTGCAACTGCGCAAACTGGACAGTCCTCGACTGACGCGGCCGAGCGGCTCTCGACCGTCAAGACGGAGCAGTCCTCGACTGTTAAGACCGAGCAGTATGTTACCGTCAAGACCGAGGATGCAAACGTGAGGCAGAAGCTGCTCGCCTTCGCAAGGACGATCGAAGATTTCGTCGGCAACATGATGCCGGGTCCGATCGCAAGCAACGTGAAGGCGGTTGCGACTCGGCTGAAAGCAGATTGCGCTGCTAGCCAGCCCTGCTGCGAGGCACTTGAGCGTGCCATTGTTGGACTAAGGGCCCAAATCATCATCGTGGTGGTACATCAGAACTTGGGCGGGACGTTGCGAGAGATGGAGGAGTTATTGGAGACGTTGTGAGATGGACCCGGGCGGGTTCCGGATGTTACGCAGATTACGACTTTTACGTATCTTTCACTTCTATGTTTGTTGTCGCTTCCTTAGCATCGGTTTCATATCAGTCAGCCGATTTTTTACACCGCCTCAAAGCACAGGCCAGATCGTCATTTTATGTCTATCCATACCATCGTGAAAAAAACGCGCAAAGACGTTTACGCTCATGATACAAAACCCGATACGAATCGACCCGCTCACGCCAACAAATTCAACCTGGCGCTCAACTCTGCCTGGGTCCTGATCAACGCGCTCAAATAGCTCACGCTCAGGGTATCCTGCAGACCCTTCTTGACGCCCTCCTCGGCCGCACCATCTTCGTCGTCACCCGCGGCGGCACCCCCGTTCTCCGACTTCCACCTTCCGACGGCTTCGAGCAGGTACCTCCCGACTTCGGGGTCGGCTTGACGGGAACCCGAGGTGACCTCTCGTACGTAAGATTGGATCTGGGTGAGGTTTTGAGTGAGAGCGGCGATGCTCTGCGAGAGGGTTTGGAGGGGAGGTTGCGAGGTCTGGGCGGATTGAGAGTCGGCAGAGGCGAGGTTGGGGGTGAGGAGGTCGACTGTGTGGCAATATCGAAAGAAGGTGATCAGCCGATATGCCACGATGAGGAAGGCAAGCTAAACGCTTGCGAGCTTTAACTTACGACCGGCCTTTTCGGTCAACTGGTACTTGACGCTGCAAGGGATGGGCAGGAAGACGGCGTTCTCCGGCTTGGGTGCCGATCCGACTTCCCTGGCGACATAGGCCTTGACGGACAAGCTCGAGTCGACGTTCTCTTGCGAGAGGTTGGTGTCAAACGTCAGGTGGACGGCAGGGGTAGAGGAGCCGGTCTCGCCGTCAAAGAAGTTTTGGATGAGGGCGGAGTAAGGGGTAATGTCTGGCGAGGATGAGTACCTGCGAGGAAGAGCATAGGGGAGATCAGTATCGTTCCGGGTGACTAGGACCGAAATACATGGCGTGCCGACATACCATCCGACCAAGACCTCCCGACCGCTTCCAAGCAAGTTCATCATGCTCCTGTGGTACTCCATATCCACAGCGACCTCCTTGTCAGTCTCGACATGAGGCAAGGCGAAACAGTTCCTGATCTCGATCTCGCTGCTCGACCCGGTGGATCCCGTCTCGGACGATCGGACGCCGAGCAGGGTTCCGATCACTCGTGGTTGTTCAGCGGGTTTACGGGATTGGTGATCCAAGATCTGAGCGAGAACCGAGGGATGAACGGTGACGAGGGAGGGGGTTCGCCTGTATCCAAGAATGTAGAGCATGTGTACAGAGCGAGTTCAGTAAAAGGCCCTGCTACGTTGTCCGACATATTGTTCCTTGAGGAAAAAATCGGGACGTACCCCGACGTGCTGGGGAGGTTGAGGTGGAGCGCCGATGAGGCAGCGTTGAGAGCCATGATATCTAACTTGGCTTTTCTTTTGGGGTGTTATATCTAATGGATTGATCTGATGATGGTCTCGAGACTGGATCAGAATTCTCTCGACGATAACATCGAACAAGGGACTCAACCTTGAAAGTGCCCTGGAGGAGGTCGAGATCTCTCGATCACGTGAAAAGGCGTCGCGCGACCGTGCTGCTCAGCTTGCTGCTGAGAAAAGGTCGCCGTGATGATGATATCGTCGACAATCTTGATGTCAAAACACCTTAACAACGGTAGCAATCCTCATCCAATTCCAATACATTCAACTTATCGACACAAGATGTTCAGCGACGAGACCAAGGACAAGATCAACGCTGCCGTCGGTGTCGGCAAGGTCAGTCCCTGAATCTCCCTTCAGCCTTCGAAAAGGTTTCCGACTACAACTAGACTCGGAACGTTGAGACGACATGCATGCGATGTTTCAATTATCGCAGACCGTTGCTGTGTACGGATGGATCCCCTTCATCCTCTACGTTGGATACTCTCGATCGTCTCCTCAGCCTTCTCTCATCAAGTGAGTCTTTCCTTACCGTGCCGCCTGTTATCGCCCCCTGCCTGTCCAGAGTCTGACCTATCGACCGATCCTGTTTTTTCCTTTGCTCAGGTTGATCAGCCCTTTGGCTTGATCGGGATTTGATGAAGAGGAAAAGGAGAGCGTATGACGTTCTGGCAAGAAACGAATGTATCATTATCGTGAGTTCTGCTTCTGACGTCTCGTATCGTCTAGATCGAAGGGCTAAGCTTACGACCCAATGTCGTGTCGTGGAATTTGATACAGGATCCCATCCCTCCAAGAACCTTCTGATCGATCTGAGGGGACAAGCTCTCCTCTTCAGACGTGATCGGTGTACCAATAAATCAATGCAAGATTCGATGCCTAAATGACCGAATTCTACGAGATACAAGCAAAGCTATCCTCCTCCTCGTTGTGATGACTCTTCCTCAGCTAGACATTGTGCTCAGAGCAGCCGGTCACGATTAATATTGTGAAACCTTGACATAATTCGCCGGTGCCAATCTCTCCCTGACGACTTTGATCAAGTAGAGCGGTCCTGCACTGAAGAGCACGATCACGGAGACTTTCCAGATGAACCGGGTGCTCAGGACGAACGAGAGGTCTGTGCGTGTCAAAAGAGCATGGAAGTAGATGAATCAGATCGTGGTCTAGGGTCGGAAAGCAAGCAATGAGTATCTGATGCTCACCGAAGTATTGCGGGAGGACGACCATGGAGATGGCGTAAATGAGGAATGTCACAATCTCGGAAATGATCATCCAGGGATGCCTAGGCCGGAGGACGGCAACAGAAAGTTGCATCAGTTCTCATGCAGCTTCCCATCCATCGTGATCGTGTACTGATACTGACCAGGTAGTGATCTCGAGGGCGACCATGATTAGCTCGTTCAGGATCAACGAGGTGAACGAGATGGCGACAATGTTGATGAATTCGGATTCGAACAAGAAGAGGGAGAGGAGCATGATGACGCTGCCTGTGTATCGTTGAATAAGACAGCTCAGCGTTGGAGATCGGGCGACAACAGGAAGCCGAGGATTGGTCGACACACCTTGATAAATGCTGATCATGAGCCAGATGAAGAATGTCTTGGTTGATAAAGTGCGGCCCTACGTAAAAGAAACCGTCGTTGTCAGTATCATTGTGACCGAGTTACACTTATCACCACCCAGACCGGACCTACCTTCGTGAGCTCTTTGTACAGTTCCGGGTATAAGAGAGCCAGATCTTCGTTGACGTCTCGGTCGAGGACGAGCGAAAAGACCGGGGCCATGGTATAAAGAGTAGCGTAGCCGACTTGCAGCCAGCCTTGGTATAATGCGATCGCTAGAAGGATTGCCAAAAGAGAAGATCAGCTGCTATGTGAGAGGACCTGAAGAGCACCCAGACGTACGAGCGAAAAAGAAGATGGAAGAGAACACGGCTTGTATAGTTGATATGATCAATCCCCGATGAATGACGAATTGAGCGAGCTTGGCCGAGCGCTTGTAGGAGTTTCGACCGTGCCACAAGAGGAGTTTTGTGAGATGACTGAATTGATTGATGGAGAAATCGGCCGCAAGAGAGGCCTGTTTGCCTTCCTTTCCGACGATCCCCACACCTGATTGGCAATCGGCGTAATGCAGATCAGCAGGTGGAATCTCCAGATGAAAGCTCTAGTCGACTTACCGACGTCGGCTGCCTGGATCATGCTGACGTCGTTCCCGCCATCTCCGATGCAACAGACCCGCTTCTTAGTGTACTGCCGAATGAGCCGGGCAACATCGGCTTTTTGAGTAGGCGAACATCGACAAGCCACTACGATGGGGAGCTGAGTTGCGATATTGATGAACGTCGTTTTGTGCTTGTCCAGACATAGCTGAAAGGTAGGTGTCAGAATGATGACTTGATAACGCAGTTAGTCCGCAGGATCGCATACCTGCAAGGACTCTCCATCTATTACGAGACAGCAGTCGAGCTTTGTCCGCACAAAGTCTAGCATATCACTAGCTTGCTGAGCGGTTTGTACTGTCGAGACGCATAAGCTGTCAACATCATTCTCTCGGAATTCGACGAAAATAAATCGTGACCAACATTTAGCGACCTGGTGTATGTACTGCCCGCGGGACACGAGCTTGCTCGACATGGCGATGCAAGTAGCAGTCTCGATCTTGTCGCCGGTCAACATCCAAATCTTGAGCCCGGCGTTCCTCAAGATCTCCAAGGTCGGCTTGACATCCTCCTGCAATTTGTCCTCAACACCGGTAAGAGCCAAGAGATCGAGGTCCCGCTCGAGGTGTTCCGAAATGACATCTGCGATAGCCGCATTGCGATCTCTAAGATTCAGCTGCGCCTCCTTATGGCGAGCATCAAAGCTCCGATACGCTTCCTGTGAAAGGCGCTTTCGGCCGATGACCAAAGTTCGTAAACCCTCTCGAGCCATGTTGCCGCATTCTTCCTCTAACCAGTCGTTCTTCTGAACGATCTTGGCCATCACAACATCGGCCCCTTTTTGCACGAATACGATCTCTCCCGAGCTCAAATCTTTGACGATGATTCCCATACGCTTCGATTCGGAGGTGAACGGGAAGACACTTAGAATCCCAAAAGTATGGAGTTTACCTGCTGGATCCCGTACGGTCATACGAGTCCGCTCTCGATTGACCAAAGTGACTCCGACCGATTCTGTGAAGCGCACGATAGCAACTTCGTCTGGTGATGATGCCTGATAGGTCACCGAACCATCGTCGTTCGTTACCGGCGTGACCTGAAGTAGAGCTCCGCAACGTCAGTCACAAGCCAGAGTGACCGCAGCTGGGAACTGACGTTATGACACGTTGCTAGCGCCATTACAGCGTCTCTTAGTCGCGAAGAAATGTCTCTTCTGCCTTTAGATGCCATGACAACGCCAGATACGGAACTTTGCCGTCTGATATGCTCTACAAGGGATATGATTAGCAGCAGTAAGGTTCAAGACGAGCAGACTTCTTTCTCTCACCAGGAGCTTGTTCACCTCCGAAAGCAGTCACTAGCTGATGTGCAACTTCGTCCATCGAATCCCATCCATAGCTCATGGTGCCCATATGCAGTTTCTTCATCTCCATCTCTGTATAGATGGGCCGTCAGTCGACAGCGTGCGCTTGGTCCAGCTTAGCTCGAAGAAGCGTACCATTCTGTGTCAGCGTTCCAGTCTTATCGCTGAGCAAGTACTCGATCCGTCCCAGCTCTTCGGGAAGAGTGCTGGTTCGCACGATCGCACCCGGGATCTCTGGGTCGTTCTGGATCTGATGGGCATAGACGGTCTTGCCCATATCGAGATTCACTCGCAAACTGTCCATGATCAAAGTCAGTGTCCGTCGAGCGTGACTGATGCCTTTAACAGGTAGCTCACCTAATCGGGATGATCGTTGAGAACAGAATGAGGAAGCGGAAGACGTAGATATACCATTGACTTCTGAAACCGTTCAAAGCTACCAGTAGCAAAGACAGCAAGAAGGTGACAGTACAGAGGATCTGCGAGGTAAAGCTATCAGCTAGCCTGATCTCGATCTGTATTTCAACCGGGCTTGTGCTCACCTTGGCCATCTTGTTGATCTCGATATCGAGCAATCCCACTTTACTCTCCGGCTCGCTAGTGTTCATACTGGCTCGAGTCTCCCTGCCTGTATAGACCACCATCCCTACAGCCGACCCTGCAGCAAGGACGGTATTGGCCCAGAGGACATTATCCGCCGAGAGCGGTACGACGGTCTTTTGGCTCAGATCAGTGGCGGATGTCCCGATCGTAAAGTTGCCGATAAACGTATGGATATCCTTGATTGGCGGATCCGCTAGAAGGTCCCGGAAGGTGAGAGAGGATCTCTGAGCTGGTAATTCGCTGAAGCTCACCATACAGACTCCCCTTCATTCCTACGAGCTGGCTATCACTCATGTTCTGCGTTATGCCAACAGCGATCCGCAACTTCCAATCCGTCTCTCCATCAAGCTGGTCAGTCCTGACGAAACAAGCCCCTCCGTCGTCTCCTTCTGTGCTGGACGGCTCGAGAGCTGATTCCGCTTGTAGATCATCCACCCCATTTTCGAGACTAAGCAAGTCCGGCGCATCCTTCCCCGTCTCACCAGCCCCTGAAGGTCCTTCCGACGTACGAAGGAGGACCATATCCGCGGGAATCCGATTATTCTTTTCGAGGACGACCATATCCCCGACTTTGAGCTTTGAGGACGACACGCTCCGCGTCAATAAGCCATCTTCCGCATCCCCGCTGACAGAACGATCGAGGATGAGGTATCGCGTGGAATTGGATTCCTTATCACGGAGGTACCGCTGGTAATCGTCCAGTGCTTCTTTGCCCATGGTCACAAACAGGACGAAAGCCAGAGGAGCGATATAGGTAGCGATGTAGCCTATATCGTTGGGCGGAATGGTAAGCTTGACATCTTTTCTTTTCTTAATGGGGCTGATACATACCGATTTTGAGAGCCGGGATAAACTGGCTCAACGCAACGAGCAGAAAATAGAGGTTGAAGAAAAACTTGAATTGTTCGTAAAACACCACCGGGATGAAGCTGACGATCGAATACTTCTGATTGCGTATGATGTTGGCAGGATACTTTGTCGAAGTCGAGACTGTGGCCATTCAGGCGTTTAGCTCGAGAATGTATTCCCTTGCGATGCGACGGATTAGAGCTTACTGCCGCGACCGAAGGGTATCGTCCGGGAACGGTCGGAAGGCTTGTCCTCTTTCCTCGCTGTCAACGAGCGTATCAGGCTCTGCGACTGTCCTTGCAAAAGTCTGCTCAGCTCTTCTCATCTCGTGGAAGTCTTTCACCCATATCACATACCGGTCTCCGGACATGGCCTGCGTCTGTACCGTCTGCCCATGCTCCTTCCACCCCAGCACTGGATCTGAGCAGGCGATCCTGCTCCACACTTCCTCGACTGAGATACCCGCCATCATACTCCTCCTCCTCCAGTAGCTTTCTTCTTGATGGTTCCGGGCTGTTACCGCCATCTTCCTCCAGCCCATCCGAATCCCGGCTCTTTCTGCCAGAGCTTCCCCAGTACCCCAGCACCGAACCCCGTTTCATCGACTTGGGGCTAGAAACGAAGGCGTTTTCGTCCGACTGATCCTCTGGAACTATTCCAGCAGTATTGATCCTCGATTGTATCGATCTGTTGCGAGCCAGGGATCTCAAGGGGTACGCATTGTTGCCATCGTTGAGCTCGTCCGAAGAGTCTGGGTTGTAGCGGGGAAACGACCCAGTGCTACGTCGAGACATGGGCGGATCGGACAACTTGAAATACGAGCTACTATTGGTGGTCTATATGAGATGCATCGATATCGTTCCCCTCGATTCGACACTGCAAGAGCTGATCAAGATAGATCGAAAAGACCTAGAAGCAAGCCGAGTAGGGCAAGGTGTACGAGATGCAAGATGTCTATCCAAGCAGCTCGACTCTCGAGACCTTGGCATCATTTTAGCGCCGCGTGTTCAAGAGTCTTGAGGCCTCGAGCATCCGTTATTTGGACAACTTGCATCATCAACCTCCAGGGTGTCCCTTTCACAAACACCTCGCCGACCTTCACAGCATTTCGTCTAGAATTACGGTCGCGCAGGATCAGCCAGAAGGAATTACGCAGAGCGACATGGAGAACGCTGCCTCAGCTGCAGCTCAGAACCAGCCTCCTGCAGCTTCGCAGAACGAAAGCGAGATCAAGGTCTTTACTGCTGCAGAGACGCAGCCGGTAATACCAGCACGTAAGTATCGCTTTGGGGACGGCCTACATGTCAGATCTCTTATACTGAATCTATCTCATTACCGTAGCAGCTCAGGAACCCGAGGATGATTTACAGCCTACAGCGGAAGAAGTCCGACGAGCTCAAGCATCGCTGACGCAGCGCAACAAGGCGTTGAACGAAAGGACGTTCAGTTTGGCCAGGGATAGGGAGGCGGACAAGGCTAAGGCCGAACAGAAGAAGGTGGAGAAGTGGCCCAATGTAAGCTCTCGATTTGAAGGGCATGTCGATAGGACGTAAGCTGACATGTCAACTGATCTCGGTATGGTTCGCAGACTACGATACGAATTCGATTCTCAGACCGTACGCAGATCCAGAAGGTGTTCCCGTCTTCGAGTCGGTGAGTCAGTATCTGAAATTAGAGTACACTTGAGGGATTGACTTTAACAACGCTCTTGTTATAGGATAGGAACGGTATACGATTTCGTCAGATCATCTCTGAATGACGAATCCAGGACCAAACCTTTCACGCTCTGTACGTACACTCCCGCCTATCCATCAACCTGCTAATCTTCGGCTGACTTCACTTCTCGTATCTTTTAGACGAACCTCCAGCCAAACAATACCCCGAGACGACCCCGCCACTCCCAGCGACCTACATCGCTCAACAGCGAAAGGTCCCAGCACATCTGCGTAAACCGCCTCCACCGGATCCGAGCAAACAGAGTCTGATGGAACTACAGCTGGTACCCCAGAGTGTCTTGTTGGTCAGGTTCGAGGACGACGAGATGAATCGTACGTGACCGTCATGCTCTATATAAGGGCCATGACTGCTCACCCGTCCTTTTTGGTTTTGTCACCGATAGGATCTGACGCCAAAGCCCCGTTGCTACCCGAACTGCTGCAACAAGCTGCACCGCTTCCGCCTCCTCCTGACTTCAACCAAATGGCAGCAGCTAGTGGCTCGACTTCGCAAGCGGGAGGAAGCGGGACGGGCAAGACGGGCGAGAAGAAGATCCCCAAGTGAGATCTCGGGTCCGGTCTTACGAATGGAATACCGGACTGACGCTAAACGTCATCCCGCTCGCAGGTGGTTGCAGAAAGGATTATTGAAGAAGAAATGAGGCTGTCCGCCTGTACGTTCCCGCAGTGACCAGTAGAACGTGATGGACAAGCCGCTTTTCTGTAGCATATTATCAGTTTGAGAATACCATGATGTGACTCGATACGAATTCGTCCTGCAGATTCGGCCTTGCATTTCATTCCAGATAAACGCGGTCTATAGAAGCTACAACATTCCGAAGATGGAACGAAATGGGTGGATCGATGAATGACAGGTGGGTCGTGATATGAGTATGGGTGGATCGGGGAGATAATAATCGTCGTCAAGTGATTCCGTGGATTCTCGGGTGAGGTGTCATTAGAAGCCTAGAAGAGGTCTTCTAGCGTCATTTGCCTGTGAAAGCGATATGATTATCAGCTCGTGGGCAGACCATCTCATGACGTTTTTCTGTATACTGACTTGATGATATCCGTATTCGCAACCATCGAGGTGAACTCCTCGAAGCTCAGCTTGCCATCCCTGTTGCGACGGCATTCCAGTTGCCCGATCAGCTCTCATCCAGCAGTCGTGATCGCGGTCTAGCTCACCCATCCTTGTCCGCTTCCATGATCGTCTTGTCTACAATCTGTTGCAGCTGCTGGTCCTGTTAACGCAAGTCAGGTCAATTCCCGAGGTGCTACCGCTGCATCATCGTACACACCGACGCACTTTCAGGTTGTTTCCTACCATCTGCTTCAGTACCAAGTACAGCTCTCCGTTCGAGATGTAGCCATCTCGGTCTATGTCATACACTTTGAAGGCAACTATTCCACGATTGATCGAAATCATGGAGATGTTCAGCTTGACCGTCATCGCGATGATAAGAGATAGCCGTCAAGTAGAAGGACGTACACCGTAACTTTTCTTCTCGTCCACCTTTACTGCTAAACGCGCTGAGACCGCCGACGAATTCGGAAAAGTCTACTGTCCCTGAACCACTGCGAAGGTAAGAGAAAGATAGGTGTTGATCGTGTCAGCCATATAGCCAAGCGTTGATGGCGATCAGAGAATAGAGAGGGCAGGGTTCAATGACCATTGACAAGGAGAGCCTCTTGTCCGACGGTAATATATGCAACCATAGTTTTCTGATGGTTCCGGTTGACAGCGTATATCGCCCGGCTCGGTCTATATTGTCGAGATCTCCGATTGTCGAAGACGGTGTTAAAAGCCAGGCATCCGGGGTGTCTCGGAGTCGTGCTCAAGGTGTTTCACGCTCGAGTACCGACCGCCTGGGGCCGCATGCAGCCTTCAACTGCCTGTAAACCATATCTTCCTGTCCCTCTCTCTCCAGTGCCACTGTCCCTACTTCCATCTCCAATAATCCAGACTCACCTTTCGTCAAAGATGGCAATCATCCGGTGTGCCAAAGGATTATTGGCGATCTGCGGAATCTGGAGGAACTCGTCCCTATCGATACTGCCGCTTCCATCCTTGTCTAGTTTCATGAACCGCTTTTTCAGACGTATGAGTTCTGCCTGAGAGACTGTGGTAACACCGACCAGAAGAAGTATGGTTTACCGACGTGAGTAGATGCGGATATTCCAGTTGTTCGTTTGATGCGGGTAGAAATGGCATTGAGCGGATGATTTCGGCACGGAGGACGAAATAGAGTCGGAATTCGATGACCTTGTCAGCATCAATCTAAATGCCAAGACGATGTAATACTTGACGTACAGTTGGAGTTCTTCTCCAGGTTGTCAATAACCTGAGATCCTGCCTGACCCATGGTGTGAAGAACAAGATTCGCTTGTCTAGAACAGCGAATGCGAGAGCGTCGTGGGAAGCGTCGTGAGTCCCTAAGTAGGCTGGGTAACTGCTGCTGATCCGAACAGATGGTTCTATGTTGTATACCGTCTTGTCATGTATGGCTCTGCAGGAAGCGAGTGCGTTGATGAGGATCGTGAACAAGAGAAACAGGTACAAGGCGAGCGGTGGGCGATGGTCGTTCGAGCAGCAAGCCAACGTGAATCGTCATATATCGCGTAGGTAAGCGCACAGTCTCAGGCCAAAGAGCGGCGTCCGTCTGTCTATCTATGCTGATGATTAAATGTCCGGGGTCATGGGTCTACGATCTACGGTTCATGTATATGAGTAGGTGATACAGCGTACAAGCAAGCGTTCTAAGTACCATGCTATTCGTGACCTCTTATCTTGTATTACATGGCCCTTCCTTCGGCTGGCGATTCCTGATCGTTTGCCTGATTATTAGGTCGATGGTCCAGATCCGTGTACAGGGGCGGCAGATCAATGACCTCGGCCTCTCGAGTGACACGGCCAGCATCGGCATGCCGCACGAATCGAGGCTGGACCGTGTCAAAGGGATCGACGAGGCGTCTTCTCCGTTGCCCCGTCCCCGCCGAGGTAGGCGCCCGGGGCATTGTCGCTGATGGTGGAGGTGTTGCCACGATAGGATCGCCCTCGCCAGCATTGGTCACCCTGAAAGTCCCAGTCGGTGGTGGCAACATCGTGGTACTCGCGTTTCGGCTGTTCCCAGAACCGGACCAGGTCGAGCCTGCCGCCAATCCGGCTGGGTCGCTTGCATCCTGCTCCCGAGATTCGCCCCTGGCCCGCTCAAACTCGGCAAGCATTTCATCCTCTTTTCTCTGTCCGGCAGGGGACAACGCTGAGGCTTCTCCCGGTGCAGGGAAATGTCTCAATAACGGAGTATCGGTATGGCTTCCTGTGTCGAGTGGAGAATTCCTCTCCCCATTCGCGCTCGCCGATGTCGGAGTGGCCGAATGTGACGGCGCTGGCAATGGCCATTTCCGATCGACTAGCGCGGCCAGCGATTCTTCCCTGCTCAACGTCCGATCGTCGAATGGGTTCGAAGCTGGGTATTCGCCCAGTTCGTGCCAAGCTTCACCATCACCATCCCGACCGTTCCCGCGCCCTGCCACGCCCGCACTTGTAAACGTCCCCGTTGCCGAAAGGGGATAATCACCTCCGATATATCCACCAGGCGATTGATCGCCGCCTCCTCCCCCTGGCGTGTATGGCATAGGCGAATAGTTGTCGGACAAAGTCCTCGCTCCCATCCGTGCGGGCCCGCCGCCAACGGGAGAAAACTCGCTTCCATGTATAGATGAACCCCCATCGAAGAGGTCGACCCCCTCATTCGGATGCCCGTAACGTTGTTCCCCGTTCCTTCCTCTCCTCCTGAACCTCCCCAAGCCCAATCCGAGAGCTCCCGCTCCGCTTCCTCCGTCTCCTTCTCGTCTTGCACCGCCGGTCGATCCCTGGCCTTGTCCTTGTTCTCGATTACGGCGTCTTCTTCGGTAGATGAAACAACAGAATCCAATAGCTGCACTCAAAGCGACTCCGATGACCGCTCCGACCGAGGCCACAGCGTACATCGCGGTACTATCCAAGCGAGAAACAAGCCTCATCAACCCCGAAATCCTCTGTTCAAACGCTGTTCGTCGATGTCACTCACTCTGACAACCCGCCATCGTCGTTGTTGTTCGGAGCGGACGAAGCACTGGAAGTCGATACCGCGTTGGTGCTCATCACCGTCGACGTCCTCGTATGCGAGACCCCAGGGGTGATCGTCTGGTTCCCTCCACCATCCAGACAACTCGTATCCCCGACCGCCGTCGAATTCACTTGATACCGCTCCCCAGTCCCTCCCGTACCATACCCCCGAGCGTCGTTGAACATGATAGTGAATTCCGACCCCGCCTTGAGGTTGACCTGCCAGTCCACGGACGAGTTGCTTCCAAAGTCGACGTCGAAAGGGTCGAAGGATTGATCAAGCGAGATGACGGTCATGTTGAAAGGAGCTTGTCCACTTTCCACCGTCTGACTCCAATCCATCGGGAAAGAGGCTTTGCATTGGACGATGTTTCGTTGAAAGGTCTCTACGCTCCAGGTCATTTGGGTCTGATTCCGGTCGGCTGTGCTCAGGCAGGCGGATTCGCCATATCCCTGAACGGTCATTATCTGAGAGGTTCAATGGGATTGGTTAGTTCGATCTAAGTAGAGAAGGATACGTTTCCCCTCAGAAGGAATACCGCGGGGATCCACTCACATTCGTACTCCCACCCGTTCCTACACCCGTGGCATCGCTCATCCAAAGCACATACTGAATCCCCGAGTACAATTGCAGTTGAATCTGTTTCGATTGCAACCAGGTCAACGATTCAGCTCTCGTTAGCTAGTGAAGACGACATTGTTGCCAAGCTGTGCTCACGTCGTAGCTCCCTGTCGCGGACTCGACGTTGTACGCGCTGGCGGGGATGTCGTAAACGAACGCTTTTTGTAATGACGGTCTGTTCCGGTGAGAGAATACGCAAGTTGTGAGATCAGCCTGGATCGATGCGGCTACCACCTGTGAAGTCTGAATTCATCACTGGAGACAAGTCAGATATGCTTGAACCTACGTGATGATAGCCTTGAAGGGTGGTAATCCTCCTGTCCAAGAGAGCGTTTGGGTATAACATTGATAACTAGGAGGAGCCCATTGAAAAACGAAAGCCAAGGTCGAGGTAGGCCCGGTCAGAGACAAGGCCAGGAGGGCAAGGGATCGGCGGAACATTGTGGGCAGGCGAGTTCTCTAGTTCCAGATACGGCAAGGCTGGGTATGAGGGGTATGTTCGTAATTGAAAGCTAGTTCGCGGTCGAGTCGTCCGATAGGGGTCGTATCAGCGAAAAGTCGAGCAGCTCAGCTAGGAGCTCTGTCCCCCGTCGATGGTCCCGGTCCACCTTCTATGCGATGTTACAGGATATATCCTGATAATAACCGTGTCTGGCTTCCGTTTTAAGCCTTGTTGTCGTTATACAGTAGAGTAGCGTGGGAAGTGGGGCGTTGGTTGTCGATCAGACTGACATGATCCGGTCCGTCGAGGATGAACAACCAATTGGTCCGGGACTAGCGGCTAGCAGTTATCGACACGACAAGGAGATACCGACCGGAGAGTTCTATGTGAACGGCCGCTGTGCAATCTTTCGAGCCCAAGAGGTCTAATCGTATAGGGTGCGGGGGAGGCTCGATGCGATCCGGGCCGATGCATACGCCCTGGTCTCTGAATCACATCACATCGCATCGTTGGGATGGATCACCATCATCGAGGCCTGATCCACCTCCATCCATCCATCCATCCCGCGCGCGCGCGCCTGGGCGGACGGCCTCGCTTCCACGCGCGCGGGTCCCTTCTTCGCTCTCGGTACCGTCCGCTTGCTCTCTCTCTCTCTCTCCTTCTCCCTCCCTCTCAGCGATCATGACTGGCATGACTGGCGCATCAATCTATGATCAATGATACCTTGATTGCGCCTTGTAACGACAGCTTGGGCTTGTATTCCAGCGCACAATGAGCACCAATGAGAGCAGCTATCTATACATTCTCTGCTGCTGCCCATCGCTCGTATCGCAACAGGGCGAAAAAGTCCGGTCGACGAGTGTACAGCTTCCGGACAGTCACGCCCCATGCGGATCCTTTCTCTCCCGCGTGTTCTGGGTCGGTGATGACACAGCCGCGCTCGCGCTCGATAGGTTTCGTCAAACGTCAATGGCTTTCATTGGTCCCCCGCCAAGACCTCATATCGATGTGACGACGAGTGGCAAGAGGTCGTTGTCTAGCTCGGTAGTGGTAACAATTATCTTGTGCCGTGAGCCTGAAGCGTCCACATCGGAAGGGGTTCCTCCTTTTTCGAAGCGCGGTGATGCAAAGATTCATCGTCATTTTGTACTCATATCGCTCCGTATCGCTGTGCTCTTCAATCGTACTCAATCCCCTCACAGTGATTGCGAGGATGAGGCATCACCTTAAAATTCCAGTCGATATTTCCTACCTCTAGCGATCTCAGGCCTTTCGCTGTTGCAGCGGTGCTCGCCGTAACAACCTTTTGGTCGAACGCGATAACATCCAGCCCTGCGCTTGCAACTCGGTTCGCAATACCGTTGACTGGTGTCTTCAATTTCAGCGGGGTACGTGTGACTGCCGGTCCTTCGACTAGCTTACTGCTATGGTATATGACAGTCCCTGCTTTTGGCTTGCGGCCCGTGTTGCGGCTGTCACTTAGGGTTCGGTAAGCTTTTCAAGTTTGGGCGACTCCGAGGACGGCCGTTTGGTATCCGCAAACCTCTTCAATGGACCAGATGAGATTTTCTATCGCCCGCTCGTGTTGACAAAGAGAACCTGATCTTGCTCCGAACCAGGTTATCAAGCGTGGTTGTTGCGCAATGTCACGTTCTTCAACGCGATCTCCGTGCAGAGCCGCTCTACGATGAGACTTGCGCTGCGGCTTCTCATGATGCCACCAGAACATGGATTGGAGGGATTCAGGCGACATGAGGGTAGAGCTAGCCAGTGATATATTGTTATGGTCCAGTGGGGGCTGCTGCCCATGACAGCTACGATACGAGATGATCCGATATACACCACGGGTCCTTCGAGGCGCAGTCTGAAACACGCTCAAGCTTGGCAAATCGTGAGGTCGGTGGTGGGTATGACGTGTCATTTCGCGCTCTCGCCCTGACAACTCCCGCTCACAACGTACACAAGCTCTGAACATTCTACTCGTATTCAATCTACCTTTAGCTAGACGACTCAGCTTATCGCTATTGCTACTGCTGGCATCTACCCGGGACGTTCCAAGAGCATAGAAATCGATCATGGCTTTCTCACTGGGGACGATCATCTACGTAGCATTGTTGTTGACGAACGCGATCGCTATCCTTAGCGAAGAACGGTTCTTGGCCAAGAGTAAGTCCCTGCTTCATGAGCTCGTCCCCTCTCCGGAAACTTAGGATCCTCAAAACCGTCTGACAACTATTCCTCTACTATGCGTATCGAATAGTTGGCTGGTCGACGTATTCGGCTCAACAAATCGCTTCCTCTTCGAACGCTGGGTTTGGCTCGGTGCCATCGTATAACAACGACCCGAACGCTGGGTCCGCTGGGGTCGTAGGAGGCGCATCTGGGGAAGGACAGGGAGTGAAGGCAAGGTTGATCAACCTGATAGCAGCGGTACGGACTTTATTACGAAGTGAGTCCCGCGATCTGAGAACCCAGTGAATGACGAAGAGACTAGAGCTGATCCCGCAAGCACTTGCAAACCTGTGTAGTCCCATTGATCGCGCTGAATATCGTCGTGTGAGTGCAGTCTTATGTGAGAGCCGGTCGAGCGGGACTGAGGCTGATACTCTCGTATGCTTAACAGCATTGCCTACGAGATTGTCCTCGGATAGCTGTCTGAAATTCGGAATGCTTTTCACTCGACCATGCACGCATCATAACACGCCTAGATGTCATATATTCAGACCTGTCAATTTGGTCACAACTGCACACGGTCCTTCTCTGTCGCACTGTGCGGCCTTTGTATCGTATCATTTCATCAGACTACACGTGTCAACCTAGAGACTGGAGACCACGAGCTCCAAAGGTCTACAGTATTCGGTCGTGTTCGCCTTACGTCACCGGTCAGGAGGGACAACCTCGGGCTTGACGGGCAACCGAGCTTCTTGTCATCAGCAACTCTACCTACGATTCTCTAATTGACGCAAGCACTTCTGACTTCTGACAGCATCAGACAATAGCTACACTCTAATATCTGCAGCTGTTCAACCGACATCCATCTTCCCAAATACACCTCCGAGATAGCGGGGAATCAAGGGACGTAATGCAACGCAAGTTGTGAACCCATATCGCAGATACCCGAGAACAAGATCAAAGGGCTGTCTATCGTTCTAGGCGATTGAGTTGAGGCAACCATGGGTGAGCTCAGATACACGAGGCTTAGAATCAGCTGGGGAGACTGACAAACTGGCCATATGCTCGCTTTAGATGCACCGATTGTGCGAGGTGAGTTGATCACCCTACTTAGAATGCGACCAACCTGATGGACCAGCTAATGCTCTGACCCGCTTCTGGCTGCAGGTCTCAACGACAAGCTCTACGAGCGCCGTAAAGCTGCAGCTCTAGAGCTGGAGAAGTGAGTTGCGACGCTCTTCATTCATAACAGATGGATCATTGTTGATTCCTACTCGAACAGAGTCGTGGCACACGCCGATACCCCAAAGATCACCCAGATCATCAATCAGCTATGTCAAATGTTCACCTCGACCGCCTCCGCTTTACATACTCGGAACGGAGGCCTGATAGGGCTGGCTGCCACGGCGATCGCTCTGAGTCAAGATTTCTCGAAGTGGTTGGGGATTGTCATACCGAGGGTGTTGGCTTGCTTCAGTGATCCAGAAAGCAGAGTCCGGTGAGCTGCTAGCCCCAAGCGAATACTCGAGATGATGGAAACCTCATAACGTGCTCGTCACTGTCACTAGATATTATGCATGCGAAAGTTTGTACAACATCGCCAAGGTGTGCAAAGGAGAGGTACTGGTGCATTTCAACGGAATCTTTGACGCACTGAGCAAGGTATGAAGTCAGCTTGGCACATGGCAGGGCGATATTGCTGATACAGTTGCCTCATTCTCCAGCTCTCTGCAGATTCAGAAGCATCTGTCAAGAACGGCGCTGAGCTTCTCGACAGGCTCCTGAAGGATATCGTGGCGGAGACCGCCTTGAACTATGTGTCAAAGTATCCTGAGAACGTCGACAAGACGTTTGGCGATTGGGAGGCCGAATCATGGTTCGAGCAACGCAAAGCCGAGAGGAGGCAAAAGTCGATGGCCAGGGGGGAAGTCGACAAGGGCATCAGCCACCCCCTGGAGGATAGCCCTGTGATGGCTGGCTTGGAACTGCCTGGTCCGAACAAGGGAACGGGTAGGGGCAGCATGCACCTCGATGGCGACCGAGATGAAGTCGGAAAAGATAGCGTGGGCAGGGATCCTTCGCCACACTCGATCTCGAGGTCGGCTCGTGAGCAGGCCGGATCTCTCCACCGAAACATCCCTTCCCAGACTCCTGCACCCCGAGATCACTTGAACGTGAACGCGAATGCGGGCCCATCCTCGACATCCTCATCGCCGGGACCTCATCAGACCCACCATCATCATGGTCACCTTCACCACCGACAAGAACGCGTCAACTCGATTTCATCTACGCCGGCGAGGCATGAGACTCGAGAACCTAAACCCCGGGTAGCGTTCTCGCTCGCCAAATTTGTGCCTCTGCTCTCAGAACGAATATACGTGATCTCGCCATTCACTCGCAGCCATCTCATTAGCTGGATCACCATTCTCGACTCGATACCCGATCTGGAACTCGTGAGCTATCTGCCGGAGTTTTTGGACGGCCTACTGTAAGTCCTTGTGATTTTTAGGTCAATCCGAGCCTACCCGTCTAAACCTAGTCTCTACCCAGGAAATACCTGTCTGATCCCAATCCGGATGTCAAAATCGCGACCGAGAACGTCCTGTCGGACTTTTTGAGAGAGATCAAGCACATTGCGCGGGTTCAAGCTCGACATGACGGCTATGGACACGGCGAGGGCGTTCCACCAACAGGGCGAACGACGGGTTACACATCCGGTTATGGACATGGAAGACGCACATCAGATATTCACGGCGGTAATATGAGCGGTGGATATTCGCTCAGACGCCGAGGCAGCAAATTGACGATGAATACGGATTCGAGCGAAATCGACAGCAACTATGCTGGTACGGGTACTACGGGAGGGGATGGGGACCGTGATCGCGATGTGGCCAGCCCAGATGTTGGGCATCTTGACGATCTACGCGAGGAAGATGAAGACGGACATTCTCGGCGAAAGCACCACCGGTATATGAGCGATGGGGATGGGGAAGTTGGAAACAATTCAATGATGACCAGTCAAGATGCCGAGGACGATGAGGTAGATGACGATCTTGAGGAGCATGGGGCTTGGATACCCGGTCAAGGAGTCTTTGTGGACTACGCATCGATCATGGATATCATGGTTCAGCACCTGTCATATCCAGGTCAGTCGCTTAGTACCGTGTCATTCATCGAATCATGACTGATCAAGACGTTCCCGCCCCTGTAGACGAGCAAATCCAGTCAATCTCGCTCAAATGGATCGCCAGCTTCCTTACATTCGTACAAGAAGTCATGGTACCATTTACCCCGAGACTTATTTCGGCAATCCTGCCAAATCTCGCGCATCATGTGTAAGCATCGAGTTGCCAGCGCATCTATGACGGATGATGTTGACCGAATTACGGCGTAGACCATACATACAAAGCGTGGCCAACGAGACCAACCAGTTGTTATATCGAGTAATACAGGCGCTGCCCACACCCCAAACCGTGCCTTCCTCAGCAACACAAGCGGTCCCGTCGACCTCTGCAGCAACTGCCCCACAGACGGCTTCTATACCAACCGGCCAACCTGGCTCATCAGCAGCAGCAACACCCACCTCAGCTCCAAACTCACTGAATATTTCGCCAGCGAATGTTCGAAGAGACACCGCTCCTGCAGAGCTCCCTGGCGAGACTCACGTACGCCGGAAGAGCTTGGAAATCGCTGCATCAGACCTCAAGCCAAGTGACAGTCAGCCCAACATATCTAACCTTGGCAGTACATTGAAACCGAAAAGTATCGCTGTCAATCCTGTCCCTGGCGAGGCTCAAACGCCCGTAACGTTTGAGTTCCCAAACAAGCCAAGCGGCCAACCTCCGTCGGCGATTGCTATACCCGTCAGCAATCCGGGCATGTCGACAATCTCGCAGCAGCAGCAACACAAGCACGATTCAATTCAGTCTTACTCGAGCGACGAGGATCCCTTTGATGCCCGGGAGACCGTCAATCAGTTAACTTTACAGTTCTTGAGTGAGCACGAGGAGACTCGTATAGCTGCTTTGGAATGGCTTTCTATGCTACATCAGAAATCGCCGAAGAAGGTAAAACGGACCTGTTGTCGAGATGGTATGTAACGAGAAACTAATGTAACGCAATTTCCAGATTCTCGCCCGAGATGACGGTACATTCCCGGCACTCCTAAAGACGCTCTCTGATCCATCGGAAGAAGTCGTCAAACACGATTTGCAACTGCTGGCCCAGATCTCAGCAAACTCGGATGACGGATACTTTGCAAGCTTCCTGGTGAACTTGCTGGAATTGTTCAGCACGGACAGGCGCTTGTTGGAGACCCGAGGCAGCCTGATCATTCGTCAGCTATGTCTGAACTTGAATACGGAGCGGATATTCCGCAACCTCGCCGAGATATTGGAAAAGAATGATGTGGGTCGCTAATGACTCCGCGACGTAGCCAGAAGCCAGCGATTGACCAGGATCTTTGCTCTTTAGGATCTGGAATTCGCCAGCTTGATGGTGGTCAAGCTCAACATGATCTTGATTACGTCGCCTGAATTGGCCGAGTTCCGGAAACGGTTGAAGAACATCGAATCCAAAGTAAATTGTCTGAATAACCCTCATATGGTGACTGCAAACCCGCTGACAACAACTTTCCGCATCAGGATGGCCAAATGCTATTCATCTCCATTTACAAATCGTGGTGTCACAATGCTGTTGCCGTCTTTGCTCTATGCCTCTTGGCACAGGCCTACGAACATGCCTCAGCTTTATTGCAGACCTTGTGAGTGGTATTGCCTCACAAGCAGCCACGATTACGGCTAAATTCCACCATACTGAACAGTGCCGAGCTGGAAATGACGGTAGCACTGCTCGTACAGATTGACAAACTTGTCATGCTGATTGAGAGCCCCGTCTTCACATGTAAGTCTGCGAAAACTACAGGCAATGGAGTCAGACTGACCGTTAAGATCTGTGTACCTAGCTCTGCGATTACAACTGCTCGAACCGGAAAAGTATCCTTACTTGTTCAAGTGTCTTTACGGACTACTCATGCTGTTGCCGCAAAGCAGCGCGTTCGTCTCGCTGCGCAATCGGTTGAATGCCGTCAGCTCGATGGGCTTCCTGCACATTCCCAAGCCGTAAGTGTGGATTTGCATCGGTATCGGAGTGATCTCAACTTATCTCCCACATTCTAGGGCCTACTCGCAAAGCGTCGCCGCGACTCGATCAAAGATTGCAACCCGAGACGAAATCAAGTGGGACGACTTGCTTCGACGTGAGTATCCGGTACAAGCAGTGATGAGTTTCACCTAACAACGTGTCTACTTGTTTCCACGTAGACTTCCGCGTGACGCAGAACCGACACGAGAAAGCCCGCCGTCTGGAACTAGCCAACGAAAGCAATCATACGCACTCGGCTTCATCCATACACTTTGGAAGCAATTCGATTACGAACAGTCCATCCGCTAATGCTGCCACGAGCAGTCAAGCGCGACGCAGGAACGCGACGACATCACGCAAGGAGAGCGGACACGGCTCGATCAACAGCGTCACGAAGCCCAACTCTACTCTTTCGCCTCTAAACCCCAGACGAGGCGGGCCGGGCTCAGCGACAAACTCGACGATGAGCACTACGGGCCAAATGACGGCATTGTCGCTCGGGGCGCCGTTTGCGAGCAGTATACAGCCAGGCATGACGTCGAGCGGACCTATGATCGTCAACGGGCCCAAAAGCCCTACGACACAGTCGCGACGGATTCTGCCGGGTCTCAGAAGGAACTGAGAAGGATACGAGCGGACATTCTTAGGGGTTCGACCAAACAGGTCCGGCTTGGTCTTCTCCCGTATTGATTATATATGTGATCATCGAGGTATGATCGCCAGCCGTGTTTTGATAACATTCCATGTACATTTATCAGGCCGTCCGTCGAGGATACCACCATACCCCATCTTTTTCCTTGACGATCCTGACAAACTTGGCGACCATCTTGTCCCTGACTTTGGTGTCGCCCGCTTTGACTAGCGTTCTGAGAAACGGTTCCATATCATCTGGTCGCCATTTAGGTCTTGTCAAGAACAATTCGCTGAACCGAGTAGCGGGATCTGAGGGGAGGGAAGTGTGTGGAAACGGAGTCAAGAGGGATGCCGAGAGGTCTTTCGAGGCGAGGGCTGTGAGCCGGGAGGTCTCGACTAGGTAGTAGCCCTGCACAGTACCATCAAACCGCTATCCTGTTAGTAATGGATTCTGGGGCGCAACGATGGGCAATGTCCGCTTACCTTGAGCATGTCCAGATCGACGGCCGAACCGAAATCGTCCCCCACTTCCATCCTCCACCGGTTCGTGAAATCCGCAACCGTATTCGGCTCGTCCTTCTGTATCAAGTCAAATCATGGCGAAATCACAGGATTAGCAAAAGGCTAGCGACGGCGACATCTTTGCGGGAACTTGGCCTCCTCGCACTCACATTCTCTTCTAGTAACATCCCTTTCCCCATCTCCCTGATGACCCGCTTGACATCCACCACCCAGATCTCCTTCTCTTCTGCGCCTTCGACCGGGACTGCCCTCCCGAACAACCCTTCAAGACCGTCGAAGATCTCTTCCTGTACCCCATGGTCTTCCCTCAGCGTCAAGCGGATCGGTGCAGGATCTGTAAGGGGAAAGAAGGTGCGATCTTGCGATTCTTGTGTAGTATAGTCGAATTGATCGGGTTGATCGATCGTATGGAGGGTGATTAGAGAGAGGAGGATGCTGAGAAGGGGTAAGAGGTGGTTCAAAGGCAAGTAGACGAGGTGGCCTAGAACAGGGAGTCCTACTATCAGCTAGCTCACCTTGCAAGGGTGAATATGGATGGGCAACTCACTTCCGATTTCTATGACATTGTTTTCTCGTAGACCCTCGTCCAGTTCTTGATCCGAAGCTTGCACGACCGAACACAGCTGTGATCGGGTATACCGTTTCTTTCCGTCCGTCTATCGTCATCACAGTACATATCAGACTAGCTTCACCATGCCCAAAGCCATACTAAGTCGTTCTGTACCACTCACATTCCGTACGTCACCCACTTCCCGTTTCCTCTTCCCATCCTCACTGATCTCGTCCGAGTTGGCGAGAACGTCCATCCCACCCCATGCTCCTTCTTTGAGCACCTTTTCTATCCGCCCGAGGCGGGGTACGATGGGCAAGAGTTCCAAGATCTCGTGCGAAGTATCCTTGAGATGTAGCTCGGGGGCTCTTGAGGTATCTGTATCAGGTGATGTTGAAGACGAGGCTGTGGGTTGTTCGAGGACAAGGAGCGAGTTGGACAGGGAGATGGTCCGGAGTTGGTAGGTCGCCGAAGGGGTACAGATGACGGCGTCGTCCGTAGGCTTGCCCTTGACGGTCAGACTGACAATTTACAGGATTAAGGAAATAATCTTAGCGAGCGGCTGCTTCAGGACAGTACGAATATTTCCGACTTGCGATAAGTCATGTCCTGCCTGCTCCGCTTGGTCAATCTCCTTCATCAACTCGTTCGATATTTCGAGCAGTTTGTAGCCTTCCACATGGCCGGTCACGGGGTCCGCTTGGGGTGAATATCGTACTACGATGGACTTGGCATCCATTATTGTTGCTAGATTGTCTTTCGAGAGTGGTCTGTGTTTGTCCAGAAGGAAGGAAGAGCAGGTTCGGGATATTGTACAAGTTGCAACAGAAATATGGTCCAAGCCATTCCCGGACATGGCCGCCTCCACCTCGGGCGAGTGAGTTGCTTCATACTACTGTATATCATCCACCCACATCAGCATCATCGACCTTACCACTCGCAATCTCAGATCGAGTTCAGTGAATACAAGACAGGACTCCCTAGACAACTCGAGGTATCTTCTATCATGTTCTCAACCAACCGCAACCCACTTCAGCTCCTTTTCATCCCCGTCCTCCTGATCGTCATCCTTTTCTTCACCTTGACCACGAACAAAGGCACCTACCCGCCCCCCGTCAAGCAGCACGACGAGCTCTCGATTCCTTCGGACGCCGAGGACTGGGAGTTCGATGGAGCTCTGAAGAAGATTCAACAGGATGCAAACGGGATGGGCCAGGTGGAGATTGACGTGGAGCAGGAGCAGAAAGCGGGGCGGAAGAGTAGGAAGGTTCAGCTGGACCTGACCGTAATGAGCCGATGCCCTGATGCCGTGAGTCGATCGACAAGTCAGCGTTTCTTGCTGATGGTTGCTCAAGTCGAGAATGTCTGACACTGCGATACAATAGAGGATCTGTGAATCTACGATTGACAAGGTGCGTTTCTGCGAATTGTCCCCTCGGCTTTGCAACCTTGTGCTTACGAAAGACATGGAATGCCATGCCATCAGGTCCTCTCCGAACCTAGTGTTATGAACAAGGTCAATCTCACGTTGAACTATATCGGAAAGTCAGTATACGGAGGTTCTTGTCATATATTATGACGCCACACTTTCCACAAGCTGACCACGAATTAAACTCCTTTCCGTACGTCAGACCTTCCAAGCAAGCCAAGTTCGGCGTCCAATGCATGCACGGCGACGTCGAATGCCGAGGAAACATCCACCAACTCTGCGTGCAATCCACCATCCCTGCCGTACACACTACCACCTCGCCTTCTCACAACTCGGACGGGCTCGCCCTGCATACCAACTTCCCGGTCATGTCCTTTGTCTCGGCTCAAAACTACTATGACCCCCGAAAGATCGGACAAGAGGATTACGCCAAGGATAACCTAAAGGCGGTCGGGTATGACTGGGAAGAATCGGGTGTGGGAAAGTGCGTGGAGGAAGAGGGGAAGAGGTTGTTGGAGGACAGCGTGGTCAGGACGAGGGACGTCTTGAAATCTAGCAAGAGCTGCACGATCTTGATCGAGGGTGAGCAGCGGTGTGTGCATGATGGGTCTTGGTACGATTGCGATGTGAGTCGGCGCCGGATAGCGTGTGCTTGATACATCCAAGAAGATGCTGACACCCGGTTCGCGCTTGACCTTTCTTGCGAATAGGACGGACATGAGGTTGGTGATTTCGTCAGGAGCATCGAGAAGGCTTGGAAGAAGCTTCAAGACTGAGTACAAGGCACAGGAACAACGACATTGTAGCATATCACCCGTGTATACTATTCGAAGATGAAGTCCCGTGTCCGAGTACGTGTACCAAGCTGTTCGTCCCAAAGGTCAGACCCGAGACTCGTCGTGCACCGTGGGCGGCCTCTCGAATCGGTCGTCGACCATATTCAATTGGCCATCTTCCTCAATCGACCCCATTATCAATCTTGAACTCCCGCTAGCCTGCACAGACAACCAACCCCTGACCTTAGATCTCACTCAGAATCGTTATTGTACACCATGGCCGCTTCGACAACCGCTTCTCAGGGGGAGATGGACGCTTCCCGGGTACCCATTCAGTGGAGGGACCAGTGTTCGGCGTGAGCAACCACTCTGGGCTATCGGATCTCGGATTCGTAGACGAGAAGGGGAAGCTCAACAGGCACTTGTTTTTACTGTCGATCCAGTCTCCTTATTCCTCTCAACAAGTGCCGACACAAGACTCTTTACGCTCCCTGGAAATGCGAGGATGAGAGGTGAGTCTCGTCAACAAGGGTTGAGACGGGAGCCGAGACGTAATTCACAACCTGAGGCTGACCTATATTGTTTCCTCGACTGATAGGCACGGTTACGAGAAGTAAGTACTAGCTGATAGGAGCTCGTTTGCAGCAAGGAATCGTAGACTCATTGGAGCTTGTCTCGCTTTGCGTTTTTTAGGTGTCAATACGACGAGTCAGTAGACCTCGTCGAAGTGTCCGGGACGAATCGGCTGACTGATTATCTAACATCCTCTCTTCTTGATCTTCTCTTCGTTGTTCTGGAAACCAATCTCAAACCTTTGATACTATTCTGGATCGAAATTCACCTGGATCGGGTAACCATTTACAATACTTCCGACCCGAACGGAACACCTCCTATGCGACCCCCTTCTTTTGCCGACTCTACCTGAAATCCGATATCTTCCCCTGCCACGGCTCTGCAAACTTTACTCAACTTGTGGATCATAACCCCATAGCTTCCTCCGACGAACAAAAGAGCTCGTCGCCCAGAAGAAGGCTGCTGCCGAAGCTGCCGACGATGAATAGATGGAGGGGGAGATAGGAGCTCGTAGGCAGGCAGGAGAGGGAAGGGATCCCTGAGGGTTAGCGAGGGACGTAAATGTCTCCCTAGAGGCGTTTTGTATCATCAAGCAGATGGAAGGAATGGGTCAGGGTATCGAATCAGATTCATTCGCGACAATATGGGGACCAGTCTCCGTGGCTGTTCAAGAACCGAAATAACAGTTGACATACCATTGGCAACCTTGGCCCACCAGTACGTGCAGGACCCCGGCCCTTCCTCTTCCTTCACGACTTCAGAACTCAGCAATGAGCTTATCGACAAGCCGTCATAGGCTTGTCCGGGCTGGACTTCAATGAGAGCGCGAATGAGAGAAGCTTCTTGGAGAACTTCATGTTCGCACCCAGACGGGATCGAGATCCCCTGACTCCCTTGTTCAAGCGCACATGAGAACAAACGCCCTGCCAACTAGATTGCGAACTCAGTCTCGGCCCACTCCGTCAACACAGCCTCTGCAGTCAACCCGGGCGTCTTCGAGATGGGGAACATCTGCAAAAAAATCGATGTCCAGGCGGAACAGTGTCTCGGTTTGTTGTGCTGCTTTCTTTGTACAGACGTGCTGTGGACCTCGCCATCGACTGCAGGCAGGTTGGTGGCGCTCCCCGTGTATGCCTTCAAGGGATTTGGTCGAGAAAGTTGTCCAGACTTTCTCAAGGTGATCTTTGTCTTCCTATGTGAAGGAAGTCCTTAAACGCCTTCGTACAGCTCGGCCATTTGAACAGCTGATCATAGACGAGGATCCTCTATTTAGTTCTAGCAATTCTTGTACGTGTTTCGGGCTACAGTCCTGATGTGGTAGATACAAAACAAACATGAGGCTCAAGACGAGATCCACCTCGGTTGAGAGAGCTGATTCCAGGCGATCATTGCATGTCGATGATGACCTTGCCCTTGGCCTGTCAAGAGAGTATTGATAACGTTTGTTAGTTTGGCCTCTATATGTGTGATATTTTCCACGCAACTGACCCTCTCGGACATGATTCTATCGTAAGCCTGCATGACGCCCTGCTGAGTGCCCTGGTGAACCGAGTCGATAGGAACCTTGAGCTTCTCTGCAACACGGCACCCAAGCGAAAGAGAGCCAATCAGTTATGAACTCCAAAGGCACAGATAAGACCAAATACTGACTCTCTGATTGCCATCGAAGCATGTCCGCAAAGTGCCCCTTGTTCCAATCCGTCATGATCAGCTTGAAAGCCCTCGGAGTTCCTCCCAAGAACGTCGGCCTGAACATGGCCATCCCCATCGGGGCCGCCGTCGATCCGTTGGCCGAGATGGTCACGAACAGCCCGTCTGGCTTCAGGTAAGAAGTAGACGAGGTGAACAGTTCGGGTGATCCGACGGCATCGACGATCAGGTCGAATGGTCTTCCAGAGCGGGAAGATTTCAACTGTTCGGTCAATGGGGACGCTTTGTAGTCGTACAAGTCCGTCGCCCCGAGCTCTCGCACGATAGCATGGTTCTCCTTGCTACAGCTCGCAGCGATGTCGCTAGCTCCCATGTTCTTCGCGATCTGGACAGCCATCTGGCCGACAGAGGAAGATCCTCCGTTGATGAAGACGGAAGAACCGGGCTTGACCTGATTGGGCCTGACGCTGAGACAGTCGTATGCGGTCAGGCCGACGGTGCTCAATCCGGCCGCTTGGTCGAAAGGCAGCGAATCGGGCTTTTCGACAATGTTCTCCGCCTGTTCCGGTCAGATGGAACGGTTGTAAGCTGAGCAACTCGTTTGCAAGATTGAGCACCAGGGCTTACCGAGATCACGGTGTACTCGGAAAGAGCTCCTTGACCCTTGTTCATCTTGGCTCCGGTTCCAAACCTACCCAGCACCTCTGAAGAAGTTCGTATCAACCTTGTTAGCCCTGACACAACATCTCCGGATACTCCCTCGACAACCTGACTCACTTTGACCGGCCTTCCAGGTAGTCCCGTTGGCATCTACGACGGTCCCGGAGAAGTCCAATTCCGGAATAGCGGGCAGCTTGAACAGTGGCCAAACTGTCATGGCCATCAGCTTGTAGCCGACCGGGTTGAGACCGACCGAGTGTACTGTGAGCGCGAAGGATCGTTTAGCACTTAGCTATCACATCATTGCTGTGTCAAATTATAGCATTTCAATGCTTACCTCGGATGAGCACCTCTCCTTGGGCGGGCTTAGGGACCGGAGCGCTCTCGTTAAGCTTCAGTGCATCGGCAGGTTTCCCTCGAACAGTCTGGTACCAGGCTGCAGGGCACACGAGCATAACATGATCAGCGAAACCGCTCACGAGTTCCTCGTGAATATTTCCGACTTGCTGCGGCAGGTAGCGGGAGTGGCAGTCATTGTGGTGAGCTGAGTAGTATATAGAATTGAGTTCTGGAGTTGTCTACAGCAGTACGAGGTGTAGCGAAACAGAGACGAGGATGGTGCATATATGAACCTCCTCAAGTGCAAGTGGTTTCGAATACGTCATATGTTGCTGAAATCTGACGATTCACCCCGGCGACCGCCAAGAGAAAGCGCGCTACCTTGGCCAACACTTGTATCCGGACCGCTCGATCGCTACATGATCATAAAATACACTGCCCACCCTCATGTACACATGGTCTGATCTCGAGCTCAACCCATCCTCAGCTCGCCGAGGTTGTCGTCGAGGCTCCTCTCACCCCTCTGCCCGCTATGACCCAACGGCGGTTCTCCAGCCTCGGCTCGGGCGATAACGAACGGGTCGACGACCGTGTTCATCTTTGATCGATAGGCTTGTCTGCAGAATCGAAGGGACATCGTACAGATGAGTTCTCTGACATCGGGATCTCGAAGCGAGAGGCTTACCGATAATGAGCCGACAAGTTCTTGATTCGTTCTTCCAAGCTCGCCATGTCGCTCGCGAGACCCATGATCGTGTTCTGGTTGTTCGATACCGTTTGCGCGATGGCTGCAAGGATTAAAGAAGTGGTTCAATTTAGAGACTGCATTCTGGTCGAGCCGTAAACCGGGAGATCTCTTACCTTGCGGTGTAGGCTTGTTGGAAGCCCTACTCAGCCCGACGAGTTGTCTCTCGATTTGCTAAAGAACAGGTTGTTTGATACGGAAACGATGAGCATCAGGTTGGCGACCAGAACGGCCCGAACTCGAGCTTGTGTCAAATGGCTCACCTCGAACGTTCTTCGGTATTGACCCATCTGCACCTTCATCTGTTCCGCCAGCTTGGCAAAGAAACTACGCAAATAACCGAAGCCAAATCAACATCGAACTTCGATCCACTCAACTGAACCTACCCCCCAGATCTCTCATTCAACATTCAAGATGAAGATGCAGAATCGCAACTCACTCTCGATAAAATGTACCATGCTGCGAGACCATGCTTCCGCCCGAGACCTTCTGCTCGTGCGCAGTCTTGAGCACCTCCACGCACGTCTGCCAGACATTGTTGATCTCCTCGGCCTGCTGAGCTAGTCGATCTACGCGTCGTCGGAGTTCCTTGATCGAGTGTTGGTGGACTTGCATGCCCTGGTAAGTAAGCCAGTAGGAGAAGAATTAGGGTGGTGTGATACGCATACATAAGGGGAGCAAGAGCGTACGGAAGAAAGCGTGCTGATCTCTGATCGGTCCTGTGTCAACCTCGTCCCCAGCTCTTTTACATCGATGCTCTCCCGTACGTTCCTCTCTCGCTGTAATGACTCCCTACGAACGAGATCGTTAAAAATCGCATCAGTGTCCAAGAAAGGTTGTGATAATGACGAGCTGATGCACGCACTCGATCATCAAGATAGCCTTGGCGGTATCCGGAAACTTCTTCTCGATATCTTCGAACAACATGTCTCCAGGGATATCCACCTGAAAGACCGATTCTAGCTGGATCCCCGAACCGCTTGACCAGGGTGGCAACTGTTGCTGTTGCGGTGCCTGCTGCTGTTGTTGCTGAGAGAATTGCGACTGCTGTAATTGCGACTGTCCCAGTTGTTGTTGACCACCCTGTTGCTGCCCAAAGGTAGACCCGATCGTCGAAGCAGTCTTGTTGGCCCCGAACCCGCCGAACGAACTCCCACCACCGAACAAGCCGCCAGACGTCGTTCCATTCTGTTGCTGTTGCTGCTGTTGGTTATTGCTCGAGGTGCTCTGTCCCAACCCGAATAGTCCTCCTGATGATCCCTGTTGTTGGCCCGTCGTTCCGGCTTGACTGCCAAACAAACCCCCGGCAGGCTGCTGCTGTTGCTGTTGTTGAGGTTGAGCCCCACCGAATAGCGATCCCGTAGCAGGAGCCGTCGAAGTCGAAGCAGGCTGAGTTCCGAATCCTCCAAATGTAGGAGCGGCTGGAGGATTGGCGGCTGCTGGCGCTTGACCGAAGCTAAACCCGGACGTAGCAGGCTGATTATAATACGGTCGAGGTGATCAGGAAACGTCGTACTTTATTCCTCAATCACACTCCTCACCTTGGGAGCACCGAAGAGAGACATGGTGCCGGTAAAATAGGCTTTCCTTTGACTCTTTGGAAAGAGTATGTGGCTGTGAATTATCTTCAACGACCTCGTACAAACATTCAAGAATCATCGAAGATCATGTTGACGCTCAGGTCGTTGGCATGAACATCTATCATCTGACCGTGGACTTGGCGACCTTGACCTGAACATCATATCGCATTCCTGCCATGGCAAACAGCATGACGGTCCTTCATCAACGAAAAGCTCCCATGACCTCTTCCGCACGTCAAAGAGTTTAGTTTGAAGCAGAGCGAGTGTGTCGGCCGATTCTAGGGGGCTGAAAGCCTGTTACCAATTCGTGCTCGAGCCGCGTTAGGAATGTCCAATATGAGCAAACCCTCGATCCTTTTCTCAACCTCTTTAGATACAGTCAACCCCGACGCCGGGTCCATTGCATACTTTCAACAACCTCAACTGCTTAGCACCACATTCAAGGACTATAGAACATGAATTCGTTCAGTCAAAGTCGGAATCTAGCTTGAATAGATCCGCTCAACTTACGTGATGGTCGCGACGACGCTACGGCTGTGAGGATGATGCCTGAATTCGGTCAAGTAGATACCTGACATGAGTGACAAGGGTTAGCACTTCGACCAGCAAGGGTTTCATTCCGTGCTTCCAGATCCGTCATATCGGCAAGCCGGTAGCGCCAGCAGGAGGATGCTGTGACTCACCCTGCCATGTACCCAAGTTGAGACGACCGTCGGTGATGGGGATCGTCACTGATGAGCCCACAATGGTAGCTTTGGTATGTGAGACTGAGTCACTATATAATACGAACGATTCTTCTCAGCGAACCTAAACTTGTGGACATGCGTATTTGGAAAGGTTGGCGATCGAGCTTACTCTGGGCCCTCGTCCACGTGCTTCCAAGGTAATGATTCAGGAACGATGGTGTCCAGCCTGACAAGAACGATAGTTTGAACATTTGTCAGCATCGAAGCATATGAATAGGTTGTTGAGGGTAAACGTACGCCATGTCCATATCTATCGGTCACAGTAGACAGTAGTCATTTTAAGTCAGCTTGCCAGACTTCGAGAGGCATGCCCTGCCATTAACTCTCAATCTGACTTACCCTTTCTTACGTCTACCATAAAGAACAAAGATCGACCTTCAGTATCTTCTCCCCTATGCCTCCACTACGACGACGTCTGACATAATCACTTACCCGAATCATAGTTCTCGTTGATCGTCAACCCAGCGCTGGTATGCTTGATGAAAAGGTGCAAGATCCCGATCTTGGTTCCCGATAATCCTTCTTTGATATGGTTCTCTACCTCTCGAGTGACGAGGTGGCAGCCTTTGGCTTGTCGAGAGAGGGTGCTGTGAAGAGGTCAAGTACACGATTTGCGTCAGGAACTCTGTCCGATGAAGCATATTGTATCGTCCAGGCTACAGCGGGTGGGCTCACAAGGTTTTTTGCCAAGGCATATTATATCGACTCTGATCACTGTTGGATTGAAGATTACTTGAGTGCGTGGTCAGTCTACGTAAGGAGTCAGCAGCAAGAAAATAGCAGAGAGTTGTGCGATATGCGAATCGGAACAACCGCTCGTGATGATATCATCATCGTTTCCTGGCACGCGATCGCGACAAGGCTCAGGTCAATAGTCCCCCACCCGATCATTATGGCCTGGGCTTGATGTTGAGTACACACGTACACAATTACAGACGTCCAGAGATGGCATGCAGGCAGGATAAGCTGCGTCCACCTGACCCAGGTCGGATAGAATCATTATATACCTCAGGTTCCGAGGGCAAAGAAACAGCTGTGCGTCTCGATTTACATTTGAGCCTCGACGAGCTCTACGTAACGCCCCCTGCGCTTGATCAGCTCGTCGTGACTTCCTTCTTCCTTGACTCGGCCGTCCTCGATTACATGAATAACGTCTGCTGCCCGGATAGTGCTCAATCTGTGGGCGATCGTAATCGTAGTGCGTCCTTTAGAAGCGTTCGCTAGAGCCTTGTTGACTTGAAGTTCGGATGTCGCATCCAAAGCGGAGGTAGCCTCTGTGATAATGGATATCAGCGGTCGGCAAGGTTCGTCGCCGCGTTCGGCTTTGCTCCACAAGCGGAAGGCGAAGGGTAGCTTACCGTCCAAGAACAGGATCTCCGGCTTTCTAATCAATGCTCGTGCGATACACAGGCGCTGTAATATGAAAGTAGAAATGTCAGCCTTCGTGTACAGCTACCGGAACGAAGTCTAGGCGATCAGGAATCACGAACCTGTCGCTGTCCACCACTCAAGGCAGCTCCTTTCATCCCGATCTCGGTCTCGAAGCCATCCTTCAACCCGCGAATGAAGTCCAGGATACAAGCTTGATCACAAGCTTCTTCGAGCGCTTCTTGCCTCACCTGATCTGCGTTCACCGCTCCCACTGCGTGCGAGAACAACGTTCATCAATAACTAGTATGCAACGGAACGACGCATGTCGCCTGCGGCAATATAGGCAGGTCATGTCGACTCACGACACAAGTTCCAGCGGATTGTACCCTCGAAGAGCTGAGGATCCTGAGATACGTAGGCACAGCGCGATCGCAATTCCTTGAGAGGAATCGACCTTGAATCTCTTCCGCCGAAAGTGACCTGTCCTTTACAGGGCTCGTAGAACCTCAACAAGAGCGCAAGCAGACCTAAGAAGGGTTTCCATTCAGTCAGATAAGCGGGATCCCGCTCCCGAATTGCGGAACTTACTGCTCTTGCCCGAACCACTCGATCCGCAAAAGGCATGCGTCTGACCAGATTTGATGGTAAGGCTGACGTTCTTCAACGCTGGGTGTTCAGGTCGCCTAGGATATCGAAGCTCGATGTTCGACCTGGTACAGGTCATTCGGGAGAATCAGCAAGACATAGGCGCTTTTGAGACGGCAAGTCTGCTCACAAGACAATATCCCCGACGTAAAAGTCGTGGTTCTGCTTCTCGCGATCTGGGTTCGAGGCGATGTTGGCGATAACGGGCTTCCTATCGAACCAGCTCTAAAAATGTCAGGAATAATCAGTCAACTGATCGTTCCAGATTGCTTGCGATTAGCCTTACCTGAACCACAGCCATACCAGAGAAGGCGCGGCCGACATCCCCGACGAAAAGCAGCAGACGGCTTGAAGCAAAACTCTGTGAGGCGAAGCGATAAGCATTTGGAATTGATATGAAAAAGGGGAGCAGGTCGCTTACCGCGATGATGATTGCTTCGAAGCTAGCAAATAGCGCCACGGTTGACTGCGCGAAAGTACCGATGAGCATCATGATAAATTTGCTCGATCAACTGCCCCTCAGTGTGCTTACCAGGCCTTCCTCGGCTGTGAGCTTCCCTCCCCAGTAGAAGAGCAACGCTTGGAGCAGGATGATCATCGCTTGCGAGATCGAGAAACCGATCGAACCGAGGTTCAAGTAGAGGCTTGTTCGTTTAGTGACCAGATTATGCTTGTCAAAAGAGCGGAGCGAGGCTCGTTGGTAGTTGAGGTTCGTGACCGTTCGAACGACGTCGACCGTCTCGCTTAGAAACGATGCACACCGCGAAGCCGGTCCAGAGTTTTGCGCTTCATACTTGTCGATGAAGTAGACGTTTAGCCATCCAGAGAAGAACGTGACCAGGACTGGGGGCAGCGCTACCACGGTCACCTTCCACGAGAGGACGAATCCGAGTATCATGGACCCGATCAAATTAGCCACCGCGATCAGGATCTGAGACAAGATAAGTCCCGAAGCAGCCGTGATTTCGGTGGGTTTCGACGATAGGGCCGCAGTCAGCGCCCCTGCATCTGACTCCTCGTTACTCTCGAAGAATCCCGTCTCTTGTTTTAGCAGAGAACGCATGCTCTCCCGCTTCACAATACGGACGACCGATTCAGAGACAAGCTCGAAACTGTGAAGGAAAGGCGAGTGGTGTAAGCTTTTTGTGGAAGGGCAGAGGTTGATCATCGGTAACTTGAACTCGGAATTGCTCACGAGACCCCGTTGACGACGAGAACAGCAAAGTCCGCAATGGCTAGCACCAAGAACCACAGGGCCCAACGGTTTGCGCCTTGTCTCACTGCTTGAGGATCTCCCTCGATGGATAGAACGTGCACACCTTCACCGACCTAAATCGACAATCGTGTTAGCTGTAAGGTGCCGCGCTGAGTCATTTTTCGCAAACGACGTACCATCCAGCCTTCTATGGGCCAGCCGGCTCCAGCCGCGATCGAGCAGACGACACCCAACAAGAACCACCACTTGCGCCCAGCCATGATTTGCCAATAACTTTTCAATAGGGCACCCTTGGAGTATCGGCGAGGCTTGAGCGGATCCGGTCGCTGGACGTCCATCGCGTCGGGCTTTTCGTCGCTCGGCGAGGAACCCTCTGAAGCTTCCTCCTCTTCTGCCACGGGCGGATTTACAGTTCCAGCCATACCCACTGGTCCATCGATCGTATGGTCCATCCTGCCGAAATTGCTCCCTCGACCAGAATACAGCATGTGTAGGTCGGGACGCTTCGTTCCCGTAGAATTGGATCGGTTGATGGACAGGTTGGGAGGTGTACTCATGCCAGATCCTTCAGGTAGGATTCCGACGGTGGAAGTGTTACTGAAGATACCCGATTGATCGTCTGCAGTGATACCATTCACATTGTTCTCGTAAGCGATCTTCTCATCGACGGTATCGGCTCGCTGCTGTTCCTGATTGGCGAGCACCATATTCCTGAACGTCTGGTCCTTGCGGTCGGTCTCGAGCAGCTCGTCGTAAGTTCCTTCATCAACAACCTTGCCGCTCTGCATCACGAAGATCTTGTCTGCGGAGACGATTGTACTCATACGATGCGCAACAACAATCAGCGACATCCCTCTCTCCTTCTGCTCGATCTCAAGCATCTTTCGGATCTTGTCTTCTGAAGCCGTATCCAAAGCCGACGTAGCCTCGTCAAGCAGCAAGACCGCCGGCTTGCTGACTAAAGCACGAGCGAGCGCGACTCGCTGTCTCTGCCCGCCACTGAGGAGCTGTGCTCTTCCTCCTGTTATCACTGTGTCCATTCCTTCGGGCAATCTCGAGACGAACTCCCAGGCTTGGGCTTTTCTCAAGGCGTCCTCGACGAGCTCCCTGATCATGGCCATCCTCTCGCGCGTCCCGGCGTCCTCGCTATCGAGAGTATCCCGCTCGGGGCGATACTCGAATTCGGTACCAGTGAGACCGGCTGCGACGTTGCCGAAGATCGAGGTCGAAAAGAGCTGGGGCGCTTGTGAAACGACCGAGATCTGTTGACGATACCACTGGAGGTTGTACTCTCGGATATCTCGACCGGCGAAGAGCACCGTCCCTGATCCCTGCACGCGGCTTCTTTCTTCCGCCTCCTTTCTGCTTGCCTTTTCGAGATCCCCAGACTTGTCCTTAGAGCCGAACAGGCCTCCCAGCCTGCTCGTCTTGTCGGTCTGAACCTCGTCGTGCTTCTCGTCCTCGCCCGACGCGACTTCCCCATCGTCAGCCAGAGTTTGTATTGTGTCCTCCTCCAACCCGGTGTCCTCGTCTGACGGGTTCCTGAGGTTACCCGTCTCTGGATCATATTCTCTCAACAGCAACCCCACTGTCGTACTCTTTCCCGACCCGCTGTGACCCACAAACGCGGTCATCTTGCCAGGTTCAATCCGAAGACTAACATCGTCCAGACTCTTTACGGCAGGTCGAGAGGGGTAGGCGAAAGTTATGTTCCGAAGCTCGAATTCGGGTTTCCAATCGGACTGTCCTTTGGCTGCAAGATCGGAGTCGTCGGTACCTCCTCTAAGTTGTAGAGCGTGTTTGTCGGTAGGAAGAGTGATCCCGGAGGGGTCCCTGATGTCGATGAAAGGACGACGCTCGATCTGTCTGCGGAGAGTCGTCAAGGCAACGGCAGCATCTGCAAGGCTCGCAATATGACTGTGGACGCAAATCCAAAAACGTAAGTCAAGGATCGAACCAAACAAGCTACATGAAAGTGAAGACTAACGGCAGCACATTGGCAAGAGCGAAGAGCGCGTTGATCATGTTCCAGAAACACTGAATCCAGAACCCCGGTCCGTCAGCTATGATCAGGCATTAGATTTTGCCACGTGCTTCCCCCAACTCACCGTCAAGGCGTATCCGACCTGCACTCCGTTGACAACCTCTATCCCGCTCATCCAGAAACTCAACGAGAACGTCAAGAACAGAGCAAAGTACACTCCGGCCTGTTCGAACGCTCTGGCTAAAGCTCTCGTCCTCCCTAGTCTCTCCAACCTGCTCAAGAACGCTTCGTCGAACTTCTTGACGAGGGACGACTCCATAGAGAACGTCTGGGCGATCCGGATTGAAGAAAGGATCTGTTCGACGAGGGAGGAAGCCCGGCCTTCTAGCGTAGAGATTGGCGCGGAAGAGGTGTGGATGAGGTAGCTCGATACCCAGATGATGGCCAAGGTGAACGGAATGACGCTGATGATCACGCCACTGAGTCTGGCGGTTCCTGGGAGGCAGAAGCTCGGAATGATCGACTGTTGGAATGATGAAACAAAGCCACTCTCGGTCAGCCTGCTTCGATCTTCCCAAGAGGCATAGAATGTCTAGAATGCGCCTAGCCTAGGCGATCAAACAACAAACTCACAGCGATCAAAGTTCCCACGCTCCAGAACACGTAACCCATCTTTTCCCCATAACACGCTCGGATCGTGTTGATATCCTTTCCGGCTCTACTGGCCACCTCTCCAGGTCCATGGCTATCGAAGAACGCCTGATCTTGAACCAGCTGCGATCCGGGAGAGGAGCGTGGTTGAGCTCAGTTTAGGAATCTGTGTGCGCCTGGCTATCTCGATCGAGCTTACGACACTGCTGACATAGGCACGTCGAAGGTGTAACGTGATGACATCCGATGCTGTAGCAACTGCATTGACCGAACGAATAAGAGTGATTAGAACGGTAGAAACTATGCGGAGGGCGGCTTGAATCGGTTACTCACAACACCATAAGAAGAGCCATGATGTAAAGAACGCTAGCACTCCTATCAGGGTCATGATCCACCCCGCCGTACTACTCCTATCGAGCTTGCTGTCCGGAGTGCCATCTGCAGCTGTAACACCGTTCGTCCACCATCCGTAGACGATACCCGATGCTGGAAGACAAGCACCCGCAACTAACGCTGAGATGACTCCGAGGACGTACAGTGGAATGGGATGCTTGGCGAACAGGATCGGGTGTCTCCATAGTGATGGGATCGGTGGGCAGAAACTGAGAGGGTAGAGCCAGGTAGGCAGTCTTGTTTTGTGGGTTTGTAAAGGATCCCTGTCGGGGTCGGCTTTTTGCATTGGGGCCACTGTCATTATCGGTCCTATTATAATTGTATCGCACTATTCCTTGTTACGTTTTGCAGCTTTCCTCCTCGGGGTTCGGAGTTGATCGATCGGACAGGGGTTCGAGGATCTATTATGTCTAGCGATCCCACATAAGAGCTATATGATACATCGGCATACTCAGCCTGCCGGATCGGAGCCTGGACAGAGCTATTGTAATAATGAAAGGATGACCCGATGGCGAATACTCGAGCGATCTACAGACAGATCGGGGCGAGGAGGGGTTGGTGTTGGGTTTTGGCGACTCGAGCGAAGATGAAAGGTGCGGCGCATGGTGTGCCCATACGAGCGAGATGCACGCGGTCGTCGGCAGCGCGGCTCTCGGCTGGAACCGAAGATCTGAAGGATCCGGAGGTAGGTATGGTGGAAATGGTTCGAGTCATACGCTACTCGCAGATCGCAAGCAAGCTAGGCATGGGTCGAAGGATGGAATACCTGATCAGCTCAAGGAGAATCATGAGCCTGTAGCTTGTAGCTTGCGCTAGCTTACAGATCAGAGGTGACGAGCAGGAATCACAAGAGATCGAGCGCCGCCAAATTTGTCACGTGACCTTGAAAAGATTGCTTCCGCTTCTGGACTTTGCCTCTGTTTCGTCTATCTCTCACTCAGACGTGTGACTTGGGCCCAATTGATCGATCCTGAACGTTTCAAAATGATTCAGCTGGACGATGAGGATTGCCAGCTCTCTCCAGCTGACCAGTTACGTTCGAAAGTCGAGTTTAATGGCGATTTCCTATCCATACCCTCTTCGCTTCGAGTGAACAGATTGGTCGCACGCGTCGAGATCACTCCTTGGCGCTTATTGCTTTTGTAAGGATCCGGTACTCTGGTGTACTTGTAACAGCCATATCTAGTATACTCAACCACAATACAGCGAGCTTCGAGGGTATGAATCGCACAGGTCATGAGCAAGCTGATCATGTCAGTCCTTCAGTGCTCGGCGAAAGCGTAGATGTCGTATTATGATTCTGTATAGAAATGCGGATATTTCTCCTCTCAACTACCTTGATACAGATTTGGGTCACATGGAGATGGTATCTCATTCCTGACAGTAAGCCGGAGTCAACTAGAAGATAAGCGAGCGAATCTGCGTCTGCGAATGAAGGCGAGCCCTTCTTCGGCGTCAAGCTGTCTGCGGCGATTTTCGAATTGTCTGTCCCTCTCAGCTTCCTCCCTCGCCTGTCTTGTGGCCTCGTCCTGCCTCCTACGCTCGATCTCATCATCAATCCCAGTCAACCATCGGTTCCTGATCTCGATGTCGCAGTGATGATCGACCTCGGCAGCTGAATGTTCCGATCCGGTCGTCGAACGGTTTCCCACGGGATCATTCATCGTCGACATGATCTCCTCACGATCAACGGACCGTGTCAACTCGGAGGCTTCAGTCGAATCATTTGGTTGATAGCCCGTCAGGCGGATTGTTCCTTGCAACCCTTGAAAGTCCCGTCGGCGTGGTAATGTCGATAGACTAGTGGTCGACATAAATGCGATCGTCCGGGGCTCATGCAATTTGAGCTGAAAGCGGTTCTAGTAGGAGGAGAAAGGCAGATGTGGTACCACGCTAGTCACAATCACTCCAGTCTGTTAATCAGCTTATCAGGATTACAATGACAATGTGAAAGGTCCAAAGGACCTGGCCTCTTTTGTTCACAATTCATGATTGTGATTCTCAAAGGATCAAAGGCGCAACTTTCGGCCACGATGTGCATCATCAAGAGCAGCTTTATCAGCAATATCGATCCGCAGATCCTGAACTTGGGCGTGAAAAGGTCTTGGTCAATGGCCGATTGGCTAGCAGACACCGTTAGAGCCAAGGAGCAAAAGTGTTGCCATCAGTCTTAACTCTATATCATGGGTATTTTCCTTCATCGCCGGTCGCGAAACCTCATATGGGCCACAAACATGGTAGTAATCTAACAGTAACACGAAAGACTGAAGATATACTTGGAGAGTATGACTACAAAGGACATCGATCAAGTGTTTTAGAACCTGGCGGACAGCCTCGGTCGTATACCGCCCCGGAGACCCTCTTTGGGGTCAAGAATCTCTCGACATCAGCTTGTTCCTGCTGTCGCTGTCCCAATTGACTCTTCGACCCTTTCATCGAACGAGAGATCTCGCTCGCTTTCGGCTCAGAGGGCTTGACATCAGATCGCTGGAATCTCGGTGTGGGGTAATTCCATCCTTCGTCACCACCTTTGCAACTTCTTTCGGTGAGAAGGGAATCGTCTACATCCGGAATATAATAAGATTGGGTCGCAGTACCACTCCTACCGTCAGAGGTCTCAGGAAGGGATGTTTGACCGGAAGCTGCTGTATTCTGCGACATGTGCCGAAAGTGTTGTCCGAGGGGTTCTGTACTTCGTGAAGTCCTTGAGGACGAATTCTTAAAAGTGGCATCGGAACCATCCAGAATCCCTATAGTGATTCGAGTCACATAAGTATTGAGCTGGAACGTCTAGCAATTAAGACTCAGATTCCGAGAAGCTGCTTCTCAGTCTCACGAGGCAGCGGTTCTCTTTGTTGTACCATGGCGTGGTCTGGTCACGTGGCGAACGGAAGCTTCTCGGAACGCGTCTCATCGAGGTGCGATCGACCCGAAAAAGTCGGTTGGATCACTTTGCGACACAATTTGTCCTGGCTGAACGGGTCATCATTACTAGTTGCTCGAATACTAAATCGTCCACATCTATGTATTCGCTCCCACAATCCTGCACAATCACAGATTATCAACCCAAAACATTGACAAGGCAAAAGTTGAACGATCCGGTTCTAAGATGCTAAACTATTCCGATCCTGGATTGCATTTTACTGCTATGATGAAACTCCATCAGTTCTGCTCCAACTAGATTTGCCAGTGATCTGGTACCACTCCGTATGGTCTGGTCCCAACTGGGTCCACAGACTTGGGGGAGCACCAGTCCTGAGATCGTCTTCGTATCGAATACACCACTCCCTTTGACCGGCATCCGTCGCGCGTGTATAGTAGTATTCGATGTCGTCTAGCTTCCGTATCGTGTACGAAAAAGTAGGATTGTCCTCTGGTACCCAAAGTGTGGCGGGAGGTCCGAATACCCTTCCTCTAGTACTAGCCTGACCTTGTTGAAGACTAGAAGTGGAAGAATACCTCGAGCTGGTAGCCCTGCCTGCGTTTGACGGGGCGCGGGAATGTCTTCCCCCGATCCCCCCGGTCTGGCGTGGAGGGGCAATGTTTGTTCCTCCCGATTGATTTGACAAGTTTCTACAGAGTTGAGGGACGATCAATTAAGCCGTAGAGCGAGGTGGGTGATATGCAGCTGTTTGTCTTGAAATTCAGGATACTCACTGCAAAGGGCTGGTCCATCTCCCGGAGGATTCACGATTCGAAGGGGTTTCAGGTTGTCTCTGGACAGACTGGTATGAGCTATATGACGTGCTCTGAGAGGTTGGATAATAGCGGTGAGCACCGCGCATGACAACGGCATCGAAAAACTCGTCCAGAGAGGCTTGTCCTTTTCCCCCCAGTTGTGTACTGGCGTTTGTCAACCGAGGAGTCGGACCCGTTTCCGACATCCAGGCGCAGTGAAATCCATCCGCTCCCTGCCATCTCTTCAACAGGTCAGTACCTCCGTCCAACGTATATATCTCCTGACGTCCTGGTTCCCGGTACAATACCTGAGTTCCATAGTAGATCCAAATGAAATTCGGTCTCGTCTCCGGCACATTGCTGTCGTCTGGCATGGCTAGGGGGTCTGGTTTGATCAGTGTACCTCTAGCAGAAATCGGCACCCTACTTGCGCTTGAGTTGCTAGTTGAATGCTCTGATAGGCAATAATGCCAACAGAAGATCCAGAAGATCCCTCAGAGAGCGGGAGCTTATATGCTTTGCTCACGATCATAAACGCAAGCTTCTCAAGGGGGTCGCCAAGCAGAAGGCTGCTATCAGTGGTAAGGACTTCTAGTGCTTCCTTTGTATGCTATCGCATTCGCTATCGATTTATCGATACAATCGTCGCTAACGGCTTCGAAGTTACTGTAGGGAACCAGGCGCACGCATATGTGGGAAGTGCGTAACCCTCACGGCTTCTCAAGCGCGAGATAACGATCTTGATGCCTTCAATAATGCCACGTGATGCGCTTGCCGGACATTCCCTCCGTCGTGCCTCAAGGACGTGAGAAGGCTCTACAGTTTCAGGTATCGACATTCTCGGTGCCATCGGAGACATGCCCTTCCTTGTCGCGCTTTGAAGACAGAACGCCCTTGTTGGCTTGTCGGAATGGTAACAAGATCCGTTCTTTTGTTGATTCGCAACGTGACCATGAAATGGGTTCTCCTCACAAGTATAACCATGAATAACGTTGAGAAGCTGACGAGAATCGATTATCTTGGTGTGCAACCGCGAGCGCTCTGGCTTAGCCACTGGTTTAAGTCATTCAAGTATGCGAACCGATCGCCCACACAGAACCTGCTTCCTGTAGAAAATGCAAGCGCACCAATCTTTTACTGAGAGATCAGGAATTACTACAAACAATGGAGTGACTTGGCTTGTCTTACACATGCAAGATCCTGGATGACGACTTTCTTACCTGTAGAAATACCTGCGACATAGTCAAATTGCTTCATGAACAGGCAAAAGATAACCCGACTTAAACTTCCATTGTTTCTTTTCCTATCTCGGTTTCAAGGTGGTGCCGATCTTCATTGATGGCTATAGAGGTGGAAGATAAGGATTTCCTTACTTATGACCCTCTTTTGTATGCTTCTTCAACGCCGGAGAGAGATCCCTGAACTCAGTGTAGCAGAATCTAGCAGTAAGCTTGGCTATTCGGGCACCTAAACCTTATCAAGCTTCTCCGGCAATCCGCTATCTACGAATTCACATCAGGCGATAGTGTGGATTCTGTGTTTTGTTACATCGAGGAATAGATTCGTGAGCGCCGCTAAACGGGAATGAGTGGATCAAGAATCAAGTTGCATCTAGCACAACATAGTCATCTATGAATTCGCAAGACAGCCATCCTCTTCCGCCCCTGTCAGCTATCACGAAATCACAAAGGGAGATTTTAAGGATCCCTTCCGAAGAACGTATAAGTACCGTTGAAGGGAGTTTTGCGAGCACCTCAGATGTCTCATTTGAATCGACATCTTCAATGAATCAGTTGACACTCGATCAAGGCTGGGGGTACCTTGCCTCTCAAACCAGAGCGGGTCATATCGGAGGGTCGCGTGATCACTCATTGCCGAGAAGGGGTGATTCACGCATGCGCTTGATCTAAGCTATCTTCCTGCCTCTGTTGGAATGGAGAAGCATACAAAGGAGAACCGTCTTTTGCTTAACACAGTCTGGCCGAATGGTGGAACAATGATGATACTCGAAAGGTGAATGCATCTCACAGGTATAAATACGAAAGACGAGGCAAAAAACAGCATGATTTTCGAAGGAGAAGTGCTCTAGGCCCTCCGACTTCATAATATTCAGTCAAGTGTTTCCATCCTCGTGAGCATGGACGAATGCCCACCTATTCTTCCGGCAGACATGTCCTCCGGGAGCAGAACGCCGACCTGGAGGTGTTACCAGGATGACGGCTGTTACTGGTTCGCACATCCAGGCAGGGAATGGCTCTACTACGCAGAAAGGCCGGATTGGAACAATTTATGGGTTCGTCGTCAGGGTGGTGATGGTCAACTTGAATACATCGAGCCGGGGGATTGCGAGATTGTGACAAGCAAGCAAAATCTCGCTTCCCATCTTGATCAACGCAATCCGGCATCGTCTAAACAGCCAAGCGATGATGGTTACCTTCGACCTCCTACTCGAGCTTCCGGACGGCATAATTTCAAGCGTCCCGATTCTTTGCGAAGATCCTCGAGGTAAGCTTGCTTGTAACGTCATGTACATCCGTGCAAAAACACTAAATCCTCTCGTTCTAAGCGACGCGTCAACGGGCGTAGGTCGTGCTTCATCGCTTGGACGGACTGAGAACAGCGGGGCGAGAGCTCAGGATGACGGGGAATCCTGGATCGACAGATGTAACCGGGAGAGAACCGACGGTTTGGACTTCGGATGTGCAGATTCCAAAGACGGGTTTGGAGGTGACTGGGACGAACGACCAAGCCAGATAGAAATTGTAGAAAGAAGTGGTACAAGGTCTATCTCACGGGAGTTTAGTGGCCTGCGGTACTACCTGAAAGGCGTGAAAGATGGAGTTAGCGAATGGAGATCGGTCGAGACGAAGGACGACAGTAGTGCAGATCTGACTCATTTCTACACGTGGCGAAGTGATGATGCTCAGACAGAGCAATGGAGAAGGCCAAGGTCGCCCATGTGGAGGAATGTGGGGGAAAATGTCACTTCACCATGACTGTAGGAGTTCTTAGAGTAGACTTTGGCGATTCGAGCGATCGGTATCATGATGTGTCATTTTGATTTGTGGCTTCGCCCCTTAGTGATTGCATCGCTGTGATCTCATGCTCTGTTTGTTTCATGTCTAATGATACGAACCGTTGTTCAGTCTGACAGCACAACAGAGTCAAACAATAAGATATTAACCACCAGGATATTCGTGGTCTGAGGTTTCAAGCTTCAATGATCGAGATAATAGGCGGATACGTGAATCCAGAATTGTTCGAAAGACGAAACAGCAGGAGTGGGACATGAAACGACCGGACCCCTCGATCACCTGTACTGTTTGTTTCCGACCGGAAGCAATTCTACCTCCGGGATCATCGAACCGGTCCATTACATTCTTGACGATTGATGATCGACTTCACAAAAATCATCGACAAGTCATCTCGAAGTAGGTCTCGCAAGACATACCCAAGTTCGAAAGACCATAGGCTGCGCCTGATCGACAGTTCGATTGTCTCTCGCAACCGCCTTCAAAATCGGTCTCGATCCCGATTTTCATAAAAGAGCATGAATCATAACCGGGACTCGACCGTCTCGAGCATCGTCGACCTCTACGGAGCCGAGGCACCGGCGGCGGAGGTGTACGATCGAGAACGACACCCCGTCATCCAGGAAGAGGATAGTAGTGATCATTTGGCAGTACAAGCTGGATTGTACTCGGAACGAGCCCAGGGGCCGCCGGGCGGGAGCTCGTCCACCGGCCTACCTCCCCCTTTGCAAGACCTCTCGCTCGACGAACCAGGACAATCCTCCGGACTCCGACAACGCAGCATCCACCCATCACGTTCAGCGTTGACTTCTGGGAGCTCGTACGAACCATCCTCAGTTTCCCATTCACATCTTCGGGAACAATCTAGTACGAGCTCGAGCTTCCGGGCCGCACCCGAGTCGATTCAGAGCCATAACACCAATACGGCCAACAATGGTGCCGCCCGGTTTATGAACGGGAGGATTGGGATCAATGGGGCGTATAACGAATCGGCGGCTTCGTTCACGTCTGTGCAACAACCTGGAGAAGAGGATGACGCTTATCATGTCCGTTCGACCTGTAAGTCTCTAGGTTGTCAATCTACCTCGACCTCCGATATCGTGCTGATCAGACCGGATACAACCGCAAATTGTCTGCTGTACTGTATAACTCCTCTATACAGACGCTCGGCTTGAAGTACAAGGTGTCTACGGCGACGGCTGGGATGAAGGGATTGAACGAACACGGGAGAGGGCGATCGTCAAGCGTCGGACGAGTGATCCGCCAGCCCAGAGGGGGGACGGGTTGGGAGAGAAAGAACGGCAGGCTTTGGGACGGGTGGATCGGTACGTATCACTACCTTAGGCTGGTCTTTAAAGGTTGCAAAGAGCTGACCAGCAGGAGGGATTTTGGCTCGACAGGTACGGCTTCTTCGATCAGGCGATGAAAGCTCGTCAAGAATCCCGACTCTCCCTCCTCCCCTCCAAACCATTCAAATCGATTCCCAAACTCCCTAAAACCAAACCCAAATCCCTCTCCCAACCCTCCGCTGGGCCATCGACGAGTCAAGCGGAAGAAGCACCCAACCTCCCACTAGCGATGGTGGAGAAACTGTCAGCAGAGTCGGTCGGCAAGGCAAAAGTCAAGGAGAAGCGGAGGGTGAGCAAGTGGGAGAGGATGTTACGGGTAGGGGAACGGGATGGAGGGATGAATATCAGTCGGTGGACATGGGAACAGGATCGGAAGGGTCAAAAGGTCGGTCAGCGATCTGATGTCTTCATCTTGCTAGACCATGGGAACTCTTGACTGATCGTGGTTGATATGGGCTTGGGAATGTACAGCTGCCAGAAAGGGTATATAAAGGAATACCTGATAGGTGGAGAGCGGCAGCATGGGGAGCGATGGCAGAGATGCGAGCGGGAAGGAGCGGACCGTCCTCCCCAAATATGGCTAGGCTGGACGAGACCTACCGGGTGAGTCTATTTTATAACCAGATTTTTCTCGCCGAGGTAACCTGGCATCTGACGCTGCGGTTTTGGTCACGGTCTCAGAAAACGCTCGACGATTCTTCCAGCTACGATGTGCAGATCGATCTCGATGTTCCGAGGACAATCAGCGGGCATATCCTCTTTCATACCCGATATGGTCACGGGTGGGTCTCGTCTGCGCATGTTTAGCGGTGACCATCAACCTCGAATCCAGGCTGAACTCAAAAAACGTTCCTAGTCAGCGTTCGCTCTTCCACGTCCTGCATTGCTTTTCAATGCATTGCAAGGAATGCGGGTATTGTCAGGGCATGGGGCCGATAGCTGCAACCCTGTTGAGTTATTTCGACGCACCGGTAAGCATTGTTATGCTCTCCGTTTAAGGGCAGAACACTTATTGGTTACTCGGCTTCGCAGCGGGTCTATGCGATGATGGTCCGGATTCATGACGTTTATCGCATGCACAGCATTTTCATACACGGGTTTCCAGGACTACTGGAATGTTTTTACGTGCAAGAGCGGTTAATCGAGAGCCTGATGCCGGACGTCTATGTGTCGATGGTGAGTCGTGCATAGCTGTTATTCCTCGCTCAATTGGATGTTGACTCGCGACTCTGTGCCATCCCAGCGGGATAATATGATCTCCTCCTCCTCGTATGCCACGAAGTGGTACATAACCCTCTTTGCCAATACCGTGCCTTATCAAACTCAACTTCGGATATGGGACGCGTTCTTCCTCGACGGTTTAGATGCCCTGATCATGGCATCCGTCGGCATAATCTGGGCACATCGCGCCAGTATAGGGACTCCTAAAGCCAATTTTGAGACCATCTTATCGAGCTTGTCGTCATTCTATATACCCGAGGACGAGGATACCTTCTTACGGTGGATGAGGAAGATGCTGAATCAGCCGAATATGCGGAATCGTTTGGACGGATGGCGGAAAGAATGGCAGGGCCTTGTCGAACGGAAAGAAGATGGCAAGGCGCTGTTGTAATACCTTCAGAGTGGGAGGGCTGCGCGTATACAGAAACTAGATGCGCATCCTCGAATATCGGTGGGAAGTGGTCGACATACTTCTTGTGTGCCGCGTGTCACGGTCACTGATCTGGGTCAGTCTGATTGATCTAATACAAACAAAGACAAGTGAAGAATACGGCTCTGGCTGACTATTCTCAGAGCTCGATGCGATGCCAGTTTCGTAAGAATGATTGATTGTTCGGGTAGATTTGTGTCGTCAATAGGTCGTAAGTTCCGCCTCATGCCTTCTTCTTATGCTTCGGGGACGGCCTGATTGCCTTCTTGGGCTTCTCGTATTCGGCGTCCGATTCCATCTCTTCGGCCCGCCTCTTCCCGAGCTTGGTCTTCTTCGTGATCTTCTCGGCGACCGGAGCTCGTACAACCTTTGTGCCTCGTTTCGGAAGTGTAGGCTCAGATTCGGTCTCGTCTGGGTCTTGATGCGCGACAGTCTGCGAACCGGAAGCCTTGGCCTGGACTTGACGACGAGCCATCACTCGGGAGCCTTGTTTCAAGCTCGACGACGAGGTATTGCCGGTCTGGCCTTGTTCGGTATGCCTGGGTTGAAGCAACCACGTGGGTAGACCGTCCGCTCCGCTGTTGGTGTCGATGCTATTGATGGGGCCTTGAGGGAAAGAAGGGGTATGCGGTTGGTACTGCGAGGGTAGATTGCTAGGTTGTTGTTTCGGCTTGGGAGCGCGTCGTGGAGTTGTCTGGATCTGCTGGTCTTTTTGGTGTACATGAACCTGTCCGTTTGAATCGACGTAGACGTTCATATCGCCGATCTCATGGATGCGTCTCAAGATCTTGGAGTTTTCCGAAATCTCAACGGGCATTGGAGCCGCTCGCCGGGTCGTATCGGAACTGCTGAAAGCTGCTCCGTCGAGCGATGCTACAAATGCATTGAAGGTCAACAGGTCAATTCAGTGATTTTCCTCAGAAGCACCGGCTTACCCTGTGAGGTAGATCCTTCGTTCTGATCTTCCTGTCCTACAACAACCGAAGTCAAACCTATCGCTTCGACATCCACCAACCCTTGTAATCCCGCTTCCAGCCTCTTCCTGAGCTCGAATTCGAATTCGTCTAGCGCCCTTTCGTTCCTCATGTGATACTCGACGATCTTCTTGTCAAGATCGCGGTATTGTTCCAGGATGACTGTCAAGGGAGTAGAAAGGTAGGGTGTGTTGTTGATCGTCCCAGTTTGAGAATTTTGCACGGAGATATTCGCTTGGAAGACGTCCTTGAGTCGCGTCTGCGGCGGCAAGCTGAGAAGCCAGTGGCTCAAACCCTAGGCGCAAGCGCGAACCCCGTTTATTAGTGCCTCAGCCTCCGGATCGTATATATGGCGCAACCGATACCCACCTCGTAAAATACCTCGGAGCTCTGCCTCATCAAATCCCTCAACCCCAACTGATAATGTTTCAGCAATGCATACTCTTTCACGATCCCTCCTCCGCATTCCTTCCAGGCAGATCCGCATAATCTCGCCAAATTCAAGGTCCCTTCCGAGCTAGCACTTGCGACGTTCTCCTTTTCCTCCCTCGACTGAGGCGCAGATCGGCTGCTCACGAATTCCACGGTCTGGCTAGAATCGGCCGTTCGAGGTCCGCCGAGCCCGTAATCGGATGGATCCATCTGTTCGTAAGTGGGCGTCGGCATCCTCTGTAAAGGTCTCGGTTGCGCATGTCCCGGCCCGTGGGTCTCGTTTGGATTGATGCTTCTCGCATACATATCGGTCGGAGAAGTAATCTGGACGGCCATATTCTGAACTCGTACGGGAGTCGTCTGGCTGATTTGTTGCGAGTAGGGAGCTTGAGATCGGGAGGGAGAGTAAACGTTTTGATATTGTTGAGTAACGGTAGACGGACCAGCTTGCGGGTGGGCGACCATGACCTGCGGTCCGCGTAGCATGATCGGAGCGCCTCCGGAAGCGACGTTCCAAGAACCTTGCGTAGCACCTTGAGCTTGCATCCCGTTGACGATACCTTGCTGCATGAGGACGTATTGCTGTTGTGCCGGGGTTAGCATCCGTTGTTGTTGCTGTTGTTGCTGAAGCAGGCCCTGAGGGTGAGGCTGAAGTTGTTGTTGTTGCTGATGTCGAAGTCGCATCTGTTCCTGCTCGAGCCAAATAGCATGCATTCTCGCACTGAGCGTCGGCTGTGAGGAAGAGTGATGGACAACGGTGTGTGTAGAGTTGGACGAGATCGGATTAATAAGCGTTTGCTGCTGAGCTCGACCGGTACTAGCTTGTGAGACTTGGTTCGTCGAGGCTTGGATCTGATGAGAAGGAGAACGATTGGGTACAACTCGCCCGATTCCTCGACCAGAAATCGGAGATGCCTCGTTCGTAGTAGTATTCTGGGCGCCGAGTCCGTTCGGGAAGTAACTTCCCATCAGGTTCTGTTCCGACCGAGCCTGGGGGGTCGTCGTGCGCACCTCCGCCTCGCCGAGTTGTCCCGTCCCGCCCATGCCGGTCATGTAGTGTCTGGCGGCTTCGATCAGCCTTTCGTCATCTCGCATAGTTTCCTCCGTCCGGTCTACATCGTCCGCCATGTTGTAGCTCGGTTGGAGAGATTGACCAGTCGGGTGTGTAAGTGTTTGGTTGGTATTGTTCGCGTGATCCGCCTGGGAATGATGCTGCATGCCGAAAGACCTAGCTTCAGAGCTATGCGTGTGAGGGTTCGTATTCCCTTTAGAAGGGAGGGTGTTCGAATCCAGGATCAGGCTCAGAGCATTTCCGGAGGAACGGGCCGAGTTGGACCTAGACGACCCTCGAGACGCTCCTGCATGATCGATCTGCAGTCCGGCAGAGCTGCGAGGTGTTTCCGGATTAGACCTAGTCCGACCGAGTACGACTTTGGGAGATGCTCCAGGAAGAGGTTTCTCGCAAGGTTTAGATTGAGAAGCGATTGCGACAGAGTAAGGTGGGGTCTGAAGAGGTAAGGTTCGATGATCGAGAGGAATCTTGTTGCCGCTCGGTGAGCCAGACCGAGATCGAGGTGTCGGAGGAAACGTCTGTCGAAGGCACTGATAGTGTTCATTTTGGATGTCCTGAGACGCCAACATCGAGTTGGATTTCTGGAGGCTGGATGTCAACATGTCGGGGATCTTTGATGATCGGCGAAAACAGAGATTTCAGTAGCGGTATGCATGAGGTAAAAAGTGTCTTTGGCATACCGGTAATCCCTGGTTCGCTTGCTCCGTGACGTCCATCCTTGCGAGTTGATCTATGCAGATACCTAGCGACTATAGTGGTTGATATTCTTGATCGAAGGAACTATCTTAATCTATCCGCAAAATTGATCACATCAACTTGAATGCTGTGCATCAGCCTACCGAGCGTCGCGTTCGACTCACTAGTTGTAAGAACGATCAGCAACTCCAGGCTGAGATGTCCAGGTACAAACAGTCTACGGCTACCCTCTCCAACTCCTATGATTCTATCGAGGTAGACTGAAAGATGAGTCAGAGAAGGTAAAGGGGTGATTGGCTCAAAGTCCACCGAAAAAAATTGTTGACATTCCGGATTGATGATCGTCGCTCGTCGAGGGTTCAGCTGCTTGAGAGACAAATTGCATCCGGCGCCTCGCGAACTTGAAACGTCAGGTGGTGAGCGACAGCTTTGCACTTTGGGCGGTGCAACAACACTGGTATACACCGGGTGCGGGAGACTCGAGGAGGATACGGATGTACAAGAGACCGGCTACACAAACAAGAACGCCGAAAGCATGAGCTTGCCGACGACACAGAGCGACAATCTCATATCGCGATCATCCGGAAGCAGAAACTCAAGCTGGTTACGTAAGCCCAAGCCTCAAACAGCGCAAAAAGGGTAAAAGTCCACAAATAAAGTGGTGTAAAGAAATTCGAACTCGGCATCAGGGCATAATACACGGAGCGCACTAGTAAAAGGCGAGTGCGTTATACGTTTGCATCGAACCCTGCCGATAATCGACTTTTGAAAATGGCGTTTATATACGCACAGATATTTACGAATTCTTTCGTTTCTATCCGTTTCTACACCTTCACCCTCTTCGAACGTTCACCTCTTCTCTACACCCTGATTGCACGTCAGGCATCGTTGGTACAGGCTCGATCATATTTCATTGCAATACAACGTTTTTCTTACGTCTACTCCTTTGTCTACAAACGTTACACATCAACATCACCTTTCCACCTACGCATTATAAATTCGTCATCCCGAACATCTCGTCCAAATGTTCCCTCGCCGACCCCCGGTTCTCCGCTACCGGATCGACCATCCTCTTCAACATCCTCCAGACCAACTCGTCTACCCTGTCCAAACCGTTAAGGTGTACCATCGCTGGCGTTCCATCGGAATACGGTTCTATCGGCATCATCGCCACCGATGAAGAAGAGAGCGAGGGAGTCAGGGCAGAGGGAGCGACCGAGTTGCTCAACCGCGTATCGATTCGGAGTGTCTTGGCCTTTTCCTTCTTGTCCGCCGGGTCGTCCAGTCCTTGCGACTGTTCACGGGAAGCCAAAGAGAATAGGTCTCTAGCGGGATCACGAGCGTCTTTCCCATCGACGCCGACGCCGGTGTTGCCAACGACGTGGGGATGGGACACGCTCGTAGGGCTGGTATCGGGTGTGACGATCAACAACTCGCTCGAGCTCATCCGAGGCAATATCGGGCGGTCGAAGCTTCTATGCTCGGAGAGGACGGATTCCCTCAGACTGCCCGTCCGTCGCACTCCATCGTTCTTGGTGTGGAAGTTGGACTTGACGTTGGTGCTCGGGCGATAACCATGTCCGATGCTCATGGACGTAGACGGGGGCGAGGCCACCGCGAACGCCGTCCTAGTCATCGTAGTGCTAGCCGATCCGGGGGTGGTACTAGTAGGCGTGACTGGCAACCCGACCCGTTCGACCCGCATCAATCTCGCCCTCTCTTCCCACTCCCAAAATCTGCCCTTCCTGACGTTCCACATGAGCTCGATCGACCGGACACCTCGGAACGGCTCACAACCGGTGATCAACGAGTACATGGTCGCCCCGAAGGAGAAGACGTCGCTGGCATACCCAAACGATCGGGTAGGACAAGGGTCGACCATCTCGGGGGACGAGTAAGGCGGGGTCCCTCGTCCGATCCCATCTGTCGGAGGATCGTTTTCGTCCGCTATGATCACGCTCGATGAGAAATCGGCGACGACCAGGTTCAAGTCGTCGTCCAACAACAAGTTGGCCGGTTTGAGATCACAATGCACGACCCCGTTCCGGTGCATCCGATCGAGCGCCTGGAGACCTTGTTTCAACCACTTTGTCCAAAGAACGACGTCCACCTTATCCGGGGAGCGTTTGACAAACGCCTCAACCGTACCTCCAGGTAGGTATTCGAGGATGAGCATGGGACGAGGGAGATCCCCACCGAGGCTCTTTCTCCCTCTTGCTCGGATTCCTTGCGCCGGCGTGGTCCCGCGTTGAACAAGGTTGCTATCGCTCACGATCCGCCTCTCCTCTTCCTTCAAGATCAACCTGCTTGGCAACCCTCTTCCCAGGGCGTCCAAGCCCTTGATGATTGCGTCTCTACTCTGATTCAAGCTCACATTCGGTCGTGGAGACCCAACCATGGACCCAGATCCAGATCCATTCCTTGAATGCAACCCGGTAAGCAATCCTGCCTGCCTCAAGGTGTGTTCGAGGTCTTCTTCCTGTCCGACCTGGTCTTCCCTGACCAGCCCAAACCTCCTCAATACCCTGCCTTGTTCTGCTTCTCCTCCCCAGAGGGAACTGGTAGAGCTCGACCCGTCATCCCGGCACAGCCTGGCTCCGACTTCGTTCTCCTTCCTAGCCATCGTCCATCCTTCTTCATCCCCGTTAAATACCTTGATGGCGCAGATGTTCCAGCCGGTCCTGTTCAGCCCATCTTGTTCGTCCGGCAAGTCCTCTCTCATTGATGCACTCGCTTTGCTCTGATCGTTATCGCTGTTTTGTTCGTCGTTCCTGCTGTCGTTGGTATCATCATCGTTCAGAGCCGACCTGAACCTACCCAGATGCACGTTCGAATACCTCCCCGACCCGAGTTTAGTACGACGGCTGAGGAGGTCGACTTTGAGCTCGATCTCCAGGTTCGTGTCGAGGTTCAGATCCAGGTTGAGATCGAAGTTGGATGCGAGGCTGGATTCGATCTGGCCTGGACCCGAACGAATAGGGGCCGGAGTGGACGGCAAGGACGACAAAGGAGGAGAGGGGGAGTCGAGCACTGCCGTCCTGATGCTTTTCGCTGGGGTTGTGCAGGTGGTCCTGGGTGTGACAAGATTTGGGCTGGGGAGCAACGAGGATGAGGGTGCCGCCAACGATGGCGGCCCAACCTGATCGCCCGCTCCAGTTCCTGCTATGGCCTGGATCCCTAGCCCGAACAGCCCAGATCCAGACCTTTCCCCTGGACCGCCAACTTGACCGACTTCCTCCCGCTTCACACTCAGACTCGGATCGACTTCGGTCCCCGTAGCTTGTCCTCTCCACTTCCAATCCATACTGAACAGGTCGTTCCGGCTCTCCCGGCGAGGTCTTCCTTGCACTCTGACGTTGTTGGTAGTGCTGGTAGCGAGATCGTCATCCTGTTGAATACCCGTGGAAGCGATCTTTCTCCTCGTCGAGCCGGGACTTTGAAAGGGCGGTTGTAGTACCCGAGGAGAAGAGAAGAGAGACGAAGGGGAGGAAGAGGGGGTGGGATCGTAGGTCGTCATGTTCGTTTCAACCGGTCCGGTCCGGATCGTTTGAAGTTCTCGATAGACGGACTCGTTGGTCACGAACAGACCTGGAGAGTTGTTCTTTGCACCTCTGTATTATGAATGAAGAATTGGGCCAGTGTTTGTAGTTCGTAGACGATGTAAGGGAAGTCTGGTCGTGAGTTCGGTCGAGGAGAGATCGAGAAGGGGAGGGGAGATAGGGGTCGCGTCTTCTTGCGAGACTATTAGTATATCCTGTGGTGGCCTAGGGTCGACGTCCGTGCATCGTCAGTGGCGGGCATCCGATCCAGTCAGCCTGTAAAAATTATATCTAGTAGCTAGTAGAGTTAGGCTGAGGACGTCGACGAGGACGTCGACGAGGACGTCGACGACTCGTCGACGTCATGAACCTGTGATCCTGTGAGGAGTCAGATAGTTGCTAGCTGACTAGCACGACTGGCTCGGAAGCGGGGGGACAACGTAACGTAAAGAATAACGTAGACCCATAACGTAAGCGATAATGCTAGTGGCGGATGTAAATTCGAGCTAGGGCCGAGGGGAGGGGTCGAGCAGCTAACCTCACCTCACGGGTCTACTAATACATCTTTGCAACTTTCACCTTCCCCTCTTAAAACCCCCACCGTCAATATCAATACAAACCGGCTGGATTGTGAGCATAGATTCATCTGGAGCATCAAGAAGTTGCCATATCTTGCGATCGGCAAGGAACGAGCTCAAACAGACAGCGATCTAGCAGCACACGCAATCTAGCCCTTGACACAGGACCTCTACCGTCTTTTACCTACAGACCACTACTCCTTCTCGTCTCTTCTCTCACCACGGAGTACCGGGAAACTTCAACCATGAACGCTTCGGAGCCGGCGATGCTGCCAACAAATGCTAGCGGCTCGACTCACGTCAAAGAGACCACCATGGACGTTGACATGGACGTGAACGGCAATGAGATTAGCAAGGGTAGTAAACGGGTAGCCTAGTACGTTTTTCGAGCTGCAGATGGTTCCAATCTACTTTGAACCTGACTGACAGTGTGTCAATGTATTCGCTCGCTTTCGCTCCGTCACAGCTACTACGACCGTAAGCCAACCCATCCCCGAGTCTCGTCTTACCCGTTACATTACCCACCAAAACTGACCTCTATCTACCTCCTCACCTACCCGCTCGTCCATCGACCTGCTTCCCCGTCTCGCAGACGATGTGGGGAACTTTTCATACGGAATCGGACATCCTATGAAACCTCATCGGATGAGGATGACGCATAATCTGGTTCTGAATTACGGGTTGTTGGAACATATGGACGTCTACGTGAGTCTGCCTCTTTCTGTCTCGCTGGGTTCCCTTGCAGAAGCTAATCTTGAAACCTGTCTTTTCGCCTTGTCACCTGCATCCGGACCGCATCTCACGTCGATCTTCAATACTCCACCCTACCATCTTCTGTTAACCTCCGTCCGATCCCCGTATCATGGCAGCGACCAACCCGAGCGAACAAGACCCAGTTGACCAGGTTCCACTCGGACGAGTATATCGACTTCTTGGAGACTGTTACTCCTGAGACGGTCGAGGAGATGACGGGCGGTGGGGTGCGATGTGAGTCTGGTACCGGGGGCCTGAAGTCGCGAGTCTGTCTATGGTTTCGCGAGATCATCTGTGGTGGGAGACGGGGTTGTGGGCGTGATTGCAATCACGATCGCGATCATAGTCACGGCCGGCAGGAAGAGAGACTGAGAAATCGTTTGTTCTGAAGACTTGGAAGCTGACCGAAATTGTTATTTTGCTCGTGTTCATTCTAGGTTTGACCGGGGAAGACTGTCCAGCTTTCGAGGGCGTCTTTGAATTCTGTTCCATCTCCGCTGGAGGATCTATCGGTTCGTCCGCTTTTCACTTTTCCTCGTCTACATCTCCCCAATCCTGCCGCCTTCATCTCGAACTCGAAATCAAAACGTAAATCAAGACCGAGCTGATTCTCAACTGATCAACATTTTCCATACTACAGGAGCTGCCGAGCGACTAAACCGAGGAACAGCAGACGTGGCGATCAATTGGGCTGGGGGGTTGCATCATGCGAAAAAGACCGAGGCGAGTGGATTCTGTTACGTCAACGACATGTGAGTCAGGGTTCCGATCAATATTGGGGATGGCACATGACCGGTAGGATGGGCGCTGATCTTGATTCGGTTGTATTCGTGTTCAGTGTGTTGGGGATATTGGAGCTGCTCCGGTGAGCCATAAAGATAAATGCTCAGTAGTCCGTTTGATTCACAAGCTGATTGCCTGTATTCCATGTATGGCTTCTTAGACATCACCCCCGAGTGCTCTACATCGATATCGACATTCATCACGGGGACGGGGTGGAAGAAGCGTTCTACTCGACGGATAGGGTGATGACGGCGAGTTTCCACAAGTTTGGAGATTACTTCCCTGGAACGGGGGATGTCAAAGTGAGGCTGTCCACTGATGAGAATTCCTACCCGAGAAACGTTGTCTAACGCACAAATGCTCTGAATATGGTATTGCAGGACACCGGGATCAAGGCGGGCAAGAATTACGCGGTGAATGTGCCATTACGAGATGGGATCAGCGACGAAGCTTATCAGGACATTTTTGAGACGGTGCGTTGCTTGCGAGAACTCGATGTCATTAGTAGTACAAAGCTGATGTGAATCGGTTCATCTTTGGGACTTGGACGAACAGGTCATTCAACATATCATGGACTGGTACCGGCCGACAGCGGTCGTCCTACAATGCGGAGCCGATTCATTAGCAGGAGACAAGCTCGGTTGTTTCAACTTGTCTATGGCGGGTGAGTCGAGCAATGAACGGGAAGCATCGTGTTCATAAACATGGAACATCGGCTGATCTGATTCGGTTTTCGCAGGACATGCGGCTTGTGCGAGGTTCGTCAAGAAGTTTGGATTACCAACAATTGTTGTTGGAGGTGGTGGATACACAACGTAAGCTCTACTTGTTCCGACCGTTCCGCAAGCATTCTCGCAAACTCAAACTTGGACTTCTACTCTACAGGAAGAATGTGGCCCGAGCATGGACAAACGAGACGGCCGTGATGTGCGGGCAAGAGCTGGACGAGAACTTGCCATATAACGAATAGTAAGTCCGGATCAGGGGGGACCTGCAAAAGTCACCATTGCTAATGGTGCATGTCTCATCGCAGTATGGAATACTTCGGCCCACGATATAAGCTGGAGGTGTTGCAGAACAACATGGACGATTACAACAGCACGGAATACCTCTCGAACATAAAGTGAGTCCCGCATCTTTTCGAATCGAGAGGCAAACCCGGATCTAAACTTTCTGATTTCGACTCCAGACAACGCATCATCGAGAACCTGCGGTCGATGCCATTCGCACCTAGTTCACAGATTCGAGCTGTGCCGGGCGCTTCGGTCGGACAAGCGATCGGCTCGTCGACAAAAGGCTTTGTTCCGGACGACGATGTCGACTTTGAGCTGGATAGCAAGATCAGAGGTGAGCCTGCTTGTCGAACAGACTGAGGTGCCTTGCTGATTCATTCTAAATGAATGCAGATATCGTCCGAGCTAGGACGGCGGGAGATGCGTTGTCGGATGACGAGGAGGAGCCGATGGACAGCGAGGACGACGCGGCGGATGTTGGCACGGCGTTTGGTCGCTCGAATCGACGGAAACGACAAGGTGGCGTGAGCGCACGGACCGGCAAGGTGTCCATGGGCAGTACAACCGGACGAACGAATGGTCGACAACGAGGAAAGCAGACGATCGTATCGGGTTACTCGAATTCGCTCGTCGATGTCAACGCTCGTTTAGGTTCGACCGGCAGCTCTGCTACTGGTCCGCGAAAGAAGAGGTCGTTCTTCACTGCTTCCAACCTGCCACCCATCATGCCACTAGGCGCGCTGGCAGCAAACGGTACGAGCGGTATGGAACACATCCCTGTTCAGACCAAGGCGGGGAACGGAAAGACATCGGCAATACGAGGATCAGCTGCAGTGAGGATAGGCGATTCGAGTTCGCGTTCAAGGATAGGTAGCCCGATGAGTGTAGCTTGAGACAGGAGGATCAAACCCGGTTGTATGACATCAATGATTCCGCAGCGAACAGGTTCGGGTGTTGGGAAACGAGAAAGGGGTAGAAATTTACGTTTTGTGCTCAGAGAAAGGAGTGGCATTCAAGAATAAAGGAGCTGGATCCGGGATTGATCTCGTCACGTCAAGGGAGAGCGTCACGACAACGGAAGCGTTAGGGGACAGATCAAAGGAAAGGCCAACGCTCAACAAACGAGTTAGGGGTGTGCACAACGGTCGCACGGGCTACGACAGTATAAGTAGGCGCCGTTCCCTGGGCGATTCAAAAGTCCACTTCTACTGATCTGCTGAGAGTCTGCAATGTCCCTCCAACAAAGATCTATTCCCTTTCATCAGCTGAACTCCAAACAACCCTCTTCACACGACATCTCGAACGACATGCCTTCCGACTCAAAAAGAAGCGGTAGCTACCACGATCACGACGGCCGCTATGGGGGGAACAGCACGAAGTCCTGGGTGTACGCTGATCAAGGTGGAGATGATCCGACGTATCAGGAGCCTAGCACTTACAGGACGCAACCGCACTCATCTCGTGAACATCGTACTCAGGACTACCCATCTTACGATGGACGTACTTACGACGAATCGTACCGCGAGCGCGACGAGAAGCGGACTTCAGCGCAGCAAGAATACTATGACCGATATGGCCGGGGCGACGAGGAGCAGAGTCGTCTTCGTAGACGAGAGCGCCGAGGAGAAGAGGAAGAGGAAGAGGAAGAGGAGGAGGAAAGCAGGTTTAGCTGGAAGAGGGCGGCTGCAGCTGCGGCAGTCGTAGGTGCGGGCATGTACGCCATGAAGAGGATCGACGATGACTACGAGGAAGGCAAGAAGGCACTACAAGCGGAGGACGAGAAAGCCGAACGCAGAGAGGCTCGCAGGCTGCGACGTGGGCAAGAAGCGGAAGAGGAGGCTCGATACCAAGAGGAAGAGGCTGAGAAAAGGAGGTACGATCAGTACGAGCAGGAGAAAGAGGAAAGGCGTCGCCGTCGTCGCCTTGGGTACTAGTACGGACGTGGCACGTAGCGTGAACGCCCGTGTTTCAGCTCAAAGCCTTGCTGTTCGTTGCTGTTTCGTATTCTATCACATAAATTGGAGACGCCTGTCTACAATCCCCCGTCCGCGCAACAACAGTCTCGTTTGCCAAACTACTGATACACTCAGGTCGACACAATCACTTCACCTCCCAGTTCACCTCCCCCTTGGTAACGAAGCAGTGCTTTCGTCCGTCTTCCGCTACTAACGTCCAAGACGTAAAGCCGGATCGGACGCTGACGTTGAGCTTTGCCACTAAAAATAGCGTATAGCCCCCAGACCTGTCTTCAACCGTGAGCGCCGACAACTCTGGGTTTGTAGGTATCTGCCGGATCACCAAGAGAGTCTCCCCCCGATTCTGCTGCTTATTATCGGCGACTGCAGGATATAGCCGACTGTCATATCGACGATTCAGAATCAACGGTGGTAATGAGCTATCTTCTGAACCGACTCACTCTCGCATCACATGGCACAGAATGACATAACGCTCTGCCGACTTCAGAAACGATAGTGGGAATTGTATGGAGCCGTGGGACGCCTTACGCCAGGCCTGCGTACACGATAAACCGGTCAGAATAGCCGCTTAAACGCCAACGGCCCCATGCTCAGGGCAGGCAGACTTGACGTACCTCAACTGTACGGAGAAGTTCGTGCCCCATGCCGACCCTGACCAATCCCATCCTCAGCGTCAAGGGGTTGCGGGGGGAGGCCGGAGTGGAGGGGTTGTGGGGAGCGGAATTGTGATTTTGTAGCGATCCAGACGCCAGCGGATTCCAGACTCGGTACACGCGGTCGAATTCCCAGCCCTCATCACCATTGTCAATTCGAATAGCGGATCGTGCTGCGAAGCGACAGCGGTGACGCGCGCCACTAGGTTTCACGAGCGTCGCATGAGCTGAGCTGGGATATTGATACTAGAGGTTACGAATCTGTTGCTGCCATGACGGCGATCGATTCGTGATGGTAGCTAGTGAGCGTAGGGGTGATTGAGGCGATCGAGTGTCGAGATCAATGTCGCGCGCCATCAAATGAACCACCAAGATATGGATCTCCCGATACTTACCTATCTCTCGATTAGCATGGGCTCAGTCGTCGATCTGAATGACCATACTTGCGTGAATATACTGCAATGGCATCTACATCTTTTCTTCATGACAGAAGTACTAGAACAAATTTAAAGATCGATTTGGCAAGCTGTTGTTACGATGACTAATGCTGATATTCAAACAGGCCAAGTCCCTCGGCTATGTAAGGACCCGAATTACCAGGAACATAGGGCTTGATTTCCGGTACTGGGATACGTCCAAGCAATAGAGAAATGTCCTTTCGCGCTTGCTTCTCAAGACACTTGATTGCATTGATGCCCTCGAGTCCCCGGAACAAAGAATGTAAACGTGTCTGACGCGGACGCTTTCTCTGCATTCGTTTGGAAGTTGGACTCCAGCGCTGGATCTCGACCGGGGCCAACGCAGAGGTCGGGGATGAAGTCGAGGAGGTCGCTCGGAGGTCGAACCAAATCGTGCATCGAATAGGGTGAAGCTCGATGTCCTCTGATTCCGTGCTTGTTGCAGCAAAATCCGCATTCCACCCGGAAGAGTCCCCCATCTCGTGATTTTTCACTTGTATAGGTAATAGCGATAGTCTTCTGGGGTCGAACATATCGGTCCCTGTTGGCCTTTCGTCGCTGCGGTAGATGACTAGGAGCAGATCCCACCCGGTCTGGTACTTTGCCCCTCTCATAGCAGCTCGTCGAGTCCAAGCTTCTGCGAGTTGTGCAGTTGAAAGCCGATTTTTTTCCGCTTCGAACCGTTGTGAATTTTGCAGAAAATGCGTGAAATTGAGCCAGTAGCCTTTTGCCCAAGTTCTTAAGTCGTGGAATTCCGGAACCTTGGCTCCATCCCCGTAGAGTGCGTCGAGGAAACACTGCAAATTGATAGGCTGAAGAGGGTTCTTGCTATCGACATCGACAGAGAAATCCGCTGCAATATGCAGAATGATGGAAGCGATCTCCTCACCGACGTCACCGCTTTCCACACTGTAATCTGCTCGGACCTTTTTGATCGCATCGAAAGCTGATGACCAATGTTGCTTTGGGTCGTCTCGAAACACATGCGCTGCCGCCAGACTAACAAGCAGAAGGAAGAAGGTCAGACAGGCGATCACAACGCCACGATGACAATCGATCTGGCGACGAACCTTAACCATGGCTCCGAAGGTGCAACGATGGAGATCAACTCCCCTCCCGGCCCTACAGTTTTGAGCCGGCCCATGTATGTTGCAACAAGCTCTTCGGCGAGACCTCCGAGCGTGGGGCTGACGTCCTTCTTATTCAACTTGAGGGGGTTTCCGGACAGGCCCACCAAGGTCAATTTCACGCGATTCGAGAGGAGAGCGATCGTCCGGCTCAGACTCGTTCGATCGCCCGTACTTTTGTACAGTTCGACCGGTCCAGTCCTTCCAATCATCTTCTCTATCAGCTTCTCCGTGTCGAAGTGTTGTTTGCCTTGACGGCTCTCCTTTACGAGACGATTGTCGTTCAACAGAGGGCGTCCCATCTTTCGAAGCCACCCTTCCAGCTCATCGTGAGATGCCTTGTGCTTCCCCTTCAGCACATCCTGATAGTGCTTGACCTCATGAAGTGCCAGATTGAGCGGCAAGTTGATGAATGGGGGAAGAAGTAAGGCGTTACCGATCCAGGTTCGGAATGACGAGCTAATCGCTTCGTGACCGTAGGTCAACGAAATCTGAGTAGTTGTGTCCAATAGGAAGGCGAAGCAGTTGTTGGCAGTGATAAAACTCCACAGTCTTCGCAGGATATGTAATCCGCCACCCATATCGCTGCATTCGTCTATCGCAAGATGGAAGAAGGACTCGTCGCCTTCGGTTTGAACGCATCCAGCTAGCTTCTGGAAGGCGTCTTTGATAGGTTTTGCGAAGTATTGTCCGCAATGGTACGCTTCGATATTGTTTTGAGATACCGGACTCTTTGGACCTTGAGGTTTCGGATTCGATGCAGAAAACCTTTGGTGGCTGAAGCGTTCTTGATTCATCAACATCGAAGCCTTGACGTCGATCGAGTCCAGCAGGATTGCGCGAATGTGTTCTTCGTTGACGTCCCGTTCGTCCGATAGACGAGATAGCCGGGTGTAAGCTGGGGATAAGAGTTGTCCTACCCGGAGGATAAAGGAAGACCGATCGTGCTCCGCACCGTACTGCGACTTGTGCTTTCGCAACTCAGTCTCGTAGAAGCGTGTCAATTCTTCAGCCATGGCTATCAACCATACAGCTATCGAGCGAGTATTCTCGAAGATGTCGCCGCTTTGCACAAGCCACTTGGCCACCTTAGCATCTCTTGGCGGGTAGGATGGGGTCTGGTCCACGTGCTCCGGTCTTACGCAGACGAGCAGGCCCAGGTTCTTCTCGGCCAGTTGAGCGACAGTACGGGTCTTTCCGGATCCCGACGACTGTAGGATAGGGATGACGTTGGCATACACAGTCGTATTATAACGTTTCCCGTCCTTCATCCGTTTGCCCTGCTTGATCATGTCCTCGACATTGTGTCGAAGAATCTCAGCTCCCGATCCTAGAAAGTCCCGCCCAAAATCCTCGGCCAGAAGCTTCTCTTGATGTTGATAATGCAAGGAAGATCCACTGTCGGTCGATGGCATTTCGGGACCGAAGGCATCTCGGAGGATGTCGTTGAGCCCTCTTTCTTGACTCTTTATAGCGACATCCCAGTAATGCATGCACTGGCAAGCATTGAGGCTGGTATTGCTCCCGGTCATTTGCATCTGTCTATATCGCTCCTGGCTTGCAGTCACCCAGGCCGGGGGTTTCACGGTGATCTGCTGCATAAGGTTCCGAAGGTCGAGTCGAAGGAGCTTCATGACGACCGCATGGGCCTCGGCAATCTCGTTGAGAACGACTGTTGTAGACTCGGCGTACTCTTGGGTCAAGGTCATAGCGAGCTTATTGTAGCTCGTCAAGATGTTCTGAACGTCATCTCGTACTATATGTAGGCTGACTGCCGCGACGCGATCATGCTTCGTCTTCATGATGCCATCTAGTTCGTCAATGATGTCTTGCAACCACAGCAGTAACGGGTCGTCTTCAAGGTATTCGTTGGGCAGGGACGATTTGTCGGTAGACATGATAGAATAGTGATGCGTGTGTATTTGTTGTTGTTGCTGATGGGTGTAGGGAACCAAATCGATGATCGACAATGAGGGTGAAAGTAATGGTAGCAATAATATCTTAGTCGTAGCTAGTAGTAGTAGTAGTAGTAGTAGTAGTAGTAGTAGTAGTAGTAGTGTACGTAGCGTACGATGATATTGACGAGCTCTTTGTGACTACTAATACTACTGGCCCAGATCGATGACTTCACAATGATAGGCGGTGCGGTGATGATGATGATTAGACTTGCCGCTTGTTACGCAAAGCAGGAGTCACGTGAGCATATGCATACGTTACTACTCATATGATAAGATGTACTGGAAGTCTTCGAATCCCTACTTTCAATCGGACGGGAAATGTTGCTGCAATTACAATGGCATCGTGCCGGTGGATTCCCTGCTGGAATTATCCTCAGGGCCTTTGCGATACAACATGACAGCCAACGTAAGCTAAAGCTCTGGTCTGCCAGGTGGTCCGTGGGCAAGCCAGCGCTTTGTTAGCTCAGATAATGCTCAGTCGCGACTTAAAAACCACGAAACGCGAGAGTATTGGGAGCTTGCGGATGATCCGATATACCTGATGTGTGGCTTGTTGGAGTGATTCGTCCAGGACCACACCAGGACTGTGGTGATCTGATCTCAACAAGAGCTGATACAACGTTGCGCACAATAATGTTTGAGTCGGTCATACTGACGATATCATCAAGTCATCCGGTCTTCTCTATAACATGTGATTTGCAAGTCGTGCAATGCACGATGAAATAATCCTAACCCCCAAGGTCATGTCGCTGAAATCATGTGCATCGCATAGCATTAGTATTTTTCTGCCTTGATCGCTGTCATTCATGATGTGACTGGTATTTAGACTGTATTGCACTCTCATGACTCGTTTCCAGTTACAGTCGTGCGAACGAGTGATAGACAGTGCCAACGATTTGCAGATTAGCGAGATTCTTCACCTTCTTCCCTTTGGTTATCGTATTCAATGCTGATTCACAGCGAGGACCTGAAACACATTCAGATAGTGCTACGAGCTAGAGGTTCAATCCTCCAGGCGCGATACCTGACCTTTGTCACATCTTGGGCGCTTGTTCTGCCCGGTCCTGGTTATCGAGTCTAAACAAATGGTGGGCGCTCTTACCAGGGCGGTTCGTCTCGACCCACCTCCTAGTAATCCCCATCTGCTTTGCCTGATCTCGAGATAAAATCATCTATTTTGCGCGACATTGACGCGCGGACTCAGCATATAGACGATGAACCTTCCGGAGATGTCCTTGGTCAGTCGACAGTCTGATCACGAGAGCTGTCAGAATCGATGCGGAGCTCGTACACGCATCATGAGGCCATCGGTGAGGGAAGGGAACGCAATCCAGCGGATCAAGTCTGCTACATTCCCGAAACAGTCCGGACGCTCAAAGACTCGATATAAAAATAGGCGGCCTTGTTTCCACTTTGCGAACGTGTCGAAGGTCCTCCATCAGTGTTGGACAGATAGCCGGTGACCCCGCAGAAATCCCTGGTGGAAACTCTACTATCTACCTCTAACGGGCTGGTCGGGGTGAACCTGCGTTGTGCCTCGGCGATGAACTCGTCTGCAACAAATAGGCGAGTATCAAATGGGTCAACAGGTCCAGCAGACTATCCCAAGTAGAAGTGATACATGGCGCAAGATCTGCAACTCAATCCTTACCGTATGGGCGCATCTGCGATACCGTCTTTTCGGCATGTTCATCTGCCTTTGCGTCTTTTCGGAAGGGGAACGTCATGGTCCGAGAGATGGTTCCAATCGCACCAACGGAATCATCACCATTGATCCGGATCTGTACACTTGCCCTGTACTCCTTGTCCGGTTTACCATTCTCCACCTCAACAATCCTGGCGCTCTCGGTCCGGAAATTAGTCCCGTCCAAAGTATCGTCCACTTCGTCCTTCATCAAACGCTCCAAATTCTTCAGTTTTTGGGCAAGAACCAGCGCCTAGCCTTCGCTCCGATTGTTGCCACACAGATGCCAAAACGGTGTGCCGCTACTCACGCATACCGCTTCATAAAGTCCCGGTGAAAGTCTTCGAACTTGCTGGTACCTATTCACTTTAATCCGGTATGACACCCTATACAACTGCAAGATGATACAAGCGGCTACAAGCGATCACATTGCCCCGAGCGGGTCCCAGGAAGATGACGAGGATACCTCGGGTCGCCCGTGTTCCTTGTGTGGAACCGGTGGAGAAGCCGGTCTGACGGAGAGTTCGGCGAGTTTGGTTCCGAGACCGGCACTCGGTCTCGCCCGGTCGCGTCGATCCGCAATAGATCCCCACGTCTCGGACGGTGAACGCATGTAATTGATCGTGTCGGGGTCGATGGCAGTGCTCCGCATGGAAGCAGTGGTTCCGGCCGAGATGGGAGTGTCGGGGGCGGCCCAAGGGTTGGACTCGCTAACGATGCGATTGGCGGGGCGCCTCTCGGGCCATCCGCCGTTCGTGTGAAGGCTGCTGGCAGGGTTCGTATGCACCGATGGTCGATCCCAGGCGTCGCGGGGTGTACGTTCAGGGTTCGCAGCAAAGTTCGTATACGCATCGGCGCCGATAGTTCGAATATCCTTGGCCGCCCCAGACAATTCTTTCGCAGCTCCTTGCAGTACCGTCAACGCGCCCGTACTGAAATTCGACCAACCCCAAGATCCCGAACCTCCCGCTCTGGCTCGACTACTGGGAGACTGGCTACCCGAGGCATGGCTCGTTTCCACCTTTCTTCGGGTCGGTGCGGCAGGAATGGCTGATGCTTCAACGTTGTGCCAGGAATCCGCCGTGTCCCTCCGCGCAGGCGATTCGCTCCGCGAAATGCTTCCCGTGGTCGCGTTGAATTCGGAAGCCGACGCCTGTCCTCCAGTACCGAGTATGGCAGCCGCTTTGGCCACAGTAGCCGGAGCTTGATCGACAACGGGGTCTCGCTCGGTCCTTCCGATGGGACCGAGGACCTCGACTCCCTGAGCCTGCTCCTGTAATACCTGTCTGGCTCCGTTCATCTCCTCATCTCCCCGCTTGAACAGCTCGGACCAGAACCTGACGTCTTTCGGATTGGGCAAGAGGACGCCCATGTCCCCGTCACCGGTAGGATTGTCGAGTGTAGCATCGTATGAGGCATTCTTGTACGCATCCACGTTGGTCGCTGCGAAATCCCAGATCGACACGGTCCTCTCGCAAATGGGCGGTTTGCTCGCTACCAACAGGCTGGCATTGTCGTCGTCAATCCCGCCAGGCGTCCTGCGTTGACGTTCAGTGTTGGAAATGAACGTTCCAAATTGACACGAGTACAAGTGGTAGTACAGGTCCTCCAGGTATCTGCCATTGTATTCGAAACGCTCGGGATACTGCCTCTGCATCTGCCGGACGCAATCGAGGAACTGGTGAAAGACTGGCGAGGTCTCCTTGACGTGGTGCGAGGATGGTGTGAACTGCTTTTGGAACGCTCCGAAGAAGGCCTGTGCAGCTTTGGCAGCCTCACCCCGCTCTTCCTCTTCGTCTTCCGGTTTGACAGCCGAGTTGAGATCCAGTTTGTCCGGTGATAGATGACCGCATCGATCCATAAATTTGTGTCCGAAAGATACCCAATCCTTTTCTATCAAGACCTGAAACCCCTTGATCGTCCGAAAGTACGGATCGAGGCAGACCTGGGCGAGCGCGGACAGCTGCGAGGTCCTGTCCCATCCGTCCGAGCAATGGATCAAGACATGTGACGAATTGATGTGCACATTGCGGACGATGATCAGAGCGCCGTCAAGAATGGCCGAAATGTGCTTCAACCAGTTGGACCGCCGAAGGAGGTGACGATCCATCATGCCCGTCTGCTCAGCTCTTTGTAACGCCGTCTCGACCTTTTTCAGCGAGTCTCGCATGACGTGAATGTTTTCGATGCCCAGATATGTCTTGCGGGCCATCTTGTAATACTCCATGTTTTCCGTACCAGCTCCGGTCGCGACGTTGGCCATGGCGTTGGCTGTCGGTCGGGCGTCGACGATCAGATTGGTTGCGTTCGCTCCGTAGACCGTGCCGGCAGAGTCGGATGTAGAAATGGCCTTGGACGACCCGGATGCCTGGAGACCATACCCGCCGCCACCGTACTCTCCGCTCGGAGGGGCGTACGCGGTGTCGGGCGATACGTGTGACGAGAAGATGGCCTCGATCAACCGTTCGTCTTGATTCGAGCGGTTATTCTTCAGGCCAACGAGCGGTTGACTGCATCGCGTGATCGAGGCCTGAAGCGCAGGATAGGGGATCAGTCCACCGGAACAATTCCCATTCCTCTCCCGTAAACCTACATGATTCGCCCAGTGCAAATATGACAAGGCCGGGATCCTTCCTTTACTTCGATACTTGCAGGCGTAAGCGATAACGGTATCCGAGATCTTGGACGGTACCACCATCTTGGCCGGATAGGTTGGGGAGATCTGTCACCAGCATCAACAATTCCAACGTGAGTCGCAGAACATGCACACTTCAGTCGTTGTCTTCGGGACGTACCACATAATCCTTGTTGATGTCAGTAAACCTCCATGCCTTGCTTCTCGAACCGACTCCCATCCTCGCAAATTCTTCCCTCGGCGAGTAGACGCTCCAACCGTTGCTAGAACTAGAGTGTGGCGTCGACGTGCCAGATGAGAGCTGACCCGGGGTGTCGGTCGAAGAGCCCGAACCTGATGCCGCTGGCGATTCGAGCCGATAATGAAAGGCGTAGAGCTGGTCCATCGAAGCTGAACGGTACGTTGGGGGATCGGCAACTGATGTCTGCTTAACAATGCCATCTGCACTCACAGACCAAACAGAGATCCTTGACGCTGCACCAAACGTCCTCGGCTTCCTTTTCCCGTTTGAACGAAAAGACCAGGCTCTCAAACATCCTCGTACGTATGTACACCGGCGAGAGGCCAGAATGAGTCGAAGGCAGTCGATGGAGAGTCGTGATGTGAGGGTAAGGAGTCTATGGCGAACATGTTGAATCTAAGCAATCTTATACACCGTCAACAAGCGATTGACATGTGCTCACCCATTCTTCCTGTCCGTCCTGAAGGGTGAATATGAGGTGATGCGGGGTGAGATGCAAAGTTCCTTCCGATCGTTTCCCAGCTTTGTCCAGTAGCACACCCTCGACCTGATACGAGAGTACCGGCATAATACGGAAACTGATCAGCCGCCATCCACCTAGCTCGAGACCGAGACGATACCGGTAGGGCTCACTTTGGCGACCTTGATGGCGTCCATTCTGGGAGGTGGGTCTCTGCTATGGTGAGATCGGCGATGCCGTCTCTTTTTGTGCTTGAAGGACCAGAGTTTGCTAGAAATAAGGTATGTATCGTGCAGCGAGTCGAGCTTGTGTATGACTACCCCACGCACGATTGATGCTAGGTGTGTTGTGCGAGTTCGGTATATCGTCTAGATGGGCTGCAGGTGGGGATGGATCTGTGCTCGGGCGCGCCTTCGTCATACCGGCCGTTCAAGGCGAGCTAGCTGTTCGGCCAACATAGGGCCTCTATACTAATCTCATCGACTCGCTTCGCAAATGGTATTCATCGTGATTCGAGATGTTGGTTGTACAAGTAGTCAAAGGAAAGCACAGTGTATTGTCTAACCGCTATGCTCGACGATAGTGGTGACGACCTTGCCCCCCTGGATGACCGACTTCATCTGCTCTGGAATCGGCTTTTCCTCGTAATCACCTTCTTCGACACCGGGCAAGCTAATGTTGATCGCGCTGGTCTTGCTCGTAATAATCTCGACCGTGTCGACACACTCCTTGGACAGGTAGACTTGACCCGAGTCGGTGTTATCGATCTGGATGGTCGGGACTTGTCCCAAGATCTGGATCGTAAACGAGGGCGAGGAAGTGATGCTCAACCCGGAAACAACGGATCCTAGCAGGATCGACGTCTTGGAGCAGTTGACTGCCGAGTTCAGGCTTTGTTTAGCCGCATAGCACGCTCTTCGAAAAGCCAACGTTTACTTACCGGCACTGATCGCGTTGACCTTGCCCTTGATCTCGATGACGCTGTTCTTGCAGCCAAACAGGTGGACGGTGTGATTGATCTCGGTGTCTTCGATCAAGACGTGCTTGGCGTTCTCGTGGTATTCCTGACAAAGGACGATCGTGTTAGGGTCTTCGAGTCTCTTCCCAAGCCTGGGCGATACTACTCACGACGATCCACTTGGTACCGTCGAGCCTGGTCTCGGCAGGACGTTTCTGAGTCAACGTAGAAGGTTTGGGTTTGGTGGGAGGCGCAGGCGCAGCTGAATGAGACGAATGAGCGATCAAGGACGATTTGCAGCTGACGAGAGCTAAATGACTCACCCTTCTCCGACACGACACTACCGGCTCGCAACTCGGGGTTCTTGTGGGTCTGCTGGCTGGGGTCGACCTTCTTCAGCTTGCTCGTGACGCCGGCGCCCTGGTTGATCTGCGACAAGAAGGCACCGGGACCGGCCGGAGCTGAAGCTGGTGCGCTTTCCTTGCTAGAGTCGAAAGGAGGAGGAGGGGGGCCGGGGGGAGGAGGAGGAGGAGCGCCGGCGTTCGAGTCGGCCGTGTTGCTGCTCTGGAAAGTCGAGGGATCCTGGCCCTGGATTGGTACAATATCAAGCAGGGGTCAGTCACATATCTGACCAAGCATTCTCGCATCGAAACTGACCTTGGGGTTCCAAGTCAACCCAGTGGTATGGTACTGCTTGACGTACTTTTGCAGCGAGTCGATAAGGGCGATAAACGAGTTGGCCCAGACGACGTGCTTCTTGTCGCTGTAGTAAACATGCATAGGAAGGTGGTCAGCTGCTCTGGCCTAAGAGGTCGTATTGTCACCACGTACGTCTCCTTGAACTCCTTGATGACACGGTTGGCCCAGAATTGAGCAGAGTCCTTCATCTCGCCGACGAAAGGAGCAGGTGTTGGTTCCTGATATGTGACGAAATTCGACCACGAATGTGCATCAGCTTCTGAACACTACGTACGCTTTCTGACCGGCCTCGCGACTCACCACAGCCACCCAACCCCAAGCACTGGCTCCCTCTCCGACGGTACTGAGGTGGTTCGCCCATTGCCTGCCCTCTTTGCCCCGCGAAGCCTTGTCCTTGAAATCGGTGACCTCCTTCAAGGCGTCTTGGATGGGAGACAACAGCTTGATAGTGACTTCTTGCGACTTGGGCTTGGTACAAGACGAAGCTGTGGCGACATGAGCCAATTGTGAGGTGCACAATGAAGCGATCAAGCTGGCCTGTAACATAATGACAAAGTCGGGCTATTGAGTCGACAGCTTCCGAGTGATTCATAGTTGGAATTGGCTCACATGCTCGGCAACAGGACCTCCGATCTCCTTGCTCTTTGTAACGTAGTCTTGCAAGGCTCCGTCGATGATATCGGACTGGTAAGCCTTCTGAGCGGGAGATTCAGCGACCTCCGGGGGAGCCGAAGCGTTGTTGTTCGAGCTCTGGCTGGGCATGGCAGCTACTCCGGTAGAGGCTGAAGAGGCGGTATTGTGAGAAGGGGTTTGCGAGGTGGAACTGTGATGAGCTACATCTTCGAGCCGAGCAGTAGCAGCTGAAGGAACGTAGCAAGGCATTCAGCGAACTGGTCGAATCGCTGCGACTGATCAAGTATGACCGGAAGCTCACCTTCCAGCCGCTTGCTATGGAGAGTCAGCAGACCAACATCATGAACACGTCAGTCGTGAAACATGCTTGCCAAGGCCATAGCACCAGGAGCTCACATGATCGTGGCAAGATTGTTCAATCCTTGTTGACTCGTCATCTCGCTGAACGCCGGTCACGGGAACGACGTGGTCAGTCGGAGTTCTCATTGGCAGTGAGCGGTAGTTCATACTGACTTGAAGTTCGCACGGATATCGTTATTGAATGAGCGAGCTGTACGTGGTTGGTGGGATTGGACGAGACACTGATGGTAGGAGATCACATCCACCAAGAGACGTCGACATGAACAAGGTGGTGATGAGGTGGCCGGCTACCAGCGACGACCTCGATTACGTAACGCGAATCTCGGTCACTGTCCGCCAGCCAAGTATACTACTAGCTGATTACAATGATAGCCAGACTGACGCATCGATGCAATCTACGACATCACGAAAGGACGACGCAGAGCATCGACCTAAGACCTCCTTGGTCTACGGGAATCCTCGACAATTTTCTTGAATGCTCTCTTGTCGGTACTGAAAGCAAGTTCAGCATCTTCTTCTTCGACACCGTATTCGTCAGCGAGGTATGCCTTTTTCTTCTTATTCTTCTTGTGCTCTTCTCCCTGAGCTTTCATTCTCTTAAAGAGCTTTCGCTGGCCAAGTTCTTTCTCAATCCTCTCGCCCCAGAGCTCGGTGATGGCGAACCCGAGGAAACTGAGCGCGAATAAGCCCAGAACGGTACCTGATTTCAACCGGTATAGGACATACATCGAGTCAGCTGCCATCGTACTTGAAGTGAGATACATTTACGGAGCGGCGATATGCTTGCTTACCAATGGTAAACCACTTGTACTCCGCAAACTTGTCATCAGCTCCGGCTCCTCGTCGGACCAGAGTGTGTAAGGGCGTCGGTGTAGATGTCGACATGATTGAATCTGTGTGACTGAGGTGAATGTATAGCATTCAGTACCGAGCGATGATCTCACCGTTTGCTTTGTTACGAGTATTTATCGAATCCAGTCGTTGGCCCCTTTCTTGACATCTTCCTGCCGACCCCTTTGTTCAACGAGAAAGGAGGGCTGAGGGCCGAAACCGAAACGCGCAATCTCGCAAACCGTGAATCTAGCCGAGCCTGCTTCGGGGACCACTCGATCATGTTGATACATGTTAGCGAAAAGTGCTGGGTGATACAATCGCGAGGTAAATAATCCGTCAAACTGTCATAAGAGGTCGACATTCTGATCAATGCCCAGCCCAGAAAACGCAAGTGTCACGCAGACTCACCATTCAACCCGTCACTCGGTCCTCTGTCTTTTGCTAAACTTCTCAAGAGCCGAGCTGAGCGTTTCGTGCGCCGCAATGTCAGCTCTAATCGCCTCGAGCGAGGTCTGTTGTTGCTGGAGTTCCTTTCGCCTGTTCTCGCGGGTCTGTTTCAAGTCGTCGACTTTCCGTTGGGCATCTTCCAATTGCTCTTCGATCTGTCTCAGCCTGGATTCCGACATCACTATATGTTTTGCTGTTTGACGCTCTTGATACTCAAGGCGATCCAGCTCGGTCTCGAGCGCAGAGGTAATCTCGTCGGCACGTTCGTTGACCAGCTCGAGGGGATCATCGTTGTGTTTCCGTTTGGAACCCGACGCCTTGCTGCTACTGGCCACGGCGTTTCGCGGAGCTGGGTCGAGAATCACTATAGTTGAGCTATCCCGACGCAGTGCATTCGTGTCAGTCGATAGCAGCGAGAAACGTAACCAAAATTGACGAAGAGCTGACCTTTGGCTATCCGTTTCAGTCGCTCGGCCATGGCAAGCAGCGGATAGCTCAGTCATCAAGGCGTTTGGCAAACCCCGGTAGCGTACCACTCCACGGCGTGTCGTAGAGAGATCAGATCCGTACGAGCATCCCATCTTTGCCCTCCTGCACTCGAGGCAATGAGGCTTGGTCGGCTGTTCGACGCTAGTGATGCACGCATATCCGTTCCTCTGACAATAAGTGCAGGCAGAGTCTCCTTTCAAGACGACAAGAAAGGGAGCGGCACGGACCGCCTCTGCCAGCTCTTGTCGTTTTCCGCGCTGGCTAGACAAAGTGAAAGTGTAAGATCCAAGAATCGTAAATTAGACATAAACCGGTCTGACCTGACAATGTCGGTCTACCCAGCCTAGGATGAGAGCCACATCTTCGACTGTTCTTTTGCAGTCCTCTTCTGGCATGGCGAACAGGCAGTGGGTGGTAACGTGGTAGACTAGTACTGTGAACGTTCCAGTCTAGGATGAGCGATCGAGGTCTCGGACTGCAATCCGCAAAGATGCAGGATGCTAACTGTAGAAATTAGATGGTGGTTAATTGCGTGTTGCGTGCTGTTGATGGCATCCGACCACTTTGCTAATTGCTAAATAGCATCCGAGATCCCAAAGGTTACGGCATGTCTCGGCGGAAGCAGATATGAAGGCGAGAAAGTCCGAGCGGTCGGGGCCGATCGAGCGAAAGGATCGACTTTTGTCAAGTTGCAAGATGGCAAGATGTACCTTACACCTAAATGCACCTAATCGTACCTTCATATCAACCATCGGTCAGACTGTTAGAGCTATCAAAGTTCTGAAGAGATATCATGGGCGGAGCGAACTGTGAGTCGTCGCCCCGATCTGCCCTCCTCACGTCCGTCTCGGCTGACACCTCCGATTTCTTTCGTAGTGGAAGTCTGGAAGTTTGGGTTTTACACCCTTTTCCCGCTGGCGACGCTATACTATTTTAGCGATGATGATTGGTACAACAAACATGTGGTACCAGTGAGTGCGGAACTTGCTGCCCAATGAAAAGGGTAACCGTTCAGAAGACGAAAAGCTGATGCTTACGACAATGTCTAGTATGGGAAGAGGATCTGGCCAGAGTACGAAAAGACGAACGTAAGAACCCAAGCTTCCCGCCGTCATGACCAGACGCATCCCATCTGACGCTTCGATACTTCTGTTGCGTTCTACTGCATCACTTTGCGAATGCAGCGCCCACCTCACACGCAACAAGAAATCCAAGCCGAACTCGCCCGTCTAAAGAATCTACGACAAGCCGGTGTAGACCCCACAGCAGGCTCAACTTCGGGGGCTACAATGTCGCACGAGATGCGGTCGGCGGCTTCGACGGGGATCTTTACGAGCTCGGAGACGGAACGACAGAGTACAGCCGAGGTGCAGGCAGCGACGCCGGTTCGACCGGATGAGCGGATAGTCGGGCATGTTGGATCGGGTGGGGTGCAGGATTGGCGGCAGGCCGATGTCAAGAGGCTGGTATAGCCGACAGGTCAAGACATATCAACACGAATTGGCAGCTATGTATCAATCAACAGTATCGACGAAACGCAAGTCGCCGGGATTATACGATCAATTTCATTCGTTCATTCCGACGTTTAGATATAACGTGTCGCTCTTCTGGAAGATATTTCTGCGATCTCTGATCAACACCCTACAGCGATGTCAAACTGCACCCAGGTGGTCGGGGAAACTCGGTCGACCGGCTGGGCAAGACGACAGACCGTTCTGCCTGCATGTCACGTAATTGCTTTGCGACGCTCGACTCGTCGCAAAAGCGGCAGAACCTTCACATCGCCTGGCTTTAGTCGCCAACCTGAACAGTAGCGACGCACTGCTAGTTCTGTACTTGCTCAATAATATGATCAACTTTGGCTACCTTCTTGTCAGATCGAGCGGGTATCGTGAAGAAGTCTGTCTGAAGCGGTTCAGTGTAATGTTATCATTATTCGTCGGCCTGCAATCCCTGCTCTTGTACACAATCCTGATAGATGCTCCTTGCTGCTTTCACATCCTATCCTGATAGCTATCCTACGACGACGTCCGATGCCTCTACCGAGTCTTCTTGGCCTTCTCCTTCATCCTCCTCGCCTTGTCCTCCTTGACACCCTGCTTGATCTCGGCTTGCAATTTTGGGTTATCTACAAAACAGCCAGACGAGCGGGAATGTCAGTATGTCCATGTCCAACGAGAGCAAACAGCGGGAAGAATCGACTGACAGTTGAAAGCGAGGAACAAGAACTCCAAATGCGAAAAGAACGGCGCCAGGACGACCGCTAAGGCGACCAGACGAGTTCAGCACCTTCCCTTACATCCGCAACCCACTCGACCCGACCGCACTCACCTTGCAACAGATTATCCAAAAGCGCCGGCGCCCTCCCCTCTGCAGCGCCATGCCCGATGAACTGGCTCAACCAGCTGAAAAGCTGTACGAGGAGCGCGAGCTTCATGCTTCCGACTCCTTTGAAAGGTCCAGGCAGGGACTGGGTGGACGAGGGGAAGGAGGCTAGGTGAGTGACGGTGAGTTGAGAGAGGATGGCTTGGGGTAGGTAGGTCAGCTGGCGAGAAGAGAACGAATGTCATTCCTCAAGAATCGTTAGCGTGGGGATTCGACAAAGGTGAAGCGGTTATGAGACGAAATGCACTCACCGCTCCAAACGGTTCCAAAGCGAAGTAGTAGAGCACATAGGCAGAGTTGTACCACAAGGCGGCGTTGTTCTGGAAGCTGAGAAAGGGTGCTATGGTCTTGGGGGCGGCTGATGTCAAGGGCACGTGGGCGAGGATGAGGAGGAATGACCTAGAGCAGGGCGAAGCCGGGAGCGAGTTCAGAGCGTGAGTCTTTGGCCAGAGCGAAAGGATAACGGTTCTCCAGAGCCCTTGCTCACCATAGGATCATCGGGATGCAAACCATGTGAATGGCGATGTTGACCGGGTTCGAGTGGTATGAAGCGTAGAAAGTGAGCTGCAACGAGATCATTTCTATCAGATCTCCATAAGAGAGCAGTAAAGCCGAGCCCAAGCTGTCTTACCTGCTTCTTGACGTTCAGCCAGTCGGGGTACGGCGAGGTCCCCTTTCGTTCCATCTCTTCGTCCAAAGACTCGTTGATTAGGTCTTTCGACGTGAGCTGTTCCGACATCGTTCAAGGCCTCTGCAAGTGGTATTTAGGCAAGAAAAGGATGATATACCGGTTGCCCTGTTAGGTAGTTCTCGTGTTCGAGTAGATGCAATCGATATCAAAGCTTGAACCTTGGTAGTGCAGTCCTCCCGACCTGTACTTCGGTTAGGAAGAGATGATGACGACAGAGCGAAATAACCGGATGAACGGGGCTAACGGACATAGTACACTTGGCATGTCCGCTCATCTTCTTACGTTATACGGTCATCTCCATCTCGGAAGCAATTTTTATCTCTCGACCACCCATCTCGTAGCTCGTAGCTCATCATTTCGAAAGGTTCAAACATCTCCCGGCCAGATCAGACTGTTACAAAGGTAATCATCAGGAGTATCATCGAAGATAGATCGGATAGACAATTCCACAGAGTACCATGCCTAAAGCAGTGTCCCAACGACTCTCACGCAATGTCATCAGCGCACCGACGAGCGCAAGCAGCCGACCAGCGAACAAGAACAAGTCGGGAGGAGGCGGTGGTGGTGATGGAAATGCCGAAGCGTCGGGGAGTGGAGGTGGAAAGAATCACTTGTTCGATACGGCTAAGTTTGGACAGCACATCTTGACGAATCCGCTCGTTGCTCAGGGGTAAGTCTAGGTCGAGCGAGGTGTGCTGCCGACAAAGTGGTTTGCATGCTAAACCATTTTCATGATAATCGCCAGGATCGTTGACAAGGTATGTTTGATATACCAAACCAGGCTTCTGTGGTCATACCGTATCGCACCTCTGATGTCTAATCACATGTTTCTTACCTTCGTTAGGCCACCCTCAAGCCCACCGATATCGTCCTCGAAGTAGGTCCCGGAACAGGAAACTTGACCGTCAGGATCCTTGAAGCCTGTCGAAAAGTCGTGGCCGTCGAGATGGATCCGAGGATGGCGGCCGAGGTGCAGAAGCGGGTTCTGGGCAAGTGAGTACTGGGTTCAAGGTTGTAGAGCAAAAGAAATGGAGGGAGAAGGCTGACGGCGAGGCCGTCATGTTACGCTTCGCAGACCTGAACAGAGAAAGCTCGAGTTGATCATTGGGGATTTCGTAAAGGCGGAGTTGCCGTACTTTGACGTCTGCATCAGTAACACACCGTATCAGGTGAGTCGTGGGTCGTCTTGTCGACAACAAAGAGGTGGATCGTCGAGCTGACACAAACTGCCGCTCTTCTCCCTGCACAGATCTCGTCACCTCTCGTCTTCAAACTCCTCTCCCACCGCCCTATCATCCGAACCGCCGTCCTCATGTTCCAAAGAGAATTCGCCCTCCGACTATGTGCCACCCCCGCTACCCCTCTCTGGTGTCGTCTGAGCGCCAACGTCCAGCTCTTCGCCACGGTCGAACACGTCATGAAGGTGGGCAAGGGAAACTTCCGGCCTCCACCTTTGGTAGAAAGTTCGGTCGTGAGAATGTCGCCTAGGGACCCACCGCCCAAGGTCAGATTCGAAGAGTTTGACGGGTTGAACCGAGTGATCTTTAGTCGGCGGAACAAGACGGTACGAGCGTGTTTCCAGGCCAAGGGGGTCAAGGAGCTCTTGGAGGGGAACTACAAGACGTGGTGCGCTGAGACTGGCAAGGTGAGCAACGGGTCGAGGTGGAGCGCTTCATATCTTCCGAATTGCAAGCTAATCCGAGAACACGTTGTTTGGGCGTCTGGCGCAGATAATCGAGGACGAGCTCGATTTCAAGGCCAAGATCGAGACGATCCTGCAGGAATCCGGCTACGCGGAGGAACGAGCAGCCAAGATGGATGTGGACGATCTGCTAAAGTGAGTCGACGATCTATCCTCATCTGCTAACGCTGAGTGGTGGAAGGTGAAATCTAACGGCTTTCTGACTATTATTTGGGCTTTCAGACTGTTGGCAGCTTTCAACGTGGAGGGAATGTGAGTCGTCGGCCTCGCATGCGGTCGTCTAGTGAATGTCGGCTGACCCTTTGCCTATGCGACGACACAGCCACTTTGCATGATCGCTTGTCGGCCACGGTCTACAAGTTGATGTGGCTTCTGAGTATCTATCGCATGTTGTGTCTGTGTAACAATGGTGTACGGCATACGACCTTGACGAGTCGTGGTGTAGCGTTTACAACGTATTTCATTCTCCTGGCCGATCCGGAACGATTCCTCAAAAGAACGGCTCACGCACAAAGCTGGGGGCATCCGTCTCCGGTAACAGATTCAAATTTTACCCGGATTTGTGTCTTCGGTACAACCAGGGCATTGTCCTATGCGTATCGCTACATGTAATCGCGCATCGTCGGATGTACAAGAAGCACCCTCGAGGGTCTATCCGGGCTCATTTTGTAGAGATGGAACCTGTCGTCGGCCATGGACGGCTGACGTACGTTTTGACGGCTTGTCTCTACGCGCAGCTTGTTAGCTTTGCAAGCGATATTGGCGCAAAGCTCTAGCCGAGGAATGACACCAAAGGGAGAGACCTACGTGTCTGCTTCTGCTGAAGAAGCCATCTCTGATATTTGAGAGAACGACACGATTTAGAGCTCGTTGGCGGACTCGGCACAAGCAGGACGATGCCGCGGCTTACTCATGGGTCTGCCCGGATAGGCTTCGTTCAACCTCCACTGACCGGCGGAATGACGGCTACGACTACTCCACCCTTGATCTCCTTGTCTCCGTCTTCATCCTCGTCTGCCATCTCGTCTCCTACGCTCCACATACATCCTTCGAGGATCGACTTGGTCTTGTCATCGGGATGACGTGAGACGATCTCGGCCTTGACCTTGGAGAGCGTCGATGGTGCTGGAAAGGATTCTTGTTCGATTCCAAGATGGGTGCGAATCGATGCAAAGTAGAGGACCGTGATGGGCTTCATTTTCGAGCTCGTCAAGCTGAGCACTGGGGATAGGGCGAGTATGCAAGATCGTCAGGGGTCGAGGTCGAGCGAAATGACCACGCTCGACGTAACTTGCTTGTAGCTGCCCACCGGCCAAATCCGACACACTTCACGAAGGATGGAAGCGCGCGCGCGTGCGCTTGTGTTTGAGCGCGAGCGTGTGAGTGAGTGATGACGCGTCATCCCATTCCTCTCGATGACGCATCATCATCTTCTTTCGACGATCGAGGATCAGATGAAATAGTTTTACAAACAATTCAACAACCTACTTCCGATTGACATTCCGCAAATCACACCAAAACCTATAATCCATCACTCAACGTCACAACACTAGCAACATGTTCGCCCGAAACCTCGTCTCCTCTTCCCGCACCGCCGCTCGATCGGTCCGACCCACCCAGATGATGGCCGTCCGAGGACTCAAGAGCAAGCCCATCTTTACCGCCAACACCACCGTCAAGGGTGCTCGTCAGGGGTCCGTCGTCGGTGGTACGTATAGCCTCGTTCCCCCGGATAATATTTGCGGCAAAGACAAGATGCAAGACTGATAGCGATTCACATTGCATTCTCGCAGAGGCCCTCGACCTGAAGTTGAGCACGAGCAAGATCTTGGGCAAGGAGTCCGACGGCAAGACCAACCCGGAGGAGATGTTCTCTGGTGGATTTGCCGGTACGTCTCGAGAGCATTTCTACACTGGCACACGCAAGCTCAAGCGGGCTACTTGCGTCACAGCCTGTTTCGCCTCGGCCTGCAATGCCGTCGCTTTGAAGCGTAACATCACCCTTCCTGAAGATCTCGTCGTTGATTCTACCGTCGCTCTTTGCGGAGACATGAAGGTGAGCACGCTCAGCTTGCGCATAGAGCTAACACCGTCGGTACCTTTTTCGCTGATACGCCGCTCGCTTCATTTCATGTGGTTGCGCATATAGAAACTCGACATGTTCCTCGAAGTTGAGCTCAAGATCAAGTCCCCCGAGAAGATCGACAAGGCCACCATGCAGGAGATCGTCGACGAGGCCGAAAAGGTTTGCCCTTACTCGAGGGTGAGTTTCGTGGACAGAGCTGGGTCGTTTGACAGTATTTGTAAAGCTGACCAACGGTCGTATCTCAATTCTGATACTGCAGGCCGTCCGTGGAAACATCGACGTTACCGTCTCCGTCGTCTAAGCACCGAAGCTGCTTCCATTATGTATCACACCCCGATCGTGTCAAATTCCGCAAAACGCAACGCAGAATCATATGAACCAAATGAAATGACAATCTCGCGCATGCTGGTTTCGCTCCTCAAGCCGCGCCCCGATACTGATACTTTTCAGAGAAAGTTTGTTCGCATCGCGTCGTAGAAAGCGCCCTCATGTCAAGAATATCAGACTACTCGCTATAGAAAGCATTGCAGAGACCATCGTATTCGCGCGATCTGCCACCTCGTACCGCAACATAACTTCTGCATTCCTCACCGACGTTCATGGGCTTGGTGTCGCAAAGCGTCGCTCAAGAATGACATGTGAACTTACCGGCATTCGAAGAAAATGGCGAAGTACGTTGATCTGGGATACGGGTAGTGCTCTAACGGCGGAACTCCTCGATCGATGCGGAGAACGAGGTACTGCCTACTGGTCTCGAAGATCTCTGACCGCTGTTCCGTACTCGAGGAGATTGGGAAAGATGTAGTCAGCCGGGATGGTTCGAGCGGATCAGGAGGTCAGGCGTGGGTCGAGCGCGAAGTGCCGGGTTCCCTTTGCTTTTTCCTTGTTGGTCGAAGAGGCCGAAGGCGGGTGCGGAACGGTACTGATCGAACGTGACGAAAGAATCGCCCTGATCTGCCTAGCAAGACTAGACGACCTATGGACAGACCCTGACGCCGGAACAACCCTGATCTGATCCTTCAGAAGAAGAACCGACCTATGGATATGCCCTCAACGTTCGCTGTCCTGGTTGAGAGACGCAAGTCGGGATATCGAGAGGCGCCGTAGAATGAGCGTTGTACCGAGTTGGCGAGTTGTTCTCCGCAACGACATGGCAGGTGTTCCGAAGGAGCTGTGATCGTAGAGAGCCAGAGAGCGTCGGGAAAAGAGGTTCAGAGCGTGCGCTCGTCGTTTTCGGTCCATTCGGGACGCATACCTCGCTGTTGTCGTCACGATCGCCTTGACCGAAATCATCGCGATATGCCCGCCCCCAATTCCCAAATGTAATGGGATGATAACCAACACCGAATAGCCAACGCCCAAATAGCCAACGCCCAAATAGCCAACGCTCAAATGCCCCAAAGTGATCGCCAATACCCAGACGTATCAATGTGATCGCCGATGCCCCAATATAAGAAAGGATGACCCATCCGCCTGCCGAGCAGACCCGCCCGCCCCACCCCCGACCGCCTATATCAAACTTTCAACGTGCGACTCCCAAGAGACCACCAAGGTCCAGCCGAGGCCGGACCCGAGCAGAACTGGTGACACAGATTGGAAACGTGAAACGGCCAGACGAGGACGGACGAACGAGTTTGCCGAGGCTAGGACGAACAGGATTTCGCCAAGAACGAGACGCCTTTCCGGTGAGGTACGGTTTGCCTGTGCGGTCAGTGAAGAACAGGGCCGTGATAGGCTTATACTGTCCAACGCCTCGTTCGTTGGTATTGTCAAAGCCGACGCCCGAATGTAAAAAAAGAGAGGGTATAGCCAGCGACGACCGAGTGTCGAGCGCCAGACGTTCGCCCTTCATGCCGAGCTGGACACACGGGAGCCATGACCATCGAGAACCGCTTGCCTTTGAATGGCGGGCGAGAGGTGAATAACGCTCAGCCAACAAGCGGTAACCCCAGAGACATCTCGTGATGCGATTGCGCGGGCGAGAGGTGAATAACGCTCAGGCGCAATCGCGATGTCTCTGGAGGTGATGGAAATGTTTCCGTGGATAGCAGGGAAGAAGAGGTACTAGCCGGGGTTCAACGAATCGGTGTTTTCCCTGTGAGATGATAGTGGTGGTACATGGTAGCTTGCTGTTTGTTTGAAAAGGTTGTATGAATCGTTTGATACTCGACCAGCAGCTTGACGAGAGAGGAGAAAAAAAGTCGCCTATTGCGCCGCCTCGTTTATTGATGTTGCACCGCGGATGCTTTATATGATTAGGTAACAACTAACTTACTGGTACCGACCTCGGCGATCAGCAGCTATCAGCTACTAAGCTACTACTAAACTTTTGTAACTTATGTGTATAGATCCAGTCATGCTAGTCACCGTACCGCATCTTATATCTTCATCTTGGCCCCCTCCCAAAATGCCCCAGACCAGATCTCAGGTCAAAAAGGCGAAACTTCTCGACTATGCACCGTACCCGATCAGGCTCGCCCGCAAACCGACAAGGAAGTGTGTGAATTCCAGGTTCCCGCCGAAACCTGCAGCAGGATCGGGCAAGAGCAAATCACAACGTCAACCACAATCAAAGCCCTCCTTGCAGCCGGTTATCCTCGCGGAGAGGAACATTCCAGAACGTCCTCGGGGAGAGGTGACGACTTATGTAGCGCCGTCGGGGAAGCGTTATCGCAAGACCCTCAAGGAGACCATGCAGACGGTGAGTCCGTCTCTTCACGCCGTATATGCTGTGCGACACCCATCACTCACCAAGTTTTATCCACCAGTGGGTCTCCGACATGAACATGGACGAGTGTTTGAAGCAGACAAATCCCCAGATCGAACGCTCCCATGAGGACGCCGAAACGTTGCTGGAAACTTGTCGGCACATTGGCAAGATCGGTCAAAATCTCAACATCGAGGACGTGAACGGCGAGTCCCTCCTCGTCAGGGTTTCGAACGGTCTATCCTATACCGGTACCACCGAACCGGCTCTACAGGATTCATTGTACAAATCGGCCGAGCAAGCTCTCGAGAACCTGCTGGGTCGTGACGGGACAGGCGACTACAAGATCAAGCTCAAAGACGACAGCGACTCCATCCGTCACAACGTCAAGTGGAAAAACTCGAAACTCGACGAGGGTGTAGATCGAGAGGGTCTTGTGCATCTCGGCATATGGGCCAATCAAGCCAACACAACCTTTGGCCTGACGAGTGGTGAGTCTTGCGATGTCACTTTTTGGTACCGACGCCGATCGCTCATCAGGACTCGGTAGATACACGTACCAGCTGTGCGAAAAGGGCTGTTCACGTCGCCAAATTCTACGAACAGATGGCGCCGACGCTACAAACCGTCGGTCAGCTATTCCGTGCTCTCTTTCTCGACAAATTCAAGGAATACGAGGACCTCTACATTCGATCCTTCAAAGATAGGGGAGCGAACATCATGGCGTCGAGCACCTACCAGTGCTTTCTCAACATGGCCGTCTTGGAGAACTTGCAGACGGGACCGCACAAGGACGTCGGAGACAAGACGGATGGTATCGTCGTCATGTTCTGCGTCGGCAAGTTCACCGGGGGCCGACTCGTCTTGCCTGGTCTGGGCATTCAGATCGACTACAAACCTGGCGACGTCATCCTCTTCCGCTCCGCTCTGCTCGAGCACTTCATCGCTCCATGGGAGGGTCACCGCCGCGCCGTAGTCATGTTTAGCAAAACCTCGGCTGAAACAGCGCTCGAAAAGGAGTCGAAGTCGGAAACCTCCTAGATATGTACGTATCTATGACGTGTGATCGAACGTAGCGCTGAAAGGATGCTCTTGATCCTCATCCAGTCTCAGATTTGCTTATTCGCCTCGTCCGGACAGAAGGGACCTTCCAACAACCTCATCGGTGCTTGGATGGGGTAAACATCAGTCACTATTACCGAAAGGACCGCTGTCGATGACGATTGTGGAACGAATTTTTGATGACATAATGAGTGGCTGGCTACGTGATACACTATATATGATTTTTCGTCGGCATACGACTAGACTACCTTGAGACCACTCTGCCGGTCTCCTTCCTTCCGTGCCTCCCGCCTCGCTTCGTCCGCCTGTCCACCTTTCCGATCGCAAGATTCCGCCTATGCCGACGGCTGACCGGGAGCCTGAGCGTCGGGGCTTGGTTTGCCCGTCATCCAGCTCATCAGCGTACCCTTTTGGTCGGCGAGTTGCTTCTGCCTGTCTTCCTCCATCAGACTGCCGGTAAGGGGGTGTAAACGGGAAAGCAGAGTGCGGATCGCGTCAAGCAGGAAGGGGGGGGAAGGTATCACGGGCGAGATTCAGCTCTGAATCTCTCTATCAAGCATCTGACGTCGCTGCTCACCGCTTGATCTCGTCGGCGTTCTTGCGCCAGTATTCTTGCTCTTCCCGGTACATCGCCTGAGCCTGAGCTCGCTTCTGTTCGAGATAAGTCATGGGTTGAGTAGGCTTCGCGACCGATTGCTGCTGTGTGATGGAGAGGAAGGGGAGGGGAGGGGGGAGGGAGCAGTCCTTAAAGTCAGCTAGCGTCCCAAACAATATGCACCTGCCCACCAGTCACCCCGCTGAGTCCCCCCAACGCCCGCCCCAACCACCCGGCCCCCGCACCCCTCCCTGCACCACCGTGGTCCCGCTCCCACTCCTCGATCGCGGCTTGCTTCCTCTCCGCCTCCCGTTTGGCGTATTCGACCGGAATGTTTTTCCCCTCATAGGCCTTGAGGATCGGTCGAACGTCGGGAGGCGCAAAGATGCCGATCGCTACAGGTCGAAAGCGGATGGCACGAGCGTCAGCTGGACGGTTCGCCCCGAAACGACTTTCAACGCGATCGACTCACATTCGAGGAACGGGATCATGTCTACCAACCCCTTGTCGCCCGGAGTGCCGTCCCACTTGGGAATGATGATGGCGTTTTCGGGTTGAAGCGAGGCGTGGTCGGGGTTGGTGTCGAGAAGAACGACCTTGGAGAGGTCTCGGTTGAGATAGGACAGGTCCTGCAACGATGTAAAACCACGCGGCGAGTCCAGTCAGCCATCGAGTGGTCGTGCTACACGGCATCCTGTCCAGCTTCGACTCACCTTGACCACCTTGCCCTTGATGTACCTAGTACTCTCCCTGAACAGCTTGTAAGGCAAGTACGCCTGGAACGGGTCGAGCTTGTCGGCAACGGGAAGAGCGGTCTGTTTGCGTATCGAATCGAGTCGTGTCAGCGAGGTCGTCCAATGCCAGACTCGGGTCCAGACGCACTCACGTAAAGCGGCTGAGAAGTGAACAGGACGACCTCGTAGAACTGGGAGAGGTAGGCCAAAAAGTAGTCGGCTCCGGGTCGCTTGGCAGTTCTCCATCCACCTTGTCGCTGTGCGTGCAATCAAAGAGTACGAGGTCAGCTAGCTGCAGCGAGAAAGACGACAAGCAGGACACCATGGTTACTCACGTCCCAAGCGCTATGTACGAGCATGTCTTCCAGGTCGACCAAGAGGGTGTAAGATCGTTGATGAGGAGCGGGAAGAGGGTCCGGGAGAAGCTTTTCAAATGCGGGCTTGTTGAAGGTCTACGAGATGGCGAGCGAATCTCGTCAGCCTCAGAGTCCCACAAGACCAGCGAAAAAAGGCTCGGCTCATGCAACTCACATCGAGCAACCCGGTAAAGTTGTTCTTGAACTTTTCCCACGCTCCTATAGCCTCGGCTTCCCCAAACTTGGTCTCGTCATCCTTGGTCGCCAGATAGTAAGCCCCGACGCCCGACCCCGCCAAGCCGCCGAGCAGCATGAAGCGGGTAAAGTTTCGTCTCCTCTGTTCTATCGAGGACAAGCTCGGTTTGGCTCTGGCTCCCGTACGCGATCCCGAAGGTCCATCCTGCGATCCCGATGGCGATTCGATCTTGGGGGCCTCCTTTACCGGTTCTTCTAGGCCAAAGTCGAGAGAGGGAAGTTTGGTCAGGTCGGGTCGATCGGGGATCTGGTAGGGTTCCTCGGGAATCTGGTTGGGGGGAGTCGAAGTGGTACTGGAGCTAGAGCTCGACGGTACCTCTGATGTGGCGGTAGTAGGGGGAGTCGATGAGGTAGACTCCCGAGTCTTTCCGGTGGTAGATGTGGTAGAGTCCAACGAGCCGCTCGAGTCGACTACGTGAGGTCCTTCGCTGGTCCTCATGTCGTTGACGATGGGCTCGAAAGTCTGTTCGGTCAGTAAAGGTTTGGCCTCGCCGGGAGCGTTGATATCGTCTGGAACATCCGAAGGCCGTTCCGCCATCGATTTCTTGACGCCCGATCTGGTTTTGCTGCTGCCAACCTTGGCGAATGCGGTCGGCGTGGATGAGACGGCTCGGGTAGTCGAATCGAGATTTCGTCGTGCTCGAAGGGTGGTACGAGCGGTGGTGGTGGTGGGCCGGACGGCGACCGCAAGGGCGTTACGGAACATGCTGATTGGCGGAGCGTCCTGTGGAACGAGTCGATAGGAAGAGTCCTTGCAAGTGTTTGTGCGATGATGTGTCGGGTTGAATATGGTGGGATGAATTGCGTGGTGTTGTGAGTTGGTTGATGACGATGCTAAAAGTTGAGGTCTGGCTGCTTCGTGGGCAGCGATTCGGAACCTGAACCCGGGGAAGATTAATTACGTAATCACCGTCAGTGGCGGGGCAGGCGAGCAAGAACGGGGGCGCGCAGCTAGGCTCACGATGGTTTCATGCCGTCCGTATTCGAGTCCGTTTCAGGTCGTCGCAAAGGTCGTCGTCGTGCAATTCGTGAGGAAAGGTGGAAAGGGAGCGGAGGGGGGAAAGAGGTGGTTCTAGAGGGTGAGATGAGGGGAGAGTCGGTCGGTTATTGTTATTTGATGTGTTTTGTCTTGTCATTTGTCTTGTTTTGTGGTGACCTGCCGCTCAGGCTGGGGGTTATGCGATCGTAGGTGTGTCTTTTTTGTATTTATGGGCTTGCCGCTCAAGCCAGCGTGTATGCGGTTTGGGTAATTCTATCGGCCTGTCGCTCAGGTCGTGGGGTATTGCGATCGAAGTTGTGTCTTTTTTCAGTTTTCTTTTTTTCTTTATCAGCTTGCCGCTCAAGCCAGGGGGGTATGCGGTTTGGGTAATTCTATCGGCCTGTCGCTCAGGTCGTGGGGTATTGCGATCGAAGTTGTGTCTTTTTTCAGTTTTCTTTTTTTTTTCTTTGTAAGCTTGCCGCTCAAGCCAGGGGGTATGCGGTATTCTTCTTTTATTCTACTTTCGGGCAAGTATCCATGGCGCCGGTTTCTTTCGAGTCGCCACAGCCGGGATCTCTTCTTCTTGCTCTTGACGCCCTTCATCTCGAGCCTGTTGTTCATCTCGAGCCTGTTGTTCATCTCGAGCCTGTTCCGCTCGAGCCTGTTCCTCCGCTCGAGCCTGTTCCTCCGCTCGAGCCTGTTCCGCTCGAGCCTTCCCTCTCCTTTCCCAATCCGCCCTTGCTCGGGTCTCCTCAGCTGCCTCTTTGATGGCCAGCAGACGCGCTTGCTCGGCTCGTTTTGCGATTCGAGCCATTCGAGCCATCCGTTCAGCAGCTTTCAGGCGGGCCTTGTTGTTGTCGTCTACGACGGGAGCAGGAGCCGGTTCGACGTTCCGCAAGGTGTCGAGGGGTGGAATAATGTTGATGGGGGGAATAGGCGCGGGGGGGACAGGAACAGGGACGGGCTCGACGTTTCGAAGTGCGTTCGTGGGGGGAGGACTGGGATTGGCGTTTCGAAGGCGCTTTCGGGATCGACCTCCGTCGTCGATTCGACCTCCCTCGTCGCCGCCGTGCTTCCTCTTTAGGTTCACCGAAGCGCGGTCGATATCCATAGGCGGAGCTTGGTCCACCAGGACACCACCTTGTCTCTGCCGCTTTCGGGAACGACCTTCGATTTGATCCTCGCGCTTCCTCTTGAACTGCCTTGGAATTCGACCGATCTCCCTAGCGATGTCGATGGCGGGAGGACGACCCATAGCGACGTCGATGGTGGGAGGCTGAGCCGCTTTCCGATCGATGTCCATAGCGACTGCGGCCGACGGGGAAACTAGAAAACCGAGCAGGGGGTGAGTTTCACGATTGGGCACCAGCGGTGTCTGCTCTGCGTACCGAGCGCTGCAGCCGTCGACGATTGGGGACCGAGCAGTGTCGTGGTGGGGAGTGCAACCGCCTTCCGATCGATGTCCATAGCGACGTCGATGGTGGAAGGTGCTGGATTCCGATCGATAAGCATGGGCGGAGCGACCATAGGCGGAGCGATCGTAGGCGCAACCGTAGGCGGAGCGATCGTAGGTGTGATCGCAGGCGCGACCGTAGGCGGAGAGATCGTAGGCGGGGCGACCATTGCAGGGGAGGTCGTCATGGTTTCCCGACTACAGACCAAGGGCAACAATATCAGTTAAATGTTAGAAGCCGCGAGGTGGATTCTGCTTACCCTTTCCCTTTTTCCTTGACTTTCTCCTTGCCCGCTTCCGAATCCTGCAAGCGGTCGGTACATCTGGATCGAGAGAAGCTTCAGCCATGGCCTGCGCCTCCAGATCAACAGTCAACTTACTTCTCAACCGCGATGCCCTCGCCATCGTTCTTCTCCTGCTCTTCGGTATTGTCCTTCGGAACCGGCACGCAGTTCCTGTGTATGGGTCGACAGACTTTAGCGATGCTTTACGCCATGTGGTCCGAATCATACTGACTTCTCATTCACGACGCCCTCGTCCTCGCTCTCCTCGTTCTCCTCCTGCTCTTCCTCTTCGGTATTGTCATTCGGGCAATTCCTGCATGTGCGTCGACAGATCTTAGCAATGGTTTACGCCATCTGATCCGAATCATACTGACTTCTCGTTCACGACGCCCTCGTCCTCGTTCTCCTCGTTCTTCTCGTTCTCCTCCTGCTCTTCCTCTTCGGTATTGTCGTTCGGGCAGTTCCTACATGTGGATCGACAGATCTTAGCGATGGCCTGCGCCTCTGGATGCGATACACCTACCTCTCAACCGCAATGCCCTCGTCGTCGTTGTCCTCCAACTGCGCGACGCCCTCGTCCTCCTCCGCCTCCTTCTCCTCCTCATCATCGTCATCATCATTCTCAGAATCAAAATCATCATCGTCATCATCGGTTTCGTCGCTAGGGACTTGGAAGCAGTTCCTGCGTCTGTATGGTCAAGTCAGTGATGTACGTCTACATAAGCCGCGACTGACTCACTTCTCGATCCAGGTAACAACTTGCTCATCTTCGTCATCATCATCCGGAACTTGGAAGCAGTTCCTACGTCTGGACACAAAGTTTCATCATTGGGTCTCTTTTCGTGATGTCGGTGTCAGCAGATTTGACCTACTTTTCCACGGGGGCCACCTCGTCCTCTTTCTCATCGTCGTCTTCGCTGTCGTCATCGTCTTCGCTGTCGTCGTCTTCGCTGTCGTCGTCATCGGGAACTTGGAAGCAGTTGCTGCGTCTGCACACGAGGGGTTCACAAGGGGTTCATCATTGTGTCTCTTTCATGATGTCCAGATTTGACTTACTTTTCCACGGGGGTCACCTCGTCCTCTTTCTCGTCCTCTTTCTCGTCCTCTTTCTCGTCCTCTTTCTCGTCCTCTTTCTCGTCCTCTTTCTCGTCCTCTTTCTCGTCCTCTTTCTCGTCCTCTTTCTCGTCCTCTTTCTCGTCCTCTTTCTCATCGTCACGATCTCCGGTTCTTCGGATCTCCGGTTCTTCGTTCGCCTCGATCCAGCAGCACGCAAAAGCGAGCCACATCCACATCAAAAGGGCGAGAGGGAACATGATTTCGGTGTAGTTTGTCTGTTTTGAGTGTCGAATGATCGATTGTTGTAGATAGCCTGTGAGCTTTGAGCAACTTGTGACTTGCAATTGTGGTAAGGAGATAGGGGTAAAGGCCGGTGGTGTAGAGGTCTATAGATCTATAGTCGAGTCGCACGGAGTGGCGATGCTGGCACCTGACCTGAGAAAAATTCCAGGGCGACAGTGGCAACGAATCGGGAAGGAAGTGGAGCGGAAGGAACGTGCTGTGCAGCGAAAAGAAGGATTTTCGATCAAAAATGATGGAATGATCCACTTCGTTTCGTCAAACGCGCAACCGCGTCACAAACCAGCCGAGGTCGTCGTCGACCCCTCCTTTGGGTCCACGGACACCCCGAAAGTCATTGTAAAATGGTCCTGTCAACGCCCAAATACTCCCAACATCTAAATGCCCACTCGCCCTGCGTTTCGCCGCTGGAACGGTCTGAAACGAATGCGTATCGGACGAGCTATTGCGCTTCGCGATCAGACGAAACCACCCGGAAACGAATAGGCTCCGTCTCAAACTCACGCTAGTGCCCCCCCTCGTTTGCACAGCAGCCATAGAACCCTAGCACCCACAGACCCCAGACGCTCTTTTAAGCGATCGACTTTTCATTTGTCGTCAAAAATCAACCTCCCGACGCCAAAGGTGGCAAGATCGGTCGTCGAGTAACCTGAAACCCCTGTCTGTGACTCCTGTGCCTGGCACGCCTCGTCCTTCCCCATTGCGTGCGGACGTGTGATGTGCTCCGTCACGCCACCTGGACTTTACACCCTCCCAGCTCGCAGCTCGCCCTTGGCAAGTGCAGGTCCCTCATTACGTGATTGTCACGGTGCATTCCACGGATTATCTCGACTACGTCATCTGCCCAATCGCTTGCCCGCCTGTTGCGCTCATCCCTCGTGGACCGATCCACCGCTGGGTAAACAGATCGATACGACTGCGATTTGCTGCATGATCATGTGTATCGTGGACATCTTGCATGGCACCTGATGGCAACTATTCCGAGGGATCGTGAGGGCCCGGTAGACCCATATTACGATCTTGTAGCCAGGAGACGCCATGTCTTTGAACTTTGATAGCCATTGCAACATCTGTCGTGGCCTCCCGGTGTGAAGATCACATGGGCATACGACAGGCCAGCGGTGACCTCGAGATTCAAGCGAGGGTTGCGCGTGCTTGTGCACGTATGAACACTGTAGCTACCAGATGAACAGATTCATAGGCATAGGCCTGACCCGATGATCGATCCACCGACCGATACTAACTCCGTCTCGGGCCATCTTCCATAGGATTCCTTTGTCGACCCGGAGGTTTTGGATGCATTGTGTTGGCAAGTCGCGGTCAATAACGATCGGCTCCTGACGCCGCGCCCACTAGACACCCGTCTATTCGGATGTATGCTTCGATCGCTTCGACCAGGATCTAGCTTGCATTTGCATTCACCCCTCGATCCCCCTTTTCACAAGCCAGACGTCTTTCTCGGCTCCTTCTTATGATGCAAGTTGAGCGAGATCACGCGGTGTTCCGTCTGGATATCATTATGGCATCATATACGATCATAAAGCCTGCAGACCCAAACTATACACAGCTTACGTGCTATCAGGGTATCCACAAAAACCGTTTCAACGCGTAGTCCGCTCTTGCCACCAGAGAGGTGGCTTTCTGGGCCTCGGCTAGACTATAAGATCCGTGTGACCCGTTTAGAAACATCGTCTCGAGGTACATCCACCTGCCATTGACTCACCCAACGACGTCTTCGTCCCTGACAAAGCCCTCGTCCCTGGCATGGCCGCCGACGTAGCCTCCGATACTGGCCGTAGCCTTGACGCATTCATCCCTGATCCGCTTGACCATTCGATCGGCAACAGTCTTGCACGTATCATCCTTGCCCCTGTCTTCTTCTTGGTCCTCCTCGTGCAGTGAGCCCGACAAGTGGGCTGCCACAAATTCTCTAGGCAGGATCTTGAAGGCGAAGAATTCGTTGCTCGTCGATACCGTGTTGGAAGTCGTCGATATGGCGTCCGATCCCGCCGAATCAGTCCGATCGCGAGGCGAGACGTCTGACGAAGCCATCTCTCGCCGCTTGGGATCGGGCGAGTTGACCATGGAGTAGCTCGTGACCCTCGTGCCCGTGATGGCCGGACGATAATAAACTACAAAGCCTGCATTCTGTTCGATCGGCATAGCATTCAGCCAAGGCTCCGGATGATTTATGCTATGCGGCCTCGCTTACCTCGGCGGGGTCCCGCCCAGACTCGTCGAGCGCAGACAAAATGTAAGCTCCTGTAGACGCGGACGATGAAGCATTTGCCGCCGTCAGCCCGAGCAGGTCCCGCGACGATGTGAAAAGCAGATCCAAAAAAGCTTGTTTTACCTTTTGACATCGACGTAACATTACGTAACGGAACGCGGGTGGACGAGACCACCTTTTCCAAATTGTAATCAAAGGAGACGACATACAAGGCTTGATGCGTCTGCGGAAGAGCGAGCAGTCAGGTCAAGATGACAAACCGAAGATGAGCGTGGGACGTACTAGAACCAAGACCTTTTCTTCCAATTTACGCGTAAACTTGGTATTCGCCTCTTCTGGAGAGAAAACCGTCCATCCGCCTATCCTATGTTCCCCCTCTTCAAGAACTCTTGCTGTGCACGTCTCGACTGTATGGGTCCCCCGGTCTTAGCATATGCACAACTCGTCAGCGAACGAATCAAGACGACTTACTGGCAGCAGCCCGAATCCTCGACAGCCGGATGAGATTCGTTCGATCGTTCGAAGCCAGATTTGACAGCACTTCGCTAAAGACGTTGAGGTTTCGCTCGCCGACCTGTGCAAAGAAGGCAGTCATCATTCCTCGATCCTCTCTGCGGAGGCGTCACAATCGGCTCAGACTCACCATGAAGGAAATGACGGCTTGCAGATAAAAGTCCTCGATCGCTCCTCGCCGCATCCTCGCGACCGAATTCAGACCGTCGTTGATCTGGCATGATGCCAACCGGACGAAGGGTTAGCCTTGTTTTGTCCGAGACCGGATCGGAAATGGGGACATACCATGCCATGCAAATCGCGCTTGCCGGTCCGGGTGAAATCGCCCTAGAGAGATTGTCGGTTTCGTTAGCTACGACGAGCGAGATTGGAGTGGGCAATAATAACCGCTCAGGCGAGCGCGCACCTTCAATGCAGAGGTTCCAGCATACAGCTTGGAGATTTGATCACCATTGTTAGCCCATGCTGTTTATGGTAACATGTCAGCGCAAGCTCGGCTTGATAGACAGGTCCTCGCTGACGCCCTTACCATCATTGTAAACGAATTCGATGTTCGAGGTCAAAGCGTCGGGGGTCATACCCACCTGGGTCAATTGCGACGTCAGAACGTGTCTGGCAAGCGCCGATTCGACAACGTTGGTGCGGTCTAGGCAGTCGATGCAATTAACCCGGAACGTTCCCGTCTGTTCCCGCATGACTTCTCCTTGGCAGCTCCAAAAGTAACTGCAGCTTAGCAACGTCAGCCATAGAGCTGAGCTACGTCGATACCCTCCAACAAGCTCACCCTTGCTCGCCAAAGGTTGCTCCAAGCTGAGTGATCAACTTGGATATGTTTTCGTACTTCATGCCCTTACCTGCCCGTCGATCCAAAAAGCCGATTAGCGCGGATTCCAAAGCAGGGATGAACCACCTCCGGCCCGCGACTCACACTCGTGATGGAAATCAAACTCCTTGTAACGAACGTCTGGATCGTCCAATTCTTGCACGGCGTCCCGGTAACCGAGCGTCACTGCCCCTTCTTTACCAGAAGTCTCCGCCAGGTTGATGATGGTCTGAGCAGTTATCCTCGAATTGAGTTTGCGTCACGAAAGGTATAGCGATAGCCTTACCTGTGGACCATAAGTCTGCTTCAGTTGGTCAAAGTGCAAGCGAGTCGTGGGAATCGTCTGGGCCACCGGTCGATCCAGCTTGGGCGCCGGTTTCATATCCGTAAGGGTGGAGCTCTGCGACCAGAACAAGGGGACTGACAACGAGGTGCTCAGCTTTCGGCTGGTCTGGAGCTCAAACTCGACCATCCAACTCACTAGACCCTCGAATCTCGACAAAGCTAAAGATGGACCACTTGCCCTCGACCTTGACCCGGACAATCATCTCCGTCTCGACAAAATTGGCAACATTGCCGTCCTCGTCGATACCCCTTCTCTGGAAACGTAAACCAGCCCGGTCTCGACTTCTCCTGCTGATGAGAACTAGGTCGACCGGCGTGCTGGGAGGTCCGAGATCCCTTTCGGCATCTCGCTCCGGACTCTTGACGTCATTTTTCGAATCGGTCAACGGCAAGATGTCGACAGGCGGAATATAAAACCGGGATGACTGAACCCAGCCTTGGATAACCGGGAGTATAAACTCGTGCAAACCTGCCTCGATGAATTCTCGCATCATCCAAGCGTTCCACATGAATCGCTGGTCGACTCTCCGCCAAAGAGGAAGGCCGACATCGGGCTCGATCCAAGTCTCTCCTCGTTCTTGTCTTTCCCGGTCGAGCGACAAGTGGTCCTTCTCCGTGATCTCTGCTGGAGCTTCAAGTCCGTGCCCCGAACCGCCCACAGCGGGTTGGCCCAGCATGGAATCGGCAAGGTCACCTCCAGGAGTCGTGGGCTCGGAACCCAAGGGCAAGGGGGACCGATCGCCATCTCCCTTTTGCAAAAGCGATCCAAGGAGACCGGTGCTCTGCTTGCGGACGTCGAGCTGTTTTCGCTTGTGTTGCAGGTTGTGCGATAGGTCGGTTTCGAACGAGTAGAAAAATCCACCTGTCAACGGGCCTCAGTTTTCGTCCACTTCATCAATCAAACGGAACTCGCCTAGACACTCACCGCCGCCCAGCGTTCTGACAATCTCCCGGATAATCTTGACCTCGAGATCCTTCCTCTGTCCCGTCGTAGCCGTACTGGTAGGCAACGTCTCTTCGGTCTCTTGTTTGACCTCGCCATCCTCCACCTCGACCGCCCCACCCATCTCTCTAGCTCCATCTAAAACTCCCGGCAACTGCGCATCGACCGTGTGATCACGCGCTTCCTCGTCACTATCTCCTTCGACGAGTGAGCCCTGGTTGGACCCAGCCTTGGCAGCCGCCTTCACGCCAAACATCTTGTTCCAATCTGCCTTGAGCCCATCCATGAAACTAGACCGCTTTGCCGAAGTCGCGACAGACGCTTCCTCCTTGGTCCTCGTCTCTGACACTTTTGCCATGACGTCGTCTGGCTTGGGCAAACCGGCTTGATCGTCATAATGAGCTTCACCCGAGGCTTTGTCCGCCTTTTGGACGGATGCTTCCGCGTCTTCCTGAAACATGCTCTCCCCAATGTCACCCGAGTCGGCAGGGGGGTCGGATCCGGTGCGGCCTTGGACGTTGTCCGTCTTGACTCCCGTCTGCTGCTTCGACACGTTACCAGCATCTTTCGGACCTCCTTCGACTTCGCTGGACACGGCGACGGTGCTTTCGACCTTCTTGTTGATCCCCAGATTCCATCGGGCCGGATTCAAAGCTCTGGCCAGCGCTTGAGCTGGAGTCTCTGGTTCGGTGTCAAGAGATGCTCGACTTGAAGTCATAGAGTCCGTCTGAGGTACGTGATTCTGGATCGGCTGGGTTGCTCCGGAAGCCTGAGTGGGTCTGGGCTTGTTCTGTCAGAGCGATAGAGTGACCCGCCCCCGGATCAGCCGCTACCCTGTAAACACATGGACAGGCGGGTCCAGACTCACCTTGACAGTAGCGGCGTGCATATTTCTGATGATCCCTTCAGCCCCTTCCCTGTTGATAGGAATTGCATACACGTTCCTCAGTTCATATACCATCCCTTGACCTTCCCGCTTGTCTTCATCGACCGAGCTTTCCTCTTCATCTGCGTTCATCTGCGTTCCTCGAGGAGAATACGCGTTCAGACGCCCGTCAGGGGACAAGAGTCCTTCTCTTTCAGCAATAGCTCGAAGACCTCTGATGAGAGGATCGGATTCCTCCACTCGTGAAGGCGTATTGAGGGGCAGGTTTGGAAACTCGTTCTTGACCTCGGGAGGGAAGATCCTGATTACGCCCGATCCCGTGCCCGTACCCGTAGAAGTGGTCGTCGTTTGCGGTCCGTTCGGCGCCGTCCTAGGTGGACTGAGGAATACGAGAAGATAGGCCGTCTCCCATAATCTTGTTAAACCCAGAATCCCACCGATTTCAAGGCTAGCGACGGGATCCTCCTTGACCGTCTCGACAAAAGGCCTTTGTTTACGTTGTGCGTCGAGATCTCTCCATCGCTTGATCTGACCCTTGGGTCCGTACCCGATCCAGACGTCGTTGTCTCTTCCAACTCCAGAGTTGCTAGAAGAGGCGCTGGAGCCAAGGAGCAGTCCGTCTTGTAACGGTTTGAGGTAGATTCGACGGTGAATATGGGGCGGAAGTGGAGGTATTCTGTACTTGGAAGGGAGCGTCGGTGTGGCTTTGTTGCGTTCGGACGTTACCGGTGCTCGAGGTGAGGCATTATTGGACATGTCTTCCGAATATTTTGGTATTAATACTTTGCTATGAATATCCTGGATGGTTGATGTCGGTGTCGAGGTCGAGAAGGTGATGAAGTCCGAGTAGTTGCCCCCCCCCCCTGTTGCTTCTAGCTTCTTGTTGATGGTATGATGAGGTCACCACTCGACCCCGGCCCCGCGGCGATCGATCAAGCGATCACACGGACATTCGAATATATTCTGACGGACGACATCTACCATGTCCGCTCCTACTAGCTACTAGCTACCAGTCGAACCCTCATCATCACGATTATGAACAACCTCGTTGATGATCCAGCTTGGCTTACGACCATACCTGCAACTCTTCGTCTTCACCAGCTCTCACGCTAGCCATGTCATCCCCGCCTATCGAGCCAGTCCCGCTCCGGGCCCGAAAACAGGACGCGGCCGCCCGAGGTGGAAAGACCAGAGCTCGATACAGAGCCTGCCTCGTCTGTTCCTATGTCCAGCCCAGTCCGGATTGGATGGCACGAGGCTGTCCGAACTGCGAAGCCATCGTCAGAGTAAGCCACGGGACCGTCTAATCTATTTGGTGACAAACTCCGACCTCGACTGACCCGGTCGACCCCGGAAACTCGGCTTGAACCGATTTGTCAGGTGGCAGGCTCGCAGGACCAAATCAAAAAGTGCACCTCGATCCAGTTTGACGGTGTCATCGCTGTACTCCGACCGAAAGAATCTTGGGTGGCCCGCTGGCAGCGAAACGGTGAGGAACCCATCATTGATCCTCTCCAGCCTTTCTCGACGCTAATCTCGACCTGAACATCCCTTTCGATTCCCAGTTAATCACGTTCCCGGTCTATACGCCGTCCGAGTCATCGGCCGTCCTCCTACCAGCGTCATCCAGCGTATTCAACAATCTGGAGTCCCCTACATTCCTCGTGACGATGTCGCTGGAGATCATTCGAAAGAAGATGAAGACGACGAGGACGAGGACGCCGACGAGGACGAAGCTGGTGGCAAGGGCGGGGACAAGGACAAGGATATGGACGAGTTCGAGGACGACGGGATGATCGTGGATGATGATGACGATGTCGAGGAGGACGATCGGATCGGGAGGAGGGTCGGCGGGAGGGACGATGACAGGGACCGGGGGATCAGGTCGCCAGAGGACGATGAGGATTACGACGATTGAGCACGGGCTGGTGATATCGACGGCGAGTCGGAGACGTTTCGGGTTGCGGCCTCATGAGACTTATAGCTGCAGTTGTATCCCTCTCTACCATCTCTTTTCACGATCAAACTTGTTGTATACCATGGAACCGAACGATTTACGACTTCATAGAAAAGGCTATGAAGATGACTCCACATGCGCGGCGCGTCTGTTTCCAATACATTTCGACCTAAATCCGATTCGGTCTCCACAGCGATCGTCTTCTACAGGTCAGGAAGACTCCGGTCTCGCCTTCGATTTCGCAGACTTCGTCCAGTCCGCTGGTGATATCAGTGCGCACTGGTCAACGCGATGCTGGGGAGCGCTCGCAAGCTCGTAATCTGCTTTAGGCGGGCCTGATAGAGTTGTGTGAGCTGTTGGATCGGGAACGCTGCCTTGTCTATCTCGTGCGAGCATGGGTGTCGATGCAATGAACGTAGATACAGATCTATGCACTATCATGCATCGCAACTATAGTCGCATCACATTCAAGAGACTGGAGCCTGGATCAAGGCAGAACATCATCAAGTCCTCTTTTCGTTCTTGCCATTCGATTTCCGGCCTGTACAGTATGCATGGGTCATCGAGTCCCAGCGCAGGCAGTCGTGCATTGTAATTCAGTCATCAATACCAGTATTTTCCGTCATTTCATGTCAAGCTTGGGTATATGATCTTTTCAAGATGTTTGAGAACGCTCTATATCTTCAGTAAACCTTATGGTATCAATCTGTATTCGTAAAGGCCAAAGGGTTCTGCTTTGCCCGAGGCGAATGGCAAATTCTCGCCCGATGGTCCCGTCACCTGAACCCGGTCCAGTTATTAAAGTGGACAATGCAAGGATGAAGCAGCCTGGTATCTGCCTCGCCCCCATACTCCTCGTATCGTATACCTGAACCCTAACTTGTGTCGACTTTGGCGGCGCTGGGTCTAGAGTTCGGATCGCTATCACAAAAGACCACGTCGTAATTAGACCGCCGGTGGGTTTCGCCCATGGGCTATTCAATGACGGCCGCGCTCAAAATGGCTACGTTACCGATCTCACGCAGCGTAACTGCGTATGTGAATCGCCCTCAAGAAGACGCTACCAGATCATCTGAATACTGCATTTGTAAGCCATCTGGCTGAGACCCGCCGACGCGATGCTGAAACTCGTTGATGTTTCACTTGGCTCTCGCTCAAGGTGACGTGTAGGGATGCTGCTGCCTCCCCCTGTATGCGCGTCGCCCCCCCAAGTCGTCACCTCTAGCCATCGACATCTGTGAACGCTTACGACTTGGGGTCATCCCCCTCCATCAGACAAAAGGTATCGGTATACCTCTTCACTACCTCTATTGCTAAACAATACGGTCTGGCCAGATAGGAATCAAATAGAAACAGTCAGATCTTTCAACATGGCTGACGGAATCAACACGGTAGACATTGAGCGGCTGAAGAAGGGAGAGGTCAACCTCGGTGTAAGTGGATTGTCCTGATTGCGATGAAGCCCCCTTTGGCCGTCGAAAGTGAACATGTGCTCATCGTTATGGTCACTCTGCGTCATCTAGACCTCGATCATGGCCGTTGCCTTCGATGGCGGCGTTGTCATCGGAGCTGATAGCAGGACTACGACGGGTTCTTACATCGTACGTCACGGTTAGGGTCCTCACCGGATTGATGGAATGTCAAACTGACCTACATTCAACTACCTTTTGAACGGATCCTATGTCATCTGCACGAACCGTTTCTTCGGTTGAAACCCCGATCCACAGGCCAACAGGGTAACGGACAAGTTGACCCACATCCACGACCGGGTCTACTGTTGTCGAAGTGGAAGTGCTGCCGACACCCAGGTAAGCCCTCTGCCTCTTCCCTTTCGCACTCGACTGCAGATCGTCTTACCGTCATGTCATGTCTCTCTCTCGCTTGACCTTTAGGCCATTGCCGACATGGTGCACTACCATTCCCAAATGTACGCTACAGCACACGGCGAACGTCCACCCGTCCATACCGTCGCCTCGCTCTTCCAGACCGTGTGTTACGACAACAAGGACCAGTTGAGCGCTGGTATCATCGTGGCCGGGTGGGACGAGCACGAGGGTGGACAGGTTTACAACGTTCCGCTCGGAGGTGGAATCTTTAGACAACCTTGGAGTATCGGAGGTGCGTCGAGGTGGATAGAGTGCGATATCAGGAGGCTAATTTGTTGTGGACGCACGACATTCAGGTTCGGGATCCACGTATGTGTACGGATATTGTGATGCGACGTACAAGGACAAGATGAACGAGGAAGAGACGGTCACCTTTGTCAAGAACAGTAAGTCTGCTGCCTGTGATTACGAGTATCTCCGAAGGCGGAATGCTGATCTCGAGTTGCGTCTCATCAGCTCTTTCCCTGGCCATGAGCCGAGATGGGTCGTCGGGTGGTTGTGTACGTATGTGCGTGATCAAGAAGGAAGGTGTGAGGAGGATCTTTATCCCTGGGAACGAGTTGCCTCGGTGAGTCCCTCTCGAGTCTCTTTTGGGGACCATGTCAAGAGCCAAGCATCTTTTTTGCTGACTTTCGACCGCCATCTCGTGTAGATTCTGGGAGGGTGCCGAGATCCTGAGCACGCAATACAACACCGCCGGTAAGGCCTTGTTGAGCGTACCCGAGAACGCTGGAGAGAGCGCTATGGTGCATTAGACGATGGTGTATAGCTCGAGAGGGATTACACCTCCCACGATTCTACGGACGTGCTCGCAACAACCCATGTATATGATGACAATGATGCCTGCAAGCGATCAAGTAGTGGTTGGTTGTAGCTCGAGGCGAGTCGAGTGAAACCCCTGAACCTTGTGAAGAATGAGATGATGCGAAGGCGACGCGTGTACCGCGGGTCAGTTAGCTCGCATCCTAACGCAAGCAGCAACTCTTGACCTCGACTGAGGTACCATCATCAATATGATGACATCTACTGCCATCACATACCTACGCCTAATTAGCACATCAGCTCTAGAAGCATAGTCACGATAGTCTTGCCGCATTGCGATAGATCCCGAAGATTGAAGTAACAGGGTCGAGTCGGAAAAAGACAACACGTCAAACGCGATCCTGTACCGAGAGCTCTTTTCAGTGCATACCCTCTCGCAATTCGAGACGCTGAGAAACAGACAAGAGGGAGAACTGGCGAGACGTAACCAGTCGAGCAAAAGCAGAGCTTGAAGAGAAAATGGATGGTGGACCACCAATGAGAGGACCGCCACCAGGTCAGATGGGAGGGAGGGGCCGGGATTATGACTACACTCGGGGTCCACCTACCGGTATGTCTTTCCTGCGAGTTCAATTCGCCGTCTTCCCCAAACTCACATACTCTATGCATTGCGATAGACCGCCCACGACGTCGTTCGCCTTCTTACAGTCGATACGAACCCGGCGGACCTCCACCAGGAGACAGACGACCACCTTCCCCACCACCTTTTCGAGCGCGATCTCCTCCCTTTGGGTACCGACCTCGGTCCCGTTCTCCTCCCATGCGTTTCGGTCGATCTCGTTCGCCTCCCCGAAGATACCGATCGCCATCTCCGTACAGGAACGGTGGTCGATTCCCTCCTCCTGGTGGTCCCGATGGTCCTCTGCCAGAACACCTAGGCGGAGGTGGGCCTCCTTACGAAGAGCCTTATGGAGCTCGACCTGGTCCTTTCCCTCCCCCTCGTGGCATCTCCCCCGCACGATCGGTTCAACAAGGATCGAGATTCTCTCCCCCACCTTTCGCTGCTCGACCATATGACCGCGGACCTCCTCCTCCGTTTGGCGACCGATACGACCCTTATCGAGCTAGAAGTCCTGATCGAGATAGAGACTGGGGAAGACGAGGCTACAGAAGTCCCTCTCCTCCTCCTTTCCGTGGCGATGGGTACAGAGGCAGGAGCAGGAGCAGAAGTAGGGAACGAGACTTTTACGGAGGACGCGGTCGATCGATGAGTCCCGTCAGGCATGGCCCGCCTGGTGGACGTAGAGAGTCGCAGGCACTGCAGAGCCCCGACGAAATGGAGAACTTGTTGAGATTCGAAGGGTGGTCGAGATGGTTCTGGCAGGCCAAGCCGGAAATTGTGAGTGGGCCTGGGCCTGTTGATCAGTGTCCGGGTTGAGATGGGGTCGCTGATCTAGAACCATCGATATTCATCCTCAGGCCAAGGAGGAAGAGACGAACCACCCGGGTGCCAAACCTGAAGACCAACCGGTTGTAGGCTTGCCAAAACATTACCTGAAGTACAAAGAAAACTTCAAGGCTCGTCAGGTAGGTCATGACGTGAATACTCTGCCAAACTCCAAATGCTCAACCAAGACATGTGGAACTCTTGCACAGTTGTGGTCTTTATACCTCGTTCACAAAGACCAAGGCTGGTTCAAGGATCGATATTCGAACGAACGGGATTTCGTCAACATGCGCATAGAAAATACGAAACGAGGCAAGGCAGAGACGGTACGCAAGTATATTGCCGCCCTGACGGAAGGACATTGGGACGAGATCAACTATGAGGCTTCTCGTGAGTCGTAAGGGCGACCAGGCCGCGAGCAAAATGACCTGACGCGACTCTTGCACTTGATTTCTAGGATCGAGCGAGAACAAAAGGCTTCCAAACGGCTTGAGCGTATGGGGACCTGGAGAGCCTCAGGGATCCGACCGAGACGTGATCGAGATCGAACACCCTCCCAAGCAGCTCTTTATCAAGACTGTGCACAGTAATCATAGCCGGTCATCGTTGGAAGAGGTCAGTGGAGGGTTCTTTTGTGAAGGAACGCTTTACAAGAAACTAACTAGGCGATCCTCCTCAAACAGGCTTTCAAGAGGGTGAGCGGGTACCAGTACCTCGCTCTGAGTGATCCTTCGCCCAAGAAGCAATACGCACGGGTAGGATGGATTCAATTCGGCCAGAACACCAATATGGACTCTGCGCTCGCGGCACTCGACAAGGTCAAGGTATGTTCTCCTGTTCGTCCACTCTTGCATGGATTTCCCGGATGCTCACTGTAGTGTCTTGCAGGTCGGCGGTTTCCAGCTCAATATGGTCAAGAACGGCGAACCCTTCATCGGACGAGCGCGTTACACCCCCTCCCTCTCCTGCACGCTCGAACGAATGCAACACGACTGCCAACAAGCGAAAGCGATGGCATTGAAACTGGAATCCGACCTGTTCTTGGCTACTTCGGAAGACGTCGATGAGGACGACGAGATGAAGGACGACAAGCCTAATCAAGAAAGGCTGAAAGAGGCGACCGCCAACTCGCAACTTGCCGAGGCGGTTAGTGGGCGCGTCGAGGAGCGGATCAAGATGCTGTGGGAAAACAACGGCCTCGTCAAGCCGGAAGAGCAGATGTCGACGGCGGAGTTGCACGAAAAGGCTAGAATCGAGTTGGATCATTGGTTGTCCTACCTGCGAAACGGGTTGCATACGTGAGCGAAAGTACTGCCAACAAATTTAAACCCCCGCTAAACCGTGTTGAACGCGCTGCAGGTGCTATTACTGCGTGGCCCCTACTGACTACGCCGAAGAGCTCTACCGCAAGTGCATCCGGCACCTGCGCAGTCCGCTCGCCCAGGACACGGAAGAGATTGGTGCGGATGTCGCCATGGAGGACGTTGATGAAAAGACTAGCCGTACCAATGGCCGTGGCGCCGTCAAACGCAAGGCTCACGACCGCAACACCAAAGCCGACGTTTGGGCCGAGAAGCGATGGTCGGATAATGTCGATCACAAGATCAAGCTGGTCATCCTCCCCCGGGACAAGATCGAGCTGGAAGAGTACGGAGCCAAGGAGAGGCAAGAGTAAGTCTGCTCGGTACGGGTCAGCCGGATCCGAGACGAGGCTGACAGTCCGAGCTCACTCGTAGCTACCCCGCCTACAAACGTCTCATCGAGGCAAACATCAGCGTCGACGACCCTAAAAAGAGCCGATGCACCATCTGCAACAAGCCATTCAAATCGGCAGACTTTGTCGCTCGTCACATCGTGTCTCGGCATCCAGAACTGCTCCAGGAACTGCCGGACCTCGCTGAATTCGAGGAACGCGTCAACAAAGACTATCCGATGTTCAACAACTTTGCTCTCGACCCTCAGCACCTTCCGCCTACGTTGACCTATCCGGCCTCGGTCGAACAACGCATGCCGCACCTTCCTGCTGAACTCCTCCCGACGAGCCGGGAGCCCGGGCGTCGGTCCGACCACTACCGTTCGGACGATCACGGGAGGGGAAGTATATTCAACAGGCTCGGAGGGTACGCGGCAGGAGGTCCAGATGCAGGGCCGAGGGAACCACCCGCCAAAATCAAGGAAGATCCTCGGGCGAGACGAGGCAAGATCTCTTACGTCGATTTGGACGCGCTTACCGTCAAGGCTGAGCCAGAGCCGGTCGAAGAAAGCGGCGGTCTGCCTTGGTAGAACGCAATCTACGCAACGTCGTCCCGCATGACCGACGTAAAATTCGTAATGTGTACATGGTCATCGAGCGATAGCGATGCAATATATGATGATACAGTGTGCCGATCGACTAGAACAGTAGAGATGCCGCGACGTCGACTGTAGATGCACACGGGACCGGATCAGCTGCCTTCGTCGAGTCCTGCTCCGGGAACTTCAACCCACCGTTTCCTCCCGCGGCCTCGAGCGTGGAGATCGCTTGCTCTCTCGAGACACCCAAGTTCATGATCTGCTAGGGCGTGTGTTTAGCTAGCGGCTGACTAATCCCAGACCAATTCCTTCTAGACTCACTGCCGTAATGCTCGCTTCCGGAAACTTGGATCCTGCGCTGCCAGAAGCACTACTGGGTGCCGACCCAGGGGCTGTCGACGAGCTTGGACCCCCGAGCTTTTGGCCAGCCCCAGAGAACGTGGCAGCGCCGCTTGCTGTACCGGCACCGCTCGGAGCCTTGGGTGCCAGCGGTAAGTTGCCCGTAGCACTAGCTTGATCCACCTCTTCGGCGAGCTCTTCCATCTGCCTGGCCTTGTTAGGCAACTCGTGTTCGGCCAAGAAGGGCACCTCCCGGCCTTGGATACGGAGGACATTCTTCTCCAGGTCGATGCAGGCCTGGTGTCGCTTCAACATGTCGAGGCCGAAGAGCAGGTCGACGTCTCGTCCCTGAAGAGTCCCCATGTGCGCAATGTCAGGAGACGTCGTCTTCTTTGCGATCGAAGACGTTCAGGCTCACCTCCAACACGCTGAATGCTACGGGTAGGTGCAAGTCTCCCAAACGGATCTGGGCCGAATGAATTCGCCCTAAAATCTTGGCCGTCCCGACGCCTCGAGCCATGCCGGCGAATCTCGTGTCCAACAATCGCATCAGGCTGGCAAGATGGGATAGCAAGCGACGTGAGCGAGTAACACGTCATCTAGGTACATCTCACGCATACGCACCCGCATTGCTCCGCACAATCCGGACTGTCGAACAGGACAAGGGTAAGTAGGTTCAACTTGATGCACAACAACGGAACGTGCTCACGAGATGATGGTACTCTGCGCTCCGCTATCAACAAAGGCCTTGACTTTATGTCCATTTACCTCGACGTTGATGTCTGACGGCGGTCAGCGGGGATCAGCTTGCACTCCGCTCGTCGATAGAGATTCCCGATCGCTTACAGAGCATGTGCACGTTGCCAAAGCTTTCTGGCTGAGGCGACACGACAACAAGTGGCCTCAGCTGGTGTTTCGCTCACCCAAAAAGGCAAGGCATTATCACTCACCGAATACTCCATCGCGTGCTCCATGTTTTCCAACACCGCCTCTTGGCGGATCATCTCTTCGATCTTTCTCTGTGCGTCGACGTTGTAGGGATCCGAGTTGAGGATCTAGGTAGGAATGCTGATCAGCAACTGTCCCGGTCGACGGAGGAGCGCGGAACGCACCTGAATCTGCCGCTGCTTTTCCATCTCGGCCTCGCTCCTGCCCCCCATCCCTTGCTGCATGGCTCGAGCGAATTGTTCTGGCGAAGACGTGACGGCTTGCGCCATGCCAGGGTTGACCTGTCGAGCGAAGGTGAATCAGGTCAGTCCATGGCGTTGGCGCGAGAAACACCTCGTGCGACTTGCCCTTCGCAGCTCGGCCATCATTTCGGGATTCCCAAGCAGAGTCAGCCTCATTCGTTCCATGTCGTTTGCGACTCCGCCAGAGCCGGATGCTTGCGGGCTGGTCGAAGAGGGAACCGAGGAGCTATTCGAACTGTGCAGTGATCGCTGTGTCAGCTCATGCGACCGGACCAGAGCCTGCTTCTCGATGCGAACCTCTGCATCTGTACGATCTCTTCGTTGCTAGTGAGACCATAGCTCGAGAGGTCCTTTTTCGGATCAGCAAGTCGCTGGCCGTTGTAGAGCAATGTGATTTGCTCGGGTGGTTCACCAGACTGTTGTGCGAGGGATTAGCTTGCGATCGGGGTCGTCTGGCGCAATCAATAAATGCTTGCCTCTGCACTGATCAATGCAACGAGATCTTCGAGATGCATGGATGCGTCGACCTCGAGGTAGTAGGTCTGATCGCCATCGTTGGCAAACACGGTAAGTTGCATCGTAGCGCCGCTTGACTGGATAGGTTCGAGGGAGGGATGTCTAGTTAGCTAGTTGCTGCCCTTGGTAATCGTTGTCGATGAAAAGGAACCCAGACACGGCTAATGAGGAATGTTGACAAATGCTGATTGCTGATCGACAGATGACGATTGCTCGACCATTCTTTCCGATTTACTTCCGCGACGGTCATCATGCTGCAAAAATATATGATTGTAGACCGTTAATCGTGATGCCACCAACCACGAATCACACTGAGATGGAAGATGTGATGCCAAGGATTCATGCTATATTAAGTAGGGTGGTCTTGTTGAGACTGTAGATCATAAAGGCCCGGTATGAGCGACCAGGTTTATCATGCCAAAATCGAGCGCAAACAGGGCAAAAAGAAGTGATGACTGTGAGATTCGAACTCACGCCCCGAAGGACCGCGGTATTGGACATCTTAAGCCTTAACACGGCGGATTAGACCACTCTCCCAAGTCACCGTTGTTGTGAAGCAATTGTCAACTCAAAACATATCAATACGGCGCGAGAATTGATGAAGTTGCGGTTGAGATACTACGCGCGGTGGGAGAGGGACGCGCGCGCCGGATGTAATTTTGCTTCCGGATCTGGCCTCGGGATCAAAATCGCATATTCGGCCTATAGCCTGTAGCCTGTAGCGCATCCAAACTCCCCATCCTACACCGCGTGAGTTCGAATCCCGGAATCGTCTACCAATTCGAGGTGATCAGGCGCATCCAAGTCCCTTCGTTTTCCCCATCCTTCACTGCGTGAGTTTGAATCTTACTGTCGATCGTGAATATCGGTTGAACTCGTCGTTCGGACAACTTGTACGTCTGACAAGTGACACACTCCAGTAGCTTGCCATGCCCACCGCCATCGCAGTTTGACCTTGACGGAACGTTGTAGCCGGCGGCCTCAGCGAGCCGCAAATGGCTGAACCATCCTTGTTGTTTCGTGTACAGCCTCGAATCGCAATAAGATAGACAGTCTGATCCAAATCTAGAGGACTTGGCCAAGCATAATCACAGCCCACACCAGGAGGACAGCATGCGCACCCTGTGATATTTTCGATCCCGTTCGAGATCGGACGTGATACCAAAAGACCCATCCACCCTCTGAACCGAGGTGTGAAACCGTCCGGAACCTTTCAGCCCAGAATCGAGGCAGACAGAGTGTCCGTTTGCGAAGAAAGTCGCAGTGTCGGTGTATCGCCGTCATCGTTGCCCTTGAGAGTATATTTTATGCCAGAGCGTTGGGATTTCGCGAACGATCCGAAAACGGTGCCGAGATCCGAAGGATCATGTTCTCATTCTTATCTTGCAGTTCCGTCGCATAGAAACATACTTTGCCCGATATTGTGGCGAGAGGTGTACTGACGATGACAACGCAGTAATTACGTACGGGAACCGCATTCCTCGAATCCGTGCCGGCACCATTGAATGACCCAGACCTGTCGGCGGTCAATTCGGCGAGTCCTGTAGGCGCAGCTGGGAGCATTCGGCTTCATCCTCGATACCTCACATGGCCAAGGTGTGGTGATCTTCAGAAAGCCCAAGGTAATGAAGCGAAGGAATGGAAAGCAACACACGAACTGTACCGACTGTGAGGCCTGTGTCATAGTAATGCGAAACCTCGCTTGCTAATCTCGAAACTGTGACGGTTAGTTGGCGTTCTATCGAAGCGGCAACAACATCCATTCACTAACTTGATGAATACAACAGATCTTTCGTAAGAACTACAATTGCTTGACATAGGCTCCAAACCGCGTTTCGGTGTAACGCACCATGTCGGCGATCGGTACTCTGAACTTTGGCACCTAAATCACCTGCCAACGAGTTTCAACTGAGCCTCGTTGTACCTAGATTGACGGAAACGGACTCGTCAGTGCCCATGTTGTTGGTATGAGGCTCAGGCTATATCCACTCCACCCACCTGGCCCCCTGAGGTTTCGCCTCTTCCACCAACTGCCTGAGAGCTTTCAAGTCTTCCTCGTCGAGCGTAACGTCCGTGGCGCCGAAATTCTCTTCCAACCTGGTACTCGACCTTGTCCCGGGGATCGGGATCGCGCCCTGCGAGATGACCCAGGCGAGCGCCATCTGTCCCGACGTGCATCCTTTCTTCTTGGCCAACACCTCGAACTCGCGCACGATCCTCAAGTTGCTCTCCATATGTTTCTCTTGGAATCTAGGGATGGTCTTTCTGATGTCACCCTCCGCGAAATCGCTAGGTTTGGTGAATTGGCCGGTCAGGACCCCTTTGCCGAGCGGGGAGTAGGCGATAACCTTTACTCCGAACTCCTTGGCTATCGGGGAGGTTTGTCATTAGACGCGTCGTATCAGTGATTCGGCCGGGCGTACGTTCCGCCTGAGCGCGAACGTACCTGTGTCGATCAATCCGTTCTGCTCTGGGTCCGTGAACCAGGGCGAGTATTCGATCTGGAGCGCATCAATCTTGGCAACTGTGACGAAGAAGCACGATCAGCGTGCAGCCTCCTCGTCGTGATCGCCGCTGACTGGACCCACTACTACAAGCCTTTCGCAAGGTCTCGGCCGAGCATTCACTCAAGCCGATATACCTGCACTTGCCCGCCTTTCTCGCTTCATCAAGCGCGCCAATAGACTCGGTCAGGTCTCGGCCCGGTTCGATGCGGTGGATGTAGTACAAGTCGGGAACGGTACCCAGTCTCTCGGTGGAAGCCTGGAGGTACGACTTGATATGTTGTGCAGAGTTGTCTATTCGGCCAGTAGGTCCGTCTGCGGTAAACTAGAAGTCGCAATATAGATTTCCTTTCTGCTTTTCCCGAAAAAAGGTTCGACATCATACACTCACTTCGATACCGCATTTGGAGGCGATGAAGACCTTCTCCCTTGCGCCCTCGTTCTCCTTGAAGAATCTTCCGATCAAGCGCTCGTTATGCCCCGACCCGTAGATTGCAGCAGAATCCCAGAAAGTGCAGCCTAGTTCGACAGCCTTGGCTAGGGTCTTGAGAGATTCTTCGTCATCGGCTGCGCCGTAACTTTGGGACATGCCCATAGCGCTAAGACGTTGCACGTGACGTTTAGCTGGTGCGCTTCTGAGGTCGAAACCCGGCCGACTGACCCAAAACCGGGAACCGCGACTTGAATGTCTACAAAGGGGACGGTAGTGACCATTTTTGGACTATGTGCGAGTGGGTTGGGTGATGTGGGAAAATCACGATGAAGCGAGACGATACGTTCCGCAGACCCGTTGCGATGACTTGTCGTTATATATCGTCTCCGTGCTTCATCCATAATGGATCCGTTTCGAGGTCGCTGCGCCGCACCTCCCACGGAGGCAGCTGACCTCCACACCCTGACATCCAAAAAGACACGTCATCTTCTTAATCTCGATCACTGATCGACAGTTTTCTTTGATATCAAGCTTGGAAATTTCCCCCTTCGCCCCGCGGTGGTTGCCAAAATGTAAACTCTCGATCATTCAACCATCAACAACCACGCCCTTTCTCTCCTTTCTCTTCATCCTTCCAAGTTGTGAGTCATGACACCGTACACATGCCGACGGCGATATAGACTGACCCTGAGTCCATTGTGATCCGGCAGTTTTACCATGATGACTAGAAATCGACTCTGTGCCGAAAAGGCGTAGGAGGTTCGATGCGCGCAATGAAATGACCTGTCCTGTACAAGGACTAACGGGGACATCCAAAGCCCTGGCGTGCGGATCAAAATCACCAAGATGGATCGGACTCGCTGCTTCTCGACCGGAACAGTGTCGAAACCCGGAGCGATCTGGGTCTCTTCTCTCGTCCTGGTCAAGGGGTGGTGGGGACGTTTTCCATCTTTCAAGATCCTTCGTGCCGCTCGCTGGGGTGTCTCCGGGGCTTGACATCGAGACGATCGGGCGTGCTCTTATCTTGTTAACCCAAAAAGGATCGCTCACTCTCACCAGTCTGACCTATAAAGACTTTGGAAAAGGATCAACCGCCATATCGACCGGGTTTCATTTTCGTATCTTCTTTCCCCTTACTTCCTCCACCCGTTCGCATGTGATCGCGATTCCATTGTACCTTTCGCTTCGTCAGCTATCAAGCTATCAATCTATGTCTTGGTTAAACGATATCCATGCCCGCTTCTCGCCTCGGTCTATCGTGTTTGTCACCTTCGTGCTAGTCATGCTCTCGGATGAACTCGTCATCTTCCGAGGTCGCCCGAAGCTAGTCCCGTCGATCGGCGGCAGGGAAAAGTGTGAAAGAGAGACTGGACCTCATGACCTGTACAGAAAGATCGGGCCTAGTCATTCGCAGCTTTCGCAGATCTCTCGGCCGTTCCATACCTCGAATCAGTTCGCACTCTGCGAACAAAGTATTTGCCGATCGGATCGAGATCTCAAGATCGACGAGGACAGCCTAGGAACTAGGAGCTTGCCGGAGCAGCACATTCATAATATCAAGGCTGAGCTTCGACAAACATACCGGACCGACCTACCTGCTGCCATATAACAGTATCTGACCAAGTACAAGGTCAAATCGTATCAATAGAAGCATCATGGCCAAACGAGAAAACAAGGCTTACCAGCATCTCGCCTCGGGAGGGCTCTCCGGTCTAGCCTCTGCGATCGCCCTTCAACCGCTCGATCTGATCAAGACTAGGCTACAACAGGGAGTGGATGTCAAGGCAGGAGGTCATGCTAGTGGAATCAAGGGAAAGGGGCGGTGAGTTGATGGCGTGACGAGGTTATTGCGTCGACGTCTAGCTGAAACGGGAGGGGGATCTGGGATGATAGAGAGATCATACCGACAGTACGGCTGGTGGTACAGGAAGAAGGTTGGAGAGGGCTCTGGAAGGGAACAGTCCCGACATTAGCAAGGTGAGTCGATCGAAGCTCGCTACTATGCCAAATCGTTCCGAGCTGAGTGAGAGACGATCGCTACCTTTGTATGCATCCAGAAACGTACCGGGAGTAGCCGTCTACTTCTACCTTCTGTCAGAGATCCGATACGGACTTTCACAGACCGGTTTCTTCTCCCAATCACCTACCACTCTCATCCCCTCGGCCCTTCCACCTGGCTCAACAATATCAAGCTCGATATCTGAAGCTTCCCGGCATATCCCCTCACCGTCCCCATCAAGTTCACCCGAGATTGCCAATGCTGCCAGCTCAGCTGCAACAACAGCAAACGCTCGATCGTCATCGTCGACACTACCGAAACTTTCAAGCCAGGGAAATATCGTGGCAGGCGCCGTAGCACGGACGAGCGTCGGGTTCGTGTTGAACCCGATCACGGTGTTGAAGAGCCGGTACGAGGTAAGAGCCTCTTCCAGCTTCACGCCGTCGACGAATCACGCTGATTAACAAGTCGAACTTTGACCCTATCCTTCAGTCTGGTCTGTATCCAACAGGATCAATAGTCCAGGCTTTCCGCGACTTGCTAGTGACGGACGGGCTGAGAGGCATGTTTCGGGGATTTACGGCGACGGCGGCCAGGGACGCACCATATGCCGGGATGTACATGGCGTTCTATGAGAAGGGCAAGGACGTTCTCGGTAGGTCCGGCTGGCTTGCGAGCTTCGCATTGTATGGTAGAGGACTCGCTCGCTGACCTTCTGAGTGTTTCTCTTCTCCAGGTCGAAGTTCGTGGAAATCAGGACTGGGCCTGCCAAGCGCCATGATACATACCGTCTCGGGAATGTCAGCGGCCATGTTGGCAACCCTTGCGACCAGTCCAGCGGATACCATCAAGGTGAGTCGCTGGGTGCCAAACCTCATTGTGGCTTTCTGCTCTTCACTGTATACTGATTCGATGGCGATCTCGTAGACGCGGATGCAGGTACTACCGAAGGCGAACCCGACGATCCGAGCAGCGGTCACCTCGATCTTCCAGGTGAGATCCTTGAAACAGCACTGTAAGACCCATCCTTAGGGTTTCATCTGACCCGAAATCTCCTTTGTTGTTGATTGCAGGAACGAGGTCTGAGTGGCTTCTTTGCCGGCTCGTCATTACGCATCTCGAGAAAGGCCGCATCGAGTGCGATTGGCTGGACAGTGTACGAAGGCTTGTTGCTGGCACTTAGGGACAAGCAGATCGTCTGACATGTGAGGTTCCGTCGGATCCCTGTTTTGGAGCAGAGTGCAGGAAATGTGCAGAGGTTGTACCATATTCACACCAGAAACACCGACGCAGGGTGTTGAACTGGCAACCAGTCAATGACCACTCACCATGCATGCAAGGAACGTCCCTCCCTGCTGATGCACGCAAAACGATTTGATCTTGAATACATTGATGATACGATGCGTTTTCCCGCTATCGATTCAGCCCCGGCAGGTCGATACAGACTAGCAAAGAATTCGAGCAGAAGTAAATAAAGGCACTCGATTTTCGTAAAAGGTCGTTTCTCGCACACCGTCACACTCGGTCCATTTGCCCCCTTCTCCCTCTCCTCGTCTGCGTAGCTCATCTCCAACTCCTCGTCATCACGAAGCTCCCTCCTCCCTACTTGCCCAAAACCTTGTTGACGATAGCTTCACCGCTCAATAACGCGTTATCCATCAACCCTTCGGCATCAGGTCCGACCTTGATGAAGGTCGCGGCGACGACCTTCAGCGACCTCTTTTCCAGGTACTCTTCGAGAGAAAATCCGGCACGGTCTTTGACGTCCTCGTTGTCCTTGGGGTTCGAAGAGGTAGCAGTGGACTCGGCGGCTCCTCTGGGGAAATCCGAGGCCGAAGGAGCTGGGTGATCGGGGGATTGTCGGGCGAGACAAAAGACGTAACGGTGTTTATGCCCAGGAGGTCCAGGAGAACTGGGAAGGTACTCGGTGATGGCCTCTTCAGTGTACTTTCCCGTGACCTGACCGTCCTTGTCGAGTTCGGCCGGGTCGAGGACGATGTTGCTCTGGACCCAGTGTCTGACCTGACCCGAGGCGGTATCGTTCGGCTGGAGCAAGTCCGGGTCGATCTCGATCCTGTTATCCGACATCCACAACAGGTCCGTCATCAGTTGGGGTTCGACACGCAAGTCGATAACCGGGACTCACAAGGTGTAACGATCGATCGCCGTCATACCAGTATCCCCGTTGAACGGCTTGTAGACGATGCTAGGTACGTCCTTGGTGACGACCCTTTCCATGGTCTCTCCAGCACATGCCGTATGAGACGGAAAGGCGATCGAGAGTTTACCCTCGAGCGAGAGGGTCTTGGAAAAGACTTCCGGGATGACCTGATCGTGCTCGAGCATGGAGAGGACTGCTTGATGTTGAGCGCTGGACATGTTGGGCTGGTTCGTCGTGAGGTTTCGTTGTTGAGGTCGTGGTAGGGCTAGTAGTCAGTAGTCTGTGTACGATAGGTGGCGACACTACACATCGTGAGACTAGTATCTAGGAGGACTGAGGAGATGACCCTCCACCCCCCACCTGTTTATATAACTCTGCATGTTCGGTAACATTCCTTTGGCCTTTGATTCCTTTCATGCCATGATGATCGGATCAAGTGGATCGACCATGCCCTGCTGCTCCTGCGCCTCCTGCCCTCTCACGTGGTCAACGGTTATAGAAAATGGGGCCGTGCGCTAGCTGACGTCACCTGACTCCAGTGCTGACGCATGCGTTTCATCTACAAGGAGTCTTTTGCATATCCCGTCGGCCTCGCAAAGCAAGGTGTCCACCATAACATCACGAAGAAACGCTCATACGATCATGCGGAGAAGTGCTAATGCAATACAGTGAATGAATAACGGATGCAACGATCGTGCTACGGGTCGTTCAGATCTCGCTCGCACCCCATTCCATCTAGTAGACCAGGTAAGCGATGGCGCTGTTCGAAGGCACATATCGTGTCAGTAGGTGGCGATAGATCACACTCGAAAGATGGGGATGCGGGACTCACAGCAAGGGGAATCCGGACATGAGACCGATCCAAAACACGATATTGCCGACCGTCTTGTTCCGTCTAAAGATCGGCAGCTTGCCCACGTAGATCATCGGAAGTTGAGCCATCTGTTCAAAAGAAAACGCGGAGGGTTCAGCAGGGGCGATCATCTTGGCAAGAAGACGATAGGCTAAGCTCACCTGCATGGCAAAGAGGTATGGCCTAAGTCGACGCGATCGTGAATCGTCAGCTTGCGGTAGATCGGCGATCTTCGACGGTTCTCTCCTCACCTGATCTTTTTGGAGACGACAGCCATGACCAGCTCGTGGCAGAGCGCAGACAACAAAAAGGTCAAGAAAGTGGCAGAGATCCTGGACAATCGATAAGTCGTGATCGTCGAGGCGTACACGTGACGCAACAAAAAGGTCTGGGAAGGAGAGCCGGGACATGAGCTTTGTCGTAGGTGATGGAATGAACGGTCACTTCTAAATGATGACTCACGTGCACAGGCTTGTTCCACTTGCGGGCGAACTCGTCCCAGGTCGTCGAGTTCCACCAGTCCTGGTAAAATTCTCGATCCGCGAAGCTACAATCACAATGAACAGGCGTCGAGTCAGTATCGTGGATTGGACTACCAGGAAGGAAACCCGAGCGGAACCAGACTGACTAGGTCATCTCGGCAAAGGCGTTGCAGACGCATTCAAAGATCTTGAGGGATAGATAAAGGCGAGTCAGTAGCTGCATATTTAAAGACCAAGGATCAAGTAGATCGTGCTTACGATACTGGTAATGACGGAGAATAATGATTAGCATATAGAGCACATTGATTAGAATGCGAAATGCTACTCACTAAAAGATCCTGCAGGTTCGCGAACACGATAAGAACAGATTTACATGCATCAGCCATCAGATGAAGCCATTTCTTGGTGATGTAAACAACGACTCACAAGAGATAGTTGATGACCATTGGCAGTGCCAGATTGGCATACGCCCTCAACATGGGTTCACCCGGTCTCGGAATATGGGGCATGATGTAATGCTCGGTCAACGTGTAGATAAGCGAAAAGACACCAAACGTCGCAAACACCTTCTCCACTACGTAGAGCGGACGGAAGCTGCCCAAAGAGAGCAAAAGTTAGTCATTGATCCGGTAGCAACTTGTATGTCGCGCAGAATGGCTCACGTGGTCGTCCTAGGGTAGCTAAGCTGATAGCAAAGCGTGGGCATGCACATGAACAACCAGTACTCTTTCCAACCGACGTTCGCCGGCCAGACGATTGCTTCCCCTTCGCCCGCCTCGATCCCGGCCGTTGTCGTGTCGTCACTTCCCTGCGAGGTCAGTTCCGCCCGCATAGCATCGATGTTCGAGGCAAGCGTCGAGACGAGCGGGTCTGGCGAATAGCTTAGAGGGTGTTTTTCCTTTCGCGAGGTGGATCCAGGAACACTATGTGTGGGTTCCAGCGATGTTCCGAGCGGGATCTGCGTAGCCACACTGCCAGCCCTCGATCGTGCGCCGACAACAGACGAAGTATCAGCACCGACTCCACCTCCGACGGCAGCAACCGCGCTGGACATCGCAGACAATTCGTCCGCGTTCGAGGTTTCGCTCAAGGTCGATGCGTTCGACTGCATCCTACCCTTGGCTCCAAGTCGCAGCCTGAGCACGTCCGAGTGCGAAATGTAACCGGTCGAAACGGCGGTAGCGCCTGCAGGGATCGCTGGGGTCCCTACCGGCAACGGCGTGCCAGGTATCGAGCTCAATCCTCCATCTGTTCCTCCCTCCTTCAAAGCGGCTAGAGGTCCAGCTTCTTCACCTCCCGCGGCCTTGGCCTTGACCGCCTGCTCAGCTCGATTCTTGTCCGCCTCGAGCCTGATCTTCTCGCCCCCATCCGGCTGTCGGGCCAGCAAGTCTGAGAGACGTCTTTCTTCCTTTTTCAGGGTGCGGTAAATGTCTGAGAGCATCCCATTATGGGCGCAATACGAGTGCATCTTCATCATCGAGGACAGGGCGTCTGGTATAGTCAAGGAGAGCAACGATAGATCCAGATCAGTTCGGTGACAAGCGGATTCACATCGAGATTGAAATCTCGCACACTCACGCAGCACGAGGAACCCTGATTGTACCCAATACCACTGTCGATGAAACCCCCACCAGACGGCCATCCCCAAGAACACGCATTGCCAAGCGTGCTGAATGGCCACTCCGACCCAGTAGTACCCGTACCACCCGTTGACAAGCCCCTTGACGAATGGCACGCAGACGAACATGCTCCCGACCATGATGGCGTCACTTATAGCGAGGACGAGAGCGTCTCCGGTGATCAACCGCCCGAAGGTTCCCGAAAGGATGGTCCGATTGGTCTCCCACGAATCATAACTGGTCCTGACGAAGAGCAAGGCGAGTCCGATCCAGAACAACGAGTAGAACCCTCGAAACTCGTCCGAAGCGGCCTTGACGTTGGTACGGTCGAGTCCCGAGGAACGCGGTGTGTACGATACGAGCGCTTTGAGCTTCGAGGTCGAGCTCGAGCGGTAGGGTCTTACGGAGAGCGTTCCGTTCTCCATGGGTATCGTGGCGCCCTTTGCAGGGAGTTGTGTGGTGAGCTGGACTGCTTCTTGAGGGAGATTCGTCGACATGATGATCGACGTATTGAAGTCGCGATTCTCTTTGGCTCTTTGTAAGGAACAGAGTATACCCGGGTCCGTCGGAACAGACTGCCAAGGGGTATATGACGGGATCTACCTCGTTCTAAGGTTGTTCTGCTGCGCCTAGTCGGTCGATCTTTCTGGTTGCGAGAAGACCAGGAGGGACGACGTGTTCGCTTTGAAATACCCTTTCTTCTCTCAGCTTCGTCCGGTTTGCTGCTCAATCGGCAAAGTTAAGATTGATCTCGATGTCCACCCTATGATCCAGATTATGAGTCCCGAGGTGCTTGCTATTGTGACACGATGTTATCTAAAACAGAGGGGTATCGAGACTTCATGTTCCTCAAAAGTCGTCGCCGTGCCCGTTCTGATGATGATGAATCCGCAGTCTGGACCGCGCGGAGGCGACAATGTCCGGCGGGACAAGCTCGGCTCCCGGATCACATGTCATTATTCTGTCTATACAACCCCCGACTCTTTTCAAGATTACAAATCCACAGTCATTGCCTTCCCAGTCCTTGTAGCGACGTTACTTTTGCCCAGCAGTCTTGACGAGCTCGACAAAGTTGGCACTGAGAAGCGATCGAGCAGAGAGGTCGGTTCAGGCGGGTTTTGCGCGGCATTGTCAGTTGTCCTGCTCGAAACACTTACGGAAAGATACCCTCCTTGCCCGTCGTCGGATTGCGTCCCGTCCACCTGTGAACAGAAGGTTACTTAGCTAGTCCAGCACGACGCTCGACGTACGCAACGGAACTCACCACTCTTCCTTGCTCTTGCCCTGCTTGGTGACGATGAGAACCTCCCCCTTGACAAAGCCAAGATCGCCGCTCTCTGCCGCAGCAAAGTCGAACAAGGCGATGGCGCGTGGTAGCCCATCTCGTTCGGCTTCGAGCAGTTCCTTTCTGACCGTAAACGTCGGTCGACTCTCCATCTTGGGTCGACCGATTTTTGGCGCGGCGGCGAAATCGTCTTGCTCGACATTGTTAAAGTATGGGTCCGCCTCGCTCTTAGGAGTACCTCCACCATACAGCTCGTCCTCGCCTCGCCGCTGCCATTGCATCGGGTCGACGTGGAAATCTGATCCGCCCGTATTGGCTCGACTTCGTTTCCCCTTGCCAAACAACCCCCCTGTTGTCTTTGGTAGCGACAGATCGACGTTCCACTCTTCCTTCTTCTTGACTGGTAATGCGGTGTTGCCGTTGTAATAATCCTCACCGTCCTCTCCAAACTCGTTGCGAGAGTATCCGTTCGTATCCCGCTTGGACAGCTTGTTCGGTGATGCATGGGCCGCCAACGCTGAAGCTACCGTCGCACTAGATGACGCTCGCATCCTGCCAAACTTGGCCGTCAGATCGTTGCCCTCGTCTCTCTCTGCCATGTCACCAGGGGCAAAGTCGTCCCTCAAGGGAGACGCGAACCTGGCCGTACTGCTCGCTCTCGATCGGCCGAGCGAAGGTCGACCGAGGCTGCTACCATACTCGTCCGAGTTGTTGGCAGTCAAGGACGAGCTTCTGCTCCTGTTCCCCGAGGTCAATTCGATGGGCACAGGCAAGTTCTTGTGCTCGTACGTCGGTTTGGGCGAAGGTAACCCCTTGTCGTTGTTCCAGGGCGAGAGGACCTCACCCGACAAGTCCATGTCCTTTGATATACCCGAACCAGACCTCGCTCGATTCCCAGTGCCAGCACCCTGATTCAGAATGTTGGCGTACGAATCAAACGGATCGACCTCGTTGGCGTGGCTTGAACTCGCTTCCTCGTCAAACGGGTTAGCGCTGGCTCCAGCATTCGAATTGGTACGGCTGAAAGGGTTGAGATTGCTGCTCTTCCTGCTAATCGATGGAGAGGTCATCGGCGACCCGGTCTTTCGACGAGGGAAACCGATCCCATTTCCAGGGGTCGATGGATCGAGCTTGAAAATTCCACGCAGAGAGCCAGATCCGCTTCGAGCTCGGTTGGGAGACCTGCCCTCGGTGATCATGGCGGAAGACGAGAACCCGCCACCACCACCTTCTCCGAACGCATAGTTGTTGTACGACGAACTCCTGGGTAAAGTCCCCGCTCGCTTTCTGCCCTCCTTGCCCGATCGATCCACCGGCATCCCGTGCTCATCGTACCGATCATCATCAAACTCGTCCCCTGCCTCCGGGGTGCCGGCATTCGACCTGTCATCGACCCACTGTCGACCTCCTGGCATCCCCGTACACGAATTCAAGACGTCGACCAGGTCATCTGACCATTCGGGCCGTTCGAGAACGCCCGAAAGGAGTTGCTTGCTCGAAACATCTTGCGAGTAGGCGATCCGGTTGGCATCTTGACGCTCGACGATAATGGAGCCTTCGACCGAAATCCCGCCAAACAGGCCTTTAGTCTTCGAATACGAATAGAGAGCGGCCGTCTTTCCTTTGGTAGACACTGATCCGGATCCTTCGGCGTTGCGTCCCAGGGGTCCCACGGCGACCTGCAGACGAGGTCGAAGTTTAGACCAACATACTGCATTGAACTAACGGCTTACTGACCGATAGATTGCCTCCCAACGTCATCGACCCGGCAGCCATGAATGTTCTCACTGCCGTCCTCGACTGTGACAGGATGTCCCGTCTCTCTATAAATTAACAGCTTGATCACATCGAGCTCGCTGACCGCGACGGTGCTCACGTTCAGGATGATCAAAAAGTCCGTGACTCTGCATCGCCATTAGATCAGGTGTATCAGTTCGTGCAGATACGTGTCCCATGTGGACATGGATACTCACTCCGCTCCCATCTGCCCTCCGAAGCCGAAACCTCCCAGGCCGATGGCACTCGGTGCTGACCAAGCTGTGATTTATACACCACCGCAGATGAGGATTTCCGTGAGCATGAGCTACAGATGGCTGTATAAGCTGAAGATGGTGGGCTTACAACCATCTTCAAGACGGGCAATGACGATCCCCGAACCTCCTCGTGCTGAAAAGAGGAACCCGCTGCGAAGACCCCGTTCAAATTGCAACAGTAGAATGAAAAGACATCAGTAGCCGGGATCGATGATTATCTCGAGAAATCTTCCCTCAATCAAGCCCCACTCACGCTTTTACGACGGTAAAGATGGCGAACCCAGCGGCCCTAGAGAGAACGTCCCGGGGGATGACCTTGTCCAACCCATTATTGCCATTGTCGACGAATGAGCGGAAGATCTTGGCTGCTTTTTTGCACTCTTGCGGGAGTGTGACTGGAGAAGCCAATTAGGTAGAGGAGTGCGGAGTGAGTCTACCAGGCCGAATAAAAGGGTCGTGAACCGAAGCTTACCGGGGACGGGCGAGTTGAGGCCCATCTTTCGAGAGATGCTGCTGCGATTTCGTCACCAACTCGAGAGATCTTGCCTGGAAAGCTAGGTATGAGGTATCAGAGAGCGTTGTACTGTATCTGAGATCACTCTGAAAGCTGTTGCACTACTAGGATCAAAGCAAGTCGATATCTCGATCATAGTGGATGTGCCAAGGCTCCACCTCAGTAAGCAGCCTCCGAACAAAGATGGGACGATCTCCCGTCGGATTCGATTTTGCTTCCGAATCGTCATCAAGCCCGCGTGGCACCACTCTACGCGGGCATCAATCTGCTTCCGGCAGACCCTTGGGTTTGAGGTGAGAGCTGACCAATTGTACTTGGGCTTCGACTTGTGCCGCGAATGTAGAACATCATATTCCAAAAGATGTTCAGCCTGAGTAAGGAGTTTCTTGACCGTACGTGAGTAGCCTGCTCTTCGATCAAGGACAGTATCCAGTCTGCCTTCAGCACCTAGCAGACGACAACTATAGCACGACGATTCATATCATTCCATACGAGATACACGAAGGCATTCTCGGTCGCCAGTCGGCACCATTTACGTCTAAGCGTTGTAAGTAGAGGCGGAGATGTTTCCACCTCGTCCGGTCCAGTTGACGTGGACGTCCTGGCCTTCGGGAAGCTTCTCCGAACCTCTGTGTACAGATGAAGAAATGTGGTCAGCAACACGATCGAAGAAGGTCCAGCTTTCTTGGAAAGCGACTTGCCTGCCCGATTGGACTCTGAACGTGTGTGCCCCGAAGAAATCTGAGTCGATAACGAAGTGATTGGGGTTAGGGAAGGTGAATTGAGGTTGGGAAAGGTGAAACGATCAAGTCAGCATCGTCCGCGCGGTGAAACATGGCCCGAGACTCCACGCGCGCCAGACAGATGACGCGCGCGCGCTAAAACCCACCTCGCTGAGCCTGGATCAAGTTCTGAGGAACGAAGCAGATCGTCAGCATGTCGGTCGAAGAGAATCATCGGACGACCCGAACACCCAACTCACGGCGGGCAAAGTCTCGGTCCTGTATCCGTCAAAGAACGACAAGGCGGTCGAGTGAGCGGGGATGGGGATTCCCCAGAGGGTGGACTGGGCGACGACCCTCCTCCATCCGGGAGAAGCCTTCTCGATGGCCGACTTGAAGAAGTCGTCGAACAACAGCGACTCGAGCTTGTCGTCCTTCTGGAAGGCCTTGGTGATGTCGGCCAAGAAGACCGACTTGATGATACAACCACCTCGCCACATCTGGGCGATACCGGCGTTGTTCAAGTTCCAACCGTACTCCTTGCCGGCCTCACGCATGAGCATGAATCCCTGAGCGTACGAGATGATCTTGGCGGCGTAGAGGGCCTGCTCGAGGTCGTCGATGAACTGCTGCTTGTCACCTCCGAAGGCCTCTCGGGGAGGGGCGGGGAGGACCTTGGAAGCCCTGACTCGCTCCTCCTTGAGGGAAGAGAGGCATCGGGCGAAGACGGCCTCACCGATCAAGGTGACGGGGGTACCCATGTCGAGGGCGTTAACGGCGGTCCATTTACCGGTTCCCTTCTGACCGGCGGCGTCGAGGACCTTCTCGACGATGGGGACACCGTCGTCGTCGTTCTTCCTCAAGATCTGGTAGGTGATCTCGATCAAGAACGAGTCGAGGACTCCCTTGTTCCACTGCAGGGGCCGGGCGCAAACAGCATTAGAACCGACGGATTGAATGAATCGAGCCTACACCGACCCTCACCTTCTCGAAAATGTCGGCAATCTCACCGGCAGAAAGACCCAATCCTCGGGTGAGGATGTCGTAGGCCTCGGCGATCAATTGCATGTCACCGTACTCGATACCGTTGTGGACCATCTTGACGTAGTGACCGGAACCGGACTCGCCGACCCAGTCGCAACAAGGCTCGCCAAAGGCCTGGGCGGCGGTCTTCTCTGCAATGAGTGGCCGCGAATCGTTCGCCATCGTCAGCCATGAGGCACGTCTACCACGACCAAGACCTCGCCCGAACACTCACGGAAGATCTCCTTAATGTGAGGCCAAGCGGCGGGGTTTCCACCGGGCATCAACGAGGGTCCGTGCCTGGCACCCTCCTCACCTCCGGAGACACCGGAACCAACGAACAACAATCCCTTCTTCTCCAACTCGGCGGTCCTCCTGATCGAGTCGGGGTAGTGCGAGTTTCCTCCGTCAATGACAATGTCACCCTTCTCGAGGTGGGGCTCGAGCTGCTCGATGAAGGCGTCGACGGCAGGACCGGCCTTGACAAGCAAGACGATCTTTCGGGGAGTCTTCAAGTTGGCGCAGAGCTCCTCAACGGAGTGGGCACCGATGACGTTCTTGCCTAGAAGGTCGAGCATGACTCTTAATCCCTACGATGCCTTGCTCTAGATTTCTCGAGACTGCGTCACTCACCCTTGGCCTCGTTGGCCATGAAGTCGTCGACCTTGGAGGTGGTTCGGTTGTAAGCACAGACCTTGAAACCCTTGTCGGCCATGTTGAGGATCACTGTAGGAAAGGCGATTTTTGGTTAGCCGAGCTGCCGTGACAAGATATATCAATGATCTACAACTCACAGTTCTGACCCATAACGGCCAAACCTATATCGAGTCAATCGGACATTATGTGAGGGGACACAGGAGAAGAGAGCATTGAGGATTAGTCTATGCTCATACCTCCCGATTAGGGTTTTCTTTTCTCTCGCCAGCGCAACAAGCACCAACTTTGCTTCCTGGACATGCCAGGAAGGCACAAGGAAGTAACGGGTGCACGTACCGATCAAACCGATATCAGCTCTAGAGAAGGTCGAGCAAGCGTGTCCAGGTCAGTCATCGATTTTGCACGTGTGGCTGACAAAGACGAGCGGAGCGGCGGGGCAAAAGGGACAGGCGCAAGATGAGGAATGCAGAGCGAGGGTGGATTGAAAAGCCAGGCGATAGCAGTATGCATTGCAAGGCGGTTTGCGTATCGGGTCCATGACCTTTTTGCTGTGGGACATGGGAATCGAAATCGTCCGGATTTCCTCCGCCCACTTTTCTGGCAATGTCTTCTTGGACGACATCTCGTCTCGACCTGATGGTCCCGAGAGATGTCCTCGACATCCGATGACTAGGAGCACCTTATCCAAGCTTGCCACCCAATGTGTCGAAGATGCTTTGACCAGCTCGTAATGTCACCTCGTTCATGGCGTACGGATGACGCGGACCGGACCCCTTTTTTCTCGACATGCAGAAGTTGAGACTCACTTGTCAGACATTTTGTAGAGAGTGTGTGTTTTGTCTTTTTTTTTGGGGTTAGATGGGGAAAAGAGAAAGACGATGTGCGAAGAGATTCCTTCTTTTGACAAGTAGCTGCGATGTCGACGATGAATGATAATAACGACGACGATGTCGATGTGGGCGAGGTGGATGGGATGGGGAGAGAGGATGCGTTGGCACAGACACGGCTGGAGAGCGGAGGGAACGGGACAGCGGGATGTGATTGGGGGCGAGGGCGCGGATGCAAATCGGAGGTTCCACAGCACGTCAGCCCTCGTTCGCTATGTGGCCGGACCGAGATTCCTAATCAACAACAACCACACAATATTCAGCCGTCGACAACCCGCATTCCGGGCGTCCATTATCGGTCCGTATGATAAGGCGTTGTTTGCATGAGGTTTCGATGCAGTGCTGTCTCTCGCTCTCTCAACATCTAGCAAACGCTGGACCGTTGTAACGTTGTAACGAATGTGATGTCCGTTGCGCCTGATTTTGCGCAGTTTGCTGCTTGCATCATCGCTCGCGTCGCTGATGATGGCAGAGAGCAGAGAGAGAAAGGTGGATTTCGCTTCGGAAACGAGCTCTCGTCATCGGCTTTCACAATCGTCGCATTGCTCGGCTCGATATGTTCAACGGGAAGATATTATCAGTAATACACGTCATCTACGTGATTCGGTTCGACTTCTTATCAAAGTAACTAGAGCTGGACCGAGATCCAGCTATCGAGAACCGTTGATCTGGTCAAACAGCACTAGCGTAAACCACCTAGTATTATTAGCTGGTATAGCTGGACACCGGCTCACTGTGACACCACAGACGTCATTTCTAAACTTATAGTACATCATCACATCGTGCCCACCATGCCTACCGTGGAAGATTACGTCGAAGAGGAAGAGGACCAACAGCAACCGACCGATTCGTTCGTCTTTGACGACGACACCGACCTTCCTCTCCCCGGTACCACACCTGCCAACCCTTCCAACTCGACACCTCGTCGAGCCCTACCTAACGCGGGAACAAGAGGAGCTCTCCTCTCCCACATCGACGACGATGAGGTAGATTTTGATCTGGCCAAGATTCAAGCTCAAGGTCGAGGGATCGAAAACGTCGGGGCACCTGCTGCTTCTTCCCGTTCTGCGACTGTCACCAGGAGCACCGACGATGGCTCGAACAGGCCTACAGCGCCGGCTGGGGGGATGCCGGGAATGGGGGGGATCATGGGCGACTTGATGAAGATTCAAGAGGCCGAGGATCAACGGATGAGAAAGTTGGAAAAGCAGTTGGGTTCGACGCGGTTCGTCAAGGATCCGGAAGAGTTCAAGAGGTGCGTTGGCGGATCGTCGGAAACTATCACTCCAAGCGAGACTGAATCTTCGAGGTTGCTAATCTACACCTTGCTCCACACTATGTACCTTGGTTACGCCGCAGATGGCACTCGATTTACCCGATCTACTTTGATGCAAAGGCAACGACCACCACCGGACGTCGTGTGACCCGGCAGAAATCTCTCTGGTGGCCCCAGAGTTTCCACATTGCCAAGGCGTGTAGCTCTTTGGGTCTCGAGACTGTACACGAGGTGAGTAGGAGGTACCTTTGACTAGAGCACGCTCAAACAGCAAGATATGGATTGCAAAGGCATGTTAGCTGATCTTGCTCTGGGCCCGTGCTCGACCCGACGTGTTTGGAATAGATTGAAAAGTGTCACCCGAGCGATTGGAAAAACCCGGGTAGGGTCAAGGTCAGGTTGGAAAGGGACGGCCAACCGGTGCATCGGGACATCAAAAACCGTGAGTCGACAGATTAAGCTTGCGTCCATCATCATCATCGCTCGGATCTTGAAGCTGACATTGCATAACGTTCTGCAAACAGGTACCCAACTGTACAACATCGTAGCCACGCAGATGCAGAGACAGAACGCGTCGTTGGTCTACACGAAACCTCCTCGAGAACCCAGCTCGTCCTCTTCTAAACCCCAAGCCGTCGCCAAACAACCATCAGCCACTTCAGGATCGAAAGCCAAGCCCAAGAAATCAGCCAAGAGTGGTACGGCTCCGGCACCTTCGAAACCATCTTCCAGTACCGTCAAGCCTGGACCCCGACCACCTCGACCTCCCCATCCTTATCCCTCGATGGAAGATCGATTCCCGCTCAACTCTCCCCTCCTTGCGCTCGGTGTGGCCGTCGAGGCCGTCAAGCGGGACGTAGAGCAGGAGAAGGAAAACCTCAAGAAGGGCATCGGTGCTCCAGGTGGTGGAGCGGGTGCAGACGGGGAGGGCAAGGGACAGCCGAAGATGCCGAAGATGAAGAAGATCATGGTCAGGAAGAGGTAGTTCTACTGAAAAGAACGGGCGCGGTGTCAGAATGGGGGCTCATGAAGAAGAAGGAATTGTATAATCAGGATTACGGGTCAGCCGTGTTCCTTCCGATATGAACCGAGAGGTCCCTAGCAATCGGTCGGTCACATCGGTCACATCGCAGACGTCGTTCCTCGTCGAATTTCCGAGAGCAGACCGAGATGTGCCGCTGAGCTTCAACTCCGCTCTAACACACTTTGGCTATGGCGTAACTGTCATTTTCTCAGAGCCTGCATCGCGCGACAAACGCGTTGCAGTAATGTTGTTAAGTGGGCAGTGGGTCTGCGTGATTTCGCGACTGTACTCTACGATCGCTATCTATCATCGCACATCGAGCCCGTACGCAAGTGAGCGGTTGTTCAAGAGGTTAGTCTTTTGGACTCCTTCTGCAGACACTCTCGGCGGAACGACTTCGGGACACCTTGTGGCTCTAGCTGATGATATTTCGACGGTACAAATCGACGATGAAGTCATCGCGTGCAGAGTCGTCGTTTCTCTCAAGATTTCGGTCCCCGTACGGTCCGGCCCGATCTACTTTCCCTTTCACTTTTCATCACTTTTCGTATTTTTTCGTTCAACGATACCAATCATCTTCGGTCATGTCGATGTCATTCGCACAGCGATTCTAGTTCCGATTCCGTACTCCCACTCAGAGGAAGTATCTGCACACAGATGTGTCGTCAATATCAGCTACGCGTTCAGGCAATATGCAAGAAGAGGGCTCAGGAACAAGACTGACCGGTCACCGAAATCTCCGAGTCCAGGGACGATGAACGAATCTTTATCCAGACCTTCGTCTACCCAGGCGGTGATCTGCAATACGGTGCAAGATGACCAAGAACGTTTCAGCGGATATACCCAGAAAGTAGCGGGCAAAGGAAGTCACGAGGCCAGACTTACGATCTTGAGCTTGGGGTACTTTTCACAGACGTTCTTCAATCCCTCTGGGGACGAGATCTATGCAAAACGCCATGTTACCGATTGCGGATCAGCTTCGATCCACACGACGACCTCCTCGAAATCTTCCGAGACATGAGGGATTCCAAGACTGACCAGGTTCAAGAACAAGATTTTCTCTTCCTGTACCCCGTGACTCAATAGGACGTCGATAGCTTGCATGGCCGACCCGCCGGTAGCTGTGAGACAGACGAGCTAGAAGGTCAGCTCACGGAGGGTGGAAAGACGGCGAGTCTAGAATTAGAGGCAAAGCTTACCGAGCATAGGATCGAGGAGGAGACAGTATCGGGTATCGATATCCTCCGGTAACTTGGCGTACTATCATACAAGAGGTTCGGATTCTCGGTCAATCAAATATCCTGGAGCGTCATTTGCGCGAGCGAGAAAGAGCACTTACAAAGAGCTTGGGCTTGGCCGTGGCTTCGTCCTGTTAGAACCGAGTTTTGTCTTAGCTTCCAAGCATGGGGACGATCCGGACATGATGCCGACGTACCCGTTGAATGAGAATCTATCGCACAGGAAACATGAAGCACAGAGTTCAGACTCATCCGTACCGCATCGAGGGCAGAAACCATACCACCAGCAAGCTGAAACTCACTTTACCTATCCGTACTGTTCGTATTGTCGACTTCGCACGATCAGTCCAGTATCCTATGGCATCTACGGTCTCGACGACTCGCCTGATCGTGCACATTCCCGCAAACCCGCTTCCATAGCCTCTCCTGCACGCATGATCGACACCCCACAGATCTTGCCCTGGAAGCTGACTCCTTGGTACTCGATTCCCAATGGTGTGGTGACCGTGTGCGATACGACGGGCAGGTGGTTCAGACCTTCTTCGACAAGCAATCGGATGATCCTGTCCGACGTGCTGCAACGTGCAAGAGCTCGCTGTTTAGGTATACCGCATCGCAAACGTGGCACGAACATTTTGCGTAAGAAACTCACAAGACGAATTCTCCACGCTGAGTCTTTACATCCCGGATGATGGTCAACAGAGCTTGGAGTTGTGCGGTAGCGGGGAGGACGAGAGCGTTGGTAGGCAGGTTTCCACAGGAAGGGTTTGATCGGCTCATGCTCGAGGCCGGGAGGGTGGTGGTGGCTTGTTGTTGCTGTTGCTGATTGGACATGATGACCTTCTATGCTTCTGAGTGGGTATGTGTCTATATGATTCGGTCGTGCTAGACTATGGCAGGGTAGCAGAAGTAAGTCAGGTCGAGTGCTGTTACATCTCGCTCTTGGGTTATCTGTTGCAATATGTGATGTACGCAGGTTACCGATAACGATGGAACGCATGAAAAAGATGTCAGGCTGCATGACACCTCCCTCTTTTGTGCACAAAGAAGACCGCTTTCATCTCATGCATCTCAAAGGTAGTTGTACGAGGAAGAACGAATATGTTCATATCTTGCCCAGTCTACACTCCATCGTCGCTCTCGTCAGTGAAACAAAGTGAGCACCACCTAGGAGCTGCTTGGCTCGAGACCGCGCACGCTTATAAGATTGCCTGATCAGTTCCTCTTGCCATCGAGCAGAATCTTAAAAAGGTCGACCTTGACAAAACAGCTCAATAACATCGTATATACAAAATGTCAGATTGGGGTGAGTTGCAATCCTCATCGCCTTTACCGTCCATTCTCCCAGCTAACTGATCGACTCGGCTGTTCTCCTTGATCGCGATCCTGTTCAGACCTCAGCGAAGATGAGACCCCGGTAGCACCCAAGGTCGCACCCGCTACCACCGGGACCAGCACGGCACCCGCCATCGCCCCTACCCCTGCTCCTGTGGCCTACAAGTCGAGACGGTTCGAGGGTGAAGATGAGGAGGAGGAAGGCGATGTCAGTACAGGCTATGTGTCTCCGTTGCCTTGGTCACCCACAACACGGCTGATCTGGTTCAATCTCGTCGGCTGAAACTCTCGTATCATGGACATGGCACTATAGGACGACTGGGACGTCTCCGATTCTGAGAAGAAAAAGTCCGACGTCGCTTCGGGAGCCTCGACACCAGCGACCGCGATCAAGAAGAAGCGGAATCTGAAGACCGTCCTCGCCGAGAAGGAGGCCAAGGCTGTGAGTACCGCATATTCGCAATACCGGAGGTCAAGTGACTGATGTTGACGCTGCGGTTTGATGCGGGATGGCATGATCTGCTTTGTTGCTTTAGGCTATGGCCAAGGACCAGGACGATATTATGGACGACGAGACCCCGCAAGAGAGGAGGAGGCGGGAAAAAGCCCAGCAGGAAGAGGCCGAGGCCGCTGCCGCTGCGGATTTCTTGGGCGCCGTCTCGCTAGGAGGTGAGTTCCCCAGGCCGTGCTTGTAAAGTATCCAGGATATCAAGGCTAAAGACCGGCACATCTCTGGCCCTCGCCTTGTAGACGCCGCCGACCTGACGAAAGCCGAACCCAAGACCAAGGACGATTTCATCAAGCTCGCTCAACAGGTCTCTGCCGTGATCTTTGAACGACTGCACGACAGGCCCTTGTACTCGGCTTTCGCAGAAGAGATTGCCAGGATGGCCGTCGTCCCGCTCAAGGACGTGGATACGAGAAAGATTGGAAGTGCGATCACTGCCGTGGCGAGCGAAAAGACCAAGGAGGCCAAGGACAAGGCTAGCGGGAAGAAGAAGGCGAGTCGGAGTGTTTCGAAGGGGGTCGTGTGACCCGCCGTGACAGGTGGAAAAAAAGTTACTAACGGGTCGTATCTTTTTGTTCTACCTCTTTTTGCGGGTTTCACGTTGCAGGCCACCAAGAAGCCCGCTCTCGGTGCCAACAAGCGTGTCAACGAGTGAGTCTCCATCGCTCTGGCATGAGCTCGTACTGTCGAAACCTTTGCTGATGCCTTGTTCGCGCGCGCGATCTCTCCTCGGCGGCAGGGCTGACACGACGGCTTATGACGAGGCTCTGGACGACGATCTCGACTTTATGTAGACACGAGAGGTTGGTGTACTTTACATCGGGATAACTTGTCGTGGTAGATGAGATATTGTCGATATACGATGGAGGCGTATCACGTGACTGCACCTAGTTACTCCCCCCTACCCCTTTCTGTTTCGATGACGCGTTTCGTTTTTACGGCATCAAATCCCCTCTCCCCTCTCCGGCAGCCAGCTTGGTCGGGGATGAGTGGAGCTTTCGATTGAGCACAACCTCGCACCTCGAAGGGGGGATGGGGGATTTCGTCGTCGATCGTTGATCGTTGAATCATCCATCAAACATCTCTTTACTGTAATTACTGTTGAAGCACCTGACGATAGCTAATATTCAGCAACCAGTAAACAAAGGATCGACAACCAGACTCTCTACCTCATCCTCGTACGCGCACTCCAACGCACAGCCTTCCTCCATCACAGCAACAACCCGAAGCCATGTCCTCGTCGGAACACCTCGCTACCGACAATGTAGGCCCCTCACCAGGCCAAGGATCGTCCTCTTCCACTCTCCATTCTCACGTCGAGCCTGCTACCACCACTAGCACTGGCGCCTCGAGTGGACCTGGACACGCACACCAGGTCGCGCAAGCTCAAGGCCTCAAGCTAGACACGGCCGCTAGCAACCAGTCGTCGTCTTCCGGTGCAGGAGGGGAAGCTGGACGAGGTGGTGGACCTATGGAGGGGAGCTACAAAAGACCGGGTGGATTTGCCGAGAACCCGAATGCGAGGAGCAAGACGATTACCTTGGCGGAGGGAGAGAACACTTATGGGGTCAGTCCGAGGACCTCCTGGTTTCCTGCCGTATACTGTGCATAAGTCAGAAAGGTTGACATGCTGCTGCCTTTTCTCGAAATATGTTTCGTTCCGACCTCTCTTGAACCGCACCCCGCGTTTCACCGCTCAGGCCTTGAACCGACACCCAGCTCAACCGCACTCGGCTTCCTCCATGTTCCCTTCTTACCGAGTCGGCGTGTCCGAGGATAGGAACAAGAAGTGTAGAAGAACGATGGAAGATTCTCATTCGTTTGTCTATGATTTCGGAGGTGTCGTCGGTCAGGGTTATTTCGCCGTCTTTGAGTGAGTCGATCGGAATCTCCTTTTGTTTGCTCGAAGAGGTCGGTGGGCTAGAAGCTCAAAGCAATCTTCTTCGTGCTATGGGGATCATATTTCAGTGGACACGCAGGTAAACACGCCGCCGAATGGTGTGGTCAAAACTTTCACGAATTCCTTCTCGACGGTGTGATCACCAACCCTCACACCCCGATCCCAGACCTCTTGAACAAGACGTTCCACGCCGTCGACAGGCGTCTCTTCCAACTCGCCGAGGAGGACCGGACTCATTCGGGTTGTACCGCCGTCACCGCCTTTCTCCGGGTCGAAGAGGATGACGAACAGGCCAACGATCAAGGTGGACCCGCCAAGGGATTCACCAACCCGGGGATCAAGAGTCGTGGCTTGTTGGAGGGTAAAGGGATCGAAGAGCTCGAACGTCTCACCTCGGCCGGAGGCGGGTCCAAGGCTACCGTTGGGGGTGCAGCCTCGTCTACCCAGAACCAGGACGAATCGCTCTCGAGCGGTAACGCTTCGGTCCAACGTCGTTCTTCCCGAAAGATGATCAAGGATTTCGTCAAGGGCCTCACGGGTGGCAAAGAGTCCTCATCTTCTGGAGACTCGGGGTCTGCGACCGGAAGCGGGAGGGACGGCAACGGGTCGCTCGAGACGATCCCGGATGGCACGCCGAGCCCGTTAGCGAGGGAAGGGTCGATGCCGATCGCCGATGGACACCATATGGTTGACCTCGTCGAACCCAAGAGTGAGAAGCCGTTGAGGCGAGTGTTGTACACTGCCAACGTTGGGGACGCTAGGGCCGTCTTGTGGTGAGTTTCCACGCGGATTCATAATCTTCAGGAGAGAGACTCGCAAGCTGAGACCATCACTGCTGGCCTGCTGTAGTCGCGGAGGCAAGGCTGTCAGGCTCACGTATGACCACAAGGGAAGCGATGCACACGAGGCCAAGCGAATCACCGATGCTGGTGGCTTCGTGATGAACAACCGAGTCAACGGTAAGTCTAGAGCTAGGTGGTATTCAAGCATACGGAACGGCCGAGCTCACCCAAGGCACGTTGATCCTCGGTCGATCCTGACAGGTGTTTTGGCCGTAACGCGATCGCTCGGAGATTCGAGCATGAAAGAATTCGTCGTCGGCGCGCCTTATACCACCGAGACTGCACTGGACAGCGACGACGAGTTCTTGATCGTAGCTTGCGATGGGGTGCGTACCTGTTTCTTCAAACTTTATACGTCGGTTTCGTGCGCTAACGAGACCTCTCGACAGCTTTGGGACGTCACGGACGACCAGACCGCCGTCGACCTCATCCGAAAGGTTGAAGACGCTCAGGAGGCTTCTAGGGTCCTACTAGACTATGCCATCACCAACTACTCGACCGACAACTTGTCCGTCATGGTGGTCAGATTCAAGTAGGCGTAGAGGCAGATGTTTCATATTTCCTCGGATGAAGCGCGCGCGTGTAGTGGAGGGCTGTCATCTGTGTTCCGCTTCGTTCGGTTGTGATTCAGTATGTGAATAATATATCAAATGATCTTATGAATGTCCGTACCTCAGGCTTTCCGTACTAAGAAATAATGGTCGATGTTTTGTGGCTAATGCGGTCAAGCGTCGGCAATGCGTGGGCTGCGAACTAGCCCACGAAATGCCATGAGGGATCACGTGGCGCAAAACCGCTATGCCATTCTATGTCTGATGCCTTTGTTATTCCGGCGAATATACTCGCTGTACTGGTACCAAGCAGGTCGTCGCCATCGGAAAGGCATCGTCTAACTGCGCACATCTACTATGACGTCGTCTCACCCAGAAGTTTGCCGAACAGAGGCTGAAAGAGGATCGCCCCTTCTTTCCTCCGTCATGACATATCGATAACCTCACACCGCCCGTCCTACATATATGGGTCATGTAACTGAATCGAACTTGACGATGAGGGCGATCACCTCAAACCAAACCTTCTGAACGTTGATGAGGCGTGAGTCACAGTAGGTAGCGCACGTCCACGGAATGGAGACGAGCCCTAAGAAGTGGGAACGTGCGAGAGAATGCTCCCCTTGATGTACGACGGTACGTGGTGGACTTGTTGTCTTGATATGGACATGGATAAGTACAATGTTCAGCCTGTTATTTCGCATTATAATTGCACTACAGACACGCACTGTCCAAAGGTTGGCAAGCGGCACGTTGGCGGTCGAGTCGCGGGCAAAGGTTGCGGTGGGTTTGGTCAAAGGATCCGACCATTCCTTGTGCTGCGGCAAGACTCTCCGTGTACGTCTTGACGAGTCGAGTTCCCACCTCAAATTTTGCCTCGTCGAGGGGTATCTTGAAACCAGACGGGTTAAGCGCTTGCGCTAGCTGCTGCCCAATGGCGTCATCAATAGGCTGGGGGCGTATGAAAAAGGGGCCCTGGAGGATCGTCTGTTTGAGGACCTTGGGAATGGCCATACAAGTCCTCAATACGCACGCGAGACGGGTGAGCAGGGTGAAACCCGGGCCTGTCGACTTCTGACCGAACTGTCGAGTGATTTCATGCAGCACGCCGCCTGAGGAGTTGCACAGATGAATCACAAGACCCGTACCCGTGCCAAGAGGCAGTCCATGAGTGTCCAGCCGAAGTAGCCGGACTTTCCAATGTGTGGCCCCTGCGTGCTTCTGTGTGATACAAGAGCGTCAGAGGATCACTCAGGGAACGCGCCATGGCCCGCTCCACCACACCACACACCCCGTCTACGACCAGGTTGCAATTTGACTCCTCATCGCCATCCGCCACATTGTAGGAAGGCGCGTCGCTGTCGCTGATCGGTAAGACATATCTCTTGAACTGTTTCAGCGAATCTCGGAGGTACCCGGCGCTTCCGCAGTCAAAGAGGACACGTGTGCTGTGATTGCCTTTAAAGATGGGGATGAGGCGGCTGAAACCATCGTCATTGAATCTGTTGGTTGGGGCGGGAGGCAGGAGGCAGGTTCAGCACCAGGAGTACCTGTCTGCAGACGTGTTGACCGACTGGCAGACCTCCATCAGTTGTTTCCTTGCCCATTCTTCTTGACATTTTTCTGTAGGCAATTGTGTCAATCCCAACGCGCCACGAGGTGCTCCATCTTGCAATGTACCGGGTGGCGGGTGGAAACCCAAGAGCAAGATCTTGCTCTGCAAATTTATAACGCAATATGCGGTCTACCACGTTCGCAGTGTTCACCAGCAGTGGTGAAAACCACCGAACATTATATCTTCCTTCGAATCATTACAACACTTAGAACACAACCAAACCGCACCCAGACCAAACCCTTTGCCAACAGACCCTCTCAACGTCTCAACTCTCCTTATGCCACTATGGGTCGACCAAGTCCATGCATGACCTGTCTCGTTCCAGAAGCTCAAAGCAAATCCACAACCAACCAAAACCACTTGCACTACCGGGACGACGTCTACTGCGTGCCGTTACGACATGAAACGCGGCGGAACCAGCTGCATCCCATGTCTGAACAGACACAATATCTGTATAGGTCCAGGGTTCTGGTAATATGAGGTTCCAGTAGGATTGATTAGTGAAAGTCTGTTGAGCGTAATCGACATTATTACAAAGATGTTCCCTCCGTAAGAAAACCGTCTAGTACTTATGATTGATCGAAATATTGCACACTTGAGTCATCATTGTCAGGTCCGATCTGCATAACCCATTACTGCTTGACACCCGTCACTGTCCATCATCCCGCTGCCATCTCGAGCATTCTGTACAGGCCATTCCATCAACAAGATGTTTCGCACAGCCCTGACTCTCTAAACTCACCGATCGATCGCTTGACCAAGGTCATTTTGACAGCTGTCCAGGATAACGCCCGCGATCTCGCGGTCGATGTCAGGGAACATTTGGTGTAGGGTATCGATACCGGCTTGTCGGGCCGTCGTAGTATTCCGATCGATTTCGGCGGTCAATTCGGTAAAGTTGAAAGTTGGGTCATCAGATGGGGTCATCCTAAGAGCTCAGAGGTTGACAGTGTCAGCTGCGGTAACAATGATGCTGTCCGAGAGTAAATCTACTCACGGTCCTGGAGGCGGCGTAGCAAAATCTACCTGATGGCGAGCATACATCTCATTGACTTGCAGCCGGTCCTCAGGGTGCGATGGCACACCATGTGGTACGTCCGGTTGCCGGCGACCGAACAGACCCCCAAGCGGACTTGCGGTGGGCAGAGATTTCTGACCTTGACCAGATGGACTTCGATAGACCGGTCGAGGGGCACGTATCCGATTTTGGAAGCTGGGTGTCCGGGGCGTTTCTCCTCGGTCTCCTCCCCGATACGATGGCTGACGGTAAGCTGAACCTGGGTAGTCATTTCCTTCTTCATCTGCTGTACCTCCGATGCTCTCAATCATTTTGCCCAACGCGCTCAGCGGCCGTGAAACGGCTTCCGTTGCAAACTCGCCCGTACGCTGGAAGAACCGTTTGGTATCGAGAGCGATATTGCCCGGCAACGATGTCAAATCGCGTGCTGGTTCCTCTCCTTCCGCTGTATTCGACCAAGCCGCATTGACAGTGGACGCGCTATTCGGCCCCTGCGGTCCTCTGGCGTTCCTTGGTTCTGCTGGCGGCATCTCTGCCACGGCTCGCCCGACATTCTCCTCGAACTCTTCCCGTGTGATGTTGCTCAGGCCCGATGCGTCCATCGTTTCGATAAAGGAGATTGTGCCTCCCTGTCGGATTTCTCCTATGAGCACAGGCGAAATTGTCTTTTAACTCAAATCCACTCACCAGACTAGACAGGTAATACCCGGCCTCTCCTTGAAGGCGCTGCGCTGACCTGAACCGATTGATGTACCTGAAGGAGCATCCAATCAGTTCTCTGCCTCAACCCCGCCTCGAGGATAAAAAGCTAGATTCACTCTATGTTTGAGATCATATTGTCGGGATTCGCCCGTATAACCACGAAGATCAAGATCGGCAGAAAAGCATCGGCCGATGTGTTGTCCGATCCAGCTACATGACGGATCAATCCTGGTGAAAGCACAGTATCGCTCAGCTTGGGTCTGGGATGCTGAATGGATTCAAGGCGGAAAATTTACCGAAGATGACCTTGCAACAATTCAAGATACAGATCATTTTATCTCTAGGCGCCTTGTAATGATTGATCTTGAGCAACTCTATGCGACCGGAGCCTCATTTAGCCTCGCTCATGATCTACCCCAAATCACTGTCTCGACCGTTTCGACAGACTCACCCTGTTCAGCGAAAGCCAAGAAACCCTGACTCGCCTCTCCCTCTGGCACATCCAGGTGCTTCTCTCGTACCCATGAGAAGATTCGTATCCGCTCGCTGAGCACGAAATCCTTCTCTAGGTCGTCCGTCGTGATTGGGTAGACGGAATGATCGATCATCGGTGAGAATGTGCTGGAAAAAGCGGTGATATCAGTCGGAACGGAACGACAATCATTCGATAGCGCGACTGGAGAAAAGACTGGCTTACTAGGTGTATAACCGATTCATGACCAATTTCTCCATCGCTTCCATCGACTGCTCAAACTCTGCTTCGCTCTGACCTTTCCACGGATCCGTCTGCCTCATCTTTTCAGCGATAAACTGAGAGCAGAACGACAGGGTAAAGGAAGTTATTTAGCTTGTAAGGCGTAAGAGTCACTTGAACATCGGGACCGGCGGAACTCACCTCGAGGAAATCGTGAATGAGCTTGATCTGGTCGTTGATAGTAAAAGGCCGTTTCGCGAACGAGACCAGGAAACTAAATTCCAACAAGAAAGGAGACAGCACACAGTTAACATGCCGATTCTCCTGGTCTCAGGCCCTCATGGTCGTCTCTTCAAATCAAAGGCTGATAGGACACACCTCTTCAGATACTTCTGGATAGGTTCCGCCGACCGACTTCGGAGTTGGACCAAGAACCCTTGAAAGTCAAACACCGGCTCCGAAGGTCGGTCTTCCTCTTCATCTCCTTGTCTTTGTCTCAAGGAAGAATCCTCTTTGCCTTGACGGATGCTTGACGGTCGGCTTGAGTCGGTGTTTTGTACGGCTTTGGATGGGGTTCGAGGGGCGCTCGATGAAGGGGGTGGGGTTGATGAAGGGGATATTCGCTGCGACCCCAATTCGGCGGTAGGTTCAGACGTTGCACCATGATCCGGACCAGATTCCCTCGATATGTTCTTCTTCGGTACAGACGGTTCGGTCGTGGAAGAGGACTTGTTGGCCTGCGTATCCACTTCTTCTGCAACGGCACCGGTATCTCCTTGTCCTGAAGGAAAGATCCCCGACAGGACCAGTCCAGGAGGGTTCCCCTTTTGTGTATCTTCCGTATCCCTTTCGTTGTTCACCGGAGTACCTGGATTACTACTACTGCTGGGAGATACGTCGTGCGAACTGAAAGGGTCGAATTCGGCGAGGATAGATGCGTCCACTCGTGCGAGCGGAGACGCTGCTGATGAGGTAGGACTGAGGTTGGCTGACGGGTTGAACGGCGAGAGGTAATTGTTGCTGGTCTCTGCTGGCGCCGTAATAACACATCGAGCGAGTGAGTATTCCTAGCTTCATGTTCAGCTATGAGGAGCCGTGACACTCGTGGTCACTGACCTGGCTTTGGGGTATCGGTCCAGGGGTTCAAGTCGCCCAGCTCCGTCCGTTTGTCGCCAGTGTCGTCCGATAGGTTGATCGTCGGCTCTATCGCTGCCTGACCATCGGCCTTGGCAGCCATCCTGACCAACTCTTCAGGTTGTACCATTTCATGAGAACGATGTGTCGATGAACTTGCCCAATAACCTTGTGGGATCATCCAGTGCACGATAGCGACCACCTCATTCCACGAAACAGCAGCAGCAGCTTCGGGCAGCATTTGCTTCCGTAAACGGCGTTGGCTGTGTCCTCCGGAAGCAAATCGAGCGGCACAAGATCAGCAGCAGCCTGAAGGTTCAGTCGATAATCTACCTACCCGCATTCATTCCTACACAAATCAAGTATCACTTTCCAACTCATCGTACATACACGGAAGCGCAGGATCGCCCCTCTATTTCCTGAGAGATGGCCTCCATAAGGGATGCGAACCTCTACACCCTCCTGATCAGGCCTTCCCCGGACTATCCCAATGTGCTTCAACTCATAGACAGTTCCCGGGGTTCCGAGGTCCGGTACCTGCGAGTCAAAGAAGACAACTCTGTAGGACCGGATGGAAAACCAAAGTTGGAGTATGCCGCTGGAGGATACGATGCAGGGTTATATGGTATGTCTCTTCGCTCGTCATGCTCGTGGTAGCTCGGTTGAAGTTGAGAACCCACACCGAATGTAGACGCATATACGAACGCAAAGCTGGCTTCGGTTAGCGCATCCAGCTTGAAGGCGAAGAGCAGAAAGCTCGAGCTGCACAGTCCAGATATACAATTGCCTTTCGGATTCTCGGGAACATTGTTAGTCCGACCTCTTTCCCGCTGTGAGGACGTCGCATACAAAGACTGACCTATATCGTCTCGATTTTCTATTCAATTTCAGGTCATTCGTAAGTTGTTAGGATTCATTGTCCGCAATTCGTCTAGAATCGAGTCACTGAGCGTTTGATTTCCGCAAATATACAGGAATGGACATTCACGTTCGAAGGGTGAGCTTTACCAACCCGCTGATACCGCAAAGTACTATTCTCACCTATCTCTCTCCTGTGGCTCTCCTCGCGCACAGCCACAAATTCAGGTGGAACCGCCCCACATTCCATTCCTCCGATTACGTCTGCTCTTTGGACCGGAAACCGGACCCAAGCGTTCAGCTCTGCTTGTAGGTCTTCTGTTACATATCGACATAGACTTCCAGAGGCATCAGGCTGATAATATGCACGACACCTTGCATGATACCTTTTGCCGATACGATGATCAGAGGAAGAGAACCCGCAAAGGGGAAAGACGGAATCATCCAACTCTTGGATTATAACCTCGAGCGATTCGAGTTCGAGGACAAGAAAGGTAAGTCGTCAGAACTCGAGCTATTATAGATGTACAGAGGCTCATCCGCCTGGAGTCGTCTTTGTCGCTTCTTGCATCAGGACTGGAGATTGCCATGTATACTTCGTAAGTCGCGCCTCCCAATGTTATGACTTGATCTTACAGGTTACTAATGCTGACGCTCTGAACAGCTTGTTGTCCATCCTAGACGCCGCGGAAGAAAGACTCGCAGCTAGAGATGGCAAACCCACCGTCCAGCCGAAAGTCGCGACTACAGAAGCAAGCGGTGCGAATCCGGGACTATCGAAAGGAGGTCGAAGAGAAAGCGCAGGAAAGGCTGTCGGTACGGATGACATGTCAGGTGCTGTAAGTCTCGGAAGGAGGGTGACTACTGGGTCTACTATTGAAGCAAATCGGATTCTGGAACGGATAGAACCCCAACGAGCTGTTCGTCCGAGCTGACGGGTCGACAACGGAGTACTCGGCAAGGGCGGTCTCCCTTTTGGCGGTAAGTAGGAGTCTCGCTCGCTTGTTGGCAAATTGTCATTTACCAATTGCATTGGTCGCTCGACACAGGATCCTAGCGTGCTTTTCATCATCATCAAGACCCGACAAGCAGAGGCCGCACAGAAAGCCGTCGAGGTGGCCGATGCGACAAAGAGGTAAGCGCTTCATCATGTATGTGTAATCGTGCACCAAGTTCACTGACGCGACCTACGACATCCAACATCGTAGGGCAAGACATCGAGCTGGCCTGGATCAGGATTCGAGGGGTCTATACCAGTATGTCGTGGAGGAAGAGGTCAAATCTGCTCCGCGGGTCGCGAGTGGTCAACAAGGCCCTCGAGTGATCGACCTGAATGATGCCCCCAAGAGCGAACCGAAAAGGAGGTGAGTGTGCGACGTCTAGATCCTAGGCTCTGGTTTGAGCAAGACTGATGGATTTGAGTTCGCATAGTGACACCAAGGCGTGGCGACCGCCTCCGAATATCTCGATCTACTTGTCCAAGATTGAACTTCCCGACCTTCATCCGGGTCGACTAGCAGCGCAGAAGTCGTCATCATCAGCAAGGAGATCGCCTCCACGTAGCTCTGGACAGACTCCTCCGTTAAGGATGGAACCTCCACCTGTCCCCAAACATAACTCTCCAGGTCCTGGTACAAGTCATGCGAATCTTCGTCCACCGTCTTCGAACGCGCCGAATTCACGTCAGCCTAGTTCAAGTTCGAGGATGTCACCACAACCACGACCGTCTCCACCTAACCCGTCAATTAGTGGCGGACAATCAAGGCCTTCCAGCTCAGTGCCTGCTCCGATCGCCAAACCACAGGTACCATCACATTTACCCCCTGAGCCCGAGCCGTTCGGGTTAGGAACCGTGGGGTCCAAGATCGCCGCCCGACTCTTCTCATCCAAGTGATCGTATCGCCGCGCGAAAGCGCAAATGTAGCATGCTATCTCATATCCATACCCTCACGATAGACAGATGACCGATCAGACGATCATGCGCTCGTAGACTGTTCCTTGTCTTTGGCCAAGATCTGCTCGACCCTCTCCTTCTTCCCCTTGTTTCCACCTCCGGTGATCTTGCGGTCCACCCGGGTTCCGATCCTGATATCGCTCGAGATACGGGGCGTGCCGAGTTTGTGGACGGCTACGTGACAGTCGTAGATGACCTTGGTCACCTTGGACCACTATCGGTGAACGAAGTAACAGTTATGAGCTCGTGCAAAAGTATGATAGATACGTTGGCAAATGTTTACGGGTCCCTCGATATTGGTACCATATCCATGCATCGTATATTCCACACCGCTCTTCTCAAGCACTCTTTGGCACTGGTACGATCGAAAGCAAAGCAGATATATTAGTGAGATCGATGGAGTGCCTTCACGATTTTGGATAACATTTACCTCGGCGATCTGGGGACCGACGCTGGGATCGGCGACGCCCATGGGGATCAAGCAGAGGTCCGCTACAGCCCATAGCTCCTCACCGTCGTTAATCTCTTGGTTGGACATTATTGACGAATTGTAGTTGTAGCTGACAATAAGGAGATGGACGGGGTGCGGAGTCGAGAGAGAGAGAGAGAGAGAGAGAGTATGAACGATTCAAGATATCCGTCACTGGCACTGGCTCGGCCTTGTCCGTCATCCGAAGTTCCGCACTCGTCATCAAGCCCGTCTCTCACTTTTCACGTGATTGCTCGAGATGGAGATTTGCTTCGGCGCGATCCTGCAGGTATAAGAACCTCCGGGGTCGGAACGCACACACTACCCTCACCCGCACGTTCCCTTCTCCTCTTTTCTTCACCTTACTGAGCCGACCCTTGAGCAACTCATAGCAGTGCAAAACGTCAATTACCTCGCTTCCCACGAGGACTGTTACACATCGCGGTCCAGGCTGTGGATCAAATCTGTATAGGCCTCATTTAATCCCCCGCGCCCAGAGCTTCACCAAAAAGGGGAGTTTTCGATGAAGGCCGGGTTTCATATTGGGGCTACATGTATTGTTATCACATCAAATGTTCTATATCAACTGCAACTGGTGCTACTTCAGATAGCATTCGATTGACATCGTTTCCACTAGCTTGTCCTGACGTATATTGTTAGGTCGCAGACTGTTCGTAACTCGAGCCTGGGCGGGGATATTCGTCATATCGTAGCCAACATGCTTGCTTGATCGTAATTACATAAGGAGACCCATCGTCTCACATCTAGGAATCTACATCCCAGCCTATCTCGTCCTTTCTAAGCCATCTAGACGATGGCCTCCAACTCGGTAGCGTAATCCAAAGACGTCTTGATGAGCCTCTCCTTGGCGATCGGCCCATCACCTGACAGTCCCGCACCGGCCGACCCGGTTGGCCCGTCCGTAAAGCTCGAACCTGGGTTGTTCAGCACACGAGCGAGACCGAATTCCCTTGTCGTCGGTGAGAAGGACCATCCTCGCTGTCGAGTCCGAAGCGGTTGTTCAACTCAGTAATGTTCGGCGAAAGGGGTACATGGAGGCATATTACGGCGACTCACGCCTTGACCAAATTCGACCGTCTCGGACTCGTTCTTGAAGAATAACAACCTCGTCGCATCCGCTAGGGGCAGAGTGGCATATGCCTTTTCGTGACACGAAGCGATCTCACTCCTGGTCACCCAGCATGGATTGGTCATTGTCAGCAACCGATTTTGAACAACGCCTGTTAGTCCATGGCACAAGTTAAGACCTACCGAATAGTCCCTACGAGACCTTCGAGCAGGACACCGTATTCTTCCCTGGGTACCCGTTCCCTCGCTCTCCAAACCTTCGTGTAAGATCCCTCCATCAACCATCGCTCGCTATAATCACAACCGGATAGTATTGTATAAGAACCGGTTCTCCGAATTTGATGACTTTCGACGAGATCACCTCCAGCCCACTCACAGATCGATCGGCCATCGTACGTAGACGTCGTTCATCATCTGTTCATCCAGGGTCTCGAGCACCGTGTGGAAATCGGCGATCCTCGAAGAAGCTAACAGGGAAAGGAGGGAGAGACCGAGCAGAGGAGGTTGAGAGGTCGAAGGGGGCAAGATCGCCCTACGAACAAAGGTTGACGACTTGATTAGCTAACAAGTGTTCCGTAATACCGCAGAAGTAGAGAGAGCTCGACGCACTTGAAGTCCCGGTAATAACCGCTCAACATGGCCTCATATCGAGCAAAAGCACTGACATCCCTGACCTTGAGCGAATAGAAGGCTCCGATCTCCAAGATAGATCCTATGATGACCACAAAGGAATGTCGGCTTGTTCAGCTTGGATTGGACGCGGCCAGCTCGCTTGTTGAATGCGACAACATACGGGCTGTCAAAAGGTCCTCCTTGTCCTGCTGACCGTTGGGGCTCAACAGACCTGCTCTTGCGAGGGCGATCTGCAAGTACTTTTGTGTTCAGATCGACGCATCCAAGCTTTAAACCCAGGTCGTCGAGACTGACCTTGAGTTGCGTCAACTGCTTCCCAGCTCCGGCGACGTCCCCTGAATCGTAAGCCTGCTGGAGACTTGTCAGACCTTGTTTGAGCTGTTGGTTAGGCATGATCGTGAATGATATCTATAGGCTCTATTCTATCGATCGAATGGAGGTGCTAATGTCCTGAGCCGACAGTGACGTTCGAATATCCCATAGATCTGCTTGTGCTTGCCCCTGTCGCCTGACGCTGGCGTAATCAGTCGAGGTCGAGCGCGAAGAGTCTCAGGTCACGCAAAGGGATGATGCATATCGACAACTACAGCTGGATCTCGCTACACGGCTCTTGAATGCTGGAAGTCATTCCCTCATCATTCCCGCTACAATTCGCCCTCCTCTTTAACATCGTCGATTCGAGCACGCTACAGGCAGAAATTAGGATCTTTCAGCTCTTCTGATGGACTTCGCGCGCACTCGCGAAGTATACTCGGCGCTCACTTTGGCTACATGCTTGTCCATTTCGACATCGCTAGCTTCACCCTCCTCGACGTCCCGACGTCTAGTCCCAGACTTGCTCTGCTGTTCAACGTCTGGCTTGGCGTCGTGAGACTCTCTCTTGACCCTTTCACGAGTTGGACTAGCCGACCGACGATCGTCTCTGTCCCTACGATGGCTGTCACGTCGTTCCCGTTGTCTAGGGGAACCGTCCTCCGAGCGATCATGATGTCCCCTATCCCTTTCTCGATCACGAATCTTTTCCTATAGCACAAATCATAGTCAGCAAAGACGATGGTGCCCTGATTTGGTGGCTGGTCGGCTCACCTTCTGACGTCTGACAAACTTTTCGAAGACGTCCTTCCTGGCTTGCTCATCGAGGTCCTCGAACTCGCGGAACTGTCCCATGATAGTGGCGGCCTAGCATCACGTCATTTGTCAGCACCGCAATAGAACCTTTGATTAACGATTTCAGTTAGCTTACCTCGTCGTACGACCCTTCGAGGTTGATAGGAGGTTCAGCCTTTTTCATGGCATATCGCAAGTCGTCCATCAAGTGACGCTTCCTTCGCTCGGCCCTCTTACGCTCTTCCCTCGCCACCTTTTCGTTCTGAGCCTCCAACTGAGGTTCAAAAAGCCTTAACACGCCGCACGGTAGAAGCGATGCCGATAGCTGCCAGTAACTCACCAGCTCAAAGACCTGTCTGACATTACGCTCATCGACCAAGCTTGTGATCTTCAGCTCGTGAAGCAACTCCGAGAATTGTTCCCGCGTCATGCCAAGTTCGATTCGCTTGCCAGCCTTCTCGACCGCGGTTCTGATCTTGTCCGCACTGGCCCCGATGGCTTCTCCGATATCATCCACCGCATCCTGGAACAGATCCAACGGGCCTGATCCAGGCATCCCGAGGATGGCTTCATATTCAGGTCGGGTCTCGATCAGGGGCAAGAACTCCTTCCACCTGGTATTGGCCGTGATCTTGCCGGCGTCTTCCATCTCGCTCAGCAATGCTCGGAAGCCATCCCTTGCCTTTCGTGCCCTTCGATTCCTCTCGATCCTGTTACGTCGTACCTTTTCCTCGTGAGTCTTCATGATCTGCAAGGCGTAGCTGTCAAACGCCCTGAGGACGTCCAGGTTGTCAGCCTGTCGCAACTTGCTGTCCTTCTTCCAACGTTCCGAGTCGAGGACCATCTCTTGAGCCGTGTTCCATCGGGTCCCGACCGTGATAGGCAGGTCTCGCATCATCTCGTCTAGAACTTTCATGTTTCGCTCGTACAGTTCTCTTTCGGCGGCCTATCGCAAGGAGAGATCGTCATCAGCGCGTTGTATGTCTGCAACCTTGCAAAAACAACGCTTACCTTTTCCTTCCTCTGCAGGTCATGAATATACTCGTCAAACAATTGTCGACGCTCATCTTCGGCTTCCAAATCCTTCCAGTACTTTTCGTGCCGGAACCGCTCCTCTGCAGTCCGGAAGCTTGTCCAGGCTTTGATGTACTTGCTGCTCCTCGTCATCAAGCGGTGGATATACGGTCGGAAACGGTCCAAGCGTTCTTTCCTAATCTGTTCCCTGTTGGAGATCAGGTTGTTGATGTACTGTCATGACGATATGATAGCGATGGTAGATCAGCTTGATGAATAGGTTTCCTGAGAGTATCATTCCTCTGGCTTACCTTCTGATACACGTTCTTCTTTTCAGCAGACGTGCTTAGAGCCTTGTAAAGAGGATCCATGATGACGGTCCTCATAACCTTGTCCCAACTCCAGGTCTCGTCGACCTTGGTCTTCTTCAGCAACCAGATGAAAGCTTCCTCGGCGTCCCGGACGTTGGTGTATCCGCCAGGGGGAATCATGGGAGCAGGACCGATAGCGAGATCATCCTTCTCTTCGAGCTCGTCTTCTTCTTCTTTTTCAGGGGTCGGGGAGCGGGACCTGGAACGACCTCGGATAGCTACCGCTGAGTCGTTTCGTTCAGCTTCAGCGTCACCACCGGTGATCATTCGTTGCCCGTCTCTATCAGAGCTGTACAAGTTAGCATCCCAAGTCAGATTTGTCTCATCTTAGCTTAGGGGCTTACGCTTCATCGTCTTCTCCCCTCGCTCGAGCGGCATCTGCGTCCAACTTCTTTTGCAGCTTCACCAGCTCATCGGGCATGTCCCACTACAAAGCGACCGAGTGAGTTCCTGCTACTATCAACAAGAGGACATCAGCCGTACCGGGACCCACCTGAGTTTCCTTGGTGACATTATTGACAAAGTACGTCTTTCCATTAGTAGTGTACTGCTTCCACTTGGTAGTAGCGATTGCTCTCTGGATACCGCCAGATACAACTCAGCTCAGCATCGATCTGCCCACCTTTTCTGGAAGAGAACTGACCTCGAACGGCGATTTCAACGCATCAGGCTTCTCCCAGGTAGACTCCTTCGTCACAGTGTTTGCCCAGTAGATTTTGCCATCCTTGCTATTGTACTCTTTCTGTGTTTGGGTGTGAGGAGGGCGTGTGAGTAGAGTCTTCGTTGCAAGTCGAGCAGTCCTGCGCTTACCCATTCTCCGGTCTCGGAAGCGACAGACATTTTGACAATATCTATCAGGATTCAGATGCTGCGATCGTGGCTGACGTGAGTCTGATGAGCTGTACCTAAGCGATATTCAAGAAGACGATGGATATAGACACAGTTGGGTACCTTCGTAGCTCGGATCGGTGATGCATGCACCGCAAGCTGATAGGTCACGTGATCGCACAACTGACTGACTACTGTACCCTAGGAGTCACGGAGGCCGCGAAATGGCACATCTAACTTATCTTTATGATTGACTACTGCGACATCGCTGCACAAGCAGTCACACAAGCAGAATTGTACTCGCAACGATGGATCAGGTATGTTCGATTCTGCAGCGACGCTCGGCAAAGATATGTAACACGAATGCTCACGATGTGGATGCGATCAGAGCGCTTTCCGTAATCTCCTGGCATCCGCGCCCTCCAAGGCTCATACGACTGGCAGAGCTGCTGGAGTACTCGGGGGTCAGACTTTGAAGAGAGGATATGGTGGTGGAGCAGGTAGACCCAAAGACTTGTGAGTGACAATCGCGATCGCCAGGTCAGCTGGAGGTTGAGCGGTGCCGCCCGTACAGTGCGCCTAAGGAGAAGACGGACAAGGGAGAAGCACCGAAACCGGAATTCGCCCCTAGAAAGGTCAAGAAGGACAGCAAGTACAAGGATCGGGCCGAAATGCGACGGCTTGGGGTGGAAGATGAATTCAAGCCTGTGAGTTATGGTCACCTCGGCTGTATTGGATGACTAGTAGCTGATTCCAGACCCGGTTTCTCGAGTAGATCGAGCGAATGCTCGACGATTTCGAACAGCGGGCGAAAGCTGAAGGTGAGGATGAAGATTCTGTGAGTCGGTGGACGTACAACAGCGGCACCACCGATCTTCGCTAAATTGAACTTTTCATGGTAGATCGCTGCCAAACGGGCTTACCTAGGCGGAGATGCCGACCATTCGGCCCTGTTCAAGGGTCTCGACTACAGTCTCTTAGAAGTCCGGAAAGCCGAGCTCGCCGCACAAGAGGGCACCAAGTACGACGAAGAGCTGGACAAAGTCCTCGAAAACGCATTACCGTCTGACGAAGTGATGTCCGCAGAAGCTGGGCCGGGACCGAGCACGACGGGACAAAAGCGGTCGAGGGAGGAGATCATGAGCGCGTTGCAGGAGAGTCGTAAACGTCTGGTCGGTGGGGACGTGCTCGAGGGGGAAAAGAAGAAAAAGAGATCCAAGGTGGAAGCTCCATCTGAGGCACCGACTGCAGGGTTAGGGAGCAGGTTCAAGAAGATCGCTGCGGTCGCTACCGAGACGGACGGGAAGAAGAAGAAAAAGAAGAAGATAGTCAAGGCCGTTCCCGCACAATCCGAGGCACAATGGCCGGCCCCGCCACAGCCTGGGTTGACCATCATCTCGGCCAAAGCGGATATACCGGAAAGTCCAGCTGTCATCCTGGAGAGGGAGAAGAGGCTCGAGGCGGAGAGGCTGAGAAGACGATCACCATCCCCACCGCCTGCAAGGCCGGCTTGGGCGGAGGAAACCACTGAGGCGCCGGCAGTAGTGGAACAGGAAGCATCACCTCCTCCCTTGTCTGCTGCTCCCGCACCCGCAGACTTGCCTGAACCAACGCAACCACAAGCTCCTGCTGCCATCGATTCGGATGAAGAGGATATATTTGGCGGAGTGAGCGATTACGAGATGGACCTGGGCAGCGACTCGGAGTCGGACGCCGAGAAGACTAAACCTTCAAAATCCGCAACCGAGTCTAGAGCGCAACTGAGCCTCCCTCCTAAGAAGGGTAAAGGTTGGTTCGGAGACGAGGATGAGGAGCAAGAGGAGGCGAAACCGAGCGATTCCATGTTACCTAATATTCTCCGGACCACCAGGCCCGTGGATGAGAGCGCTCAACGTCTCCCCTCGCGCTCGCCGTCACCGGAAGACGGCACGCTTCGTCCTCTTCAGCCGTTATCCTCGTCGAAGCTCCCTTCGGCGAAGGAGCTACTGGCCATGGACAAGGCTGCCGAGGCGGATGAAAAGCGACGAGAGAAGAAGGCCAAATGGCGGGCGAAGCAGGGCTTAGCTGCTCAGGAAGGAGTTGGCGGGGACGATGATGGCGATACGCGGGGGGATAGGGGTAAGACGGACAAGGAAAAGGAGATCGAGGAGAAGCGAAAGTTGCACGTAGAGACGCAAAGGCTAGAAGCCTATATGACCAAGAAGAAACAGGGGTGAGAAGGGTATACTATAGCACTAAGCTGCTGTTGTACAAGATTACTATAATGCGCAATTCGATTCGCAACGCCGGATGGCATTCAATATACTCGACCGACGCCTTGACATGCTCGGCAGAGATCGTTGTCGAAACTGAAAAAGGTGACGGTCTCCCCGGTACCGCCGCACTTGAAACATGGCCTGTACAAAGTCGAGGTCAGTTCGATCTGATCCGATTCGATTCCAACAGTTCCAGGCCAAGACTTACGTGCCTCCCAGCCTAGGATCTCCCGGACGAACGACGAGCGCCCCAGGCGGTGGCCGAGTCCCACCCCATCCATACCCATTTCCTCCGTGTGAGACGAACATGGTCTGCGCCGGTCCGCCTCCGCCTGCACCCGGATAACCCGAATGAGAATGACTCGGACGGGGGGGCATCATCGGATAGTGCTGAGACTGAGGTGGTGGTGGTCCAGCGTTCCCGTTACCAGCAGGATATCCGGGAAAATAACCCGAAGGTAATCGATTCGTCTGTCCTCCGCTTGCGATCATCCCCGGTCGGAAGGCGCTATCGTTCATTATCGGCCGTTGAGGCTGTGGGTACGATGGCTGTCCTCCGACTTGGTTGAGATTCTGGGAGAGCGCCATTGGCCGTTGATAGTTGTTCGCGCTCGTCGTGGTATCGATATTGTCAGTCGTGTCGGTAGGCCAGGAGTAGGACATGGCCTGGGTATAGGGTTTAGAATGTTTCTTCCAGCACTGCGGAAAGGCAATGCATGCAGGAGTCAGTTGGGCTTGGCATTTTTCGTATGTAGAGGTGGGAGTTGGTGTCGCTGACATTTTTGCAAGGGTGGTATGGGTCATCGTTCTTGAACCCCGTATTATAGCCTGAGTAGAACGAAGTCAAGCAGTCAGATCATGTACAATGTCATCGGGAAGCATCATAGGATATCGCTCACATTTCGAACAGAAATGACCTTTCGGATAGATCAACACCTTGCCATCTCTCAACAAAGGCCTTCCCGGGGTAGGTACTTCTGTCGGTCCAGAACCAGGTGGTACTGAACTTCCAGGTCCAGGTCCCGGCCGTGACGGCACACCCGGAGGCGGTAACCTCTGCGATCCCGGGTTAGGAGACCACTGGGACGTCGAGGGTCCCGCCCAGCTATGATTCGCATTGCCCGAGAACTGCGGCCGCATCGGACCTGCTTGCATCCCGGTATGTTGTGGTACGAAACTATTGCTGCTATTATTCGTTGGTGGGGGACCGCTAAAATCCATGTACTGTGGTCCCTGAGCGATAGACTGATGACCGGGCGCAGCAGAGTAGGCTGGAGGTGGTTCGTCCGGTACACCATCTCCATCTACTTGGACCCCTGGAACAGGCCTGGCGGATGAAGGAGGAGGGTGCAGAGGAGGAGCATGTATTGTCGGCATCTTGGTGATCAGGCTAGATTGTCTATATCACCGAAGAGCCCGGCAGAGCTGATCCTCTGATGATCAAGACGTCGACACTTCCTCGCGGATGTCACCGACGCTTGCTGAACGCAACAAGAAGGAAGTTAAGGAAGTCGTCATTCCCCTCGCCAAGATTAGCTTCCGAAGAGAGAGAGAGCGCGGATCGAATTAGCTTCCGGATCGAACTCGGGGACGGCGATGTTGTCAACGTCTGAAATCGCTCAATGACAATCCTTTTGGACATTTGAATGGGAACATCTAGCTTCATCATCCTCCACAAGCTACAAATTTACCAATTGCAAACAACGGGGTGTTCGTTATGGACTCGGTTAGCGATTCCGATGATGACGGTCTCGGCCCTGGTCCGGCCGACAAGGACCTGGTCGTCATCGTCTACGTACACGGGCAAGTCCGACTCGGTGGCTCGTTTGTGCAAGTCTTGCAAACATGCTAATTACGGTCTGGCTGCCCGTAATCCGTATAGTTTCAAGGGTACAGATGTAACGTTCGAACAGTTCCCCGAACGTATCAAACATCTGGTTCAGACCACGTTACCTAGGGTCAAAGTTCGGAGTGAGGTCTTCCCTGTATATGAGACGAAAGGAGATCTAGTGAGTCCTCGGTCCAGGCGATTAGAGTTCCATTGTTGACTCATAGCTGGATATGCCCCGCTACTGTTGTAAAGAACCATGCTGTAGAGCGGTTCGTTGATTGGTTGACCGAGCTCACGGTTCATGCCGAGGTCGATCATGCTCAAGCCGGAGGCATAGGGAAGGCCAAGATAGTCCTCTGTGGGCATAGGTAACCCTATCGAATCGTTCACAAGCGATGTACAAGTGCCGAAGCTGAGAATCTTGGGTCTTTATAGTATGGGAGGATTGTTGATAGCCGACTCGGTATTGCGCATGCAAGCGCACAAGCAACACCCGGAAGAGCTCTTGTGGCCTAGGGTCATCGCCGTCATAGCGTTCGACACGCCTGTAAGTTGAGACCGCCTCGCATTGTGTGTTTTTGGGTTCAGAAGAGCTGACACTCTTTTTGTTCCTCCTACAGTACCTCGGTCTGCATCCACATGTCTTTGTGAGCACATGAACAGACTGAGCCGTTTGCGGTCGTTCCGATCGCCTTCTGACACGCTGTCTTCCCTTTGTCTTCGTGTAGAAAAACGGTATCACCAAATACAGCGGCCATATCGAGACTGCACGGACAGTCCTCTCTACCGTCTTTGGATCAACAGAGACAGCCTCGGGTTCATCAACACCTACCAAGACAGAGAGTCCGCCCGCAACCTCTGCCTCGACATCTTCCTTCTTTTCCCTGCCAACCCGACAATCCCTCTTGAAAGCTTCCGCCGTAGCTCTAGGTGGAGCTGCAGCGGTAGGAACAGCTTATTGGCGGAAAGATGACATTCAATTCGGTTGGAAGTGGGTCTCGGACCATGCGGTCTTTGTGAGAAACCTTTGGGACGATACGGGCATGAAAAACCGGTTGGAAGGGTTGGCGGGAATGGTCAAGCATGGTCAACGGGACGGGATCATTTATCGCAAGTGAGTCCTCGCCTGGACATACGAACCCAGCTTGAGGATCATGCGCTGATCATACGATATGCTATGACATGCTAGCTTCTATACTCATCTCCCACCTTTCCCACCACAACACCCAACAAGACGCACCTTCTGTCTACTCCCATCCACGACCCACCCACTCTGGCCGTTCTGGAAACCGGTCACTTTCGATATAAGCAAGACCGAGGATGAAGTGGCCTCGCATCTGGGCATGTTCAATCCAAGGTCAAACATGAGCTTTTACGAGCTGGGTCTGGATGTCGTCAAGGCCGTTCATGAAGCGATGGAAGGGGTCACCCAGGAAGACCAAGCAGAACAGGACGTGGAGATGGACTAAAGGGTGATCGCACAGCGTCCAGCGTTGCGGGTCCGAAGTCGTTGCTAGAGTTGTATAAAGTAAGTTGGTTTGATAGCATTTCGATGTTCAGATTAATCAGAGTCACTAATAACCCTTCCTCCACGTAGACCACAGTTGTATCGTGAAGACTCGTCAGATCTAGGTTTAGACCGTTGCTCATGTTGACCACCAAGACACGGTCGGCAGCAATGCTATGAAGCATGTCAGCCATATGCCGATAGATCCCATGAAGCCTTCAGCCGAAATGGTAGCCGATGGGAAGAATGGTGTGCATCGATTTTATCGTTTATTTCTATGCTATGAGACGGAAGGCGACCAAACCGCTAGGTCTACTCAGACTTCTCCCCCGTCTTCTGTGCTTCTTCAGCTAGAATCTTGGCAGATACCTATAACGACAGACACCAACGTACATGCGACACGGTTCCGGTCAGCAAACACGTTCTGCCAATGTCTGCCAAGCTTGCCGCCTTCCATGAAGCATGTCACCGGCACTTACGTTCCGGACGTTCTGCTCGGCCCTCTCGATCCCTAGCGTGACGGACTTTTCGTACAACTTCAAGGCAGGACGAAGGTTTCCAGCTGCAACGCGAAAAGGCATAGCCGGGATAGGGTCACGTCAGCATTCGGTTTTGCTAGGCAGAATTCTGCAGAGGAGCTGGATCTTAGGCTGAGTTTGGCTTACTGGACTCGAGAACGGCGGCGAGGTTGAAAGCAATCTGCGCCGCAAGACGATACAACACAGTCGGCATACGCGTTACGGTGGTTTTGATTTCCGTCTCGCAGGACGTGTACCTACCTCAGGATCATCAGGTGCCAACTCCAAAGCTTGCCTGTTCTCACAAAAACGACCTAGTCAGCCCCCTATTCCATCGACTTTCTACCGCCTGTCTTATCGCCATGCGGAATCCCGTCTCACCCCCCAGCCGCACAACTCACTTGAGATGCCTAATAGCCGCACCCGGTTCAGGCGGACTTGATAGGATATAGGCCGATGCCAAGTTCATGTGCGAATCCGGACTGTCGGGTTGGATGGTAAGGGCTTGTTTCCAGGCTGTGATGGCTTCCGGAGTGTTTTCTGCATTTCCCAGCAGAGATTCACGTGTCAGCCGAGGGATCATTAGAGCACATTTGGGCAAAGGCGACGACAAGATCAGGGAGTAGAAAACTCACGGAGGTGGTATTCAGCTACCTAAGATCCGCACTCGACATTCGATTAGCTCTCCGCAACCTTACAAGCTCCAGTGACCAAAGCCTTCACCTACTCACACCCAAATTGAAACAAGCCGAAGCGGTAGGCTTGATCTCGACACTCTTGGCATACTGATCCCTGGCGCCCTGAACGTCTCCCTCTTCTAGTCGCTTGTTACCCTCTTGCATGGCTTCCATGGCGGTATGCTCGGTTGGGTCTTCTACTGAAGGCGCTGCGGAGTCTGTGCTGGCGAAGCCTGAGGCGTCGTAGGTGTGATAAGCAGGACATCAATACTCTCCAGTCTGTTCATGATGCTACTCACGCCTGGAGTAGAAGGATAGGTTGTTCAACCGGGGCACACTCGAAGATGCTCGGGTTCGTGCAACGGTAGACATGCAGGCGATCCCAGCTCGACGGCTAGGACCGGCGGTAGCGGCCGCTTGACGAAAGATTTGAACTGCTGAACGACGCATATCTATTATCTGAAGGCCGTTGTGTCTCAAGTTTGATCGAACGAGTGCTGCAATGATCGCGAGCGACACCCTACAATATCGAGAATGAGATGTTCGAACTTGGTGAATTGTACAGGCAAACAAGGTTGACTTAGAGTCTCACCTCTGTGCGATTCGGGTCACTTACGTCATCCCGTGGGTCCCGGCTGAACCCGAGCGGGCGATCGATCGAGAGAGATTGTCAAGGAAAGCTGGTCGAGACCCTGAGGACATCATCTTTTCCTCGAAATCTATCTGATTCACAACCATATACCTTTCACAGGCTCGAATCAATCTCTACAGGCTACAAGATGCCGTTCTTGATCGCAGGCAGAGGTCCCGTTGCAGCCGGTTTTTTGCCCTGCTTCGAGACCTTCTGTCGATCGCCCGTCGCCGGTTCTTCTCAATCGTCACCGCTCTCAATCCATTATACTTCTCGTCGAACCTACGCTCAACCGGCCAGTCGACCCGTCGAGGATCAGGACAATACAAATGATGAGCCTGTACAGCGTGCTAACTCTGGCCCTAGCACGACCGCGCGCAGAGGGGGGATGTCGGATGAGGAACGGGCCAAGTGGGCTTTCACGACCAAGATCCACCCGACGCCTTATGATATCCTCCATCTGCCAAAGACGGCTAGTAAACACGATATAAAGAAGCATTGTAAGATGTCGTCTCTTCACGTTCATCTCGGCTTGTTCAAACTCACTGTGACCGCTTGCCCGCACTCCGAAAGATTACCGCCTAGCCATGATCTATCATCCGGACGCCAACCACCCCTCGGCATCGACTGACAACTTCATGTCACTTCGCAACGCCTACAACTTGCTCAAAGACGAATCCTCTCGCGTTCGATACAACCGCACCGGGGTCGGATGGAACTCCTCGGCAAGCTCATCAAGCGGAGGTGGTGGGATGGGCACGAACTGGAACGACGAACTCATGAAGGAACAGATCCGGCGTCGCGCTTATGGTCCTCATCGGTCTTCATCTTCTTCTGCGTGGGGATCAGGAAGAGGCGAGGCGGGCTATTCGCAAGCACGGTGGGGCGGGACCGCGGGGGATTCAGATTACGGGTTCGCAGGTTACGCACATGCCGGACCGGATACTGGAAATAGGAGGGGGAATTACACGTCCAATGTCAGGTTTATCGGGTCGGTCGCCATCGTGGTAAGTACGATCTCTTGCTGAAGAAGTTTTCTCCATAGGTCTTTATAGGCACCATTCCGGGGAGAAAAAGGAGAGGAAAAGCTGATCTTGCTATTCGTCTTTGCGTAGAGCGTACTGTTTGCCATGTTTCAGTATGATCGAGCGAGCAAGTCCGCCGAATCTCATCACGCTCAGCTCAGGATCAACCATCTCAAGTAAGAGCCCTTCATCGTCCGAGCTTTCCTCTCGCAACTCATCTACTCAAGCTGACGTTGCTCTTCCGGCAGAGCCTCTGAAGCGCTGGCAGAAGCTCGACATGATGCCAGACTGTACGGCGCCGAACGTCGTGATCGGATCAGGCGATACGTCCGCAGTCTCGAAGTCGAGCGCGAGTACGAGCGGTTGATGAGCGAGAGCGAAGGAGTTGTGGAGGGGGGCGAGATGGTAGGCGCGGTGGATAGGAGGAAGGAGGATGCGAGTGCGATCTTGCATGGGTCCGGGAAGGGTTGATACCGTCGACGTCCTTTACTGAAATGAGAAATAGATTATTCGTTCGACGCATAACTATCAAGGTTCATATCCGCACCAAACTGGATCGCGTTCGCCTTGGTGATTTGGGGTCAATCTCGCTTCTGTGCCCGTCGTCATCTCAACAACCCCATCAACAACCCCATCAGATGAAGTTAACACAAACAGCAAACACTCATTCGCTCATCTGATCAGTCCGACCTCAGTTTTAAGCGAGTTCTCCGTCATGTCCTACTCAACGAGGTCTAGGATTGGTGTCTCGATCACAGCAAGTGACGAACATTGCCACCCTCTTGACCTCGCCGAAGCGTCGGCACAGAAGGGGTCTGTCCGTCAGGCAAACGAGGTTCAGTTCATGGTGCAGTTCCTCTTCAAGTCTTGGGAGAGCTGCCGGTTTAAATTTGCCTTTCTCGATCATGGCAATCAGGTGTGAGACCCTGTTGCTATTCGCGTCGAGCTGCTCGGCCTCCTTGTTCGTGTCGATCGAAGATGTACCGATAGGGGATAGCTAATATATCGTCAGGAGATACATTGATGATATAGACGTCAATCGCATGTCGGTACACCGCTTCAATCTATACGACTAAGGACGACCTTGCGTTGATAAGCCAATAGAATTGGAACCATATCCCTGATCCCGAACTCTGGCCAGAAGGTCTTTACGAATTCCAGCGAAGTATTCGATGAGCACTGTCGAGGACAGCGGAGACATCAGCATGTATGTCCTTCTTGAAGCCATGCTGTATGCCGTAGCCCAAGCTTACCTGCCACATCATGAAATCGCTCAAACGTTTGACGTCGCTGGTCCGGATCAAGATGTCCAATGGAGGAGATCCGGACTTTTGTGTGGAAAGGTTACTGAACAAGACGTCCGACGTGATCTCACTGTTGCAATGACTGGTTCATCAGTAAACCTGCCGTTATGCCAGTCTCTGGTGCAGGAAATTTAAAAGCTTACTCGGTCTGGATGAGCCCTGCACGAGCGTCTGAAACGGCCGACCGGATCGCGGTGGTGACCTCGTCTCTCGAAGTGTACGGGCAACATACATTGAGTATTGACCTGCAATCAGGAGGACAGGAAGGGTAAGCAGCTGACGAGACTCATCATGTGATCATCGTGACGAAGCGATGAGATGGTCAGGGGAGACGTAACGTACGATCTGTGTGATGATGTAGATTCCTCCAATTCTTGCATAGATTGCTGGATTTCTAGTGGTAGAAGCGATCTCCGACCTAGCACATTGACGCGGACGTCATAGCGATGTAGAAGTTCGCTATCGTTGCGAATCAAGTTGATAACGTTAGTATTAACGAAAGGGATGCGGGACCATCTTCCACGTCGACTCCGCTCACCCTTCTTCTGAGAGCCGCTTGAGATTTGTCTTGGCGAGATGCATTATATCGTCTATCTCTTCTTGTGGCCGGGTAAAGTTTTCTATGCTGAAGGCGTATACTGATACGCAACGTATGTTTAGACGAAGGCATTGTTCCAGGATCTATGCGCACGGGGTTATGACAATGGGTTTAGCTAGACGCATATTAGCGACCGTTGTACCGTGCCAAGCTCACCCCTTTTAGGCTTTCAAACCCGGCTTCATGACCCCGACCCACCCTCAGGCCTCTTTCTCGAGCATACCGCCGGTTGCCATCCATTACAATTGCGATATGCCGTGGAATGGGTCCGCAGGAAAGAATGGACAGGAGCAGCCGAGTGAGTCGAGATGTCGCATAGCTCGACAACGAGTTGAGGAGGTCGGAGAGAGTAGCGCTCAAGCCTGAGAATATCTTGAAGGTATGCATATCGTACTAGATTGCGGGATATGCTGCAATGCCTAGATGTGCTTCTGTGCTTCGATAGTACAGACGTTCAAACGAGAAGATAGAACTAGAAAGTTGGTGAATATCGCTCCTCTCGACTGCGACCCTCCCTTTGATCGGAAGCGTAATTTACTTCCGAATGTCTAAGTCACGTGATCTAAATGTTATCGATCACAAGAGTTGCGAGATGTTCACTTCGAGTTTGACTTTTGAGATTCACTTCGAAAACGCTACTCTGGCTATCGTTCGGATTACCTTTTGGCAACCCAAAACTCACAACTCGGCATGTCTTCATCAACTACCAAACAGCCGAAACATAGGGTATCGATTCCCGCCAAATCTGCCTTGAAAAGCGGCCCCTCGAAGAGCCAGAGCAAGCGACCCGCAGGAGACGAAGATGACGAACCAGTGATCATCAAGAAGCGAACAGCACCGTCTTCGAAAAAGGCCTCAAGGAACAACGAGAAGGACGATGAGGAGGAAGGTCTGAGTGATCTGTCGGACGGAGCCGACGGAGAGGACGAGTTCGATGTTAACGGGATGGAGGTGGACGAGGAAGAGGGCAGTAGTGATGAGGAGGGTGATATCAGTACGGACGAGGAGATCGAGGGCATGAAGGCGGACCGCAAGAAGTCGAAGAAGAACACCAGTGAGTCACTTCTGCGCATCTTCAGCAAATAGACAAGCTGACGATTTTATGCGTGACCTGGACAGAAAAGCGAAAGGCAGCTACCACCTCGGATGTCTTCGCTTCGACGCTGACATCGCTGTTGGAGGAGCCCGCCACTAAACGACCCAAGACGGATTCATCAGCCCCTCCCAAACCTGTCAAGACTGAAGTCAATCCGATCCTCGCTCTCTCCGCCGCCTCTGCACTCCCCCCAACGACCAAGCAGATCAAAATCGAACGACTAGCCAAACGACAACTCAAGCAGGAAAAGATCGAGCGGAAAGATCGAGCGCGGGTCAAGGATGTCTTGGAAGGGTGGGGACCGAGGGCGATCGTCGTAGTAAATCACGACAAGAAGGCAGAAGTCAAGGACGAGGGCAAAAAGGCGGGTCAAAAGGGCAAGGGGAAAGGGAAGGGCAATAACAGTCTGGTGCAAGAAGGTGTCGAGGTGATGGCTCCCGGTGGCCAGGAATGGGAGCGAGGTCTCCGAAAGGTTGCTCAACGAGGAGGCAAGTACAACCCTACCTACCGAATGGTTCTTGCCGCAATCCTAACCCCTCAATCCTGCTTCGGTCGAAATTCAGTTATCAAGCTGTTCAACGCCATCGTCGTCGCCTCAAGTAACCACACAGCACCCCTGGCCAAGGACAAGATTGACGCGGCGCACAACGACAAGAAGTCGAAGAAGTCCGACAAGGACAACATCCTGGGACGTGGAGGCAAGAAGGACGATGTCTTGACCAAGGAAGGGTTCTTGGGCATGCTGAAGAACGCATGACCTTACGGATTAGAGCCACTCGGAGTCATCTTGTATAGTGAGACTTGGATGATGTTGTGACACTATCGATTAGCCACGTTGAATCGGATTATCCGAGTTCGTTCAGTCAGTAAGCCCACTGGCTGCGAAGAACGACGACATGTTACCGCGGCGTCAATAGGGGAAGATGGGGCGCGGGATCGGAGGATTGGTCCGGCTGAATTCATCGAAGACTGTCGTAATATCGATACAAATGCGTGTTCCCCTGATACAATGCGCGGCCCCTGCGAGGTTACATTACCTTACTTCTTGATTGCGGACAGTTCAATGTCCGGCGCTGGCCCCGCCTCTGGCTCAAGCGACGATCTGTTCTGCTTCTTCTGTCGAATAAGCGCGTCCGAATCCTTGCGGAACGTCACTTCCTGCAGAATCGCAGGACACAGGTTTGTTCAATCAGTTTCCTGCCATCTCGTTGCCGACGCCGCTTCCACGCTTGCGGCTAACCTTGATGAAAAATGACAAGATAAAGCAACACCCGGCGATTGCGGTGAATGCAACGAAACAGGTTCTGATCGAGGCGGCATAGCTGTCGACGATCAGGAGACGAAGATCCTCTGGTAGGCTTGAAGTGGTGGCCAACGAGGCCTCGAGGATGGTCGCGCGGATTTCGGGCGATAGAGACGATGGAAGTCGGGATTTGAGTACGTTATTGAAGATGGCGTTGGAGGCTGAAGTAAGGAGATTAGGGTTAGAAACGGACCTGTGGAAGGAGTGCTCATCTCCAAGTCACCTGCTAGGCCAAAAGCTCCGCCTGTAACAAAGTATGCCAAGTGATCAGCCACCAGATCGGGGGTACAACTTTGCTGAAACTTGCCCATTGTTCGGAAGAAGTTCCGCGAGGCTGTTACGACCGCTCGATCCTTGTCCGGCGTGACAGCCATCATGGCGACCAGAGCTGCAAGGCCAAGTACGGTGTAAGCTCTGGGTGAACCGAACGGTCAGACTCGAAAGCTTCTCTTACTTGTCTGCAAGCACCATCCGACACCTAGCGAATTGACCTGCAGGATACCGATCACCTTGCCGAGTGTTGTCGTTCGACCCCAAAGCAACTGGAGGCCGGAGGACAAGGTCCACATGCAGGATCCGAAGATGATGACCGCCTTATACCGATTCGTGCGCGAGATGATCTGGCCGCCCAAGACTCCCCAAAAAGCCTGTGGAAGAGTGTAGGCGAGTACGAGCGCACCAGACTTGAGCGCAGTGTAGCCTTTGACGTATTGGAAGTACATCGGAACGTAGAAGATGTTCCCGTAGTAGATGAACCCGATCAGAAAGGATTGCATCAGTAGGATAGAGACGGAAGGGGTGCGAAACAGCCGAACTGGATGAACGCAGGAATGGGCGTGAGATGGATTGAGCGACTCGCTATCTCTTCTAACTTACGTGGCAGAATCGGTAAACGACTGAGCTTCCATTGGGAACATAGAAAGCCAACAAGCATGGCTCCACCGACGACCAGCAGAGCAATGACAGTGGAGCTATTCCAAGCGAAAGCGCTACCGCCCCCGGATATCGGTACCTAAGGCCGGCCAGAATGAGATCGAGGCTCTTCAAGCGGATTTATGCTCAGGCTTACAAGTAGCAGAACCGTCGCGCCTGCACCGAGGATGATTCCAGTATAATCGATTTGACGCAGTTTTGTTCTAGTAGATCCGTTTGAGAGTTATATGAGGAGAGTCGTCACGTCGGAATAAGTCCGAGGCGATACGTACTTGACACTGCCAACTACCGGCTTCAATGGCAATATGAAATGGGTGCTGATCGCGATCAGGACAGATAGGGGGCAGGTCATCCTGCGAGATAAATTGGTAATCAGCTGGGCATCCAAGAACAGCATCGCTCGAGACCTACCAAAACACCCATCTCCATTGGCCCGCCGTAGCTAGACCACCTCCAGCGAACGGTCCAATACTATTCCCTATCGAGGTGGCCGCCGAGATCAGACCTTGATATTTGCCTCGGTCTTTCAGGGAAACGACGTCAGAGACCTATAGTGTGACGAGAAATGTTCAGCACAGCTGATGGTTTCACGAAGAGCCTTCATGCTTACGACGGTCATGGCGATTCCGTTGATTCCACCTCCTCCCAGCCCGCTGATCGCCCTAAAACAGTAGAGCTGAATAGGGGTCTTCGCAAACCCGCAGAGCAGGTTTCCGAACCCAAGAAAGAGGAGCGCGAGTTGCAGCATAAGTTTGCGGCCGAACTAGAGCAGTTGAGGGAGGTCAGTGCCAGGTCAAGGCAACGGCTAGAATTCGATAGAACTTACGATGTCGGAAAGTCTTCCGTATACCAGGTGCATGGCACAGCTAAGAAAGGCGACTAGGATCAATCAAAATTCATAAGGTTCGAGATGTCCATGTACCCCTTACTTGGCGACCAGGAATGATGTTCCAACCCAGGTGATACTACAATAGATGCCATGCCAGGTCAGCTACATGACGGCAATCAACGTCTGGTACATGGCCTGCCCTCACCTATCGCTGCCGCCGATATCAGTTCCGATCACCGGTGCCGCAGTACTGACACTCGTTTGATCCATAAAACTCAAGATGAGAGCGAGACCAATACCAAAGTAGATCATTAGCAGACGAGAGAGTGGGAGGCGTATGGACTGGTCCTGCAGGACGATCTCTCGATCGGGTTGGGCGGGTTCATCGGGGTCGAGCGAGGTTGGTACGTCGTCCTCGATCTTGCCCATCTTGTTGTTATCCATCGGCGACGATATGCGTTAGATCGGTGGTCATTAGGCATCAGGATGTCATCATTGGGTGTGGGTACTCGTATCGCTTTGAGAAACCTCTCAATTGAACTTGCACCTGCAGGTCGACGTGAGAGGCATGTGAAGTGAAGTTGATGGTGACCTTGTGGTGCGACTGGCGACTGGTCATCCAACACCGAAGAACGACCCAATATAACCGACAAACACCGAATCAGAGATCAGAGATTGATGCCAAGACCGAAGTTGAGACATTTCTATATGCGTTTTCTCCTCACTCTACCCCTACATGATGCGTTCTGAGGTCGAGTTTCATCGATCGACCGCTCAGTTCTTTGATAGCAACGCGATCTTCTGGAAACAAATGCAGGAAGGACCAATGCAACAGCATTTGGTATGCTTTCGTCGACCGCTTCTAATACAACCGAAATACGGCAGCTATTGCTGTTATCCTCTTCAAAAGGACAGGTCACACTTTCCGACGATCTGCGAGTTACCCCCCTCCCCCCCCTCCAAACCATCTAGCGCGAGCTGCCTGATATATTTCTTCGCAACTGGAAGTCGAGGGGGGGGTGGGTCGTTGATTCAGGATAGGTAATTGAGGGTTACAACGTACAGCAGACAAATAGGTAGTGTGGCCGCGAAAGAATGCCGCAGATGCGGTGGGGAGATATTACACAATTGGTGAAAAACTAGAATCTATCGTATGCCTGAAATCGCTATTGTGCACGTCAAGTGGCGTGGAAGGTAAATCCCGTCGTGTGTAAAGTCATGGCGGACCACCGGACCTGGCGCTCTTGGGACCAATCAGCAGGGTAAGTTGAAGGTAGCGGATGAAATGCTCATCTTGTGTCATGCTAGTTCAACACTCAAACCACATGCTTGCCAAATCCACCGCATCTCATTTGTTGTTTCCAGAAGCCCTTCTTCTTGTTCACCATCACCGAAAGATCCAGTTGCTTGAGCAACTCCTTGAAGTGGATTTCCCGCTGAATTCGAGACTCGGCCAAGCCTACAGTGACCTGGAGTCTGTACAAGATGGCGACCTTCACCTGAGCTCGTACTTGACATCAAGCTCGTTGCTGGATTGTGCACTCACTGAAGCAAAGGATCGGCCGGGGATTTACATGTATCCGTAGGCTAAGGTTCTCAAAACTTGCTTTCAGGGAGGCGAAAATATGAAGGGCTACATGTCAGTAGGATCAATCTTGTGGAGAACATATGATGGATGCTGCGGTGGAAAAGCTATCGGGATCGTTCGAGCCCTATGTATCGGTGGTACATGGTCACAACCACATCTCATGTAACGTTTATTTCGTTGACTTTCGTCAAGCTCATTCGACTTCAGTGCGCTGTCGCATTGTAAGGTAGGTCTATGAGAGTTGAATGACGAAAAACTGCCATAAATCATGTCTCGGTTCGAAGAGGGTCCAGCGGATGGTGGCATGAATTGTGAGATAATGCTCGATGGTCATAAAATCAAGCGAGATGATCTCAGGAAAGCTCGTGTGTGACGCTCGGACTCGATTGACTAGCTACCATCTGACGTCAAGATTCCCGATCTGGCGGATCCCAAAGCTGATTCGCCTTGCTTAAAGGACGCGCTTCGGTTCCGCGTCACAAAGGGGCGTTGCGCGATCCGGTCTGACTCAAAAGTGCCTTTGCGTGAATGGACAGATTGACTAAACTCTCGCTTCATATAGTCTTTCACCTTCACCTTCCCTTTGACTCGATCTACAAGCTCAACATATCATGACACTTCAGTGGGAAACACACGAAACGAACCCGATGGATACTCCCCGCCTATTCGAGGGAGACACGCGCAACAGTGTGGACCATTTCGATGGCGAAGCCAACGTCGCGCTGATCTCGTCTGACGGCGTCCGCTTTCAAGTCTGGGACTACGAGCTGCGAGCCGGAAGGTGAGTACTGAGCCGAATTATGAGAGCAAACGGGTGGACAGCTAATGCTATCTCCCTGGGTCTTGATGACAGCGAAATCTTTAGAAACTGTCTTAGCATAGGGGAAAAGGGCAACGACCGAGTCGCCACTTTGCGCTTGGTCGAACACTCTGGGATCATCAGGACCATCCTCGACGCACTGCTCTTGCCAGTCAATAAGCTTGAAGCGATCCCTTCATACTGGACGTTCGAAGACGCCGCGGCAGACTATGCCGCGGCTGAAAAATACATGCTGGACCGATACATGTCGGTCTTTCAGCGCCGCATCGAAAAGGCCGTCCAGATCGGGCCGTTCGAAGCATTGATTTGGGCGGTCTCCAAAAGCAATGCGCGAGTTGCCAAACTGGCCATCGAGCAGTTTGCGAAAGCGTCTCATCTGGAGATTCGGGCCGGCTCAGTACGAACCGAAGTCAAACCCGGACACTGGACAGCCGCCATGATCGAGTCGATTGGCGTGGAAAACTACCGACAACTCGTCCGGCTCAGCATGGACTGCATCACCGCTTCAATCCAGACCGGCAGGCTTCGAATTGATTGGCTCGCGGTCGCCGAGAAGTTCGAATTGCATACGGGTCGACCTGGAATTGAGTGGGAATGCCAAACGCCGGTCTCTTATGCATCAATGTGATCGTCGTAGGAACTTCATAAGAAACTAGGGGTCGTACACCGACTTGACCTTGTACATGTTGACGTTCTCGTTCGGCGTGACCACCTCTTCGTTACCGCTATCGTTGTAACTTATAATTAGGACCAGGCCAACCAGGTTTGATTTCAGGCTGACTTACTAGATCCTGTCGACCTTGTACATCTTGTCCTTGGAGACGATCTCGAATCCCCGGGTAGCATCGGATAGGTAGACCTTGCCCTCAGCAGTTTCAGAAGCAGCCTTCTCGGAAGGCTTCTCTTCGCTTGTCGCTGCGGTAGAAACCGGGGTCTCCTTGGGCTTGTTCTTGACGTCCTTGGTGGCCTTCATATCTTTGCCCCAACCCTTTTCACCTGGCTTGCCAACAGCCTTGGTCGTGTCTTCCTCGAAAGGCTTGCCCTTCAAGGCGACGGTGCTAGCTCGTCCGCTGTATACAAGCCAAATGCGACCAAGTTAGCTCCTGGCTGTTCTTTGCTTTTGCCGGCCAGACTTACTCGGGAATGAAACCAAACTCCATTCGGCCTTCGCTATCCTTGGTTCCCTGGTAGATATAGAATCCCTTCCTCTCGAACTGGATGATGTCGAACTTTTTCAATCCGACCACGTTGGCATCGGCCAAAGCCTTGACGCGGTATTCAGTGACGGGGTTCAAGACGGCGGTGAAGTCGTCGTCTCCCTCGATCTTCTTCTTGTTGATCAGGTAGTCATAGTCAATCAAGGTCACCGGGACCAAATCGCTCGCAGGCTGGGGCAACCAGTGCACCTTCTTAGACGTCTTCTTGACGTCACCCTCGAGGTGGAGCTCGAGCTCAAGGCTGTCGACCTTGCCGCCATCGGCCTTGGCGATCTTCCTGACATAGGCGTTACCCCAGTCCATAGCAGTGATCTCCTCGTTATCGCCAAAGAGAGCGGCATCGTACTGCTCCATGAGCAAGTCGGAGGAGAAGACGGTCTTCTTGTCTCCGATCTCGGGGTTCTTCTTGTGAGCGGGTAAAGTCTTGGTCTCGGGCTCGGCAGGTCCTCCGTTGACGTGAACCTTGACCCTGTCGACAAGGTTCATGATCAGCCACTTGTATCAACCACTTGCTGATAACCTGCTAGTCTGACTTACAAGTCTTCCTCAGCGACAGCCCAGAATCGAGGAGCGATCGGGTCCAAGACCTTCTTGTTCCAAGCCCAGAGCTGATCCCACTCCATCAACAAATTACTCGAAGAGGCACCCTGCGAGGCGATGAACCCCTTCAAAGCTTCGACAGTGAGACCCCTGGCTCGCATACCTAGAATGATCCGAAGGAAAAAAACATCCTGCGTCAATGCCGCGCAACTTGTTACTTTCAGATCGATCTCGAAGACCCACCTCGCAATGTAGGGAACCTCGGATCCTCCCAAGTAGCCACCCGGCCTTGTTCGACGAGGTACTTGAGCTTTCGCTTGGACAAGACCGTGTACACGAAATCAATCCTCGAAAAGTCAAAGATCTCGATGTGCGCCAACCCGAGCTTCTTCAAGAACCATTCGTACTGGGGCTTCCTGTCCGCGTACTCGTTGGCTCTCAAAGCGTGGGTGACGCCGTCAAGAGAGTCGACGATGGGACAGGCCATGTCGTACATCGGGTAAGCCTTGAACTTGTCACCGGTGATGTGGTGAGGCTTGTTGACGCATCGGTAGACGGCGGGGTCTCGGAGCGAACCGTTCGGGCTGAGGTGGTCGATCTTGGCTCGCATGAACCACTTTTGACCTTCTTCGGTCCCGTTCAGCATCTCTTCGAATCGCTTCATGTTGTCCTCGATCGACTCGTCCCTTCGCTTCGAGGGCACCATGGCTTTACGTTGGTCACGCATCTGTCGCAATGCGTATCCTATCGAGTCAATGTCTATCGTCACACACGAAATCTCTCAGAATTGCACTCACGGTCTGCTGGTCGGTGTCGTCCATGAACGCGTCACCTTGCTGAATCAATCTCCTAGCAAAGTCCTGAATCTTGTCAAAGTGATCGCTGGTGTGGACGACCTTGTCCCATCCGACACCGAGCATCTGCAAATCTCCCTCGAATGACGACTCGAACTCGTCCTCCTCCTTTTCCGGGTTGGTGTCGTCGAAACGGAGGATGAACTTGCCCTTGTACTTGTCGGCGAAGAACCGGTTGAGGATACAGGCCTTGATGTGACCGATGTGGAGGTAACCTGAAGGCTCAGGAGCTGAGAGGCAAGGATGATCAGGATGCGGCTGAATTTGAAGCAGTACACGATCTAGACGTACCGAATCGGACAGTGACCTTGCCCTCAACGGCGTTGGGCAATTCAGCCTCGACAGTTCCTGCCTTCTTCGTCTCGGCCTTGGCGTTCTTTGCCTGCTCCAGTCAGACCCATCAAGATTCAGAATCAGTATTCTATCCATCCGAGGTATAACGTGACACTGCTCACGGTCTGAGACTTGGAGTTGAACAACCCAGTGACAATCTCCTGGGTAGCGGGGAGGGCATCGATGTAGTTGTACCATCTGGTCAGGTGGACGTGCTTGTTCTGCTTGAGCACTCCGAGGGCCTTCAAGGAGGCTATGAGGAAGAATCAAGATGTTGAATGAGTGTTTAGCGGTCTGTTCTCAGCTGGAAAGTGGGATCAGAGGTGATGAACAAGTACCTTTGATGCTCGCCCAGATTTTGAAATCGTTGAAACCAGGTTGACGTCCAGCCAAGAAAGTCCTGTGGTTTCAAGATTACCACCGTGCTCATTAGTATCAATACAGATACAACCAGATGAGAAGGGATAGCATCACTTGCCTGAGAGCGAGGTGATCGTCCAAGGCGTTGAAGATGGCGGGAACCTCTTGGAAAGGAGTCGTCGGGGTCAAGGGGGTAGGGAGGCTAGGCAGAGCGGTCTAACGTAACACACAGTCCAACCAAAGTGAGATCAGTTGATTCGACAGAGTTACTAGCAGATTCAAAACCCTCTGACTCACCTCCTTTCCCTTGAGCTTGCCGGCCAAAGCACCCTCGATATCCTCTACGGTGGTCTTGCCGTCATACTGCAACTTGCCGGCCAACCAGTCGATCTGGATGTTTTGGTGCGACGCGAGCAAGGCGACCGACCAAGGGAAGGGATTCTGAGCGACGTCTACTTGAAGGGACATGATGATGAGTATCAGTCAAGAATGATATCTTTCCGTGGGAGGGTATTATGACAGGTCACAAGGGATATCGAGTGACGAATTCCAAGGAGCACCCGACTTTCGAACCTTGTGGCATGTGCCAGTGCCAGGGTAATGACCGCGCGGACATCAACTATAACTATCTCATGTCCGTCCACTACATTCACCCTCGGCCATTGCCAAGGATCACGCTCCATGCCCGATGCCGATGCCAATGCCGAGGCTGCACTACAGTACCTTCCCCCTTCAAGGCATGCAGTCTAGCACAAGGTCGAGGGATATAAACTCGTTCGGGTGACGATGAACGACGTCGCATCAACACTATCATCCTGCTGGTACATCGCTCAACCGTATTCGCTCCAAGGTACATAATCCAATCTCGTCCCGCTTCAACCTCGCTACCACGTCCCACATCGCCATACCATCATGACGTCCGGTTTACTACTCGACGGTAGCGACCCGATGATGCTGCCCGAAAGAGGCTATACCACCGATTGCATAAGCACCCAAGCTCGAGCCATCAGCATCATCAAGTTTGAGATCGAACGGGCCAAGGCTCGAGGTGCACCGCCGCCCGCAGAGTCAGTTCCCAGAGCAGCCAAATCCGTGTTTCATCTGTTTTTACTATAAAATGACTTCGCTTTCGCTTCCACGATCACTGGCTACGAACGGTATGGGGAATAGAGTATTCACAGATATTTTTGTCCGCTACGTCCGTTGCAAACGGAGTAAAGGGAAACCTCCGGGTCAGATCGGCCTGAAGCTCGCCGACCTCGCATCCACCATGAAGAGTCGCAACATCGTAAGACCAAACGAATTCCTGACATGAGGGAGCCGACGAATACTGAAAAGCCAACTCCTTTCGTTGTCTGGAACGCTAGTACTGGACCTACCCGGAGCTTTTCGACCTGGCTCTGAGCCGGACGACCACCTCCGAAGGCCTCAAAGTCGGGCTCATGCCGCCGACGTCAGCAGGGGTGTTTGCAAACTACATACCGATAAACTTGCAAACACATCCGTATCAATCTATGGATACGCAACCCGGTCATCCGACTGCAGGAACGGGCGGAGCGGTGTCAGCACCAGGACCAGGGTCAACCGCGGACGCTCCGCCCGCTTATCAGCCTGGGTGGGAGATGGAAGCAGCGATGAGGGAGAGCGCGAGGATGGCTACGTGAACAAAGCAAGAGCGGAGTCTTGACCCTGCCAGGCAGTAAGGGAGGATATGTGCGGGAAACATCGAAAGACTAAGGTCGACTGCGAGAAGGAATACAGACAGTACATCGGCAATTCGGAGCTCAACTGTTGGGAGTCATTCAGTGTACGTGGATCGCAATACTTTATAATATTGGGTGGGTAATGGCAGTCAGTGTATAGTATATAGTATAGTATGTAATCAAAGATCAGAACATGTGTATGCAATTATGTAAGGAAGCTAGGAAAAGAGAGAACCGCCATGAGCCACAAGTCAAACGCAGAAGGGATCCATCGGTGGGTGCCACGTCATCGCGCGCGTGATGATCGACCTTTCTTACGGAATTCCTTGACAAGCTCCTAAGTTGCATGTTTGTTTACGTTTCGGACGTTCGAAACCGATGTTCAGACATGATCGACATGACCAGACATGTTCCAGATATGCAAATATCGATCGGATCGGCACGATATAGCTAGATTTAGCTTGACCGTTCACCAAGCATGACTACGCTCCGGGACGCTCTGTCCAACTTGGAGGAACAGACCTACCAGATCCATGACCTCGCCATCCAGACGGCCTCGCGACCCCTCGCTGGTAGGTTCACCCGAGCCTACCTTGACGGCAACAAGAACATTTTCAGCACCATTCGGGAAGCGGCTCACCACGAGCGAGGATTGTTCACTTTTGTCGGAGAGAGTGGTTTGGATGACCAGGGCCAACCTCAGCGGGAGGGGATGCCTTCGGCGTCGTTCGTGGAGAGGAGGAAACAAGAGGTGGTGACCCCCTTGAGGAAAGCTCCGGCGGCAGGGGGTGACGACCCGATCAAGTTACTGGACAAGGCGTTGACGTTGGTGGATGAATAGTAAGTATGGAAGGATGTTGTATCGATCGAGCAAGTCGATTGATCTTGGCTGTTCGTAGCCAATCGATGCCCCGGGCTAGGGCTCATGTGGTAGACCTCATGGAATCTTTCATGTCCACGCAACAAGCCATCAAGGACCTCGAGCAACAGATTGAAGAGGTCAGTACGATGGCTCCATCAGTTTGAGCTCGATCGGACGTTGAATGTGTCACGATCCTGGGTCTACAGGCCAAACAAGGCGGATCGAAAATTCCACACAAAGCGAATCGATCGGCTGAAGCCATCCCTGCAGAGGAAGAAGCCGAACCTACTTTTGACAATCCGGACGATTGGTTGAGAGCGGAAGAAGAGGCCGTCAAGAGGTTGGAGAAGGAAATTGCCAAGAAGAGGCGACACGTGAGTCCGAATGCAGGTCCTTCCATAGGGAAATGCAGGCTGATGTTTGCGGTTCCATCTCTCCAGCAACCACATTTGGCATCTCGTTCCCGAGTTGCAGGCCAAAACGCTGAACTAGAATCTACGCCATCGCCCACGCTTTTGACTCGTACTTCCCAACCCTTGTTCATGGCCTCGCCCGGATCCCCGTTGAAATCGATGAGGTTCCCGGCGTCTCCCAGGCGTCGAATCCAGACCAAGGAAAAGTCGGACATGCAGACCCCGTTGAGTATGGCCCTGAATGCACCTCAATCTCCCGAGACCCCTGTGAATGCGACCGGGTCTGAGAGCGCTACTACCACACCGACTCGAACTGGAACGTCCGGCTCGCCTGGTCGATCACTCGGCGCCAGCGGGAACGTCAGACCCGCCACAACTACGTCTACCCCTCGATTCGCGCAGACGACCACAAGCTTGGCGGCCAAGATCAACGCGCTCACGCCTCATCGGTCCAAGGGTTCACCTTCGGCCAACGAGAGACGACGAGTCACTTCTTACGCTGCGACGCAAGATGTCAGTCCGGGTCCTTTCTTGGCGGGTGGGACATCCGGGTCAGGGCCGATGTCGGGAAGAGGGAGACGAGTGGGGTTGTTTGGTCTCGGACGTAGCGTCAACAGTGGCAAGGAGACAGAGGTGAATTCGAAAGAGAAGGCCAGTCAGGGTGCCGATCCGACGACACCGCAACAAACCGGACGACGTGCAGATCCAGTGGGAGAGTCGACCGTCATAGAGGCCCGTCCTGATTCTGATCCTAGCCCAAGCGGCGTTGAAGAGGTCGGAGACGAGACGATCACCGGACCTGTTGGTCAGGAACCTTCTATGGAACCCGATCAGACGGAGGAAACAGGACAGGAACCGGCCGTGATTGAGGGTGTCAAGGTGGATTCGCCGGCCGTCAAGTATGGGATCGTACGTCTCTATTCCAAGGGAGGTATACATGTAGTGAAAGAGGGCACGGCTGACAAACATGCTCGCGAGAAATTTAGGACACGATTTGGGCGGCTGTTCCCGAGATCCTAAGGACTGAAGAAGCTCCACCGGAAGTCTGCGCAGGAGGGAGATTGGACATTGGGGATACGATGTAAGTCCGGCCTTGAGAACCAGATTGTGCCATGAGACCACCCGACGTCTGACATCACACCGTGTGCGATGTTGTAGCAAACTCTTGGTCAAGATCGCGGCTGTTACGGACATCCGTGCGCCTTCGCCTTCCAACGTCTCGGTCGCCTCTAGTAGCTTGCATTCCGCTACCGGCCAACCACCTCCCCAGGTCAAACCCCCACCTACGACTGATTCGAACGTGATTACCTGCCACATGCTAATGACCATTTTACGGACGGACGAAGCTGTGGTGGTGTGGCCCGAGCTGAAGAAATATCTCGAAGGGATCTGCAAGGAAAAGGGCTGGGAGACGGGCTTGGGCCAGAAAGCATTCTACGGAGCGGTGGCCAAGAAGGTGATCAAGCTCGATCGAAGGGGCGCTGTCAGGGGTGGAACGGTCGCGTTTCACAAGTAGACCCGAGGTGCCGGTATTCATATTGTATATTCTTCCTGAAGGGTTGTTTCACCTCGTGTCTCTTTCGCATCGCAATCAACTATAATTTCTCACGTGACTCTTCTCGGTACGCTTGATGGCTGTGAAAAGCCCCGAACCTCTCGCCTCTCGGCGGCCGCCCCGCGCGCTTTCTTGATGACGCGGCAGCGTAATCTTATCAATTTGGAGCAAACGTTCGTCGTTCGCCACTTGCACCTGCTTGATCTCGTCAACTGTACGTCGACATATACACACTCTGTTACTAAGTACTGTTTCGAAGATTTCCTTCTACCCACAGCATAACCACAACTCGTGACAAGAAGGCGCAGAGATAATCCTGGTCGGTACACTTGTCTTTGCCCGCTCGATCGAATCCTCTTCCGCAGATCGCCGTCGTCCCTCCTCTGTACCTCTGTTCCGATAACGATTCTATCGATCGATCACGATATCACCATGCCCGACAATCCCGAACATGCACAAAAAGCAATTCCGTCATTCCCATTCACATCCCGTGACATTGAACACGGTGCTCGAGCCAGATGCTCACAATCTGCTTGCCCGCCTGGTTGAGGACAGCTTCGTCGCATCGCAGATCAATCGATTTCTCCGGCTGGTTCGACCTTGAACACGTGCACGACGAGACGAAACACGATCGTCAAGCAAACATTCCTTTGACTCCGCCTACCCCGACCAGACCGGACAGAAGGTCCCCCTTTTACCCTTGGCCCTTGGATCTGTTGTGATCCTTTCGTGGTTCAGTCATCACGACATACGAGGTCGACAAACGTGTATTCCCGCACACGTACCCAGCGAAAGCACGCTACTCCGCGTTCTTCTGGATCCGTTTCAGCCTCATCACCTCTCTTCGCCTGACGTCCAGCTACGGACCTGGACCAGATCACAGACGGGGCTCTGTCGATTGCTTTTTTCCTGTACACCGACTTGGACAGGCTCGCTGCTCGCTGTCGACCCGCACCCCTTAGTCAGGAAAATCCATTGACCACGACCTCCTCGCTCCCTCGTGCCTCCTCGATCTCCTTTGCTCACAAAGGAAGCATCAAGGGTTTGAGACGGAGCTTGCCGACTCCTCCGAACGTCGGACTCCTTTTACGACGGCGGACGTATTGCGATTCCTACGCTCGACTAGATTTGGACTGCTAGATCCGTATAAGAGCAACCCCAAGAGGTTTGTTCGCGACACCTATACATATACCCATACACACGTGTATACAAGGAACGGACCACACGGGCCATCGACGAACGCCGCAACGTCGCCACCGTCATCATACCTTGTTGATCCTCTCGCGCCGACAACTCGACCTCAGTTGACAGGCGACACTATCGATCCGGACCGACCTCAACTGGTCCTCGCCGATACGCATACGAAAAGCCTCCTGGAACACCAACGACAAACTCCGCTTCGATATACATACCTTCAGCAAGGCCTGCAAGAGCGGTACGATATAGCTACCATGTCAGCCCAGATCAAATCGACCCCCGCTTCGACCTCGTCTTCGGCGACCAACTCTACCGAGGTCTCACCCGCATTTTACCGGTTCGAGGACCCTATCATCAATGGACAGCTGACCCCGTTGACCAGTGTCGATACCACGCCTGTCAACGAGAAGGAGGATAGTGACAAGCTTGTCCAGTTCAAGGATGTTCACGCTGCCGGTGGGCAGATGCAAGAGGGAATCGATGTCGATGTGCCACCAACCGAGCTCGAGATCTTGCAAGCGAGGGTCAAGGAAAGCTGTGAAGGGAGGACTCAGAAGGTCGAGGCTTGGGGTCATCGAGGCGCTAGTGCCACATGTCCAGAGAATACGATGGCATCCTTCAGAGCGACTTGCGAGGCCGGCGCTCAGGGTATCGAGACCGGTAAGCGCGCCTGTTGTTGCTTTTTAGAAAGTGACCAATGTCATTGACGACCCCCTCGGCTATGTTAGATATCCACATCACAAAGGATGACGTCTTGGTCATGTTTCACGACCCTGAGCTCGGTGGCAAGACTACAGGAACGGGCAAGATCCATGAGACGCCCTGGAACGGGGTTTTGGAGTGAGCTGACCCGATTATAATTAGTGCTGCGATGAATACTGATATATCTATACGACAGGCACATTCGAACTCTGGAACAGCCGGCTCAACCTCTGCCCCGATTCAGCGAGGTGCTGGCTTTGCTCATGGAGCCCGCCAATATCCACGTCAAGCTCAACGTGAGTTGTTCGCCTTGACGGTACAATTTATGTGGGCGAGTTCGGTCTGATTGGAGGAAGACAATTTCATGATGCAGATCGACTGCAAGGTGGAAAACTTGCCGGACAAGTTGTTCCCAATGATCAAGGAGGAAATGTTCAAGTACGAGCATTGGGAGACCTTGTTGGCGCCCCGAATCATCCTCGGGATCTGGCATGTGGGTCGCTGCACAAGCTTGATGCGATGCTGCATAGACTTTTTCGCTGATCTGGGCGCTTTTACCTTTCGACAGCCCAAATTCATTCTGGCTGCTAAACGACACCTTCCCTTCATTCCCCTCTACGCGATCTGTATGTCGGTCGCCACTGTCCGCTCGTTCTTCTTCCAGCACTGCGTCGGCTTTTCGATCGCTTTCCCTGCGCTCTATTCGGCCGATGGGAAGAGGTTCCGTGACGAAGCCCGGGCGGCAGGCAAGAAGATCACCGTGTTCACCGTCAACGATCGGAGCGAGATGCTAGAGTGTATTCGTTGGGGCGTCAGGGCAGTGATCACCGACGAGCCGAGCAAGATGGTCAGCTTGCAAGAACAGGTCAGTAGAGCCGAGCGTTTATGGCGTGCTTCGTGTAGCCATGACTGATCGTGTTCTCACTCGCAGATCCAGCAAGACCCGACGACCCTGTTGACGCCGTACTTCCAGCGCGTTTTGATGCCCTGGACGTCGCCCCGGTACTATGCCTACAAATACGTGAGTTTACGGCGGAACAGCCTCGATAGTCAACCTGCCCTGCTGACTAAATCGACACTTTGCAATGCAGAACGCCGAGGCAGACATAGAGATGGAGTACCTCGAAAGGGAAGGTGGCAAGTTTTACGTCGTCCAGGACGTGATCAATATCTAGCCCAAGGCCCTTCCATACCCCACGGACACTAGATGAGACGCATGGATTCAGACAGATTAGAAAGCAAATGATATGACAACGCCCTGCAGTGTATATAGACAAATCGCCCGTGACTTTCACTTGTACCCCTTGGCCCGTGGATCGCCAGATTGATTTATGCTTCGACGTCAAACGCTTGCATTTATCAAATAGGTGATATGACTAAGGATGAGTAAGAGGTTGACGTTATGGCAGGACTCGATGTCAGTCCCAGCGCGCATCGCTCTCACCCTTCCCATATTGGACACCACAGCTTAAAGAGAGCCTTTTCTGATCTGGGTGTGGGCTCCTTTCCAATAATGATGCTTTCCAATTGTCTTCATGGTCCCTACGATGTTGCTATGCTGCCCTCCTCGATCACACGGCATTACAGCGTCTCTCTGGAGTCGAGATCATAACTTTATGCAATGACAGCCGACGGATGTCCAAATAGGATCGTCTCCCAACCAAGTCTTTTGCCCCCGTTCGATCATGCAAGCCAGGCTTCCTCGAAATGCACCTACCTTCTCCACCAGGCGAAACGGGAGACTGCCAGAGCACGTGCAGGCCTCGAATGCGACCGCAGCACGAGTCAGGTGCGTAAATCGACAAGTGGAAAGCAGCGATGTTGTGCGATATTCAGATATCATCTGAATCTGTTACAAACAATATCGCTCTCTTCCTCCTTGCGGTCGATCACTCGCTGTCCGAACCAGACCCATATGCTAAAGCCAGTCCTCTGGCGGGCTGAACAGGTGCAGGCGCTGATATGGGTGTCAACTTGGAAGGACGAGGGATGGTTTGGTCGAAGACCGAAGGAGCGGCAGGTATAGGTGCAGGTATGGGTTTCGGTATTGTGTCCTGGGCGACGATCGTGTTCGGTACGGGGGTTGGCAAGGCCGTCTCAATGAGATTCCGGTCTTGCGCCTGGTCTCGATGCACGGACGGATCGTGCTGAACAAAAGTGGGTGCTTCCCCGTTCACGGAATCGTGTATAACTGATGGTCGATGACCGTCACCTGAGTGAGCTCCCCTAGTCCTTGTCCCCCGTCCGCGGTCTTCCCTGCCTTCGGATCGACCGCCTCGACCTCCATCGTCACGATGTGACGGGGCTCCACGTCGTCCTCCCGTCGAAACGTTCCCATCTCGACCCCGCCCGCGTCCCCTTCCTGTCTCTGAATACGGATGCTGAACGCCTTGCCCCCTACCCCTCCCACGTCCTCGTCCACGGTCCTGTCCCTGTCCTCGTCCCCGATCTCCTCCGGTGCGTATACCCATCGCCGCTCGAGCATCGTCCACGATTCCCGTCTTGTCGAGACCCTTCTCGATGATCTCTTTCCCCCACCCTTCGACCCGTCTCCTCCCCTCTTCCAACCAGACGTAATCGTCCATCATCGCCCCGTATCCATAGTCCTTCAGTGCGACTTTTTTCGTCTTGTCCCTCTCTCCCGAACATCCTGTGGACGCTTTGTGGGCTTTAGAGCAGGCGAGTGAACAGGTAGGGAGGGCACATCGTGGACATTTGTATTTCGACGGGTTGGAAGAGCATTGTTGGCAGAGCGTGGTCGACGTGGAAGGTGCTGAAGGTCCAGGGGTAGGAAGTGTAGGTACCTCTTCGACTAAGTCCATCGTGTGAGGTTGTATAAGTAGGTTGGATGCTCGACCTGTGCTGTAGCGCGCTGTAGGTCTTTAACGATTTTAACCTTTTTCTCAAAGTCCTTTGACCAAAATCATCAAATTCGAGTTCGTCATCTATCGATTTTTGCTTCCGACCTTTACTGCCGGCGATCAATCTGCATCCAGACGAGGTGGAATTTACTTCCGATCCCGTCATCTCCGGTATCCTCGGGCACGATCTGAGCTGTTATCGTGCTGAGCATGCTGAGCACGAATGATGAATGACCTATACCTCCATAGTTTGCTTTTGATGCCCACTAGTAGCCTCGACCACGACATATCAGCACTAACTTTCCAGTAACAACTAAACATGTCCCTCGAACAACCCGAACTCAAGCGGCTCCTGAAAGCCAGCATTCAAGGTGAGCCTCGATCCGGCCTCTTGCGAACATCTATCCCGGCTTATCATCATCGACCCTCTTGTAGCTAAAGAGACAGCTTATGCACCGTACTCCAACTTCCGGTGAGTCACGAGAGAATATACTGAACGCTCTCATGATATTCACAGTTCAACGGCTGATGCGACTTGTCGTTGGCGGATCTCACCGGGGATCACTGAACGAAACAGCGTCGGGGCCGCTCTTCTCTGTGACGATGGGACAATCATTCCAGGCTGTAATGTCGAGAACGCCAGTTACGGTAAGTATCTCATATACTATGCAGCAACCATTCGCTAGGACGTAGCTGATGGACAATCTTGTGTTCTCGCTGCGCTGAAGGCGCCGGGATCTGTGCCGAACGTACCGCACTCGTCTCCGCCGTGGTCAGTCGACCTTCTCGTTGATATCCATTCCTGACAAAAGGAGCCTTCCAAGACTGACACAAGGGTACCGTTCACCTTACGCCACATCCATGTAGAGCCAGGGAAAGAAGGATTTCCGAGCCATCGCTGTGTCCAGGTAAGTCTCCCGCTCCCATACCGCCTTTTAGCTCTACCATCAGCTCAACGGCTTATTCCATCACCTACCTCGTACGCTTTACTCTATCAACTTGATCCTCAATCTCCATGTCAATGTCCATCTCATCGTGCTCGGCCACAGCGACGTCCCCTCCCCCTCGGTATCTCCCTGTGGGATCTGCCGGCAATTCATCCGAGAGTTCTGCAGCCTCGACACTCCGATCTACATGGTCGGCTCCAACTACACCGAGTCCGACAAGGAGGTCAAAGACGATGGGGAGACGATGGTGGTGAAGACACTAGAAGAATTGTTGCCGATGAGCTTCGGGCCCGAGTTTTTGGGCAAGAAGAAAGTCTGAGTATTGAGTGTACTGAGCGTAATACCATGAGAACGGTTAGGGGTTGAAGTTCAGAGGCTCAAGATCGGGTTGTACGTATTGATCGTAATATGCATAAAGGGGAACCAGCCATCTATCTGTCTGTCTTTCTATCTTGATGTGAGGTAAATGCTGCCAGGTCGTCCATGTTCCCCCCTCTACGCCCTCTTCTTCCCTGCAGCCCTCTTTTCGTCCCGCTCGAGCGCTTTGCCCAACCTGCTCGCCATGTCTAGCATCATTCCGAACGGCAACAAGAAGAACGGGATGTACGTCCCCAGGCCGAAGACCAGTTGGAAATTAGTTGGGCGGGGCAAGGTGGGTGGCGGAGAGATGATGTGTTGGAGGCAGGGGAGGAGGGTCGTGCAGACCGAGGCCGAGTAGATCAGGAGGAGGGCTGTGATGCGACAGGGATGAGATAATTAGTGAATGAGTTGGACGTTCGAGGCGAGGAGAGCATGACTCTGAACACAAGAAGCTTACGGTAAATGCTCTTGATGTCTACACCAACGCCCGACACGCCGAACCAAGCGTATAAGCAGACTATCAAGCTAGGTCGAGCTCAATTATTTGTACGTACTGTAGTAGAGACAATAGGCACCGACGAAGAAGAGCGGGAGTTGGAAGAATACCTCGAGGCAGATGCTTTTCGATTCGCACACGCGTATAATAAGAGAGGATCGGCGGTGCGGGGAGCGATCATCGTCGGGGGGGGGGTTGGCAAAGTGAAACCCAGAGCTTCAGTTTCACTATCACCCGTCATATATATCCCACAGGGATCATTCGCCAAACTCACAACCCCTTGAACCAGAACAAGCTCGGATCTTGCTTCTCCATGCCGAGCATCAAGGTGTCTTTACTGAATTCGAGCGCTTGAAGGTAAAGCGAGCGGATAAAGCCGGGAACGAGGTGTCGAGGGTAGATCGCTTGGCCGTCGATCACGGCAGTCAAGGGCTGCGAAAAAAAAAGGTGCAGGAAAATGAGTTCTGAACCGTATGAGAGGTCTACTTTCTGGACAGAAGCGCTCACGATGTGAATCTGCAGGAAGATCGAGGAGGATCATCATCAGTGCTGTGCCGATGCGTGCAACCGGAATGCAGCGACTTGCCACAAACCACAAGAACCAGAGCTTGTCCAGCGGACGAGAAGAGAGAGGAGTCCTGTCCATGATATTGGGTGTGTATCAGAGGTGTGTGGCGAGCTCAGGTTGATTGACCAAAGTCCTGGACGACTCAGCATTATTCCATCATCTCGACGTCTCTGATCGAGTATATATATTCATTTCTCGCTTGTTGACGATTCAGAGATCGATCCGGAAGCAAAGTTAGAATCCGATTAGCTTCCGGATAACCGCCGTCGGAATCAAATCTCGCTGCAGTGAGCTCGACTGGATATCTGTAGCTCAACAACCTGGCTGCGAGGATTCACTTCTTCTTCTCGATAAACGACTCGACTTGGGACACTCTGTCTAATCACCGCCATTAGCAGAAATTGGAACACGCTGGGAAGGTTCCAGAATCCCCGCGGCATGTCCCGACTGTCCTCCTTGTCCACCTCGTTCCCGAGCCCGACCTCTTCGCCCATCCTCATCGACACCGCGTTTCTCTTTCTCCTACAGGGGGGCTATTACCTCCTCTCCCGTCGGTTCCTTTTGCATGCATTGCCAACGCTCCGACAGATCTCGAAACGTGACTCAGAAGGAGCAGACGGATCAGGAGAGACGAACGATACGGGTATCTTGGGGTTGCCCGGGCTGGCACGGGACGATAACGACGACGAGGACGGGGTGATCAACGCTTCGGGCGGTCTGTCGGATACCGGATCAACCCACGGTCCACCAGGCTCGAATTCTCGTCGAAACAACTTGAACCTGTACCCTCCGACTGGTCAGAATGCTTCCCGAGCTCATTTGGCAACTACGGACGACCTAGACGAGTCGGACACGGACTCGCTCATTTCGTACGCTGCCGGTTCCCCCTCTCCTGGCATTTCAAATCGACCCTCGATGGACGGCTACCCATTGCTTCCCCTGCACTCGCAAGCTCAACCTAACCTCTCGGGTCAACATTCTTCTCACCTCCGTCCAGGTTCCATCGTCACCGACCCCAACGTCCTGAACAAAAAGCTGGCCAAGGAGGTCTCGATCCGATCACCCGGAACCTCTTCGTCGACGGCACGAGGGGTGGAACCGAGGAAGAAAGTGTTGAAGCTGTTTCACGGGAGGTCTAGATCGAACCGAGCGCCGGTAGACGGGGAACGTGTACGGACGACGAGGGGCTTAGGGTTCTTGGCTAGGTGTGTACGATTCCAATCCCGTTCTTGCGCGAACTCGAACAACGTTCTATCCACATGCAGCTGATAGGCTGATCCCTTTGTTTTTATGTTCGAATACCACAGAAACCTCTTTTCACTATGTTTCTCTGAATGTCTCTTGCTTCTCACGTTGGTCATGTTTCATTCGATCGGGATCCTCCATTCTAGGTGAGCTTTTCGTGCCGACGCCGTTTGGCTGAAAAGTCGGGTTGTGCATGGAGCTGAACGCCCTCGGTCTGTCGCATCCCCTTGCCTTGGTGTTCAGATCGAGACGAGTGCATTTCTCTTTTTCCCTGCATGTGCTATTATTGCTCATCCTGTTAGTGGTGCCAATGGTACAATGCCTTCAGTTGACCTATCGCTCACGAGGTCAGTACATATGAATCTTGACAAGACTAGCAAAGCATTTCGACTGACTATAGCTCGCATGTGGTGCTACTGTGATAGATCCTGCACCGGCTGGTACTACCGCAACAACCACAACATCGTCACCTCGACGTCTGACCATCAGTAAACGGCTTCTGCTCGCCATGATCCCCTTTGGAATTTACGTCTTCGCGTTCACCCGGATTCCGCCTTATGTGACCACCGATCATTTGGGTCTGTCAGCGGTGATGCTGGCGAATCAGAATGAGACAACGGTCGTCAACGGTACCACCATCGTGGTAGGGACGGGAAAGACGTCACACAGGATCGCTCTTCCCGCCCACGTGCATTTGGGGGATTACAAAGATCTGAACGATGACGCCGACAACACAACAGATCCATCACGCGAGGATGCAGGTGAGGGTGATGATGGGGTACAAGAGGACTGGCAACGCGGCGGATGGCTAGAACCCAGTCTCGGACGGGTGGTCGTCTGCGGGATCATCATCATGGGCGCCTTGAGCGGGTTTGGAGCGGTGAGGACCGCTTGGGGCTTTTACGAGAACGGGGGTTTGAAGAGCGGGTAGGTTCGATTCTATCTTCGATAGGCACAGTGAGCTCAAACAGCAGAGCTGATCACGTACTGCTTGTCATGCGCTCGCAGCCGGCCGGTCTCCCGAGAAGACATCATAGCGGCCGAAAGGTCGTTGTACCGAGTCCGGCACGACATCATGTCCAAACGGGAACATCTCGGCCGGTCTGATTCGCTAGGTGGCGACGCGAGACCATCGATGATGAGGTCTGCTACTGGCTGGCTGGACATTTTCGGTTCGGCAAGGTCGAATGGAGAAGACAGTTCGGTGAGGAGAGAGTTGCAGGGATTGGAGACAATGGAGGGTCAGGTCAAGCGGTCGTTAGAAGCCATGAAGTTGAGAAGGGTAAGTCTGAGCAAGACCTCTTGGTGATCGAGCATCCTGTAATTGACGTGTCTCTAATTACAGAAACGCCAACGGTTCGCTCAGACATGGAGGGGAAAAGTGTACAACCTGATCGGTCTCGTGTTCGCCTTCTACTGTCTCGCACGGGTATTGATGGTGAGTCTCCGATCGAGCTCGTCGGCAGCGGCAACGCTCGTACTGAGCAGCACCTCACGCGCAGTGCCTCACGTCGGTGCTATTCCCGCCGTTGGCTACGAGTCACATCTCTCAGCCAGGAAAAGACGACGATACCCTCCCTCAAGACGGCAAGGGCAACACGAACGGAGACTGGATATCGTACTCGATCGCACTTGCGCTCAGCCAATTGCCTACGGGCGTTGTCGACGTCAAGATGTGGAGTCGAGCCATCTCGCTGTTACTCACGGGCCTATTGATCCTGGCGTCTTTGGCTCAGGTATTACGGAGCGTAGCGAGAATTCTGAGGTTGACGAGCAAAAGCATCGGAGCTGGATTCTTGTTGCTCGGTCTGAGCCAGCTCATGGTCAGTTTCGTCACCACGCTGTCGCTTAGTCTGAGACCCGCTGACGGTGACTTTCGAATCACAGTCCACGTATGTCATCTCATTGCTGATCCAAATGAGATCCTACATCCCTCCCGCTACGCCAGACGCCTATCTCGAACTCAATTCCACCTCTACAGCCTCGATTGACAACTCGTTCTCTACTGCCCTGGACCCGACGCCGAAGGACCCCTCTTTGTTGGCCACCCTACCAGACTTTCGAGTTTTCGGTCGCTTGTTCGACGTGATGTTTGTCCTCGCTGCCGTCAGCACGATGGTATGGCGGTACGTCGGTAACAAGCTCAACGGACCAGACGAGTTTGGAACAATCTATCATCATTAGGTTGGGAGATGCGGCATTGTGATGTGAAAGGGTCATCCAAGTTGTACAGCAATATATCTATAGATGAGAAGGTATTAGATAGCACAGGAATCGAAGCAGCAGGTTCGAGCTGTCTAAACTCGGCGGCGACCAGTGAGTTATGGGCTGTTTGAACGTGCTAAGCATAACGAAAGCACCTCCAGCTTTCAGGAGCTCAAGATACGGTAAAAACATCGACGATATAAGCTGGCTTGCCATCTCCTCTTTGGAGAAACCACGCGCAACCCAGAATCTCCACTGGTATACTCATCCTCCAGCCTGCCACCCTATCAAGGGTCTTTGCAAAGAAGCCATTCTACATAAGTCGGAGAAGTAGGGCGACAGCAACCACGGCAGTGACGAAGCCCGACTTCCTTAAATGGGCATATTCCATCACCACAATCCTCGTTACATCCCGGGTTATAGACAAGAGGAGATACTCGTCCCCCGTGTTTTCCCATTTGTACGGGGCAGGCACCTGAATTGAGAACGATGAGCCGTTGTTTCTGAGGTAATGTTTGGTGAGAGGGGACGCACCTGGTGACAACACAGAAAGGTGCGGACGTCAAATCCGGTGTCCGGTTTGGGGACAGTGATTTGAACCTTTTGCTCAAAATAATGTTTGGGGAAGGGAACATAGGCCGCATACCCCCGCCCAAGATGCTTTGCGTAGACGTATGCAAGGCTCTTGTCCTTGGGCCAACCATCAAGGACGACGTACTCAACCTTTTCTGACTCAACTGTTCCCAAGGGCGAAATCCTCATTTGGATCATTCGACTGCATGCCACTGCGCCGAACGCAGCAGTTTTGAACTGTACAATAGTCGTGGCGGCGGTCCTTTCGAGAGTGTCAAGCTCGGACAGACATGTGATCACAAAGTGAACCGTGCTGTATTGCCAACGTCGCTTGTCAAAGTGCTCGTGAATGCATGTTTTCTCTGAGTTTGTCGCTCCTTTTCGAGGTAATACAAGATGTCAACTAATGCTAATGACAAGGTAAGAAAAATACAGCTGCGACGAGAGGTGGACGGATTATGGGTCTACAAAATGTCTCCAGCATGAAACGCAGCCAACGTAGTTGTGAAAATAAAGTGGGGAAAGGCATCGCAAAATCGCCGCGAGCGAAGATAATCCGGGTATGCGAACAGTCGATCCCTTCTCCTTGTGGCGAGAGGGTTCTCTCCCGCCAGGCCACGAGCAGAGGGTCGAATGTGGATTTCCTGCATCAGACGGTGATTATCTCTATGTGTATCGTCTGATCCTGGTTTACTGGTTTTCGATCAAGCGGCATCCGACGAGAAATCCTTGTTGGAATCCCGTTTCGAATCGCCGTTTTCCGAAGTGGGCGTCCCTGCGTTGTTCTGTTGCCCGCCATACGTCCACAGCGCTCCAAAGAGATCTTTGGCCGTCGTCGCAAGATTACTCATCAAACTACCGTCCCCCTCGTCTCCTCCCCGACCATGCTGCTGATTCAAGCTCGACTTGAAATATCCGCCCGATCCTCCCGTCTGTCCAGCACTACTGCCGCTCGGCATGGATGCTCCTCGCTGATGTCGCCTTCCGATTGATGTTACATTATTCTGAGCCTTTAATGTCGATGCCGATTGTTCTGCCGCCGAAACACTTCCACTAGCCTGCTTCTTGCCTGGTACATGCACCGTCTGCGCGTGTGGAAGCGAGGCCGGGGATGTGTCGACTAGTGGCCGTATCGCGACCTACGCAAGAGGAAATAAGGAAGATCAGGTCAGAAAACACCGTTTTTATCGGTTATAGACGCTCACCTGAGGTGAAGAATGCGGCGTCGGCGTACTGCCACGGTCCGGGACGTACTCTTCCGACTCGACCTCGTCTTCTGGCGCCGCCGCCTTCTCTGCCTTCTCTTCCTTCATCATGGCAACGCTGTCCTTGGGCATTGTACCGCCCAGGCCGACTGGTCGTTGAACTTGGGGTGCCGAAGGCTTGTCCGTGGCCAAAGGTGGCGACTTGGGACCCGAAGCATCGGCAGTGGCTGTTGACGATTTGCTGGACGATTTGGCATTCGTAGGCGGCTGGGCCGCCATCCGGGACGAACTGGGCGAGATAGACGTCGCTGCAGCGCTTCCCGTACCTCGACTGGCTGATCGCTCGGCAATGTTGACCCCGGTCCTTACGGCCGACCTGCCTCGCGACTCGCCATCCCGTCCGGGAGATGTCGAACCGGATGCCTTTTCGGTGCTGACCAAAGGTTGCAAGGGGGGCGTTTCGTTACCAGCTCCTCCACTCCCCGTCTGACCAAAGTATGAATCGTTGACGTCATACGAAGGCAACGACCCAGCGACGGGCTCCTTGATCACCCGACGGACACCCTGTTCCAGGCCACCTTGACCGGTCGCGGCCGAAGGTTTCCAGTTGAAATGACTGTTAGTCGGGCTGGTCTCTTCATAGTACGGCTGCTGGGAACCAGGGGTCCTGATCTTGAGGATGCTTCGTCCGGGCTGAGGAGGCGAGCTGATCCCTGCGTTCTCGGGTGAGGTGGGAGACGACACCTTGTTGGGCGAGTATGACGTTGGCGTCTTGGTGTTGGGCGAGGCCGTACCCGAAGTCGACGAGCTAGAGGTTCCCGATGACGACGACCTCCATTTGGGTTGTTGCGGGGCCTGACCGACGGTGGCAGCCTGTTGCTTGCCATACGAAGCCCCACCTCCGAGGTGCGTCTGGACCGTCCTGGTTCCCGCCCCGCCCCGTTTGGCGGCGGTATCATACTCGTCCCCGACCCCTAGATCGGGTCCAGAAAAGTAGTCGAAACCGACGGCGTAATCGTCTTCGTCGTCCCAGGTTGGCGAAGTGACGGGCTCAGGTGACACCCCGTCGACATCACCGCCCTTGGCATTACCCACAGGGTATCCGCTCGAAGCCTGTTGCTTGTACGCGGCGTCCACTTGCTCATCGTCATGAACGTCATCTTCGTCCCCTCCACCATGTCGCTCTGCATACTCGCCCGTCGGCGCATAAGCCAGCTGAGGGCTGGGGCTAGGGAAGTCGCCCATGGTCTTGAGCATCGTCGGTGCAATTTTGGCGATGGTCATATGGTCCGGCTGGGAGGACGACGATCCCTGCCTAGACAGCGAGGGGCGGGACGATCGGGTCGAATTGGATCTGATCGAGTTGGACCGGGCGGACGAACTGGCGGATGACATGCTCCTCATCTCGAGCACGGCGTCATCGTCCTCGTCGTCGTCCTCATCCTGCTCGTCGATTGCCGTACCTTCGATACCCGGGATCTCCTCGGGGTCATCGACGGCGATGCACTGTTCGACAAACGTGTTGAAGCTGATGTGCTTCTTGCTGGCTTGTGCAGGCGGCAAGACGCCCTCGACGGGCGTCCTCTGACCGCTCGACGGGTTGTCCTGCGGGGTCCTGCTTCCCGATGTGATGGGACCTCGGGGTGGCGATTTACGTCGCTGATGATGCCCCTTGGTGACGATATTGGTGTCACTCTTGGTGTGCAACAAGATCGGCCTCGACTCGTCCAGATCGTGATCGTCCACCTCTTCCGCTCGAACGGCCTCGAGGATGGGCGATGACGGGTTCGGGATGGACAACATTTCCGATAATGTCCTGTGTTTGAGGATGGGTTTCGTCGGGACGCCGTTGACGGTTCCGCTATCGGCTCGGGAGAGACCCAGACGTTCTTCGGCTGTGGCGACCTTGGGCGGTGGGACGGGTTCGACGGCAGTGTGTAATGGCCCATACAGCCAGGTGACGTCCGAGTCTTTCAGCCTGCGCGGGGGGCACGACCAGGAAGGGCAAGAGCAAGGCGGACGAGTGAATTAGCAGTGTACAAACGGAAAGGTAGACGACTGCCACCACGTCCTGGACTGCACAGCCGCATCGTCTCTGCTATCCATAATCTCTGTCTCTGGTCGAAACCTGCTCGATCGTGGTCGAAGATGACGAGAATTCGCCTTATCAAGCACCTTATCCACCCCATCGCTCCACAGCCACCAGCCCAAACCACCCAAAACTGCCCCCACCCGCTCGTCGAGACTCACCAATTCAAGGTCTCCGGACTGATCGTCTTGAGCTTGTTCCTCTGTTTCCACCACGTCCTCCAACTAGCATTTTCCAGCCTGACCCCGTTGGCGATCTCGTTCTTATGCCTCGTCATCGACCTCCAACTCGCCCAGACGTCTTCCTCGGCCCAATCGTGCGAGAGATAGTCGACGCAGATGGAAGGCAGACGGGCTTGGATGTCTTCCACCGAGGGCGCTGCTGTCGAGTCTATCGGCAGCGAGGTAAGGGAGGGGACGACTTGAGCCATGGTGATGAGTTTGAACCAGGTTCAAGACTGTCCGTGTGTGGCGTTCGATGTCGATAGGTGCGGCTGGGGGGATCGGTAATCGAAAGTTTCAGAAGTGCAAGACCGACGTTATCAGGGGCAAGGCAGTTTTATTCCTGGATACTATGACCACCTTGTTCCCTCTCGATACTCGTTGCGTTGATGCGTGCTTGATGGTGTGTGTGTGCTGTTGTGTACTTATATGATGGAGGACGATGGCCCCGGTCCAGATTGGTGGTAGCTTGACAAGGATGAGGTGATGCGAGTGATGGGACGAGATTGCCGAAAGCTGATGAGTGACGCGCGCACAAGAGTAGCTGGCTGGTGGAGCAGATCAGGCAGGCAGGGGGTGACAAACAGCAAACAGCAAGGGAGGACACAACCGCCGGCAAGGTCGTCTAATGCAAGTCGAGTTGGTAGGTGGTTCTACAACACTTTGCTTTTGGACAATCAAGACCAGCAGCCAGCTATCGTTGTACAATATCTTTCCGCAACGACCCCTGTCCACGGTGCACGGATAAGGGGTGGGGGGATCTGCGACCCGCTTGCCCGCCTACGTTGACCCCTCGAATTTTCCCCGCGAACGATCGAAATTTCAAAGCACACAAATTAAAGTACTGGCTTGCGGTGTCCTGGACTGGCGGCTAGCTTCTGACCTTGGTGCATGTGTCTGCCTGACGGACCTCGTCGTCGGAAAATTGACCGAGACCTCCCTCAGCAGCCAGGACCACGTTCTCCAGCCACGGGGTCGACGTCACGCGTTCGCGCAGAGTCTCACCCCTCGCCCCCTCTCGTGAGAAAGCGAGGGCAAGCGCGGGCGCTCTAACCCCATCCATGGCCATGGTCTAGCAACCCCTCTCTTCCGAGCAGCCGATGAGTAGATCTGGGTCCTCGGCGGTCAACGTCGACACACTGCATGTTTGCATGCCTGGCGGGACCATCGGTCAGCTCGAGCCCCCCCGATCGCGTTTCACCTTGTGGCCGTACGCGGTGTTTGAAACTGGAACATGTTTCGAAACGTCATTGTAAAAAACGGCCCGAATCATACGATTGAAACAGTCGGGAAAGATGAGCTAGGAAATTCACGTTCTTGGACCTTGTAGTGATTGCGAGATTGTCAAGGTCCCGAATGACCTTGGCCTCAGATTTACGTGGCATGTCATCGATACGAATATGTATCGGTGAATACTTCGAGCGACGTGTGCGATGGGTATACAGAAGAAATTAGTCCCTTTGATGTCGCCAAACAACGTCTCGCCTTCGAGGAAAGGAAGCTCGCTTTTGAGGAAAGAAGGCTTGAGGCTGACCTCGCCATCGCCAAGTCCAACGTCCGCAATGTGTCCTCACGACGTCGATCACATACATGCCCTACTTGTGTCCATTTCCAACGAAGGAATTGACATCGTCAAAGCCGATCTTGTTAACAGAGCGGACTGACCATGAACACTATCTATACGTAGCTCTTTATTGCGTGATGGTCTTCCTTCTACTGACGAGAGGGATCGATCTGAAGGCCCACTGAGCCAGTGCCATAATGCAAAAGATAATCCAGTGATTTGGGGATGGACCAACCTATGAATATACGCCGTCGGCGGTTTCCCCAGATAGAGTCAAGTGGTTCCAGTTCGAGACCTAGCGGCGGTGCACAACGCTGCATGCGAGAGCGCCAGAACCCACCTCACCACAAACCTCCTTGACCGGGACGTCAGGGACAAGCTGATGGTTTCCATTTATTCCTGCGCAGCCATTCCTTTGCCCGTTACCTTATCATCGGAAGGCTTACATCCCGTCGCAAACTGATAATGAGCACGAGCCAGCCGACGTTCATTGTCCGCATCGCTGAGATATCTAGCTTCAACGCGCTGGTCGTAGTTCCCTCTCCAATGACAGAGCAGTACTCTAATCACCAAAGACACAACGCCTTCTTCCAAAGACTCGGCGCAGGGCCATCTGCATATCGGCGCCCGAAAATGATCACAAGTTAAGACCTCCATACAACATAGAAATCGAAGGAGAATAGATAGAATAACAATAACCAAAAGCCCATCAATCTTCGTCAATCATATAGTCGGGATAATTAGGCTTCTCTGCCGCTCGATATTCGTCGACCAGGGCCTGTACCGCCTCCCTGTGACAAGAAATACGTTTTATATTCCAGCTGCCGTCCCTGCATCGGCATACGACTAGCCGGACTCGCGACTCACCTCGATCGATCAAATTCATCAAAGTTGTCTTTGAACATCGCCTCGGATTTGTAGTTGTGGAGGTACGATCCGAACTTCTTCGTTTGATCATACTCCCGGAGCATACGGCTGAAACGCTGATGATGACAAGCGCGCTGTCAACATCGACGGGGAGTATAGCCTAGCGAACGGTGCGAAACTTACGTGAGCGATACCAGTATGATTGGCCAGCATCAACCCGCTGACTCGATGGTTCGACGGGGAATAGGGGGATTTCTTGGCGAGCGCTACTTGTATGGAAGCTGCTCCCCAAGGGATGAACCGCGCGAGTTGTCGTTCTCGTATCCGCAGCAGGGATTTATGTACCTAGTCAAAGCCTTTATGTATCAGCATTATCTTCAGCGAGCAATACCGCATACATCGCATACTCACATCGGTCGGGTCTACGTCTCCCTGGATAATGTTTAGGATCGACATGTAACAGCTAGCATCGCTCGGGTTGCTTGGTGTCGACACTAATCGGTTCTTGGGCTGGAGTAATCTCCGCATAACATCCAGTACGGTCGTCTTGCGAACAGATTTGGCCTGGAAGATAGCAAACTCGGTCAGTGAGCACCTAGATAGAATTAGCCCTAGAGCCTCGGCGCACCTTGTCAATCTCATCGCCGGTAAATGGTGTATAGGCTGTCATCAAGAAATGACATCGCGGTGTCGGGATCAACGAGGATACCAAGCTGACGAGGTCGTTGTTCATGTATCCCGGATATCGCAGCGTTGTCGTGGAAGCGGCCATCACGGTTGAAACCTGCGGTACCATGAAGGAAAATTGGGTCAGCTTCGCCATCACTGGCGGGCAGGCATCCTGCACGATCGAGACACCCACCAACTGATTTGTCTGCCTGAAGCTGGCTTCCTTCTGATCCATGTTTTGCTCCACCAACTTGTGCAGTTGCAGATTGTCCACCATGATCACGCTGTCTGCATTCTCGATCAACCTCTTGGCGGCCAATATGTTGTTGTAAGGCTGAACGACGACGTCGCCAACTCCAGGAAATACCGAGTATGTCTGGATGATCTTCTTTGGGAACGAATCCGAAAGACGTTCTAGTAGGAAAGAACCGAGTCCGGATCCTGTCCCACCCGCTATCGAATGCGTGAGCATGAAACCCTGACGAACGGCACGGACATGGGTCAGGTCATTTAGATCCCTCGGATGGTGTTTGAGCTCGCGGCTCACCTCGAGGCTATCACTGCCGTCCGCCTCCCGATTGATCAATTCCATCATCTCTTCGTGGCCTTCCTCTCCCAATGCATAACCTTTAGCCCAATTATTTCCTGCTCCACCTCCATCCTTGTTGACGTAGACGTTTTCAGTGTTGTACAAATCTTTGAAAGCGGATGTCTGGATCTGGTTTATGACCTAGAGTAGCATCCCGTTCATGATGTCTTCAGTAACCGCAACACATCTGGACCTAACATATGGGAATCCTTCTTACCCTAGGTTCAGTATCTATCAAAATGGCACGTGGCACGTAATGATCGTCATCCGCTTGATAGAAAAAGACGTCCTTCCTATCCCCCGCTGGCGAGTGAAAACCGGAAGGACCGCTCGACTCGCCGGAAGCGTTGAGGGGTGTCGAGGGGAGAGAATTTGTGCTACCCTGAGCCCATTCTTCGACGGTACCGTTCGGTGAGAGTCCGTGGTCCGCACATAGCTTCTTCCAGAACTGCATCGGAATGACGGTTGAGAAAGATCAGAGAAGAGCAATGTATGTCGCGACTCGTCGAGCTTACTTCTGAACCGACTGTGTACAAGAGGCACACGAGTTTCATAACATCAGCTAGCGATTGGTGTAAAGACTTGCTTTGCTACTGACTTTGGTTCCCAGCCTGACCCGCTTGAAGGGAAATGATCTCCCTGGGCATCTCGGTTTGTTTACGATGATCTGTTTACCTCCTGACGAGTCGGGGCCTTGCGTTTCTCTTTCGTTATGGGTCGATGCTGCTTGATGGTGGCAGGCTATTGACGCTGGTAAGAGCTTAGGATATGTCTTCGAACGGGGGAATCTGCTGGCTGATGGAGCAAGTAATCACACAGACGTCCGCATCATTCCGAACAGGTAATCGTGCTCGAATGAATGGTGGATATGGTGGTCAAATGCTTGTTGTTGACAATTCGGACCAAAGCTCGTTACGTAACCATCGGAAGTAAATATATCCAACGTTGAATATGCTTCCGATCTCAGCCGGAGTCTGGCCGTACGACTAAGTTAGTACTATCCGCTTGCAGCACGATCAATGGATCAATGGGCACCTGCAAGAAATTCCTGATAAAACATCACCCGACTACTCCTAGCTCCTAGACACTCGTAGCTCGAAACATCCGTACACTTTCGAAATAGCGATTCAGAAACCTCAACCCGGGCGGGCACGATGTTCAATTCCCTATCTCTCGGCAGGAATAGGAACAACAACTCTGCATCCAAATCGCCAAACGAGGCACTCTCAGCTCACCCACTGCTCGGAGCAGTGTCTGGAAGTGGTTCGGTTTCCGAGTTAGGAGTCGTAAATTCTGGTTCGGCCGATGATGCCAGCAAGACCCCGGGAGGTCCCTCTCATAAACCTCGACAACGTCATGGCGGAGGGGGAGGTGGTTCGCAGGGTAGCTCCATCGGGACCCCATCCAACGTCGCTTCCTCCCAATCAGCGCCTGCTCTGAATGTACTCTCCGCTAGCAAGACACCTCAGCCTTCCGCGGTGACAACCGCTTCGCCAGCCTTTGCCTCGAGCAATCCGTCCCCGACGGGTCAAGCTGGTAGCAGCGTTACCTCGCGATTACAGCTACAGTCCCTCAAAGCTGCCGGTCAACGTATGGGCCTTGGAAACGGATCAGCCGGGATTCAGATGCTGGAGACGTTATTCGAAAAGGCACAGGTTAGCCGGTCGGGGTCTGGAGGCGACTGGGGCGAGATCATCAAGGTCTTGACAGCAGGCAAGGTGAGGGTCATGTCAGCCAAGGTCAAAGGGTTGACAAGCAGGAGAGCTTATACGCTCTCAACGATATGGAACTGGGTATGAAGGCGACTCTTTTGTTACCATCGGTACCGGGCTCTTCGCTACCGGTAACGACTCAGAGTCTACGGGATCACATCATGTTCCCTGCCTGTGGGACGAGCACGGGTAGCGTCTTCGTCACGATGTCAGGCTTGACCGGAGTCATTGAGGAGTACGTGTAATACGTACTGCGGAGGGGGATAACAGAAGGGTCAAATTGTGCTATTCTACAGAGACAGAATCACGTTCGAGTCGTGTTTCGCTGGCGACAGCGCACTCCTGCAAGCCCTTAAGAACCCCAATACGAGAAGGTGAACACTACGGAGAGCTGATGCGGCTCGAGGTCTTTCATGGCTAACGTATATTCCCGGTGTCAGTACTGCTTTGGCCAGTCTCCAACCTCTAAGGGCATCAACGAGCACGAACGTGCATTTCCCGTCGTTCAATACGGGCGCTGCCAACGGTCTGCTGCCGTTTCCACCTCTGCCTCCGCCCCCACCAACATCAAATACGGGTAACCGGTCCAGATCCGGTAGCAGTGCGAGCCTGGCAAGCATCCCTCCTATCGCCTCGTCGAGGTTGAATCCCTTTGCCTCGCTGTTCGGTAGTAGCTCGGGACATTCCAGCAATGCGCCTAACACACCGCCAAGAGGAGGTGCGGCTGAATTATCGTCATCGCCTGGTAAAGGGGCGTCTGCTCTGAGTCCCAGACCACCATCCATTGCATCGCTCCCGCCTTTGGAAGTTACTACTGAGCAGGCAGCAGGCGCGCTCGAGCCCGAAGGATATCAGTTCCCAGCTTGGTCTATCGACAAAATCATCAAGTATGGGGAAGTCTGCAAGTCATTAGGCAAGGCGATCAGGAGGAACGTAACGGACGAACTCGAAGGGCTTCCAGACAAGATAGTCGAACGTGTCGCTCGCTTCGTGCTAGTCTCGCATCCCTGTTCAACAGAGATAAAAAACGTCCCCGGGACGCCGCTGCTGAGCGTAAATTCGCCAACAATGGACGCGCCCCTGGACTTCCATGCCAAGGCGGATCACGTCTCCGAATCTCTACAAATCTTCTTCGAGAGCGTCTATGACGACCTGTTGGCCCATTACTCTTCGGCCGTCTCGGTACCGCAATCGCCCTCTGGGTTGGGCAGTCTGAGACGCCGGGGCAGTCAGAAGGGCAAGGCGAGCCACGAGGATACGGAAAAGACGCTCGGGGCTTCGCAGAGGAGGGAGAAACAGAAGCTTGCTGCGGAGGAGGCGGCAGAGATACAGGCGATCCAGGCACTGGATGTCGTCGAAAAGGTCGTATGCTGTCTCTTATACAACTTGTCAGTATGCCCGAGGCGAACTTGAAGAACGCGTCAAGCTGAACAGTTCCCGTATGTCCAGCCTTTTTGCCCCTTCTGTGTCGGATGATTTGAGACATGACGAGGCATTATCTTCCCGAGTGGCGGCCTTGAATCTTCTAGAGCTGTCCTTGGATCACCTGGGCGTCAAGACGAAGGAATCTGACCCGAAGAAGCCTGACGAAGCAACGCTCGAGCGGGACCGAATCGTGGCCGAGGGTCTCGAAACGATTGTCAACAAGGTCGGACAGGGTGAGCATGCAGAAGGTAGTGGTTGCCGCTTTCAAATGCTCAAACGATTCTTTTCCATAGTCTTGCAATCGCTCGATTTGCCGGAAAATCACACCCCAAAGAGGAAAAGCGAGATCTTGGTGCAAGCGCACAAAGTCGTCATTGGTGAGCGGCGTTTTTCAAGACTCGACACATACGTTATTGATATACTGAATTGTCTCGCAACCACCTCAGACGGCTTGCAACAATTGCCTACTATCCGGTTACGGCCAGAAGGAGAGACGTATCAATCCCCCGACGCGTCATCTCAGCCGACTGCAATCGACCAAGCTTTGGAGATGCCGCTGTCCTCGGTTGACAGCGAGACCGCGTCCGTTCCGGGACCTCGTCCGGGTACACTGGCTTCACTATCTTCTGCAAGTGACCGTAGTCTCGACCGAGGAGGGCATGAGTAATAATGAAAAAGGCAGGTCGGCGTGCGTGACCGAACTTCGATCCAGCGCGTTCAGTGACTGCAACGCGAGCGTAACGATTGTAGCTGCATGCGTATCATCTTGCTGTATTTCGGAAGATACGCTTTGTGGAGGTAGGGGAACGTCTGGGGCATCACGGTCGATGCTCAAACCGAAGATACCTGAGCGAAAGATGTAATTGAAACTCTTACGCCGGTACGCCGGCTTGCTCCCGATGCCGTCATCGTGCATTTGTTGACGATGTCCCGACCGGCCGACGACGATCCCCTCTGATCCTCTGGCGTACGTACTGCCTAGCTACCTGATGATGTGGACATTCCGAACATCATCAAGGATACAAGGACGGACGGCTGATCTGTTTCGATATCAAGACCTTGCATGCTAGCTCAACGAATCTGCCTGATGTAGAGTAGGCTTTGGATAGAGGTTGTCCCGTATAGTCATCTCTGCACAGTGACCATGTCTGCATCAAACATGACCGAGCAAGGTGAGTCGAGTTTACCCTTTGATCACACAGTCCCTCGGTGTTGCTCAAATGTGGAGTCTCATCGTTCCTAGGCGATTCGACCGAGGGTACGCCTAGACCGGATAGCTTGCAGGTTCAAGTGACCGCACAGGTTCCCGAGATCAGGCTGCCGGATAGCGTGGATCAATCAGACCTCGACGAAGCTCTCCAAGATAGCATGGTCCTCGCCGCTCCTGCGACCGAAGCCACTCAGCCTGCTGAACTCAAACTCGAAGGAGGGACCTCAGGGGCAGATCTTTTGCTACCTATCATGATCTACGCCATTGTGAAATCTAATCCGAACAAGCTCGTCTCCCACCTCCTGTACGCTCAACGGTACCGAGCGGCCATGGCTACAACGGGAGAAGCGCAGTATGCCGTGGTCAATACCACTGCGGCCGTGGAGTTTCTGGAGAATGTTAATTTGGCCGAGCTCGGGCTATCATCAGCAGAAAAGGTGCTCAGGTGCGCCCTACATATCGACTCTGTATCGACCGATATCCCGGCTAACGCAGCGGGTCGTGCAGCGTGACGGACCTTGAACCTATAGGTCTAAACCATTACTATAGCGACAAGGATGGCGATACGGCGAGCATCGTCTCTGCATCGAGCCGTTTACGGGGCCGTGTCTCTCAGGTTGGCGAGCTCGCCGGATCGGCAGCTGGATCAGCGAACAAGGTGCTCACCGGCGTGGTGGACTCTAGCTGGACAGCGTTGCGTGGGTTGATGGTACCCAACCTAGGCTTAAGATCAGGGGAGGAGGAAATCCACGAAGGGGCTCAGTCTACCCTCCGACCGAGGTTGACTCCCAGGCGAGCTTCCGCATTCACGCTGGCGAGCGTCACGGCGACCGTTGCCAATATCGCCCACGCAACCACCCAGCGACAGCGGGCCAAGACGATCTCTGCGCCACCCATCGCCGAGGATCGAGAACTCCACGCCGTCTCGAGCAGACCGCCGTCTATTAGGGAATCAAGCGAAACTTCGGAGTCGGAACATCATGGTTCCGACCGAGGCGAGATGACGGATGACAACGAGGATGATGATCTCGAAAATGCTGATGATATCGTGCAAAAGGCACTAGGCAGGAACAAGCAGGCATCGGACGTAAGGAGCATCAAGAGCGTGTCGTCCATGCTCGGCAAGCCGGAGACCGACAAGCTCGAACGCTTGAGCATACACGAGCGGTTCGCGAATATGGGCTTACAACGACATCCCGATGGGTCGATCTCGTCTACTGCAGATGGTAGCAAGGTAGGTCATTGGCTTGATTGCCAGTCTGAAGCGAACGCTTATTGCGGTGTGGCATATAGACCGTCATGTCGAAGAACGGTCGGACAGGCCATCCTCCACGACGGACGACTCTGTTGAATCCGATGGGTTCCGAGTCGCACCCAATCGCGCCGGAATCGCCTCCTATTTGTCCAGCATTCGATACGACGCAATACACTGCTGAGGATCTTGCCCCACCTATCGAGCAGTTTATGGAGGGTGAGTCGACTCTTCGGTCACACACGCATACCGTGCCCTTTGTCGATGCCCAAGCTAACCTTACCGCGTTCTGGTCATAGGCAACGTGGCTGACTTGAAGATCTCTGATATCGGAGCGTTGTTAAAAGATTACCGACGGCTGGGCGATGTCGTCAAGCGACTGAAGAGCGATCTGGACAAGGGGAGCCAAGACATGACATGAGCACACGATGCCTCGCGCGAGATGGACGTTTCATAGCGATTTGCGACTTGTAATCCCAAATGTAACCACTAGGAGACCTTCTGATGAGACACTTGCTTGATTCATTCGATGTTGTTTTCTGCGGCGATGGAGGCCGTGAACGGGGTAGTTGACCCCCTTCAAGCAGATCCCCCGCAAGACTCGCGTGCGGCTTTGAGCGGGGTCTCTCTCTCTCTCTCTCTCGCACGCCCAGGCCGGGTCTGTCAGCCTGGATCACCACTCATCATCCTCACACATCCGATAGATATCCTTCATCTGGCTACATGTCGATGCCATTCTGGTTATTATTGTCATAATCTAGCTATCACAAATAGTGTTCCCTTACCACTCGTTGCCCTGGATACGCCTCCCTTGCACCACGATCATTCCCCATATACCCCCCCTGCAACCACCTCCGGCTGATCAAGCCATAAATCACCCATTTGAACGCTACGGATCATGTCATTCCCTTCATCGCCGAATCAGCAAACAATGCCGGCTCGGAGACCGTCACACACGATGCAGACATTCGGATTCAACCATCCAACAGCGCCGCCCTCACACCTGCCTGTAGCCTCGACATCGACTAGCGAATCGACGACGCCGAAAAGGAAGAAGCTCACGCACGCCGAAGCGTTGGAACAGATCCGGACTTTCTTGAGATCTCAGAGCTCGTACGACGTCTTTCCAGTCAGCTTTCGGTTGATTGTGCTGGATCACCACCTCGTCGTCAAGAAGGCACTCAACACGATGTTGCAAAACGGTGAGCCCCCGGTCGGCGTGAGATGGGTATCGAAGGATGGAAGCTAAACGTTACGGCTCGCTTTCGTTATAGGTGTTGTCTCTGCACCGCTTTGGGACTCGGAAAAGTCGCAATTCGCAGGTAGGTCCTGGCTGTTCCGGCCGGCAAGGAAGAACTAAACTGATCGACCGGAATCAACAGGGATGTTTACGGTGTCCGACCTTATCCATCTCATTCAATACTACTATCACACGACAACGTATGAGGACGCTGCCGCAGATGTGGATCACTTTCGACTACAAAGCATCCGAGGTAGGTCTGAGATTGCTGTTTCATCGCCTCGTTCTCGACAGATGATAACCTGTTCATCCTGCAGACATCGAAAAGGCCATCCGTGTACCTCCACCCCCTCTCCTCTCGGTTCACCCTATGCGTCCGCTATTTGAAGCGTGCAAGCTGCTCATTCAGACGCACGCACGACGGTTACCACTCATCGATACAGACGATCAGACGGGGAAAGAAGTGGTACTGAGCGTGTTGACGCAGTATAGGGTATTGAAGTTTATGGCGGTCAACGTGGGTCCCTCCATAGAGAAAGCCGGTATATCCGAATTCCTCACTGATGCAGCATCCCGGTATGACACCTGCCTTTATCATTGTGTAGTGCCGCGAGACGATCCATCTGGACCAGACGCTTCGTTCGCTGAACATCGGAACCTATTGCAATCCTTCACCGGAACACGATAATCCTTATTATCCCATCGCTACGGCGACGATGCAGACGGCTGTATTCGACGTCGTACACATGTTTTCAGAGTTGGGGATCTCGGCGGTCCCGATCGTAGATGCAAACGGCAAGGTCATCAACCTGTATGAGACGGTCGATGTGATTGTGAGTACCGCAATCAGGTCGTTGTATCGAATGGTCAGACTGACCTTTGGTATTGTCGTGCAGACCTTGCTGAAGTTGGGGACCTACCAAGCGCTGGATTTGACAATAGCTCAGGCTCTGGCCCGACGCCCGGTAGATTTCGAGGGCGTCCTGACGTGTGGACCGGAGAGCTCGCTGGCGTCCGTATTCGCTCTCATTCGCATGAGGCGGATACACCGACTCGTCGTCATCGATGACGGGCGACCGAAGGAAGGTGAATCGGAGCAGGATGCCAAGCAGCGCAAGGGCAGGCTTTTGGGGCTGATCTCGTTGAGCGACGTTCTGCGTCATGTTATCGTGAGTCGGATTCGCTCGCAAGGACTCGATACATGAGCACTGAACGTCCTTTGTTGCGCCCCTCCGTAGGGTTCGGACGTGGAGATTGGCGGAGGTGGAGTCGGGGCCGTACCGGTCGAGACGCTACTAGCAGGAGGAACCGCGCAAGGCAAGGCCCCTCGAGCAGACAGGGCCGCGGCGCAGGCCGCCATCCGTAGAGATGCCGAGTTGAGAGGAGAATTCCCTTCATGACATGCACGTATAGCAAGAGTCTGAAGCGGATTACACGGTGGGTGGAACGGATTCGTAGGTGCGAGGTTAGAGGTCGAGCAGGGGAGAACAGGATACGGAGAATCCACCAGCTGCCAGCTACTATAGATGCGAAGAGACGTTTCTTTCTTTCTTTCTCCAGTTGCTCTTTAATGATCCTTTGTTACACTTCTTGGAACGAGTAGACTGTGTTCTGACGACTTCTGCTGCATATCGAATCAATTCGTTGTATTTCGGGAATTCTGCGGTTTTGCCGATGCTGATGGTTAGCTCGTTGTGGTAGTAGGTCACGTGAATCGGCTCGAACCGCTCATGATCGTCGGCGGTGTCCTAGGCCAAGTCGACAGTACACTCACACACCTCTTGCATTCCACTCGTCGTTTGTCTTGCGGAAGAGTCCTCGACCTTGACACTTCAGGGAACACTGTACTGTTACGGATCACTGGCAGACCACTTTCTGGACAAGATGGCGACAAAGCTGGCTCAGAAACGAGTAAGTCCACATCCCGTTCGAACGATCTTTTGTTATCTTTTGCCCCGAACCTCATCATCAATCATCCGCTCTATGAACAGCTTCAGAAGGAGTTCCAGGCGATGGAGAAGTCTCCTCCTCCGTTCATCTACGCCAGGTTCGAGGAAAAGAACATTTTAGACTGTAAGTGATGGCTGCCATCACCTCGAATACCGTAAGATAAGTTCGGCTCATTTGGGTGATCGATCAAAGGGCACTTTATCCTTCGTGGGCCTCCGGATTCTCCTTATACCGGGGGCGAATACCACGGCGTCATCAACGTTAGTCACAGTGCATTCCTTCTTAGCCAGAATAACTCGGGAGATCGCTGATGTGGCGTTCGCAGTTCCCTAGCGACTACCCGTAAGTGCTGCTGTTCCATGCATATCTTCAGCAGGTGTTCTTCGACGAAGAGAAACTGATCATATCAAATCGATGTCGGACCACAGGTTCAAGCCTCCTGACATCAAGTTCTTTACTCCCTCTGGGCGATTCGCACCGAACCAGAAGATTTGCATGAGCATGACGAGCTAGTGAGTGGAGGATTGTGCATGATGGGCAGTCGTGTGCTCTAACTAACTCCAATCGCCATGACTACGTAGTCATCCTTCTACGTGAGTATGGTAGCTTCTGAACGAAATGTGAATACTGCTTGACATCTGCAAGTGATCACAGCTGGAATGCTGCCTGGTCCGTTGCAACGATCTTGACTGGTTTGTTGTCCTTCATGTTGTCTGATGAGTGAGTGCATCTCTGGATATCGACTCGAAATGCGGCTTAGATGCTGAAGAGAAGACACCTTTCCGTAGAATCACGACGGGTTCCGTCAAGACGAGTGTGGATGAAAAGAAGGCGCTGGCCAAGGTGTCTCATGCCCACAACATCCAGAACAAAAAGTTCAGAGACCTTTTCCCAGAGGTACGTACCCTATCTTATCCGATTATGATACACCTATAGCTCAGCTTATAGCGTGTTGCTGCAGTACTCTGGCCCGGAAATGAAAGACGTGCCCGACATGGGTCAGGCTGACAAGCCGCCCGCAACTTCTCCCGTAACCAGCCAGTCTTCAGACTCAGCGCCGAATGGTATAGCTGATCCCCGGCCGACAACAGGAGAAGTGACGACATCCAGCAACATGATACCACGAACAGCTGTCGGAGTCGATCCGTCGGGGTCGGCAGCAATAGTCCCACAAGGGCGAGGATGGCAGTTCCTGAATCTCAGATGGTGGGCCGTCGCGGCCTTTTTAGCATTTGTCCTCTCACGGCTATCCACTCTGGGAAGTGCCTAGACCCGTCTCTGTTTGTGCGTTTGACATCGTGTCGTTGTAAAAGCTTATAACTACGAAAGTGTTTGATATCATGGTTACGTGTACACATGTGAAAGGTGCAGCTGCGACCTTGATCGATACCTCAGGGTGCATACCAAAATGCGACATTGGCAGGTATGGCTAATTCTACTTAAAAAGGCACTGTTTAGCATCTGATCGCACAGGGTGATTCTACCTGTCTTACCTAGAGACTGCTCTTCGACGTCGAATCCCTCGCTTGTCCGAGGCGGTACATCTGCTGAACGACCGGCGGAGTTAGTGAAGTGTAGTCCAGTCTGGGGTGAGAGCGATTTTATCTCACTGTGCAGGCGCGCGTCCAGGGAACATTTCGCGAGAGACTATCGAAGGCCCGGGTGAGCTGCAAAGTCCAAAAATCTGGAGCGGTCATACGTGCCTTTATCAACCTATCAGGTACGCTTGTGACGTCAGGGTGGTACCGATCGGACTGGAATAGAAGTGCTAGGCCTTCCATCCATTCGGTGTATGCGTCGCGCGATGGTGCCACGAGATCGAGCAGGCTCAGCCCATCCACGCTCATCAGAGAAAACGACGTTTGAGAGGGAATCGTTTGGGTGTGCTGCGTGATGGGTCGGGAAGTCTGGGCTCTGACCTCGACAACGTCACTCAGGATCAAGACTTCCGGCAGCCGTGCTGAAACGTTTGTGTCGTTGCGCTCTCTAAATGCTCCCCATTGCACAGTCTTGAGATCTGGCGACTGCGACCTTCATAGAATGAGCGGTCTGTCTTTCGCTAGATAGAAGGTCGACTCACGAGCTTAGCGTAGCGCCAAACGTCCATGTGATCCGGCAGCTCATGCTTCGACAAATTGAGACCAGCGTAGAACCAGGTTCCTATCCATGGCGGCCAAATCAGCGGACTGATTTGTTGAAACGGGCAACGCTCGTGACTTGCCAGCACGCATGCAGTCTAGCCTAGTTTACGATCACTAACTCGCAGTCAGCGAAGAAACGCAAGTAGTCAAGTCTGATATGACTTACCTTTGTGCTTGAACGAAGTTTTGGCTTTGCTGGTGGAGTTCCTCGGTCAAATCTCTTGAAACAAAGCGGAAGATCAGTCACCGAGCGAGACACGATCTTGCACTCGCTTACCTGATGGACAGAGTTTGCTGAAGCTGTTTGCCATCAGCATATGCTGTAATCTGGAGCTCTAGTACGGTCTCATAGCGGGTTTCGAGGAGGCGTTGTTCCAGAGTATGCCAAGCCATAAGCGGGTCCTGCTCCAGTACATTTTGCACGTGGAATTTCGTGGATTCGCAAACTTGTTCGATGTGATCTAGATCCGCCTCGGAAGACTGCCAAATCCTGCGCATCCCGATCAATAATTCAGGTCATAGTGGGGGAATTTCGGTACTCACTCCAAGAACAATCTCAGAGTCAAGGTGTGCAGGCGGTAAAAGGCCAGCAGCATCGGCTGAAACGAGGGGGCGGTCGATCGCATCAAGTTCGTAAAACACGACAATAACAAGCGCGCGCTTTCGAAACTGAACACACGACGCGAAGTCAGCGCGACCGGCGTGACAGTGAGACCGCTCATCGCTAACCTAGCTACTACCAGTGAAACTCTGGAATTCTCGTCGATGTCCTGGAGAGCTTCAATCACCTGTAGGGAGCAATGGTCAAAGTCTAGTTGCGCCGCCGAGACTCGATTCAGCGACCTACTTTCAGAAATTCGCGCGGGTATGAGCCAGCAGTCGCCTGTGAATTGTGAATCGACGAGATCAGCTCGAGCCACTTTGTTCCATCATGATACTTGCTAATAGATCGATCGCTAGCAGACCCACGCCAGTCGAGGTCGCTGAACTAATTCCGGTGATATCATCCTCCTGAGGTTGCACGGTATTGTCGATCTGCCGGTCGAAAGGTCCTGCTCCTGGATGACGACCTTCTTTGGCATGATCAAGGATGGTCTGGGCTAGACCTTCGTGGTATGGGTCCTGTATGACGAAGGGTATGCGGAGTTTGCGTTCCAAATACCTCAGATAGAGCTTCTGAAAGTCGAAAATGTGTTGTTTGATGTCGGTGTGTTCGTAAATACTCATTGTTCTCTGCCAGATGGAAGGATGAGCACAGATAGTCTGCAAGAGATCAAGTCCCACGGAACCCACTTTAACAACATCGTTAACTCTCGTGCGTTCGAGTTCTATCAGGAAACTCCATTCCACCTCATCAGCCATGGCCGCGCCGAAGAGGCTATTGACCAGTTCGAGGCTATGTCAAGCGGATGGTTTAGATCTTGCGAGTATCGCATGATTCACATCGTTTCGTCTGCCTCTTACCTCTTTGAACCCATTTCCAAGTCACTCGTATCGATTCGTTTGACCACAGACTGTAGAAATCCAGGCGCTCCTCGCATAGCGGGAAAGATCGGTCCGATACCCAGATACCTAAAATCGTTCTGTCTGTCATCCGCTCGACCTTTCCCTTTACCGGTGAACTTTTCGAGAAGAGCTGTCTCGCTGACCCGTCCTACTAGCTGAGATAGAGCCTCGGTCGCAGGACGAGAGACGTTGTGCGTCTTCCCGGTAGCGACGATATGGACGAGCTAAGAAGTCGGGGATCTCATTAGTGCTGCATCGAACGAGGAGATATGGGCAGATCGGCCAACCCGTCGAATGCACTGGGGTCCGATGGTTTCCCAGCCAATATGTAATTCCAATATGGCCGAGAAGCTTTGCAAAGCGTACTGCACGAATAGTTCTCAAATTCTGTGATCAGCCAAATCGGGACAGAGAAGCGAAACCCAACTCACGGCCAACATATTCCCAGTCAACGGAGATACAGCTTGATCGACTCGCGATATCTTGTTGTCTTCTTGTACCCCAGATGCATCTTCTGCCTGATAGGTTTCGTCCGTGACCGACAACAGTTTCACCAAAAGCTGCATTCCTCCTTTGAGCATGAACTCGTGGCTGAATTCCTCCTCCTTGATGTACGAATGCAATTTGAAAAGAGAAAGCTTCAATCCCGGTTGAGTTTGCCTTGTCGGTGAAGCTGGAAGGATAGGAGAAAGCGGCTGTAAAGCATAGGACATGGCCGAGATTGTATCCAGAGCCTCCAGAGCGGGAGATGCAATCACCCTGATCGTCCGGCACTGCTCATCAGCGGTGCGGCCATGATTGGATACGGGAATAAGCTCACTTCAGATCATCCCCTTCCATCACCTTGATGGTCAAGTTTTCATCCGTAACCAAGACATCGTTTGCATCTCGTATCGCCAGCGTCGCAGCAGGTTCTTCCGTCTTGAAAGCGGCCGCTAGCTGTTTGATGACTTGTCGTACAGGCTGCAGAAGACGATATTTAGCCTAGCTTTCTCGATTGTCGATCGCAAAGTGAACCACTCGCCAGTTGGGGATCGATCCGAGCTTTGAGTACCCGGTCTATACACAAGAGAGCGAAGAATTGTCAGTCGATCCGATATCCAAGCAGTTTGATGTCGCACTCATCACTAAACCGTACCTCGGTACCGAACGGAATTGCTAGCTCGTGTTTGTTGAGTAGACATTCTGAATGGGTCTGTGATGTCTTGAAGATCAAGCTCCCGACTAGACTGCGGTGTTATCAGGTACTTGAACCGAGATGCACGATTCAAAGGAGTCGAGCAATTGACTGATGACCCATACAAGATTCTCTTTGTTCCACCTGTAGTGACCGGTTGCAAATTCGCTTCCGGAACACTTCGTAAACACGCCTCACGTGACGGTCGCAGGCTCGTATGACGTATCAACCCAACCTTGGAGGCCTCCAACGAGGTCCTTGCGTCCTTGACTGCAACCCGCAATCCGTCTGGAAAAAAATGCCATTACAGCCAGCATGCAGTGTGCAATTGAATAGGCGATCCAGGTCTTAGAAGGGCCGAGCCCATGTGCATGCGACATATAAAATCATTTGAAGAGATATGATGCCGAGGTGGCGATGATTATTAACAAGGTCTTGCTTGACGAAGGTACAACGTAGATTCAGAAGGGTGCTACATTAGACTGAGGGTGATACAGTGAGATGTCGGTTAAACAGAGAGACTTCGCATTTCTGTTATCGCGATCGTGAAAGATGAGTGATCAGCCGAGAGGATCAGTATCAAGGAAGTGACTGCGGCCAAGATTAACCTTATCGGGTGTCTGATCGTATCTCGCTCAGCGATGACCTTCTATCGACGATTGAGCGTAGCCTCCAACGACCCGATGCTAGATCCAACAGAGGAGATGGACGAGTACGATTCAGCCCGTTCGAAGCTAAATCCCATAGCAACGACATCGAACGAAACATCAGCTACCGCTTATGAGAAAATACAGATTTCTTACAAGTCGACAGCCGGCCATCGTACTCACTCGATATCCGTGCGAGCTGTCATCCATAGAGCTTTCGTATAATCGAAAAGGGACAATGAATAACGTCTTTTGGCCATCAAAACATTCTTGACGTCGTCTGTTCATCACGGATACCGAGAGACGGGTATCGAGTCGTCATTATTATCAGCATCGTACGGTCCAGTGAGATGATTTTGACCGGGGTCTGGAAGAGCTCGGACACACCATCTTCTTCCTCGGGAGGATGAATATCGTTGACGCTCAAATCGAAATAACCCCGGACGGTCGGGAAGGGCACTGGTTCGTACATCGTGAATTCGTGAAAGGTTGTCCGTTCAGGTTTCAAGTTATCGTCGTCGGCAGCGAGTTTGTGGTGCTATGGTCTCTGGTGGTGCCAATGCACCTGAGCGGCTCGAGATTTGTACAAGGGTCAGACGGGTGATAGGGGATGTAATATCGCATCGATGGCCTGGCTATCTATATATCCTACATCGTACAACTTGATAATTGATAGCTCACTAGCGTCAGATCTCAGAGTAGTGTGTGACCGTCAGCCATCAGTACGATCTAACGGCTCGGCGAGATCGGTTCAAGGTATCGGATGCCCTCCAAAGGCCAAAGGTCCTGTCGAAGCTGCAAGGTGCAAGGAGGGACTCGTTTCCCAAAACCGGACCCAACCCGCAAGCCATCGTGTCACTCGCCCTCGTGGAAAAAGGTTGATCGCGCTAGTCGAAGAGGTTCTGTATCGGCTTCGTTTCCAGCGCCCAGAATCGGAGAGTCATGCGTTTGTACTATCTGCCTCGATCCACCTCGCTGACAGCTGGAATCTCATGAGGCCTAGCAGCTGGCATCCGAAAGGTTCTGATCTTGCAGCTACGAGCTACGTGACTCCCAGATTTCGATGGCCAATTGACCAACGGGTTTCTGAATTTCTGATCGGTGTGCAGCTCATCGTCACGATCGTCACCGAAGATGCAGCGATACAGCGCTCCAATCGCTCCGACGACTTCTGCAATCGCGGGCAGCGGGCAAGCTAGAAAAGTGGTGACGTTGAGATGGAAAGCCTTTCCCGGTTTCAGCATCGCCGATCATCAGCATCGGTGGCGCAAGTCACCGCTCGGCGTAGAAGCGAGATCGATGACGTCGCTTCTCTTTTGGATCGGCGATGGCCTCGAGAGCCGACACGACGTAAGAACACATGTACACATGCGTTATCATGTTGAATATGTGTTATGAGCGATGTTCAGGAAGCTCTTGTCACCGGAAGCTAATGACGACATCAGGCGAAACGGATGAAGCGAGATGACCCGTTCCGAGGATTATAAGTCGCGAGCCGTCACAGATCACAGAGCACAGAGACATGAAAGCGATGGACATGATGGATGACATCGGAATTCCGAAAACTCCCTCCCGCCTCACACCCCCAAGAGAATCTCAGTTCAAACAAACACTTGGACCCACATCTTCTTTACCATGTCCGACTACCCAACCGCTTCTACCTCCGCCCTGATCGATGTCCTTCAGCACCGAGCGAGTTCACCGTTCGCCCTCTCGCTCGGTCTAGGATTCGCCGGAGCCAGCGCCTTCTTGTTCTCCAACGTCGACACTTTGCTCTGGAGTCCGACTGCGCTCGTCGGTTCTGCCAAGGAGAGGAAGAAGGTCGGCTTGGAGGGTAACCAAGGAACTGCCGTCGAACTTTGGGCCTGGTACATGAGCAAGGCGGTGGTAAGTCGAAACGTCAGATCAATCGTCATCAATGTACATACCGATCATTCTGTTCTTCTCACATACAGCCCTCGACCGGAATCTCGCTCGCCGTCGGAGCTCTCGGACTTACCTCTGCTGGATTCCTGATCCCCGTCTCCTCTTTCTCGACCTACGGCCGAGACCTCCGTCGAATCCTCTTCGGAAGCGTCTTGTTGCTCACCTCGACCGTTCCCTACTCGTTCTTCTCTAGTGAGTCTTTGAACGAACTATATCCTCCGCTTGTTCTGGACGCTGATCGCTCTGCTCAACTCCACAGTCACTCCATTGAACAAGACCCTCCTTTCTCTCACCGAAAAGGCCAAGGCTAAGCGAGCGAACCCGCTCTACCCTGACTCCAAGCCGGCCTCGTCCGAGCTCTACACTCAGGATTCTCGAGGACTTTTGCCCCAGGAAGAGTCGCAGGCCCGCATGCTCCTCGAAAAGTGGATCAAGGCTCACACCGGAAGGGTTGTCTTGGCCGCCGCTGGGTGGACCGTCGCTTTGGGTGGATTGTTGCTTGCCTACTAGACGAGCAGAGCGAATGGGAAGGAAGGATGTTGAGAGCTGTGTCGTAGTCGAGAACGATGTATCATTAGACAAAGTCAAACGAATATACCAAATATACGACGGACAAAGTAAAGCATCGACATCGTGCGAAGTGTATGGGCGATACTTCTCAAAGGTCATGTCGGATGCCGGATATAATTGTGATAATTCGATACAATAGATGCTGAGGACGCTGTGCTTTACAGTGCGGTTGGTTAAATTGGGAAAAAAGAAGGTAACGCTGAGTCCTTGAGTGTTCCTCCATGAGATGTCGAGCTGGGAATCGAGGAACGCTTGTCGGCTGAACTTCGCAGATCTTACTCGAGAGCTTGACCGCCAGAGACGTCGATCTGACCGAGGAGTTCCTTGGCCTTTCCATATTCCGCGGTAGAGACGATCTCTTCCTCCTCGGCCGTATCTTCCTGTGTGAGTAGAGGAAGGACCGAGCAAAATCAAGCGGTATAGATATTGTTGGAAAACACGCGGCGAGATCAGACGGAACGAGGTCAGTTGCCATGATGAGGGAGGAAATAGGGACAGACTCACAACCAATGCGGAGAGGTCGTCAAACGCCTCCTTGACTCGTTCTTGCGAAGGAGCTAACATCTGTTCACAGTCTTTCAACACTTTACGCTGCAGTCGACAGGGGCGGGTCAGTTCGAAGGTCATGCATGCGGCGGCCGCAAGGACGTCCTTGTGGATACTCACGGCGTTCTTGAGCTCCCACTCGTCTCCATTTGCGCTCGATAACCGCTCGACGACATGTGACTGCTCGGCATACTCCTTCTTGTACAGGTCGACCTCTTTCGCCAAGCTGTATAGCATGTCCAAACAGCAAAATGACGGGGTCAGTATGGGTTTGTTTACGATTTCGGAAATCATGGCGGACGAGGGCGTCTTCGACTTGCCGTTTGAGGGAGCCGGTCTTGATGGTCAACTGGCGGGTAATTTGCTTGACTGAATCTGACATGGTTGCTTGAGGCAGAGATGTAGCGGCTGTCTCCGGACAGGAGGGAGGCTGGTGGAGATGAGATGTTTGGGGCATGAGGTCGGTGTTGCATGAACATCTAACGACGACCCAACGATTCCTTGATCTGTAGCGAGCGCGTGAGAAAGCGCGCGCGATGAAGCGAAGAAGACTAGTACTCTGTGTCACAAAGTGCGGGTCTCCTCACTCTCTACGAATTTACGAACAACCTGCACACCTCGGACAAGTCGATCAAGCTCCTCGACTCTCTCTTCTCTCAGCTCGAGATTGGACACCAAACGATCGGTTTCTCGCTCGCGCTGACCTGGCATCTCCAGCGAAAAAAATGGCCGACGAATACGGTACGTGAATCTTCGGTATTGTCACTACGAAACAACGCGACCGTCAACTCACTCGGAATTTCGTTGTAGACGCACTCGAGGCAGCAGCCTCATCGTTTGCCGCTACGGCCGAGGTAGGCAAGACTGGTGAGTCTCACTATAGTTCCGGAACACAAGGCCAGATGATCATACGAGCTGAACGAACAACTACCTACTTCTTGCCAGAACCTCGTTCTTCGAGGAACCGTGAATATTCCCCTGGACATCGTAGCAGCCGGGACGACCGTGATCGACGAGGAGGAGACCGGGATAGGCCTCGCGAGAGGGACGACCGGGACAGAGATAGAGATAGGGGAGATTACGACAGGAGGGATCGACGGGACTATGAACGCGAGCGGGAGAGGAGACATCGCGAACGTGCCGACGGTGGAGACAGAGACAGGGACAGGGAGAGGGGTTACGATCGAGATCATAGAAGAAGAGATGATCGTGGAGGAGATAGATACGGAGGACGAGGTGGAGACGGATACGATGATCGACGACGGGGCGGGTCGCCTCCGGGTGGGATGATCGCTTCGAGCATGAGGGAAGATCGAGGTCCTCCAGCAGGCGGACGTGGAGACTATGGCGGGGGTGGTCGAGGTGATTACGGTGGAGGTGGCGGTTACGGCCACGGAGGCGGGTACAGAGACGATCGTCGCGGAGGCGGTGGTGGGGGTGGTGGACGAGATAGGAGGAGGAGGGACGATGACCGCGAGTTCGAGGTCGGCCCTCTTGCGAACAGGAGGCGTGAGCCTACTCCGGAGGATGCCATTCCCCTGAGCGAGAGGCAGAGGCTCGGGCCTAGCCGGTGGGACGAGAAGCCTCCCGGTTTCGAGGACATCTCGGCTGTCCAAGCCAAGCAGACTGGTAAGGCGCCCCATTTGAAAGGTCTCGACGTCTTCAACACGCTAACCTTTCTCCTCCTCGTCGTAATCTTTTCCAGGTCAATTCCCTGCTCCGGGACCTAACCGTCAACCCATTCCCGCGATGCACGGTAACCCCGGTTTCCCGGGCGCACCCGGATTTGTCGGAGGGCCAGGCTTCCCCGGTGCCGGTGGACCCATGGGCGGTGTCGGTAACCCCATGCGACAGAGCAAGAGACTCTATGTCGGTAACATCCAGTTGACCTGCAACGAGGCTACGTTAGCGGAATTCTTCAACATGAAGATGCGGGAGCAGGGTTTCGCCGTCGAGATGCCTGGCGAACCTGTTACCAGCGTACAGCTGAATCACGAAAAAAGCTATGCGTTTGTCGAGGTGAGTTTGGGTTCCGTATATGAAAAGCTCTTGAGAGCGGCCAGGGCTGATTTCGGGGTACATTGTTCTAGTTCCGAGTACCTGAAGAAGCGACCGCGGCCATGGCCTTTGATGGAATCATCTGTGAGCCGCGCCCCAAGCTGTTTCGAATGATGTTGTCATTGACAGATACCTCCTCAACAGTCCAAGCTACTCCTCTCAAGATTCGTCGTCCCAAGGGTAAGCCGTCAATCTCTGACAAGATGTTTCAGGTCACAGCGCGCTCAGAGCAGCTATTTTTGTGCAGACTACGTCGGACCGGAGGGGCCTGGTGGATCGATGCATATCCCTGGCGTAGTCAGCACTACGGTTGCTGACACGCCTAACAAGATCTATATCGGAGGTCTTCCGACCTATTTGAATGATGAGCAGGTCATGGAGCTTCTCAAGGTACGCCGGTCTAGCCATCTCAATCTGCGTAATGATATTGACCTGGAGGTACTGCTATACAATAGTCTTTCGGAGAGCTCAAATCGTTCAACTTGGTCAAGGAAGGAGCTGGCCAGACAGGACCATCCAAAGTATGTACTGAGAAATCGACCATTCTGCATGAAATTTCTGGCTGATTCATGCAACTCGGTCTTGCATAGGGTTTTGCTTTCTGCGAATACGTCGACGATGTCGTCACCGAAATGGCCATCCAGGGACTGAACGGCTTCCAGCTGGCCGATCGGATATTGCTCGTACAACGAGCGTCTACGGGACGAGGTCAGCAGTCAAGCTTTGGCACAGGCGCCAACTCTGGTCCCACCGGTGTACCCAATTTGCGAAGTCTTGGTGAGTTCGTATGCAGATACCATATCTTGTCATGCGCTGATCACGATCCCGTTGTCTTAGCTCCCAACATTTTGAACAACGTTGGCATGCAGTCTGCGCCCACTTCGCGCGTGATGCTCTTGCTGTACGTCTTTTGCTAGAAACGCCAGGTATCGTGTTGTGTCTATCGAACTGATTCGAATCGCCTGAATTGCAGTAACATGGTGACCGCGGAAGAGTTGGTTGACGAGCAAGACTACCAGGACATCTTGGAAGACATCCGAGAAGAGTGTGAGAAGTATGGTCCGGTGGACGGGCTCCGTATTCCCAGGCCTGGTAAGCGTACACGCGACCTTTTCCGAAGAACCCCCAGCTGACTTGTAAATCTTGCGCAGCTAAACGAGAGGCCAAATGGAACCCGGGTGAGACCGCTGGTCAACAGAAGGCGCATTACGACGTAAGTCCGGAGTAGGGACCGCGTGTCCAAGGGAGTCGAACTGAAACGGTGCTTGGTATCAGAAAATCGACGAAGATGCAGGTGTGGGCAAGGTTTGGGTTCTGTTTAAGGACATCAACGGAGCGGTGAGTCCGAACAATTTGTCTCCATTTGCCAGTTCGTCAAGCTGACCGCTAGTCGATGATTCCGCAGAGTCGCGCTATTCAGCAGATTGCCGGAAGGTAAGCTAGCCAATCTCACATCCTATCGCAACCCACTGCTAACTGGGGCATTATTTGGATGTAGGCAATTCGGTGGAAGGACCATTCTTACCGCAAGCGTGCCGGAGGAAGAGTTCTTCCCACCAGGCGAGGCCCCGCCAGCACCGCCGCCAATTGACCAGGCTGCTGATGCAGCATTGGCAGATATCTTGGCTTGATCAATCGCCAGAAGGTAGCGATGGAATAAAAAGCCCATTGTGGCATTGGTCTCTTTGTGCAAGTTTTGGTTTGATAACACATGATGAACGAGCGATGGGACAAGGATTGATAGCGAAATCAAAATCGACCGAGGTCATATCACAGCCAGTACCTCTCCAAGTGGTCCTACCAGGCAGAGCTTGACGCGCAAGAAAGGGTTCTCTCCCGTAATTCGAGCTCTTTTATCCTGATCTGCGTGAGCGGTGGTAGATGGAAAGCCGAAATTTCGGGTGCCAAGCCACATTCTAAAGATCAGGGCGTGCTCCAGATCACAACCGATGCGCAGGTGATCACCGGCGAACATGCGGACAGGTGGCTGTGAGACCAAGGTCGACTCGAGTTGTGCCAACCGATGCGACACTACAGACCACGGCGATGACACCGGTCGGAAAGGGTCTGGATAGGGACCAGAAGAACTGATTGAAAGAGGTCCACATGTGCCTCGGCTCCGCAACTTGGCCGTCTCTTTCCAGAACCTGGCCATGGCATCGGGCGTCCAGATCAAGACCTCGCGCCGGTTTCTAAGTCGGCTCTCTGCAGTGATCTGCTCGTCCAGTTTTTTGTAGCCTTCATGCAGTTTGTCGTGCGTCGTAATTATAGCTGGCGATGGCCAGAATTTGTGTTGTACATCGTGTTCTGTCATCAAGAGTACAGGTCCGTGAATGGGGATAGCCCATCGTACTCTCAATCTGGGCTGGGTCTTGACGAGGCCTGCCAGGTCGGGATGAAAAGGGTGTGGAGTTGAAGGCATCTTGATGGGCGCACCGATGGCCTGGTTTGCGATCTGGGTATAGGCTGGGCCGTCCTCGGGCACGTGCAAATTAACGGGCTGTCACACCGGAGATATCAGCGCAATGGTCCTGCCTGAACACCAACCCCGAATGCAGGTAGGGCTTACCTCGGGTAACATGTCAACGTATTTGCCGAACCGTCGATCTCGCGAGATGAGACCTCGAGCCCAGCTTCGATGGGTCTTCATCCACGATTTTACCTTGTCCGCACAGGGGGCCGATGGCGCTTGATCTCGTAGAGACATTGCCTCTGGACTTTCCCTGAGCAGCTCCTTATATTCCTGAGGATGTACGACTCCCGTATCCGGCAACCTTGACGCGTCTGCGTCCGTGACAGGCTTCGAAATCAGGTCGACCTGGGACAATGCGCTCAGAGCTCCAACGTCGTCGTCAACATGCGTCTCATCGGCCATCTTGAGGGCCTCTGGCTCTTGGTGCAGAGACCGCAAGACGAATGGCGACAACTCTTGCTTCATCGGCTTGACATCTTTGATCGTTTCTGGCATATTCTGCTTGACGGCCTTTTTCCGAGACTTGGTCTGTTTCGCAGGGGGCTCCTTAGGCGGGAGTACTGACGGTCCCGATGATTTATCCGTCGGGATTTCGAATGGGGCAAGACGCAGTGGGAGCGGTTGATAGTGCGATTCTACCGGCCCTGAACCAAGAGTTGGATTGGCTTGAGTGATAGTCTCGTCTACGATAGACGGATCTGTCAGGTAAGAAACCATCCCGGTCGTCATTCGCTCTGACGGACCCTCTGGAGGTCGAACCTCTTTGCTCCGCTGGATCTGACTTTGCGATCCACTCAAAGATTGCCTCCAGATCGTCAAGCTTTCTCGCTGTGTATCGCTCTGACGGCTCTGGAGACCTTTGTCCCAACCCCATTCAAAGTCGGGCAGATTGTCCAGTTCCGGGTCGAGCCATTCGAGATCGGGAGGTCGGGCCTCTCTCGAGATGCGGGACGGTCCGGCCTCTGGGGAAGGACCTAGTAGGCTCAAGGGGGATAATAAAATCATAGGACCTCTGGCCTGAGCGGATGTGTGTGCAAGAGGAGTTTCTAGGATGTCGTGAGACTCTGCCGCTTCGACCCGATTGACTATGGATTGTTCCGGTCGATACAGCTGGAACGACTCGGCTGCCGTTGTTCTTCTCCATTCTGGGATTCCCACCGTGTTCTATGAATCGAGCTTATCGTATCAGCTATCCAGAAGGAACTCGCAACCACAAGAACCAGGACTCGCCGGAATCATCCTGTAATCTTTCCCGCTACCGCCGATAACTGTGAGGTCCAGAGCGGTGGGTAACGGAGGCGCCGAGTACCGCCATGTTCTCGGGCCAAAGGTGTAGTCTGATCCATAAGCCAGTCGGTTTTCAATCGACCCGGCTGACTTGCGTTTCACAAGATGATATGCGTGACTCACCTAACGTGCGGCACTCTGGCATTTCCATAGGCCTCCAAAACGACTCCGTCCACGACATACTCTCATGTTCCCTCCTATCCCCGTCGATGGGCCTGGGTCCATTCCGTCCACTTCCTGCCTTCCGCCTCAGATCCTGCATTTCGATATGTGCCAGCTTCTTCCCCTGTACCAGCAATTCCTCGGCAGCCACCTCCAGCTGCTCGTTTTCCTGCTCGTTCAGGCCCATACGGAAATCTTCGGGTCCTGCTAAGTACACGTGACATCGATCCGCCCTCCTTTGGGGTTTTAGAGCAGTTGATGAGGATGAAGATGGCTTTGACAGCGAGGCTGGAACGAGTGTTGTCCGTTCAGATTCCTTGCCTTTCCGTCGAGGAGCCAAGTCTAGTCCGCTCGAATTTCCATACTTGGCGTGTCGAACACCCTCGTTTGTATTCCTGTCCGTGATGGTGTTCGTGGCCGTAGTAGATCGCTGTCTAGCTCGTTTAGCAGGGACCGGCTGGACTGGAGAGGCTTCGACCTGGGAAGCCGCTCGTTTCTGCGATCGAGTCTTTGGCATCATTCGAAGCGGGACGATCGCGACAGTGGCAGAGAATTCATCGCATGGTCGGTTCTGCTTGCAAGAACGTCGTGTATTTGCGTGTTGAATCTACTGCCGAAAGCATGTGAAGTTCTGTAGAGTCGTTGGTCGAGGGTGATGATGGACCGAGTAAGTCAAGGTCAAACGTTGAGTGATCATCCATCCAGGCGCGGATACAAATCTGGGACAAGGATCGTTGTCCATGCTGGATACCATCGTGACCCGCACCTTGCGCCTTGCCAGTCAATTAATGCTAGAAACATCACGTATGCAGTCGTACAAGAGTCATTCGTTACAAGTCCCCACGATCGTGTCGAGAGAAGAAAATCAAGAGCAGAAAGAGGCATACAGGAACGGAGGAAGAAGGAAAAGAAACGGATTCCCCAGTCGCGCCCAATAAGGGTCGGACCATCGTCCTTGTCAACTCGAATTCCTTCGGCCCCGTCTCGTAACCCATGCGTCGTAATATCGTTAAAGCTATGTCCGAGAAAAGCGTGTTTGTCCTGCGCCGGGCCGCGCATCGCCTGGTCCCGGTCCATCGTCCAGATCCCTTCCTCCCGGATCCGACGCCCCATCTCCTTTTGCTGAATCGCCTTGCGTCATCGCACCCGTTTGTCGACTTCATCAAGGTGCAAGGTGACCAGTACGGTCGTGGATGACCCCGGGCGCCTCCCCCTCTCGATCAAGCTCGGCTTTGGTAAGGCCGTTCCCTGAGCGGAGGGTGTTTCAGGTCGTAATCCTTGTCCCGCTACGATCGCCGGATTCGAAACGAGCACGAAGTAATGATGAGAGCATACGGCACAGCTATCGTCAGCCGTGCATGGTCGAAGGTAGAGGTCCACGAAAGCGAGATGGTGATCGAAGAAAACGGTACTGACCTTGAACAAGAGCACATGGGGCTCCGGTGCATGCCTCAGGTACATCACCCACCTGCGACTTTCCGAATCAGCCATCGAGCCGCAAGGAGACGACATCGTGTCGAGCCCGACAGACTCACCCAGCGCTCTGCCTGATCCCGATCCCACGCCATTCAGCCTCCGAGGTAACGCCCGGTGGAAGGTATTTCACCAGTGCTTTGGGGATCTACAGTATCGACAACAGCGGACCAGGACGGTTAGCTCGATCGGATGTCAGGCCATGGAGAGTAGGACGTCGTTTTGTTTCGTGCGGGAAGCAAATGCAAGACGGAACGGGAAGAAAGGATGTAGGAGGTATGGATTTACGTGGACGTGTCTGCAGGGTTGGTGTAAAGGAAGGACTAGTCAGACGAGCTCATTCACGCTGCAAGAAGAGGAGTAGTACTTACCGATATTCCCATTGATCATCTATCCATTTAAAAGGAAACGAAAGTTGACAAATGAGCAGACATATTTCGCATTGCAGTTCCGCATCCAACGCCGCAGACTGACCAGAATACCTCGAGCTATATGTGATCTGGTCCGCATACTTTTCCACCGCTCGTTGTTTCTCCTGAGCCGTGTACATCTTGGGTGGGTTCTGTTCGAACAACATTTTCTTTCGTAGTTGTAGTTGAGTTGAAGGAAGGTAGCTATATCACCAGCAACTGCTGATTATCCAGGTGGTAAGAGTCGGTCGGTGAGGCGGTCGTCGTGTGGTCGTTTCGTCGTGCTATGATATGCGGTCTGTTCGATTCGAGATCTGTGTATCCTGAAGAACTAGTGACGGTCGAGTGTGAGATGCACAAGAGGTTGTGATTTGTTGATCGTTGCTGCGTTGTTGGTTGTGTGTATGTTGTTGATATACCTCACCTCGGAAGCGATCAGACTGAAGGGATCATTCAAAGAGAGGTTGATCGACTTTCCATCCCAATAACAAACGGCGTTGCGAAGATCACGTGACGTTCAGACGACGGCAATGTCACGTGATCTTCCACACGTCATCACACTTCAAGGGACAGCGTCTTCAATCAAAAGTCTCATCGACAGCGACATACCCATAGCCTACAGTCGTCACAGATAGGCATCGGCGTAAGCACGATCCTTGAATCAAGCCATGACCAAATCCAAATCGACTCGCCACACAACAGCTCCTACAGCAGCCAACGAAGACATCCCCCTGTCGGAACAGATTCGGCTCGCCCAAGCTAGCGGGATTCTTCCTGCCGGATCGCTACAACACCCTTCCTCCATCCGCCAGAGAAAGCCCGTCACCGAACCTCTAGTCAGAAGAATACCCTCTGATCATCAGGGGGCTACGATCGAGGAGATCACCCTGGGTGAGACCGGCACTGAGGAACAGCAGTACGATAGCGACGAGGACTACGCCGACAATGGTGAGGTTGAAGTCGATGCCGAGGACCTCCCGAACGTCCCTTGGAACCCAGAAACGTCACCCAACACCATGAAGATCCCGACGGGTATCAAACGACCTCGAAGCTCCGATCGCGAACAGACAATAACGCAAGAGTTGGACTTTTCGGATGAGGTTTTCATCACGATCATGTACCTCATCCCGCTGGCGTCCCTTTACCTGTTATTCGATATGTCAGTATCCTCCGATTTCCTATCTCCTTACTCCGATTGTTGCTTCTGACGCCCCCTTTTGTGCTTCTTTACCACTCATGCGCCTGCACGTTGTGTATGGTATCTCATACTTCGACGGAACCTACGTCAGCTTGGCGCACCAGTCCTTCAATCGAGAGCCCGGGTGGACGCATTATACCAAGAGGCTCAGCTCAGCCATCCCTAGTGAGTGTAGTCACTTGTTGCTTGTTTGAGTCGAAACATCATCAAGTACGTTGGATGTTGATCGTGCTTTGATTCCTTACTCGATTGGTAGCTATCGCCATCCTCGTATTCATCAGCAAGTCCATCCATCCACCTTCCTTCCTCCTTGTACTACCGTTACTGATCTCAGGAACATCTCTCGATCCCATAGCTAACCGCTACCAAGCCCACCCACTCACAGCCCCGCTTTTGATGCTGACCTCGTTCGGCGCAGGATGCCGGTTGTTCTGGATAATGAACAAGTCGAATTGGTTGACGGTAATGAAACAGGTACGTTCGCACATTTTCTGGACTGGTACGGTGAGCGAAGGGCAGGAAAGGGCAGAAGCTGATCCCCTTGCACATCATCAGGCAGCCCCGGTGGTCACCCTCTGGATCTTGTCAGTCGTGCAACTACCGATCGGAAAGCTTATGATCTCGTTGATGGCAGTGCTCGCATGGTACTGGTGGAACGGGTTCGAGTTTGCTCTCTCCCTCACCTAATCACGGCCCAACGAGGAATAGCGGAGGCTTGAGAATGTGGCTCGGCTGCTTATGATCCTCTTAACGATTTCATGAACCTTTACGATATACATGCATGGGGTACCCTTTCGTTACCAGCAATCGCTTTTCAGTCTCGCGGATTCACAAGCCCCAGGATATTCTTTGATATTTCGTGTTGCGATCCCAGTCTCGTGGGTTAAGAAACGTTCTACTACAAGCGAGAAGAAGGCGCGATTCAAGCCTTCAGCTTGGCCTGCAACTTGGGTCCACGGAGAGCCTGCAAGTCGGAGTTTCCACCGATAAACTCCTGCAAGAAATAACGCCCCGGGAATTCCCAACAGATGAACATCAGCATTGGATTATTTCCGACAAAGCGGTGTGAAACTAACCTGGTTGATCCAGATCTGGGGGACAGTTCGCTGTCCGCTCTTGGACTGGAGGTACGCCTGGATCTTGTCGGTGTCATCACGCAAGTCGATCCTGCAATCAGGAGGGGGAGATTCATGCTTAGTAACGCGACAGGAAACGGGGCGAAGAGGATGGTAATCTAGCAAGGGGGTCTACGCACTCGACAACCTTGTACTTCTTGTCGGCGGGGAGAGACTTGGCTTCCTCCTCCAAGAGCTTCTTGGTTTGCGAGCAGTACTGTGGGCCGAATGATAAGTTGGACGGTAAGCCAAAGTTCGTCGATATAGACGAGGTAAGCGAGGACATACAGGGCAGTAGCTCTTGCTGAAAACCATGACGTGGTTGGCCTTGATGGCCTCGTCGACCTCGATCTTGTAGTCGGACATTTCGCTTGTACTGAGAGGTCTAGCCTGGGTAGTGGAGAGTAGGGCACCTATCTTGGCAGTTTCTTGCGGTGTCGACGGAGAGAGTCTGGTGACGGTGAGATGGGCTCGAGGTTGACTGAGCGGTGTGGGTACGGAGAGCAAGTGTGCGCGAAGCTGTGAGAGTCTTTTGAGACTGCTGTTCATTGACTGTGGCGAGAGAGTCAAGAAGAGGAGTGCGAACAGGAATACGACGGCGAGTGCTGACCAACGGAAACGACGTCGAGCTAGGTTGAACCGCATCGTTGCGTGCGAGAGAAGTGGAGAGGAGGCGAGCGCCGTGGGAGGGGAGGAGAGGCTGCTCTCGAACCGGAGAATGACGAGTATTTGCCAAAAACAGGCGAGGGGAACGGGGAGAACGCGCGCACGCGCCCCGGGAGATTTGTCATTATTGATTCCGGCGCGTACGTAAGACATTCGTCATCGATGTCGATGGCTGAAACTAACATGAAGCAGTTTCAATACAGGTCACATGCTCAGGACTGTCGCAAGCTGTGACTCTACACTCGAGGATTGTCAAAGTGTCGTCTTTGATTTCCAGCGGCTCTCTCGGAGCCTGTGCCCGTACGAAGCGTTGACGACCGCGCCCCGCTGATCACCACGTAGGGTGGCGTGCTTGTGACAAGATAGCTGAAAAGGCTCAATGCAGACTCGGTTTGTAGTGATTCCACAGACTCTATTCCAGCCTCTACTTCATTATGATTTTGTGTGATGAACAGGCGCTTTGACTTCTTGGAACCTAGCGAGTTTCAAGAATTCTTGGAACCTAGCGAGTTTTAAGAATAGGAGGCATCAGCGAGATTATCAAATATGAATCGTTCTCGTCTCCCCCAATTGCTGGCCGTGCTTCAGTGCGAAGTGCTCAGGTCCTGATCACCTCAAGTCAACGTCATGCTCAAAGATGCTATCTCGCGACGTCTTCAGACTACCAGTCGCCATTAAGCGTCTGTGCAACCAAGATTAGGTCAAGTGTGCATATCCTATAGGTAGGTACGAATTCGAGCGCAAACCGATACCCGTCAATTCCATTGGGCGCATCCGAAGCGAAAGTGAATCAGGGGCTTGTGGAGTATGTCGGTACAGTGAGTTCCAGGTCTCTAGCTGAGCCAGTAGATCTCTCTTGAGATATATAGCTACACAAGCTGCTTGAGGGCCCTGCGTTGCGAAGCAAGATGTATATCGGGGGCCAATCTTAAGGCCGTGGCACTCGATGCGTCGTCAACTGACTTGGATCTTTCGATATAATCGAGAAATTCTTCTATATGACCACCGATTCCTTGAGACTCGCTTGGGAACCCCTCATCCTCAATGACAGCACTCGGAGCAGGCATGCCTTTGCTTGAGCAGAACACTTCGGCTGTTCGAACAGAGACGATCCTTTGTGACAGCTTCACTGAAAGTTCTTGGGAATCACCTAGCGGGGTCATATGGACAGAGACCTCCCAACTTGACCCATGCTGTCGATTCTCGAGAAATTTCAGTGCCTTACTGAATGCCACGAAGAAGCAACAGAAGTGAAGAGCCAGTATACGCACTTACGCGAGATTTCAAGCTCGCGCGATGAAATGTCTCGTTCTTCTACGAACAACTAGCTACGTATCAAAGCAGCTGAACGATGTCAACAACAGCACGACACATCTACATGTTAGGATACTATGCCCAATGCAAGACGAGAGGGGCACACAAGAGAAACACCTCAAGCGCTTGTCGATCGGACTAACACCTGTTGGCGTGTTGTTATTCCGCGCGCGCGGCCTCGGGGTAACCTCGCCTCGGGCATTGTGGGTCGTTGTGCAGATATCGTGAAATCGTTCTGGGCTAGGATCGCAAAGAAGTTATGATCACTGTGACGATTGGAACGTCGAAATGGCAGACGGGGTTACACCGTTGCGAGATGGTAGAGGGAAGCTCTGTCCTGCGGCGGTGCAATGGCCTGTTCGATGGCCGCTACTGAGAGCCTGGTTCTCGATCTCTCAACGCTGAGCGCCAGTCGATCGATGGCCCGAACAAGGTTGCTCGCTTCGACATAAGGTCGTAGATTGAGGAGGCTAGTTGATGTGTAGTATTTGATCCCCTGTGACTATTCTGCCTGCTGTAGAAGTCGGCCGAGCTCGGGTGAGATGTAATGCTAGGCGGAAGAGCAGCAGGAGTACGTCAGCCCTCGTGAAGCGGCGTGGCGCGTCGCGACTAGCCCAGACCATATCGCAAGACTATGCCATTCCCCCCGGCTATCCAGCTGTTCCCGTTCCGGAATCTGGTAATGTAATGCTTTAGCGTCATTCTTGATCCCGTTGAGCCTTGGGTCTCTGCTCCTTGCGCTGACGGACGAGAGGTATGGGGAATGGCGAGTCGATGAGGCGCAACAGCCATCGTTCTATGACATCGTGAATGACATCGTTGAATGACTACAGGGAGGTCAAGGCAGGATGAGGAGAGGTAGAGGAAGTTGGATGAACATCTACCCATAGTATCATCGTCATAGACGACGCATTCCCAGTGAAAAAAAAAAGTCGTCGAGCCAGTTGCTAGGGTGGCGAATCGTGCCCTGCGAGTACTTAGTCCCGACCGTTCTGGATTCCCCCCTTTCCTTTTTCCTTTTTGCCTTTCTCTCTTTCTTCTTTCTCAAGAGTTTTCTTACCCACGCACACGCTTATAAGCCCAAGCCAAGTGACTAAACCCTTTTATAAACGCTCAAAGCGAATCAAAAACACTACAAAATGGACTCCATCAACCCTTACCGATGCCAGCGACTCGCACTCATCACCGATTTCGTTCGAGAGACCAGGAACGGCGGTTTGATCGTGGAGCTCAACGAGCGTCGAGAGAGGATGCAGCCCGGAAGGAAGATGCTTGGACTACGAGGCGAAGCGCCAACCATGCAGTATGTTCGACCGGTCGCCCGGCCCGAATCGCTTCCCATCACCTCCCCTACCGCCGCACCCGTCAAGGTCAAGACCGAGGTCGTCAAAAAGACCAGAGACGTCAAGAAGACCGAGGGTTCTAGGAAGACCAAGGACAGTAAAAAGTCCGAGGTTTCCAAGAAGGTCAAGGTCGTCAAGAAGTCCGAGGCCGAATCGACCGGAGACGTCAAGAAGACCAAGACCAAGGCGATCGTCGTCGTTGTCATCCCCAACAGCGATGACGTCTTCTACACCGCCCCCACCTCTACTCCTATCCCCACTTCCACTCCCACCCCCGCCCCCAACCCTGTTGCTCCCGGCGTTTTGGCTGTCCGGGTCGCCCCGGCTCCGGTCAAACCCGTCGCAGCTAACTATATTACAGAATGCTTGAGGCCTCGCAACCTGGTCGGACCCAAGATCGCCAAGTTAGCCGTCTACGTGGACACCGAAGAGGACGAAGTCGTCGAGAAGAAGGTCGTCGAGAGGGAAGAAACGTTCGAGGACAAGGAGAACGCCGGAGTCGTTCTCGTCGGGAAGAAGGAGGTCGTATCGGTCGAGACCTCGGAAGAGAAGGAGCAAGTCGTCATCGTCGTCGAGGAGAAGAAGGAGGTCGCATCGGTCGAGACCTCGAAGGAGAAGGAGGAGAAGAAGAAGGACCTCAGCATCATCATCGAAGAGGCGGAAGAAGAGGAATCGTCGGTCGAGGTCGAAGTCAAGGTAGAAGTCGCCGCTCGAGTCGAGGTCGGGTCGGAGGAAGAGGAAGAGTCGTTCGTGGTCATCGAGCCTCTTGAGGCCGACGAGTCGTTCGTCTTGGTCTCCAGCCCGGTCCCGACCCCGGCTCCAGCTTCGGCTCCGGCTCTTGTCTTTCCCCGTTCTCGTATTCCCGTCCTGATCAAGAAGGCTCACCGTGCCGTTGCTCTTCCAGTCCTTTCTGTTCAGACCCAACCCGAAGCTCAGGTTCAAGGCCAACGCCGGACTCAAGCTCGACCTTGTCCTCAAGCCACGGCATCTACGGCATGTCGACGACTCTTCGGGATCGGACGGGCATCGACCAAGGCGACCATCAACGCAAAGGATCCTTTTGCTTAGGAACGCATACGAGGACGGGACTGGCGATGTGGTTCTTTCGGCAAATCGAGGATTCGGCTTTCGACAATCGACGCACCTCCGCCATCGACAGGATCCCCCCCTCTTCTTTATCATAAAAACGCCCTTCAGACCCTTCTCGAAACCGACTCGGCTCGATCCTCCCTCCCCAGCGTCGGAACCGTAGTACCTCCTCATCCGGGTCCCTTCAGCTCAACCGGTCGTAGGGGTTCGCTCCCTTATTGTCATTCCGGCCTCCCAGTCGTCGGTCTGAGCCGATGAGTGTGGTACTATGGGACGGACAACGGGGAACATGGGACAGCCCGGGCACGGATCAAGGATGTGGTTCGGAGGACCGTCCTCACGAGGGTAGTAGTACTCGCAAGGTATTTATCTATCCTCGTGGGGGGGCTCACGACGCCCGTGAGTATTCTTCTGTTGCGCGCTTGACAAATATGAACTCGTCGGCTGATTATCGTCGTTGTTCTTGATCTTGTTCGATCGTCTCTGCGTTGTCCGGCTTTCTTCGTGTCCTGTAATAACGAACTTGTCTTTATGCTCTCTCCGATCCATCATTCCGCCTGTCTCTGCTTCGAGTATTGTGGAGTCTTATTGCTTGCGACTTTGCTTGCGATGGTTCGTTCGAAGGTCTCCCCCTTTTGCGCGCGCGTGGCTTGGATGGAATAATTTCCTGGGAGAGAAGGGGGGAAAGTTGAAAATGGGCAGCTCGGGATTCGTTCGACCTTTACTGATGTTACTCTCGAATCGTTCTCGATCGACGTGTGATCCAGCGAGCATATGCTATTCTGTAGAGCTACATCTCGGAGAATAGCTCGTACCATCAACCTAGCATCACCCACCTTTCCGCAACGTGCACCGCGTGCCATGTCCTCGTCCATCTCCGTCCCCCGATCACCTCCTTCGCCGGCGAGCGTACCTACCGCTCATAAAAAGGTCAAGCTGGCCACTATCGACGGTGACTTTGCCGAGCCCGTACAACAAGCGTCTGGATCTGGGTCCGGGTCTGGTAGCAACCCGACCGCTGCTGATGGAAAGGTTGACAACCGCAAGAAGAACGGCAAGAAAGAATCGAAGCAGAGGTCGAGGAGGGCTCCCCCGATCGACGAGGTGCTCCTACACGACCTCTTGTCGACCTTGGGATGGAGCGAGTTGCCGAAACCGAGTGATCCTCCCTCAGAGGCACAGACGCTCGGACAGCGATTATGGCCCAAGACGGCTCCGGCGTGGAAGAGCTCGCGAGGGGGGAAGAAAGCTGTCGAGCCGGTAGCGGCAGAGGAGAACGAGAACAAGGTCGAACAACCAGCCTCCTCCAACGATTGGGGCTTCACCGAAGCTGAATTCACCGTCGTCGCTTTGACTTCTCACGGGGATGGAATCGCGGTCTACCCCGTCGCCCCCGAGAAACCGCAGTGGGCGATCATCATGCCGTTCACCTTGCCAGGCGACGTGGTCAGAGCCAAGGTGACTCGTCACCAGCACTACCATTCCTTCGCCGACCCGCTGAAGATCATCTCTTCGAACCCCTCGGCATCCACCTTTCCCATCCAAACCACTCGGGACGACTCATTGGTAGGCTGCAAGTATTTCGGGACGTGTGCTGGGTGTCAATACCAGTCCCTACCGTACGAGCAACAACTCGCGCTCAAACGTCACGTCCTCGTCAAGGCCATGAAGAACTTTGCCAACCTGCCATCCGAACAGATCCCCGAGGTCAAGGAGACGATCCCTTCCCCGAAACAGTACAACTACCGGACAAAGATCACCCCGCATTTCGAACTCCCGAAAGCGTTGCAGACAGGGAAAAAGGGCAGACAGGCGTTGAACGGGGCCAAGAAGAATAACGCTGCGTCGGCTGCGGAAGCTCAAGCTCAGGAGGAACAGGCTAGCAATGAGCAGAACGAGATTTCAGCCGAGCTCGATACGCCCATCGGGTTCGAGGGGAAATGTAAACCCGGGATCCTCGATATCGAAGTCTGCCCGATCGCGACCGAGGCCATCATGAACGCCATGCCTGCAGCACGAGCTGCGGTCAAGCAGAACATACGGTCGTACAAACGGGGAGCGACGTTGTTGCTGCGAGATTCGCTCGTCCCCGAAGTCTCTGCTGGCGGGTCGAGCGAGACGGAGCAGAAGGAGGCGGAGAAGGTTGACCCGGTGGTGGATGTTCCGGCTGGTGTGATGGACGAGGAGGAGCAAGGGATGAACGAGGGATCGACGCCCGAGGTCGCCATCGCTACCAGACGGTCGTCCAAGGGCAAGACCATCGATCTCGGTTTGAGCACCGACGTCAAGCTCAAATCCCCGGAAGAACATGTCTGTGTCTCGGTGCATAGCCATACTGTGACAGAGCGGGTTGGAGATATCATCTTCCAGGTGAGCATTCAAGCCGGACACCTTTGATTCCCTCATTATCAATCTCTCTTCTTGTGCAACAACAGTTCCCCGCAGGTTCCTTTTTCCAGAACAACGCCTCGATCTTGGGCCCCTTGACCTCATTCGCGCGGGATCAAATCGACAAGGATTCGGATGAGAAGAAGGAGTCTTACCTGGTCGACGCTTACTGTGGGAGCGGACTTTTCAGCTTGACGCTGGCAGAGCATTTGTCAGTCCTGCTCACACGGTTTCTTGAATGCCGTCGGCTGATCACGTGACCTATTGGTTTCGCAGCACCCAAGTCTGCGGGATCGAGATCGATCCCAACTCGATCGCTTATGCTCGTCATAACGCCCTTGTCAACAAGATTTCCAATGCCACCTTCCACGCGGGCGCTTCCGAGTCACTGTTCGACACGGTCACCCAATCCCTCGCCTGGCCTGGAGACAAGACTACCCTGATCGTCGACCCGCCTCGAAAAGGATGTGACGAAGGCTTCCTGGGCCAGGTCGTCAAGTTCAACCCCAAGCGGATCGTCTATGTCAGCTGCAACGTGCACACCATGGCCAGGGATGTCGGGCAGTTGGTCAGGAACAGCAACGCCGGGGGCGCCAAGGGGTACAAGATCGACAGTCTAGGCGCGATCGACTTGTTCCCTCAGACGCATCATACGGAAGGTCTTTGCGTGTTGACCAGGGAGGTGTGAAGCAGGGGCGTGGTTGTAAGACAGTGTCAGCGAGCTGCAGAATATAATGAGAGTTGTTACTCGGTCGGACGGCGCAGCGTAAATGAATCCGCGATTTCGAAACGGGTCGGCCAAGCGGTATCACCGCAGCTTCGAAACTATGCTCATACTTATCGAAACAAGTCTACCAATAAGCCTACCCGTTAACCGTTAGTGCACAGAACCGTCGGCATCATTCCGGAATCCCGGGATCCTAAGCTTGTAAAAAAATTGGTCTTTGAGCGGCGATGGTGCTCTTTATCCCCAGATGCCTTGCTTGATCGCTTTTTTTCGAGGGTTGTTTGCTGTTTAATTGCTTCTGATATAGCAGATCTCACCCTAGATTCAACCATACCCACAGCGTAGCAAGGCGCCGATTTTCGCTAGTTGTCGCTCTCAGCGCGGGGACCATGCGACACAGATGACAGGCAAACGCGCCACAGCAGACGAGAGCCGCCCAGCCTACGTCACTTCTTGTCCAGTGGAGCGATGTATGGTCGTAAGATTGTCTATTTGTCGTTATCATTGTAGTTCAGTAAGTCGTGTATAATATCGCTTTCCCAGACCATCCCAAGTCTTGCCATCCCTGCCTCTCTGCCTCCACACCCTCGGTCCCTATCCTCAACCTACTGACAGACCTTCTGCCCCGCCCTTACTACCCCGTTCCTGTTTCTCCGCCAGCCGGTTGCCCCTGCGCCTGTTGCTTCTCCCTGGCCGTCCGTACTTGATCTCGCCACCAATCGATCATCTCCCCGCTCACGCTCATCTGCCGTACCGAGGGTTCTTCGAGCATATCTAGGGTTCTTGTGAAGCGGCGAATCTGTCGGACGCCGATGAAATGCAGGTATAAACCGATGGTGGTAGATGAGCGACGACGATAAAGGTCGAGAACGGTACAGATGGCGGGGACCACCGAGTGCAGCGAAAGCGATAAGAATATGAGCACCTTCGTTCGGAATCAGCAACTTCCGACACTTTCGACTCGCCTGGTGTTCGATGGCCGCGTGATCTCGTACCGTCAACCTCGGATGCCTGAACGAATACCGGAGGTGCAGCAAAAAGTTCTCGCGCGTCTCGTCCGGTTTCGAGGAGACGTTCTGGAGGCCACTGCGTTGCTTGCCAGACGTTCATGATTTATGAGGTGATTTTCGGAGGACGTGCGGATGCAAGAGGTCAAGTGAGGGTGGGGGAAGACCTGGTCGATGGCGTGAGTATCAGTTCTATCTTTGGTGTTTCGCGAGACGAATGCTAGCCGGTACGCACCGTCTGTAGAGGGAGAGGACCTCTTTCTGGAGGCCTGATCTTGGTCGTGGTGGCATCGTTCGCGTGTGAGTGGTACAGTAGGATCTGTGTTCTGGATATCTGAGTGAAGAACATGAAGATTTGCAAGAGATGGAGAAGGTGTCGGGGTGTTCTCTCTGCCTGCTTTTGATCTTGCCATCGATCGGGGGGAGATGACGTTTGACAGGGGGCAGGGATAAATGTCAGGTTCACTAGAGGGGGGCAGTCGCCCTTACGTAATCGATCGACATCCCTCAGAGTAACCGAAGTGACCGGGTAGTGTTGCTAGCTAACTATCCAAGGGTCATGTCATCGAGTAAATCATCTGTTCCCCCCCCCCCCCTCCCCCTCCCCCACATCCATACGTTACCACCCACCATCCTCAACCCTTGCAGTCATGCCGCCTGCTAATGCTCCGGGAAGATCACGCCTATCGAAACTCTACCACCGACTCACCTTTGCGCTCGGATTAGGAGTCACGCTATGGGTCATCCTGGGGTACATTGGCACGAGAATGAGACGGGCGAGGATCGAGTTGGTTCAGGGTCGACAACGAGCAGATAGGTGGGTCATGTCGTCATCGTGTTTTCTGCAAGCAGCAGAGAGTATTGCCTTTTATTGAAACGCTGACCCGGACTGGAACCACTCGCTTGCTCGCCCGTGGTACAGGGTCAAACAACACTTTACGTCGACAATGTCCAATATCACGTTCACCATCTACGCTCTCCTACCTACGCTTTCCTCCCAGCTCCTGGAAAGTCTCGATATAGAATCCCTGACTGAAGAGCTACAAAACCTCGCTGCTGCGGGAAAGCACACGAATATCAATGACGACAAACCCACGCCGGGTACTAGCGTACCGACGGATTCAGAGGGCATGACGAGCGGGGCATCGAGTACGACCTTGGAGAGCGATTTCCAGTCACACGAGAGGGCAGACGAAGTAGCATCCGGACGGCCAACAGGTCTGGGGATGGGATCGACGGGGATGGGAGCGGGCATAGGAGCTAGCTGGGCTAGCGAGTTTGTCAACTCGAACCCGTCTTCCTCCTCGAGAGGCGTTTCGACCGATGTCTCCGTCTCAGGGGGTGAAGAACATGGGGATCTTCTCAATCAAGACCATGATCGCCATCACATTCAAAACGATCCTCATCAGCCCTTCAATACCCCAGGATCGCACATGGAAACATCACACTCTGACTTGGAATTGGAGACAGCTACGGATATGTCGACGTCGATGAGCAACATCACCTCTGATCCAGATCCTTCGCCCGATTCCCAATCCGGAACCGGCTCGCCAAATCGAGATCGATCCAGACGAGGAACAGGAAGAGAGGCGGAAGGTGATGACGGCGACGTCGAAGGTGGAAGTAACACCTTTGATGGACCTAGGTCACCCGAGTCGAGGTATCTGAGGAGTCCTAGTCGGAGCCCGAGGCGGTCCAGACGTGCATTGCCTAGTCGGGGGACTGGGGCGGGTTCCGCTTTTGCGGGTACGACGGCTGTGGATCAACATTCTCAGCGATACCACGAAATCGGCACACAAAGGGGAGGCGATCAAGGGTCTTCTGCTTCGTATGCCGAAGTCGTCCAATCTGGACCTGCAGATATCACTGTCACCCGAGACGAAGAGAGAGCAAAAACAGAGAAGGTTGAATCCCAGCCAGGGAGGACCAAGGCGCAATTGTGGACCGAAATCAAGATCCAGGGTAAGTTGGTCTCAAGCAGTGTCTGTCAGAATCGCAACGCTGCTGTCAACTCGGATCGTGTGTGGCTGATCCGTCCGCTACCTCCTTCCGTCATGTCTATCAGCTATCACTAGAACCGTGATGACGTTTTACCTTGTCCCCCTCTTGACGATCCAGACGACGTCACAGTTGACCCTCTTGGCTCGGTTACATCACCTGCGGAACTTGGCAGATGCTCAATCCGCCTCGACGCGCTCTCCGAAAGGTTCACGCGCACTCGGCGAAGATGATGAGCACCCTACGTCACCGGTCAGATCGCGGTCGGGGATGAGAAAAGCAGCGAGCGAAGTCATCCAGCTCTTGACCCCCTGGCGATACTTTTCACTGGAGTCGATGGGCCTGGACGAATATACTACGGAGACTGAGCAGCCAGGCGGATTTAGCTCTGGCCTCTGGTCGATTGGAACGTCGACCGCTTCATACCTCTCGGGAGCGTCGAAATCTTTCGCTTCCCCTGCCGATTCGGCAGCCACCGTGACGCCGTTACATGCTAGGCTCGACGTCGAAACTGAGAGAAAGTTCCTATGTTTCAGCTGGTGGCTTTTGCACGTCGGTTGGAGGGAGCTTGAGGAACAGGTCCGGAGTGCTGTGGTCGACGTCTTCAAACCGTAAGTCGTCAATCGCATCTACGAGAAATTACGGCGAAAACGCTGACGCGTACCGTGCATTCCGGTCGACTGACAGGGTCGGTTTGAAAAGAGAGCTGGCCGTATATGACTGGTTACGCTTGTTGGATGAAGTAAAATTCAAAGTCGACGGGACGGTAGGCCAAGGGTAAGAGCACTACGCTTCGTGTCGTCGAGTCGGCCGGTATTAACCTCATGTCGCTCAAACGGTCAGCTTTCACGATCTCTTGTGCCCTCCAGCAGACCCCGCCGAGTTTGAACGCCTACTCTCCAAGCATGGCCTTCAGCACGCTTGCCCCATCCCTATGCCCCCCTATCATGGCCCGCTGGCCGAGCTGCTGGATCAGACGTCGGGACATGCGCGTTCAGCCGATTTCACCTATCTCCTCTCTACGTGTTACGACCGGATGAAGAGGACTTGTCTGGACCATTTCGCCTCGCAGGTCTACGATGAGATCGTCTTGCTAGAATCGTTGGACGATGGCCTGTACTCGCATGATAATGCAGCACGGGTCGAATCACTCAAGTCGAAGCGTCTCGTCGAGTGTTTGCCATTCCTGACTGATTGGAGTCGGAGCGTTTGGGCCAAAGTTCCCGATGAAGCCGTAGAGGTGAGACCCCATTCGTGAACCAGGAAGACTTAACCGTGCTGAGTCGATATGCTTGCGAATGACTCCAGCGTACATTGGGTTTGCCTGAGGTGGAAGGCTTCGCCACCCTGATCTATGCGGACTTTGCAAGTGGTATATGAGCCTCGTCACGGTTTTGTCACCAAGCCGCCGAGCTAGGTCGGACCCAAGTTGTATACCCTTCAGCATCGCCTAGATTTGCACGTGGCCGAACCCCTACAGCTGCATCGATCATAGCGATGCTAATATGCTCATAGCGAACTTGAAGCCCTCTGACCTTGTAGCGGGGAGAGGGACGGATAGTTGTGGGTATAGGATACAATTATTCTGAAATCGGCTACTTTGCAGCTGGTCATGTCATGATGGATAATGACCGCTATACCAAGGACTTCATGGGCCGATACAAACCAACTACTTGGAAGGGAACAGTGATAGGAGGATATTTATAAAGTAACTGGACGGGGGGAAAAGGCTATGAGCTCTTTCCACTGAAAGCCCACACTGGGTGCAGGCCGTTCGTAAGGGGTCGTTAAAGCTTCGCCGATGAGCCTCGCTCGTGTATATCGAGAAGGTCAGGCGGTAGCTCGAATCGTATAGATGCCCTCACAGGGGTCTTTCTCCTCGTGAGCGATGTTGCGATAGATAGCGTCCATCGTTTCAGGTGTAATGAGTTGGAACTTCACGTTCATGTGTTGCAATAGCGAGACGTAAGAGTAGCAGGTCCGTCCATCCTCGGAGGCTTGAGAATAGCTGTCCGATGGCAGAAGTTCCGCATCTAATGTAATGGTTTGACAGCCAGTCCCTGCACCGTCTTGGATCCGACCCAAAAGGGGCGATTCGAAGGTCTCCTGAGAAAAGTCAACGTCTTCTTGAAACGCATCGTGGCTCATATGCTGATCCTCGCGAGCCACCAGCGGCGGAAGGCTGTCCGGGTCGACAGCACAATGGAGTTTCGCCAGGTATTTGCGTAGGATTCCGTTGGTATCGTAGATGTGTTGAGAAAGTTTGGTGAGAAAATACGAGGCTGTAATTCGATATTTTCGCTGACGAGCACTTCTCCTCCCGGTCACTTTGAACAGGGGCCACCCGCGATTGTGAATACTCCCAGGTCGTCTCGGCTGATTATGAGTAGATCGCCTCGGGATATGATTTGTCTGCTCTGTGATGGCTTCACGATACGACTTTCTGTCATGTACAGCTGATTTGGCACGAAACGCAGGAGCGGTGCGCCACTTCGCAGTCGGCCCATCATCTTCGTCTTCGTACTCACATTTACGTGCATTGGTCTTGGATGCTGACTGCGGCTCAGCTCCAGTCTGCTTGCCTTGGTCGGAGGATGCGATCATTCGTGCTCCGAACTTTTCGATTTGCTGCCTGTTCCCCTCAGTCGACACGGCTCGCGGCGCCGTGAACAACCGCTCGCTATCGGGCGGAAGGGCTCGAGCGGAAGCCACAGTGTCTTTGTAACTGGACATGACATAATTCCAGAGTGCCGCTGCCGCATCCTCGTTGATATTGGTCTCCGAGCCTGCCCCGTAGTCCCGAGTACGGTGAGGCAACTTGTGTATTCCGAAGATGTCGCTGTCGAAGATTTCCTTCGCACTCATTGAACCCTCTGCGCCCTCCGCTAGATTGGCGTGGTTGTTCGGGTCGTCACTCGCGTCGTCACCAGACCAGGCGGTCTCGATGTATATGACGCGGTCTCGCTGTGCATCGTCCCAGGCTACATCGTTCCGGATGAACAAGCGCTGGAACGACCAATTAACCATGGCAACGCCGTGCCTACAACCGCAGAGCTGATTGGTGATCGACAGGTACCAAGCAGCCTTGGCTAATGCCTTCTTGTGCTGGCCCACGAACTCCGAAGTTTCCTGCTCTTCCACGGTTCCATACGGCATCTGCTTCTTGTTCTCGCCACAGCCTCCTATGTGATGCATCTCGAAGGTTCCATTGATCATCCTACCATGGCCCCACGAGAAGTCTGGGATCCTGACGCCTTGACGGATAGTGCTCGCTGCAGCCATCGCGGCAGTAATCGACTTCGGCAACGATTTCTTTTTCTCGTACGGCTGTATAATTTCCGCCCAGATTCCGGGACCGCAGCTTTGCTCCCATTTGACAGGGGTCATAAGACTGCCGATATTTTGTTCATGACTCGCGCGTGTTTCGTATGGTGTGCCCTCGATGCTTCGGTAGCGGCTTATTGAATGGAAGCTTGATACGATATTGGAATTTTGGGTGTTCTCGCCATCATCCAGATCCCTGGAGTCCCTCATGTGAATAGACTCCGTGACCCAGCTGGGGAAGTCGAAAGATCCGTGTATAGCAATTCCCGCCGGAATGGCCAAGGGCTCTCGGGGCATCGTGATCGCTTTGAGTGACTACGGAGAGTACAGTGAGCTGCCAAGTATCAGATAGCAATCTCATATGTGGTCTTCACTTACTGATAGTAGGAGTGATGCAGGCTTCGAGTCTCTTCTTGATCTTGAAACGACAGAGGAAGGAGCGATACAAAGAGATTGAGCACTCCGCGCTCGCCGTAGTGCCTACAGGTACCAATAGGATCTGAATGAGCTCAATCATCAGGAAGGGAAGATAAAGATAACGAACAGGTCTTCGTGATCTTTCGTAATGGTCCCAATGGTAAGGCTTTGGTGAGAAACCTTCTGCCTTGAAGTAGAGCTATTTGGTCGTGGCGAAGAGACTTTGATGAGGAGAACGGCTAGCCGTATAAGCCGATTGAAGGGGCAAGGCACTCCAGCCTTATACGACGCCGATGTGATGGAGGTATCCAATGATTTTTTAACAAGGTATGAATAGGCGGGGCGAAGACGAGTACTGACGTTACATTGAGGTCAGTATATCATCAGATCAGTAGATCAGTAGTACAGAGTAGTGAATGACAACAGGCGATCAGGCGGGTGATTACACCAAGAACACGGAGATGTCGCTTCAGACTGGTCGAAAAAACGTGTTGATGTCCGCTCATCGCGCTTGGTCGAAGACAAGTACTTGTTACAATGTCGCTCTTCAACATCATGTCATCATTCTCTGTATGAGAAGCTTCCATCAGATCAGGTGGAGACATTGGGCAGACGCCAGCCGTTGGTAGTCGTCTCGATCAATCCCGTTCGTGCTGTCACTCCTAAGAAGCGCTCGAGGGACTCTCTCGAATTTTCATATGTAGGGTCCCGGGAAAGCAAACGATGGAGGATGAAGGTGTTAAAGCTGGCACCGCCGGCCAACAGACCTGGAAAGACGCGAAAGCTCAATGAGTATGGATGACTCGAAATCTTGACTCTCCGCGCTGAAACTGACGTTGAATTTCCTGTGGTGCGTTAAAAGCAAAACATAATTCAGGAGGCTGTCATCCCGAAGGGAAACACAGAATTATAAAATGCTCACGGTCCATCTATGCGTCTCCATATCGGCACGAGTCTCGAGCGGAGTCTCTAGGACGACCGCTTCGGCAGTATCAACTTTGGCATCCAAAAGGTGTGAGTCGCGGTTGACGGGCTTTCGACTTGAGCTGCTTAACTCACACAGTAAAGAAGAAGGGTCTTCCGGGACGACTTCTGGCTTGTCCGAAGCGGAATATAAGCCATCGTTGCTACTGTGTAGAATACCATGGTTGATCCAATGATTCAAGGCGTGCTTGATGACCTTTTCATCGTCCATCCCAGTCCAATCTGATATCTGTTGCCAGGTACATCGGCCTGTAATCTCCGGTTTTAATACGGTATTGCTCATCTAGGATCGGAAGCCAATCAACGAACCCTTTTTGGAAACAGCATCGAGAATGGCAGCCTGAAGCGGTGTGGCGTTACAGGTGACGGACCGATCGCCGAGCTCTATGGTTAATGAGACCGACCCGAGCATATTGAAAAATTTCATGTGTTTATCCTGTTTCACTTTCTTGAATGCGGTGGAGTACTGCTTTTGCATGCTGTGCGATCAACAAGTATAAGCCTCGTTATTAATGCAAGCGGTCGTAACATAGACTGACCGTCGAAGCGCCCGTGGCAATCTGAGGCGCTTTCCAGCTACGCTCGGCCAGTAGTGATGCGACAAGATGATCGGCTCAAGTTGATTCTGAAGCGCTACTTCTCAGTTCTCGCTGGCGAGAGTAACAACGGAAGCTCGGGCCGCATACCTGTTGAACTCGCTGCACTTGCGCGTTGAGACGCTTCGAATCCGTCATATCCTTGAGCATGACCTCGCACACCTGCAAAGTTGTGTCCCCGAACCTCTTCTTCAAAGTTTCAACTTTGGCAAACTATTCAATAGAACAATTGAGAGACAAGCTTAGGAGACGTATGGATAAAAAAAAACTTACGTGTTCGTCATAATCGTAGTTTTTGACGTTCAGTAACTGTCTTGCCAGCCACATCTGAATCTCGGTCACAATCACATCGCGCGAGTCGTACATCCCTACCAGGATGCTCAAGATATCGTTGGGATTCTTGGCACGGAATTCTGAAGCGTTCGTGAAGACTGATCAGCTTCAGCCGAGCTATTCGAACTGCGGCAATATTGCCAGCCGACTGACCTGGTGCTGCGTCAATGGGTTCTGGATCCCACTTCTGATCGATCCATTCTTCGGCCAATTCGTGTCTGACATTGATCTCCCTGATCCCCCGAATCTGGTCGCTCTCGTCCGCCAACTCGTCCGTCTCGACGAGCATACTGACGATGCTCGCCACTGCATCGCTTCTTGATCTGAAATAGGCGGGACGAAGATTAATCAATGATCTGGCTCTCCTATCATCCGGCCTCACTTGAGATATGCCTTTATAGGCTCAGAGATCGAGTGAAGAAGTACTCCAGAAGGGTCGACTACCCGTAACGCCTTGATAATCAGGATGTAGCCCCGGATGATATCTTTAGTCTCGGCGCCTGGATGAAGTAGCCTCTGATTGATGCTGTAGATCGACTGGTATCAGCGAGGCTCTGCTTCTAGCTTGAGATTTCGCGCTAGCTCTACTCACGACTCCTTCAAAACCGGGGCAAGCTTCGTCCGCTTGAGCGGTGGAGTAAGTGCGTCACAATCCTGTGAGAGGTAAATGTTGAGGTGAGACCTTCGATGGTCGCCTTCGCACTACCGCATGGTTTCGGCTCACCTGCATATCGGCCAGGGCGGGAAGCGATGCCGGGAAGTTGACAATTATGTCGAACATCTGCTGACATCTATTGGTTCCAACAGTCAGCCTGCACTCAGCGAATAGCGCGTTGTTCATATTGCACTAACCTGTATTCATATAACTCCATCTGCAGGCGGTGCTTGATTCGCGTCTCTATATTATGCTTCCTGTGTTCGTCCTTACTACCGCCGGCTACGACGTTACAGAGGAATATCAACGTCTAGTCATGAACTCTCCGCAAGCGCCTGTCGTTTCGCTTACCCTCTATGTACCCGAAGAACCAACCGAGGATATCTCGCCTGACGACAACCTGCAAATCTCTTAACATCCTTCGTTTCCATTCTCTACCTTCTTCTTCGCCCTGATCTTCGTCCATAGAATCGACTCCGTCTTGAGTCCTAACGGGCTCATCCCAATCCCCCCTCACCACCCTACCCAGCTGCTCATAAGCAACGTCTGCGAGCATAGAGGCATACTTAGGCAGGATCCCAATTCGATAGAGGTAGCGGTTGGGGAGCTCGAATTCGTAAGCACGATTCGAGGGATGATGTAGGGGTCGCAAGGGAGGTAGCGTGGACCGGAAGTAGTTCTTCAGGTGGTGATGGAACGCTTCAGACGGCAGGATATCGAAGAGTAGCGCTTGGTAATGGTTGCGAAATAGGGTCTGGCAGTAGCTTTTGCTAGGTGCAATGGGTGTTTTGTAGCTTTCGGTTTCATCCAAAAATTAGGGAGAGAGATTAGAGACTCTCGACTCAACCTTATCAGATGGACACTCACAAGCCATCGATCCACTTCATACCCGCGCCCCATTCCTTTTCCCACCGGTACAGCTTGTCAAATAGGGCGTTCATGACCTCAGTTAGCCTTACATTTGAACCCCTCGACAGATGCGCGACCTTGACGTGGCTATCCGTTAACATCAATCTTGTTTGTGACCGCGATGATGATCAATCCAACGCTTACTTCAAGGTGCTGCATACAACGCTTGATATCAGCCTCGATCCAGGAGAATGACGCCGACATTTCGTCTGCGGCGAGACATATGATCAGTTTAATTCCGAGAGTATGTTTCGCCCTGGAGACTGTTGTTGCGAAAGTAGCTTACCTAGAAAGTTGGAAACGAGTAAGCGAGGCGCATCATACGACGACTTCATGATGTGTGCTAGCGAGGCCGTCTGAGATTGGGTAGCTACAGACAATACGTATGCAGTGTGTTGTTTCAGTGAGATTCCCTGATGACTCTTCGTAGGGTCGCTCACCGGGTTTGACAGTGTTTATATTGATGTTTCTCGGTGAAAGATGGGCAGCGACCTCATTCCACGCCTGGAAAGACAGACGTCAAGCAATTTCAACCGTCTCGATCTTGAAGAACTCGGCCCGAAATTAAAGCCGCTTACCCTCCCAAGAACTAGCTCCCACTTGAGTTCGGATGGCGTCACCTTCTCATAATCATGTGCCAATGTCCAGCGAGGCCTGCTTGATGACGAAGCTAATTCGACGGGTGCCGCTTCCTCTTGCTCATCGTACAAGGCCGCTAGCGATAGCCCAGTGGCGATCGGCATCATGCTGATAGTTCAGAATGAGCACCGTTGTCAACTGATGGGATATGAGAACCGCCTCGAAAGGTACCCGCCGGTTAGCATTCCTGTACACATCGACCCAAGAGAGATACACAACAACCCGGTGACCTCGACGAGAAGACATCGTAAACAAGCGATCGAAATGCATCCGGTAGGAAACAGACCATCGGAACCAAATAGAAGCGCATCATCGAGACTTTCGATAAGCGCATCGAAGTTCCCCGTTCAAGTTGTTCAACGACGTTTACGAGGCGATCATTCACCTGGGATTTGGCTTTATTATCTAGCCCTCCTCCTCATCATACCTGCACCGAAAGGATTATACAGATCCTTCTCGTCGTACATAGCATATTCGCGGAGGGGACACGTCGAAAATGGCCCAGGAACGAGCTTCAAAGCGGACCAAGGTCGATGGCAACGGGGAGGCCATGAACAACCCATATCTGTAAGTCGCTAGGTATCGCTGCGGAAGGCCGAGAACGAAAGGGGACGATGATGGCAGTCCGCTGAAGGTATTAGGCGAACTATGTTCTAACACACCGTTCCTACGTATGCATAGCGCCCATCTTCAACCTCAAAACGGATTCAACGCGTCGGCTTCCTCGTCGTCCAGCACCAAGCACCCCTTGGAAGGCCTCGTTCCCCGTGCTGTGGGTCTTGACAAGATTCACGAGATCATGGGAGGAGATGTCAACCCTTTCAAGGGAAACGGCACCCAACCATACTCGGCCAACTACAGGAAGATCTTGCAGCAGAGGAAAGGGTTGCCGGTTTACCAAAAGATGCAAGAGTTCTACGATGTGGTGAGTGTGCAACCTCATTCGAGATTTTGCGTGTCGTGTTGCCTTGCTGAGAACCTAACGTTCGCTATGTCTGGCAGTTCAACAACAATCAAATCATCGTTATGGAAGGTCAGACCGGTTCCGGAAAGACAACTCAGATCCCTCAATTCGTGTGTTACGCCGACCTGCCTCACCTGAAGGGCAAGATGGTCGCGTGCACCCAACCTCGACGAGTTGCGGCGATGAGCGTTGCTAAGCGTGTCGCAGACGAGATGGACGGTGAGCAAGATTGCCAATTACTGTAGCGACGAGCGACAACTGACGACCATGCCTGACCTTCACAGTGCCCCTTGGGAAACAGGTCGGATATTCGATCCGTTTCGAAGACATGACCGAAGCTGGCACGACTTTCCTTAAATACATGACGGACGGAATGTTGCTCCGAGAGGCCATGAACGATCCTCAGCTCGAACGTTATAGTACCATCATCTTGGACGAAGCGCACGAACGTACCCTCGCTACCGACATCCTCATGGGTCTCCTCAAGGATATCGCAAAACGACGGCCCGACTTGAAGATTATCGTCATGAGTGCCACGCTCGATATCCAAAAATTCGCTAAGTACTTTGGTGACGGAACGGAAAGCGGGAAGGCTCCCGTTGTGCAGGTCTCGGGAAGGACGTTCCCCGTCGAGACTTATTACACGGCCGAACCCGAGCCCAATTACCTGGAAGCCGCGATCAGAACGACGTTGATGATTCACCAAGCCGAGGACGCCGGAGATGTCTTGTTGTTCTTGACCGGAGAAGAGGAGATTGAGGATGCGTGTAGAAGGATTAAAGCGGAAGGAGATGAACTCTGTCAGAACGGTCTCGCTGGGCCCATCCTGGTCGTACCGCTCTACTCTTCCCTCCCACCTCAGCAACAACAGCGTATCTTCGACGCTGCGCCCGAGAACAAGGACGGACAAGGACCCCCCGGCCGCAAGGTCGTTGTATCGACCAACATTGCGGAGACATCACTCACAATTGACGGAATCGTCTACGTGGTTGACCCCGGTTTCTTCAAGCAAAAGGTGTACAATCCTCGTATTCGAGTCGAATCCTTGCTTGTCTCGCCCATTTCCAAGGCTAGCGCTCAACAACGTGCTGGTCGAGCGGGAAGGACGAGACCTGGAAAATGCTTCAGGCTGTACACCGAGAAGGACTTTGTCCGCGAGCTGGAAGATCAGACGCACCCGGAGATTTTGAGAAGTAATCTGGCCAACACCGTCTTGGAATTGGTCAAGCTCGGGATCAAGGATCTGGTGCATTTCGACTACATGGGTGCGTCTGCCTTGTCCATGCAAGCTTTGATTCGACGAATTGGAACCGGCTTACTGACTTTTGCGATACTCACTGATATATGGCACAGATGCTCCTGCACCGGAAACCATCATGCGTGCACTGGAACTGCTCAACTACCTCGCGGCTCTGGATGATGACGGTGGTATGACCCCGCTGGGGCAGATTATGGCCGAGTTCCCCTTGGACCCCCAGGTAAGCCATCCCACTGCGATGGGATTGTGAAAGAAAGCTGATTGGTTCAATTCCCATTTGAACAGCTGGCCAAGATGCTCATCTGCAGTCCCGAGTTTGGATGCAGTAACGAGATCTTGAGTTTGACGGCGATGTTGTCCGGTAAGCCTTTGCCAAGTCCCTCTATACGTGATTTATAAGTATTGAAACCCTTTGCTGTTCAGTCCCAAATGTGTTTGTCCGTCCCAACAACGCTCGAAAGGAGGCCGACATGGCCAAAGCTCAGTTTACGCATCCCGACGGTGATCACTTGACAATGCTGAACGTTTACCACGCTTTCAAGTCGAGTGAGGCCGACTTGCTATAGAGAACAATCGGTCGACTTTTGCTGATTACAGCCCGTGACTTTTCATTGACTTAGATGAACACGACAAGCAGTGGGCATGGAACAACTTTTTGTCGCAGAGGTCGCTGCAGCAAGCCGACAATGTTCGAGCCCAATTGCGTCGATCAATGGAGAGTAAGCAGATCGCGCTCTTCTCCGAAAGGCGCCCTGCACAGAGTTTGATGGTGTTTTGGCTTCTGTTCTCTGTTCCAGAGTACGATCTGGATCTAGTTTCAACCGCGTTTGAAGACAAGAACTATTGGCTCAACATCCGGAAGGCTCTTACGGTCGGATTCTTCATGCAAGTTGCCCACAGGGAGGGAGAAAAGGGAGCCTACAACACCGTCAAGGACGGTCAGGTGAGACGATCCGTTCTTACGGTCATCAAGCAGGACCCGAACTGACTGACCGAGCTCCTTCTAGATTGTCAAGCTGCACAAATCGTGTGGTTTGGACACCAACCCAGAGTGGGTGCTCTACAACGAGTTCGTGTTGACGACGGCCAACGTGAGTCCATTCCTCTTGTAGTGGCCGCCCATCTCGGATACTAATCCGGCCGATCCTATCGCAGTTCATCCGCACAGTTACCGAGATCCGGGGAGAATGGCAAGTCCTGCTCGCGTACTTTGCCCCTGACTAGCTTCTAACGCTATGAACTTCTCACAGGCTTTTGGAATACGCACCGCAATACTTTGACTTGGACACTTGGAACGAAGAGCACCGAAAAGGCGAGACCTTCAAAGCTGTCAAGGCCCTGAAAGAGCGGTTGATGGGGCGACGAGGCAAATCTGATGGCGCCGGAGCCATCAAGGACAAGAAGCGAAAGACACACTGAAGAAAGATTGTCGCGTCGACAAGTTGTACACTGGGTTTCAAGCGATCGCCATAGACAATCAAGAGCGATCGAAATGTTTCATTATGCATAAGCAGCTGGTTCGCCAAGACTTGTAGAGTCTGAGGTGACATAATTTTCGATACATTCGGGTCGATAATAAGACTGTGCGATGCTACAAGGGGTATAAGGTTGGATATCTGTAGCGTATTAATGCAACTCGATCAGGGCGCCTGCCCCGAGCTGCCAGAGATCTCGGTAGACAGCGAGTTGTCTAGCCAATTCTGGGGTACACTGATCGTTCCCCCGCTTGGTGTGGGTAGCGACCATGGACTGGATGGATCCCAATCTGGTATCTGCATACCTCCCGATTCAAGTTCGGTCTGATTACTAAAGTCGAGCATGTCCTGGTTCTGCGTGAGCGAGAGGAGCAGGTTCATCTCGTCTAGGGTGAATTTGATGTCTTGAGCGTCGATGACGGGGTCCGGAAGCGCTGGAACCGCGGCGGCCTGGACATCATTGTCCAGAGGCGCCATGTCGATCCATGTGCTCAGATCGTAATCGAGCTGATCCGTATCGCTCGTTTCAGCCTGGACCGCACCATTGCCGATGGCAGTGAAGCGTTCGAAGAGGTCATTGCTGCCGTGATGCTCTCCGAGCAGATCGTTCGATTGTACTTGCCATGAGCTGGATTCATTGTGTCGAGAGGCAGCTTCGGAAACTGGAGGGGGGGTGAGAGATCGATCTCTCGAGGGCGAACGACCCGCCTGGAAAGCCGGAACAGGGCCTGTCGAGCCGCTAGCTTTTGGCTCGACTTGAGGCTCATCCTTGGAGAAAGGTCCACCGAACTTGTTTTGACGAGCGCTCACGCCCGTATGACCTTCAAAGGTCGCCTTGACCTTGCTAGCTGCAGCGGTCGCGGCCATCCTCCTCGGCGTACGTCTCAGCTTGGGACTCGCCTCTGCAACATCGTCGTGTTCCATCCGAGGGTTCTTGGAAGATCCACCTTGGCTCAGCCTCGTGGATCTTCGTGGAGTCGTGAAGACGGATTCCGAGAGGGTTCGCGGTTGTCTGGGGGGCGAAGCCGGTAATTCTGCAAACGAAACCTCATTCGTCTTCTGAGCGAGCGGTATTGGGGCTGCTGCCGCTTGCCGCATAGGCTGCGAAGGTGCAGGCTGCGAGGCGGTCGATCGTCCCGGCTGAGAAACGCCCTGATTCGCCGCCACCGTGGAGGCCTTTCCTAAGGACGCCATCTGTTTCGCGGCCGCCGCCCTCGAGGCAGCCATCGCGGCTTCTTGCTTGGGGATATCCTCCAAGGGTATCCTCTTGGCATTCGGAGACCACAATTCCTTCGGTCGCATCTGTTTCATCTTGTTGAAATAGATCCCGCAAGCGTCGCATACCCGTCTCTCCTTGCCGTCGGCGAGCGTCTTGACCCTCCATCGGGGTGTCTCGGTCGTCCCGCAATTTTTGCATACTGGCTTGACCACAGGGACGGACGGGCCGCCGACCTTGGCTGTAGTGGCAGCAGCAGCTCCGGCAGAAGTAGGCCCTGCCGTGCTCGTCCCGCTTGTACCAGTCGCCGTTGGGGGCCCCGTCGTCGGAATGACTGCCTTACCCTTGCCCTTGTTGTTAGGTCCGAGAGTCGTCGGTCCAGCCTTAGTCCTGGCCCGTGTCAATGCCGCGGCCGCAGCAGCAGACGCGCTTGCCTCGCCCGCCCCCTGCTTGGACGACCCGGCAGCTGATCCTGTTCCAGCTCCCCCTTCCTTTCCACTCCCATTCCCATTGCCCACCTGAACACCCATCTCCATCAAAATTTGCGCAAAAGCATCCTTGCCTACCAACTTTTGAGCGAGATCGATCGTGTGGCTCGTCGGATTCCTAAGCACTTGACGAGCGAGGGCCATATGCGTAGCCGGCGAAGACTGGGGAGGACGATCGGTCTGCATCGGACTGCCGGCGGTGGTGGTACCGGATTTCTTGGAGCCTTGCCGAGGTGTCCGCAGGATATCGGCGATGAGCGTCCCTCCAGAAGACGTCCCCGGTCCGATCGGTTGACGGGGCGGTGTATCATCGTTGGCCCCATGGACGAGCTTGGGTTTAGACCCGGTCAGATCGATCGTCGTCGTCGCCGTCGTCGATGATGTGGCCATCCCCGTCTTTCCGCCTAGCCCGACCATAGATTTCGATCCCGGCAGAGCACTGATCCTCCTCGTTCTACCCTCCGCCGTCGTCAAAGTTGCGGTCGAGCCCGACAAGGTCGTCGCCGACATGGCAGCCAACAACCCCGGGCTCGAAGCCGCCCTCTCCACACCTCCCAATCCCGGTCGAGCCCTGCTCATCCCCGCTTGCCCTTGCCCCTGAGTAGCTGCCCGAACTTGAGGTTGTCCTTGGCTCGCAGCTCTGGCTCCCAAGACGTCCATGGACGTCTTCATGCCTCCCAATCCTCCTCCGACGACCTTGACGTCCAATTCGTCGTCGATACCCGCACCTGTCGCACCTCCAGTCGACGCTGATGTCAGGGTGGACGCGGCCGGGGTCACGCTCATAGGGACGCTCTTGAGCAAGACGTTGAGCTCCAGTCCAAACGTCCTCTGCCTCGGCTTGGATTTTGAGCTCGACCCCACTCCGAGTCTCGCACTGGACTCGGCATCGACCGACGTGGATGTCGAGGCGGATTGAGCCTTTTCCCGCCTGGCCGCCTTCCTCTTCGCCCTCCTTTCCGCCGCACGAACGAGACCTTCCAGCCCGTCCAACCCCGCTTCATCTCCCTCCGTCTCCCTAACCACCCCGTCGTCATCCTCGGCGTCATCGCGATCATTGTCATCATCGTCGTCATCCTCCTCGGTCCTATCCCCTTCTTCGAGAGGATTCAAGCGAACGTACCCCTTCCCCAGCGTCTTTCCCGGTGCGGATTCGTTGAAGATCCAGGACAAGAGCCCCTTGCCTTCTTGCGGAGGTGCGAGTGGCATCGGAGGTGGTAGCGAGACGCTAGCGTTCGAGTAGGCTGGGGACGGGTATGTGCCCGCCGCTATGTGAGGTGGAGGGGCGGGATGGTGTTGTTGTTGACGATAACGCTGGTGGTTCCTCGGCGTATGTCCCGACAAGCTCGTCACCGGGGACGAACCCCTTGCATCGTGAATGTTGTCTTCGGGCGTCATCTGCATCTCCAAGCTAGGGAACCTCGAGAGCGTTCGACGGGGCAAATTAGGTATGGTTTGAAGTTGTTGCTGCTGTTGTTTGATCGTGATGGGGTGGGGGAGGACGGGGAGGTAGAGCGAACAGTCGGGTGTCGAGGAGGAAGGAATGACCTCGGGGCTGTTTTCGAGCGGGTCCGAATGATTCAGCAAATCTTGATAACGTTGAGAACTTGTGACGGTCTAGGCGAGTCGACACTCACCTAGCGCGACAGATGGCCCTGACGATGGCTCTCAGGCTGACGCTCCCCATATAGACCTCTTCTTCTTCCTCCTCTTCCTCTTGCTCGTCGCCGTCCATCTCGACATTCTCCTCGTCCCCGTCTTGACCCTTTCCAGACTCCGAGTTCATACTCTGATCTTCCGTATCCACGTCTGCCGTCCGTCGCCTCTTGCATCCGACGCCATCTCTACCCTCACGAACGGAATTCGAACCCCTCCTCGCCTTGGCATTCAGGTTGTCACCCGAGGTCACCTTGACGCGGGGTTGACGGTGAATAAAGACGTCTTGGTGTGATGGCAAGGTGGTGGTATAAGAGTAATGCGAGTCGGGGAGGTTGTAAAAGACCCGGACTGTTTGCGTCGACGAAGTTCAGGTCGGATCGGGTCAGCCATTTCGATCTGTGTGTGTGTGGTGTGGACCCGCTCACCTGGCAACTTGTAGATCTTGCCCGTCTGCAGTGTGGGCAGAGGATCTGGTCTTCGTCTCTTCATCGTGTTGACGGGATTGTGTATGTCTGTCCTGACTATATTCTGTAAGTTGGGTGTCGATGGTATGGTATGGAGGTTGATGATTCGATCTGCATGTGTGATGACATTCGACATCGAATGGGTTGCATGGTAGAGGGAATCGACGACGCGTCTTGCGACGCGAAAAGGGACGCGTCGCGCGCGCGATCAATTTAACTCTCCAGGCAATGAGAATGTCAGGCTCATCTTACGTAAGCCGTTCTCCCTCTCAAGACCCTATTCTGCAGTTCATGCAGTTCAGTCGATCCGACTACAACGCTTTCGATTGTCGACGACGATCACCATATCCGTGTCATCCAATCAAACAGCTCTGACATCGCCCTTACGACCATGCCACGAGGTATAGACCTCTCCAAATTCCGGGGAGACTCGGACTCGGAGGACGAGGCCTTCCCGCCCGTCAAGAAACAGATCGTCCTCGATTCATTCAAACAACAGACATTCTCACACGGGATTCAGAAAAAGACCAAGAAGGAGTTGGAAAAAGAGGAAGAGGAGAGGAAGCGCAAGCAGGAGGAAGTGTGAGTGGCCGTCCTATCCTCTACCTCTACAAAAGGAATAGCCACCACGGCTCCCCGATCGATCGGCTTTTCGAGCTGAACTTGATACTTGACATCTTGTTTGTACGTTCCCTTCTCGTACGACAACGACCTGCAGAGACGCGGCCAAGGCGTATAAAGAGTTTGAAGACTTTTTCGCCGGAGACGATGCGGCCTCGGCACCACGGGGCGGGACTCGAGGTCCGGCTCACGGAGGAGGAAGAGGAGGTGTAGGTGGGGGGTTCGTCAAGGCAGGAGGAGGTGAGTCGATGGTTTCCAGTCTGGCCCACGTGGACAGCTGTACAAGCAGCTAACGTCCCGGTGCGACCATGATCATAGGCTCGGATGCTCCCGGTCAAGCTTATGTACCCTCCCGACCGATCCCTACCGGCCCCTCTTCGTCCTCTTCCCACCCTTACTCTTCCACTCGCCGACCTCGTTCCCCCTCCCCACCCGCGTTGCCGAAACCGAAAGGCAAACGTGCCATGGATTCCTTCTTGGAAGAGATCAAGCGGGAAGAGAGGTACCGAGAGGAAAAGTACGGCCGGGTCGCTCAGGCTGAAGGGTCGAGCGTCTCTGCGATGGCGGCCATGGCGGGTCAAAAGACGGGGATGAGGACCCTGGCGAGCAACTCGGAGACGACCAACCTTTACATCAGCAACCTCCCTCAGGGGATCGGGGAGGACTCTCTGGGCAACTTTTTCGCCAAGTACGGTCCTGTGGGGGCGGTCAAGATCATGTGGCCGAGAGGGGACGAGGACACGTCGATAGGCGCCGGGATCACTTCGAGCCGGAGATCCAAGGCTGGCCTGAGCGGGTTCGTGGCGTACATGAGGAGGGAGGATGCCGAAGTCGCGGTGAGAGAGTTGGACGGGCTGGATTGGGGTGGGAGTCTGTTGAGGGTCGGGTGGAGCAAGATGGTCAGAATCCCGAGTCATCCTTTATACGGTATGTTGGAGGGCGTGGTTGAGCATATCCGAAGCGGTCGCGCTGATTCTTCTCCGGCGTGCGCTCTTAGACCTCACGTCGCACAAGGAAGCCGATCGAAGGAGGTCGTCCCGTTCACCACCGCCTCGACGACGTCGATCACGATCGCCGAGTCGTGATCGTGAACGTGAACGGGACAAGTACGATGATCGCTCTCGTGCAGCTCATGGACGGAGAGACAGTCCGAGCCGGAGTCGAAGTCCACCGAGACGACGTTCGTCACGAGATCGTGATTGTGATCGACGCCGTTCCCCTTCACCAGAAGCCCGACCCTACAGCCGAAACGCTCCGCCGCCACCTCGAGGTCGTTCTCGATCACGCTCCTTTTCGAACGGCTCTTCCTCTTCTTCCCGCTCCCGATCACGCTCTCCTGCCCGCGGCGCACGCAACAACCGGTCAGACGCAGCCCTCGCCAAGTTTACCCGCAAGATGGGCGAGGAAAAGGAAAAGTTCGTCCGCGCCGTCGCCGACCGGGTCAGGGCGCATGGGAATAGGTTTGAACAGGTCTTGCGGGATCGGGAGAAGGGCAATGAGAAGTTTGCGTTCCTGAGGAATGTCGACGTAAGGACTATACCGTGGTTGCTGTCCAGCGTTGAGACGTTCGAGCTGATATGAGGACGTGACGTGCGGTAGTTGCCGGAATACCATTTCTATCGGTATTGTCTCGATTCCAGGTACCGACTGCCGACGCCGCCACCGGACGATTTTGCAGACGAGGTCGGTCGGCAGTGTTCAAGCTGATGTGCATGCGTCGAGGTCGCTAATGTGCGATGTCTTCTGAAAAGGGCAAAGCCGACCTGTACTCGAGCGACTCGGCGGAAGACTCCGAACGAGAACGAATGCACCGTACGAACAAGGGTCGTCTCGGCAAGATGGCGAGAAGACGTCTGGAAGCGGGTCTACGTGCGATGACCGGCGAGAGGGAACAGATCGCTCGGTTGATGGAGTTTGCGGTGAACCATGCTGATGCGGTGGACGACGTGAGTGGCAATGATCGAATCGCTGGTCGAGGTCGTTCGGATCGAGCTGATCGGCGTGTCATGAGGTAATGTAGGTGGCCGATGTCATCTGCCAGAGCTTGAGAATCGAGGGCACGGCCGTGCCGAGAAAACTCGCTCGTCTCTACCTCATCTCGGACATTCTGCACAACTCGGTCAGTCGGTTTGTTCCCTCTTCAACGCATGCCCTTGTACTCATGCATCATGCTCTCTAGTCGGCCACACTGTCAAATGTCTGGCGGTACCGGGATGCTTTCGAGAAGAGACTGCCGGACGTCATGGAACATATGGCAGACGTGCATCGGAGTCTCGTCACCCATGCCGGCAAACTGAGTGGGGAGACGTTCAAGAGTCAGGTGGCGTTCGTGATAGAAATCTGGGAGAACTGGTACGTGGACTGGCTCCGGTTCGATCACTTTTATGGACCGAGCTAACGAGCTCGACCCGATGTGATAGGATCGTTTTCCGTTCCGACGTGACGGACAAGCTGCGATCGGTCTTGGGCGGTGCTGCGGCTCGTCCTGCGCCAGCCCAGACCAGCGATGCTTCGAACCAGAAATCATCGGAGACTACTGCGCAGAGCGATCAATCCCTGAATTCTAGCCGATTCAAGAAGGCATCAGCCGGCGGTTTCAAGTCGACCTTTGTCTCGTCGACCGCGACCGCGACCCCGGCTCCGGCTCCGACTTCGGACCAGCCCGTGCCGGTCGGCGATGACGAAGATCTCGACGGTGAAGCGATGGACCAAGATCTCGACGGAGAGGCTATGGAAGAGGACCTGGACGGCGAAGCTATGGATGCTGATGAGGATCTGGATGGAGAGGCCATGTAGCAGAGCAGTGGAGCCGATACCATTGCGATGGTGGTGTACCCGTTTCCCCTCAAGCTGTTGTTTTCCAAGAATCGATCGCTCCGTTATCTTTCGGCCGTATATTTGCTTCCGAGACTGATCCGTTGGAAATCCCTTGCGGCGATGGACCCATATGCCCTTGGCCCTTGGCTTCCTTTGGCTTCATTCCAGAACTTGGAAAAGGATCTCGCTGGTAGCTGGTCCGACAAAACCGTTATCCAACTCACCCATATGAGCACAGAAGGGTCGACAGATCAACAAGCAGCGTTTCTGCTTTAGCACACGAAAACACTTAGGATCTTGCCAGACCAACCCGTACTCGTTCTGCACTGGACACCTTTGGCTTCGACTGCCTTTCTCACCGCGATGATCAGGACTCTTCTTGGACGAAACCTGCCTGGATCTGCTGGCTCTTCCAGCAAACAGCAAATTGTTTCAAGGATCGTTGGCTTGTCACAATGCAGGTCATACGCTGCCATCCCCAACGCGAACATCGTGAGCTAATCCGGCTCGAGGTATAGGAAGCGGTCATTCCGAGCTGATAAGATTACGAACCACCCTATCCTCCAGGCTGAGCTCAAAAGGACACCTCTGTTTGATTTCCACAAACAAAATGGAGCCAAGATGGTACCCTTCGCCGGCTGGGAGATGCCTCTAAGTTACGGGACAATCGGTCAAAGTAGGTGTCCACCTATCTTTCGCCTATCGTTTAGCTGCTTATACTCTAACGCATGTATTCTAGCCACTGCACACGGCCACGTCAGGACCGACGTTGGACTCTTCGACGTCTCTCACATGCTCCAACATGTCTTTACCGGCGCATCTTCTCTCGAATTCCTCTCCTCCCTCTGTCCTTCCTCTCTCAGCTCGCTAGCTCCGTGGTCCTCAACCTTGTCCGTGCTCCTAAATGAAGAAGGCGGAATCATCGATGACATGATCGTTACCAAGCACGGCGATGACGGGCAAGGTGGACAGAGGTTCTACGTGGTCACCAACGCTGGGAGGGCGGAGGAGGATGTCGCGTGGATCACCAAGAAGATGCAAGAGTGGAACGGTACGGAAGGCAAGGGGAAGGGGAGAGAGGTCAAGTGGGAGAGGCTCGAGGGATACGGTCTGGTGGCTCTCCAAGGTGAGTTCAGGTCGGATGATCGGTCGAACGCAAAGCTTGTACTTAACGATCCTTTTCCGCCGGTTCGCAGGTCCAAAGGCTGCCGAGACGCTACAAAGCATGATCGACAAGGATCTGACGAGTTTGAAATTCGGACAAGCGACATATGCCAAGGTGGCTGGCGTCGAATGTCACATCGCTCGAGGAGGTTACACCGGCGAAGATGGCTTCGAGGTAAGTTCGCATATTCTTGAATTACAACCTATGATGCTGACAAACCGTCGATCTTGCTGCCCAGATCTCGATCCCCCCCGCATCGGCTGTAGAGATCACCTCGAAGCTGACCAGCTCGCCCGGGGTATCTCTTATCGGACTTGGTGCTCGTGACTCGCTTCGGCTGGAAGCTGGAATGTGCTTGTACGGGCATGATCTGGACGAGTCGGTCAGCCCCATCGAGGCCGGTCTCGCTTGGCTTGTCGGTGAGTCCTCGATAGGCGAGAAGCCTCATGAAAGACGGCTGAGATCTGAGGTATATGCATTCCGCAGGCAAGGATCGAAGAGCCGCGGGAGACTTTCCCGGTGCTTCCAGAATCTTGAGAGAGTTGAAAGAAGGGCCTGCTAGGCGAAGAGTCGGGTTCGAAATCACCGGTTCGCCCGCTCGGGAAGGATGCGAGATCCTCACTGTCGACGAGGGCTCGATCATCGGTAAGTACCGGTGTTCAAGGCCAACATGCCTGATGACGTGACACGTTCAACTGATCGATTGACTATATGATGTAGGCGTGATCACCTCGGGTATCCCATCTCCTACCCTGGGTAAGAACATTGCGATGGGATATATCAAGAACGGGTATCACAAGAAGGGAACCGATGTCAAGGTCAAGGTCAGGAAGAACTTGAGGGATGCCACGGTGGTCGGTATGCCGTTCGTTCCCGCCAAGTACTACAGGTAGATGCCCAGATGACAGATCGCTCAAGGGTTGTTGTATAATTCCGATATACTTTGAACACTTCCGAAGGTATCGCATAGAGGGTCACGACGGCGACGAATGCATTTGCTAATTGCTAATACGGCGATCGGGCTAGCCTTTTGCTGTTTGTTTTCTTTTTGTTGTGCGTTTCATATGATTTGCTTCCGATCAGGAGAAGCCCGAGGGTGACCTCAGCTTTGCGATTCAGACTCGGGATCGATCAACTTTTGACATTTCCCCCCTCCCCTCCCGGTCCTTTACATGTACATGACACCGGATACAAGTAGCCCCAAACCGATCAGCTTCGACGATAGCGACACAGTACCTCGACACAACTCTCCGACTCGCCTTTCACTCCACATCAAATCGCACCACTCCGTCAGACGAGAACCGAAACCGACCGACACACGACATTCGACAATCGCCAAACCCAGGCCACAAACACAACCAGTCCGACTACAGCATCACTCGTCACCTCCATCATTCTCGCCTCTCTCTATCACCTTCTACCCTCACTTCCTCTCTTCTCGCCGACACACAGAGTGGCAACAGGACATATCGCTCCTCAGCTTCCAGCAGAAGAGGGTCATCATCAGCACAAGTCCGCGAAGATGGAGAACGAATGCTGTATCTGCTTCGAGGATCTTCTCACCAGGGATGAGTTTGACAAGCAGCTGAAGGTCGCGGCGATGGCAGGATGTGGCGAGTTCAGCCTTGCTCTCTGTTCCTCACAACGCTTCGGCTGACTTTTGGGCTCATGATTCCGCAGGACACCTCTTCCACGAAGACTGTCTCAAGAATACCTTCGCGAAGCTCAAGCCTCCCCAAGTTCCAGTATACGCGCAGCCCGTGGAAGGTCTCTACAAGTCTCATCCCGAATGTCCCAAATGTCGCACACGACCCAAGGCCTGCCAGACGGCAAAGTGCAGACCCGAGTACGGATATTACGGTGACGCCGCGTACCCCTGCATCCCTTACACCACGATCTTTTTGGAAGACGGCGTGGACGCGCTATTTGTCAAGAATAAAAATGAGGAGAATGTCAAATACCTCGAGGTAGCCCTGCCAGTCGGAACGGTGCAGAAGTTCGATCTGGCGCGGGCTGCGCGGGATCTAGGCCTGGAGCTCGAGGCCGTGACCGAGGAAGCCGAGGCGATGGCAGCGCAGGACAATTTTGGCTTGCCTAGGAAATTCAAACCTAAAGCTGAGACTGTACAGAAGGAGCTGGAGAAGATGTTGACAAAAATGAAGGGGCAGCAAGCCGATAATACTATAAAGGTGAGACTGTGGCTTTGGGACGGTGGCTGAAATCTTCGATCGTTGGAGCTGATGCGGTCCAACAGACATGCGTAACAGAGCTCAAGACGGTCTCGCAGCGACTACACGACGATCTGGGTCTCTTTGAACGCAACCGCGATCTCCAGGAAGAACTCGAACATGCGGAAGAGAATAAAGAGGCGTACGGCGATATGATCGCAGGAGATTTGACGGCAGAGCATCAAGAAAGAATCGCTGAAATGGAAGCAGATCAAGAAGCGATCAGCCAGCAGCTGTTGGAAAAGACGGCGGCCCATCAGATCATCCAGGCGGAAGCGAAGGATAAGGACAAGCAGATCAAGGCTTTGACGGTTTCAGAGAAAAAGTTGAAAGGGTGAGTTGATGCTTAGATATAAAATGCTAAACGTCGCTCAGTTGCGAGATGTATGCTCAACCCAGGAACGTTGCCAAGCTCGAGAAAGAAAAGATCAAGCATGCCAACGAGACCAAGAATCTGAAGACCAAGGTGGGTTCCGTTTCATTGCCGAGCTATAGCGTCGGCTGATCCCATCACGGCCATACGATAGTTGGAGAAAGCGGAGGCCAATGCAGCGCAAGAAAAGTCTATTGTTGCGCAATTGAAGGAAAAGCTGAAAGAGGCGGAAAAGCAAGCCAAAGAATTAGAGAAGGCGGTCAGTAGTGCGATGATAAAGCGTTAGACGAAACTAGAAGTTCAACTCGCTGCCATCGTATCCAGCTGAAGAAAGGGCAACCGAAGATCAAACCTGACCCGAAAGAGGTCATCGATCTCTCTTCCAGCTTGCCCGGCACGCCACCACGGAAAAGGGCCAGGGTCGCAACACAAGGGACCAGCCCTGGTACCGAGAGGAGCACCACGACCCCATTATCCTCTCCTCCTCAAACGCCTCGGAAAAGCACTGGCCTCAGCAAGCAGGCATCGAGCGACTTCAGCAAGGCCATTTTGGCAGCTGGCGAAAATAAGAGCACGGGAAGCAAGAAGGATGTTACGATCAACGACGTGGCGATGGAGTTGTTGACGGGCTGGGTCAACTCCTCTCAAGCGAGCCAGGCAACGCCACCTCGAGCCACGCGCAGTGCTGCGCAGAAGAGGAAGGCTGCCGCCCTCTAAAAGCCCAAGTAACGACTTCTCTCACCCATGATCCGCAAGAGTGAAAACGATCTGTTGAAGCACGTGTCGAGATCGCATCGTTATGAATGCTACGAGATCCCCTATTATACTACATTGTCTTCAAATCACGATCGTTGAGATGTCGAGTCGTATGTTGTATTCGTATGATCAGAGCCACCATCGCATATGTCATGTCGCGTCTCTCATGACGCCCATGGGAAATAAGCAAGAACGTCTACTTGCGGGTCCTCTCGAGGTACGCCTTCCACCCTTCGGACCGGTAACGCTCCGCCTCGACCTTGACCTCTTGCTCGTCCGTCTTTCCATAAATCCCCCTTCCGACGATGATGACATCACATCCGCTGTCGAGGATGACCTCTTTGGGCGTCCTGTACTGTTGACCCATCTTGTCGCCCTTGACGTCCAATCCGACACCAGGCGTGAGGATCATGAAATCCTCATCCTCGGCAGCTCCGGCCGAATGTTCCTCGTGGACACGTTTCATGGCGATGAAACCGAAGACGAAACCCTCGTCCCGGTGTCTGCGAGCCATCTCGACGGCTTGTCGGGTATATTCCCCCGTTGCGAGGTTGCCCTTGCTCGACATTTCGGCCAGGAGGAGGAGACCCCGGTCGAGAGGCTTGCCGACGGAGGAGAGACCGGTGATGATGCCGTCACCGGGGATGGGGTGGGCGTTGGTGATATGAGACCAAGAGGCGATCTTGTGGACGCCCGAAGAGTATTGCAAGGAGACGGTGTTGCCTGAACGTAGGGGATAAAAAGGTATCCCGAGGGTAAGCTCGAGCGGTCGAAGAACATTGCTTGTCTGACTTTCACTCACCGATATCGGCAAACTTTCGGTCCTCGAAGATCATAAACTCTAGTTCCTCGCTCAGCTTGACCAATTCTTCCACCAAAGAGTGCGAGTAGTCCTCGACCACGTCGATGTGCGTCTATGAATGACAACCGATCAGCTCGAGTACCGGTACGCATACCCAGGGTCCTTTGACTCACCTTGACCATACAACAGCTCTTCCCTACTCTCCTGACTACTTCAAGCAGCTCGTCAGACTTGGTGACGTCGACGCTGACACAAAGGTTGGTCTGCTTCTTGTCCATCAGAGCGAGGAGCTGTTTGGCGGCCGCATTCGAGTGGAAAGGGATCCGGTCGGTGTAGCTCAGACCGGCTTTCGAGGAGGATGCTTGAGAAGACATCGGGCAGACGTGGATTTCACGATTTTTACAGGCAGAAAGGCAGTTGGAAAGACGATGGAATAAGACTAAGCAGAGTGTCAAGGTGACCTTTAGAAAATGCAAGAGCTCAAAATGTAACTAGCAGTAGAGACATGCATGAAGTTCTGGGTTCCCCGACGAACCCAGAGGCGACGCGCATTCAACGACTCCCGGAAGTAAACGATATCTGCTTCCGACATCTGGCCTCGGCCATCACCAGATCGCAATAACTACTTGAATTCTCGCATCGAAAATGCTCAAACGAGCGAAAGATCGATTCATGCGATTCAAGAGATCCTTTGCATCGTCAACCGTCGACAGAACGAAGTTTTATACAGCTTTTGCGCTTGGCTGATCCTGTCACCTCAGGTTTTTGAAAAGGTGAGCAGCATCAGCCGTGATTTCATCCCCCAAAGGACCTTACGGAAAGAATGCTTTTCAGGTCACGATGTCAGCTCTCTCGACCGCCGCTAGCGTGACTCAGCCTGGATGTTGCCAATCGTCCTTGGTACTACAAACCAAACTAGCCCAGACTCCTATATGCCCGATCTGCTTTGACCCTCTGGTAGTCGCCGATGAGGAATTTTCGAATGTCAAGGATGTAGTTGTCTGGAAGAGATGCGGGTAAGCAAAGCTATGTCTTCAGGAAGGAATTCCGTCAACTTAGAGATGGCTATACATAATACATATAGGCATCTCTTTCACAAGGAATGCTTGGAGAGCACTTTCGGCCGTCTTCCGCGAACCAGTGAACACAGCAGACGATGGATCGGTCCTGATGACGAGAGCGACGGCACGGAGGACTATTGCCAGGATCCAAAACTTCGATGCCCTCGATGTCCGAAATGTCACCAACTCGATCAATCCTGCGAAGTCCCGACACTGCGTAAACCTTACTGTAACCCAATCAGATTAGTCTACCTCGATACGGATATTCTAGGCCAGGATGAAGTAGTCCCTCTCAATGTCGCCGTTCCTGGAGGCGCAGTTCAGAAACTCAACCTTGCGCACACTTCGCATCGACTTGGAATAGCATTGAAGGATTTACAAGATAGGTTCGAAGACATGGAAGAGGAGGAGGAACTCATCGGCACGGACATCGTGGAGCAAGCAGAAAACACTAGGGAGCTGCTTGTAAAGCATATTACTAAGATGCTTAGGCAAAGGGCGAATTCGGCTTTAGAGGTAGGACTTTTGGCGATCGTGGACCAGATAGAACAGGCGATCTGATGTTGTGTCTGAACCTTCAGGAACAGCTTATGTCGCTCTCTGATACGGTCTATGACCTCGACCTCACTATCGATGCGATCGCTCATCAGTCGTATCAATGGATCATCGCTCGTGACGCGATAGACGAGTTGGAGCTTGAGAAGCAGGAACTCAAGCGGAACCTACTTTCAGCCCAAGCACACGCTTCAACAGAAGAAGGTCAACTCTGCCAGCTAAGAAAGGTAGTACAAGAACAGGAGGCGAAAATCAAGAATAGAGACGGCTTGATCACGGCTCTAGAGAAGCAGGTCCAGGTCCTCCAGAGCAGAAAATCTATATCTTGCTCCGACCGCTTGCTACAGGAACGCAACGAGAAGAACTCGTCAAGGTGAGAGCCACATAAAACTAAATCTGTAGCTGACAAAAGCGCAGTCGACACGTATTGACTGTGAATGGCATTTATGTCCTCTAGCAGAACGCTCCCTCTGGGTGCTTTGCGAAGCAATACTTTCAGCGCCGACGAAAATGACAAGGTTGATAGCAATGGTAATCAACGACTTTTTCTCTCCTGCTCGCGTGAATTTTCAATACTGACCACAGGGCGGTACAGTTTCTTCTCAAGATCTACGGTCTACAAAGCGCCCTGCGTACAGCCATCATAGGGAGGATGACGACAAGGATGAGAATCGCGGCAAGAATACCAGAGGTCATATCGGTGAGGATGAGACATATGGCCTTTAATGCTATTCGACGACAGCACGTACTGATTGTCGTGTTGTCATCAAGCGAGATGCTATTCTCATGATGATCGCGTCTTGTACACTGTTCCACGGTACGGCCGAATGGTCCGAGCGCCACTGATAGTCACGAATGACTGACTTTGTCTCTCTTCGGTCCGAAGCAGTTCTGATAAACAATCGAACTCGCGTGGCGTAGCAGAGCAGATCGGGCTGAAGAGAAAAGCCTCAGATGCGCTAAGCGGAGGGTCCAGCAAACGCAGCGAAGGCCCGAGCAGCCGCAATGCCTAGGTCTTTCGATCCCGTATACGAAATTCAATTCCAAAGTATCCATCCTTCCAGGTAGTCTATCTCTCGTAGTTGTAACACCTCTCTGAAGAAGGTCGAGCCCCTTATGTCTGATCGAGAATTACGAGTTGAACACATGTGGCGACATCAAAAGGCATAGGGAAGCTATTTTACACCCGAAGCCCCGCGTTCGCGCTATCGCGAGACATTCATTATTCGATCTCTTCGGCTAATAATGCGGGCCTTCGTACCGCCGAACTTGCGACTTCCGCTCCATGTCGTTATCTTTCTACCCGCTCCTAGATCCATGCGATCCCTTCTTCCGCTTGTTCGAGGGAGCACTTGCGACCTCGGTCGCCGAAGCTTTCCTCTTTTTTCTAGGCGTATCGTCTTGCTCCTGGATGTCGAAGTGACCTTTCCCATCCACCGAGATCTCGAAGGTGCCACCGTTCCCGAGCAGGCGAATGTTGAGCGGCCTACTCTCACTTTGCCCATAAATCCCGCTTCCGTTGGCGCGGTCACCGTGAACGATTGTAGTGGATTGTACAGTTATGCGCGATTCGACTCGGGAGTCGATCGACAGCTGAATGACCGGCCTAGAAGGATCCAAAACCACCTGCATCAACACCTTCGTCTCGGTGGTGCACCACTCTTGGATATCATTGAGGTTTCAAGATGAAGGAGGTTGTGTTCTCGCACTCACGATTTGTCGGTCTCCCTTTCAACAGAACTTGCACCGTCGTTATCCCGGATCCCCGTAGGTCTGCCGAAGTTGATGCAGTCAGACACGAAGCATCCAACAGATAAATCGTATTGAATCTCACTTTGGTATGGTCTCCAGTAAGCCCCGAGTCGCTTTCTCGCTTGCCATAACTCGGATGACCTCCGCCCGCTCCCACTTGAGCTGCCCTAATTCAGTCTCCAGTTTCTTAATGGTTTCGCCTCGATGCCGACAGAGGTCCTCGCTTTCTCTCAGAGCCCCTTCTCTGTCTATCGCAGAGGCTTCCAGTGCGACGATATCCTTGTCAAGCCCGACCTTGTCTGCCTTGAGCTTCGCATTTTCTTTCTCAAGAGAGGCGTTATCCTTTCTTAACTGTAGGATTTCTGCGATCGGGTTTACCGTCGCGGTCACCGTTCTCCTGAGCTCGTTGATCTTATCCTAGAGGCAAGTTGATAAACGATTTTGCTTCGGTTACGAAAGCATGATCACCGATACTCACTGAAAGTATACCCTCGGATTTGAGCTTCATCAGATTCTTGATCAAGGTATTCAACTGCTCTTTCTGAATCCGGGTTGTTGTGTCGATCACCCCTGCTTGGTATTCATCTCCCTCATCATCGATGAGATCCTTCAGAACCTTCATGTCGGTTCCCAGCTTGGAAGCCACATGGGCCAGGTCGAATCGGGCCTTGTCTTCTCCATCTACCGTAATTGTGACTGGACTAACTTCTTCTGTACCAGGACTAGAAGCTAGAAAGACTCTCATCACCGGATCACAGTACTTCTGAAAGTCGAGGCTAGCGATGCACGCGTCATCCTGCGCTTTGCACATCGGGCAGTGCGGGCATAACTTTTTGTAGTCAGGTTCTTCCCCCTCTTCTGCTTCTTTATTGTGAGTAGTCGCTCGCGGAAAGGTGCCGAACGCTTCTTCTATGCAAGATCGATGATAAAGATGCCTAATGAGATTGGTCGCAGCCTCAAAATCAGCTCTTGGTCAGATTGTTGAAGACTCCCCCTTACCCGCAGCTCTTCCATGCCACGACCTCCAGTTCCTCAAGGGACTCCTCGTTGATCGCCAATAAGACATCCAGACAGATGCCGCAAATCGGGCTACTTGCGAGCTTGCCCTGGAGAAGCAGGGCCGAATTGCAGCAGCCGGCATTGTCGATACCCGCCGATGCGATGAGATGATGTCTGCCTGATTCAGGAAGGTGCTCGGTACCCGAAGTCGCCATTGTGGTCTATAAGAACACGGGAGGAAGACGTCAGTATAGCGTTCGGCGTACCACGTTCAGCCTTGCACGCACTGTCATAGATCTTTACGACAGCCGGGGATAAGCAGCTAAGCAGACCAATTCGAGAATATGGATGCCCAGTAGACTATGTGAATCGTAATATCGAAGGTGATTGTTTCGATGTCGATTGTACGAGCTCATTATGTGCATATGTATACTTGTGTATATGTGTGTACGATATACGACAGTCTTACGAGTAGGCGGCTAGGGGGTGATAGCTGAGCAGTCATCGAGAAGCGAGAAGCGAGAACGCAACACCCAGACAGGATTTGCTTCCGGAAGCTTGAGTATCCAAATGAACTGATGGCCGAGGTCGGTGTTTCGGAAGCAAATAACGCTGAGAGCCCATCAAGGATTCCCCAGCAGACGTTAACTTTCGTTGTGAAAGAGAGCTTTATGAGCGATGACGCCGCTCCACTCGCCAGACCGTGCAAACACCCCTACTATACTCAAATCTGAGTGTTCACACACGCCTTCAACATAGCACATATACAAGTACGGACGCGAGTCACGCCTGTACGGGCGCCACAGCGGTATGTTATATCTCTTCCCGTCCTTTATTCTGAACGACATCAAGTCTCACAACCACTTGGACCGTAGCCTGTATCTCTTATCTACAATGTCCCATATTTTTAGTCAGGCAACAAGGATCGAAGGAGATATCAATTCCGACGCCGTACACAAAAGGCTTCAGCAACAGACCGACATATTGACGTGCCCGATCTGCCCGATCTGTTGGGAAACCCTGTGCGGATTTGATGCCGAATCTAGGACGGAACATGTAGTCGTAGCATGAAATGGATGTGGTCAGTGCGAGGGCGAGAGCTACGCCATGATCTGCTCCAGTCGCTTGACCACGACGCCGCTTTATGGCAGGTCATACGTTCCATCAATCCTGCATCGAAGCGACTCTCGCGACTCGCCATCCCAACGTGGCGATCTCGGGGGAATATCGACCTATGAAAGTAGGGAAATGCGCAGTGTGCAATAGTGGCAGTTTCCTGATAGACCTTCCTAGCGACTTGGGCGTTCGGCTCCCTTTCAAGCGCATCTATCTGGGTACTCAAGACCCGATGGATGCCGACGTTTTACCTCTGACCGTCAACTTCAAAGACGGGAGCTCTGCTCATTTTAGCATCAATGCTTTGGCTCACAAGGCGACAACGGAGGTTGAAAACATGAGCGCCGCGCTCGAGCTTCACCTCGGTGCCTTGCAGATGAGGGTGTCGGGATCGCCCAGAGGTCTGCAGTCTTCCTGTTCGTCCTTCGAGACAGTCATCAACAAATTGCGAGCACTGGTGGCAGAGGTCAGAGCAAATCAGGCGGAAGGTCTCATGACAGTAAGACTTCTGAATCTCGACTACTCAACGAAACCGGCTAAAGTTGGCTGTCTTCACCACAACAGGCGTCCGTTTCTCGCCTCGATGAGGCGACTCTTAGTCTGCAAGACGTTTGCGAAGACCTGAAACAAGGTCAGGGCCTCTTCGATGACATCGCTCGCGCCAAAATTGATCTCAAGAAGCTGCTGGAGGAGAAGAGCGCCCAAACTGAGCATGTGACCAAGCTAGAACGCAAGATCTTCGAGCTGAAGAAGGGCGTATCCGATGCCGAACTGGTCAAATCCGAGAGGATGCAGCTGCTTTGTCTGGACAAAGAGTTTGCCCTGCGAGCACGATACGACAATCAACAACAGTGCGACCGTCAAGAGATGAAAGGGGTCGTCGCCTCGCTGGAACAGCGATCGGTTACGGCCGCCAACGAGAATGCAAGACTCCAGCACGAGCTGCAGTATTACCACGCCTTGGCGCGCAACAACAAGATTGGTATCACTGATCAAACTCGCACTGGTATGTCGTTCGCACATGGTATAGTACGTGCGTGATTAAAACTGACATTGTTCGCCCCTTATCAGGCCAGGTCGGCACCCCTATCCGCTAAAGACGTCAGCTTGTAGCGCTACGGGTCACTGCATACGGTAAGATCGTGCTGACAGGTTTAAAACAGAGTGTTTCAATCGCTGATATCCATTCACTGAATTTAGTACCTCCTGCTCTTATGCTCGTTGATTGGGCGGGAGCAGGATCACTCACGAACGACTTTGCCTTCCACCCATCGAATTATCTCAATGACATTCTTGTAATATCTGGAGTCCGAACTCAGTTTCCCGTCATCAGCTCTCAGAATTAAAAGCATGTCCTAGCGTATTTCTTCTCTTTATACATCTAATCATCCCGCAGGCGGTCGTCGTTTCGGCAGCCCATTGGGCTTGGCACGACAATTGGCTCCGACCCCATTGCACACCCTCTTCGGACTGGAATGTCGCAGGAAATCGGAATACGCTCACATATCGTTATGATGTTATACCTACGTTCCGCCGGATACAGACAGTGTGACCTCTTTTCTCGTGTGTTCCGATAAATTCGAAGTTCAATTATCCCTCTAATCTCAGTAACACTTTTGCAATAGATAGCGCTGCATCGAAGCTATTGGATTGCGATATTAGCGGTTAGTCGCGGAGACGGCACTCCATCTGATTCGATCCAGCGGTTGATCTTGCTCTCACAAATGAGTATAGCGTGACATATCTATATGGATCAAGCTCAGGCCAAGTCGAATTCTCAAGCTATATGCAGCATCTGCCTCGATGCTCTGGTGGGACCAACGTCGATGGAAACGACCACGAGCAATGCGCTTGGACATGTTGGGATACATGACACGCAGCTCACAGCAAGCAGACCCAACCATAGATCACGCTTTCCACATCGCTTGCATCGACACTGCTTCTGGCGATCTCGATCCATTCAGCAAAGATCCAGCGGCTAGATGCCCCAAATGTCCGCAATGCCGAAGCATCTCTCCTCTCTGCGGGCTGAGTCCTAATGGCGCGCACGCTTGCCGTCCCTATCAGCGTATCTATATTGATTAAGAAGATCATCTAGAGTCCCGGCCTCAGAAAAAGTCTGTCGGCAAGAGCAAGGGTTCCTGGCAGGCGTCGTCGGCGTTGCTTCAGCTGCGCGATGAGAAACTCGCCCTCGAGCGCAAGGTCGCAAGCGTCTATACCGAGATGAGCCATGAGCACGAAGCGATCAAAGAACAGCTACTCGTACACTATGAAGAGTCTGTACAAAGGATCCACAAGAAATGCGTAGAGGGGTACAAGATCAGACTCGACGGGCTCAGGAGGTTCAAAGACGCTCTCGAAAAGCAAATGTTCTTGGAGAGAACGCGTATGGCGAAGAAAAGCAAAGGTTTGGAACAACTTTACAATCAATATCAGAGGGCCATTCAGCATCTCGAGTACATATCATCGGTTCCAGCTGGTAGTCACGCCTTCCGTTGACGTCCAGAATGAATCCGTTCTTTTCTCGTGATAGGCGAATGGGTCAGCCTCCAAGCGCGCAAGAAAATACCCTCAACCGCTCCTTCGGATATGGCAAGAACCCTCATTTGAATACGGTAAGTATCATAACGCCTCTGGTGCTTATCTTCAGCCACGGGCTTTGCTAACAAAGACGCTTACAGGTCATGACCAGACTTTTCGAGCCGGAGGTCTAATCGCCTGCGACTATCAAAGCAGATCCCCTTCGTCAGTAACCGGTCCGGCAGGATTTTGCAAAACGGACAATGAGTGGAGACCATCTCGGCCATAGTTCCTAGTTACCCTTTTATCTGTAGTGATTGCGATGATCAGTCTTCCGCTCCCTATTCATGATGGCCGTTCTCGATCGAACCTTGTAAGCTTCTGATAAAGTAGATGAAAGTCCAATATATATAATTTCGCCTGCAGTCCGCACACGCTCGTATTGACGCTATGCTTGTGATCTCGTCAGTATAAAGGGAAAACGATAAGCAATCCATCTAGCGGCGCCATGGGATAGCCGAAAGCGCACTGCTATTTTGCAAGGCCGTTTGCCTCTCTAGACAGTCAATGGCTTTCGAGTTGGGTTGTCTCCCCAGAGTCTCAGCTCTGAACTTGTAATTTCGCGCTCGCCGATCGCATCATGGGCTTTCGATGTCGTTGAAGGATCCTCAAAATCAGGCTTGAGATCTCCATCTTCTTATTCCTCTCCTCTTGTGCGTTTGTACAAACCCCTGCTCAATCGCACTTTCCCTTCTTCAGACATCAGATAGGGATGTCGCTCCTACCTCTTCTCTCGCCAGCCGAGCGGTCATACATTCGAACCGGATTGGCCGACCCCAAAACACCTACTCGACTGGACAACCGAAAGCTCGATGGCTTCCGATCCGTACAGATATCCCAGGGAGACGCTCCTCAGGCAAATGGAAGCTCTCGAGTCGTTCTAGGAGGAAAGGGCGGAACGGAAGTGATGGTCGGGATCAAGCTCGAAGTGGTGGATGCTGCCGAGATCGGAGAAGAAGCAGATGAGGAACGTCAGGGCAAGGAGAGCTGGAGGGCAAGCGTCGAGGTCGATGTGTCAGTCGAACCACACGGTGTCAATCTTTTTCAGGTAGTTATCTCACCCGTGAACATTCCAACACTACAGAACACCCCAAGCATATCCTCACCTTCAATCTCAAGGGCTCAACGCGTTGTCGTCATACTTTGTCAACCTGATCACGGATCACTTTGTGCCATATCTGCCGCCTCTAGCAATCCTGCCACCTTACAAGTGAGTGTGCGTCAGAAAGCTGTATCATGTCGGATCATTGATACTGATATCCTCTGGAGCAGATATTTTCAGCCTCAAGTGCACGTGTCTATCCTCTCGAGCACCAGCGCTTCTGTACCCTTCGTCCTCTTCCTGGCTCTTCGCGCAGCTTTCTCGAATCTCCACGTCCCGGTGACTAAATACGTCGGATACGAAGGAGCTACAAGCGGTGATACTATCCCCGACAATTCTACGGGGACCGGAGCGGATGATGACATGGGTGCCGGGTTCGTTGGTGGAGATGCAGGGTTGACGGGAGCTGTGAGAGCTCCTCGTGGCAATACGGCCGCACAGAAGAAGGCGAGAAGGGGTGGCAAGGGGAAAGAAAGGCAGATGAAGATCACTGGAAAGGGACGTGCGGAGTATGTGGCCGGACCTGGAGACGATTGGGATTTGGAGGATCTCGGTGGGGGAGACGAAGGCGAGGGCGAGTTGATGGAGCGATCTGTCAGGCTTGGACTTCCTGCCTGCGTTACCTTGAATCTGGTGAGTAGAAGTATATAGGCTAGAAACGGCTTGCAGAAACCTGATCGTCTCCCGTTGGTAACATCTAGATACCGGACACGGAAAAGTATTTCCTCGATGCTTCTCGTCAAGAAGAGATCGCCTGTCCATCGCGACTGCATCTGTTCTTCAGTTCTCGAACGTCGACGTCTAGCTTGGGAGAGTTGAAGGTCTGTGGGTTGCGAATAGAAGGGGGAGAGCCTATCGATCTGGGTAGACTACCTGGACTCTTGCTGGAAGGCAAGCGGATAGCGATGGAGATCATGAACGATACGAACAAGGTCATGGAATAGAATTAGATGACCGCATTGACGCGGAAGCTTGTAACTCGTATACCATAGCTTCCCCTACGAACGAAATTTTACGCTCTCGAGCGCTCGATGAGAGTGGGCGTGTCGTTAGGAGGATGATGAGGAGGATGATGATGATATCACTTCTGGCCGAAAGGAATTGCTTCCGCACGTGGTCGAGTGACCTCCACGTTCAAAGGTCAAAGGTCAATCATCATACCAGTTACTTTACAACGGGCAACTCGATGTCAACTCGCAACTTGCCATTTGCCTCTTTCTCGATTAGACATCGAATCTAGCCTATCAAATATGCCTTTCTTTACGAGAACAGGCGATGGCCCCGCACCCCGTGCAAGCGGAACATCGAGCCCAGCTCGACAGCAACCGCCCCCAAGCCAGCAATATGATCGGTTGCCCGCTCAAGACAACTCGCAACAACGCCGAGTGCCCCCTGCCGTTGGAGGTGACCCGTATGGTAGACCCGACTCGAGGAGTGCAGGAGCATATGGTCAACCGCAAGCGTACTCTCAGCAGCAACCTCAGGGCTACGGTCAGCCTCAAGCTTACAGCCAGCAGCCGCCTTTGCCTGCTCGCGGTTATCAGGAGGACCCCTATAGTCGGGCTGGAGCTCAAGGAGGGTACACTGACAATGGGTACCCTCGTGAAAAGGCCGAATATCGTCCGGCTCAGCCTGCCCAGCATCAGCCACAGCCTCAGCGGGGACAAGGTGGTGGAATGTGAGCTCTATTGCGCAAGTGGTCTTGATAGTTTTGACCGGTTGCTGATGACCGGTTCGCTTTAGTTACAACATCGCCGCGTGCCCAACTACGGCTCTTGCCTTGACAAACCGGCTCGTCGTTCACCCCCAGGACTTCCCGGAAGATATCGACTATGTGCGCCTGAAGGGACGCTACGTTCTTGGGATTGTGTATGTCGATTCGGTCAAATCCACCAGACAGAGTTTGCGACTAACACCAGCGATGCTCTATGCCAGCCGCGATAACACTGGATCGCTACAACCCAGAGAGATTGGGCCTTCCAAGCATATCCGACAATGGGTCGGGCTGAGCATGCAAGGAGAACAGGTTGAGGTCGAAGTCTACGAGCCCCAGAATGGTGACTGGGCTGGAAACGTGGACCTTGATGTGAGCATTTGGTGCAGGAGGCCGTTCCGTTTCAAGGGTAACTTATACCGGGGCTCCTCTCTTTGTATTTTACAGATTGGTTTCCATATCAAGAAGACAGAGTCTCATGAGGTGTATGACACTGAACAATTGGCTCAAGTCTTTATCACCGTGAGTTCCAGATCGTTTCGGAGCACGGGCTCTTGTCCACTTTACTGATTGACAGATCGGATTACAGGCGTTTTCGAACCTTCCCTTGACCCCTTTACAAACCATCATGTTCGATTACCGCGGTGTAATCATGAAAGCCACGGTTCGCTCTATCTCGACCTTGGACGGCTCTGACGGCGATAATATGGGAATCATCATGGAAGGGACTGAGATCAACTGGTTCAAAGATCCCAGCAGCGCCATCAAGTTGAAGAACACGAGCAACAGGTAAGAGGCAGAAACGATGTTTTTCTTTTCAAGAACGCGGCTCATCGTTTCTTTCATGACCAGGGCACCTACACAAGCGATCATTGCGCCCAACTTCAAGTTTGAGGATATGGGTATCGGTGGTCTCGACACTGAATTCCAAGCGATCTTCCGTAGAGCTTTCGCCAGTCGAGTTTTCCCTCCGGGACTCGTCGAAAAGCTTGGGATCACCCACTCAAAGGGTAAGTATACGCTTGCAAAGTGTTGTATCGCCCAAGGTGAAGTCTGAGCTATTTCTGATTCGCTTTAGGTATCCTGCTCTATGGTCCTCCTGGTACCGGAAAGACACTGATGGCTCGACAGATCGGGAAAATGCTCAATGCCACCGAACCCAAGATTGTGAACGGTCCCGAAATTTTGAACAAGTTCGTCGGAGCGAGTGAAGAGAACATTAGAAAGCTCTTCGCGGATGCTGAGAAAGAGGTCGGTAATTGATCACCGTTCGGTAGCGCAATCACGACTGACCGTCGCGAATCTATCTCTACAGCAAAAAGAGAAGGGTGATGAGTCCAGCTTGCACATCATCATCTTCGACGAGATCGATGCTATCTGTAAACAGCGAGGATCCCAAAGTAACGGTACCGGTGTTGGTGACTCTGTTGTTAACCAGTTGCTTTCCAAGGTATGGCCTCCAAAAGCTGAGTGTCAAGTCGTAGGCTGATGAATGTGTGTTATTCATCAGATGGATGGAGTGGACCAGCTCAACAACGTGCTCGTTATCGGTATGACGAACAGAAAAGACATGATCGACGATGCCCTCTTGCGACCGGGTCGTTTCGAGATTCACATCGAAATTTCGCTTCCGGACGAGGCAGGCCGAATTCAGATCCTAAACATTCACACCTCGAAGATGAAAGACAACAAGGTCATGGCCCCTGACGTCGACGTCACCGAGCTCGCTAGCTTGACCAAGAACTTTTCCGGTGCCGAGTTGCAAGGTCTAGTGAGAAGCGCAACAACCTTTGCGTTCAACCGACACATCAAGGTCGGGACCATGGCAGGGATTTCGGACAATGTCAGCGATATGCAAATCACTCGTGCCGACTTCCTGAGTGCGCTGGAAGAAGTTCATGCCGCCTTTGGTGTCTCGGAAGAAGAGCTTTCGACCGTTGTAGATAACGGGATCATTCACTTTTCGCCAGACATCGAGGTGAGCCCGCTCTTTGTGATTATATCGTATGGCAGCGTCTTACGTCCTATTGTCATGCCCAGACTATCCTGCGTGACGGGAAACTCTTCGTCGAGCAGGTCAAGAACTCCGAACGGACGAGACTAGTCAGTGTACTCTTGCACGGTCCCGCTGGTTCCGGGAAGACAGCGCTGGCTGCCACTATGGCACTGGGCTCGAACTACCCCTTTATCAAGTTAATCTCGCCGGAATCAATGGTTGGATACAACGAAGCCGGGAAGATCAACGAACTCAACAAGATCTTCTCAGACAGCTACAAAAGTCCCATCAGCGTGATTGTTATTGATAGTATCGAGAGAATTTTAGGCAAGTCGCTTAATCGAGATCAACTTCGGACTATGTTGAATCTGATCACGACCGTCCCCTCTGCCAGACTGGAACCCCATCGGACCTCGATTCTCAAACGGGGCCTTACAAGCGCTGGTCGTTCTTCTAGGGAAGCGACCTCCCAAGGTTAGCGAGGTCGTACTGTCCCTGCGGGTCATATGCACTGACGTCGATCTGTGACGTCTTACAGGGACGACGGCTTTTGATCCTAGCGACCACCTCTAACCGAGCCATGCTGACGGATATGGAGATGGTCGATGCTTTCGACGCTGAAATCAGAGTACCGGCGATTAGCAACCTCTCGTCTGTAGCGACAATCTTGAAGGAGGTCGAGCTCTTCTCGCAAGAAAGAGATCTTCAGCATTGCTTGAGTTTGCTGGAGCAAGCAGGCTTTGGCGGTGAAGGCAAGCTCAACATCGGCGTCAAGAAGCTGTTGACCATGGCAGAAATGGCCAGGCAGGATCCGGACCCTGCCGAAAAACTGGTTGGAAGTTTGATACAGGCTAGCTAGTTCTTCAGTGACTACAGATTGAGAGGATCCAATTCTGATTGTAAAGCTATTGTTGTAATATCGCAAAATATCCTGGCGTTGCGTATATAGATACAAGTCGGTCGTCAACAGTCGTGATGATTCGTGATATACTCCTAGTCGTTACATCCCGGCGAGAGCCTGACTCCAGCGGTCTCCTTCTGCCATCAATACTCGACCAACCTCATTGCCGTCTAAGCCGAGGGCGACTTTACGGTCTTCCATGTTCTTATATTTTTCATTCGAGCACGTCAAAGCGTGTGATGCCAGCAGGGAGTTGAATACGAGGTAGAGTTCCGAGTGCGACAAGATGTCATTCGAATCGCTGATAGCTCGCAAGAGGTTGTCGTGATCCGACCGCACCTTGAAGCATTGCGCTCATGTAAGCTGCGGATAGCGTTAGGAACCCGGGTCCAGCTGTAACTCACTGATCTCCATGCGATCTCTGACACCCCTTCCCGCCGGATGCATCTCAACATCGCGGCTAGCATCATTTTTTGATGAAGACTGCAGTGCTTGATGAACAATGCTACCGGGCTGCTTGTCATCGCTTTCAAGACCGCCGACATGTCCCTAATAGTAACGGGTTTGCAGTCGACTCCGTTGGTCTTTGCGGCTTCGATGGCTACCTCTACAGCTCGTCTACGAGACAATCGTGACAATTAGCCGCAAGAACAATGCTTGCTTGCAGCGTAACTGCATGGACAAATTCTCACCGGCACGCATCCAAGACTCGTCGAGCGTCTCCATTCGTACCAGCCATCTTAGCTGCGGCTAGTTCGATAGCCTCTTTCTGCAATACGTTGTGGTCCTGGTCGTTCTCTGGATGTGCGATCAATCGGGACTGCACAATCTCCACCAGTGAGGGTTTATCATATGGCTGGAATAGCAAGCTTTGTAGGCCTGTGGCGGGAGGCGTTCATCAGAAAACAAGAGATTGTGCAGAACGTGGAAATTACTCACCTAATCTGCTCTTCACCTTGGCGGCCAAGTGCTGCGGCAAATCCATACGATTTGCGATGGCTATAACGAAAAGTTGAGAGTCGCGAAGAGTTGGCCAGTTGAAAAAATTGTAAACCACATCCTGTTTTGCCGTCAACAGTTGGTCGAGCTCGTCCATTAGAACAACGCTAGCCAGTATACCCACGAATTAGTTCTCTTAGATCTCAGATCCGGAAAGGCCTGGCTCACAATGTGTGACCTCTAGGTCCGCCAACACCAGACATCCGCCCCTTTTCACTGAAGTGTTCTTCTAACCCTCGCAGGGCGGCCTTCGAGTTGGAGGCCTTTTGACCGGAAATCGCCTCCCATAATACTGTATAGGCATGTTGAGGCGTCGGGACTTTGAGACCGTTAATCTCGACGTAGGAGAAAGGTAATATATCCTGAGAGTTGGCGCGATTATCAGAGAGACTGTCGTGGCAGGGTATCTCAGCCATATGTCACTCACCCCTTCCTCAGCGCGAGCTCTCAATTGTTTGATCACGGCATGAACCGTCGCCGTTTTGCCTGTACCCGGCACTCCAGCAATATCTATGACGTTGGTCGTGAGCGCGATTCTCTCGTTGGTGGCCGTCGAGCACGACTCACAGAGACAGCCGCCACCACCGCCTTCCACTCCCTCTTCGACCCTCATCAGAACATCTACAAACTCGCTTTCCCGGCAAGGCAGCGTATCTGGTGTAGCCCCGACGTGCAACAGATGTAGGGCACGCTCGTAGGGGTCCTTGGGCAACAGATGAGGATCCAATTGGGTGGTGATTGCCTCATATGTCTCCTTGACCTTCTTTCGGCTACTCTTGGTCGTCTTTCGACGTTTTGATGGTGTCGTGGCGGCATTTTTACGTTTGCGCTTGCCTCCCAGTATGCGTTCCCCACGTTTTCGTTTGCTCCTGCCTTTGCCGTTTGGTTCGCCGTCATCCGATCCTGAGACGTCTTCGGAGGACTGAGATTCGATATCCTCGAGTTGAGAACCATCGCTCTCATCGCTCGATGACTCCGCTGGATCCAGCTTCTCCTCTCCGTCTTCTCTGGGTATTCTGCCCCGTCTAGCCTCCGTACGGGGCTTCTTGCTCTTCGTTGGGATTTCTACTTCGAGCAAGCTTCGCCCGTCCCCAAGAGGATTGACCACAACCTCCTTGACGTCGTCCCGAAGTTCCCAATCTCCAGCCTTCATCCCTCGTTCGGCCAATTTGTCCCAGTCGATCTTGAACCAACTTTTGCCCTGTCCACCTTTTGCGAACTTGTCGAAAGCATTCTGACAAAAGTATACTAGCGGTACAGCTCTCTTGTACAAGTTGAATCCCCCAGTAGAAGTATGCAGCGTCATGCTAGGTGGTGCCGTCTTTGCAGCGAGCTTCAGCTCTCGGTCCATGGCAGCTTTGCTCTTCTTCGCGTTGGGTCCCGCCAGATCAAGCTCGTCTCTATCTTCGTCTGACGAAGACGACTCGTCACTCGAAGAGTCCATAGCGAGTTCGATCTTCCACAGAGCGTTCCAGCTGGGGTGAAACTTCGGGTAGAGCTCCTTGAAGCGGTCCGAGGAAATGATGGAGCAAACGTTGATTAGGTTGACGATGGGCAGGGTGGAAGTTACCGGTCGGTTTGAGCACGTAAAAGCATAGAGCAATTCTCGCTGAAGCGGGAAGAATGATTTAGTATGGAGCCCTAACCCACCCATTGTCCACTTCATCGCACTCACATCGGCAACTTTCAAGACGTTCATGGTAGTAGGTAGATCTTGTTTTCGGTAGAACCATCTGACCTCGCAGAGCTTGATTCGATCGTCTGCCCCTGATCGATGGTCCGGCTCTTCCGAATCGTCTTCGGTACCCTGATCATCTTTTGAAACTGGCTCATCCCACATCTTGGTGAGAATCCCCACGCCCACGTCGTTCCCCAAAACGGCGACTAGCACTCCGTCTCCGAGGCTGAACTTTTGGAAAGTTTCCTCGCCTCGAGTCTCGCTCGCAGCCTTCTTCTTCCCTTTCGCTGTTGGCTTGGCGAATCCTCTTCGCACATAAGACTTGTAGTACGTCTGATTCGAACCTGGTACCTGGTCCACGTCGTCGGCGAGCGGCCCCCATGTATAAGTGCCTTCGTCTTTGGCAACGAGAGTCGTAGGGGTGCTGGACACTGTCGGGGTCCCGGCAAGACGTCCGGACCGCCGTGTGGGTGTGGACGGGTTAGACATGATTCGATAGATTCGAGCTAGATGTTCGAATCTAACTATAATGCTGCGGGCTCAAAGACGATGAAGGCCAGGGACTTGTTTCGAGCATCTATAGGTTCGAGTGAATGGTGTTTTGAACGCTCTTTGGGCATCGGGGCGTCGAAGCTGACAAAAAGTAAACAAACAACGAGGCGGATGGAAGAAAGCTGCTAAAACTCTCAACCGACTTTGCGCTTTGGCTACTACAACGTGAATGGCCTGACATGCAATGGAACCGTTTACAACCTGAGAGAAAATCTAGCTGAGACCAGTAAAGCCATGCCAACTGTGTGTCAAGGTGGCGATTAGTATGCCACTCGCTATACATGAGACGGCCAGACGTACGCTTCATTCAGGATGCCAAAGACGGAGTTGGCAATCATGCGCTGTTCCACAGTAGCGTTACTCGCGTTGAGCTGTAGAAGCAAGGAATGAATAGATGAGGACACTTTGTCTGCGATATCGAACCCGGATTCGCGCACCTTGTCCGGATGAAGGCGGCCGATAACGCGCATGTAACCGATCTTGACCTGCTTCTCGGTGATCAACTCCGCCATCGAGGGCTTCTTCACGCCTAGTCCCTCCCATAGTACCATGTCCAAACTCGATAGGAGCCCTCGCAGATTGGTTTCCTTGCCACCCGACCAGGCCTGCACTTTGGCATCAACCCCTGCCTTGAGATCCAGACGCTCAGCATCTTCCGTCTCCTGGGCCGCAGCCTGTTCCCGCATTTTGGCCACATTCTTGGAAGAAAATGCTGCTGTTGATACAGGCGCCTTTCTCGCAGGAGGGGCAGGTCGCGCTTTTGGCTTTGGAACGTCCGATCCGTTCCCGTTTGAGGCTGTCTGACCCGAGCTGGCCATCTTCCGTGAGCGCGCCAAACCGTCCGAGACCAACTTGCGTTGATTCGCTCCCTGAACACCAGTAAAGATCGGTGCGGCGACGGCATGACCCATCAGACGTTCCCAATCCTCTCTAGCTTCGGTCCACCGCTCCGCCATCTCATAGGCGCTGGCTCGCTTGCTCAAGGCCTTGAAGAGCGCTTCCGGGAGCTTGACATCCGCGAGATCGCCCATCAGGGGAGTCTCTTTTGCAGGGTGATAATCGAGCCCGACCATGGTGATAACTTGGCTAGTGTCCGCGATGGCACCGGTATGATCTCCCTGCTTGATGCGGGCCGCCGCGCGGTTGTTGAACAAGGGGACGGTCAATAGATGACCCGAGGGAAGAGGAAGGAGGGCAGCCGTGTATGCATCCGAGGCTTCGCCAAACTTGCCCAGCTTGAAATGCTCGTTACCGACGTTCTTCTTCGCAGCGGACTCCGCTACCTTGTTCGAAGCGATAGGTTCGACGGGGCGAGTGATGAGAGGCGCAGGCGAACGGGCTGGTGTAGGGCGTGATGGTCCAGCAGACGGAGAGGCTCTATCCCTCGGCTCGGGAATCGCGATGGGTTTCCGCCGGCCCGCCGACCTGTATACCGGTGCCGATTCTCCAAAGAGATCGCCGACCTTTGGTTCTGATGCCCGGTTCGGTTGTAAAGCTGAATCAGGCCTGATCTCGGCAGGAGGCGGTCGTTGGCGTATCCGAGGTGGGGGAGGTTTTCTCGCCACAGCATCTTCCGGCTCTTCGTCATCATCATCCGAGTCCTTGAACGAATCCGTCTTGGATCGATGTGCATTTTCTCCTGTTGCTCTCGGAAGTTGCCTCTCCGCCTGAGCCTCTTCAGGATCAAGCATCCACCTCGGCCTACCATCGCCATTCTTGGCTTTGTTCCCGTTGGCTCGCTCGGCAGCAGCGAATGCCGCCTGCCTTTCCTCGTACAACTTTTGCGCCCTCTCCTTACCCTGGCTCCAAAGACTGTTGGCCTTGCTAAAGACGTTCATTCCGATCTCGGAAGCTTGAGCGAGGATCTTGTCGGCCTGTGCCGAAACGTCGCCGTAGACCTGCGCATCTTCCTCGCCACGAGCGTTACGAGGTCGACGTCGTTCCTCATCCTCGGTATGCAGATTAGCACGAGTCGGTCCCTGACGTCTCCTCCTCCTACGTTCCCGCGCCAGCTCTTCCTCATCCATCTCGTCCGTGTGTTGGACCGAGGATCCTTCACGACGTCGATCGTCCACCACTGAACCGCTGCTCTCCCCCACCAGCATCGCAATTGCCGCTTCCACATCGGCTCCCGTAGACGTCTTTGAGAGGGCCGAACGAGCTTGAGCGGGTGAGAAACCCATCTCCACAATCTGTCCGACGATGTGAGGAGGAGGAGATACGGTTCGAGTCGATAGCTGATATGAACACGATTTGATGTTGAGACTTGAACCTATCTTACTGACAGATTGTAATTGGACTGAATACTCACTTTTGCAGGTACAGGCGGACGTTCAGGACGCGCCTTTTGAGTCGGTCGACCAAGATCACCTAATAAGTCGTCCGAGTCTTCGTTCCGTCTTGAAGACCCGGTCCCATGTGGTCCTTGACGATTTGCAGGTTGCCCTGCTTCTGCGGGCTTTGTACTATGACTAGCCAAAGCGTCTAGGTCCCAAGGATCTGCTGGGGGCGCAGCGGTAGCTCGAGAACCCGACGTAGGCTGTTGTTTGACTATTGGCGGAGTGTTGGATATTCCTCCCAGTAGATCATCGAAACCCCAATCGACGTCCGCGCTCGTTCCCGTCGGTTTAGCTTTGACCGGCACTTCTGGCCTGCGAGGGACGGGCTGTAACACATCCGCAGCTCTGATCTGCGCAGCGAAAGAGCTCGAAGCAAGGGGAGATGGCGAAGTTTTCAAGCTTGCTGTGGTCCCTTTGCTCGTGCCTAGGCCCCACGAGTCGAAATCAAACGCCTGACGCTCCCTGTCTTCCTTTTCCTTCTTCTCGTTTGCCAACCTCGCTTGACGCTCTACCAGCGTCAGACCTGACATGCTCGATCCTAATACGTTGATCCCCATTCCGCTACCAGGTCTGGAATTGGCGCTCGAGCTGGTCGTACTCGATGGTCCGAAAGAGGAGAGCAGGTCGGAAAAGGCATCAGGTCCGGCATTGCTAGCTTTGGGAGCTGATGCCGGCTGAGGTCGAGACGGTGTAGACCCTCTGGAAGGTACAGTTCCGAAAGCTGGACTAGCCAATCCTGACGCCTTACTTCCTGCAGCAGCCAATAAGTCGAACGCCGCAGGCGAGTTTGATCGAGAGGCAGAGCTGATATTCGTGATGTTCGAGGATGTCGGATTGTAGAGAGGTTTAGGGAAGGCTCCCGAAGGTTTCGGTTTGGTTGGCGCCGGCGCCGAAAAGTTGAGATCCAGCAGATCGTCCATCCTGGTCGTAGATTACAGCACCTATAGCTGCGTTTAATTCTTGTCTGTCATATCCTTCCACACGATATCGATAGTATATAGTAGTTGTGCTGTTGATTCGACGTCGACATGACGAACCTCCTTCCCTTGATGCATGCTGGCTGCTCTCAAGGTCGCGGAAGCAAATTCTCTCGAGTGCGACCTCCTTGCGACTCTTTCAGAACTACGACCTTTCTCAACTTCCAACTCGTGTACTCTCGACAGCATGCATGACCACCTAATCAGTTGAACAGACCTTCACGCCACCTTCCGTGAAATCAATACATTAGACACGTCGAAATGTCGCTAACCCGCTCCCTACAACCTGCCCGACAGGCCATCCGAACCACCTCGGCCCGCTGCACACGGACACCCTGTGCTCGATACTTCAGCGCCGACCAAGCCCTCGATCTGAACTCGGCTCCACCTTCAGCATCTTCACATGCCTCGTCATCTACCTCGACGGACCCGACGCATTTCCTCATCACGCTCAAACGATCCTCGATCGGTCTCCCTAAACAGACCTCTGGAACGCTCGAGGCGCTCGGTCTGGGCAAGAAGCTGCATCGATCCGTGCTCCACCCGTTCTCCGCCGACGTGGCCGGACAGATCTTGGCAGTCAAGGAACTCGTCCAGGTCAGGAATGTGACCGAGGAGGAAGGATTGAGGATCGTTACGGGGCAGGGCAAGAACGGAGAGAGGAGGGGATGGGAGGTTGTGGGAAAGGCACCAGGGAACGTGAGATTGTAGGAGGAGCATGGTCAAGTTTAAATGGATGGTGAGTGGTACCGTCGAGAGTGAACGAGTGGTACAAAGCTGATTCCGATTTTCTGTTATATAGGACGCCATGGCAGTATTTGGCTACCCCGCGGGCACCCCTGTATCATCTATATCACCGTGCGGCGTACGATGTATATCATCCCGTACAACGGCCCATTCAGTATGCAGACAGCCGTCACAATTACATATCAGCCTGGCGAATCTATCATGCGGAAATCTAGATCCACGGTTTTTCATTCATACACAAGACAATCGTCAGGTGGAGTGGCCGCTGTTTGTAGGCGGGGTCGAGTTGGAAATTACTTGTCAAGAGATCAGAGAACGTTCGAACGCATCAGATCCCGCAAAGCCCTATAACCCTGTCGCACTAGCCACTCTGCATGAACCGCCCACATCACGAACCAATATCTAACGGGATGACCAGGCCCTTGCAAATCATGACCCAGTAGCCGTCTAGCGATTAATCAAGCTTGACCTTTTCTCGCTATTGCGGCAGGTCGGCGAACACAGCTCTCGAACGGCAACATATTTTAATTCGGGATATAAGTAGGCAGAGCGAAAACATGCCCCGATAACACCTCATCCCATACGGTCCCATTGGTCCTCATCCCGCTCACTCAACCCATCCCTTCCCGCCTCGTAGCCTACCTGACCCTTCCCAGTTCCAAACACCCCTTGTCTCGTCGCCGGTTGCTGCTGCTGTCCTTCCAACTCGGTACCGGCGTCGAAAAAGGTCGTCGATCCTTCTGGCGTCCCGGTCGAGACTTGGGAATAGCCATTTCCACCCCTTGATCCGCGCATGTGCCCCTCTGCGTACGCCTCCTCGTCGTCCAGGTCCAGGTCGATCGCCCCGGCGCGAGCTTGGGAGAGGTCGATCGGCTTGGGAGGTCGGAAAAGGGAATGGCCGGATCGGTTGAGGATTGTGCCCAGTCGCCAAAACTGGACTCCGTTACGAACGACCAGAAGGAGTGTGTCCAATACCTCCTCACCTGCAAACGTGACGACCAAAGGCGAGGACTCAGCTAAGAATGCATCATTCGAAGCCTGACTGTACTCACGCTTCGAACCGGCTCCACATGGGTTGAGAAAGACGACGATCAAGGTGATGATACAGAACGCCGTGAGGAAGAGATCTAGCACGTTGAGTGGGGTCAACGGATATTGCTGTCAAGTCGAAAGGAATCAGACGTCAGCTGAAACTCGATGGCGAGAGGTCGGGATCTGACACACTTTGCCGAATCCGACCCAGCGTGTTCCGACTTCCAAGACCATTCCACCATTGACGATGATCTCCAAGATGTGCCACGTCGTAGAAGGACATCCGCCTGACAATCAAGGCACAAGGAGATGTTTAGCCTTGCAATCGATGCTGCAGACGATGATACCGGCTACTGACCTTCGAGCAAGCTCAGGATGACCGTCCCCAGACTGAGTCCGGTCATGACCAAGTAGAATATGATATAGTACCGGGAAAACATGATCCGGTTGGCGACTCCTCGCATCCGTTCCGACGTGGTCATGCGATACGGCGAGCGAGAGTTGCTGCGGGACATGGGGACAAGGGATGCGTCTTTAGCGACATCAAGTCCCGTAAGGGTGAACCAATGGTGCGCGCCTGCTCACATTCCAGATCCACTCATACCTTCACCCATCAACCCTCCCGATTCTCCGGCGAATGTAGACCGCTCCAAAGCCTCAATCTCGTCGTCCAACCTGTCCGCATCATATTCCTCGTTCTCGTTCCCATCCAGCGAGTCCCGGCGGTCTGACGGGATCGAAGGCGATTGCGAGTCTGTTGGACGGTCAAATCGAGTATCTGACATGATCGAGTTTAGTTTCGCTAGGCTATGCGCAGTGACACGAACAACAACGGTGAATGACTCGAGTGCAGATGACACGGGTAGTTATCGTGCGCTCAGATCAAAGGCTACGCTGCTGCACGCTGCACAGGTTTCGGACCCAAATAGATGCCCGGGAGCATATGTTAGGTACTTTGCATGCGCGTCGCTCGACGCAAGATCTGTCTAGAGACGAAACCGTGAAAGAGCGATGATCTTCGCCATGCGCCATGCTACCCTACTCGTATCTCAAAGCGCACAGGTGGCTGCTAGCTGTGGTAACTGGCTTACGTTGCCAGGACGATTGGATAGAATACGAGGTTATTGGATACATTTGGCAAGCAAATAGCGGCATAGATTATGGTGATGGATAGTAAGAATATGATCCGGACTAAAGATCCTGGTTGGTTCATTGAAGTTGTCACAGCGCCGCATGTTGCTAAGCACAAGCACATGCAGATTTCAGCTGGCCCAAGAGCTTCAACCGTAGACGATAACCTGAGGTCCGGCAACGACAACGGCATCCAACAGGCTGTGGAGAGGACAAAATGGCAAATGAGTACTCAATTCAGCGTGCCGGGATGAAGAAACGCAGCCCTCACCTCAGGTTGTAGGGAGTGACGTACAGCTCCTCGCTGGTAAGGAGGAGGAAGTTGGTGCCTGCATAATCAAGAACCACCATAGTCAGCACCATCGCTCTTATGACAGTGAAAAGCTCACTAACCGTTGATGATCGGGTTGTCGTAGACACCTTCGTAGACCTGACCTTCAGGAATCGTACAGTATCCGGAACCATTCGATTGTCTGACGAAGGGAGAGGTGGTCGTGTTTAGTTGCGAAATGAAATTACACGTTAAGTTCTCGGTTTGAGTGACGTTGGACCCAAGAACGGTCATGTAGCTGTTGTTGTAGGACACGTTTTGGCCGGGAGCGTCGTAGGTAACCTCGATGTTGTAGCCGGGGGAGGTGAGCTGAGTCCGGTTGGTCGATAGCGCCGACGGAACGCCTTCCGCAGTAAGGTTAGGATTGTTGAGAACGTTCAAAGTAGGGAACCTGAGAATCACGATAAGATCGGATGAACAGACAATTCGAATTACGATAAGATGAGCATGGCCTGGGGATTACGCACCTGGACCATTGGATTCTGGGGTTTTCCTGGGGGCAAGAAATAAGGTAGGGAGACAGGAGAGTCCACGCCATGGACTGGGAGATACCTGTGATCGAACGGCGGTCAGCGAAACATTCTAATGATACGAGAAGCCCTCAAAGAACTCACCAGCCTCGAACGACACCGGCCTATACAGCGCAAAGGGAAAGTAGGCGCATCAGCGCGCTGTTACTACGCGGAACTATTCTTCGACAGCTCGTTCGTGAATAGTACTCACATGGGGAACGCGCCTGCGAGTTGCCTGAAAGCCATCTGCTGACGAGCCTCGGTCGAGATCGACTGGAGGAGCAGCTGGGCAGCGGGACGAGAGTCGAGGGCGGGGAGGAAGCCGTAAACTCCAGACTCTCCGAATCGGGTGAGGATAGCGCAGAACTGGATGAACTCGGGGACCGAATTGAAGTTGTAGGAGTACGTGCACTGTTTGGCTCCTGCAGAAGCGATCGTTACGATCAGAATCGTGGAGATGGCATAAGGGGCGCAACGGGGAAGCCTACTCACCAGCACCCTGCAGGATGTTCGAGATCAAGTTGGCGTGTCCGATCTCTTGCTGAGCCATGAAGCGGATGAGCTCTCGCTGCTCGGCATCAATACCCTGGGCGTCGAACTCGGCGTCCGAGAACCTGGCGAGACCGTAGTTGAAAAGGTCGAGCTCGATCCACTCCTGGTTCAAGGCCAAGTTGAGACTCTGGAAGTCAAAGTCGGACATGGGCTTGTACTCTGCGCGAGCAATGAACAGATAATTAGCATGTTATGTAAGTAGCGAAGACAGCTGATGCTTACCGGGGGGAGGGGACGAAGCGTTCGAGTTTCCACCGGCGGGCTTGGGGGGAGCCAAAGGCCCGGGGGCAGCCAAGACGGCCGTAGCAAGGGTGGCGAGGGCGAGGAAGGTTTTGGACAACATTTTGATCGATGTTAGGTAGATCGACTGGTTTGTGTTGGGTGGCAAAAGTCAGAAGCGACAGATCTGGACGGGTCTGTTCGAAAGTAGAGGTCGAATATATATACTTGTGATCGTAAGCCCAAACCTCCTTTGACGCCCTTGCATCGCGGCTTGCATCAGCGAAAAATAGGTTCCGCGCGCTAGATCACTACTGGATCGCTCCTTTGGGATCGCGATCGAGATGGACAACCTCCCTGAGACGTAGGAATCGACGCCATGACGACGACGATTGGTCTTTGGGTTCGTTGGAATCGCAGCGCAGAGAAGCACAAGGTGCAACGAGCGCGGGACACCGCCACTCGCCACTCGTCGTGCGAAAAATACACCGGCCGCTAACCACTTCATCAATTCATCAACGGCAGAGCGCTAGCCTCCAGCTCGGTAGAATTGCTGACGTATCAGCCAAAAAATCGATGACGCAAGGCGCAGAAGCGTGCCCCAGCCGGCAAAACCTGTCTCTGATCTCTGGGTGAGACCTTTGCCGCCTTTCCGTCCCCTTACCCTCCCCCTTCGACAGCGCTGATGCGTTTCGGGTGACGCAAACAACCGGGACAACGCACACAACGTGCTGCGATCCACAATCCTCCGGGTCTCGCATCGACGTAGACTCTGCCTCCGCATGTGGTCAGGCGGGATTCGTGTTTCGGCCCAAACGGGATTTTAGGTCCCGATCGAATGCCAGAGTGGTGTCGCATCGGGTTCGGGGCAGGACGACGGGACAACCACTCACCGCTGTCGTCAGCAAATAGAAGGTCAAAGGACTAACCGGCGGTGGGAAGTGAGATGTTCCACCGACATTCGCCTGTCAACTCTGTCAACAAGTTTGAGGGAGTGTCTACAGGTTCGCCACTGCCTGCGCTGCGAATACGGCGTCTGCATCATCCGAACCCCCACCATGATGGCACCTTCTCTCCGCATGTTCTTACATCGGAACAATACCGCAATCTTCAAGCGTCCGCCAGATGGTGAACGGTGAACGACCGTAGGATCATTGAAAGTGGCCTGCGAGATCGTTCGCAGCTTTACCTTTCAAGATATGCGTCCGTCGTTTGGCATCGCTGCATGGAGGGATCCACGATGGAGCTGTCCACCAAGCTACTCAGCTCGTAGCGAACGGAAATGTCGACGTAACGGCGCTGCGAGACAAGAAAGTCGTCCATCTTGTCAGTGTGGTAGAGTATCGCAGTAATAACCTGCCTTCCACGTTCGATTGAACCAAATGAGCCCGCTCGGGATCATGATGGCTCGATCTCATGATCACTACAGGACGACCAAGTGCTCAAAGGGAGGACGAATCATAGTTTGTATTTCGCCACTGTGCAAGCCAAAGTCTTCCGATCTTCAATCCCCGGCAGGAGTACGACCTTGGTCCACGCACAACCCGCCGTCCAGCAGAGTCGCCACGAAGAGGAGTGTGATCAGATTCTTGTCGATTATCGGCAAGTGGGAGCTACCTATGCTCCAACGGGACTCTACCGTTGAACGGGCACCCGTAGTTGACAGTCTTTACGGAGCTATGTCATCTTCCGTAATCAACCCGCGTTCAGGACGATCCGGTGGCCCTCGACTCGTCGGCGACTTGGTAGGACTTTCAGCTTTCGAGACGAGAAAGGATCGAATACGATGCCGAACACAGGTCCTAATCTCTGCCTTGCGTTGTCGGCATTGTGAACTGTTTCGGATGATTAACCGATGGCTGGCAACCCAACGATCACACCTGATATCGCTCCGAAGGTGGATTACACGACTTCAATGACACCTCGCAGTTGCTGTTTTCTTGACCTCTGGAAGGGATGTCAAGTATGGAGAACAAGGATGTCACTGAAACATGAGTCGAAGGTACAGGATCGGCCAGCAGCCAAACGAGCGAAGCCGACTGGCCCATCCCTAAAATTCCTACCGCTTCAGCCTGGACCTTGACCTTAAACGGTCAGGCTTCGACTGCGAGCTTGGACGTTGAGGCTTCGACCTGGACCTCAAACCCTACGACTTCTATTGCCCATATTGACCCCATCACCTCTGCCGTTCCTACCGCCTCTACCACGCCTACCTTTTTTACTGTTCCATCTTCGGTTCCCATCGATTGGAATTCGGCTTCTACCTTGACCTCTGTCAACGTGTCATTATAGATCGTCCCCAGCAAAGTCGGCGATAGGTACCATCGGATTACGCTGCGCTCATCTCAAGCGGACTATGCGAATCGCCCTCGACCCCCTTGGGCAGGACACCTATCCCATCTCCACGCTCTGCATGCCATGGGGCTGTTCACTGGGTATATGGTATATGATATGATATAGCCCCGAATCAGGATTCCGTTGACAACGATACAGTAACGAAACGAAACGATACATTTAAACCCCCGCTCCGCCTTTTGCTGACTGTAATTCTACTTCTTCCTCCCTTTGCCCTTGCCCTTCCCAGACCCAGATCCGCTCGCTGCGATCCAATCATCGACCGTGCTCATCTTGCTCTTGAACACCTTCCACTGTAACCGTTCGATGTTATAGGAGAGAAATCAGTTTCGGCTACTCGAAAGAGATGGTGCACGGATGCGACACTTACCTGATCGAGGTCGAGGGTGATTCCCTTCTTCCCGGGTTTGTCCTTGCCATCCGCTTTATCCGTGTAATACTGACAGTAGGAGCCGTCATGATAAGATGAGTTTGTCCGTGTTATATCACCGATCGACCCTTGGACTTACCTCGCGGATATTGACATACTGCTTCCCCTTGAACTCGCTCAACGTGACCCGTTTCTTGTCCGAGACCAAGAAATACGGTCGACCATCTTCATCAACGAGTTCATCCCCGCTCTGTCCAGCAGCGGCTTTCCTTGAAGCTGCTGGCTCTGCTTGGTGTTCCGCTTCATCCTCGTCTTCAGGGGAAGGCTCTCGTTTCGTCTTCTTCTTCGGCTTTACGTCCTCCTCATCGTCAGAAGGCTCCCGTTTGGCTTTCGTCTTCTGGGGCTTGACATCCTCCTCTACTTCTGATTCGTTGTCCGATTCGGATTTCTTGACCTTGGGCTGATCGTTCGTACAGAACAGATTATGAGGGCCTCATAGTGTCGATTCGAACAGCTTACTCGCGAGCTCACCTTGATATCGAAATCCTCGTCATCTTCGTCATCGCCCGACTCGTCTGGATCCCTCTTGACCTTTCGTTTCGGGCTGGCCTTGTTCAGTGACCCACGGTTTATACGCATAGCTGTGGGGTCGTTAATGTACTGGAAGACGAGTCGTAGTAATCGTACGGCTTGTCGGACTCCCGTGCTCCCAGGTTATACAGGTGGAGAGACCAAATACCACCATCGAGATCGTCGTCTTACGTCTTGGCTTGCTAGGCGATGTCGATCATGCGCGCGGACATCGAGTGATATTTATCGTCGTTGACACTTTGCAAGATGTCCGCGTTTGTGATCTCAGGGGAGAGAGGTTCGGAAAGTCAGGGGTCGGTTCAGTTAGCTCAAGCTCGACCTCGATGGATCCCAGAACATTTATGATCATCGAGCTTCCGTCAATAATATACAGGCCATAGTACAAACACGCTCGAGTCAATCTCATCATGGCCGCCTTCTACAACCGATGTATCGCCTCGAGCTCCCGCCTAGCAGCGACCCAGCCATCCAACATTGCGGTCGCTGCGTTCTCGACGTCGGCATCCAGCTTGGCTGCTGCGAAGGGCAAGAAGCCTGGTAAGTCGCCCTCTGCGGTTGTCTAGAGTGTCGATGGATAGTGGCTGAGAAAATCTTGATAAAACAGGTAAGGCTCCCGTTACGAAAAAGAAGCCCGGGTCGTTCAGCAAAGTCCGAAACACTGCCGTCAAGGGGAAGGAGGTGAGCCAGTGAACGAGTACATAGATTGATGAAGCATTTGCTAAGCATGAAATGATCTTGTTTACAGGCATCTTCGGGAGGCGCTCGAGGTGGAGAAACTCAGACCAACCAGATCGACCTGACCGAGTCGGTGGCAGCAGAATTTGAGCCTGTGAGTCGATATATTTAGGCGGGGTTGGAGAATACCGACGGGGGCTGACTCGATCTCGTTAACGAGCAGACTGTGGCGGTGCACGCTGGAGTACCTACCCGGTTCAAGAAGCAGAACGTCGACCAGTTGCAAGCTTACGGTCTTCCCCGACGGATCGCTCAAGAGGTAAGTCTGGATCCGGTACCATCCTAATTCGTGCCCACTGCTAACATCACCCCGGTCACCCGACCCACATCCGCAGTTCCAAAAGGGTCAGGCCGCCACGGTCACACGGATATCCAGCGACAAGCTCATCAGCAGGCTCAACTCGGCCGCGGAAAAGTCTAGCAAAGAGACCCGACTCATTCTGAACGGCTCCAAGGGATCGGGCAAAAGCACCATCATGCTTCAAGCTATGAGCGCCGCTTGGCAAAAGGGCTGGATCGTCATCTACCTTCCGCGAGCGACCGAGCTCATCGATTCAACCTCGCCTTACGCCTACAACACGACGACGCAGACATTTTACCAGCCGGCGCTTTCGTCGACATTGTTGAGCTCTATGTTGGCTGCCAACAAGAAGGCGTTGTCGGAGATCTCGCTCGGACGCGAGTACGAGACGGCGACGGGGCAAAGGTTTCAAGCGGACGAAAAGCTGGACGCCTTGATGGCTCGTGCTGCCAAGGACGAGACCATCTCGGTTGGCGTGCTGGAAATTGTGTTCGAAGTCTTGGCCAAGCAAACCACGTAAGTCGAGTTGTGAGACATTTGGCCTATAATTCGCTCTCAACCTGACAATCGGATGACTTCAATGTAGATCCCCCGTCCTCCTTGCCGTGGATGAAGCTCAAGCGCTCTTCATGCGCTCAAATTACCGAACCCCTCATTTCGACCACCTCGAGAGCTATGCCCTCTCCTTGCCCCGACTCTTGCTGGACTACGTCTCGGGCAGGAAATCGTTCGATAAGGGAGCCATCCTCACCTCGATCTCGCTGTCGACCGCTCAACATGCCCCGCCCAAGGAGATTTACGCTGCCGTTCCGGAGCTGAGCAAGGCGCCTGTTGTCACGCCGTACGACAAGCTGGATGAGCATCACGTCGAGGCTGCGAGGGGGCTCGAGGTCTTTGACGTCGGTGACCGATTGGACTTGCAGGAGGCTAGAGGGATCTTGGACCTCTGTCAGCAGCGCAAGTTTGTCTTTGGAGGTGAGTCTCGGTCGCTGCTACGATGTATTACGACTAGTCAGCTAATAACTCCCCTGCCTGCTTTCAGTAACGGACGAAATTTTGTTGGGCAAGTTTGCAGAATCCGGAGGCAACGTAAACGAGTTTGTACGGGGACTGCGGTCAACTTTGACAGTATAAAGCGGCGTGTATCGATCGAATCGATTTGTGAAACGACATGCATGAATTAGCTAGCTAAGATAGTGCGGGTACAACGTATAGAATTGAGCGATGGGGCATTAGGGGAGGATGAAACACTCCTTCGTGATCGAACAAACGGAAAGAGAGTGGAGCTGAACTGGTTCTAGGCAGCATTAGCCATAGCTCGTTCTCGCTCGGCGCGTTCCCTCGACCGGCGGGCGGCCGTTATGATCTCGCTATGAATCACGGCATTGGTTCTGCGAGCGTTGTCGAGGTAGACGTGGTGCTAGATAGAGCCACAGACGTGGTATAAGCCACCTGAAATTCTACCGCTTAATTTATTGATTGTCCACTCACCCCAGCGTGACTGATCTCGATGACCTTGCCGTGATTGTTCCCGGCTCTACGCATCGAGGCGACGGAATCGTATCCACCCTTGATGTCCATCCCTGTGACGACAACATATTGCTCACGTCAGCGTGCCCGTGTGACCTGCTACCGAGCCCTCGACCACTTACAATCGTGATCACCGTAGACAAAGGCGATGGGGATATTGAGCTTGTGTACCCGATCGGCGATGGGCCACCTCGCATGGGCACCGGGCGCCAGCAAGTGGGTGATGGCATACTCGGAACTGCCCTTCGAGCTCGTCAGTCTGTCGAGGCATAACCCCAATCTGTCAGTACCTCCTTTCGTAATAGATGCACGCGTCTAGACCCTCGATCCTACTCACGTCCAAACGTAATCGTGCAGGTCGGCGATATCCTCTTCTGGCAACGCCGCAAACCTCCTCGTCGAATACTTGGCGACCAACATCGGCCCTACGGGACCCAACTTGCGTACCAAGCCGAACGGGCTGACCCCTCCTTCCCACATGTAGTAGACGGCCTTTTTCCACCATCCATGGTTTCCCCGCTTGGCCTCCTTGTCGGCCTCAAAGTCAGTGGGTGCGACCGACTGCGTCGACTCTTCCCTCCCGACGCCTGGACGGGTGGTGATCGAGTATTCGGTCGGCGCAGACGAGATGCCCGGTCGACGAGAATTCTGTCTTTGCTGTTGAGCCTGGTGATCGAGGGAGGAGTCGATGTACTCCCTCGTCTCATTGTCCATGATCTCGGCGTCGGGGACGATGTCTTCTCCCTTTTCCGGATGGTTGACGATCCCGGCAGGCGATAACAGGACCAATCTGTCGACCCGTTCCTACCAGCGAGTTGCTCTCGAGCATCAGCACATCTCGCCCGACGCTATCCTCTGAATTTGTGCTGGACTTTGGGACTCACAGGATACTTGAGCGCATACGCAGAGACGATGTATCCTCCGAGACTGTGCCCGATCAGGGTCATCTTTTCGATCCCCATCTTTTCCCTCCATTCGTCCAGCGAGTCGGTGAAGAACCTCTCGGCCTGCGAAATATAAAAATCGGAGAAGAGCATCCTCGTCAGCTCGGAGGTTCATGGTCGAGCCAGGATCAAGGACCTTGATGAGGCCCAGAGAATGGAGAATCTCTGGACTGACCTTTTCGACACGTTCTTTCGCCGACGTCCCTCGACCCGAGACGAGCTCTTTCGGGTCGGGTCTCGAACTCCTTCCCATGCCCAACCAGTCGATCGCGTAGGCAGCTCTTCCGACCGAGGCTGATAACACATTGCCAAGGTCAGAAATATGACAAGACATTCAGTTTAAGCTCGCACTCTTCCCAGAGGAACGACGTGAAAAATCGACCGAGGACTGACCGCTCGCCTCTGCCATCTCCTGCAAGTTTCTGTAGAAAAAGGCCAACCCCGCTCCGTAACCATGCGTCAAGACCACAGCCTCCTTGCCTCCTTTCGTCTCGGGGGTCAAGAACGAGCACATGTTGATCATCCTCCCACCCTTTGACGACCTCGCATTATCTTTGAGCGGGACCTGGGTGACCCGAGCGGTGATGGGGTTGGGGTTCTCAGGAGTGGGTTGTACGTCGGGTTCGTGGGGTGTCCGGAAAAAGGGGATTCGTTTGAGGAGGCGGGTCTCGGAATCCCGGGCGGTCTGTTCGGAAGAGTTCCACCATGCTCCGAGCGAGGTGAGGAGAGAAGAGGGGATAGCTCTGGCTGCAGCGATCTCGGCTTGGATGACCTCGCCGGGGGGAACGCCGTCATTTCCATTGACGCTGCGGTCGGTGCCTCCAGGGTGCACGGTGGCGGATGAGTCTGTAGAGACGACGGATTCGCGACGGGAAGAGACGTTGGAAGACTCGGCCGTCTCCGTCGAGGTCGGGTCGTGGGAGTGCTTGAAGATCGTCATGGCGGGACGTGAACGTGCAAGCGGTGGTAAGGTCGACAAGGTGTAGATAGGTCGAAGTTGTGAGCTGGTTGATGAAGCCAAGAAGGTGTTGTGATTCGTAAGAGCTGCAGACAGAGACGACGACGAGGTCCTGGTTCTTGCTAGTAGTAGTGACTGCGAGATTGCTCGTCCGGGGTTCATGCAATAATAATAAGGTGGCAGACGAGGACGACACCTCTTTGTGATCCAAGAAAGGAGAGTTGTATTCGACACAAACGAGTGTGCAGCAAGAGAGAGAGTCGAGGTCGTTGCCTGAGTTGCCTTGAGGCTGCTTATGACGTTGGTTGCATGGATGCTGATGCCGTGCCCCCTCCCTTCCGTTCGATCTCGATCTGTCTCTCTCCCTGTGTGTGCCGACTCGGTGACGAACGCGAACACGACGACGACCGAGGTGAATGCTCTCGAGGACGCGAGAGGTGGAGGTTGGATGTGACGACGATGACGGGAGATTCGCAGCGATTCCAGCGAATTCACCCTCCGTCGGTCGCAAACATTTACATCCGAGGTGAGACTACCTCCTGTGTCGATGACGTTATCGTGTCGGCAAACCCGATCATCCCGGCGTTTCACCTTTGCATCCCCTCGACGCGAGGTCGAGCGGGTACTCGTACAGGGGTTGCGCGTCGCACTATGCTGACTGCCGGTCTGCTGCTGATACAGGCTCTCGGGTGAACGTGAATCATTGCGACCCTCCTATTTGCTGGCGAGATCCGCAAAACAAGGTCGTGCTCCACACGTACCGTATTTGCATCGAGTGTGAGCCGAGCTAGCGACAGTGACAATCGCACCTCAGCGACAAAGCCGTTCCCTCCATCACAACATAGAGATCAGTTGTCCCGATTGTACTTGGATGACTCGCATGCTGCGGAACGCTCAGTTTGGCTCTCTTGGCGAACCGGGGTAGCAATGTTCGAGGTCGTGCCTTCTATTCATCGGAGATTATGGGTCCTGCAAAGTCTAGTCAGCGCGAATCGAACAATGCGGCTTCCAAAACTAAATCGACGAGCTAAATGACCTTCTGCAAAAAGCTGGACCATGAGGAAATGATAGCCAACCTCATGTCGGCTCGTCTCTGTCAACCTGGTCCCGGCACTTGTTGAGGATATTTGTTTGCGCATTTGTCGCGCCCGTAACCCGAATTACAATGCCATCTATTTTCGCCGCACGAGGGCAGTCTCTGTGTGCCTGCAACGATCAGTCAACGCGGTCGAGATTCCATGGGTATTTGGCGAATGCTATGGTTTTATCGTCTTCCAGTAGTGCTGCCGACCTGCAGACAAACGCCGTCCCTTTGAGATGGCAAGGGAATAGTTGCAAACCTGTTTACCGTCATCCTGCTCTGGAGTAGAACGCATCGATCTATGCTCCACTCGCATCTTGGTGAGATTGGCCTCTGCGGGCTCATAAAACACTGGCACCGTCCTCCCGACCAGCCGTATCAAGGTAAGTTCCTTCCATATCGATATTGACCAGGCTGAGGACTGAAGGACGACACGCGTATGGGCCCCGGTTGGCAACGGGGAACTATTCTATGGCTTCAGGGACTCGCTCGCGATCGGCATGGAGGGTTGCTGTACCTCATGCGGTGCCCCATCGAGTAGTCGCCTTGGCCAGAACTTTGAACCTATGTCTGTCATCTATACACTGATCGAGGACTCGTTGAGACTCTGTGCCGGTCATACCCGCACGACCGAAGCTGATTGGAGCGTCGCCACCTCGATTTAGCGTCCCGCTCGATCGAGAGGGAAGACGAGCATTCGGGCTATGGCGCCGTGAAAGCCTCGAGATCGAGTGTACATTCCGAAGACTCGCAGGGTACATGACGCACTGCGAGACCCTTTCCGACCGGTTCAAGGTCGGGGACAGCTGGGCATAGTGAAGTATACTTCTGACCGTAAGAATCCGTGCTTGCCGATCAAAGACACCTACATCATCTGATCGGTCCTCCCTTGTAGTTGCTCTGATATGGACGGCAATATCGTCTGGTACTGATCGCTGTGCTGAGCTATCAGGTCTCTGGCGTCGACTCGGGATGAAGAGTTTTCGCTTTTACGATTAATTATCATCGCAAGTCAATGCATGTCTAGAGCTACATACCTGTAACTCGTCAGATCTGACAGTAGAGCGTCGCGTCGTCTGATCCTGTTACAAGTCCCTCGAGGATCAACGGATATGTAACAAGCGAAGTCGTGCGCAAGATACATACGCATTGACCAACGCGAGCAGAGGACTTCTGCGATGAAAATAGCCTGCCGCTCAGAGGCTGTGGTTCACCATCGGGGAATAGTCACGTTTAGTGCGTCTCTGTCGGCGCCGCCGTCAAAGTTTGACTATGACAGGGGTCGTAACGTCGCCGGCGGACCTGTAGAGATCGACTATTATTTGCTTTGACACACATTTCGAGTCTCTGTGGGTTTGATCCCTCACATCGATGCTTGCTGGGGGAAATCTGAGGGAAGGGAATTCATGGGACGAAAATTGATGTGCGCAACACCACTGTAAACAAAAAGTTAAGAGCAAACCGGATAGAGGTGACCATATTCGCGACTCTGTGATTTCCACAGGTTTTGTTACCTGCGGAGCGACATGATCTTGTCAATCACCGAAATTCTCGAAAGGCCAGGATGCAAACATGGAATCGAGTTGGCCTCGAGACGAACGGATGGCTCCGTGTACGGGGTGGCAGAAGCGTACCATCATCTCCGACCTTATGTACATTATCCTCGGGCGGCGCGTGCGGACTGCCTTGCAGACACGGTTTGTCACACGGACGCCTCGCTCGAATTCAAGTTCTGGCTGTGTTCGATCAATGCGACCTCGACAAGAAGCAAAATGCAACAAGTATTCGACTGTCGTGGATGGTGTGCTGCCCTTTGACGATGACAAGAGATATGCCATTATCGACAGGAGCGAGCCTCGCACGTTGTGTGAACGGATTGCAGGACGGGGGGATGATGGCATTCTGCCGATGGTCGACCATGAGGAGTCGCAGTCGCAATAGATCACGGGGAAAGGGCTACTAGAATAGGTCGAGTTGTGCCAGCGCGGTTGAAGATGGATGAGCCGTTTGGGCAATCATTCGGAGACGGAAAGAACAAGGCGAACCCAGATTACCAGGACATTGTGTATACACATTGAGCTGGTGTTAGTCGTGTCGTAAATTCAAGGAATTGGTTGAAGATATATACTTCTCCGAAGTGAAGATTGACGCCTTTTCGCCCTCGAGGACAAAGAGTTCGAGGGAAACGTGATGGAGCAGTCCGAGAATCAAAGCTAGATTATTGATTAACACGTTGTCGATGGGCACGATACAGCACCATTGCCAGTGATTTGCTTCCGAGATCTGCATCCGCATAGATGAAATGTTGAGATGACTTGCATAACATAGACAAATGGGGCTAAGGTAGTACAATGATAGTATAGTCCGATATAAGCGTTAGCACCGTGTGGCGCGGCAAGTGCTCGTGAAAAACCGCTAGCGCGCGTATAGCGGACATTGTCCGCTATTTATGTCCGTTTCCAACACTCCCTCTTGCTAATGCTTATTGATCGCTAAACTCCGCTAGCTTTCCCGTATGGCTCCGCTAAGCAGCGGAAGACTGGTTCTGGCCTTGACAGTAACCATCATGATCCTACTACCTGCCTCCTGCAGTCTGAAAAGAATGTGTATCCCGCTTGTGTCCGGGAACCTGTAGTCGACTCCGATAGTCGCGTGTTCGAGTCCGTTTGCACCGCTAACGACTGTGCTAGTTCAAATGAACCAGAGAGCAGGCCTGCTGGTGCTTGTGAGGCTTGAGTGCCTTGGTAAGCATGTCAGCAGCCTGATCATTCGTCCCAACATGGTGCAATGCCACTATTCCTTCATCCATGGTTTGGCGGACATAGTGGTAGCGGATATCGATATGCTTGGTCCGCTTGTGGTGACTCGGGTTGTCCGCCAGAGCGATAGCACCTTGGTTGTCACAGTAGAGGTCTATCGGTCCGTTGACGATGCGTCCCATGTCCGACAGGAGACGCTTGAGCCAAATGCCCTCCTTGACGGCCTCCGTTAACGCCATGTATTCCGCTTCGCAGGTCGACGTCGCTACCGTAGTCTGGCGGATTGAGCACCAAGACACAAAGGAGTTCATGTACCTGAAACAATACCCAGTGGTACTCCTCCTTGTCTCCATATCACCAGCATAATCGGAATCCGTGTATCCGATAAGGTGACCGGGATCAGCGTTTGATCCGCCAAAGGTGAGCGCGGCTCCGCTAGTACCCTTCAGGTACGCTAGCGTCCGCTTTGCCGCTTTCAGGTGTGCCTCTGAGGGGTTCACATTGAACCTGCTCAGGTAACCTGCAGCAAAAGAAAGATCAGGGCGAGCAGAGACTGCTGCCCACATGATAGATCCAACAATGGATTGGTAGAGCGACTTCCTGGCGGTGTCTACCGGTGTCTTGTCGTCTTGCCGGACGAGCTTGCCTTCATCTAGCGGACTGCTGACGGGATTGGCGCCTTCCATCTGGAAGCGCTCCAGCATCCGCTGTATGTAGCCTTCTTGGCTGAGCCTTAGCGTGCTTGACGGGCGGTGGCGGTCAATCTTCAAGCCCAAGATGTAGCCGGCCTGACCGATATCGGACCACTTCCACTTCTCCGTTAAGGCGCTCTTGACCGTGTTGACCGTTTCCATCGTCTTGGCGGCGATAAGGACGTCATCCACATAGAGCAATAGGTATGCTCCGTCAGCGATCCGGTAATAGAGACCCCAGTCGCTATCCAATCGCTTGAATCCGATAGTGGCGAGATAGCCGCTAATGAGTTCCCACCAGACTCTGGGACTCTGCTTGAGCCCATACAGTGATCGTATCAACTGTAGTCCATTGCCACTGGTGGTAGGCTGATAGCCAGGAGGAAACTTCATGTAGATAGTCTCCGATAGCGTTCCGTTAAGGAAAGCGGTATCGGCATCCATCTGGTA